TTGCAAACGAGTTAAATTGTACTGTATATGTCGGTAAGGGACGGTCATAATGCCGATTATGACATACATCGTGGAGGGCTGGCCGAGATACCTAGGCGAATGCAGTGCGGCTACGCTGCCCTCTGTGTCCCTTGGTGTATGTGATTTGATGTGTTACCACCAACCAGAAGAATATTATCTACCAGACAAGGCGTCAACTGAGCCTCTCATAAACCCCCGGCTCTTGGTCGAACTGCAGCCAGAAGTGTGTCCAGTGACGATGGGAATGAGATGTTCTAGAAAGGTGGCTGTAACGCCTGAAGCTTCCAAAAGTAAGGAGGGTTACTTCGTCGAATTTGCGCACATGCATGAAGCACATATTTGGGGGTGGTAGACAACCATGCGTCTCTTTTCACGATAAGTAGTGCAGGGCACTGGGAAGCAAATGGTGGTGTGACACCGCAATCAGGTGCGTGCGATTGTAATTATTTGGCGCCAGAAGTCTTTGAAAAGGCTTCCAGAATTCATGTTTGTGCGACAATGTGACGATGACGGCCGTTGCAACTGGCTGAAAACCGGGCGATGGATGATGGTGTTGAAGTGGTACCAGATGACGAGAGCGGCTTGCGCAGGTGTGGCTCTTAGTTAGCATCCATCTTTGGCATGCAAGCACCTTTGTACTTGGCATTGTTGAGCTAGAAATCTTGGAAATTTGGACGCTATTTGTAATGAACAAACTTACCAGTATCGTGAGCGTTGTGCGTAGTGTACAATGCTTATTTCACACCGATGAGTGTCACTAAGGCTTGTTCCTCAACGGAGAAACAACAGAGTATTCAGTTTTCCCTGACCATTGGGTTCTGTCCGTGTCGCTATACTATCTCGTCGAGATTTCAGACCGCAGGGGTGGACGTACTTAACACCAAGTAAGCAAGCTGGTATAGCTGGCAAGTGGTCTCTGAAGCTGTGAGTCCATGAATGATGTAAGTTGACGGGCGCAATTCAGCACAAGAGGAGGGGGACGAGTGGGGGAACCGACAGGGGCTAATGACTGCATGGTCAGAGACTGTCGGCCTAGCCTGTGTGACATGGCTGAAGAAGCCTGGTGGAAGAATGTATAGAAGCCCGAACAAGGTCAAACTGCTTCTGAGGCGCCGCCACGGTGCCGGCTGCGCAGATGCGATTTAACTTAGCCTGTTGCGATTAATCGGTCGCACAGGATCAACCGCTAAGCGTACGGTATTTCAAGTACGGCTTTTCAGCAGAGTTTGTGCCCGCGATATTGCCGCTATCCGACTTGCTTGCCATGATGAATATGGCGTGAGTTTGAAAACGACCAGATCAACTAAGCAGACGGAATGAGTATGTCTATTTACCAAAACGGCCATGAATGTGCAGTAATCAGTGCGCTGATTGCCCTACGGCATGGGGGTAATCAGCCCTGTTCAGGCCATTCTGGACCTGGGACCACAATCTGCCATGTGTTGTACGCGGTTCTCTTGCGTGTGATCCTGCGCGGGGGAGAGATTCGTTGGTTCCACTGCCTCTCACCAGTTTTGGACTTCGGGTTCTTGGGATGACAGTATGAAGATATGCAAGGCAGGACGAGCCAAAGCGGACGGGCGGCAACCGGCAGACGCTGATGTCGGACTTGAGAGCGGATACTGCGCTGCCCTGGTTTCACAGGTTCGACGTCGCCAACCCAGCAAGAGAGTATCTGAGTATGAAATCTATCTGCCATGGGCGGCGTTGTTGCCAGATCCGTTGGCACCTGTGTCTTGGTATTGTCTTGCTCTTGCAATAGCCCCCCTGTCCTTAGTTGATTTGCACAATGCCTGTACGATACGCTTAAATTGAGATTCATGGTTGCAAACGAGCTGGAACCGAGGTGCTTTTGAGATTGACGTGACGGTGCTATGATACATCTCTCCACCGTAAAGGCAAACAAGCACAAGCAAGCTTTGCCAGCGAACATGCTTGAGAGGCAGAAGAGGCTAGAGAAAGCAGAGGTATGACATGGTACCTCTGTATGGTAGACATGGATTGATCGTGAGCCTTGGCAACCCCAGGCTCCTTTGGCTCTTTTGCTTCTGAGAGGCGGGGAGAATTCGCTTTGTCACAGCGCGAGTGGTTAAGCTGTTGATAATGGATGCATAGGGAGTGGATGAGGTTGTCCTTGGTGGAGATGTCGATGGAAGAGACGAAGGAGGACAGGCTTCTGATAGGGCAGGCAGGTTGCAAAAGGACCTGACCTGACCTGACCACGATGCATACGGAGCCCCGGGAGTGGATCGCTTTAGCGCCTATGCCCTGTGGACAGTTGCAGCGGATGATTTTAAGGTGTACCCGGCGGCGTTATGTCACCCATGTCTAGGACATGGACCCAGGATGTAGAGATGCAGGTCTCCCTGTTTGGTCTGGCCTGGCTTGGCTCTTTTGTTGCTTGAGATAGCTCGCACGCAATAAAGATCTTTTGTTTCCATTACGGACATGATAACGGATATCTTATCTCACCGTTGCCAGGAACCATTGGAACCTGCAGATGTCGATGCCCTCTGATCGACGACAGCCAAGACCTGCACTGCACTGCAGTGCGGATACGCATGTACGATATCCAGTGACAGTCGGAAAAGTTAACTTATCGTAGCCTCGTCGGCGTTTCCGAGACAAGCTTGGGGCTTGAAAGATAGTTACTGAACGGAGTATCTAGCACTCGGCCTGTAGTTGCAAGTCACTGCCCGCTTGAAAGACGGTCAGTTGGAAGCTTGGACAGAGAGAATTTCTGTAGCAGAAGCCTCTTTTTCCCCTGAAAATTTTCATTCTTCTACCATAGCGTCAAACTACCTGCACGCCAGACTATCTATGGTGTCGGTGCCAGTCTGCAGGTTCCTACTTGATCTTAGCCCCAAACCGTCACTCTGCCAGCCCATTGTGTCACGTATCATGATTTATCTAGAATCAAAGCATGGACCTGGACCAGGACAAAGCTCCCATCAGAGTTTACAACACTGGATTGATCTTCAGGTGTGCCTCGGTTGGGACCGGTCAACGGATTCATCGACCTAGACAAGCCTAAGAATGGAAGACAGTATCGTAAACAAGCCACACCGAGAAAAAACGAAACTTGCCCAATCTTGTAGGCATAGCTGGGTTCCCTTGCAAATCTTGGAGATTCACGCAAGATTCTTAGCCAGTCTCAAATTATACCCGGCGGGCTCTAAGGCTTGAGGCTCATGTTCTATTCCCTTTGTGCAAATGTCCCCGACTTGGCGCCTACTGCACTCTTACCCGGACACGGCCTAGATTCTCAACCTTGTGTTATTGTCCCGCGTACAGAATTACCCCATAGCAAGTAAGTCCTTCGTTCAAGAGCGTTACGAGAAGGAAGATCAACTGCCCAAAACCCGAAGAATTGGGGGGACTGGAGCGGAAGAGAGCGAGTTGAGACATTGCTCTAGCAGGGACCCGACGAACCTGGCCAAATCAGAGCCCCCAGACAATGTGGGAACGGCCAGGGCAGTTGCACCGCTGTAATAAACGGCGCTAAGGGTGCCTCGCAGCGCTATACCGACGGCCGCTAAGCCATTAAAGGTGACAGAGCCGGGGCTTTAAACCCCCCGTCGCCCACCGAAGCATCCATGGGAGGCTTCAACCCGACCCGAGGCGGGTGATGGTTGCTTACCCCAAGACTTACTTACATACACGGCTAGAAACGAAGAATGAACCATTTTCCTGGGGCTAGACAACCAAAGCTACTTGTAACGGCCACCATTTTACTAGGCGAGATGGGGTATCTATCTTGCTGCAGCCAAGGCATAACGCAGTTCCTCAATTTAACAGCAGCAAGTACTGAGTAGCATTGACTTGTCTGTAGTCGTGCTTTCTATTATTTCGTGCATGCGGACCATGATTCACAAGGCAGTCGCCAGGAGCAGGAGGCAGGTACCTGGCCACATCCACGCAATCTTCGATCCCGCCCCTCCTTCTACCCTCCCGTCATTGTCATTGCTATTGTCATTGTTATTGTCATCGACGAGTGACTGAGTGTTTTGTCTCCCCATATTTTTTTACTCTTTCTCCAAACAAACCTGACAAGGCCCACGCTTTGATCTGTACCAATTATCTCCAAGTCACCGCAAGCGCAGGCATTGACCAAGATAGAGACAGAGAACAACGACAAAGCCAGCCAATGTTTGGTCCGCTTGAGTTGAGGACATTTTCTTCCGTGTAAGGATAATCCTCACTTCGAATTCTCGCTACGTCGTTTACCTCGGCCGAAATAAGAATCATGGATACCCCCCCGCTGATCGTCTCAGTTGCTAGAGTCCGCTTGGGCTTGGGATGATGATGCCAATACCAGCACCAATACCAGCAACAATACCAGAAGCTGGAGACAGAGACAGATCGAGCCACAGTCAAAGACAGAGAGCCACAGCAAAGAACCGGAGCTAACGGTGCCCCCATCTTCATCCCCCATCCCCCATCCCTATCCCCTCTCCTCCACTCCCGTACCGCTTCAGACGTTCCGCTCTTGATCTTAAACGTGCCTATCTGCTGTAGGTACTGCTGCTCCTTGTAACCCACACCCCTCCACACACCCCCGAGAGCAGCGCTCCCCATCTTGATCCCTGCCACGGCTTCAGGGTCTTGCTACTACTCTCAAGTACTGGGCGATACCCTCCTCAGTCTTAAGACACCCCTCGCCTCTTGTATTTGATCCTCATCCTGCATTATACCGCCCCAGAACGCCACTTCCATATCTATACACCGTTCCTGAGACGTCTTGTATACTTTAACTTCATCGTTCCTCCGTTTTTAACAACTTCCCATTATCTTCAGTCTTATAAGTCTGCTCATATTCAGATTATCAACTGTGCCACTCTCCACTATCAACCCCATCTCGACCCTCTCAGTTTACATACCTATCCGGCTCAACTTCTTTATTCTATACCTTGACTTGGATAACTCTCCCAATAATCACACCCTACTACGTGCGCACTTCACCTCTTGAACTTTCGAGGATGACGGCTCCTATGGCACAACCGACTGTTACGGTCAAAGATCCATCCGCAGTGCGAAAGCGCAGAAGACGTGCCCCCGCCGGCGGTGCTTCTGATGATTGCTTTTCTTGTTCTAAGAAAAACATCAAGTGTGACCGTAGACGGCCATACTGCTCTCAGTGTCTTGAAGTCGGAAGCGAATGTTCTGGTTATAAGACACAGCTTACTTGGGGAGTTGGTGTCGCTAGTAGAGGCAAGCTCCGTGGCTTGTCTTTGCCTATCGCGAAAGCTCCTCCCGTCACTCGGGAGCCTAGAAAATACTCAAATACCTCTTCCAGGCCCAGCTCTGCCGTTCATCGTCATGGAGCTGAAGATGAAGCCAAGCGAATGCGCCAGGGACCCATTGATATCCCTGCGGTGAGCCAAGTTGCTTCTGCACCTACTACACCTTTCACTATGGCAGGATACGACTACATGTCGATCTCACATCCTGACCACTCAGCTCCTATCCATCAAGGACACTGGGGAGCGGTCAACTACTCCCCGGCACAAGATACGACACACAACCTTCATCGATATCCGGTGCCTCTCGTCACAGAAAACCTCTCATCATCCATCGACCCCCTCACTCCTGGCTACGCATCACCTATGAGCCAATCTTACACGAGAGACGATGTATCCTACGTTCACAGCCCGTCCTACATGTACGACAGCTATACCACGGGCACCAGTTCTCCCGGCCCACAGAGTCCTCCTTCATCTCTCTACATCGAACACGCGAGAACATTCGCCCCAACCTCATGTCCCAGTCTCGCCCATGCTCCTTCAGAGATGAGCTCCAGTCTTCACTCTCACACCGACACCTTTGATTCGCATCTGGGTAACAGGATCGTTCGAGATTGTGATTCATTCGGTAAGCTCAGACGGAACCAATGAGTGCCTTGGTTCTAACGTGCGCAGGCGTGCCTGAAGTCGATACATACAGCGCTAGCTACAGCTCAATGCCCATCTCCTGGCATTCTCCTTCGATGCAGGATGAAGATGTCAAATCTCATCACTCGGACTTTGCTCCCTCGGGTTGGCCCACTGCTTCCGAAAACCAATCAGTTCATGTGAGCCAGGACCTCATCTCCAAGATGCCCTTTTTTATGGATTACTACGAGAACATCATGTGCCCCTCAATGGTCTTCATCGACGGGCCACACAACCCTTTTCGAGACCATATTCTGCGACTAGCTGCAAACAGCCAGAGTCTGAGCCATGCCATTTGTGCTCTTGCATCCTGCAATCTCCGCATGAAGAGGAAACTGAGTCTCGGACGTGATACACGAGAACTTTCTGAGAAGTTGATGGCTGACAAACATGCCGCCGAAGCCATGGCAGACACTCAGCCCGACGACCTGTCCCTCGCCGAGGAATACCAACACCGTAACCTGGCTGTGCACCTATTAAACGAGCAACTCAACGACCGGACGAAAGCCATTCACGATTCAGTCCTCGCTACGATTCTCCTGCTGTGTCATTATCGCATGGTTGAATCCGGTGTCGCAAAGTTCCACACCCAGTTTGCCGGCGTGAACAAGATTCTTGCTCTCCGATCCCAATATCTCTCAGCATCGAGTGATTCGGCGTGGATGGAAGCCATCTTCAACTACTTTGACGCCATTTCTGCTAGTATCAACGAGCGCGAAGCCCATGTTAACCCTGGCTTTGGAGGGATGCCTGATTCTCAACTGCTACCCATCGGGACCGAAAACCTTGTGGGGTGTGATCGTGAGCTTTTCGGAACCATTAGCAAGCTTGGCCGTCTGAATCTGCTATCTCAAAATCGCCCGGTACAAAAGTCAGCAGCCCCTCCAGGGTCTCAGGAGGCGCCTGAGCGATCTCCCTCTTTATCGTACATATCTCCACTGGGCCACGCTCGTCGAGAATCTCTTACGGCAGGGTTTGATGTGACAAGCGGCCGGATGGCAACCATGGGCAACGCCGCTCAACATGAACTTGGCGGTAATCAATTCAACACGATGCTCAATGAGGATTTAGCAGCGCCTGCAGATACCCCAGCCACATCCTACGAGGAGAACCGTTCCCTGTTTTGGCATGAGTGGAAAGAATCACGTCTCGCCCTCCAAAACTGGAATTTCGATGCATCTCGGGTTGGCGCCTCGCTCCCTGCACCCTGTTCACAAAGCCAACTGCGAGATCTGGAATCACTCTCCGAAGCTTTTCGGTACGCTGCGCTGTTGTACACGGAGCGACTTGTGAGCCCTTCGTTACCTTCAGGCCACCAGAGCATCCAGAGCCTTGTTAGCCAGGTTGTTTATTACGCGACGAACCTGGACATAGGCAGTAGCGCCGAGAAGTTTCTGCTCTGGCCCCTTTTCGTGGCTGGTTGTGAGTGCGTCAACGAACTGCAACAGAACATGGTGCGGTCCAAGTGTCGAGATATCATGTTCCGTTCTGGTTACATGAACAACCTAGCGGCCCTCGAAGTGCTGGAGAAGTTGTGGGCCCAAGACTGGGTGGGAGAAGAGCCGTTGGCACTGGGAGCTAGGACGGGGGATCAACGCGGGCCATTCAACTGGACCAAATGCATCGGAGGACCCGGGGTGGAGGTGGAGTGGATCATGTTTTGATGTGCAGGGGTATTCGGCGATTGACATGTGAAGGCGTTTGCCCTCGTGGTGAGGCGATGAGAAACAGGGATTTGTATTACACGGGGCTGCCATTGCATTGCAGATTTTAGGCGTGGGTAGGGGTTTGGTGAAGTTGGCCTACATTAGTCTTGATGGTGTGTCAACTTCGGGGCTACTTGGGAATTGAGTTTGGAGCGCATGTTAGGCAGGGGACAGTAGAAGGGCTAGCATCATCTTGTATTATGTAACGCAACGCAACAGCATACGGAACGGTTACGTTAGACAGGGAGGGAGCAAGGCGTATCGGTATCGGCTTAGCATACTGGGTTGACTTACTGGAGTTTGGTACATACTGAAAAGGTCCAGAGAGACCCAAATCTAACTAAGTATTCTTATCCGTACACCTGAACAAGCATCTCGTGAATATCAAATCAGTCAAATGTGCTGTAGTTCAACGCACTTACAGCACTTAATGAACATATCGTGGCCGTTCTAACTGCTGTAAGACGTTACAGGGCTGGATTAACTAGCCCACGACATACACTATACAGTAACTTCTAGTGTTCAGCCTCTGGATAGTGCAACTTGTAGGCCAAGGGCTGAGTTCTACTCCCAAAACCGCAAGGCCTCGTCTGCTTCCACCCTCAACGGCGCCACTACGGGTGTGACTTTGCTGTAGCTCGCGGAGCCCGCCGAAGCCATGGCGTACCTAGTGTAGGTAGTAGGAATCCTACGCACAGGTAGGTAGTGATGAAATAGGAGCAACAACAGCGCGGTTAGAGATTTGATTGGCCAGTAAAGCGAGACATTGGCTGACTGACAGGCACTCAATGTGCAGGCTATCAATCTTAGGGTATCTAGGTACTTTGTACTACTAGCAAAATCTTTTCAGGCCCGATTTGACGGAGAGTAGGCAGAGTGTGGGGGGGGGGATGGGATGGGATGGGATGGGCAATGGGTAAAAATGATCGACATGCAGGATGTTCTTTTAGTGCTGCGACTGGAGATTTTAGATGGATCCTTTTATCAAGTACCGTGTAGCATACGTAAGGAGTTGTGTAAATGAATTTGATACTCGGTATTGCAGTTACTTGAGGTACTCTGATGCTACGTACCTTGCTTTTTTCTACCTTGTCACTTTAAGACATGCATCATCTATCTGTATGGCGATCACTCGTGTCACTTTGAACGTGCGTTTAACACCTGCAGGTGAATACAAGGTTATTCCATGCTTGGACTAGGTTCGTTTGTCAAACATTTCATCTTGATACCAAGACATGCTAGGAGAAGTAAACCCCCCCTAATCAACGGATCTTTTCAACCTCTGACGTCTTTACAAAACCAGAGATTGTTTCTCTTTTTTTGCCCTCTCCACCTCTGTACCCGACTTGTCTCCTGGAGCTAGTAGGGGTAGACGGACGCCACGACATGTAACAATCCTACCGAAAGCCTTGCAGGGCAAGGATGAGAAGGATAGCTTCGGCGAGAACAAAATGCAAGGGGAGTTGTAGCTAATGCCGGTTTCAGGAGCCACGACGATGGAGATTGTTTCGTGGTGTTGGCATATCGAAAGGGGGGAGGGATTGAGGCTGGGGATGGGGCTGTGGGTGGGTGTGAACAAGAAAAAGCACTAAACCTGATGCTGAGGGATGTTTGTCGAGTTTGAGATTGGGATGCTGCTATTCCCGACGAGGTAGGTCAAAAGCATATACAGGTTGATCTGGGGAGGAGCTTGTAGCTTGTGGCTTCGCAGGGAGTAGGGAGTAGGGAAGTGGAAGGGGCGGAAAGGTCTCCGAGAATATCAAGAAGGCATCTAGAACTATCAAGGGGTGTAAGTGCAGATGAAGATACAGATGCTGGTGCAGATGGAGTTGGTCATGGGAGACTACTGCGCCCGCAATCACATGTGTGGTTACAATGCCTGAAGACGAGATTGATGTCTATACTTTGCTAGAAACAATGCGAAGCATGCTATCTCTAGAGTAGCGGTGTCTTGTAACTCGTTGTGTTTACGTTACGGCATCGTAATCGACGTTGCTAGCCGCGTCTACCGATCAGTCCTCGTCGATGTCCATCAGGTCTGGTTCCTGTAATGTAATTCCAAGAACATCCCTGGCTCTTGTATCGTGCGGAGGTGGCGACGGTGTAGCAGCGCGCTGTGAAGTTACCGGTATCGAGTCGTCGTCCCCTTCTTGCTGGAGTATCACATCTCCGTTGTAACCCGTCTTGCTCGAGTCTTCGCTCCAGTCACTCTCATCCTCCCTGTCCTTGTCCCACTCTGCGAACGTTGGGGGAAGAGGCTTTGGTGCAGCTGGCGGACTGTCTCTTCTCATCTGTCGTCTCTGCTCGCGTTGTTGGGCGAATTGTGCTACTCAAGTTAACATCCTCCCCTTTGATCTATCCCTTAGGCTTGTGCTCACAATTGATTGCCCAGTATACCTTGTTATCCTGCTCCTCGAACAGATCTTCGCCCTTACGAGAAACGTCTCTGACCACGATGAGGTCCCACACCCGCAAGCCCCTGAGCTTTTGAATCCGAGCCATAGCCTCCTGTAATTCCCAAACATGCTTGTGCAAAACATCGTAGAGCATGTATGCGTACTCGAGCGTCCATTCAGCCACCCACTGAATCTCCTCAATACGCATAGTGCGGGCCCTTTCACAACGTTCATCCTCAGCGTTTTCTTGTGCCTCCGCGCTCGCTTTCAACTGGTGACGGATCGCGGGGGGGAGTGTTTTGGGGATTTCGAACAGAACATCTGCCCATTTGTTACATCGCTCGTCGAGGTCTTCGTTGCCTATTCTCTCATGGCAGTCTTCGCATAGCCAGAGGTAGTGGGCGATGATGAGAACCTGCTGGGCTGGAAGGGGGCACAGGTCTTTGCATCCTGCAGTGCAGGCAACCTTGAAGAGGGTACTGTGCTGACATTGCTGGAACTGGATGATAGCGATACAACACGGCATATTGATGACCAGTGTCCCGCTGTGGGTTGACTGTTAAGTCGTGTGTAGAAGGGGGAGATGACAATACACGTATGGCATAGTATAATGGGAAGTTTGAAGGCCGCGAGCTTAACACTCCAAGGTAAACTTTGGGACGAAAGAAGAAAAGACGCTGCAGGTAAGAATAACGTACCTCTGCCTTTGCCTCTACCTCTATCACAGCTGCAGGCTTTAGGCTGCGCCTAACAAAACGTCCTTCTCCAACCGGTCCGTCACTATCCAAGGTCGGATATCGTTGGGGAAGCAGCCATAGGGAACATGTTAGCAACCTAGAGAGTGGGAGCAGTGGGAGCCCAGGTGGGCATGAGAAGATGCTGGCTGAAAGCCATCGCAACTGACAATGACCTCAGGCTGCTGCTGGTTACCTGTTCTACCACCGTCTGAGGCTTGACGTTGGCTCGAGGCCGCTCACTGTGTGTGGCTGCTGTTGAACTCTCGGTGCACATTCGGCCGTAAAAGGGGCGAGGACGAATGAGAAGCTAGGGTTGATGAGGAGTCATGATGAAAAGAGTCGGATTTTGCCAGATGCATGCATAACTGTTACCATAATGAATCCTAATTGAGCAAATGAGAAAACTCAAGTCGTCACTTGGGCGCAAAACAAACTTCCACTCCGATTGTTGTCCTCGTGATGCGATGCGATGCGATATGATACGATAGTTTATGCGGGTATCCCTCTTCCCAAAATGCCAATCTAGAATACAATAGAATTAATTTCACACCTCAACACCATGCCTTAGTCCGAAATATTGGCTTAACGACCAATCATGAATACAGTAGAACCTAAATCTCCTATCCACTGCCCATTTCTATCCTTGCTTCCTCCCTATCAAAAGCAACTAACTTTGTACTCCCTTTCTCTTATGATCTCGCGTCAGCAAGAGTGAGTTCAGGGAAATACCGAGAAAGCTTCCTCGGGTTTCGAACATCGGCGCACGTGGGCTCGTCCGTATCAGAGATTTGATCAAAGTCATTTGACTCTTGGCCCTGGTTGTTATCCAGCAGCTGGACAGATCGTCTCTTAACCTTGATATTCCCCTGTGCTGGGGCCGGTCTGTTGCTTTGCTCATTTGGTGGCGATGCCTGTGCTGTCTGTGGTTGCACCTGTGGTTGCGCCTGCGCCTGCGGCTGTGGAACGGGAATCGATTCGCACACAGGAGCTGGTGTTCTTGTCTGGCGGCAGACGTCAGGACTGAGGCTTCTCGATGGGCCAAATCCAATTGTGCCTGTCATCATCTTGCGGTAACCGTCCAGTTCATGCTGCTGACGATCGTTTACCGCGGGACTGCCGGTGTCGCTTCGGTTCTTCTCATTTGAAGTGAGACCCTTGGCTTGCACGAATGCACTGGAGCGGATATGGTGAGGATCTCGCTCGTAGTACTTATCGATAATAGGATGAACCATGACGGTCTGTCTGTGGATAGTCAAGATGGAATTTGTAGGTACGTTGACCCAGTTTTCTGCTTCAAGTCAGTATATGCCGAGCTGCAAATTGTACGATCATATATACCTCTTTCGAATGTCAATGGCTCACTCGCAACAAGCACAATATCAGCACCCCGGTCCTTGCGCTCCATCTGATATTGCTTATCGTTCGCAGCCTTGGTGCGAGTTGTCCATTGGGTCCCAGAAGAATAATACAAACTGGCGGCCTCATCCTTGGAACTGCTGATGTATCGAGTGCAAATCACGCTATGGCCATCAGTGACGGCAAAGTTGAGCAAACTCCTAGTATCGACATCCTCATTCTGCAAGACACTTTCGGGGATCGCATCGGTCATCTCGTTGATCTGCGCAATTGTGCGCTTCACGGCCTCTCGCAGGATGGTAGGGTTAAAGCCGGTTTCGGGGCAAGCACTGGGATCCTGACCGAGTCGCTCCAGGGTATCGAGAAAGAGGGCAAATGCCCATTCGCTGTCGGTGCCGCCCTTGACGCCCAGGTACCACTTGTCAGCCAGACGCTCGCCGAGGCGACGCTTGATGTGCTTCCATCCACCGAGTCCTCCGTTGTGCATCCACATCAAACTGCCGTGTGTGAAAGGGTGGCAGTTGTCCTCGCTCAGGGAACCCTCGGTCGTGGCACGGACATGGCCAAAGATTAGGCGGGATGCGGTCTTGGAGGCGATGCGCTGCAGGTTGGTGCAGTTCCAGGCAGGAATGGTCGATGTAAAAAGACAAGGCGCTGCGCCAAGCTTAGGATCAGTGTAGAAGCCTATACCGAAGCCATCTGCATTGTTCTGGCCTCGTCTCGTATCCTACAGAGCGTCGCATCGGTCAGATATGACGTTGCTTCGAATATCGGTCAGGGTGTGGGGTGACTCACGAGACGCAAACGAGAATCAAAAGATTGCTTAAGAATAGAATGAGTAGGATCGAGAATCAACGATGATAGAAGAATCTCATCGCTGCCTTTGTAGACCTATGGAAAGAGGTGTAGGGTCAGCGTCATGTTCTGCGACCAAGATGCCGGCTTCGGAGGCACAGATAATAAGGGACCTTTGATATAGGGGACTCACCAGAAACCGGCACATGATTGTATCTTGTGCGCGCGAAGAATAATCTGGCCAGAAAATAAAAACGCAAAGGGGAGAAAGGTGCGAGAAATAGTAATTTAAAAAAAAAAGGGATGGAAGGAGAAGTTGTTTGGGGGAGGAAAAATAAAAGATTGCGTGTTACTGTTACAGGAGGACAGAGACGATTGATTGTGAGAGAGTGATTATGGTGAGGGATGACACCATTGGCCTTGAGTTCCTTTCAAGGGTTGCTTTTTCCTGCTCTGGGGCACCTCTAGGCACTGGCTGGCTATCGGTGAACCGTGAACGGGCCATCGGCTTTGGCGGGAGACGAATTTTAAGACAAGGCTGAGGGAATGGCCAATGGATGGGAAATAAAAAGATAGGGGCACTTTGAGGGATTGGGGGGAGCTGTCTAACGTGGCATTTTGTCATGAGTTGTCTTATGGGATTATCACAGGATAAGAGGCTTAACATTAGATGATAATCGATTTATACGAACAGTGTTCAACTGCTATAGCGTAGCAATGATCTATCCTCCCCCATGAGGCTGCATTTGTTCTATCCTTGCAGTTCAGAGCTCAGGCCGCAAATTCCGGGGAATGATCCGCTGTAAGTGGAGTATATCACGGCTCTCGTTTAACAACTGCCATCAAGCTCCCAGCAAGGTGAGTCAAACCAATTGATACTCGAACCTTCTTAGGTACTCTAACTTTTTGTTGTGACTCAATTTGTCTCATCACGTCATTAGCCCCTTGTGAAGCCGTGATGGAAGGGATGTCTTGTAAAAAATGATGAATTAGAAACATCAATTAATCTTGGAGAAAAAAGAAACTCGAGTAAGACCAGCGCGGGAGTTACTCTTACCGGCCGGTGGCCGTCTTTAGCGCCGTTGAAAACTCCCCTGCAGGCTGTAGCTGTGGAAGACTGGAAGCAAGGAACTTGGAGAACTTTGAGCCACAGCTGCAGCTGGTCGTGTGTCAAGATGTGGCTCTTCGCCTCCAACTGTGGCGCACCTGTAAGCCATTTACGCGAGAACACCGCGGAGCGTGTAAATGGGCGCTGTCGCGAGCGCGTCCTTCGGTCCACTTTCGCTTTAAACCCCAGCCTTTTTGGCTTCTGGCTCCTCTGGCAACCGACCCAGACCAAGAACTGGAGCCCTTCTTTCCAAATTACGTTACCGAGTATACCTTTTTTTGCTCGCCATGTTCAATGTCTAATCTGTACATCCCCTCTGAAGAGTCTCATCATATCAAAGTCTCGAGCTGGTAACTCAACGCCATATATCCAGGTATCTCGCCATACACCATAACTCACATACTTTCATCCACGGCCAACGGCGGCGTGTCCAACGATGTCCATGTCCTCTATGGAACCCGATACTCTGCCCACGCCTTCATCATCGTCACGGCCAAAAGGAACACCTTCAATTACGCCTCGACGCTTTAATCGCTTCTGGCAACCGAGACAGATCCAGACTCAGCCGCTTCCAAGGTATAGGACTGCTCTTGGTAGCTTGGACGAGACTGCAACCAACCAGCAACCCACCTCACCTCAATCGCTCTTCAGTGATCCTGTCTTGCCCTCTTCTCCAAGTGATAGATTCAATGATGAGTCGCGGAAGAGAAAGCTCCAGACAGACCCTTCTGAGGTCGAGGCTGAATTCAAAAGGCCAACTCTAAACCTGGATGATATGCCACCTCTTCGATTCAATGTCACGCCTAATTCAAGCAGAACGAATGACAGCATTAATAACGAAGCTCGGGCTTCTGATAGTTTTATGCAAACTCCAATTAGTTTGGAGACCTTGGATAGCTGTAGAAAAGCTACTCTGGTAAGCCCAGCTGCCCCAATCTTTCCATCTTAGATGACCCTTACTTACAGAAAGTCAGAGCAATTTCTTCAAAACTAGCCGAGGAGTTGCTAGAACACCCAAAAAGACACCTGCTCTTAGTAATACCCCCAGCTTTGTTGAAGAACTCGAGCCCGAAAACGTATGTCGTCTTATCCCTTGTGTCAATGGCGTCACTGACATCATCGTTTTTAGGAACTAGCCAACTACGCCCCCCAACCTATTCGAAAATTCGGCAATCGAGGCGTCGCATCTCAACTACTCAACCGCGAGCATGGACTTGGATACTCAGCCGGCCAAACGCATCTTCATACACCCGCCTATGATTCCCGAGCCGAGACAGCCAGGTTCTACAGCCGTTGCATCGATTCGTACGAGTGTCTTGCTCCCAGCGGCAGTCGCACCATTCCCTTCTGCCTCGCAAGTACTCACAACGCCCCCGTGACGGCTGTCGGCGATGAAGAAGGTTGCGTTAGGTTCTTCGACACTTCTCCAAACGATGATCTGAGCGAGGAAAAGGATCTGGGCGTCCACTCAGTCCATGACAATGCGATCTGGGACATGGACTTTTCCAACGACGACATGCGCCTTGCGACTACGGCTGGAGATGCTGCTCTTGTGATGGATGTGACGACCAAAACTATCGCGGCCAGGCTCTCGGATGGTCATTACAACTCGACTCGACAGATCGCTTGGCAGAAGCGCCAGTCTGTTGGCAACGTATTGACCACGTCAGACAAGGCTGGTCGTATCCGCCTGTGGGATTTGCGTTGCCCTTCATCTCATGTCAGAAGTTTCTCGACATTTAGTCGTAGTGAGACAGGTCGTCGAACTGTCACTATGCGAGATGAGAATATCAGACCCTTCCAGGCGTCCACTGTCAACACCCTCGACAACACTCACGAGCGTACCGCTCATGGAAAGACATCTCCCGCTTCAGTTACTGCCATCCAATGGCTTCCTGAGGGTCGCGAACATCTCCTACTTTCCGCCTCAGAAGCAGAAGCTGTTGTTAAACTCTGGGATCTCCGATACATCAACCGCCGACATCAAGAGAAGAGTACGCCTCTCTCTTCAACAGCTGTACCTTCCAACCACGCCTGGCGCTCATATGGTATCACTTCTCTGGCTCTCAGCAGCGATGCCTCCCGTATGTACGCAGTGTGCAAAGATAACACTATATACGCCTACTCCATGTCCCATCTCATGCTCGGTCACGCCCCTGAACTCGAAGATCACGCCACGAAGCGAAGACCTATTGCTTCCCAAGGTCTTGGGCCTCTATATGGTTTCAAGCACGACTCTTTTGCCGCTCGAACATTTTTCGTAAAGTGCAGTATGCGACACAAGGGTCTCTCCCACTCCTCCGATCTGCTTGCTGTTGGCAGTTCCGAGTCTTCAGTCGTCCTCTTCCCCACAGACGAACGATATCTCCGCTCAGCCTGCGCTCAACGTGCCCATCTCCTCGACCCTCCAGGCTCAGCGCCTACACCCTCCCGCTCATTCTCATCTACTGCCGGCGCCGAACCCACCTCATCCACCATCCCCATCTTCCGCAACGGCACACCACTTATCCACGGCCACTCCCGTGAAGTGTCAAACGTCAGCTGGAGTTATGATGGCAAACTTGTCAGCGCGTCTGACGATTCCGTCGTTCGCCAATGGCAAGAAGACGAAGGTCGGGCGCGGTATCTCAGACAAGTTGGTGATTTTGGTGGCGAGCGGTACTTTGCAGGCTGGGCTGATGTCGGCGATGACTGGGATATTGAGGACGATGAGTGACGAGTAGTACATAGCGTTTTTTTACATTTTACGATACCCCCCAGCCAGCATGGGCGTTTCAAAACATGCATGTTAGTTAGCAGAGATATCGACCGAGTTGCATGAAGACATGAAAGAATTAGTCGAATGGGCATTGAAAATAGCGTATACGAGGGACGGCTTCACAAGGTATCGTTCACGAGGTAGCATTCATGAAAATCAAAGCATACTGTTTCAATAAGACAATAGCGTCTAGGCTTCTGTATTGTGACGTAAGTTACTGTTTCTCGTAATCTAGGGTCGTAATCGTTTCTCTGTATAGAATGTATGGGTATTGAGGACAATCGTGTGCATGTGCTCTGGGAATAGAAAATGCAACCAACTCCAAATTCAGGTATTCGTTTCCCGACGAGGGGTATCCTGAATGCTTAAACTCCGTAAAACTCCAAACAAATGCAAATGCAACTGCAATGCATGACATAACAAGTCCAACTCTGCTCTCTCATACTTCTACTGCCATTACTTCGCAACCGTGTCGGCTAGAGCAAAAAGCCCCAAGAACAATGACGGCAACAGTCAATATTATCAACCAGTTGATGAAGCTGATGCTATCAAATCTCTTGGAGGCAACTCGAAGACACTTATTCAACTCGTGTTCGGCTCCAGTCGTCTTGTCTGGGAGATGCATCGGTCGTGGTAAGGTCTTGTCAAAGCTGATAGACTTGGAAAAGGCCGGACAAAGTTCTATAGATGCATCATCCCCGGAGATACCAGGATGGCCCATCGGGACTTTGATTCCACTCTCTGGCTCCACAGGCGATGGAGCTGCACCGTTATTCCAGATTTTCCAGGCTAACTTAGTGCCCTTTGATGGCAATCTTGAAGATCGCTGGATTCGGTCTTTGGCGATAGAAACGCTATCCCTGAGACGGGAACGGAATGGATGAAAATGATCGACCAAGTTAAGGAGTGATGATGTCGTACTGCCACTATCCTTGCGCGCTGGATTATCGCAGACCTTGTCGAGTTGTTGAACCAAGAGTGTCATGCTATCAAAAATGCAAATCGACTCTTGAACAACGTCGTGCTTCTCACTTGCTGTCAATGACCCCTCAATGCTAGCGAGTCGTCGCTTAAATTCGCGTTTCAAATCTTCTCCATCCTCAGGAGTTTGGAAGTGGAAAAACCTGAGGGGCATCGTGTGAGTTGCATGACAGTGAAAATCATCTATCGGGATCTCTTCGTCTGACAGACCACTGGCCCGCTTAGTTGGCCGGGGCCTCTCCTCGCAAGGAAGACAACTTGGTTGTACTGGTGAGGGTAAACGATCCCAAAATTCGTCTCCAGCCGATTCTAGTGTAGCTCTAATGAAGCGACCACCAGCAAAGAGTGCCATAAATAAGATGTAGGAATAAGCCAACAACACATGGGGTCGATTTTGGACCGATCGTTTGATGTGTTGAACAAAATCCTTCAGTCGACCATTCTCTTCGGCAAGACGCAGCTGCTCCTCAACAGTACTGCTAGACCACCCCGCCAAATTGGCAATATCCGCTTTGAGGCGATCTGAACGCATTAATCCAGGAAGATAAAGCTCCTGAAGTAGCGATTGCACTCTACTGCAGTCGGACAGCTCGTGAACATCTGAAGTTGGCAATCCAGCGTCTCCTGAACTGTGTATACTGGTGTCATCATTATATGTATCAGCTGCACTTCCAGGCAGATCAGCAGGTAAACCTGACTCGAGGATGTCGCGCCATAATGTCTCGAAAGTGATGTATATAGGTGTAATGTACAGCAGTCCAGAAATGTAGGCAGATGAATCGGTAGCAAGAGGGGGTAGCGCAAGCGGTAGCCGGGCGATAATGAGCTTGTTAAGCTTTGCGTGCACCGATCTTGTTGCAATAGCTATTAATTCGGCCAAGGGACGGTCATTTTGGTGAAGTTCAGGTTGAGGTTGAGCCTGGAAAGGTTGTGAGACGTCGGCTTGAGGAGACGCCATATCCCTGTCGGTTTGTGCTGCTTAGCCACGCAGGGCGTAGAACTGGAGTGACTGGAGTCGAGGTATACAATTTGTGGTCGATTCTATGCGGATGTATTCGAGTAGGTAGAAAAATGTGAGGTTCAGGAGGAGTGAGAGTAGAAATAGGGTAGAGTAGTATCGAGATAGATCAGACTAAGTCGAGAAAATGTAGGGTTTGTGGTTATGTAGGATGAAGAGTCGAGATTAAAGGTCCAGGTCTAGGTCTAGGTCGAGGTCCATGTGGATGAAAGAGGCAACATGGGGATTAACTGGGGGAGCTAACTTATGAGGAAGGGGTTTTTTGTTGATGATGCGTGTTGTACCTTCCTTATGGCAGTTATCAAATGACAGGGAAACTGTGAAAGAGCATCCTGAACCCTGAGTCGAGCAGAGGCATGGAGGACCCTTCCTTCACTTTGCCATATTTTTTGGCTTATCAAGCCACACCAAGACCACAGATTCACCCCGAGGCGTCACCAAGCAAGCTACAGTAGTGGATAAGTGCAGAATTATAATGCGGAATGGTCCAAAATGGCATAAAATGCCATTCCCGTCAGCGCCACAACAGGAACAAGGAACATGCAGATCCCCCTCATGACAAGGGCCCATGACGGGCACTGCTACTGAAAAAAGAAGCTCCCCACTTGTGCATGTGAGGTCATGATCGGGGTTTTGGCCTGAGATCGGTTCAGAGTGTCGGGGGGGTTACTTGGCACTGCAATCAGTGAAGTTTTAGCGCTCCGAGCACTGACGAGCCCGCAGCTTCGGGACAGCTCCGGGGCAGCTCCGGCGCTGGGATGAGGGATCAAGAGAGAGATGCATGTTTGAGTTGAGATTGGACATGGTCATTGCTGGCTTGCTGGATATGTTACCACAGAAGCGCATCACAATCAAGGCACATGCATGTACGGATATGATTGACTACCTGATTATAGGGTCTTTCAGCTAATAAAAAGCAAAATTTTCATATAACAAGGACGACATGTTGGGCTCCAATCCATCTCCACTACAAACAAAATAACAGACGAAAAAGAGAAGCAAAGACAGGCATGATACGATTTCCCACTTCATCAACGCCTCACGCATTTTCTTTGGTTCTTCTCAAAACACGCACCAAAAAAAGCAGTTTCCCATAAATCCCTGTTCCTTATGCTCTTCCTCTTCCTCTTCCCCGATCCCGATCCTACCCTAGTCCTGCAGCACTTCTCCACTGGCCGTGCTCTCTCGATCGTCACAGATTGTCGCATCTCAAGATCGAGAGTATAATTAACAAGATTAAGGGTCCAGACCCAAACGACCGGATCAAAACCCTGCTTTGATCGTGGCTTGTTACTCTCACATGTTCTGAATCGGTAAATGCAGTTGCATTTGGACTTTTTAAGCTTTATCTTCCCTGTCTCGAGGATGGTAAATGTTACTCTAATCATGTTGTGTGGTTGAAAGGCCCTGCTGTGTCTATCCCGTGCCAAGTATAACTCGCTCCTTTCACTGTATGTGTGTGTGTGTGTGTGTGTATCTTGTAATGTGCTGTTGAAAGCAACCCAAACGCCCCATAATCCAAACTCATGCATGTCGTTATCTTCATGATCGGTATACCGATTCTACTCCCGCTGACCTCTCAAGATCGTCGGGCTTTTTAAGATCATCCCCATCGTGGCTTTCTCGGCTGACCACGATAAATGAAATAAACACAACTGCAGCACCTATCCAGTAGGTGAAGCTCGAATATTGTGAGTATTGTAGAATTTCGCCGATCAAAGACAAAGGAATCGTCAGAGATAGGCCAACTGTCACCACCAAAGGTGTCGTCATGAGTAGAGCGAGCGCCCATGAAATGTCACTGATAAATGAAGATATCGCGTTGAACTATTCACGAGTCAGTGTATGATTTCCTGATGAAAGAAAAAAATACTTACAATAATGATTCCCCAGATTGTGCTGTTTGGCGGTAATTCAAACTAAGAATGGTTAGACCACGTCAACACTAGAGCGGCACGACAACTTACTGGTTCTAAACCTGTCCAATGCAAGATGAAGAACAGAGGCCACAGAAGAACCACATTGAAGACTCCAACAAGTCCAAAGAACATCTGCATGTCAACCCTGTCCTCGTTCGGAACCTTGCGCTTCATCACCGTCACGTAAAGACCGTATATGACGGCGCTCAAAAGTGCCAGAGCGTCTCCTAGAGCAGTTTGCGAAGGAGACTTCTGCGGAAACGACCCTCGGTCCTCGTCACTCTTGCCAGACAGGTCCACCGTCGAGATGAGAATGACGCCGGCAAGAGACGCTCCTACACCTAGAATCTTGGCTGTCGAGAAGCGTTCAATGCCGAAAAGGGAGCAGAAAATGAGGGTCCAAACGCTACTCGTCGACGTTAAGATAGTGACGCTCGCGACGCTTGTATACTCAAGACAAGCCGAGGAGAAGTAATTTGCCAGAAACCAAAGCATGCAGAACTCAAAACTCAGAACAGCAGTGTCCTTGAACGTCAAATTCTCCTCTGAATTTGCACTCCCCGTACTTCCATATCCCTGCGCTATCAAGCTCTGGGCAGCCTGCTCGTCTTCGGTTTGTTGCATGGTCTTGGTGTAATTTGTGCCGTGCTTGTAATCGATCCAAAGCTGGTTCGCATCGTGTCGGAGTCCGTGAAAGCCGGTCTTTCGTAGGTACTTGAAGAACTTGGGTATCAACGAGATGGCGAATACTGAGGTGTTGAGGTAGACAACGAAAAAAGGCTTATTATACGTCTCGTCGGAGAACATGTACTGGGATATATGTCAGCGCCACCACCGTTTGGAGTATTTTGAGTTTCTTACACTGGCGATAAAGTTGTACATTGTCCACAAGAACACCGTTAATAGCAACAGGCTAAAACCAAGGGTTCTCCGAGCGACACCACTCAAGCCCAACCGAGCCCTCAACCCAGCTGGCGACTTCGCTCTTGGCTCGAGAAGAGGACTCGAGGGCACTGCCACATCATCCGTCTCATCTTGTCCATATTGACGCTCGCGCGACTGCGTCCCCTGGTCCGAAAGAGTCGACATAGCCGGTGCCATGCTCAAATTCTAAATGCGACGCCCCCAGATGCGCGCAACTGTGCGCGTCTCGGCCCGAGTCGCGATAAGCGAAAATCAACGACCTTTGACGTAATGCGACGATATCCAGCGACAAAGAGAGTTTTGGGGCGGCTTGGGGACTTTTAAAGTGGAAGTGCGGACAACCCAACGGTTATATATAGTCGCGGATATCGGTGATCGGATTATTCAGGGTCTTGAGCACGCAATTAATTGAAGCGGGGAGGGTTACTGACACATTGGGGTAATCATTCGCAAGTTTTGAGATAAGGGTTATAACTATTTTTGAGCCGGTATCGGGGGTTTGACTGGAATTATTTCCGCTAGTGACATCAATTAATGGGATTAAGGCGAATATACTCCGCATATACAATACGTTTGACCCTCGTCGCATACCTGATCGCTCGGGCGAAGCTCACCCTGACAACTCCTTTAGGGTGAGCCAAGGCATCCCGTGCAGATTATGGGCTTTGGGCTGACACGAAAACAACTTATACTATCGTATATTTACATTGAGTCTGGTAGCACCTTTAAAAAAGAGATCCAGCTGTCCCAATTAAACCCATAGAAATATCAACAATAGAGGTCTCTACACAGACCGAAAAGCAACAGTGTCTCGAATCCAATAAGATTGCCCACCATATCAGCCACAACTCTAATACTATCGTATATTACTGCTTCTGATTAGCTTCATCGTCATGTTGCGGTAGCGGTGATATGTACCGGTCTTGAATATTGATTCAACGGAGATGGGACACAACGCTCTTTTCACAAGAGTTCATTGACGAAACCCTGAACACGATGGCCCTGCTGTTTCCCAAGTGGGATAGGAACACTAGAGCTTGGTATCAAACTCAAGCGTCATCACGCGGCCTCGATACTCAGTTGATTAAGATTGGGCAACTCGCTATATTAAGAGCCTATATGGCCTGTTTCTTAGACATACTCTATATACACGAACCTTTATATAGGTAGGTGTCATTACCTGTGGATAGCTATAGTTAATTAATTGCTTTCTGGCACGGTATTATCGATAGAGGCTATAAATCTTGTGGGCTGCGCCCCTACTCATGTTGGGTGCCGTAGTAGGCAAAAGTTATTCCATTCTCACACCTGCATCAGTGGTTCGCCATCATTCTAGGCTTGGGGTTAGAATGTGAGGACGGTTAGGTTAAGGCATCCGCATGCTTGCTGCACCGCCACTACGCACCGCAGCAATATTGATGGTATTGGATGCGGGGGTAAGATCAGCTGGTGTTGAAGGCTGGCATGGGCTCTTTTCCTGATGAGGGATTGCCTCGCTTTGTTGTCCTTGAATCTTTCATCCGCCCTGATCATCTTCTCACTATTCTCTGTTGCAAATGATGCAAGATGCCATTCCCTAAACTCCTGAGGTTACAAGATGACAAATGGAATAATCCTGAAGACTCTATAGGTGCATTCATTGGATATTTAGGTAGCGGCCGGTATTGTTATTAGGAGGCAGCTGGCCTAGCTTGTCTAGCATTTAGGGAATTAAGCCCTGATATTAAAGATTGTCTCGAGACTTCTGCCACTCCTCTTATTAATATTATGTCGTGGTCGATCTATATGGTTAGATATAGCGAGAAGAACGTAGTACTAAAGGTTTTAATTTGCTCCACGGATTTGAAGATATGTAAGGACATTAGGAAACTTATTAAAGACAGTAAGATTATAGATAAATACCCTGGTATAGGACTTGGGGACGTTTCGGCATTACCCGACCGCTATGTTATATGATAGCTATCCTGAGAGGCTATAGAGGCTATCCTCCCTTTTAGTTATGCTATTGATAGGGCAGTTTTGGCCGACATATCAGAACCTACGCTGGGAAAGCGAATATTTGTCGTTAACCCTCACGATTTCTCCTTATGCCTAGCTATAGCTGGCCCGATTATCTTACAAAATGGCAGATACTATTAGCTAACTGTTATGTATGTATTCCGATATACTAGGGAGCTTAGCTATCTACCCGGTAAGTAGATAGCTAAAGATAACTGCGATTTTAATGGTATAAATGACGCCGAAATAGATGACGAGAGTTAATACGATGAGATGATAAGAAAAGGAAGTGCCACCCCGGGAGAGATTAATTCCGATAAAGCATTATTTATGGCTAGTTTTGACGCTTCCTCTGGGGAGAAACATCCAAGTTCTATATCCGAAAGCCCCCTAAGTGACTATTTAGATACTGGAAGCGATCTATGGCTGGGTGCCGAGTCTATAGAGGATAACCGGGATTTTAGTAAGTTAGATATAACTTGGCTTTAATATTTTGGTAAATTAATCTTTAGCTCCTTAACTGGAAGTAATACGATATTGGATTACGCCTTCCTTAAGACTTTAAGGGTGGTAGAGAATTCTGAGAAGTTATATTTAATTATAGGCTCTCTGGTCTTGAGTATTAGGGAGATAGGGTCAGACGATATCTATATTCTTGCTAAGATATCTCTATATTGTATAGTTGAAGGGCGACTTACGGCCATACTATCCTACATTTGCCTTCCTGAGTAGCATACCTTTTAATAAGTCTACCCCATACGACTAGATAAGCCTTTATATAACGGAGATTGCAGAACTGCAGTCTTTAGTAATAACGATTAGCGTTTTTATAGTTATATAGTTATCGGTGGCCCTGGGACTAGTATTGCCTATATAATTCTAGCTAGGGAAATTTTTAAAGATATTTAGGCTTGTCTTGGCTTTGGCCTCGTGTGGATGCCGTAGCAAAATGAGCAGCACTTAAAAGACGATTTGCAGCTCGGTACAGGGTTGTCCCTAGACTCGACGAACTCTGGCGAACCTTCTATCAGAAACCCTAGTACTTGTGAGCTAGAAGAAACACAGCGAGACCAGCTTCTTGGAACCAGTGTCGGGGTCCAACAACGGCTCCGGCAAAAACGTGACCCTCAGCCATCCCAAGACCTTTTCATCAATTCTCGATCACTCATTGTACAGAAACGTCGCACCAAAGATACTATAGACCATGTCAACGATGTGCTCGGTGCCAAAAGTAAGCCGCCGTCTGTTCAGACAACTGATTCTTCTGCTTCTTCTGCTTCAAAGAAACTACCCAAGCGCCAAAACAGTTGTTCAACAGACGATGAGACGACTAGCGAATACCCATTAGCAAAACGGCATCGATCTGAACTCAAGAGTCACGCTTTACATCACATGTCGCTAGTTTCATATGGTTCTGTCAGCTCGACCCAGCCAGCTGCAATTCTTCCACCAGAGGCGTCGATTGATGCGGCACAGGGGATTCAACGCCAAGTTTGTGATATTCCGTCGTCGTCGTCGTCCTCCTCCTCTCATATCGGCACGGGCGCATCAACTACACAACGGGATGAAGAAGCAGGTGGTATTACACGCAGATTAGTTTCACCTCAGGATTTCGAAGATGCTTGCGAAACCTGCGTGTTCTGGCTGTTCTCTCCGGAGCAATTCTCATCAAGTGAGAGGCGTGCATGTCACGGCGCCAAGGAGGAAATATCCCATATCATCACGCATGCCACCGACTGCCATGGGCTCATTCGTGGACGTGATCCAAGTAATGCATCTCGCAAATACCTAGCAAGCTGTCAGATCCATGACCCCCTTGTGAAGGCAAAAGGTGTTTGCGTCAAATGCAGTTCGTTGCATAAATGGAATGATAGAGACTTTATGGACCCCACACACAATGGCGTTGTTGTCTGTTTACGTTGCTGGCGGAAGTTTAGCAAGAAGGAAATGAAAGAGCATATAGCTGGACCTATTTGTGAGTACAATGCGAAATGCTCAAAGGCCAGAAAAGTATGGGTCTTGTATAGCGCGTTTTGCTCTGAGACTCAGCTGCCTAGAGAGCCTCCCAAAAACAGGATGCCGCGTAAATCGTCTCGTCAACCTTCTACGCAAACTATTGATCAAGGTCAACAGCAGTTTGATCAGGATCAAACTGCAGGTCCTTCACTGCTTCCGTTTACCATTAGGAAGGCAGTCAGCCTTTCACATTCGCCTGATCTGGATGAGACGACGTGGTTGTCGAAGGAAGCTGACGACACGGACATGGACATTGACATGGGCTATATGGGCTTCATAGGGATGAATCCCAACCTTCAAACGCCCATTCAAGCGGCAGACCCTCTGCTTCTTCAACCAACGAATCAACGCCAGGAACTGGCGCTCGAAAGCCGGTTAACAGCTATTCAGCAGACTGATCTTGAGAAGGACTCAGGCTATTACTCAATCTATGACACAGATCTAGACAAGATGTTCATGTGACGAGGTGGCTTAAAAGCATCTTTGTCTTATTGCTTGTGGAAGTATAACCCCTTTTCAGAGGATTTTGAGTCCGCCCGTATGATGGATTTTCGTCTGCTTGGTTTATGGTGGTTTTTGACGGGCGCCTTCATTTACTATACTAGACTCACTTTGTGGTTGAACTAAGTTAGGCCAATGGCGCATCATAAATCAAGAGGCGAGTTATTCTGGGATCACTATTTGATACGGGTATTTCATAGGTTTGTGTTCCTCAGTTTAGCTTTCGCCAACAAGGTCCAGAGCAAACTTGTATTTTCTTCGAATATGCTTTCTTAGTTGGTAAGGTGCAATTGGCGCCAGTTTCTATTGTAAATGTGTTTGGATATCTATATTATATCACCTTCTTTTAGGATAGCTAAAGCTTCAAACTTCGTGTACTGCAGCTGCTACTGCGTTGAGATAGGTACAAATAGCAGGATTCAAGACATAAACTTCATATTATTACCATTCTTTCATAATTGCTGGGCTTTGAGATGGAGTGTTTGCAGACTGATCCGTATGATTAACTTCTAGGCAGGTACCCGTTCAAGCGTGCCTCGTGCCTTCCGCTTTTGCGATTACAAACAAGCCGCGATCCGTTCAGCAGTGACAGTGCCATTAAACCTGCCAGTGAATCATAACATCCCAACATTCAACTTTCTCAACAATCTGTCTAATTTCAAATCACCTTTGCTTCATCTTGAAGCATCCTGTTAAACCTTCCTATTCTCCACCGAGCACAATGACAGCAAAAAAGCAGAGGAGGAAAAGAAAGGCGTCAAATCCAACGCCATCCAGCACAATGTCACCGCATCGGAAGAACAGAAACGTCAAGGGAACACCACAACCTCCTGAATATGTGCACCACACTATGCTGCGCGTACCGACCCCAGAGACAACGCTGGAATTTCCAGTCAATATAGGTCGCATGAGTATCTGCCCGGTCTGGAAGAACTTGAAGTCTTTGAGAAAGGGCAAAAAGCTCGAAATAAAGGGCCTCGATTTCAACGACCGGAAAGCAAAAAGAGCTATCGAGATAGTCCTTGGGCTTGTCCACGGCGACGATGTTCTGGTTGATTGTCGTGGCGATCCTCGTCTGCTGCTCTACATGACCGAAGTGCATAAAGCTCTGGGATCGCCTCAGTGCACCTACCACACGGAGCATAGACTTGAACCGGGCGGTTCTGGTTATTCTTTTTTCTTCCGCGGTATCACAAACGTTATCTTCGACGTCGGTAGAGAAGAAAAGTATCTATACCGTGTCAAGGACTGGCTGCTGCTTGCTTTAGTTGCTGACCGGATCGATCTTTATTCTGTGAAGATGTTGGTTCGCAATAATCTAGTTCTTTTCTGCAGGTCGGAACAGAAGAGTTTGCCCGATGAGATAAAAGACTCTATTGGAGATGAAGAGTGGGCGAAGTTGCAAAGTCTGAAGATGGTTGGTAAGAGAAGATATATGTTTGGAATCTAATGACCCTATGGTTGGAACTGACCTATTTTAATAGATAACGCCATGTTGGAAATGCGCAAGCGTTACGTTGATACGATATTCAAGTGCCTTCGTCTTCTATCTCACCAGCTCGAGAATTTTGAAAAGGGGGTTCTGCTCAATGAAGATGACTTTGATACATATCGACAATACAGGGTGGCACCATGCTCAAGGTGTCGGACACTCTCCTCCTACGAATACCACCGAGAGCTCAGGGCGTCACGTCTCTGGCCTCTGTCCGCCAGTTCGTATGGGGATCGTGTCATCGACCTGATACACGCCATATACGACATGGAAGAGAACACATTGTTTAGAGAACACTGTAACCAACTCTCTCACCTTTACGACCATGTGCGGCGTCTCTGCTGCAAGGAACCCTTGATGTAGACAGGAGTCCTGCATGGTCGACCGATAAAGGGGGATGTGCATTAGGCGAATCGGGAATGGAGTCCGGAGTAAGGTTTAAGGGCAGGAATACATTTGGCAGATTTCGATCTAAACTTTCAGATTTCGACTGAAAATTGAACTTATCTTATGATGAGAGGACCATAGCTTGCGGCTCCATACCTTTGCCCTCAACTAGAACCCCCGCCTTTCGTAAGATAGATACGGTATTCTGAACAACCTCGGAGCCAACACCCTCCGTCTTTGTTGGGAACTTGACAGTCTTGAGCCACTCGCGCGCATCAGGCTCTGTGTACCCAAGACTGCTCGAGATATACGCCACAGCCTCCTCCTGGTTATCGTTGAAGTGCTTAATACCCTGATCCAGCTTTCCAAACAGATCCTTGACTCGTGCGTCCAGCCCGTTCTGAGTCAACGTGGTAGAGGCGACGATCTTCCAGCTGCTCCAGGGGGTGTAGATCTCACCCACGCGGCGGATCTCACCAGAGTCGTAGAACTTCTTGGACGTGAAGTGCTCCCACATGAAGAAATCGGCCTCGCCGCTGTTTACAGCATTGCGGAGGTTCTCAAAGTTGTTGAGAACAACTGTGTCGGAGAAGGGCTTTGCAGCGGCGCCGGGGGTTGGCCAGCCTTGCTGGTCGGCGAGGACAAAGCCCATCACATAGCTGCCGGAGCCAATGCGCGATACGCCGATCTTGCCGCCCTTTAGAGAGTCGACGGAGGTGATCTCAGGACGCTTTGCGCCAGTGGAGATAGCCCAGCCTGACATGCTTGTGGTTAGTGTGTTTGTCTCTCATAGTGAGGCTATGAAGTACTTACAAAGAGGAGTCTCAACATAAGTGCCAACAAGACGATACCCGCCATCTCCTTCAACGCCCTCTTTGCCCAGACCAGCAATCCAGCCTTCAGTTAGACCAACAGCTACATCGATCTCGCCTGCACGGATGGCATTGACCATATGGCCCGTGCCGGAAGGAAAGGGAATGAGTGTCGCATCGAGGCCGAAGTGCTTCTGAGCAAAATAGAGAGGCGTGGAGAAGTGCTCTGGCACGTAGCCGATTCGAAGAGGAGTTGACGACATGACGTTTTGAGTGTTTGGCGGAGCTAGCTCAGGTTAATGATAATGTTTCAAGGGAATGTGAGTGTGAGCGCTGTTATAGACGGAGCCGGGACGGAGGAGCCGGATGCGGGGTTGCGGCCCCGCCGTAGGAAACAGAAACAGAGTTCAGGATATCCATCGATGAGACGGCAGTTGTCGAGTATTAACAAAATGTTGCATTGTTAGAGGATTAATTTCATACAAATCATGTAAGTAAGAGGTTATATCTAGGTATTTAAGAACAATCCATGAGTGCACAGAGCTTCTAAGAACAATGCACGATACCAAGCTCGCTCCCTTCGCAAACAGTGATCACTAACCAATGAACTTATGGGATATACGCGTATAAATGGCACGGCCACAGGCCACGCCAGCCCTACAGAGGCTCAGAGCTGTAGCTACAGGGGTTGTCGGTGGCTTGTTCCCGCCCCCTGAAGTTGTTAGCCAAGACCTAAAATGTATGGGAGAAACTGCCCGCAGTCCCGCGCCTCAACTTTCCTTAGGGATAGAGCTTAGTCACTTTTCTAGCTTCCATTCGTTTCGCGCTCAGCCTCCCTTAATTATTTCATCTCAAACTATCTTCAATTCTTTTCTTCATTTACTATCATTACCGTCTTGTTCTTTTTTGACATCAATGGCCTTGTTTTGAGTCGCTCCTTATCATTTCTTATCCTTTGCTGGCAAGATGCCATCCAAGTATCAACCCGTCTCAAGCGAAGACGTTGAGTTAGAGTCGCATTTCGATGCACCTCTGCTTGATCTGGAGCCGCTCGAAGATGACGCATTAAACGACAACGAGACTTTCCATTCTCGTACCGTACCAGTTCCTAACTATCGACTCTCGAGATGGGGTGTTCACTCGCCGAAACGGATTGTTATCTTGGTCTCGTTCCTCAAATTCGCGGTTATTTTCAGCGGCATGTTGTTGCTTTTACCCACGGCGCGGCTTGTTGAGGATATGTTTTGCCATATTCACTACAAAGATACTTCTGCCGACATCATTGATGAGATGAAATGTAAGGTGGATGAGGTACAGTCTCAACTAGGATACTTATATGGATGGAACAGCCTTATCACTTCCCTTATTGGTGAGTGTAACTCTGAATTAGCACCTTCCCACAAACCCGAGTATCTAATATTAGCCAGGCCTTGTCGTGGCCTTCCCTTATGGGATGATGTCTGACAAGATTGGCCGTAAGCCAACTGTCTTATTCTCATGGGCTGGCATCGCCGTGTGCTTCCTCTTTGCACCCTTCAGTATCAAAGCCTTCCAAGGCGAGCTTCGCGAAAAGCCTTATCTCTTGATCATGGGCGGCTTCTTCCAGATATTTGGCGGTGGTGTTCCAGTCATGCTTTCTACTCTCTATTCCATCGCAGCTGATGTAAGCTCGGAAGAAGACAAGTGAGCATATAACCACCCATTCTTTGCTGTCTGTACTAACACAATTTCCAGAGCAAAGCACTTTCTATGGCTTACGTTTGGTGCGACTTCTGGAGGTATCGTTGGGCCAGTCATTGCTGGCATTCTCATGAACAAGTACGGCCCTTGGCTGCCCATATACCTCGTTCTTCTCATGGTTCCCATCATCGTGGGCATCCTCTTCTTCCTCCCTGAAACCTTGACGGTCAACCTTAAGAATAAGAAAGCCCAGGGTGGTAAAACTGCCCCAACCACGTTCAAAGAGCACATGTTTCACGGGCTCCATGATCTCAAACAGTCACTCAAAATCCTCAAAGATCCCAGCGTTGCTATGATCATGGTGACATTTTTCGTTCAGGACGCGAGGTACACCGCTTACACGACCACCATGAGCCAGTACATCAGCAAACACTTCAAGTGGAAGATGGCTGAAGTGAGCCTGATTCTCTCTCCTCTGGGCATCCTTAACCTTATTATCCTGGCTGGCTTGCCGAGGGTTTCGGCGATTCTCATATCCCCTCGATTTCGAATGACTGCTTTTGGTAAAGACTTGTTTCTGACGCGAATTTCAACTGGAATCCTCGTCCTTGGGTCTTTCTGGCAAGGGCTCAGCCACAATGTTGTCATGTTCTTCCTTGGTCTGTTTATCGGAACATTTGGCGCAGCAGACAGCCCTCTGGCGCGCGCAACCGTCACGCACTATGTTCAGCCCGAGTTTACTGCTCGATTGTATGCTCTGATAACCATGATTCAGGTGGTAGGATCATTTATTGGAGGACCGGTTTTGGCATGGTTCTTCGATCAAGGTCTGAAAAAGAAAGGCCTATGGATGGGTTTGCCTTGGTTTTATGTTTCGTTTCTCTGTTCTCTTGCGTGGATCGCGCTGTTCTTTGTTAAGCCGCCCAAGAAGCGCTCAAGAGAAGAGTCAACGGATAATGAAGGGTACGAAACAGACGATTATATGCCTGACGACCCCCTTCGGCTCCGGTAGTATTTTGGCTGGAAGACTTGTAAAGAAAAGGTAGAATACTGCCGTGTCCTTTTGAATAATGAAAATATTTATTTATCTATTATTTACGGATACATCTAAGAGATTCCCAAATGTTCGCCTATCACTAATTAATTCTTCGTTATCGCAGCATCGCATCACGACTTTGGCACTTGGCGTAGGCTAATGCTCTTTAGTGATAGTGGACGCTTTATCCACCAGTCACCTTCTAGATAAGGGTCGTATCAAGGCACTTTTGTAAGTCGTCTCTGGCTAACAAATGATAAACCACCAGCCGAACTCATAAGGGAAATAATCATTCAATGGTGTTGATCCCTGTTGCGGATGTAATTCCCCCGATATACCCGCTATGCTTACGCTCTACTATCCAAACGCTTTTCTGTGGCATGCCCCTTGGAAATACCAACATATCCTGAAGCATACGCAATACAGAGGCGTATGAGAATAGTAGCTTCAAAGCATATATAAGTGCATATCCTTGTCGTCGACGCGGGCACAGCGTGTTACCACGCGCTCGTGCATAAGGACCTGGGGTTGGGGTCTTCAGGACGACTTATCACATTTTTGAGCTGTTGCAACTTATATTCACCAGAGCGCAGGTTTCTGGTGTCGCCTTCATCACGATGGACAACTACAATTCAACAGCTTGTGGCGATGGCCTCTTTGGACCCAGCGTCTGGACTGAGGGCTGTCGCGGCGGATTCGACTTCACTTGTGAGGGCATCACACAGTCTATCATGGCAATTTGGCTAATTATTTTTCAGTATCCTTTCAAGAGAGTATCTTGAATATCATTCCATCCGCCCTTTTTCTGGTAATTGCTGGACCACGAGCTTTCTATCTACTCAAAAGCCCGGACAGGACCAAGCGTCACGCGACCTACACGCCCAAGCTTGTACGAACCACTCTGATGAGTCTATCTATACTTACTAACTGATACTGATAGATCACTTCGGCTGTATATGCAGCTCTGCAAGTCGCTTTGGTCGCCCTGGTCCCTTCTGTAAAGCAGCTCAACACTCGATTCTCACTCGCAGCAGCTATTCTTAATCTCCTAGCTGCCTTCACAATTCTTCTCGTAGCTCATGCCGAGCACGTCAAGTCCGTCCGACCATCGTTTCTTCTTACTGCCTATTTGTTCGTCTCGCTATTGTTTGACGCTGCTCGACTTCGAACAGAATGGCTACTCTCTATCAACATTGCTTACGCAGCAACCCTGTCATGCTCAACGGTTTTCAAGTTGGCCCTATTAGTACTAGAAACAATCGAGAAGCGCAGTATCTTGATTTCAGACGACAAAGGCCTTTCCAGGGAGAGTACAAGCGGCCCCTTCAGCCGTGGGTTCTTCGTCTGGTTGAATTCACTGCTCATCTCAGGCTGGGCCACTGTTTTGACCAACAATGACCTTCCCACCATTTACGAGAAGCTATCTTCAGAAAAGCTTGCAGTTCGCTTCGGGAAAGCTTGGAAGAAAGGTATGTTTCACCGCAAGCTACCAATATGACTGTTCTGACCAAATTCACAGCAACTTCGAACAGCAAAAAGCCTTCTCTGTTCTTGACTATCATCAGTGTTTTGAGATGGGAACTTTTAGGAATAATGCCTCCTCGTATTGGAATGATTGCCTTGAGCATTTCTCAGCCTTTCCTTGTCAGCAGTGCCCTACGCTTTCTCACCATGCCAGAATCCGAGTCGACTATGAACCTGGGCTATGGCTTGATTGGCGCATTTGCCTTCGTTTTCATCGGTTCCGCGGTATGGTTTTACCCTTTTTGAAGTCAAATTCCAAAGCTGATCTCTGTAGATTCTCACAGCATGGTACGAACACCTTACATTCAGAGCTGGTGCTATGGTCCGTGGTGGCCTTATCACCATGATTTATGGCAAGATGATGAAGCTTCCTATCGATGACCTCAATGAGTCCTCAGCCGTAACCCTTATGGGTAATGATGTTGAAACACTGATTGAGAAACTGCACTTCCTCTTGGTAGAGTCTTGGGCGAACTCACTAACTGTAGGAATCGCCATGTACATGCTGGCAGCACAACTCGGCGCCGTTTGCGTTGCGCCCATTGTCACAGCAATCAGTGAGTCCATTTAAATTCCTCATCAGTTGGTGCTAACTATTCAGTTTGCCTATCGCTATCAGGCTCTATTGGCAAGATGATGGTCGCGCGCCAAATCCAATATCAGAAGGCCACCCAGAGCCGAATCAATCTCACTTCTGAGGTTCTTTCTTCTATGAAGCCGGTCAAGATGCTTGGGCTTTCAGAGCGATTCAAGGATATTGTTTCTCAGAAACGAGACGACGAGATCAACGCTGGTAAACACTACCGTCTCATCCAAGTTTGGCTCAACTGCATCAGTAAGTCTGACTTGATCCATGAGCCATTTACTTCTACTTACTATGTTAGCAAACTGCAACGTCGGTATGACCGAGGCAATTACCTTTGGTGCCTATGCCATCGCAGCCAAGCTAGGCAACGGCGAGCCCTTTTCTGCAGCCCAGGCTATCACAGCACTGTCAATCTTGAGCGTTATGATGGACCCCCTATCGAGTCTTCTTGGAAGCATCCCTGGATCTTTCTCAGTCTTTGGCTGCTTCAAGCGAGTGGAAGAGTTTCTCAAATTGGAAGAAAGAATGGATCGCCGTCAGATCCATGGTTGCTCTAAAGACTCTTTCAGTCTCTCTGATCAGCACTCGGACCATTTGCAGGAAACTTTTGAAGCAACTCCCATGAAAAGTTTACCGATCGGAGCTGATGGGACACGAATCGTGATCGCAGATGGCAACTTCAACTGGGGCGAGAAAGCTGTACTTGAGAACATTAACACTTCCTTTCCAGGGCATAAGAACGGATCGCTTACTATGCTAGTTGGCCCAGTCGGTTCAGGCAAGTCGAGCTTGCTCAAGGCAATCCTAGGCGAAACGACTTCCTCCAACGGCCATGTCTCTCTGAACTCATCCGAGGTGGCCTTTTGCGACCAGACTCCGTGGGTTATGAACGCTACGATCCGCGCCAACATTATTGCAGAGTCCAAGGGATACGATAGCGCCTGGTTTGACACAGTTGTTAATGCGTGTGATCTTACTACCGACTTGGGGCGATTGCCTGAGGGCGATCTTACACAGGTTGGCGAGCAGGGAGTTAAGTTAAGCGGAGGACAGAAGCAACGAATTGCCATTGCTCGTGCCGTGTACTCGAGGAAGCCGATAGCTATTTTTGACGATGTCTTTAGTGGACTTGACAAGGTCACGGAGCAGATCATCTTTACACAAGTCTTTGGGAAAGGTGGAGTCCTTCGAACGAATAGGACTACTATTGTCTTGGCTACCCACGCAGGTAAGTTGACATTGGTTTGTCATGCTCAGTCAACTGACGATATGTCTAGTGAACAGGTTAACCGAGTCGGATTTTGTTGTCGTTCTTGAAAAGGGTGGGAAAGTTGTTGAGCAGGGCACCTTTCCTGACCTACGCTCTGGAGGAGGATATATCCAGAACCTCGACATTTCAAGCCACGATGAGAACAACGACCAGCAGTCAACCGATACCAAGCCTACAGAAGAGGGCGATAAGGCCGAAGTCAAGAGTCAGGTCCAAGATGATCCGGTTGAAATCCCAAGTGACCGAAGTGTTTTCATGTACTATTTCAAGTCCAACGGTCTGCACAATATGGCCCTCCAGGCATTCTTCATCGCAAGCGGAGGAGTCATTACAGCCTTCCGATGTAAGTCTAAGAATGATAGAGTAAAGAAAGAACTTAACTGACTTGTGCCAGATGTCTGGATCACCTGGTGGGGTGACGGCAAAGGACGTCCCAGTACTGATCTTGGCTACTGGATGAGTATTTATACCGTCATGTCTGCGTTCGAAGGAGTCTTCATTACGCTGGCCATCGCGTAGGTTACATTATCTAAGAAACTCTGGGCTTTATTAACGATGTCTTAGGATGTTTCTCTTGGTTTGTGCGCCGGTCAGTGGAAGGGTGCTTCATTCGCGACTCCTGGAGGCTGCTATAAGGTATTCAAGTCTCACTCTCTACTGCAGTCAAAGTTTACTCACATATCTCCAGTGCACCTTTGTCGTTCCTCAACAATAGCGAGGCAGGCTCTTTGATAAATAGGTATGAAACCCACGACGAAGCTTTTGGAATTATACTGACTTTTCCCAGGTTCAGCCAAGATTTGCGCCATGTCGACATCATTCTTCCGATTGCTTCATCAGTATTCCTTTTCGGTAAGAAATCTCAGATATCACGAGACGAGATGCGATACTGACTAGTGTCTCCAGAGGTTGCCGCGTGCTTCGGCGCTGCTGGTCTTGCTATGGCGGCCGTGAGTTGGTTTGCCATCTCGATACCCTTTGTCATTGCTATTCTCGTGGCTATTCAGCGCTTCTACGTTCGAACTTCGAAGCAACTCCGTCTCCTAGAGTAAGATACACTTCTTTTCTGTGAAAACATCACATCTACTAATATCTTTTAAAGAATTGAGCATAAAGCACCCTTGTTTGGACATTTTCTCGAGACCATCAATGGCCTTGCTACAATTCGAGCTTTTGGTTGGACTCAACCGTATACTGACAAAGTTTTAACTCGTATCGACGAAGCCCAAAAGCCATCATACCTTCTAAACTGTATTCAACGATGGCTTACCCTAGTTCTGGACATGGTGGTGGCCTTCCTGACAGTTATCCTCGTTGTGTTCGCCGTCACACTTCGCGAGAAGATCAACCCTTCACTACTAGGTATCGCGCTGGTCAACATGATGAGACTTGGCACCAACATGAAGGGTATTGTTCTTAACTGGTCGATTCTGGAGACTTCGTTGGGTGCCATTGCGCGAATCCGAATGTTCTGTTCCGCTGCGCCGAATGAGCAGAAGATAGGGGAAGATAGTGAGCCGGAAGAGCACTGGCCGAGAAATGGTGGTCTGGAAGTACAGAATGTGGATGTTCAGTATGAGTAAGTCGTCTATGTGAGCTATTTTTTATCATGTACTGACTGACTCTACAGGCACACAAATGAGCCCGTCCTTCGTAGACTGTCATTCAGTATCAAGCCCGGCCAAAAACTCGGAATATGCGGCAGAAGTGGCAGTGGAAAGAGTTCCTTTGTCCAGGCTTTGCTTCGAATGGCCGAGATTACAAACGGTCGGATCACTCTTGACGGACAAGATATATCTTCCATACCCAGACATCTGATCCGTCAACGTCTGAGCTGTCTGACCCAAGATCCGTTTGTCTTTAGCGATACCATCAGAGCTAATCTCGATCCCTGCAACACATCTTCAGACGAAGAGATCAGAAACGCTCTTGAGCGAGTGGGTATCTTGGCTGTTATTCAAGCCAAGATCGATGATGGCAAGGATCCCTTGAATGAGAAGATGGACGAGAACTTCCTATCTCACGGTCAGCGACAGCTTTTCTGCCTCGCAAGAGCTCTGCTCAAGAAAAGCTCACTCCTCATCCTCGATGAGCCAACAAGCAGGTAATTCACGCCATCAGTATACTCTATGTCCCCTTTTCACTGACACCTTGCAGCGTCGATACAGAGACTGACGCAAGGATGCAAGAGGTTATCCGCACAGAGTTCTCGGACCGGACCATTATCATGATCGCTCATCGCATTGATACGCTGCTTGACTTTGACAAGGTTGCTGTGTTGGATGCGGGCTCTTTGGTTGAGTTTGGTTCGCCTCAGGAGTTGTTGGGCGATGAGGCGGGGGCTTTTACGAGGTTGTATCGCGCAAATAAGGGGACGAAGACTGATGTTTAGTAAATTTAGATGTAATATTGTTTATTGTGAGGAAGTCAATGGTAATAATGGGGTTGTCTGAGTACTGTTCTGGTGGTCCTGGAAGGGACGTTTGGTATAAGTGACACCTAGTGATACTCTGAAGGATCTCGTAGAACCAATTCACAGTTAAACCTAATCATACCCTCAGCTATAGCAGCATTACAAAGCATAAGTTCTGAGCCAGAGGTTTGCTGTCAGAGGAATAAGAACAATGCCACTCCTTTTACACTCTTCTCTACCTCTTCAACTATAGAAGTCAACTAGCTATCGCCTCTTTTCACCACTACCCCACGCATATTCCTCAGCAGTCGCACGTTTACTACTGTAAACTATGTGCAGAGGATTTATATTCTGGGCTCAGTGTCCTAACTGCAGGCTCCAGCATGAGATATCGAGAGCTTATAACCCAATGTGCGAAGAAGCCGAGAACACTGACTTGGCTACCTACGGCGCTTGCAACCAGGGTGTGAACTGGATATACCGACAGATTCGACCGACGGGGTGGCACAGAGAGAGATATTGCAGGGATTGCAGGCCACCAGCGTTGAGGCGAAGTGGGCGGTTGAGAGGGAGATTGAATAGATCGGGGAGAGGAATTCAGACTCATCGGATTGTGTTTCCGCCTCCTGGGTTGAGTATGAACTTGGATCCGTAGTAGAGATATCCTGAGAGAACAATAAAGATACTTAGTAAGAACATACTTTGACGAGGACCCTTAAAAATTGAACATATTAATACTATGTTCTAAATAGCAGTTCATCAAACGTGAAGAATATCTAGCATGAACACCACAGCAATATTCAACTATATCTCACTTGTTCTTTTTCTAAAACTGTTCACTGGCACATTTCGTACAATGTTATTGTCCCAAGTTTATCGTTCGTGTTTAACTCCAAGTAATATTCAGGCGAAGATGCTGTATTCTCTTAGAACAATCAAATGAGCCGCTGTTCTTGATAATACTGATATTCCCCGTCACTTTAGCCATTACTACTATATAACAGGTAGATGCTCCCATATCCTCCAAATTCATATCATCATCTTCCCTACCCAACTGACTAACCAAGACTCACAGTATACCCATCTAACTAACCATTGCAAGCAGACCCCATGGACAAAATGAGCGAAAGCAAGATTTGGCATCGCCAGTGCATTTCATGTAAACAAGTCGATCTTGTCCAATACACAGAGAATGACGGAAAGTCTTCAGTTGTCCACACCACTTGTCCTGATAAGTCTCTTCAAGATACAAACGCCAACTACAAGTGTCGATCGTGTCGCTCCAAGATGACTCTTGAGAGCCTGGAGATCCAGCTCAAGATGATGGAGGACCAAGGGCACGGCCGTAAGTAGGCTGAAAACTGGGGTGAACAACGCAACGTAGTATGCACATTATCCGTGTGATCTGAAGCCTTTGGTTCTATCATCATCATCATCACACAGCACTAGAGTATAGTATCACAAGTTGCCTTGTATATCCATCCTTCAGTCCCAAGTTTAACAGATTTAGGTCGTAAATACACAAAGATTTTAGTGCGTCTCAATGAGAAATGAGCGTTCCTCGTGCTGTAAGGTGAATCAGTGAATGGCCGCGCGTCGAGCCGTTTGTTGTAAGTGAATGAGTATCTTCCGTCCTTTGTCAAGAGTATAAGTAACACCGTTCTTTGTCTCTTTTTTTCCTCTTTCACTTTTCCTCCTTCACTTTAATACTTGTAATCCATAAATTTACCCCTCTATTATCTTTATAAACTCTCTCAACAACAACAAACCAAACTATATCGATATCTCATGCCCCTCTACCGAAGCGCCTCAACACCAACACTCTATAGACAATAGCCCAGCGACATGTGCCAGACTCTCGTAATATACAGGACCTGCGCCCACTGCGAAGTACAATACCGCCTCTAGGAAACGGCGACATTTCTTCCAGACTGCGACGACTGCGGCATCTATGGAAGAGGCGCGTGCAACGACGGTGTGACATTGGCTCTTGAGCCTCACGCCGAGGAGTACAGCAGGACGTATGTTTGCGACTATTGCCAGTTCTTCAAGCGCCGTCATCAAGCAATGCTATGGCTCTCGCGGGTGCGCCTGTGGGATTGGTAGTAAGTTGCTAGCCTGTCGGTATTGGACTCCTGGCGGTCGCATAGTAAAATAAGATATCAGTATCGTCCTTCGATTATTCTTTCAGTTTGTTACGGTCAAGAACGGATAGACCTAAAACGCTACGGCTGGCATCCGTCGATCAAGGCAGTAGATTGTCTATGAGTATGTTGAACCAAGTTGTGGACTGTCTGAGTAAAGACACTGACTCCTGGGCTTCTAAGGGAACTTTGTCCATACTGAGTAAGGGAGCTTGATGCTTGCACTGTTACAAACCGGTGGGCTCGAGAACCAGATGCATATCACGCTTGCTCTGATTAATTATGCATGAAGCTTGGAAAAGTACTTTTTCATGAAAGCAGTGTAGGAAACACAATATGATCCCGAATGGTTACATGATAAGGGGAGCACGAAGAGCACCCGGAGGACTTAGACTTGGCTTAATACTTAATAACATCTTCAAGTTCACCTTACAATTGTTCGAAACTGGTCTTGGTGATGCAATCATGCCATAACCTGAGAATCAAGTCATTAATGGGAATTAGACTGATCCGCGTCGTATCTAAATACACTCCTGACCTACCCTATGGAAGATACAAAGGTTCAGACAATTCTCATAACAGCGCACTACATATCTACCATTTAATCCTAACGGTTTCTATACTTCTCTTTCTCTATGGGAGGTGCCAAAGTTCAACCTCCTGTGGCACATGTCGTTACACCGTTGTTTGCATCTTCACGTACTCATTACTTTATACTTTGTATTCAAAACAAATTATGTGACAGTAATGCTATTTGACTCTTGTTTACAAACCCCAAGAATAAACGCCTTATCAATGATTAATATACATATATGTGACATGTAAAAGCAAGCTCCTATTCCCTACTGGCAAAATCCACGACATGCACAGTTTCCGTCTCTTACTCCTTATCATGGCTGCTTCGCGTTATCGTAACATGTAAGAGAGATCCGGTAGATCTCGAAGGATAGTTGCGACCATCTCGTCGTCTTTAGGAGATTCCACATCTGTTTGTGGTCGCGGGGGGACAGGTAGTGACATCGGTCGTGGCTTTTTGGGTGAAGCCGTTTCTTTCAATACGTCCATAGACGTGGTAGGAGGTGGCGGGGTTTGACTTGCAAACAACCTGTCTTCCCTTGGTTTGACTGGCTTGTTGGAATCATCGAGCAGTCCCAAGCCCCAAGAGTCCCATGTATTGACTCTATCGGCAACTTGGATGGGGGGTTTTGCTTGATTTGACATCAAGTCTGCAGATGCAAACCCGTCCAGTGGCGAGAGAGAAGTCCCCATATCGATCGTAGTGGACCGTGAGTGGGTAGGCAATGCACTCTTCCCAGGTGAAGCACTCATATCAACCGTAGTCGACCTAGAATGGCTTGGCTTTACGCCTTTAAGTGATGGGAAATTCCAGATGCCCGTAGGCGGTTGAGACTTATTAGGCGCAAAATTTTGCGTTGGTACAGATAAGGTGTCCATAGAAGGTCGACCGTTGCTTATTGTCTCTATGTCGGGCGTGCTCTTGAAAGCATCACTCGCAGGAGATTGGGTAGCGATCATTGGTTTGCTGGCATTTCCCTTGTCGGTCGAATTGGAATCAGCAATCGCATCCATCGAATTGAACCCGCCGTTTGTATTGACCGTTGGCGACGAAACCATATCTCCCCAGTCATCATCATCCTCCTCCTCATCTTCGCCCCATCCTGCATTTGTCGGGGGCTGCGCGAGTGGAGACGTTGGGGCTTGTGAGACCGAGACTGGCCTTTTTGTTGATAGAAGTGAAGGAGGATATATAGGGGATTGAGGTTCAGAAATCGTAGGGGAGGGAGGGAAAGGTATAGGTTGTGTTATAGAAAGAGGTCGGTTTGTAGGTTCCAGCGGTATAGGCTTTATAGGAGATGGGGGTTCCTCGATAGTAGGTGGCTTTGCAGGAAGTGATATAGGTGGAGGTCGTGTCGCCGAGACGGGAGATATCTTGGTGGCCTCGACAGGTGACGAGATTTCTGCTGCTGAACTCGGCTCGCTCACATTCGAAGTGCGAGGCGCAGAGGGTGGTGCGGCCGCAGTTGACGAAGGAACCGGCTCACTACCCCATCCAAATGCTGCTGCTGTAGGCGACGCCACTGTCCCCTTGGAAGCCACCGAAGTATGTCTCGAGTGGTTCTTCCGCGCCAATAGTTCAGAGATAGAGACTTCTGTTGTGGGCGCTGCTGAATCCCAGTTGAAGATCTTTGCACCCGCAGCACCACCTCTTCGACCAAGCACAACACGTCCCGTGATCGAATCCTCCTCCATCCATCGTCTCACAATCCTGATCGACTGTTCGCGTACCTGGGAGTTCTGCCACCCAACGCGCACATAATTCTCATCATCTCCCATGTTATGTTTCCGCATTGAGCCAGGTCTTGACAAGAGATACCAAGCTTTGCGCTCCGAGATTGAGGTGAAAGTGTCGTCGATGATAACATCAGGGATCGGCTCTGGGGCTGGAAAGGAGGCTTCGACCGAGGGAAAGAGATCATCCAACTTAGACAAGTCGATTGAGAAAGGCACTGACGGCGGTTTTAGTCGTGCTGCTATTGGCTCTTCGGATGTTTCTACCTTGGTCGCAGTCTCCAACACCAGCGGCTGCTCTTTAGCAACTTCCACTTGTGGTTCCTGAGTCTCACCCTTTTGGGGATCCTGAGTAGACGATTCGAAATCTGACCATGAATCCGATTCGGTTTCGCCTTCATCGCTCGTATTGGACGACTCTTTAGTCACTTCCTCCACTCCATCGTTCCCTTCTGGGGGTATTTCTTCAATCTTGGCTTCGGGTTTTGTTTCTTGTGTTGGTTCGGGCTCTGACTCCTCCTTCACTTCTTGATCCAGCTTCAGCTCCTCATCAGCATCAGATTCAGATTCAGATTCAGATCCAGGCTCCGACTCGAGTTCGTTCTTCACCTCTAAATGTTCTTCCAGCTCTTCCGGCTCGCCAGCTCCAGTGTCAGATGTGACCTCCTGGAACGACAAAGCATTATCAGAAACCTTTCGCATCGCCGGATCAACCGGCGAAACGCTATGGGTGCTCTTAGCCATATCATCGAACAATTCCACTAGTTCGGAAACCTTGTTCGACGGTTGTCGTAGCGGTGCCGGTCTCGTTTCAGGCTGTAAGGCTGGCCTGGGTTCGCCATCGGGTGAACCTGGTCGACCCTCATCTTCGCTCGGCAGGGGACTAATGCTCCTGTGTGAAAGGGCTGGATCCGGTCGCTGCCAGATGTCTGCCGCGTTCTCCTTAAGTGAACGAACGGGAGATGGTGTCCTCGTCGCAACCCGTCCTATAATCGGTCGCAGTCCTTCACCAAGACTTATTGCCGAGTCTCCATTATCTTCCTTCCGCACCCGTGCCATATCAAACGTCGGTGTGCGTCCCCATGAATCCACCGACGGCGATGGTAACCTCGAACCAGCAGGACTACCCCCTATCGGCCGCAAGCCAGGACTTCTTCCCCAGCGCGGACTGCTGTCCTTGCCCGCCTCGGCCCAGCCGCCCCAAGCATCGTCGTCTTCGTTCCATGGCGTGTTGGCAGGTGAAACGCGCTGCGAGCTTCCCGAATGGTCCGCGGTGAAATGCGCATGCGGCGGCGGCGCGGGAAGGTCTATCTTCGGGGGCGAGTCGTTGGTCCAAGGAGAACCCCACGGATCCTCCATACTGGGCGAGCGCACATATCGCGCTGCCAATGACGGGATATGTCGAGAGATTTAATGCGATCGAGAAGGTTTATTGTGGTCGAGTTGTCATTGCGTGTAAGTTGAGAGAATGTGGTGGGATAGATCGAGAGCTTATACAGCTCCGAGGCGCAAGAGGCGAGCTGCGTAATCGCCAGCAGGACCTAGGCAGAAGGATAGTTCAGCGATCGAGCGCCACCAATCAATTAGATACAGAAACAAGTTGGCTGGTGGCTTGAGTATCGAAACGAGGCGTTGAGCTTATCGGTATGTAGAATAAATCGTAAATGTTTTGTGTTTTGAGGAATGAAAACGGTTCTAGAAACACGTCCCCTTCTATTCGTGGATCCCCCCCAATCTTCAGGGGCACGCGTTCCCCCAGCTTCAAGGTTCCAATTTGGCCCCGCAAACTCCGTCATCGTCAACAGCTTTTAAATGACCTTCTCCCTGCATTAAACTCTCAAAATAGCCACTCACGTCAGTTTCTTCGTTGCATTAATTCCTATAAATTGGTATTCTCTTCACCAGCTTGAATAAGCATGAGGGTATCTACTTTGGATCTACCGCATCAATGTCAGATACCGCGATATAAGTCTTGCTATAAACTTGTAAAATCGGCCCTCAACCTCCTTTTCCCCTCCCAGTAATTCCATGAAGCAATCCCATACAGACCATACACTCCAACGCTAATATTCAACCAAAAATAAATCATGTTGTTCCGATTCTTCCAATATTCATGAGGTAATCTCATGTCCACTCTTCAATGCCCATTCTTTGGATCGTCCTTTGCCAGTCTTCTCTGCCACCATCTCGACCGTATTCTTCACCTCGGTACGAGACACATTGTCCCGAAATTGGTGATAAAGGAAGTCGATAATTCCAACCTTGGACAAAGCTTTGTTGTTCAAAATAGCCCTCTTCACGTCATCAAGAAGCTCCGATTTGACGAGTTTCAGGGCATCACCACCGGTGTTGCTGTTACTGCCTGTCAATGCTGAGAATGCATTGGAAGGTGTGGGAGGAGGAGGCATCTTGTTGGTGGTCTCGGATGCTGGTGTAGGTTTGGTAGGTTTAGTTATCTTTGTCTTGATCTCAGGTTCCCAATACTGCGTTGAGAACGGATCAATGCCCCAGGTTTGCTCAAGTCCATCTAGAGTCAGTTAGTTGATGCTCCATCTCACACACATTCAACCACACTTACCATGTATGAACTCCATCTTGTGTTCGTAAACAACCTTGTTCGCCACTTGATTTCCATCCTCAAAACAAATCCCAGTACTGTTCGGCTCCAATGTGTTTGCAAAGAGTCGTCGGGATAGACCAGCATCTTCCGAGTCATCAAGAAATCCATCCATGTCGTCTTCATCGTCCATTTCCTCCTCATCGTCGTCAACATCGAGATCCTCGCCTTCTTCTTCTTCCTGCCACTCAGCTTCTGAATCATAATCGTAATCGAGAGGCAGTCGTCTTCCTGTAGGTTTGCGGGCTAATTGGCTCATATTGGCTTTTCCGAGGGCAAAAGGCTTGAAAGTCATCGTTCCGTAATAGGGTGGTCGAACATCTTGCGAGAACGAAATAATTTTCATGGGCACTTTGGAAAGCATTTGGCGGGTGTCTCGCATGATCTTATCAGCATGCTCTGGGCCAGCGTTTTCTGCCTTTTCTGTCTCCTTGTAGACTTGTTCCATAATGTGGTTGACGGGATGATGGAGCATGCCTCGCTTGGGAGGTCTGTTTGGTAGGGCGAAAAGACGAACAGGATCAAATTGGGAAGCTTTCAATTCATCCTTTCGCTGACCAGTGATACATTCGTCAAGTATTCTCGACTTAACCTCGCGTGTTTCCGTGTCCATCGCTGGTCCAATATGGGCAACTCGTGTGTGTTCCTTGATAAAGAAAGGCTTGAAGAGCTTCTCGTACTCGGTTTTCGAATCCTTGCTGATATCTTTGGCTGGACTTCCATCCCCTGGCGTAGCATTCTTAGCTTGGGAGTTGTCGGTAACCTTCTTGGGGGTGTTTGGAATCTTGAAGAAAGCGCCGAGTTTCCGTTGCTGGCGAGCCTTTTTTGCTTCTTCCTCCTCCTTTCGCTTCTTCTCTTCGTCTTTGCGTTTCTTTTCCTCATCCTTCTGACGTCGCTTATCGTCACGTTCTTTGACTTTGGCAGCCTTCTCCTCTTCAGCCTGGGCTTTCTCGACTAGACGTAAAGCATGCTTCTTGTCACGTTCCTCCTTCAATCGAGCAGCCTCCTTCGCCTTTTCCGCTTTTTCTGCCTTTAGTGCGGCTGCTGCCTTGTCCTTCTCGGCTTTCTCCTGAGGGGTCAATTTCTTTCGCTTGGCTAGGGTAGTCGCCGATTTAGATGCCGAGGTAATGGTGGCTTGTGTTGCTTGCTTCTTGGAAGGCGTATGGGGTGAAGGAGAGATGCGTGGAGGAGTAGAAGGGCCAAGCTCACTAAGCTCTGACGATGCTGGAGAGGTGGCTCTTTCTCCATTTACGGCAGAAGGCAATGCTATAAATAGTCAGTATAGATGAGAACAAGCAGTTAGTCCCTACTCACAGCAATCCCCATTGGTTTGTTCTAAAGTCGACAGTGGCACCTTGACATCTTCAGAAGCTTGAACTCCACCATCTTCGCCTGCGAATTCATCGTGACTTCTCTTGCGGCCAGTAGCCTCAGATTCCTGAATGTTCGTTGAGAGTTCGTAGAGAGGCATTGTGTGTTTGTTCGGAGCTCGATGGCTCAATTGGGCTTCGCTCGAGGCGATAGATGTGCGATAGATGTGCGATTTGAGCGGTATGCGAAGTGTAGGATTAATATCGGTCGCGAGGCAGGCGCTTTCCAGGTATGGTGAAAAGAAGGGAAATCATGTGATAAAGGGCGGATGAGAAGAAGTTTAAGGAAGTCACAAATGATCACTTCATTCGAAAATGCTTCTTGCGCCTTGAAGCCTTCGATCTGTTGATTGAGGAAAAAGTAAAGGTCTCTTTGGTAGGTGCACGAGGTCCGCAGGTGGCATGAAGCATCCAAGTGGAAAAGGAAGCCAGGTCCCAAAAGGGACCAAAGTTAATGGAAACGCGCGCTCAACGCGTTATTGGCGCCAAATTGGCAGGCGGGCAATTTACGCGTCCCCTCTTTATCGGTTGACATGGTGAGCAGGAAGGCAGGCACGACAGGGAAGAAACGGCTAAGCCTCGGCTGACAGGAAGTCAGGAATTCAGGGTCTGTGGCTGGTGCCCCTCTAGGCCTAGGTCATCGACCCGCAAGTGCCTGGATCACCATGCGATTTCTGCTAAGATTGCCATCCATCCCTGATCCTCCAACTGAGAATAGGGATCCCCAGTGATATCATTAAGGGGCCGATCTCGTAACAGCAACCGAGCACAAACCATTGGCGCAGCCAAGGGACCTGAATGGCCTTAATCCTTACAGTGTGGAACATCCAGTCAGGCTGACTGACAACCCTGATCTTCGCTGAGCGGTAACGTCACTGGGTCATTGAGATACAGAGGAGTTTCCCGATGTGACAACACGAGAGGCAGCCGATCGTAATTACATGATTCCGATCCACAGAAAACTCAACTTCACAAGACACAAGGGCAGAAGACACAATGGGTTGGTTGAAGCCCCCTGTTCTCAGGTGAGATCAAGGGGTGGTATCTCATTAAAGCATACTTTTATCTGGAATCCTGGCTACGGAAGCAGAGGTATCTTTCAAACAGTATCCCGTATATCCTTCAACGACAGTGGAGTCCCCGCTCCAAATGCACAGCTTCGTCCATCCAAGGTGTAGAGATGACAGCAAGAGATTGGAAAAGGAAACTCGTAGGGTGTATAGACAAGGACCCTGAACGACAGGAGATCTTGGATTGGAGAGTAAACGACTGTAAAACAATGCTTGAACGCCGGCCAATGCAAGCCACCTCTTATTCCGAGGTGGGCTGTAACAAATGAAATAAAGAAATGTCCTCTTGGCTCATCGTGTCATAATATAGTAATTCAAAGCCAGTGGAGGGGTGTGTATCGCACGAAAATCATCTTAATCGGGGTTGGCGATGAAAAGACGGCCGGAGCTAAGGGTTGAAGTTCGCTCATCGACACTTCCACGTCTCCTCAGCTCATCAGCCGACTTCACACTCTTCTCTCGGGTGAGGGCCGAGTACATGAGTGAGTTGGAAGCCAGTCGGGGTGCGTTGCTGGTCAGCTCGCCCACGTTGTCGGCACGCTCGCCACTGCTGCCACTCGCCATGCTGTGAGCCTTGCCGCTAGCACCATCGTTGACGATAACTTCAGGTGTAGCTTCCACCAAACTGCCAGTGCGCTCAGGAGTGTCGCCAGGACTCCACCTTCGGCTGTGCTGGCTATGTTGGCTACCCATGCCGCCGGATGTGCGGTAGGCAAGGTTTCGACGGCTGCTAGCTGTGCTGCTTCGTCCGCTACTCCCCGTTCTACGGTGATGAAGGCGGTTGCTGCCAGGCACATTCTCGTCTTCGCTGCTCTCAGCCTCAACTTCAGTCGCGCTCAGTCGCATGGGCACACCGCCGACACCAACGTGGTTCTCGCCAGGGGCATAGCCAACCACAGGAGTCTTTCCGTGGTGTCGGATCTTGGGAATCTTCGCGGCTACCTTATTTGTAGTACTGAGACCGGTGCTGGTTCGTCCGGTGCCGCCAGAAGTACCGCTGCGTCCACCAACAACCTCTAGGGTTGCTCGCATCTTTGCAGCACGTTGTTGAGCAAGGAGTCGTGGGTCCTCATATTGCGAACGATCACACCAAACGGTTCCCTTTTGTTTTCGGAGAAGGGCAACATAGCTGGAGGGTTGGCTGCTGGCCCCGCCTGAGCGACTTGATGTCGAGCGACGGAGCTCAGATTGTGAAGAAGAGCGATAGGCGGCAGGGGGGGGGAATACTCGATGAGGTACTAAAAGTGCCAACAGAGGGTGAGCGGCGGCTCTGCGAGAAATTGGGGCCCGGTTGGGCGAGGTGAGAAGTTTGAAATTGCATGGGAAAGGCGGTTGAGGAGGTTGTTCGTGTTCGTGAATGTCCGTAGCCAACAGTCTGGTCGATAGGCCCTCTCATGGCCTGGGGTTCCAGCATGATCAAGGGCGACGTCCAAAGGGGGACGTCGAGGACTTTATGTGTCCCAGGCTCGCGAATTCGCGGGTAGTGGTAGTGGCGTTTGTCCGTCGGGCGCGGCTGGGCGGTTTATTGTAGAGTAAGAGGGAGCCGAAAAAAGTGAGACTGAGCTGAGTAGCGCGCCAGAAGAGCGGGGCGTTGGAGCCAGAAAGACAGAGGGTTGAGGTGACGGAAACAGTGAAAAGATGAGGAGGCCCGAGTATGGGTATCGAGTATCGTGAGTGTATGAGGAAGAGGTATATATGTGACAAGGTGGGCTGGGATTTGGCTGTTGTTGTTTTGTTATTATGTGTAGATAGAGTCGGGTATGAGCTGAGAGAGAGCGGGCAGAAAAGAGCAGAGGCACTGACAACCTAAAGAAGGATTTCCGATTTCCTTCAGTGAGACGTTGCAATGGAGGGGAGCGGAGCTAGCCCGTCAAGTGGATCCTAACAGTGGGTGGTAGCCTGCAGCTGTTAGCGGGTACTTTCTAGTTTCTACTTCACATACCCTTGCACCTCTATGATGTCGAATGGAGATCGTCGACTCTTGGCCGCCGAGAGCAGCGGTCTTGGGGTCTTGGCCCATTGCAAAGGATCATTCATTGCAAAAGACCATTGCCCTTCTGAAATGGGAGATATTGCAGTAGACGTTTAAGGGTTGGGTTAGCCCGCAACAAGAATACGGTATTGGAATTTGAGCATGTTTCGCAATAGATGAATGGCTCACGGTGGTGGTAAAAAAGAGTCAAGAAACCTCCACTGCTAGCAAAGCGTGTAAGCCGTAGCTGGAGCTTAGAGCTGGTCCTGGGAACGGAAAAGAATGTGCAACATTGGGGCGTTCTCTCGAAAACGAGTTTGCGACTCCAAAATCTTTACATTCGTGCCATTATTGACGTCTCCCATTGTCGCAATTGCACTGAATTCTTGGTTTTTGCGGCCAATCCTCTATCCATTACCTTGGTCTGCAGCATATTTGTTGGCACGTTATTAAAATGCCGGTCCTTAATCGCCCATCATCAACCTCTTACAGCGCCTGAACGCCTCCCACACTCTCCAGTTTCAACTCCAACAAGCTACGGATACTCGTACGTACGTACTAGTTAGAACAAGTCAGCCCTGGCGTTCCCCCAACGTGGGCCAGCTGAAGGCGCACACCCACCGAGGAAGAGCCTGGCGACCTCTCCAATCAGACCCTGCAATCGACTGTGATGTCATGTTCTTGCATGCAAGTTGTAGTGGGCACTGAGCGGACAAACAGACAAGCCCGGGCCTGGTCTGGCCTCGCCGGGCTGGCTAACTGGCTGGCTGGCCGGCTGGCTCCAACTGTCTCCATAAGGCCGCAGCCGCTTCAACTCGGAGACGCCTCTGTTTTTTTTTTGTCGTCTTTTCATTAGTTTATGAATTGGAGTTCTCGACTATGCTAAGCGGCGTTTGTAGATAAGCGACAGCACGGCCAAATTGATGAATTGATTGATGGATGCGACAAAAGCGGCCGATGACATTTACCGTCTTGTAGCCGACCATGGCTTGCATTGAAACCGTCCATCCGTCGTCTTGTGATTCGGAGCCTGCCATTGTCGCTGAATAGAGTGAATCAATCACTCATTCACTCACTGGAACTCGCAAACGCACACCCCTCGCCCCTGTAACAAATCTGTAGCGCGCTGACAGCCTATGCGTCAAATGGCATGCCACGCCTACCGGGGAGACATGCTTGCAGGACGCTGACAAGACCGATAGTCAGGTCAGAAAATAGTAGGGAATTTCGATAAAGATGACTAAAATACTGAAATGCTTAGACTATCTTTAGGGCCGCAGATCTGATTGAGCTTTTATGTCTCCTGCTTTAACAAGAGCTTGGATTACCTCTTATTTTCTAACCCGCCTGTCAGGGTGATGTGAGCACCTCGAGACACTGACCTGACATGGGATGGGCTCCTACCGCAGACTTGCAGTAGTGCATGAGCCGCGCCAAGAACTAGGTAGGCTTCCTCCCAAGCGCTCCGGTGCACCAAGCTCTTTATTAGATCCAGATACAATACAAGGGGAGGTTACCTTGTTGTGCCGCAAACCACCAGAGACAAAATCCCGCGAGCAAACCTAGATCCCCATATTCAAACTCTAGGTCGGTGCCCAGTAACTTCCATAAGCGGTTGGTTTTAGAGTCCAACTATGTTACTGTATTGGCTGGCGCAACGGTGGTGTGGTTCATCTTTGTTAATAAGCTGTATCCAAAGAAACCATTCGAACAGCATAACTCCTTGCGCATGTGCCCCATGTTCAGCAGTATCGTAGGAATTCGATAACAAAGAAACATCATTATTGGTAACACAGATGACCCAGCGAATGCATCAACCAGGGTAGCACGACGAGAGCCGATGTGACCTCTTGAGAAACAGTCATGCCGCCTGAGAAAGACGAAGGACGCCTTGGATTGGTTGTTGATGGAAGCGTCGGTATGGTGATTCATTAATACCAAGCCTCAGATGCACTGATGTTGTTACTCCAGATAAGGGAGGGTAATGAAAGCATGCCAATGAGAGATTGCAGGAACCAAGATTCCACTGAGACACTTTCAGGCACAGCACGTTTTTGGCCTTTTGTTGAAAAGAGGTGAAGCCAAGCATTAAAAAGAGGTGTAGAGCAATAGCTACTGGATGGACCCCGAAAGGCATGGACTTTTAACTAAATCCCCATGTGATCCAATCGTTCATAGAAGCGAATGTCCTAACCATGCATGCGGAAAGTTCCTAGACTGAAATGGGGATTTTGTCAAGGCGGTTTCGATTTAGCCAATCTCAAGTTCTTAACGCCCAGGGCCCTTGAAGGAACTTTCTAGAGATCCGGTGCAACCTCTCTGTGCCATGCAAATGCAGACGGCCGCTGTACAGATAGATACATACATACAGCACGAGCACATGCATTGTACGTACAGTAATGGCCAACCCATTGCCCGGGACCGGCATGCGAATCTGGCGTGTGAAGCATCTGCAGATGTGGGGGGTGATGATTATTACAATAAGTGGCTTTCTGCCTGTCGGCGACTGAAGCCACCAACATGTACTCTGCAGTGTATACTCTGTAGCAGAAATAGCTTCAATAGCACGATGGCTATTGCTCCTCCTCCTCCTCCTCCTCCATACCTTGGCAAATAGATACCGTACCCTTGCAGAAGCGGACGATGCCACCTTGGCAAGACCTTACTCAGACCATACGTGGAGTTCATGTAAGCGCAGCGCAGCGCGTGCTTGAAGCCTCCCTACAGATTGGACCCTTGTCTACTCCGTAGGGAGAGGTGAGAGAATGTGATGAACTGATGTCTCCCCCGCTAGCAATCTACAGTACGTAGCAGCAGTACAACCCTCGCTTCTGGGATATCTTAAGCCTCTCCTCTTTTCCCCGTCAACTTGCCTCTTCTCCCCCGCTTTGTCTCCTCTGTCAAAGTGATGAGACTTTATTTGTCCAAGCCCTTCTTCCACTAGGTCTTGGAAGCTCTTTGCTGTAACCCGACTGGACACGTCTCTCTGCAAGCCCTTATCTTTTCGTCGAGAGGCTTTTAAGCCTACCTTAAGCTTGAGCCTCTGGCTGTTCAGCCCACTTTGCCGTGCGTCTTTTCAGCTCCGTTCAACTCCGGGGGACTGGGGAAACTGCAGCTTTTGCAGACCGGCCCCAATATCAGATGCAAATGCAAGGATGGGGTGGTGGGGCATTCACCGTACAGTCACTACAGTAGGCAGAAATCTGTCAATGGCTTCGTTCCTCGACGTCTGATTCATCAGATCATCATGCTTTTTGCATCAAGTCACCAACGACTAAAAACCCCCCATGTCAAAGGTGTCGATGAAGCCACCGCCTGACATATCAGGTAACGGATCGGATAATCATTCCCATGGTTTCTCACACTGCAATTGCTAATAATTATGCGACTGAAGAATATTCTTCAAAAATTAAATCGCGTCATATGAGCGCCAGCGGCCAGCCCTACTAACCTGACGCTTCCCTTTCCTCTGGCCCGCCTCTCATTCGCACGTAGCTCAAGTTGTCATCGACAAAAGAATCCTCCGAAGCCACCAGAACAACTAACTTTCTACTTCAGCGTCCGTCCGTTCTCGCTTGGCTTTCGCTCGTAAGCGCGAAGTCTCCACGTGGGGTGCCATTCGGCCATGGCCGTGTGGGCTTAAAAGTGCAAGGGAACCACCAACGCACGAACTGCAAGCTATAAACTGCAGTACGAGTACGTAGCAGAAAAAGAAAGCCTGATAGTGTCGCCCTTAGCCGAACGTTCTTTGAGGTGAGGCGTGGGGAAAAGGGCCCCTCGAGAGAGTATGTATTCAACAAAAAGCTTTGGGGCTCTAGACTAATCCACATATCGAACCGATTGTTCCGACTTGCCAAGAACAATTGATACTCGAAACTGCATATGCAATGCATGTTCAACCTCTTTCAATATTTGATACTTGACATGGCAAGGCTGTCATGATTTGGGACCTCCGGGCCTGACCTTGTCTGCCATGACCGCCACAATGCACTTACACGTGGAGGTCCTCACTGTTTCTACAACGCCTATCGAGTTCATCTGCATAATACGGAGTGCGGATAAATCTGGTGGCAACCGGAAAAGAAAGAGAGAGAAAAGCCCTCGTCTCGGTCCTTTGCAATGGTTTTGGCGGCACATCTGGTAGCCGAAAGTCTGGAGCGTTCGAAATCTGCCCACGCCGCTCCAACGAGCGCATCAAAACTTGAAAAGCCTTGAGCTAAGTTGGCGCCTCAAGCTTAAAGCACTCAAGGAGCCGCAATGGATGGACGGCTAGAAATGAGCTCATTGGTCTGATAGCTTTGGCCTCTGACTGGGCTCTTAGCTCTTAGTCTACATCACGCGAGGCAAGTCCACTGCCGTGGTAGCGCAATCGGAGCTCTTTATTTCGCTTTTATGTATGTGCCTGAACATCCGTGATAGCTTCCTTGCTTTCCCGCTCGCCAGTGCTCGAGCCTCGAGGGGGCTCCACAGACACTACCATCCTGGTCGCCGAAGATTCCGCCAAGATCTAATCTTTGCCGAATCAAACATTACTTGAGTGAACGAAGCCGCATTCACAACTCTCGATCTCGATCTCGATCTTATGGTCTGATGTCCATGATTTCCCGGTTTTTATGAAACTTCTAGCAATCTTCCTACCGGAGAATCCTTCCGTGGCCAGTCGCAATCCCTGCTGCAAATCAAATTGACTTCATATCTTGTTAATTGCTACTCCGTACTCAGCATTGATCAATTCGACCAGGCTGGAGGGTTTTTGGCGAAGCTGCACGCTCTTTGGCAATGCTACGTACCTATGTCACACGGCGTCATGAAGTATTATCTGCCGGCCAGTCTCAGCCCTTTGGGAATGATACCGATCAGGGTGGTGTGCGGGAGGCTTACCTTGCCCATGTATCGAGTATTGACAGGGTATATGCCAAGCTGTCACCGATATCAGACCTCTGTTATAAGACGCAGGGCTCTGTGCCTTCGGACAATGAGGTACGTTTGTAGTATCGTGAGTGCACCACTTGCCCCTTCAAGCAGGTTTAAGGTGACAATGAAGAAATCCCTCCGAGAGAATAACAAGTTTTGATGTTTGCATTGAACAATTGAAACGGATTCACGTTTGTGAGTTATTAGTAATGCTCACCAAGGTACTCTGGACTTTGAGTAAACTTAATCGGATTGACGTCCAGGAACAAGGAACCCCAAGACCGAATTCAGCTCAAGCAAGCAGGCCTAGTCGTGTGTTGCTCTCTGACTGGCCCTCCAAGTGCTCATCCAGGCCTCAAGAATTCAAAGTCCAGTCTCTTGGCAGCAGTGACACACCGTCACACACGTTTCGCCCGATGCACCGGGGATGCTGTTCCGCTGAAGCTGAGCAAACGTTCATGCCATGGATAGCGAGCCACTTGTCAAGCCTTGGTACGTGCATATGGTAGCTCGGCTTCGAGGTACCGATCTTCACTAGCAACTGAAGCTTGAGCCTTGCAATTCGCCAACGAACTGTCTACCGATTTGTCTCGGATTGATGCGAGGCAGTCGCAGAAATCACACCGATTGATTAATAGTGTGGGTGAACGGTTGCGGGGAAAGATGGTTCTGTTTCTCGCAACCGGCAACCAAATTGGCTTGTTCTGGCTTCTCATTCGTTCGTGTCTTCCACTGTTGTGGTGATAACATGTCTATCATGATGCAAATGTTTGTTTACTTTATGCAAATGTGACTCGGGTATCGGCAACATTGATTGTTCCCAGATAAAACATGTCGATCAAAACAAAGACCGTCCTGCGTTCATAATGATGTAGTTTCATTTTCTGGGTGCATTAATTAGGCCCTATTATTTGCCGGCCGGATTGTAAATCCCAATCTCCATCTCCTTGTCATGGCAATGGATTGTTATGCGACCGCCGAGTCGTGGGTCTGGTCTGGCCTCCACCCGCAACCTGTCTTTTTGTTTAGACAGTTTCACATGTAATAATGAAGTCATCGAGTCGCTACCGACAGATCGTGATCGAATGAAGCTAATTTTTAGTGTGTTTCTAGTTTGAACAACTCCAACATCCACAAGACGACCAAGCGTTGAGCCGGTCCTTGGCGAAGGAGTTTCGTGTAAGTCGGGAAGCTAGCAACATAAAAGCCGCTCCATGGCAGTAAATAAACCCCTCAAATGTCGATTTCATGAGGGAAATATTCTCAGAGCATTAACTCTTTGCAGTTTGAGTTCTACACTGAAACACCTGAGGATGACTGACCTACGAATGGCGTTCGCACCCGAGAACACACCTGCAGCTATACACGGTTGGCTTAACCAGCGCGAAGTCTTTTATAATATTACCCAATTATGTGCAAATAGTATACTAATGCGGGTACATCCAATGTATGTAGCATGCGTATCATTGATACTGCCAGAGCTTCGTGATTCTTACACGTTCGTATGTAAATTCAATTCCAGCTTCTTGTTCCATATCAAATGGGGGCTATGCTGGAGGACCACCAACCACTATAAATACTTTGTGGTACATATCCAAGTCTAGGACAACTCAAGGAGTGGTTTCATGAAAGATACATGTAAGCAAAATGTATCTCCAAAATGTCGCCTTCGGTAGCTCAGTCTCAGCGAAACTTAACAGTTCGCCTGGAAACAAACTCGGTTTACAGGCGATTTTCTCGGTGTCTTTTTAATGGAATCCACGATAGTGTATGGTATCATATGTATTTGTATACTTTATCAATCTTGTTGCACACGGTGTTTTCCATACGAAGTTAAGAGGTTGAAGCAAGCACAGTAGGACAGTCTTACGGATGAGTAAGATTGGTGACGAAAACACTTTGATAGCCCCAATGTAACAATGGTACGTACGTACAAACAGGAACAGCTCTACGTAACTCATTTCACTGATATACGTACGCGAAGGATAGTGATTGTTCAACGTTGAGATAAGGTTTGGTTGCACATGTAAGACATCGAGCCCAGATACCAACGGCTTCATCGCATCCTTTGAAACGAGTTACTATACAGCCAGAGACATCTTACTTTGCCCTTCTTGCTTTTTCCAGTTGTGTAGCGTAAGTTTCCAACAATATAATTTGGGAGTAACCAGATCATCAATCTATTTGAAAGTTCATCATTCAGAACTTGCTGTACGGTTTCCGAGTTAGGACGTTGTAAGTACCAAGGCACCAATCCCCTTACCGGGGACTATTTTATTTATTCACCAGACAGAACCTTAATGTTTTAACCTTCTACATTTTCCTTGATCAATTTCATACTTACAACAAACCATTGAAAAATCAACGTTGGATAAACGGGTTTGAAGTCCAGGGTAATTAGAGGTGTAAACCCCTGTCTCTCGAGGAGGGATTTCCCGTCAGGCCCGTCTTGGCTAGTGGATATGTTTCTATTCTTTTTCTGAGAACCTCGTGCACTGACGTCAAATTGTCAAATGCCATCTGCAGCTCCTCATCTTAGTGGCCAAACATTATTCGCGAGGGTCACCTTGTCGCGGGTTTAGGTCTTTTTTCTCACAAGCTTCAGCCCATCTTCAAGCCCAAGCTCAGCCCCTGACTTGGGACATCGACCATCTTGCGTCGCACTCGTTTCAGTTCTAAATGCTCGACATTCCTGATACATACATTGTCAGGCTGTGTGTGTGAGAGCAGCCGTCATGAAGTTTGCCAAGGAACTCGAAAGAGACGCTGTCCCTGGTAAATATTTAACCTCTAACCGTCGTGCATATCAAGGGAAAACTAACTTTTGACGTGTAGAATGGCGCATCAAGTATCTCAACTACAAATCCGGAAAGAAGCATATCAAAGCCATTGGAAAAGCCCTCTCGCGCGCAAACGGAACTCCTAGAGGTCTTGGGCAACCTCGTGTGCCCCAGACACCGCGACAGCCATTTACCAGAGAAAACACTGCCGACGGATCTGCGACAATAGCTTCACCATCTGCCGTCGCACCCCCAAGATCGATCCCTACACCTCGAAGCGGAGGCCGCGAAGACGAGTCCCTCACCGATTCAGGTGATAATCGCCACTATGGAAGCTTCGTCGAGACGCCCCCGGAGCCGTCACCCTTAGCTGGCGAACCTAAACACCGCGATTTCCAGCTACCCGCGCCTGCGTTAAAGGTTCACGACCATGATCACGATCTTCCTGGATCGCCAGCCACAGTCGGGCCGTCCGACCTCATGCGAAGAAGTCTCCAGCGAATAGACCCTCGCCGAACATCGTCAGCCAGTGTTGTATCTACAACTGCCTCACCTCATGTGAACAATTCCTCTAAAAACCCCACGGAACCGGGTGCTCAAGACTCGCCTTCTCACCTCCGCCGACTTTTCACCCACCAATCCACATCAAGAAGCGACAGAAGAGTTGATGTTGATATGCAGAATTTCGACCTGGTGAAAGAGAGGGAACGTGAGTTCTATGACTTCCTGGACTCGGAGCTTGAAAAGGTAGAGACTTTTTACAAGATGAAGGAGGAACAAGCTGGTCAGAGGCTGGACATTTTGAGAATACAGCTACACGAAATGCGCAACCGTCGAATTCAGGAAATGGCCGACGAGCAAACCAACAAAGACCTCCCTCCTAAGAAGGGAATTCACGAGAATGCCAACGGCAAGCTTAATGGGATTATGGATCCGATCAAGGCCAAGATCTTCCCCGTCGGGCCAAACACCAAGGCGTTACAGAAGATGAATGTCACCCCGAATCCTAATGGCAACATGGAGCGTGATGCGGAGAGAGACTACATTCGGCGACCAACGCAGCACGAAGTTTCGTACCGCACAGCTAAGCGCAAGCTCAAGCTCGCACTTCAAGAGTTCTACCGTGGACTCGAGTTGCTCAAATCATATGCGATGCTAAACCGCACGGCATTTCGAAAGCTCAACAAGAAGTACGACAAGGCCGTCAATGCTCGCCCACCATATCGCTATCTTAATGAGAAGGTCAATCAGTCGTGGTTCGTCAACAGTGATGTGCTGGAGGGACATATACGGACAGTTGAGGACCTGTATGCTCGCTACTTTGAGCGCGGCAACCATAAACTGGCCGCTGGAAAGCTGCGCAGCTTGAATAAGAAGCCCGAGGATCAGTCAATTGGCATGTTTCAGAATGGTCTGCTCATCGGCACTGGTGCAGTATTTGCTATTCAGGGTCTCATTTACGGAGCACAGCTCTTGTACGATGAAGATGACCAGGTGCGTATTCGGACGAGTTATCTAATGCAGATTTATGGTGGTTATTTCCTCATGCTCTATCTGTTTGCACTCTTCTGCATCGACTGCATGATCTGGAATCAGAACAAAGTCAACTACCCTTTCATCTTCGAATTCGATCAAAGGCATCATCTAGACTGGAGAGAACTAGCTCAGTTTCCGAGTTTCTTCTTTCTTGTATTAGGTCTGTTCATGTGGGTCAACTTCAGCAGATATGGCGACCCAGATATGTACATTTACTATCCGGTTATTCTCATCTTCTTCACTGTCCTAATTCTGTTCTTTCCTGCTCCTACGATATTACATCGAAGCCGACGTTGGTTCGCCTACTCTCATGTAAGTCTACTCCAATCTCTTGTTAACATCAACTAACTTGAATTAGTGGCGATTGCTTTTGGCTGGACTCTACCCAGTCGAGTTCCGTGATTTCTTCCTAGGAGATATCTACTGTTCACTTACATATGCGACTGCAGTAAGTATTGAAACCTAAGGGCTTAGAAGGAACATAGCTAACAGCCATGGCAGAATATCGAACTCTTTTTCTGTCTTTATGCCAACTACTGGCAGAATCCAGTTCAATGTAACTCGAGCCATTCACGGGCTCTTGGATTCTTGACTGCTCTTCCACCCATCTGGCGATTCTTGCAGTGTCTTCGCCGATACAAGGATACACGCAACGTCTTTCCACATTTGGTTAACGGTGGCAAGTATACTGTGAGTATACTTGCTGCCGTGATGCTGTCTTTGTATCGTATTCACAACTCCAATACCCATCTTGCCCTGTTCATAACATTTTCGACCATAAACAGTGTCTACTGCTGTAAGTTCATGCCTATAATGTCAGAGAATACTCCTAACCATGACTAGCATTCTGGGATCTGTTTATGGATTTCTCTCTCCTTCAATCCGGATCTCGACACTGGTGTCTTCGAGATATTCTTGCCATCAAGACTCGATGGTTGTACTATTTTATTATGGTGGTTGACCCTATCCTACGATTCGCCTGGATCTTTTATGCCATCTTCACCCACAATACCCAACATTCCACTATCGTCTCCTTCATGGTTGCTTTTATGGAAGTCACTCGCCGTGGCATGTGGACACTCTTCCGTGTCGAAAACGAACACTGCGGAAACGTGTCGCAGTACAAGGCCTCTCGCGATGTGCCCTTGCCCTACCGTATCGAGCCCCTTATGGCCCGCGCCAGTACTGACGCTTCCTCGGTTGCTACACAGCAACCGGAGGCCACTCCCGGTATCGGTTCATTCGAAGAACCTTCTCGCCAAGGCACAGCTGAATCAACCGGCGTATCGCTCGGACAACAAGAACAGGGCGTGTCTCGACGCAGGGCTGGAACAGGACCGCCTCCGCTCAAACGAACTCTCACAAGGTTACTCGCCGAGGCACATAAGCAGGACTTTGAGAAGAAGCGTCGTCCGCTTGAGAATACACCTGAGGACCCTGCTTCCGAGTTGGGCCCGTCTGACGACGAGGATGATGCGGATGAGGCTGTCAGCTTGCTTGAAATGACGGAAGCTGAAGATCTGGCACGTGCGTCTAGTTCCAGATATATCTAAGTTGTATAATGGCGTATGATGGTACAAATTGGTTGCATTCGTGATAGATTGTTCAGAGCGGTTAGTTTTAGATACCCTTATACATGTATTGTACATACTTACATAGCATGATATCGCACAACTCCCGGCTTTCGAATTCCTTCAGGCTTTAGATGAACTTGATGTACACTTTCAATGACTCCTTTGTAAGTGGCCTAAAGAAGGTTGTCGGAGCTAAATTCATGGTTCTGAAACACATCAACTGGTGGCAGAGTCAAGAATATAAGGACTAGATTATCTGCGCTTTAACTCGCTACCGACCACTTTATGCAGTTTGAACATTATTCCGAAGAAGACAGTGCTGTACTAAAACTTGTCCTTCGGCAACCTGAGTAGGTAATGACTAGAAATCGGTACCTTGCAGTCAATTATGGAAATTGTTACTGTATTGTCATTGGCTGGACTTGCTGGTTGCAGACATTGAAATCAGACGCGGGACGAAAACTAAGACGACTTTATACTATAGTTAGGACGAATATTTAAATAAAATTATTTTACTTTTATCTAAATATTAAAATAATTACCAAGTCTTACTTATTTTAGTTTAATATTTAATAACTTTTTAAATATCTCTTAAAGCTAATTATAGTAATTATGGTATATAATAGTCTACATCTACTTAATTTCTTACGTCTGAAGTCTTATTTCACCCCCTAGGGAGTATAATATCTATAATACTACCTAGCAAGGGTGCTCCGTACTGATCGTTGGCATTGTGATGACTGTACTCCATAGGTAGCCTGTAGCACGTCCCTTATCTTATCAAAGTGGCCGGGTGACCTAGGTTCACCAGGTTCCCTCCAAGCTCGTCATTATCCCACTCAACATTGTCAAAACATAGAAACAATCGCCTTCCTTACACCAACTTCATCTCTCTACCCTCGAGCACCCCCCTGTACTTCCTCTTCAGCTTACGCAAAGCTTCATCCGCCAGAATGACTCAAGTGACGCCTGCAATGCTGAGCGCTCGCGCCTCGTCGCTCTCACTCCGCCAGCAGGCGCTATCATCGTCTTCGACCCTCAACAACATTGCGATTGCCGAAAAAGCCGAGACTAAACGATCCAAGAATTTCATCCTCTCAGATATGAAGGGTCGCGATACAAGAGACAACCGCGTGTGCGCATCTTGCATCTCCAAGCTTGCGCCTGACGAGGTCGGTCAAGTCAACTGGCACCTCGAGGACGGCCAGTCTTGCCGTCTGTGCCAGATCGAGAAGCTCGAACCTGAGGCTTTCACAAAACCTTTCACCGACTTTCTTCAAGAGAACCCCACCATCTTTCACACTGTCGATTATTTCGAGAACAAACTCAAGGAGCTTGGCTACGAGCAGGTGAGTAGATAAGAGGACGTTGGCTATGAGAAGGCATACTAACCAAAAACAAGCTCTCTCCACGCGACAACTGGGAGGGCAAGATCAAAACTGGTGGCAAGTACTGGGTCACTCGAAATGCTAGCTCTCTTATCGCATTCAAGGTTGGCAAAGCATACAAGCCTGGACACGGTGTTGCCATGATTGGTGGTCACATTGATGCCCTTACCGCGAAGCTCAAGCCCGTGAGCACAAAGCCTGTGAAGGCCGGCTTCATCGAACTCGGTGTCGCGCCCTATGCTGGAGCCTTGAACTCAACATGGTGGGACCGCGATCTGAGTATTGGTGGTCGGGTGATTGTGAGAGACGAGGAGACTGGCAAAAACATCACCAAGCTGGTCAAGTTGGACTGGCCCATCGCTAGAATTCCTACCCTTGCGCCTCATTTTGGAGTCGGTATGTTGGGAAACAACAATGCCGAGACTCAAGCTGTCCCTATCATCGGCCTGGAAAGCTCGCAGCGTCCGTCCACTGGAGCCCTGGGCCCCGCTGGCTCTTTCGTCAACACCCAACCTCCTCGATTGGTTGAGCTCATTGCTAATGAGCTTAAGATTCAGTCTTACGGATCAATTGTCAACTGGGAATTGGAGCTTTATGATTCTCAGCCTCCGCAAACTGGTGGCATGGACAGGGAGTTTATCTTTGCTGGTCGTATCGATGACAAACTCTGCTCATGGGCTGCTCTGACCGCGCTCCTTGCCTCCACCGACAACAGCGACGAGGGCGGAATCAAGCTCGTCGCCTTGTTCGATGATGAGGAGATTGGTTCTCTTCTCCGCCAAGGCGCCAGGGGTAACTTCCTCCCCACTGTCATCGAACGAACTGTCGAGGCCCTCAGCCCCGACACATACGGACCCGGCTTGAAGGGACAAACATATTCAGCTTCGTTCTTGGCCTCCGCGGATGTGACTCAGGGAGGATCGCCAAACTTCCTTGAGAAGTACCTCCCTGAGCATGTTCCCGAGCTCAATGTCGGTATCGCCATCACCTACGATTCAAACGGTCACATGACCACAGACAGCGTTTCCGCTGCTATCATGGAGCGTGCAGCCGAGCTTGGTGGGTGCCGCACGCAGAAATTCCAGATCCGAAACGACTCTCGTAGCGGCGGTACCATTGGACCTGCTCTGTCGAGCATGATGGGTGTCAGGGCAGCTGATGTTGGTCTTCCCCAACTCAGCATGCACTCCATCCGTGCCACCACCGGCTCGCTGGACCCTGGCCTGGGAGTCAAGTTCTTCAAGAGCTTCCTCGATAACTGGGAGAAGATCGATGCTGAGTGGAACTAGAATGGGAGAGAGATGGCGTTATAGCTTTGTAGAGGATTTTGTTTGTGATACCTTTTGGCATGTTCTACAGGTCGATGATAGTATAGTGATGTTAGATTAGAATGTTATACACATGATAGACGACTTTTACTTCTCAGTTCCTGTAGGCTTGAATTTGGAAAGAACTATTCTGCAATATATGCGGTTACCAATAATCTTGGGCGCACCTTTTGGTCGGTATCAGAGTAGCGTAAACGATAGGTTTGTTTGAACCCATTCGGTCTCCCTGGTACTTTAACTATTCTCACTTGGACCAAAGTATGGAGGTGCTGATAGTAACGGCAAGAGCCGACAATAAATTACCCCATCATCACTCCTTCAAGGCTACCTCTCCCCCCAACCCGAGATGGAAAGAGGTATCGTAGTGCGAGATCATGTTTGTGTACAGAGCATGATAGACAAGAAGTAAGTAATGATCTATAAACTGGATAGCTACTTCTATTGTTGCTGTCATGTCAATATGAATTATTGCCGGCAGTCGTGATCTTGCATGACACTGTCGACACCTTCGAGCCAGGTTCATGTAAACCTTCACATTTCCATCTAACTTGTCTCTCAAGAGTTTATTTACAAAGGCTTTAGCTGTTGATCGTCACTATCACTCTTCTGGTTTCACTTTGCATTGCTTTATGATCAATATTGAGCAAGACTTTACCAAACTTTCGCCCTCCGATATGACCATAAAGGAGATGCTTATGACGCGTTGGGTCCCTTCTCGCGAAAAGAGAGAGATTCTGACAGCTCAAGAATACCTAAACAATGTGGAACTTGTCTGCATGCTTGATCTCGCACGACTTGAAAAGATTGTCATCGGCAGCCCTTCCATACTCACCATCAACGACTGGCATAGATTTTCGGGCAAGATATTTCGACACTGGGATACCAGCCTCGATACAAAGGAGAATGAAAACCTCACATTTTATGAATCTCTTCCTGCAGAGCATTCTGTCAAGGTTGGATCAACCACGAACCTGTCTAGTGTGTCAGTCTATGCCTATCTCACTATCATCAGTGTTGTCGTTGAACCCAACCGGCTCAATCTGTCATGGAACGATTGCATGGGGCGTTATATAGCCCATACCGACATTAAATTTGATTGCTCGATGGAAGAATGTCTCAACTTGGCCATACCCCAATATGACCATTCCGTGGCAGATCGTGTCAACCGGTACAACGAGCGCGCTATCATTGCTACTGCTCGTCGTCGGATCGTCAATTTTCCCAGGCAGGGCACCGAATCTGCACCATTTCTTCATACCTGGGACAAGGTACCTCCTATAAAGCCGCTCATATTTGCCGCTATTAATCCCGATCAACGGTGGAACCTAATCCGTAACACGGTGGAGCAATTGCGAAGACCTCAAAAGCTAGGAGCCAAAATGTCCTCACTATAGGTTTAGCTATAAAAGGAGTAAGTACTGTTTTGATAAATAATGAAGGAGTTTATTACTGATGTAGCTTAGTTGCAAGTACATCTTACGAACATACCGTATAAACAAAGATCAATAGGACAGTGCAGTTTTTAGTGATACGAGACGCTTGGAGTGGTACTTTTGTTGACGTGGTCTATTATCATGGGCTGGCAGGATCGGAAATCATCCTGTACTTTCGATAGTCTGATACCTGCTCCTGAATACCATACTTATAGCCCTTGGCTTAGGCGCTTGTGCATAGCCGGTCATGGTTGAAATACTATTATCACCTTAATCCCAAAATCCCGAAATTTGATAACACAGTTTTGAGCCACTATGGATGAGTCCCTGATTTCGCCTGAATGTGACGTGAAGTGGTCTCAGGGAAAGAATACTGCTGCGATATGGAAGCGACATAAACGAGTGTACGCAACTCATCATCTGTATCATCCCAAGCAAGCCCCAAGTTCCAAAGAATCGATGCCAGCGTTTCACCTTGGAAGTACTGTTAGTGCCTGGACGAGAACAAAGAAAAGGAAGGCGATTTACGTCGGTAGGTATAGATATCCTTCAGACAGAGAGGGAAGCCTGCAATATCTCTTCCAGTGTGGATGCTCACGAGAGGCATAAGCGGTAGCGTTGGATCGAAAGCATTTGGTTTGTTTATTGATTTTCTGTACGCATTTTCCTCTCTGGAACACAAGTCAGGATACTGTCGCTTCCCGCAGGCTATCATAACGTACCGCGCCCATATGGCTACAGCAACAGGATCATTCTTATCGATTCGTTCCCATTTCACTGCAGAAGCTTCCAGAGCCAGCCACGCCTGTTCCAGTTGTTGTTCAGGGGGTAGATCGACTTTGACGCCGTAGAAGGGGGCATTTGTAGACTTTTGAGTTTGCTTTGAAGGGGGCTTCTTCCTGGGTTTTTGACTCTCGGGATCTGACATCTGAAGCTCTAGATCTGAGGCTGATCTCGTGCTGGGAAATGACGACTGCGGGTTGTTTTATGGGAGATGAGTGGTTGTGACGATGGTGGATGGATGAAGCGACGCAATAGAGGAAGAAGAAGGAGGGGCTGCAACTACAGAATATGGCTCCTGCCTCTGATTCACCGTGGAAACCAGGAAAAGGTGGAATTCACTGTTCATTTTTGGGTACTTCATGAGGCTTCCGGGGACTCGATGGTGCTATCACCTGGCAGTCAAGGTTCAGGCAGTGCCAGCCAGGCCGCCCCCATTTTTACTTTTATGCGGCGAGCAATAACTTTGGACAGCGATAACGTTGACCTAGAAACCAAAGCCAATGGGATCATGACAGAAACAAGAGTCACTGAATAGGTTGAGTTGCACTGCTGTCTAAAGATGAAAGGGGTCCAGGAGTGGTGTCAGTTTTAGAAAGGAAAAGGGGAAGTAAGCAAAAAGCCGAAATCCTCGTTGTCAAGGAGTCAAGAATCAAGATGTCGGCAAAGTCAAAGTAGAGATGGGAATGAACGAACCGTATGCGCTTGTACATCAAAGTAGTTTTACGTACAGACCAGATGATATACTGAACTCTTAGCTGTTTCTCTGACTTCTAGGTATAAAATGTAATTACAGTATAAAGTAAGTTCCGAGTTCTTTGGTCAAGCAATTTGGCTTAGGAGGGATACCAAAGACGTAGCGGCTTGCCACTACGGTTCGATGTCCTAGGCCACCTAGTGCGTTCATTCGCCTCCCAAGCCAATCGAGAAGTTTACTGCATTGTAGAAATGTAAGAGCCCCATTATCTCACTCGCGTGTAGACGAACACTGTAAGATGGGAGAGCTTGACGTTTTTTTATTGGCACAGACAAGTACCTCAAGCTCTGGTATTACTTGATCAATATGGTAGTTCAGGGGTAAACCAATATAGTGAAGAGCTCTGCTGAAGGTCTATAGATTGGTACACAAAGCAAGCGGCAGTAAAGATACAAGCTACCTATGTAAGATTTCAGATATCACACTTAGACTAACCAGGGCTATAGATGGTAATACACTCCGCGTACATCTCAGCCATATGAAGAATATATGTAAGTCGATTAAGTTTCTGTTATCTCTCAGTGTAAAAGTTGTTGATGATGATGTAGGACTGATTCACCACCAAGTAATTCAAAATGAAAGTAGCTATCGATGTACCTAGTATCCAACGTGAAGTTCTTAGTAGGAAAGAAGAAAGCAACTGATCATTTACTACTTTTCAGAGCGGGCGGCAAGCGTACAACTCCCTATCCATTTGGCTGGATAACGAAGGGAACGGCCAAGATTACTCTTTTCCGAGAGTCTTGGTGACTTTTAGGGAGATGATGATTGTTTTGTGTAGCATTGCAACTTTCTAAGCCGTGATATCTTCTAGAGATATGTACTTTGGCGTTGAGTCCATATAATGCTGTGCAGCTGCGATTATTTATGTGTATATATGATCCCGATACTTGGGAAACATCCCAATCTTCATCTTCTAGGTAGTCTTTGGATACGCCAGTTTCCAATAGAAGCTGGGTTGGAGTGCCAGGTTCCCATCCTTACACTCCTCCGCCTCTCGGGCTGACTGCCAACAACGGAAAGGGAGGGGGGCAACAGACGGTTGGGCCTGAGCTCCGAGACTAGGTTACTTCTGTTGTTGGTGAGAGAGAAAAAAATGGAAAGCCAGTCGATGTAAAAGTACATCATCTTGATGAAATTTAGAATATATAGATGGCGTGGGAATTGATATTGATACAAGCCATGTGTTAAAGTTGAGGTATATATGCTGTGATCATAACATGAATGATGAGAATACTTTGTAACTTGAGAGGAGCACTTGACCAATTTATACCAAGTCTGGGGGGATTCCCAGTCTGACGGTTGTCCTTGAGATAACTGTTGTTTTACGGCCCCCTGGGTATAAGTTTGCTCCAGCTTTCCATATATCAGGTAACGCGATGATGCAGATCCGGTGGCTACTGTTGCAAACCACATCTGTACTGCCATGAATCAAACTATCGCCTAAACAAACAACTAAAGGTGCTCTCTTACCCGAATGGATGTCTGCTGCACCTAAACTGGACAATGAGGCTCCCATCTTTCCCGAGCGATATCGCAGTCATGCTGGTTAGTCTCCGTGTGATGCTAACTAGCCAAACACGCACCTTTCGAAAGTGGCAAAATCACTGACTCAGACCAACGGTTTCTGTCCGTTTTAGTCTTCCGAGCTTATCTTTTTGGTCCAAAGTCGACGTGCCACTAACGGGGCCAACATTAGTTTGGTGGAATTTGACTTTATGTTCCTTACAGCGCGCTTGGTGATTTGACTTTGGCGGGGACGAAAACGGCAAATTTCACACACTTAACGCCTCATTTTTGTCCACCCGCGATTGCCAGAGGGAAACATTGACAAACAAGATGCCATTGCTTCACTACCTAGGCGCTCTCTTGTCTTTGTTCTTGTTTAGCTTCGGACTACCTAGCTGCTTTGCGAGTCTGGGCTTAGCTGAGCTGAAGTTGTGCTACCCAACTGATGCCTCACCGCCGGATGGTTTGGAGCAGAGACGGCGATAGCATGATGCACAAACGCAAGACATTATCAATGGGAAACCATCAAGAGATGAAGATACTTGTTGTACATTATTAAGGCTATTAATGCCGGTCCAAAGCATAATTACTGGCTATTCAAAACAATCATTACCCATGCATCATTATTAATTCCGTCACTTTCTTCCGTAAACCAACATCCCAAATTAAGGGCTGTACTTCTTCCACTGGATCTTGGACACGTCCTTGTAGCACTTGGAGTCAAGAGCGTACTTATGACTGGCGTACGATCCCTTGGGAAGAGACTCGAGCTTGGCACACTCAGGAACAAGGCGGATGGGAGCACAGCCCTTGGGGATGTTGCGCTGAATCTTCTTGTTCTTGTCGATGGTGATACGGGCTTGCTCAATCACAATGAAGTGCTTGCCCTGGTAGTACTCCAAGCTCTTGTTGCATGCCACGAAAGTCTCGGGCAACAGATATGTGTAGGGGTCCTCGGGTTGGTTGAGCTGGACGCCAGCGGTGCCAGCCTCGAAGTTAAGTGTAGCACCGAAAAGCTTCTTGTTCTTCTTATCGGCCACGAGGCCAATGCCGTTGGGGAACAGGGGAGTACCGCCATCGGCAATAGTGGTAGCCTCGCCGTTCTGACGCTCGTCCTTGGTGCCGTTCTGGTAGAAGACGCGGCCGTCGTTCTTGATGACGCCCATCAGGGCTTGACCAGCACCGGTGTGGATACTGGTGATCTCGAGGTTCTGGATGGGAGGATCAAAGTCCTTGGAGGGGTCCGTGACATTGACGACGAGCTTGAAGCCCTTTGATGACAATCTGGGAGGGTACACGGGGTTCTTATTGATGTGAGGCTGAACCGGTGAGGCCGCTGCCAGGCCGATGAGGCTGAAGAGGAAGGTTGATGTGAGCATGGTTGGGGGATTATGTAGAGTTTCGAGACGCAGAGCGAGAGTGAAGGATAAACGATAAACAAGATCGAGTGGAGGGAGGATAGAGGGAGGACAAGAATCGAAGAATGGCTTGTCGATGAAGTGATTAAAGTCTGATGATACAGAAGAACCAAGAACCAAGAAACGAAAGAGGATGTTGTCAAGTCTTAAATGGTCGTCCCTAGCCGAGAAGTGAGGTGCTTTTTTTTGTTCCCAACCTCAAAAAGGTGGACGGGATCCATCTGAAGTGGAGGAGTGTGGGCCAGTGAATCGCTTGAGCCGGGGCTTAGAGGGGACCCGGCGGGATCGCCATCCCCCGCACAGGCCCCCCCTGCGCTGTAGCTGAATACGAGGCCAAACATCTCGTCATTGGATCGTTATTTCATCCGCTAGGGAAGACATGAGCCGAGACTGGCGATGTTTTAGTCCCAAGTGACAAATCCTCAACACCATCATGTCCATCGTGAATACTCTCAATTGAGCCAAAGATATATCTTTACTCTACTTCAAAAAGCCCCTGTTAAACAGATTTACATCATCATGCGAGATCCAGTCTTTGGCTATATCGAGAAATTACGATGCTCAATGATCCTCTGTTTCCGAAACACCACGGATATCCACCAAATCCGGGGATCCCAGCCAGCGGTTGAAGATCCGATATCCATATTCATATCCATAATTAATTAGCTAGCTCCCTTTTTTCCCTTTCTTTCTCTGTGTCCCAATACCACTGTCGTCACATGCTGCCATATTTATTGGGCCTTTTTTCTCTTTTCGCTGCCAACGAAACCCAAATCTGTGGATCTGTCAAACCATACTCCGTACACCAACATACCTACACACAGCCGAGACCGATGCCAAGGAATAGGATTGTTTGACGGATGACGGGATGGGATGTGGATCAACAGGAGTGAGAAAAAATGCAACTCAGCCTCGTGTTACGTGAAAAGGCGGTCCTTTTTTAATTCCCACAATTGGCCATTTTGTCTTGTCACACAGTCACAGTCACACTTGAGTCCATCGCGTGGCATTGCAGCCGCGCCGCAGGGGTCGAGGCTCAACTGTTCAACCCCAGTTATCAACGCTCATGACGTTTGTGTCTAAGATCTCTGAAGATCTTTACGAGGATGGCGGTTTCATGTTGTTTGTCATGATATCACCAGGGTCTTTTTTGGAAGTGTCACGGCGATGATCTTCAGTATCCTTAATTTATTCATTATATCATAAATGTGGTTCGCATTTCGAGTTTCGACTGAGCAGCGATCCACTGATATACAGGATTCGTCGACATGAGATCACAAAACGCTCCCCTGAACGTACAATCAGATTCGGAGTTTCTGGATAGACGGTTCGTCTAACGTAAAGTAAAGTCAATTTGGATGTCCTTGTCATGCAGCTAAATTGAAGCATAACGTTGCTTGACGGCTTCGATCACATGATGCTAGATAGACAGTCTATAAGACTAAAATCTCTCATGATTTGAGATGGCTTTAGCTAGATCATGTCTATTATTGACAACTTTATGCTCAATTCCTCCTAGCCTCGGACCTGGGATGCCCTCATGCTTTCAACGGCGTGGTTTGGCCGTGGGGCTTATCGACAGTCTAGACCTCGTCAAGTCAACAGCTTCTCCATTCTTTTATATCCCACTTATTATACTTTGGGCAGTTTTAGGCAGTCCGGTTTCCCCAATCTGTGGCTTGATGACATCGTTGACGCGGGTTTATAACGTTTGCTCTGTAGGGCCGAAAGGATGAGGCATCTACGAGGCATCTTCCGCCTTGGCATTGATACGGAGGGGTCAGCTACATGATGCATGCGCTTAGAGTCAAATGAGGATCAACTTGAGTCAAATGATGTGCAATTTATTGACAGGTGTTGGATGCAGACTTATTCCACTTGTCTAGGTACAAGTCCGCCTGGCTATTCCTCGTGTCTAATAAGCAGCCATCGGAGCTTTCAAGGCAGATAACCGAACCACACCATTACGATCCTTTGAGTTTGCTCCAAGAAATCGTCTTTTTTTGTCTGTGATGCTGCAATGTGGTCCAAGTCGAGAGTCATCTTGTCTTGCCTGCCTGCATGCAACCAACCCTCCTCACCAGCCAATAACACTTAGCTATAGGTAGGGCATCATTACACTTTCAACCAACAAACATAGCCAACCAAATGTCCATGGTATGATTTTTTGACATGCAACAAAGACTAAGACAATCAAGTTAACTCCACTCATCCTACAGTAGCAGTAGCTCCTATGTGCTCATTGCTAACGCCTCCCTTTATCCTTGCTCTTGCTCTTGCTCTTGTTCTTGTTCTTCTCCATTTCCTTCTGCTTTGTTAGCTCATCCTCATCCTCATCCCTCTCTTTATCCTTATCATCCTCGCCATCTTCGGTATTCTTCTCTTCTACGCTCGCCTCGTCTGTCTCCTCTCCCTCCTGTTGTGGAGAATCTGGAAGGTTGCGCCAATCCTCAAGCCAAGCAACGCAACATCTCATGGGAAACACAGCTTTCTTGACATGGAAATCAAATCCATAGTGATGCCCGTGTTGCAGTAGCATAGGTTCAAATACAATATCGACAGTTCGTCCGAGGTAATCGTCATCGGCCCAGATGCTCTTCACAGCCTGACCCTTTATTCCTTCGAGTTCTCTCGAGTAAGGAAAACCGCTGGTTTGTTGAGTTATGGGGTGGTGGAAGGCACGGGAGAAGAAAGTAAAATTGGCGGAAAAGTAAAACTCCAGCATGGCTATGTTCTCAACAAGGCCAAGGACGACTGCTGAGAACCTTTTGCTTTTGGGATCTGTTTCTGTTGAATGCTCCTTTGGGAAGTATTTGCCGAGGGCTTTGACAATGATCTGAAGAATACACTTTTGATCAATCCTTTGCCACCTCGTTGAAGAGTCTGGGAGGGACATGTACAAGTCCATCGCGGTGTATCTCCAGTGTGTATACTTAACCCACGCAGTTTCATGTGTCAAAGAGAAGTTGTGTTCTGTCACCCTAGTTAGTGCTGTGTGGCTCCAGGAGCTTGCGAATCTCAGTCATCTCATGCTTCGTACCTTTTAAGTAGAGCTCCAGGGTTGCCTGAGCTTCCCAGTAAGGTGACGTCCAAACAATATCCTTACTTTTCTTGGAGAAGAAATTCTCATCCACGATCTCCCAAACCCATCGTTGAAATACATGCCCAGCCAGTCGAGGAACTTGGAAAAGCTCTTCTGCATTGGGAGTATAGCTCAGGAACTTCTCCTGGAGGGCCTCGTCGAGACTGTCCCACGGCACATCCCAAAGGCTGGGGACATCTACAAGACCACTAATGGCGCCGCAAAGCCGCGGCCAAGCAAGTTCGACATGTGGGTCCAAGCGTTCTTGACCCAAGGTCGCATGAAGATACTCTTTAGACCTGATTCTCTTAAAGTGCTCTTCCTCATCTTCCAGTCTTTCCTGCTCAGCCTTGACATATGTTAGTTTTGAGACTGGTTGCTGATACCAATGTAGGTCGCTACGTACCCAAGTTAGACCGATCCCTCGAGGGCTTCCGCTGCGCTGCACTCCTGACATTTCGCGCTGGCCCCCAGCCGTCTTCCTTCTTTTCTCACAATGACCTTTCTTGAGGGCTTTGGGGCTTTCGGTGATTCCGCGAGAGCCTTCGCCGGATTGATGGAGAGTCTGAATTCGTTTAGATCTCCGTGGGGCAGACATGTTGAGAGAAAGAAGACCGCCGCTCTGTTGTGAGATATGATGGAATATTTAACAGCCGTGGAATTGGGAAAGCCCAGGAAGTCTCTAAAAGTATGTACTCATACTTATCATAATTCTGTGCGCAGCCGAGTTCAGAGCCCCTACCAGTGGACAGTAGGACAAAGAAACAAGTCACATGCTGATGAACAAAGAAGTAAATCTCCGTGTGAGAGACGGCTGAAACGGATATTTTCGTGAGTGGCCGAGCAAACAACATGTAGTATGCCTTATTGATTGGGTAGATGCATCGGGAATGGGAGATTAACGAGACTGGCTTACACCAGAAGCCCACCGATATGGTTTTTCTCTTTCTTCTCCCTCCCCCAGCATGGCTGATAGGCGACTTAAAGTCTGTGTATATTATTAGAATTAAAATTAATCATTTATTTGAGTGCTATACTGCAGCCTAGCTCTATAAGAGCCTTCTCTTTCAAAGAGATATCAAAATTATGAACCAGCATGTTGACAAGTGTACCATGTTGGGCTACCTTGAGCAAAGAAACTCCAAGTTCTCTTTCTTCCCTGTTCATTCTATCCCATGCCTACCACACTTCGGGACGTTTGAGTCTCTCTATCTCTAGAACAAGTCGTGTTAAGACTCCTTGACGCAAGAAGCCACTTCAACCCTTGACTCTGCAGTATGCAAGTAGACCAACGTATCTTACCGTTAGCCATAGGCCCACAAGCAGGGCGCCCGAAGAGTATCGCATAATTACGGAAGATGTCCGGTTGAAGCTAGGTCAAGGATACCTACTTACGGACTCTTTCCTCTGCCTTGTGCCACAACGGAGGATACCTTCACCGATCAATATCGCGCTTTTCTTGACGACGTGAGCAATCGTACTCGTACCTACCAGCCTCACAGGGGATAGTAGCTAGCCGTTCTAGAATGTGATATATCGGATAATGGCAGATACATATCACAATGTCCGTGAGTCCTGAAAATCTCAGGTCCCTTCCATAGCCCGCTTTCGGTATTACCGTAGCTGCCCCATTTGCTGGGCCAAATATAAACCCTGATGTGTCCTACCTGCAACAAATCTATAGCTCAAGATATTCAAGCACATTGAGACTCTATCAAGATGGCGTCTCGTGAGGCAACTCCCACAGGACAGCACACTCGTCGCCTAGATGTGTTCGCCGGAATAGATTTTGGCACTACGTGAGTTCATTGGGCACAATCACCCAAACTATTCGTTTCTGGGGGATTATTGTTGCTTATGCAATTGCAGGTATTCCAAGGCAGCCTTTGTGATCCCTGGTTACAACAACCAAGCCAACCCGATCGACTGTGTTGTCCATTTCCTGAAGGCTTTCAGCTTTCGGGGATTTCAACTCCCTACAAAGTGCCCTGCTGGTTCTAATAATAGCTTGAGATATGATGGCTCGTGGTTAGAATGGTTCAAATTGTCACTTCTACATAGGGACGACTTGCCCCATGATCTCCAACTGTCGAAGAAATTTGACATTTTCACCAAGGAACGCGAGAGATTGGACATGAGTGCCGTCGATGCCACCTCAAAGTTCTTGAGAGTTATCTGGGAACATACTCACAAGGATATCTGTGCTCGTGCCAAACATATTGACAGGTTTGCGCAGTGTTATATTACACTTACCATGACTGTTCCAGTTATCTGGCCGGCAGACGCCCGAAAGAGGCTCTATCAGGCCATTCAGTCTGCCGATATTCTTGGTCCAAACGTTCGTCTTGCGCGGAAATTTGTCACAGAGGCAGAAGCCGCTGGCATCGCTCTGATGTCGCTTGATTCAGTCTCCTCCGGCAACCCCGAGGTAGGCAGAGCAAATCCTCGCACAACGTGTATACATTGAACGCTGTCTAAATCATCTATCAGGACTCGGGATTCCAGGTCGGAGACACAGTTATCATCTGCGACTGCGGTGGAGCAACTACAGTGAGTGAACTGACTACTCCAACGTCAGCCTATCTTCGTGGCACTTATCTCCTTAACAGGACCTGATCTCCTACCAAGTGACATCTCTCCAGCCATTCGCCGTGAGGGAGATTACCCCTGGCAAATGTATCTTTGCTGGGGGGGCTCTTTTAGACGACGCGTTCCAGGACCTGGTCAAGCGTAAGGTTGAGAGAGTGTGTCCGAGGCCAACATTCGAAGCCCTGACAGAGAAGGACTTCGATATGCTTGTAGAAAATATCTGGCCTACAGGTTTGAAGGTATTTCACTCTACCAGCTTTGAAGCCAGGTCCTGCCACCTTCCCGCGAACTTTCTTGGGTCTCGGGCTAGACGGAATCCCGCGGCGAACCCTGAAAGTGTCTCGATTACCTTTACCCCGTAAGTAATAAGCGGTTGTGCCTTTCCTTTCCGTTCATCTTCCCCTCAGACTAGTCAAAGGAAGCAGCTGACAATCACTCTAGCGACGATATCGATAGTGTGTTTGATCCCATTGTTGAGAAGATTGTCAACTTAGTTGACTCGGAAATGTCACTTGTAAATCAAGAGACAAGAATCCCGGCTACAGTAAGTAATTTCCAGACCGGATATACATACAACTTACTAATACTGGGGTTTCCAGCATCTTATCTTGGCTGGAGGGTTTGGCCGTAACCATTATCTTGTACAAAAGATAAAAACCATGGCCTCAAGCTCGTCTCCTTCAACCACTGTCACTTGGTTCGGGGACGATAGAGGGTCAGTTTTATCGCTAGCGTCTCACGCTCACCGTAACTGACCAGTTTCTATAGTTGGAATTCAGTGGCTAAAGGTGCCGTGTTCCATGGCATTCAGGCAAATAGCCAGTCAAATCAGCCGACTGTGCAGGTTCATGCTCGAGCCTCCGGAGAGGGCTATGGCTTAGAGAGTATCACTGATAGATCCATTCTTTGGCTTGTTAATCCGGTTAGTATCTCATTTATATGTGCATTGGTAGATCATTTGGCTGATATACTATCCAGGGCGACAAACTCTCTGCTGACGGCCAAAACAGAAGACATGTTCCTCCACAGGCAGTGTGGCATGGGAGAGATGGCCGTTGTTACGTGAACATGTATCGCCAAGAGAGGCCAAATGCAGACACTACATTTGCAAGCTGCCTGTCCTGGAATGCCGTTGGTGAGTTCCAGAGCTTGGAGTTCAATTTTCACTGGGACGGTATCAAAATGCACTATATGCTGCTGTATCAGGGGAACCAGCAAGTTCCCTTGACTTCCGAGAGCCACTATGATCTTTGACAGATATTTCCTTCACTTGGAGGAATTCTTCAGGCAAGATATTACTTGATCCAAAGTTTCATGCTATTGAATCATTACACCTGATTCGACCTTTGGGGGGCTGGCAACAGGATTACATTCGTGGATAGATAGCATATTATGAGTAGAAAATTGTTCACTGCCTCAGCTCTGGATACTAGAGTGTTTATGACTGGTGTAAAAACTGCTACTGGCTAATCCTAAATCATTCATACTATATGCCACAGCACTCTTTTTTTATCTTCTTGATATTGTCTTGGAACAAGGAGTAACTTCAATCATATTTATCAGTAGATCTTAGATTAGATACTTTGGGCACATAGATAGGAATATGTGATGGCAACACAGAAAGTGACGTCTTATTCCATGGAAAAATGAAGCTAGGAAGTCAACTTGTCTTGTCTTGCTTGCTTGCTTGCTTGCCTGCATGCAACCAACCCTCCTCACCAGCCAATAACACTCAGCCAACAATGTGGTCGGCCTCCCCTAGTGGGCATTATTACACTTTCAACCAGCAAACACAGCCAACCAAATGTCCATGATATGATTTTTTGACATGCGATTGAGGGGTATCACGTCTGTCATTGGAACTTGCCGCGCCAAGAGGTTGCTGAAAAGCCTACTCAGACTCTCAGAGTGTCATTTTCTGTTGCCTTTGCGCACCATGATGAGACAGTATAACACATTGAGTAAAATATAAAGTAAACGCGGCAGCTACTCAAGGCTTCTCCGCGAAATAATCACACTACTCACACCCGCTATTAACAGTCTCAGTTCATGAGTGACGGTCAAGCGCTTCCACAGATCCAGGACGAGTCTACGGAATTAACTTTCGTAGACTCGGACTATTCAATCAATGGTCAGTGTCAAGCTCGAGTCATTATACTTGGGGTTACTCCACTGGCCGCTTTACTAACGTTGCATCGCCTTGTATCTAGCCTCCGGACTTGAATTCGGAGCCTCGTTCACGGTGACATCTGCTCACGATGTGGATCCATGGCTTCATTTGAATTCATTGACGCATGATGCCGCTTCTCTTGCCTGTTTGGCGGACCAAGAGGGCATGTTCGATATAGCTACGGATGGGCCTTTTCCCATTGATGACTTCAATTTCTCAGAGCCGATAATCAGGATGGGTCCGCATCCGAATGATATTCAATCTCCTCAATTCGAATTCGACCTTTCGCTTCCTCCCTCCTTGCCAGTTCACGACCTCCCTGAGCCCTCACACGAGATGTATCCAGGAAACACATCACTCTCTGGTTCACCAAGCACCACAGCCACTCTATAGAGTGCAGGTTCTGCGTACAATCAGACAAGCGACTCCATTCTAGATACACATCTCTTTGAAGCTTTAGGAAGCGATGGAACTCAACAGCACGTCTTTGCTATCTCTCCAGACTCCAACTCCATTCCTGCCGACACCTCTACAGACACCAGCTCAGGCTCAGAAACAAACAAGCGAAAGTTCGAAGAAGATGCTGCGATTCGTTTGAAAAACAACGAGTACAGAGAGCATGGAAAATGGCTCTGCAATTGGCCCCAGTGCGATAAGTCCTTTGACGAAAATCGCAAGAGGAAGTAAGTTATACCAAAACCCATCATTTGAGATACTGTAGCTATTAACACAACAAAGCAATCATCTTCGAAGTCACTCGCTGCCTGTTCACTGCTCCTGGCCTGGCTGCAGCCATAGAGCTGCCTGGCAGAAATGTATGCGGAGGCATTACGAGACTCATCGCTCACGGAGGACTTTCCAATGTCTGCTGTGCGACGAATGGTTCACTCGGAAGTACAACTTGGGGAGACATGAGAAGGAAGCGCATGGGGGGAAGAAGAGAGTAAGGAAGGTAGATGTAGCAACTTAGTGTTTAATAGTGTGTATGTCATTTTGTCGTAATTGCAGTCCTTTTACTATCTTGTTGCCATTGAGCTATCTCCGAATATCTAGTAACCTTCCTCTATTCTAACTCAAACTCCCCGCTTGTTCCAACCAAGCTTACAAGTATGCACCTCCATCAGATTCATCACTGGAGTCGGCCTCATCACTATAGTCGTCTTCGTTAAGGTTTGCCAGTGAAGCAGAGTCTACTAAATCATGGTTGTTAACATACTATGAACTGTCCGCCGCTCAATGTACTTACCATCACTCCAACCATCCTCACTTTCAAACGGCTCTTGGGTTTCAGCAAGACTGGCGGCTGCCATATCTGCCGTGATATTCGTCAAAGAGTCTGGCTGCCACGGAGTAGGTTGTTGCTGCGTCACAATCTGCTGCTCGACAGCCCTGCTCAGCTCTCTACTGATATTTGCCAAAACACGACGTTGGTGTTCCCAATGCTCGTTATCGTGACCTCCTGGTAGTTCGATAGGTCGCCAGTTCAGATACGCCTTTTGGTGAGATACAGGCTCCTGGAAATTCCCGGGATGGTGCCTGAAGTAGAATCTGCAGCAGAGACACGCGAGCTTGCTACATGCTATATAGCGATCGTGGCCCACGAAATTGCGTTTATTCCGATGGAACTCCTCCAACATCTGTATTTCTGCATGTACACGTGTCTGGCCATGATCTTCTTCGTACATGGACTTGATGGCACTCTCAAGCATCATCGGTCCATCTAGTAGGGACAGATAGTGCTGCATGTCCTCAAGACGGGGGTCGTCAGCCCTAAGCATCCTCTTCAGTATCGAGTTCAAGTTCCTGAGGCCATCTGCTGGAGGAACGACTGATGCTACAGGAGCTTCTACTCGCTTGATCCTGTAAGAGTTGAGTAAGGGACCTAGTTGAACAGAATCGTGAACGAGGTTGATAGATACTCGAATCCTTTCAGCTAGACGACCGACAAAATGGCGAACCGCACGAAACGTCTTTTCGGTTTCCTCTGGGGCAACACTGAGCTCCTGGCCCAAAGCTTCTAATGTCGCCATCTGCGGATCGTGACGAGCATTGTAGGCTGTTCGACATAACGTCAAGGTATCAGGTTTGGTGACAGAGAATTGGTCGAGCCAACAAATCAGGGTTTTCACCTCTGTCGAAATCTTAGCTGAGTTTCCTATTGTCTGTAAGCGTCGAACTTACCAGCTGCTTTTAGGGTCGTAGCATTTGTTTGGAGGTAACCGGTGCAGTAGCTTGCAGCTCGAGAAAGCAACTTGCATTCCTTCTTCAGTCTTGGAGCAGCAAATCCGATGCATTTTCTCGCCAATGTATCACTCAAAGCGTTCCGGGTTGTGTCTGTTCCTTTTAGCTCGTTCTTCAAGTCTTCAAGTATATCGGCCAGGAACACAAGGATGTGATCCTTTGGCGTCAAGTTCGCTGCGATCCAGAATACGACGCCCTCGTTCTTGGCCTCAAGGGCCATTGAAGTCGTGGTGTCACCACCCTTATGGTTATCGCAGATGAAACTCAAGCTGTTGAGGAACCTCCGCCTGGCGCCTTGGAGGCCCGTCGGGGTCTCGGTGGTAATGGAATGTGGTCCATCTACCCTTTTGAGAATATGGAAGAGTGCTAGGTTCTCGAATAGACGCGACAGAATCCTCTCATATGCATCTAATCGAGGCTTTCCAACACCCATGTTGATGACAAGGGGGTAGATTGTACCGTTTTGGCTTGAATTGGCTGTAAGATTTAATTTGCTCGGGCAAACGTGCGTTCATATCACGGTTTCTCAATCCATGCAAGGCGGAATGTAGTCTTGTTAAGGTGCAAAGCCTTTTGTTAAAAGGCTCTTTTTGCTTACTTACGTTGGTCTGTCTCCCATGTGGAATGGGCCGACTTTGACCTCGAATTGAGGTCGGGGTGGCCACTGGTGATAAGGAAATTCGTTCTCGGTGAGGTTATAAGCCACAGTGATTGAAAGGGGAAAAACAAAGGAGATGTGCATGTTGGTGGTATAGGTTATAACTGCCAACGCTTTTTCTGCTCCTTTCACCTGAGCTAAATAAAAACAAACTGTTAAGCCAGCATCTCATTGCTGTCTTGTTCTTAGTAGCATTACGCCTAGACTGTTAGAGCAACTTCATACCTAATTAGAGCAAGAATGTTGACGTTGTAGACAGCAGCTTGTAAAATCTATGACAAGCAATGGGTGTAAAGGCTACGGCAAGTCGAAACTCTGCTTATACATAAGAGACGGCATGTTTTAGTCAGTTGCTCGAATATTTAATTGTATACTTGGTCAGTAAATCTGACTTGATAGCAACTAAAATACGAAAATCAAATGTTTTCCATCAAGATTTATCAATTTCTAATGAGTGTTTCATCAGCACAATCTTACTTATTCAAGTCTAGCCAGCAAAAACAATACATAGAAGGCGGTTTCCGATCGATGGTGCACGGATAGAGAGTCCTAGCGATGACTCTGCCGCTATGACAGGGCTGATGACACTAAAGTGCGGAGCAGGCACCACTTGGTTGGTCCACCCCTGCTGCATTAACCCTAATTCAGACTAGCCTGTCGCGCCAGAGAGCTGCAGGAAAGAAACTCCATTTTTGACGAAAATCGAAACAAATTAAGAGCTGTAGCTCCATTTCGTCCCCTCATTGTGAAGGTTGACTTTTTTTCCATCATCACCTACCTTTATCCTTTATAGGTCCATCGCCACCTATTGCGTATCACGTCTCACATCTCGCCCGCCATGCCTTCGCTGGACCGGCTTCCTAACGAGGTGTTGCATACTATTGCTTCTTTCCTCCACAAGAAATACGATTTAGCTGCCCTATCACGCACCAACCGACACTGCTACGACATCACAAGCCCGATTCTATGGAAACGCGAAGCTCGATCGGATAGGCCGGGTGCTCTTCACTGGGCTGTTGATAATGGCGAAATGCGAGTCTTGCGCCGAGCTCTTGAAGCTGGTGTTGAGCCCTCACGTCTAGCCTACACCCACAGGCCCAAGCCACGCATCCGACCTGAGCATAAGTGGTATAACTACCATTCGAGTTACTACGATGACCCTATGTGGAGGATTCAGGACGACGACCAGTCTGTCGATCTCGACGCATCATACGTATTACATGACACTTGCGATTGCTTCGCAGGTGGATGCGATGACGGCATCTTCAGCGATTGCAGATGGGAGGCTATACACATTGCTGCGAGCAAGGGACGGATTGATATGATTGAGGTTCTACTTGACGCAGGAGCCTCCATAGAAGCGCCTTCATGGGGTATCTGCTTGTGTCGTCCACATCTACCCCTCGACGCTTTCACCGAGTCCCCGGCTGTTGACGAAGGAGAGCTTGAAGACTTACATGGAGGTAATTGGACACCCCTGCACGTCGCTATATGTCACAAACAATTCGAGACGGCAAAGTTTCTTCTAAAACGTGGAGCATCCACAACTATATACCAGGGAATTGACTTCGAGATGGACCCCACCGCCTGGCGAGATGACGACGTTGCTCGCGACTCAAGTATGTTCAAGCTAACCGCACTGCACCATGCTGCAAAAGAAGACATGCTGGATCTACTTAAGTTTCTCCTGGAAGAAAAGTACCAAGAAGATATTGACGTGGAAGGACCGTTCATGGGCACACCACTATTTCAAGCAATATGGTATGGACACTGGGATACAATAGTTCCATATCTTCTTGAGCACGGGGCCAAACTCGACAGAAGACTAATCGAGACGCGTTTGACGCCGCTAATGATGGCTTGTTTCTCTCGACGTTTCGACGACGCTGCCAAACTTATTGATCTAGGGGCCAACGTCACCACATTATCAGTGCATCGCTTCAGTATCCTTCACTTGATCCTTGGGCCGCGTCAGCTACGGCCAGAAGATTTCTTCGACCCTCTAAGGCCTCCTTCCAAGCACTCGAGCGAGACCTCCGAAGCTGAGATCATACAAAAATTCATCGCCAAAGGGTTCGACGTCAACGCACGGGAGGCCCTCATCGGGATGACGCCGCTGATGGTCGCAAGTGCGAGCTGTAACACAGATGCCATGGAAGCGTTGATCGAGGGCGGGGCCGATGTCGATGCACTTGACCACGACGGCCTGACTGCGCTTGCACGAGTTGGTGAGGCAGCTGAAGGTTCTGCTATTCTGGGTTTGTGCGATTCGGCAAAGATACTGCTTGACGCGGGAGTTACTTTGCAAGACTCGAGGGAGGAGGTCACTCCATTGAACGTCATTTGCTCACGGCACTGCGAACCCTACTTCAACCGCGAATGGGACAATCAGCATGCCGCTCTAGCCAAGCTGCTCATTGAGCACGGCGCCGATCCGAATGAGAAGGGAGTTTCTGCGCGACGTCCTTTTACAGAGGCTATTCTTAACGGAAACTTGAATATCGCGGGAACAATTCTTGAGAATGGTGGTCGACCGGAACAGGGTGATCTTGAACAGATTCTCACTGCATCTGTGCATGACTCGTATGACGACGGAAAGACTGAGTTTATACTGCTCATTGATTACGCCAAGCACGGTATAAAAGGTCCCTCGGAAGGGTTCTTGGTAGACCTCTTGAAGACAGCTCTCAACAATCGGCTTTGGACACGGGTGGCCGACCTGATGAAGTCGGTACAGATCCCCAGGGAAATGCGCAAAGGACTCATATACCGCTGCTTACAGAAGCCATCTCCGATTGCCGATGAGCCATCGAGCCTGATTCAAGTACTCCTTGACTGGGGTCAAGACCCCAACGAACTGTTCGATGGTGAGCCTCCGCTGTACTACAGTTTCAAATCCGGCTGCTGCTGGCGGACGACACCAGTCTTGGTGAACGGAGGTGCGGACATCCACATGTCGACAAAAGCTATGCCAGATGGAGCCCTCATGTATACCATAACTAATGGCTATCAACCGCAAGCATGTCAAATTCTTGCAAAGCACCCTCATGCACTCCGCGATAAGCCAGAAAGATTACATCAACAATGTTGGTCATCTCTTATTTACTGGGAAACCAGTTCGGGTCTTGCAGAGGTGGAAAGGCCTATACCACAACTCAACTGGACTTTCACAAGCCGTCTCATCTCGGCTGGTTTGAGAACCGATGTTAGAACCGTTGATGATGCGGATATTAAGGAACTTGTAGAACAAGCAATTCCGAAGAAGGAAATCTTAAGGGTGGAGGGACGAAAAGTCCTTGAAGCTCTCGACATCGTCTACGTTGAACCCTCGGTGGTAGAGATGCTCAATGCTGTCATTGGGGAGGGCTCAGAGTTCGAGGAGGAGGATTTCGAATACGGCTCAGTGAGCGACGAGATTGACGACCACTCAGATTACTCAGATCTCGAGAGTGAGGGTTATGACGGCTTCGATTTCTACCCCCCTTTCATGGGTCCAATGGATGGAGAGGAAGAGGAAGGCGAAGAAGAAGAGGAAAACGAACAAGGCGAGCAAGGTGAACAAGGGGAAGACGGGTGGGATGAAGATCATTCGAGTGAGTTCGACGACTATGATGAAAACGGGCAGATGCCTATACCAGTTCCCCTGCTATTTGGGCTCTTGATGTAAGTTATATGGAATGGAAAAGGGTAAGGGCACGGGCACGGGCACGGTTCAATTTGCTTCGTAGCGACCTGGCAGGGTAATGGATGTGATGGTTTACAACGGGCGTGTACGGGTTATACTTGGGATGGCGTTTTACGGATCTATACGTAGATGAACTTCAGGACGATATGAATGTCTGAGACTTCATAGTGCAGGCACTTGTATATACAATCATATCATACGATGGAGCACAAAGATACAAGATTTTTATCTGCTGTGAGACGTAAAGATTTCGTGAGCAGATGGGAACGATAGATGTTGGAGTTGAAGGAGCTGGTTCGGTGCGGCAGAGTCGTAGAGGCCAGCCACGTCACGAATCTGTATTTGAGTGCTTGATAAGAAGAACTGGTCTCGGGCATTTACTCGTTTACCTAAGCATAATCTCTTCCGAGCTATTCTAGATGCCGAGTAACTGGCGGGTACGATGTGCCCGACGTCGGCGTTGAGTTCCGGCGGGGAAGACTAACGCCAGGGGCAAGAAACAGTTCCACGCTAGAATTTTGAAGCGCTTTGCCTGACAAGTCGGAGAAGTTACGGCGTTATGGAGTATCTATGAACGTATGAGGCCTTGTCACTGGGGGAACGGATGAGCAGGCAGGGCATGAGGTCAAAGAACCTTGAGGGTTTGGTGAGCAAGCGCCGGCTAGACGGAGGTGTAGGGTATTATTGACACATGAGGTTGGTTATAGGTTGGGCAGAGCTGGTTTGAGTGGTCATCGCTATATTGTTTATGGGATTTTATTCGTAGAGGATTTATCCTCCTAGATTGTAGTAATATTCTAATTAGTCTGATATGATATTAAGTGTGTATTGTTGATGTACGTCAGATCCTAGCGATACTACCTGGATACCACGCACGAGAGAATGCGGGGAATACTGTGAAAAGGCAAATATAAGAAATCAAACTCGAGCTACTGTATACAGCCGCAAATAGATTGAGCCCAAGGGCTTGGCCTCCTTGTCTTTGGGCTTTATGTCCGGAGATGATTGTGCGGAAGAGGTCACCCCGCACCCGGAAGCTCAAGGCGTTTCGGGGCTGACACGGCCGGATGGCGGGATGCCGAATAGCGACGTGGAGAGGGAATTGAATGAGATGGAATGGGACGGCATCAAGGCTCGGGAAAGGGTTTGCATAGAATATATCATCACGCTGCGGAGTTTGATATGACCACGCGGATGTGAAACGAAAGGATATTGGTAGTCATAGAGTGATACAGTTGACATCGACTATTCTCACAATAAAACAGTGCATACTATGAATGAGGTAATCTACGCATGATATCAGAGCCTCTGCGGAACCGGTCCATCTGTGTTTCTACCTGAGATGAAGATACAAGAAACCAGGTCGGACTTTTTACTACGTATACCATTATTGCCCCCAATTCCCACAATTTTAACGAGTTTCGACTTGGTGACATTAGAGCCGAGTATAGCAGTTACGTACGTTGAAGCAGGTCATTTTCTCCGTATTTATGGTATAGGTGTAGCTATTACGGCATCATCCACCCATCACGATCAGTGAGTGTCCCCCACTTACACAACGCCAGTCAGCCCCAGCTCTGGCCGGACATTGTTTGCCTAGGTTGTTCTTTCTCCAACGGAGAATGAATTGGATGCTTCTATCAATTGGAGAAAAAGCATCAGCTGCGATGCTATACAGCCGTGCTCTTGCCACCATTTACCATGGAATATCCCGAAAGACGGAGAAATCTACCGTAGCTGCCGTGAAATAATTATGGAAGGGAGAGGGGAGGTTGGCGATGGGCTCCTTCTACCCCGCTTTCTTGCTCCGAAAGAGGCAACTTTGAGGCCCCCACCTTTTCATCCTTAGGCAAGATCACCACACGTGATTGGTCCAAGGCTATAGCTCCCGTCCTCCATGAGTCCACTTTATCCCAGGCCAAGCAAGCTCTCAACCTTCCCCTGTCAAATCAACACCGAACTCCGAGATACCTCCAACATCATGGGAGAGGTGCCTCATCCGGTAAGTCTCCTCGAGGTGGGTGGTCGCACGCTTCCCCCTCCCCCGCTCTCCTCGGCCGCGCGAGTGCTAGCACAGGACGGCATCTAGCGGGTTGATGGCCGGTCGCCGTGATGAGGTACTCTCTAGAGAGTAGAGTTGTCTACTGTTCACCAGGTACCTGACGGGCATTTACACGAAACGGTTTGATATTCGAGACTCGGCCTTGTCTCCCCTCAGCTGCCACTTTCGAGACACTTGTCGCCTCCACTGAGCTAGGAAGATGGAGAAATGCTTCCAGACTTTGACGCCTACAGCAAACAGACTGTACACACATGGGCCAAGCACCGTGGACCACCCCCTCAGATGCCGACAGCTTCGGGGTTCGCGGGATCGATGGAGATTCGCCGTGTTAGAGTGAGTCCGGCCCTTGCCCGTGGCACGGTTCCCGTTCCATTGATTGAGAGACAATGCACGCGACGCAACGCAACGCAGAGCATTACAGCGCAGTGCGTGAGACGTGGAACCTTGTCTGTGTCGTTGTAATAGGCTCCATCCACATGTTGCTGCCCGTTACTTAGATACAAGATACACGGCCGTGGCGTATTGCATCTCAGAGCATAAATATCTGGCATACGACCCTCGATATTTCGCGTTCTCTCCTCCTTACTCTCATCATTAGCATCATCATCCTTCTTCCTTTTTCTTACTTTTCCAACTAAACAACAAATACTTCACATAACCGCCAAAATGGTAAGCACTCCTCTCCATACCAGTTTACCATTCTATATCCTCTTAAGCCTCAACTAACACATCAAACAGGTCAAGGTTCTTGCAGTTCTCTACGACGGTGGCCAGCACGCCAAGGATGTATGTATCTAACTTTCTTCTGCTCCAACCTGATTCCTTTCCACTGGATCCATCAACTATCTTCGATGGTCGTTGATTCTGCCTCCAACATTTCCATATCTACCGACAACCACAATCACTTCCTCCACACACCATCTCTCCGCGCCAGTCGATCTCAAACGCGGGGAAATGGTTTCACTACATGACAACCAGCCACATGTAGTCCAATGATGCGGGGCGATGTCTGGGCAACATCTGCAAAGGCATCAAGGAGTTGCAGTTGGGTGGCATTGTTTGGCTTTCTGGCTTGTGTGGCTTACACTGCATGAGTCCGAGCAACCTCAATGCAACCCAACTTACACTCAACGTCTCAACCTGCATTATTGGCCGCTCAATCATTCTTCAAATCACTTCTCAGTCAATTGGTTTCATAGCAACTAATATGTCTCATAGCAACCCCTCCTTCTCGGTACAACTGAGAACGAGCTCGGCATCCGCAAGTGGCTCGAGGACCAAGGTCACACTCTCGTCACAACCTCCGACAAGGACCGCGAGGGTTCCAAGTTCGACGAGGAGCTCGAGGATGCTGAGATCATCATCACTACTCCTTTCCACCCTGGTTACCTGACCGCTGAGCGTCTGGCCCGTGCCAAGAACCTCAAGCTCGCTGTTACCGCTGGTATCGGCTCTGACCACGTCGACCTCAACGCTGCCAATAAGACTAACGGCGGTATCACCGTCGCTGAGGTCACTGGCTCCAACGTCGTCTCCGTTGCTGAGCACGTCCTTATGACCATCCTCGTTCTCATCCGCAACTTCGTCCCTGCCCACGAGCAGATCGAGCGTGGTGAGTGGGACGTTGCCCACGCTGCCAAGCAAGAGTTCGATCTTGAGGGCAAGGTTGTCGGTACCGTCGCTGTCGGCCGCATTGGCGAGCGTGTCCTCCGCCGCCTCAAGCCCTTCGACTGCAAGGAGCTTCTCTACTTCGACTACCAGCCCCTGTCCGAGGAGAAGGAGAAGGAGATTGGATGCCGCCGCGTCGACACTCTCGAGGAGCTGCTCGCCCAGTGTGACATTGTTACTATCAACTGCCCTCTCCATGAGAAGACCAAGGGTTTGTTCAACAAGGACCTCATCTCCAAGATGAAGAAGGGCTCTTACCTCGTCAACACCGCCCGTGGCGCCATCGTTGTCAAGGAGGACGTCGCTGCCGCCCTCAAGTCTGGTCATCTCGCCGGTTACGGTGGTGATGTCTGGGACCACCAGCCCGCCCCTGACAACCACCCTCTGCGAACCGCCAAGAACAACTGGGGTGGTGGTAACGCCATGGTTCCTCACATGTCCGGTACTTCTCTGGATGCCCAGATCCGATATGCCAACGGTACCAAGGCCATCATCGACTCCTACCTCTCTGGTCGCCACGACTACAATCCCACAGACCTCATCGTCTACAAGGGTGACTACGCCACAAAGTCCTACGGTCAGCGTGAGGAGAAGCGCCAGGCGAGCTAAATGTATTGAGAAAGGAAGAAGCGATATGTACATGATGACTAGTTTGAAAACTGCATGATAGACGCGGGTCAAAAGCAATCAGCGTTGCAGATAATACAATTTGTTAAAGTTCAATCTTTGCCTCGTTCTCCAGTGACTTTTGCAGTATGATGTGACATTGAAGGGCTCCAGCATTGTAATTTGCAATGTTCTCAAATTACTATGGTATTCTCTGTATAAATACCGAATCGTATATCAAGCCAGGACCGTAACTCGAACGATTCTGTAAGAACGTAAAATGCTAAAACTGAGTACGACACCTTTCACAGTCGATGTACTGTTTTGGTAAAATACTACAAGTACGAGTTGTAGGGTATTCTAAACTTCCTAGGTCTGTATTGCCTCACAATATTCTGACCATCCCCCATAGTGGCCTGCACGCCAAGAATCTCCACATTCACCAGCGGTTGACAAAATTTGAATTTAAGACGAAGCCGAAATTTTCATGCTTCATTATTCTTATTTTACTTTGTTGCTGCATAGTACATGTACATCTTCGCTGATTTTGTAACGCTCATGGTATACAAGCCATCGTATAATGCCACCTCGCTGAGCACCACCCGTCCATATTTCAATCATTCATGACATCAAACAGTTGCCCTCTCAATCACACCCTGTTACCTTTTGGTACACCGTACGCATCATCATCATTTCCAAAACTGCCACCACTTCTTTTGCACGCCAGGCTGGCCCATCCTCCGCAAGACCTGCTCATCTCGCCCCTTGATGCGCCAGAAATAAACTGGAACACCCGCGACCACAAAGAACACGACGGCCATAGTCTGGAAGGGCTGTGCAAAGACAGCGCGGCTAAGGAGGAATAGACTCACACAACAGAAAATAATGGGTGTGGTGATCCACGTCTTGTAGGGACGCTCAAGCTGAGGCTCACGCACACGCAAGATAATCAGGCCAAGGACCGTGAGGAAGTAGAAGGTATAGCCCGCGACACCGTAGAAGGTTACGAGAGTGCTAAACTCACCGACAACCACGTATGCTATGGTAAGAACAAGGTTGAGGATGAGTGCATACACAGGGGTGTAAAATAGTCCCGCGTCCTCATCGCCAAACATTTGACGCATCTTACGAGAGAACCAGCTTCGCGTACGCTGAGTGTTGAGCTCATTGTCGTGTGCATTGCCTCCGACACCGATGGTGCCAAAGATGGCAGGGATGTAACCCTCCTTGCCAGCAACGTATGCTAGACGGCTGGACGTGAAGGTCGAAGAGTTGAGGGCACCAAAGCAACTGGCACTGACGATGAGTGCGAGAATGAGTGAACCCGCGGAACCAAAAACTCGGTTACCAAACATGACAGCAACTGTGTTGGAGCCATCCATGCTCTCGAGAGGCAGAACGAGGAAGTAGGCAATGTTGGCCAACACATAGCAGAGAATAACCAGTGGCATGGCTGTATGAATGACTCGAGGTAAGTCTCGAGTAGGGTTTCGGAACTCGCCAACAACATAGTTTGTCTGCAGTCAATTAGTATCTTAACATATAAAAGTCAATTAGTAGGCCACTTACGTTGTCCCAGCCATCGTAAGCCCAAAGGCCAGCATAAAGTGCTAGAGCCCAAGCAGACATGTCTGTCGACGTGTTGTCAAACAGCTGGTGTGGCTTCCAATCAACTTCTGACTTGCCCTTGAGGGTTTTCCCAGTGATGGCAACAACAACACCGGTAACGGTGACGCCCAGTAAGGCAATAAACTTCATAAACATGAGTGTATCGTTCACACGTGTTCCCAGCTTGGTGGAGACACAGTTCAGAAACGTTACGATGAAGAGACCTACGAGCGCAACAGCCTTGTTGATCCAGGGGCTTACGTGCTCAGCATCAGGGCCAATAAAGGCTCTGACGAAGTATTCTCCCATGATGATGGCAATAATAGCAGCGCTTCCTGGCTTGAGGACCAGCATAGCCACCCAAGTAAACAGGAAGCCTAATACCTCGCCAAACGTCTTTGCCAAGTACACCTGAGCGCCACCGTTGAGTGGGATTGCGCCACCGAGTTCAGCATATGATGCAGCACCTGTCCATGCGAGAATACCTGCGATAATCCATACAAGGATTGCAGCACCAGGCGAGCCAACCCTTGTACTCACAGCACCTGGCGATGAGAAAATGCCCGAGCCGATAATGAGTCCAACGATCAGCGACAGGCCATTCAAGTATGTCAAGGTCTTGTGCTTCTCCAACGATCCTCCTCCCAAGCCACCGCTCGGTCTTGCCCTTGAAGTTGGCGCTCCAATGGGGGCATATCCTTCAGCGCCCGCGGTCGAGCTCAAAGGGAACATATTGGCAGAGAAGTCAAAGGCCGACGACACTGAGTACGATCGGTTCATCCTGCTTGCAGGATTGGCGCTGTTCAAAGGGTCATCAAGCTCGAGCGACAGTCTTCGCGATGATGATATGCTCGGCCGGGACGAGATTTCTGTAGCTCCCTCATCATTGAGTTGGCTCGAGCTGGCCAGGGATGCGAGTTCCAGAGAGTCTCTAGTATTTGAAGGGAGACCGTAAGACGGCGCCATTGTGATATGTTGCGGCTTTGTCTTTTTCTCCTCTTGCTCAACGGCCGGTCAATCGATCAATCCCCCACAATCAAGGGTCCGCGGGTGTTTCAATTCAAACGGTTCAATCGTTAACAACAAGGGCGCATAACGGTTCGGAGTCGCGTAAACGTCGTAGAAAGGTATTTAGCGGATCGCCGCCACAACAAGACAGCAATGCAAGATCTGTGACGTAAGATGTCGAGGTATCGTTCTCGTGGGCGTAGTCATCAAAATCAACAGGGCCAGTTGTAGATGGCGTCTGAAGCGGTCGAGATTAAGGACGGGGGTATAGCAGTACAATTAAGAGGTATTCGTATTCGTCAAATGATGAATTGCTCATGAAAGTCTTTAATTCAGCACCAAAAAAGGGGATGTTTGCTTGGGTTTGTTCAAGTCAGGCGCACGTTTTGAAGGGACAGGACAAAGAAAAAGGGAACTGTAGCAAATAGGAGTCTACTTTCCCCAACTTATCGCAAAAGAAGCTTCTGCTTTTGTCTATGCAAGTGCTTCCCTCACCATTCCCTTCCGCGTATGGATCAGAGACACCCCAACCCCCCTGGTTGTTTCGAGGGCTGTCAGCCACATGCATATGTTGCACAGCCACAGACATCTTAGTCATGAAAGTTGCCTTCAACTTCAAGTCATGATCCTAGCAACGCTCTGTTTACTCTTCTTCAGCAACATAACACCATGGGTTCCGACGACTATGCTGCCATTGGCGGCGGTGGCGCCTTGAAGCTCAAAGGTGCCAAAGTGCACAAGAAAAAGAAGAAGCGCGACAAAACCGATCTAGAGAAGAACCTCGACATCTCCAACACAGACGAGGAGAAGCGAAAGAGGAAGAAGAAGAAGGATAAGGAGGTGGACGACGACGAACTTCGCGCCGAGGACGAAGGCGAGGAGAAGCCCGAGGTTCAAAAGACAGAGGCCCAAAAACGGCACGAGGAGATCAAAAAGAAAAGGGTAAGAGCATTACGCCTCAGGAGCTCTACTCAACATCGTGCTAACATGTTACGCTCCAGCTCCTACAGCTTGCCGAATCTTCAGGCTCACGACCAGAACTACTCAAAACACACAAGGAGCGAGTTGAGGAACTCAATACTTACCTGTCCAAATTGAGCGAGCATCACGATATGCCCAGGATTGGCCCTGGCTAAGTAAGTATGCTCAGGTACAAGGTCATTTTGGCTGCAAGAGACGTGGGTATGGATGTATAGGAAATTGCTGGCGTTTATTGGTTATACCCTCGTACAAACAATCATTTTTCATCTTATTTCTATTCTGATCATAAATACGCGATGTGATTACCTGCCGCATCACTTGTTGACAAGTGCAAGGTGCAACTGGTTAGCTAGGCATGACTTTACTAGTATTTCATATATCGCAAAACAGCCGTCAAGGTTAAAAGTCCCAAAATCACAAAACAAGCTTGACTTTAGGTAGACCAACGAGAGTGGTAAAAATGCTGATGTTTTGTATACGCTCATGTACTATGCATTTTAAATACCATCCCAAGTCGGCAAATATGCAGCGCCATTAATGCTAAACCTCCCCCAAGATACAACCGTACGTGGATGCTCTTGTCTAATGATAAACCTTTATCCGTGTATCCAAGCTTATGATGCTACCTCCCTAGTCTATTATCCCAATTTTGTACCAATGAAGAAAGGACCGTGATATTCATGAAGATGAACCCATATTGTATGAACTGGTGTTTGAAGTCAAACCGCCAGCTTCACTAACCACGGGGTCCGCGTGGTTGTTATCGCGAAATGCGAGGGCAGGGCGGTGATGGCTGTTTTCCATTACAGAAGAATGAAGCCACCGAAAACCATACCGACAACGGCACCGAGAACTGAACCGACGGATCGAGGAGCTCCGTTCTGGAGTCCGGGGTCACTGCTGCCGGTGGCCTCAGCTGAGGGGACAACCTCAACCCATGAAGTCGAAGTCAAAGTGGTGATACCGCCATCCTCGAGAGTTGAAGTGAACGTCTTGGGCACAGCGCTTGATGTTCGCTTGGTGCCTGTTCCGGTGACAGTTCGTCGTTCAGATTCAGTCTCCGTCGCAGTCTCGCTTGCGGACTCATCTGTGGTCTGCGTAGCCTCATCTGTCTGAGTTTCGGTTTCCTGGTCTGTGATCAAGTTAGCACATGTCTCAAGCCAAATGGTGCGCGTGGTGTTCTGGAGTCAACGTGGAAGTAGTTAAGACACATGTCAAAAAAACGCATTCAAGGGTTTGGCGCACTCGCGCAAGTCACCAAGTTAGGCAGTGGAGAAATGGCATAAAGCAGTAATATCACAGCAGGCTTGGGGATTTGATTCCACATCGATGTTTCCGTCAAGGAATCCATCAATGCAGGACCGTCCCACATACCGGTACTCGTCTCTGTCGCCTCTGAAGCCTGGGAGGCTGTGTCTGCCTCTTGACTTGTCTCAGAAGTTGGCTTAGAAGCCAGCTCAGAACTCAAGTCGGAGAGAACGGTAGTGGCTCGGGTGGAGGAGGGAGTGGTGGTAGTGTCGACAGCAGTGGAGGCATCATCAAGGGCGGTGGATTGAATAGTCTCACCCGAAGAAACCGTCTCGGACGGTAATTCAGAAATAGAGGAAGTATCAGGCAAAGAGGTTCTTTGAGTAGACGTACTGGCAGCAGTGGAGGTTACAGCACTAGGAGAGGAAGGTTTGGACGTTGAAGCACGAGAAGAGGGAACAGTCTCGGAAGGATCCTCTTCCAAAACGGACGTACCAGTGGCAGTGGCCTCGGAATCATCGGTGGTCGAGTCGGGGCTGGACTCCTTGGTAGACTCGGGCTGAGTCGCAGTAGTCCTTTGAGTAGACCGCTGGGTAGAAGCAGCAGTGGACGCAGGCTGAGTGGGTTCCGCTTCAGTTTCAGTTGCAGAAGCCTCCTCAGTGGCAGAATCCTGGGCAGTGGAGGAGGGTTGGTCTGTATCCGGGTTAGATGTGGGTTCATCAAGTTGTGTGCTCGCAGGGCGCGAGGGTGAGGATGGCTCACTCGTGGCAGATGGTTGTTTCTGAGTCTCCGATGCCTTGTCTGTGGCGGAATCGCTGGGCTCCTGAGATGGCTCATCGGGGGTAGCTGAAGGCTGGACCGCAGTCTCACTGGCATTATCCGTTGGCTCATTGACGGTTGGTTCCTCGGCAGTAGCAGCCGCGGTGTTTGAGACGACGTTGGTGGGATTGTTTGAGGGAACATCTGAAGCTGCATCAGAAGCTGCATCAGAAGCAGCATCAGACGCGGGAACAGACGCGGGCACAGAAGCATCGTCGGTTGGCTCAGTGGCCTGATCAGTGGCGGTAGCTCCTGGTGTGTTTTGCCGTCGAACCATCTGGGCCATAGACTCGGAAAGGTTTGGTTGGTGGGCGTTCATGTCATGCTTTCCAATGACATCCCCATGGCGAAGGTGACCAGGACAGAGACGAGTAGCACCTCCGATAGATGCTACGCCGACGCCCAGAAGACAGCAAGCAGCCAATGCAATCAAGGCCTTGCCAGCTGGAGATATCCTTTTGGTGATTGTCCTTGGTTGGGGCTGGGCAGATTCCGAATCCTGGAGGAGTGCTTCCTTGGACGACATAATTCTCTCTTCTCGGTCAGTGTTCAACAGTCCTGCTTCCATGCTGTAATCGTGCTTGATGTCGACAGATGCCATTATGTACAGCAGAGTAGGAGGGCTTGAAGGTTGGGAGGACGTTGAGTTTTGTAAGTCGACCAGAGGAGTATCAAAGACTGGAGCCGGATATGCAGACGTTTAGCGGCTGAGAATAGTCCAGAAATATGCGGAGCCAATGCAGACGGGAAGCTTTTTTTGGGTTTGCTATTTGGGGACAGAACGAGATACGACTGGCTGAGAGTAATTATGGTGAGGTTGAGGAGAGAAGATCCCAGACGGTGAGTGGTGAAGACAGTGCAGTAAACAAGCTAGGATCCAGAAACCTGCAGGCGGCAGCTGGTGAGAGGGGTGATTCTCTTTATCGATGATGAAAGGTGTCGTGTGCTAAGCAGACAGGAGGTGGCTCTAGCGTTCAAGAGATGAGTCTCTTGGGTTCTATGAATGGAGACTGAGCTGGTGATGCGAGGATGAGAGAAGTAAAACAAACGAAGAAGCGTATGGTGTGCCGGTAAACGGTCGACAGTTTACGGAGGCGATGCGGAGTGGAGGAAGTGGAGGTAGTGGACCGTGGAGTGATGAGTGATGGGTGTTACACGAGCTGAGTCCGTCAAGTCAAGCCAAGAGCCCAGGGAGAGAGGAGAGTTTGGTGTTAAATGCAGCCCGTGTTATTACTGCATCCTTGTGGATGGGAGATCTGTTCAGCTAAAAACCCCGAGACCCAAGCTAGTCTTGGCGAAGGGAGGCTGAGTTGCAGAAGACTAGGTAATATCACAGTGATTCTAAGTCACCAAGCTGTTTTTTCTTCTTCTTATTTGTTGCTGTGTGCTTGTTTTTGTCTGCTATGTGGCAAGGTCGAAAGTCGTTGAAGATCTGGACTAACCTGCCAAGGGTGTTTCTTTTTTCGGCCTGGGAGGGAGCCGCTTGCAGTTTTAACGACCGCCACCCGGACACTAGACAACCGCCTAGGCCATGTCTAGCGCTTCTGTCGTCCTGCCAAGTTCGGCCGGCTACACGTCCGTCCGCTGGAAGCCCGGCAGCAGAGCACTGAGCAAGCCCGGGGAGCCTGGAAGGGTGTGCTTTGGTGGAGTTCAGGCGCTCAAGGGCGGCATAATGAGACCAGCCTAGCCCTTAGGTTCCTGTCGATGAGCCTATTCCTAGACACGAGGCTTGCAGTGGCCATTGAGGCGGCTCTGACTTGGTGGCCAAGTAATGACCGGAAGTATTGAATGTCTGACAGCGAGCGTGGAATTACTGAGACCTGAAACTTTATCGCCATGAAAAGTTGATGGGGGTTTCAGCCATTGTTTACGCAACAATACTACCACGCGCTGCAGTACGGCCCTACGGCCTAATTGCCAGAATGGAAGAGTTGTTGCAATTCCGATCTTCCATCTTTGGCATGGTTGGTGCTGACTGGCGCGATCTCATACAACCACAGCGCAACTGTAGGCTTGATTTTGTCGACAGCACTGTTAAGAGCTCTTTTGACCCCCTGGTTTCTGTCCTCCGTCACCGAGCGGGCGGCGCCTCACCAACTGTAAGCCCCCCGGAGTGACTCTATGTCATACAGAGCTTCATATAGCTTGTGATGTCACTACGGATGTAACGACAAACGGACAGGTTGTTGTAAAGAGTGTTGTCTAATACTCCGTATGTGCAAGTTAGACGAGCATATTGCGCTGTTCCTCGTATTCTCACATCATCTCCCGTGCCCCGTGAAGAATTCCATCGAAGTGGAAGGGTAGAAGGGGGAGCCTAGGGAGGTCGCCTCCGTGCCATGAATACGAGAAAATCGACATAAAAAGCTGAGCATCGGTCATGACAGACGGGTTAACGTTCGGGCCCAAGCCATTGGTCCTAGAAAGATGCTTTTTCTGCCCGCATGGCCCGGGGCTTCATTCCATGTTCGATCCACTGTTTTCGACCCCTGAACCCTGCCCCTGACCTAACTTGGGCGTTACACTCCCTCCACCTTTCTTGCGTCGCGTTTGCGAACACAACCTGATTTCGTCTGGCCAAGCAATCACACTTGCCAAACACCAAGTTAATTAGTGGCTAGGCACGAAACTCGACCATGCCATGGTGATGATTCCGTCTTAAAGATATGCTCCAAGTATGTACGGAGCATGTGTGCAGTAGTTGATGAATTCTATAATACATTATGATATTGTGATAACGGCCTCTGAGCTTGTTTGTTTGTTAGTGTCAAGCTCCGTTCCATCCAGCAGATCAACACGTTGAAGAAGTTCCAATCTCCACGGCCTGAGCTGATCGTCAGTTGTGACGACGGCGGATGGATATGCGCAATGTCCGACAATATTAACACGAAAGATATGGAGAATCTCGGTTGATCCTTATTTTTGGTGTTTTTTTTCTTTCTCTCAAACAAAAACTGGAGTACGGATACGCGCACGATCCTTGGCTCCAGACGGCGTGGCCGTCCAAGGCGAACCAAATTTGGTGTGCCAAGCAGATATGATGTATGCTCCGGATCAAGCGGCTCAACAACAAGTGTTTTCTTGGAGCAATTGACCCATCGTGGTGTGTGCCTCAAAGAGCAGCTAGCTGTGGGAGAAGATGTTGAAGCTCCTTATCTTTGAGGAAGCTCCACGCGGCCAAGTTGATATTTTGTTTGTTTGTTTGAATCTCGTTGGTTTAGCCAATGCCGGCCAGCTTTGCACACAGAAATAAATGCATGGCTGGCACATCAAGAGACTGTTATTGGACAATATGCAGCCAACTTTGCGCTGTAACAATTGTTGTTGTGTTTAACCAAATCGCAGTCCGAGCCACCACACCCAATCTCAGAGCTTGAAACTCCAACCCCTCGCAGAGACAAAAGAATTGGTGTCTTAGCCATCAGGTTTCATTGATGACACCGCAAGTCATCGTCTATTTGTAAGGAACCTTGTTGGCTGCAACTCGATGCTAGGGCGGCCAGGACTCTGTACCGGAGACAAGTAGCTGAGTGCAGAACTGATCCATGATAATTGTAGGCTGGTTGAATTTTAGGGTTCAAAGTCAGAGCCAGGGCCAACGGGATGTTGTCAACGCATAACCCAACGCCCTCCTTGTAGGGCTCGCCGCATGGTACAAAGATGAGCAATATTCCATCGAGCCTGATGGTTTGTTTGATGCACAACCATCGGGTATGAGGATCACCTCCATATGATGTTAAAGGTCTCGACTGACGTGGCCATCACTCTTGAAATCGATGGGTGTAAGGCTTCGAGCCTCGGCATAGAAAGTAATTCGCTGCACAGCCTACACGGTGCTCGTGTAGATCTGAAGCTGCCAAATGGCGTGGGGAGTGAGCTTGGGCTTGGTTGTCTGCTACTGGCTGCAGGTTGATGGTAGGTCTAAATTTAGGCCACTGTATCTGTAAGCCCAGTCATTCGATGTAAGACATACAATACGGACTCGTGAATATGCGTGACACGCTGTGATAATCATCAGAGGTCGAGTATATCATCATCGTATTCACAGTCATAAATCTCTTGAGTGAGACAAGATGTTTGTGGAAGTCGCCGATGGAAAGAAAGGCATCAACGCGCGTGACGCTTTGTAAGGCAGCTTCCTCCCGTTCCTGCCGCATCCCAAATTCCGAAAGCATATCCGTACCTCAGGTACCCAATCTGTTGAGTTTCTCCGCTGGTGAAGGGAAGGAGCCGCAAAGTTTAATTATTGATGACACCTTCAGGGTGTTTCATTTTGGAGACTGAGGAGGAATGTGATGATATTAGGCCCTTAAGCTTAAGGGAGTATAAATTATTCAGAAACATTGGGTAGCTGGGTAGGACGAATAAAGGAAACCAGATGATTATTTGGGCTCCGATGTACTCATTGAAACGTACGATAGGTTGGTTCTTATGTCCAAATAATTCGCCTTGGATTGATTCTGTCAAGTAAATTGATTGACCATGTTGAGGGCCAGAACTACAAGTTTAACATTGACAGCTATTCAATTATGAGCCACCAAATGTCGTCGTGGCTTGTGAGTGGCCGTGCTTGCCTTTGCCTTTGCCTTTGCCTTTGCCTTTGCCTTGTTCGGCTGACTGATTAGAGAAGCCAGCGAGTTATGGGTACGGATAAGTTCAGTTAGCTGACGACAAGGCCACTTTCACATGTGCATGAGAACAGGTGCTCGAGCTTCTTCCAAGTTCCAACAAAATCGTCGACGTGGAAGAAAAGCCAGAGGCGGAATTAGGCTTCAATTGAATTATAATTTTACCTCGTTTTTATTCAATACCGTTCACCTATTTGCGAACAATCTCCTACGCCGAGTTTGATGCGCATGCGCAGCCCTGCCATCTTCGATGATTGATATTGTGGCACCTTCAACACCCTCGTCATGACAGAGCATCTCAGCCCCGACTCTCTAAATCCCCTCGAAACCGACGAAGAAGCCATTCTTCTAGCTCGATCGCGGTCGCCTCATCCATATCACCACCAGAATACAGACCTTCCCCATCTCTCAGATCGCTTTACCCTCCGAAACCGCCAAGCGCAATCCGCCAAGAGCAGTGACGATGCTAGCCACGAACCATCGCCTTCGACATGGCCACCTTTCCTCAAAGACTCCCCGCAGACGAGCGATAGCGGCTCTGAAGCTGATGATGAGCATTACTTGAAAGGCCTACCAGCACCCAAGGCCAATTTACACAAGGGATTACGGGGTCTGAATGAACCCCTCTCCGGCTCTTCAACACCTCTTCCGTCGCCCGCAATTCTTGATGGCCACACGATCCGCACCGTCGACAAACCGCCTATGCCTACCGAGACCCCGGAAACAAAACGTCTGCTTGAGGCTTTAAAACGGCGTAGACGTGTTGTTGTTCGACGTGTAACTGAGGCAGGTAACGTCTTGGCTCTAGGTCTCATGGTGGCATCGAATTCCCAGGTATCACAACTCTTGAATATCTGGGGCAAAGGTATGCACATTGCTCGTGGTGGGATCGCATCCGCTAACATTTCTAGACATTCTGATTCTTGGCCTTCTATATGCAGGGCTACTCGTTTTGTATCCCATCCGGGTCATCGCCTGGGCCTACCGTAATCGGTCACCAGCTCATCCGATACCACTTGAACTTCCTGCGCACTTCGACCCCGCTCCCATATTATATCCTTCAGCAATTACCCTTTTTGTGTCGCTCCTAATATCGTCGAATAACCCGGCGGCTATACTTCCCAACCTTGTGTTGAGTCTTGCTTCCATTCCGCAAAGCGTCATTCCAAAGGTCGATCCTTATGCCACATACGACGTTGTAGCATGGGGCTTAACTTGCATTCCATTAATCTGGAGCCCAAAACAGCGTGAGAACTTCGAAATTCGGCACCCAGAAGACTTTATTTCAGGAGAAACAGCTATATTGCTATATCCTTTGCACCAAAGTTTGTGTAGAGTGCTGCATTATCTCACAACCACCAGTCTTTTGACGGCTGAACTTCAGCTACTCTCAGTCGCACTCATCAATGTCTTACTTTTGGCTTCTTCGCCACAAATTGAGATTCTCAAGGCCCTCTTATGGGGTGGTGGCCTTTCCCTGCTATTCTTCTGTGGCCCTATCATAAGATGGGGGATAGCTCTGGCTAGGGTCCCAAAATGGCGATTCCGCAGAGCGTCAATCAGCCAACAACCACCCTTCTGGAAGAATCTGAGGCAGTTGATCTCTTGGCGTCGATTGAGAAACGAATTGTTAAGACCCGAGTATGAGGAAGCAATTTACGACACTGCTGGTTCATCAGAAGACGAGGCAAGTTCCATGTTCAGGAAACCAACAAAAGTTCGAACCTTCGGACCCAGCTTCCCTGCCCCAGGAGAGGTCGATAGTCCGCCATCTTCTCCTAATGCTACAGAAGGTTTCGGAAATTGGTCTTTCGCACGGAGGCATACATTACCGCATCTTGATCTGGGAAATCGCCGCAACGCAACACATACTCCTTCTGGGCGCAAGAAACGGGCGACATCAATGTCTGTTAGGCCTTTTTTCAAGCTCACCCAAGACCAAGCAACACTGAGGAAGTGGCTTTATGCTGGATATGTCTATGCAAGCATCTTGGTGATCATCTTAGCTGGAATCCGCACTTATGTCGAGAGGTTTGCGCTCGGCGGCAACGAACCTATCGGTTGGGCTCTAGGATATCTTCTTGGAGACTGGTCTTGGTTCCGGTATCAAGTTGTAAGCTTGAATCTAGAGCGGTGGGTCTGTCTGCCTCCTCGACTTGATCCTGAAGAAGACAAGCAATGCCACTTTGGATGGGTACAGCATGTTCGTCACAACGACTTTGGCGAAGCTAACACTCGACTCATGTTGAGCGTTTACTGGCTTGGCATCTTGATTCTTGGCCTGGTAATCGTTTTCCGCCTCAAGGATATTTATGAGGTGGACACGCGGCGGAAGGTGTTTCACTTTATGATGGTTGGCATGTTTCTTCCAGCAACTTTTGTCGATCCTACCTACGCGGCTCTGGCCCTCTCTCTGATTCTTGCGGTCTTTTTGATCTTGGATCTTCTGAGGGCTAGTCAACTTCCTCCGCTTTCGAAACCCATCGCTTCGTTCCTTGCCCCATATGTTGACGGTAGAGATTTCCGAGGTCCAGTTGTCATTTCGCATATCTTTCTGCTGATCGGATGCGCAATTCCCCTCTGGCTAGGCCTCGCTTCTCTACCGCGCACAGGAGCCGGGTATCTCGCTGGCTGGGAGGTATCAACTCGCGATGTGAGCCTTGTCTCCGGCGTCATCTGCGTAGGTCTCGGAGATGCGGCAGCTTCTCTCATCGGCCGTCGGTATGGGCGCCGAAAGTGGTTCTGGGGCGGTGGTAAGAGTCTGGAGGGTAGCGTTGCATTCGCCGCAGCTGTTGTTCTTGGTCTTGGTGCCGCGAGCATGTGGTTGAGAACAGGCGGCTGGTCAGTCGCGGGCGAGCAACCTGGACTCATTGCTAGCAGTAGAAACGCTGTGATGTGCGCTTCGATGGCAAGTTTAACGGAGGCTGTTCTTACCGGTGGGAATGACAATGTCATTGTCCCAGTGGTACTGTGGACTTGCGTTAAAAGCCTGGGTGTTTGATATAAAAGTACCTTGAATGGTGGCGTTCCGGTGGTTCTTTCTGGACTAATGGATGGTATAGAAGGGAGGACGCAGCAGACGGCTGCATAGAGACGAATGAATGTTTATGACAGACTCGAAAGACATTGACTCGATCTTTGGGTATTGATTCCCCTAGTTACCCCTATTTATACCCTCGCGTCAATGACAATAATACTCATGTTTTCTCCAACATCAACGCCAATGCTCCCATATCATGCTTCCAGCTGTATATACTCCGATGTGGTTTATGTTATGCCATGAGATCCTCTAGGATTGCCTCCAGCTCGTCTTTTCTAAACGGTAGGCTCAATAGCTCTGTTCCTAAAGCATCCTTCATACTCGTAATTATTTGATGGTCGTGAAATCTAGTCTTGATTAGCAACTCTCTTCTGATGTTAGGTAGGGGTGAGCTTACTCTTTAAGCAGTGTCCGGAACGCCATCTCGGAACTGCAGATGAACTCCTCCACTGCCTTGTTGTACACCATTCGATACTCGACGCCCGTTGGTTCGTCGCCGTTATCGCCCTCTTCTTCAATAGCAATGAGCACCTCACCAACCAATAGACGAAACAGATTCTTAGCGTTCTCGGGCAAACTACGCAGAACGAATGCAACACCTTCCCTGCCATTGACTCGGTGGGCGTTCCGTCCAAGAAGCTCGTGCACCTCATCCACAACATCCAACTCGGCGCCATACGGGGCAAACGTTGTACAATCGTGAAACCCCATGTTAAAAGCAGACCGCACACCAATATCCCAGAGTAGTGCAAAATCGGGTGTGTCCGCTGAGCACACAAGGCGTATTTGAGGGTGCGCCGCGAGTTGTGACAAAGCAGATTGTGAGCCAGATTTTCGGAGTGGAGCCGCATCAATTGAGTTAACGATGAGTGTAATCGTTGCACTGGAGATGCCGAGATGAGAGAGGATGGCCGGGACCATAACGGAGGGTTGCCCAAGGGGTATCCTTTGGGCTGGGTCGATAGCTGCACCAACAGTACTCAATATTTCACGCATGGTGGTGTTAGGAGCATAGCCGTTGATTATGACAATCTTGTCTCCCTTGTCCTGTTTACCCCGAGCATGAAGGTAACCTGCAAGCTTGTGCAGTAGTCTTCGCTTCGAACCGTACCCATACAAACACAAATTGAACCCTTGCGACAACTGAAATGCCCACTGCGGAAATGATTCGGAATGTAGACTCTCTAAAGATTCGATATCAGGTTCATGGTGATCCTTGGTTTCTCTCACAATGGTAAAGTATTCGTCGTGTGTAAGTAGAGCGAGTGATCCCAACGTGTTATTCGAAGTCTTTGCTCGCCCGGGCTTATTATGCGCAAAGTATAATTCATGAGGTGGCAAGTCGCGAGGAGGAGTCGGAGACCTGGCTGTCTTCTTTCGCTGTGGTTTTCGCCGAGCTGTACTTTTAGAGGGTGTCGCAGCTTCATCCAGGGCTGGTGCTTCTGTGGAGATAGCAACGTCGCCCTCCATAGCATCTTCGTCTTCACTAGACTCGTAAATTTGCTGCGCGAGGTCTTCATATTCTTCCTCATCGGTGAGATCGTCTCCAACAACATGTTCTATCAGGGCTCTTGTACTCTTTCGCTTCGCAGATCGATCTGCTCCCCCTGGTGTAGCGCCATTGAAAGAAAAGGTTGTCTTCTTCGTGGGTGTTTCGAACAGAGCAGTACGGTTCGCTTTCGGTGTCGGGGTCTCGCCGACATTCACAGGCTTCTTCGGTGGTCGACCTCGCCGTTTGGGAGCTGGTTTAGGGGTTTCGTCTTGGTCGACCTTCGTTAATGATTCAGACTCGCTTGTTGCGTGGCCGCCAGTGCCATTTGAAGTGAAGCTATCTATGTAGCCATTCGTTTCGCCAACGGGTATAGGTGATTCGCTGATTGAGCTGCGTTGTCGTTTTACAGGGGACGACGTTTCTTGGTCGCTTTCTGGGATGGCCTCGAGATCTTGATGATTTCTCTTTCGCAGGGATCTTGTAGGGAGTTGTTGAGAATCAGGTTCAGCAACTGCCTTCTTTCGAGGAGGCATATTGGGGTGTTTGCGAGTGAAACGATCACCTGGACTTCTCAAAAAAACGAATTCTGTCTATGTTGATATTGAACTGGAATGGGAATGAAATCAAGGGCCCAGTCGCGTGGTAACCAGTAGTGACGCGCCTACTAAATTGCCTGTGGCGCTTGTGGCACCCCTGAACGTGGCGCGAGCTCCATCTTCAACGACGACGTTCACATGCTCCACGATAACTAGAGTACCTATACAGCTTCAAAGTGCAAACAACAGCAAAATCATGTTGAATCTAAATCTTTCAGCTTCACTCAATATCACGAGACTTATCTTCAAACCAAGTCTTTGTTTACCCCATCATACTGTCTCAACATTCAATGAGTTGCCGATTCCTCTAGAAAAGGGCCTGCAAAAAGATGGCCGAAAAGTAGAAATCAAGGCTGTCGTGCTCGACAAGGACGACTGTTTTGCTTATCCCGACAGTGTTGAAGTGTATGATTCTTACAAGGTTGTTATAGATCGAGCTCCGCATGTATGCCTGATGTTGTCAGCTAAGCTTGTCTACAGACTCACTTCGAAAAGCTCAGACAAGCATATCCTGGGCGCAAATTGTTAGTGGTATCAAACACTGCAGGCGCAACATCCTGGGATAAGAAATTGAAGCTAGCCGCAGAAGTCGAGGAGAATACTGGCATCACTGTACTCTCGCACTCAGTCAAGAAGCCAGGCTGTGGCGATGAGATCATGGAGTACTTCAAGAAACATCCAAAGACAGGAGTGACAGACCCCGCACATGTTGCATTCGTTGGTGATAGACTGACGACCGATATGATGCTCGCAAATATGACAGGAGGGTGGGGATTCTGGGTCAAAGACGGAGTGATCCCCTTTGAGAAAAAGAACATAGTGAGTAACTGTCTCGGCCACCCCCCTCAACATCAGGCGACAAAACATCAGCAAAAGCCACTGACAAGACTAGTTCTCGAGATTCGAGCGACCTTTGGCATCTTTCTTGTTTGCAAGAGGTTTACATGCCCCTGAACCTCGCAGCATTTTCGAAGAGTAGCTGTTATCATGTACTTGGTTGCTGCCTCCGATAGCGCTCGAGGACATACAGTTCGTCTGATCTAGTCTATTCACACTGAATCACCCAAAATCCCCTCTATTGTCTGCCATTCAGCACGGGCAGGTGACCCTTTCCGAGCATGATAATGGCTCAAATAGACAATGCAAACCGGACTGAATCACTCGTCTATTGTCTCGAGCTGTCTATAAAGCCTCCTTCGTGATCTTTCGTTCTACACTTTTATCTTCTCCTTGTCATCACTCTTTTCTACAGCTTTTGTTGCTTGCTATATATATCTTGCTCCTCGCTGCCATCACGTCTTCGTCCTCTTATACAACAGTACACCCTTTTTCGTCAGCCTGCCAACAAGACCTTCCCACGCCATGGGCGGAAAGGTCTGGTCTGAAGAAGAAGAGCGCATCTTTTGGGAACTTGTTATTCCTCGGTCAACAGTCGCTGCCCATCCACCATCGGATCCTGCTGCCCAGCCTCTAAGTTGGCCCGACTGTGCACAATGGATGAACGAGATGGCTGGCGACAACCCTCGCCGGATATACACCAGTACCATGCTCTGTGAGTTACAAGTCTCTTGGGCAGTTCCTTGCTACTGACTCTTGGTAGATGAGCATCACTACCAAAACATCAAGCCTGGTGCCAAGTCTCCGAGGGCAGTTCGATTCGCTCAGAAATATCTAAGTGATTGCGGTCAGTCAGTTGTGATAATCACTTCCCGTACTCGATTCTAATGAGAAAGTAGAGTATTACAAAAAGCACAATTCTCCTCGTCCTCCTAGTCCTCCTCGTACTCTGACACCTCAAGACCCTCAACTAGCCGCTCTTCTAGAGGAACAGTCGAAGCCTAAGAGCCGACGGCCACGCCAAGCAGCTCGTACTCGACAGCGAAATGTCGTGCCTCATCCTGGTCTGCCGCCTTCCCACGGGTCTGAAGATGACCTGACGCTTTCTCACACGTCTATGGGTGAATCCAGCGGCCATAGCACACCTACTGAGCCCAGATCTTACACATCTATGCCGGCCAACGGACCTGGACAATACGCATTAGGAGAGAATCGAATTCCTGCTCATACCGGCTTCGACATCCAGTATCAGCCCGACCGTCGACCGATGCTTAAACCCGAATGCACTACTAGACCTGCTGCATTCTTAAATCGGTCTGGGAAGCCTGTTGAAGGTGGACACTGGCGGCTAGCGCCCCGAAATCAACAGAACGGAAGACCCAGGGAATCAATGACTATGACCCCACTAAGCACCAATATCCAGCCTCGGCAATCGCACACGCCACAGCAAACACCATGGACTAGACCAGCTCCTCCGCCTATTCAACAATCATCTGTGGAATCTCTGGAGGAGTGGAACGGAAAGCTTCCCTCAATTCGGCAGATGCTTCCTTTCGTAGATTTCGGACAGCCAACTTACCCTCCCTTCGCCTATGACACAACAAATCGAGCTGGCAAGCGTGGTCATTACGATGATCAGAACTGCGATCCCACGCCTAAGCGTCGAAGACTTCCTGACCAGCCTGTACTCCGTCAGTGCGACCAACAGACACCTCAGCAGCGGGACGGAAGCAGTAATAAGTAGAGATGACTTTTGGTTCTGTTTTGTGGATGAGGGCCGCCGCTAGATTGGACGAGGGATAGAGATTCAGCATGGGACAGAGACTGTAACCGGAATGGGTTGATATGTCATTCTTTCTGCTTCTAAAGCATGTGGTCGCGGGCTCGTTGTTGCTGATACTTGATATTTGATTTGATGACGAGAATTCTATCACGAGAAAAGGCAACGCAAGGGGCATGGCATGGGGACAACTTATGGGAAAAGCTTGGTTTGGTACTGCGTACTTGAGATCACAATAAAACATGTAAAAGCTTAAAGTCCATCCTCTGTGTCCAAGTTGTTAGAACCTGAGGTCGACCTATTCGGTTCAGCTTATTGTTTAGTTCCAATTGTACTCCACAAAGTTTGAACCACCACTTTATGAATTAGCTATGTAGGTGCTTAGACCGGGACCGCCGAGGTCGGCATAGTGGGGCCGGACCTCCGCCACCCCGGAAAGCGGTGAGACTGGGCAGAAATATTCCTCCCGAAATATTCCCTTAGAATTCCATCTCCGGCCCGCAGTGATACCCTCCCGCCTCGAAACGACCCCCATCCCTCTACTTTATCGCTTCATATCACAAATTATGAACTTTCCAGGAACCACATCCGCAGTTGGCGGCGCAGCCGCACCGCCTGGGATCGGCGGACCCCAAGATCCAAATATCAAGGCTGTACGTCTTTTTTGAATGCGCAACTTTTCTTAGGCGGGCGCATGTGCTAATCGTGAAAAAATACAGGTCCAAGCTGCGATGGAGTCTTGTTTTGGAAAATCGGTCATGTCTGGAGTGATGGGTTTCGGCATGGGCGGCCTATTCGGAATGTTCATGGCCTCGGTACGTTTCTTGAATTCTACGAAATGATGAAATCATAAGCTAATCCCTTCTAGATGTCCTACGATACACCCTACCACACAGCCGCGCCCGGCAGCCCGCAAAACACAATCACGTCGCTTCCCCTCAAGCAGCAACTCAAGATTGGCTTTAAAGACATGGGTGTGCGATCGTGGGGGATGGCGAAGAACTTCGGCAAGGTCGGTGCGCTGTACTCGGGCGTCGAGTGCGGTATTGAAGGCTTGCGAGCAAGGAACGACCTCACCAACAGTGTCGCGGCGGGATGTGTGACGGGTGGCATTCTGGCCAAGAATGCTGGTCCTCAAGCTGCTGCTGGCGGTTGCTTGGCGTTTGCGGCGTTCAGTGCGGCTATTGATGCGTACATGCGGTCGCCACCCAAGGACGACTAAACTTGGCGAAATGATACAAAGTAAAAAAGGGTATTGGCTGCGTCGGTTGTAAGAGGTATACAGATATGCTTGAATTTTCTGCAGATGTGGGAGTTTATGGTTACCATGTTTCTAGAGCATAGGACAGGCGTTGGGAGATGGACTCTCCCCTCTTTTGGATTCTTGGCCACCAGTTTTGAGGGCGGTATATGGATAGACGCGGAGATGATGACATGGGACATGTATCAACAGGTGTTTAATACCTGAGCTTCATAGAAGAGCAGCTCGTGTAGAATTAACAGTCTACGGTGTATTTGTAATAACCCAGAAGCATGTTTTGCAAATGTCTATCCCAGAAGTGTAGTCCGAATCCTCCTTTCTCCCTTAACGCCGCGCTACCAACATCAAAACCACTTTGCATACAATCTGTTAGCCTTTTCAGGCTCACTTTGCTTGGTATACTTGGAAAGAACCAAACTCCCAGTAAGCATTCTTGAACGCTTCAGGATTGTTTGCAACGAGGTCAGTGCAATTTCCAGAACCTGTGATTCTGTTAATAACTGGTTGACTACAACCAAATGAATAAACTTACACTCAGAGTTATCCCAAACAGAGTAGACCAGACTTCCGCACAAATCGATGTTTGCGATGATACTCTGGTTCTTGAAATGAGAACCAATATTGCAGTCAGTGTTTGGAAAGTCGGCGAGAGCGGTACCCCAAGTGCTGGGTGTGGGTTTGTTTCCCTTGATATCAGAGGGGATCGAGTTTCTGGCGAACTGCCACATACGAATGCCCTCGTCTCGCCACTCGACAGCCATGACACCTCCTCCATTCTTGTTGAAGGCTGTGCCAAACCCATCAGCTTCTGATTTGACACCACATCCTGCGTTATCACTTTTCTCATGGTTGCAGTTCTTTTGTAGAGCTTTGCCAGTGTCCTTGCGACGAACGTCCATGGAGCAACCGCCCGTGGTGTGTAACGTCATCTGATTTCCATCATCGGCTTTGTTGGTAGATTCCATGATATCGATCTCACCATGCTCGGGCCAGTTGGATGAATCGGTGAGCCAAAGCGCAGGCCAAGTGCCACAGCCGTAAGGAGTATGCTTGACGTCAAAGATGAAGAGACCCTTTTCGTATGTCTTCTTGGACTCGACTCGAACGGAAAAGCGGCCAGTTGAGGCGTTAGGTTTATCGTTGGGTCCAACAGAAGTGTCAACTCGCAGGAATGCCGAGTCAGAAGCCGCATAGGTGAGGTTCTGTGGATGTTAGTCGACCGTGTTACTACGTAGGACTTGACTATCTGGCTCATGAGGGTCAAGTTGAACTTACAAGAGACTCTGCTTGTTCTTTGGGAACGTAGTGAACAAAGCCCTCGGCTAAAAGGTGTCAGTGATTGGTTGGCACTGTGATAGATGCTGGAGCGATACTTACTGGGATCGTATCCAGTGAAGTAGTGGAACTGGTCGAAGAAGGACTCTCCTCCGTCTGTATGTTGGTCAGAGCCTGTTTTTTTTTAAATGTATGCTGTTATCAACCTACATGTGTCTGCTAGACTGTATTCCAGTGTCGAGTAGTCTGGGTATCTATTCTTTCTGGATTCTGAAACTGCGACCGCAACGATGATAATGATGACAATCACAACAATTGTGGCGACTCCAGCCCAGACTCTCTTTCGCCAGTAGCGAGGATTGTACCAAGGCATACGAGAGGGTGCATGTCGAACATCTTGACCCTTGCGAGGGAGCATAATCTCGTCGTAGGCAGGAGCCTCTCCGGACTTGACCCCTGAAGAAAATCGTGACATTTTTTATGCTGAATAAAAGTGAAAGATTTGGGTGTGACAAAATTTGAGAGAATGAAAAGTTGATGTTGCGTGTGTCAAGTGTGAAGTGAATGTAGTTGCAAGAGAAGAGCAGGCGGGAATGGGGAGTTGTCTCAGCCAAGAGCAGGAGTGAGTCAATATTCTTTTCTTATCACAGGAAGGAGTGTGAAGTGAGGAATCTACGTTGAAACATTTAAGAGGGAGTCGGAAAGAGCATACCTCGCGCCTGCAAAACCTCCCTTCTCTTCTTAGCAGTGAATCACAACAGTGAGTGGCAGTGTCTAAGGTACTAACTTAACCTAGGCCATTTAAGACAAGCCTCTTACATTTATAACCTTCACCTCATACACTAGAAACCGAGACAAATTCCTATAAAAGTTATTTAAAGGCATTAACCCACTCACATTCCCCCCACATGCCGTCTCCCCGTCCTTTTCTACTGCATCTTGCGGTGGTGGTTGCGCCAGCGATATCAGACATTGTTGAATGTGGTGATGATGCTGATCCATGTCAGGTCGTGTTGATAATACAAGGATAACACGAGGAATCAACATCAAAAGATCAAATATTCATCTACTAAGAACACAAAAATAGTATGCGGCCATTATACTATTTTCCATGTGTCATGGGCGTGTTTAGACCCGAGGTGGTTTGAAAGATAAAGAGACGCGTAATCTCAACTAACACTATCTGTCGCAAAGACCGCTATACCAAATCACCCAAAAGTGAAGGCACCTTCCCTAGGGATGCAGGCTAGCAGGCTTTATCACACTATCGCTACCACAGATCCATGGCCGGAAATACGGCCTGATACCGCGTCACCTTTCTGCTTTTCTTGTCGGTATTCTCCACTGAGAAGAACGAACTGGAACTATTTGGGCCTTAAAGTTAGAGGTAAATGCCCTATTTGGTCCATTGGAGCGTATGGAACGCAACGTCACCGGCCGCTAAAGCATTGAGGATTATGGATACTTACACATACGAGACTTGCCGCAGAGCCGAGACAGAGATGTTTTATTGTGCCGGAGGCCGTATAAGCTTTAACAACTTATACAATCAGTCTTTCAGGGGTAATTCAACTACTCAAAGCTACTACCAGAGCGTCATGGAATAGTCAATTGCTAGGTTGCGTGCACGCATTTGCTGCCTCTACCTCACACTGACAACGTCTTGGAAATGGCCACAACAGCACAAACCCAAGCTCCAAGATCAGTAGTAAACATCCTCGTGTTATTAACACTCACCCACCTCTCCAGCATCCCAACGCCATCCGTCCCCTCCACTGCACAGTTATCCTCCCACAGGGCCTTGAGCTTTCCCGCCACGGCAGGCACATAAGTCAAATGACCCAGCGCCAGGGCAGCCGAGCAGCCGTACCAGACCAGCGACCCGCGAGACTCCAGCAGAGCACGGTCACGCCAGATGTTGGCGATGGAGGTGCTGAATGTGAGGCCAATAAAGGTGAGGACCGCCCAGGGGCCTGAGCCGTAGAAGTTGGCGATGTAGCCCGGGAGTATCTCGTTTGCTGTCTTGCGTCCGATCGGGGGTTGGGTTAAGAGGGAGAGGAAGAAGCTTTGGTCGCGCGCGAACCAGAGGGTTATGCTTGATGAGACGAGGGGAGCAGTCAGAAGAAGAACCCTGGGGTTGAAGAAGGCTCCAGACGCCATGATTTTTGGTGTGAGTTGAGTAGACGAGACGAATCTTGCAGTCAAACAAGGTGTAGTTGTCGCTTTCTGTTTATTGTTGCTGACTGATGCCAATAATTGAGGGTGAGGCGTTCCTATTATATCTTATGTGAGACGAGACTCGCAATGACCAATAATGAAACCAGAAAGCCCCCGAAGTCTTCAACTCTTCTATCGGTGTCAGTTATTCCAGCATCACCTGATTCTGACATGCCCATCAACTCCACCTTCACGATCCTTCAATACCGCATTAGGCAATATCACAACCTCAAACCCTCCGGTCCTGCAGGAACAACAACCGGAGGTTTCTCTCAACCTCAGTATTGTCGGATGACTTCGGAAATTTGAGTATCACGTCTCCTAATTATTCTCTTGATTCCAACTCAAGACTCGTTTATTAGGATCAACTATGTATTATATAGCCCAGAAGTCTAGTCGATCTCCAGCCTGAGCGCATCATACTGCACGTACACCGTCGTGGGCAGCACAGCAGATTCATAGTTCGTCGCATTAAAAGGCAAGCTCAGCACAATCTCATTCTCGCCCTTCTTCAAGAACCTGGCATCGAACTCAAACTTGTGCGCGATGTTGTAACAGCTCACCGAAGAGCGAACGGCGCAAGAGCTGCTTTGGTGGTATCTTTCAACCAGTCAGTACATATGGTCTTTCAGTACAAATAAGCTCAACTTACGGAATAACCCATGGCTCAAGATCCTTGCCGTTGATGTTGACGGTATACTTCAAGTTCGAATGAGGTTCAGAGGCATTGTAAATATCTGTGTTCCCAGCAGCAGTCTTGGCGCCCGCGAGCTGAACAGTGAAAGTCGCCTGCTTCTTACGCTTGAACTGCGACTCCCTCAGATCAAAGGCAATAGTCCAGTTATTGACATCGCCATTGCCCACATACTGTTCTGGGCGTGGATAGTTACCCTTTCCACCGAATACACTCCAGTGTACGTAGTTGAGATCCTTACCAACATCGCTCTCGCCAACCTTGAAGTTGACTCCGTCAGGGAAGTCCTTGACAAAGTCCCAGTTACCCCAGTAGATGCGGTACTGTTCCGGCTGCAGCGGCTTGGACGTATCAGGCTCGAAACCGTGACGGTATTCACCAGAGGTCTTGTCGGGTGTGCCAATTCGCCAGAGCTCCTTGCCCGCGGACTCTTCCCTCCAGCGAACGTTCTTCTTCTCAGTCTTGCCAGCCTTGACCTTGACCTTATCCTCAGTGTATTGCCCAAAAACATTATCGGCATACACAGTGAGACGGTAAGTTCCCGACTTTACTCGGGGAATTGTAGCTCGGCCGCTCTCGTCGAGATTAGCCCAGTACTGGTACGCCTTTGTATCGAAGACGTTATCCTGAAAGTCAACGCCGCTCTGTGCGAGAACAGCGATGGGGTTCTTGGCTCCCTTGGGAAGATCGACCTTAACTTGAAAAGATCCTCTGGACTTGCTTGGTACATAATTGGGAACATGCTTCGCGATTGAATCGTAAAAATCGGCGTTCCATTCAGGGTCCGCGTATTGCGCCGCGTCGGCCTGGGCCTTCAGGATATCGGTCTCGCCAGGGAAACGATTAAAGTGAAAGTATTGCTACAGGAAGTTAGAAAGAATGGGTTAAGGATGCTTCAGGCAAACTTACAGGTCCAAAGGTTCTGTCAAATCCGTTGGTGATATTGGGCTACACATGTTAGTTGCCAGTCAGTGAACAGCCAAAGGACGAACTCACTGTTTGGTCTCCGTGGTGGTTAGAGCTAATATAGTTGTACAGAATACCATCAACAACCAAATCAGAGTGCAGTGGTCCTCCAAAGTAAGTGTCCTTGGTATTCATAACAAGCCAAGCGCCATAAGCATCTCCGTCCTCAGTCTTAGAGCCATCGGCGAACCTATTATATATCAGCCAGCTGTTTCAAACATTCGAACACATCAAACTTACAGTCCATAAGCATCAATATCACGCCAGTTGTCCTGGAATGTGTATTTGGTAAAGTAATCCGCCTCCTGCTTGACATAAGGATCGTCGGGAGTGTTACCCAGATACCATGTAGCATCCTGTACCACGACTTGCTTCTCCTTAGCCTCCTTACCCGGGAGAGGCGCGTATTGCTTCGTGTTGGTCAGGAGATGAGTCCACATATCGTTGTTCGGTCGGAAGAGCGTTCGAAGTTCTTGTAGGTTGCGCAGAAACGGCTGCTCCTCATTGTGGTATGCGACTCGGCTGAATGTATGCAGGCCGGTTTCGCCGTCTCTCAGGAACCAGTATTGTTCCAGGACCTGTCCCGTCTCGGCGTATGTGTCGGACATAACAATACCGCCATAATCCTTGCCCTTGGAGTCTTTACCCTTGAAGAGCTTGTATTTTGGAGTCACAGAGCCTGGAGTCCAGAAACCCTTGGGTGTGCAGTAGCAGTCGAGGTAGGGGCCGATGCCTGTCGAGCCTGACGGGCTGCCGAGCAGATTTGTCCCGTCGAGGGTGAGCTTCACGATAGCACCGCCCTTCTTCTGGACAGCCGCGTACAGACGGTCATTGGAGATGACCAACTGAGTGTCAGTTTCGGTCGCATTGAGAGCTGCGGCAACCAATTGAGGCGCATGAAGCAGCGAGACGAGGAAAGCTGCCGAAAGCTTGCGGAACTTCATGGTAACGATGGGAGATGGTGTAAGTGACAAAGACCATTCGAAGCTATCACTCAACAGCTTCAGGACAATCAATGCGACTTCATTTCCTTTTTATAACTTCCGGAGTATCTCTCGTACCCCACAACGAACCCCCAATAACCCTTGTGGGGGATGAAGCTGCCATGAGCAGGCAAGGATAGCTTGGCCAGAATGGCTGTGTTTCCCCATGGGGATGTTGTCGATCTCATCTTTTCAGGCTAAGACCAAAACTTTAGCCCAGAATTCGGGCGAAATAGCAGCCCTTGCTCTCGGTTTTCGGTACAGGTATGAGCGAGTCTCAGGGGAAGCTTCGTTTAACACAGGGAACAAACTAGCTAACAATATGATGGTGGTACGGAGGTTAACTGTCATCTGTTCACCGTCTTGTACCCCGCGAAATGGCTTAAATTGGTTATAATGCCGAAATGCAGAGGAAGATGGGATACAGAATTCCACGTATTAGAGACCGAGGCTCCCCAACAATGGTCTTAGCACAGAGGTTTGATCCAAGTCATGAGGCAGTTGATTAAAATTAATTCGCAAAGCACCGGGGGCTGTGCTTTGCCTAGTGCCTTGGTATTGTAAAGATGCCCTTTGAAACGCAAAAAGCTGCTGATTGACGCCTGACTGAGTCTAACTGTAATAACCAACCACACCTATCCGTACAATCTGCTGCTTAATCTTCATCATCGTCAGGGTCAACTCGTGGTCGCTTAGATTGTCTGTTGTCTTCGTCCTGCAAGCCGTAACCTCGCTTTGATGTTGAGTTCTGGTCCACCTCGGACAAGAACTTATCCACATTAAAAGGATCTCCTGCATCCTTCTCGAATTGAACTGGTCCTTCTCGCGCCTGTATCAATGTTAGTAAAGTGTCAGATGAAAACGTGAAAAAATGTTAAACTGACCTCTGCGTCTGCGGCGCCCTTGAAAGTTCCCTTGCCAAGGGCTTCACCGAAACGGCTGCTCTTTTGGATCTTGGCCATTTCACGGTCACCAGCCTCGGCATCGTCGTCATCGTCAGCGTTTGCTCTGGGTCGATAAATGCTGGTAATGGCGTCTTGTGCGGCGAAGAGAGGCTTGTCGTACGGGTTGTCCTCGTTGATGCCACTATCAAATCCACTTGTCTGGTTGAATAATCGCGAGTCGTACATCGTCTCCTTTGATTGTGTAGGTTTAGCAAGACCTAGAGCAATCTTCTCCGAGATATCTCTGCCTTGTTCACGGGCCATAACTTGAGCTCGTCGCTCAGCACCCATACGATTCTGACGCAGCTTTCGCTCCTCCTCTCTTTGCTTCTCTTGTCGTGCCTTGACACGCTCTTTAACTTCATCATCTTCGCTGTCAGAGCGGTCTGACTCAGAATAACTGTAACTTCGCGATCGTGACCTTGAGTCTCTTGAGTCTCTTGAGTCTCTGGAATCTTGAGAGTCCCTGCGTCCACGGCCAGCAGCAGATCGCTCCGCGCGAGCTTTCTGGGCCAGTTCTCGGAGAGTATCCTCCTTCTGCGCCTTCTCCTTCTCTGCTAAACGCTGTTGCATCATCGCGCGTTGCTGAACCTCCTCACGAGCATGGCGCTCAGCCATCTTGACAGCTTCAGCAAACTGAGCATGTTTGTCGCTGATAGCAATATCCTGAAGGCCTCTTCCATCTGCTGCCAAACGCTTATCCAAAGGTACAGTGAAACCCTTGGGATTCTTCCAGTTCGAAACAGGGGGAGGAATCCTCCACATCTCTTGATCTTCGGCTGTAAGCTTTCGAGGTGGTGAATGCATGACTGGCGGAGGCGGCGAAGGGGGTCCTCGAGGAATCTTCTTGTGTTTGAATTTCGGGGGTTCCATAGGATCACGTTGTCGTTCGACAATCTTCATGATGCGGTCTTGCTTCTTAGAATTGTCGCCCATCTGGTTTGCTGGCGTGTATCGAACGAAGGTAGGGTCTTTTCGCTGTCCAATGTTGACGTTCTTCGGCTTCTGGGCTGCTACTGCACCGCTGACCAGTGCGGCCAGTGCATTTTTCGTCCTCTCTGTTGTAGCCTCGACAGATTCCTTGTCAGGTCGCGAAAGATCGATCTCGCCCGCATCGGCGCGCTGTCGAAGAGGGATGAGTTCTTTGAAGGAGGTGTGGACTATGCGGCTTTCGCTGTGGCCCTGTCGCGCGATGGCATCGTATTTGACCTTGCCTTCGGCATCAACCTGAATTGCCAACGCGTTGCTGGAGTTCGCACCCTTCTTTCCCATCTCTAACGGATACTGAGCGATCGGGATTTCTGGAAAGGCGCCTCCATCTCCGAAATCTTCTTGCGACCGAGGACGCCATCCTGAACGTTGACCGTAGGCAGGAGGGCCAGATCGCTTGAGAACGAGCTGCGTTTCGTCGAGCTGGCCGGGGCCTACAATTCGAACACCGCGTTGTTGCGCCCGCGCGGGAGTCTCTTCATCCTCTCCCGTATATCTGGGCTTAGGCAACGCAGCCTGGAGCGATCCGGCGATCGATGTCATTGTTTTGCTGTTGTGAGGATGAAGTTGTATGATTTGTTTGACTGTCGCGAGGCTCCAAGGTTTAGAATTTCAAGAGGCGACCGTCCTAAGTGGGTTTAGCGCGGGATGCCTGGAGCACTGCGCCAAGATGACGGTGCGTCAACTGCTCCAGAACTGCCCCAGAAACAATGGATTAAGTAGATGGATGTACTGCGATCAACTACTTTTCACAAAAGTATAATTCAGGAAGAAAAAGGCGGTTCTCAGTTTTGGCAGGATGAATAGGACAACATAACTCATGATGCTACCTTCACCAACCACTAAACTAGACGTCAGTGAATGGTTAAAGACTCTTTTATCCAGGGTAGTACCGAGTATCAGGAACTTAAAAAATGGTTATCGTTCAGCGATGTAAGAGACAGGAAGACTCCAAGTATTTAGCAAACAAAATCCTAGGTATTTCAAAAGAGGTAAATTATGACACTGAAGTGTCATTATATCAGCCATCTAAGTAAAGCATCAAGCGCATCATGACTTCTTTCACATCAGTACCGCAACCCTTTAGGTCAAAACCAAGTGCCAGACTCTCAAAGCAGGCCAAGCGCTCTGCTCCATTGATTATACATAACACTTCCATATCCCGTCTCCCTTTTGATTCCACGCCTCGTAACACCCAGATCCATCGTAGTATATCTAATACAGCGAATTGTTTATACGTAACCCTTTCGCGCACCCTAATTATATAATCAGCTGACATTCCTACTGCATAAATAATGGTTAAACTCACCTGGAAAAAGAATCGAACAACAAACACCTGCAGGGCACCCATGCAGATGATTAGGCCGATCTGGATCATGCTGAAGTTGATGATGCGGCCCTCAGTGCTGTTGACAGTCGCAAAGTTTCGGTTCTCACGGGTTCGGAAGTACTTTTGGTTTCGCGAGATGGTGGAGAGTTGACCGGAGACCTTGAAGATGGACTCCTCGAGGACCGATGTCTGTTCGGGGGTGGTACCCTGCTTGGAGGGCAGTTGGGCGCGCGACTCGTTCTCGACAGCGATCTCGAAATCGACAAACTTCTCGGCGAAAGTACTCATCTCGTTATCGAAGCAGAAAGAGTAATCGCCGACAACATTGGCGGAGAAGACAAAGTCTCCCTGTCGCTCCTTTTGACCGTCCATGATGATCTTGCCATTGGGACCCTCAACAATGTAGTCGACATCGAAAGAACCACCGGATTGGACCTGCAATAAATGTTCAGCTGGAGATTTGGTGACTAGTGTTTTATCGAAGCAAGCTCACAGCAAAGTAGAATGCGATCTTCTCGCCCTGCTTTTTCGTGGTCGTGTGGAAGCAGGCCTTCTCGTTGGCGTCGAGCTTGTAAGTCAAAGCGGTAGCAGCGACATTGGTGATCAGGCAGGCAAAGAGCCCAGCGACAATCGTTGGTAGTCTCATTGTTGCGGCGTTGTATGAGAGGTTGTCGCGTGCTGATCAGGACAAGCTGTCGCTAAAGTGGACATGTGCTGTAAGTAACTGAACGGGCCACGATTGAGCTTCCAGAGTCGGCGCGGAATTTTGCCAGCACCGACCCCCTGGAAAGACCCCTCCTGAGCTCCTTTTTTTAGGAACTGATACAGCCACAGTCAAGCCACAACTTTACAGCTATCCACTTGAACCAATACGCGTCAAGGAGTTGTATTACCAGGCTATCGCGGGTCATGACCTCACTCCCCTGTCAGTCCTTTCATCAAATATAACAAGATAAAACGTGATTGTTTTCTCGAATGAACCATTCATTTTCATGTCACATCTAACATTGACATGACTTGACCTTCTAATAATCAATTTCAATCCTCCGCTTCTTGACTCTCCTTAACCCTTATCACTCAGTTTAGGGTCCATTTTCTTAATTACACCACCAGTCTCGTCTAAGCTTTCGCGAAGCACCTCCTTATTGCTCTTGTCTCATCTCACTGAAACCGTGTTCAACATGGCCATCCAAACGAAGGCCGCAAAGCTATCCTCAGTCGCACTGAGGATAAGCGCGTTCATATTCTTCAGACTTGTTTGTACTTCCTATCCCATTGTATGACACCATGCTAACCACATACTACAGTTCCCTGTAAGCACTGGTTATAAAGAGCCATTCACGATCACCCAATCTAACCACAGTAATAGGCACACTTTGCCTCAGTTGCATTTGCACTATTCGCAATCTATGTTCCATCATACATTGCGAGCTACTTCACAAAGCCAGGCATTGGTGTCCTCAAGGATGAGGTCGATGTCACTCTCAAGGAGTCCACCATCACATCTGAAACCCCCCTATTGACCGAGGATGGTGTCGCAGTCGTACCTGAGCCTGAAGTGGTCACAGATATTGTCGCTATCAAGGAGAACATTGTTGTTGGAGAAAAGATTCCTAGCATCACCAACATCCTTCTGTCAGGAGGTCCCAGTTCTAAGCGCCCAATTGCGTCTTTCTTGACCTTCCTCCTCAACTCTATTCTCATTGGTCTGACAGCTGATGCTCTGTATCGTGCACGATGGTATCATCCTGCCAACGATTTGTCTTTTGTTCGACTTGGATATGTGTCACCATCAGAGGCCAGATTCGTGATTCGCGAGCCTGATCAGCTGCAAATGCCCATCATTTTTGAGTACCAGGTCAAGGATGATGAGCCAAAGTACGACACCAACTTGTGGCTCACCGCGGGTTTCATTACTTCAACGGATAACAGCACTGACTTCACCCAAACTCTTACGGTGCCTCTTGATTCAGCAAAGCAGATGACTTACGAGTGGAGGACCTCCAACCATCACACAGGCGAGTTTCGCTCCGCCCCCAAGGCCGGAGAGATGCCCAACACCAAGGACGGCCTGTTTACGTTCCTCTCCACCTCTTGCATTCTCCCTCGCTTCCCATACAACCCATTGGATCACGCTCTTGCTATTCCTGGACTGAAGAATCTGGCAAACTTGCTGCCCAAGTTGGACCCTCAATTCATGCTGTTCCTCGGAGATTTCATCTATGTTGATGTTCCTGAACGATTTGGAAAGACTGCCGAGGAGTATCGCATGCAATACCGACAGGTTTACGCTTCCCCCGATTGGGCTTCTGTTGCTCAGAACTTGAGTTGGATTCACGTCCTCGATGACCATGAGATTTCCAATGATTGGTCCTCAAACACAACTGGAATCTACAGCGCAGCTGTCGACCCTTGGCATCTTTACCAGGCCAACGTCAACCCGCCGATCTCTAAGTCTGCAGGCCCTCTCAACGTGAGACACAATGCCACCTGGTACGAATTCACTCAGGGACCAGCCAGCTTCTTCATGATGGATACTCGCAGCTACCGCTCCAGCAACGATGCTCCTTTCAACGCGACGGACAAGACCATGCTAGGCAAGGACCAGTTGGTTGACCTCCTGGCATGGCTGGCACGTCCTATGCCGCAAGGAGTACGATGGAAGTTTATTGCTTCTTCTGTTCCATTCACCAAGAACTGGCCCGTCAACGTCAAGGACACATGGGGTGGTTTCCTTACTGAGAGAAAGCAAGTTCTTGAGGCTATGTGGGATTCTGGTGCACGAGGCACTGGCGTTGTCATTCTGTCTGGTGATCGCCATGAGTTCGCCGCCACTAGATTCCCGCCCCCTGTTGACTCGCGATGGCCACAGTCCGCTGCTGCTCACGAATTCTCTACAAGCCCCCTTAACCAGTTTGCTTTTCCCGTCCCTACATACAAGCAGACAGATGATGAGGATATCTTGATGAAGTAAGTATATGTTCCATTCTAAACAGCTTAGTTGCTAACAGTTATAAAGCTACATCCCTGGAGGCCAGTCTAAGTTTGGTTCATTCTCGATCGAGAAATCTGAGGATGACAGAAGCTCGCTTCACTACACCCTATTCATTGACGGAAACGAGTCATGGAAGACAACCGTTGAAGCTCCGGACTCTCCCGAGCCAGTTCCCGAGATTGTTCCTCCTTCTTTCTGGGACAAGATTAAGTTCTTTTAGATGGAGGGCACATTTGCATGGAAGGCTGGCAGTCTGACTTTCTGATTTTGAGTTTTGCTTAGTACCATGTAATTGAGAATTCGCACATTATCAATAAAGCTACTTTTCTAATTAGATTTCCTGCTCAACCGTGGTAAATAACCAGTTACTAAACCCTTTAATGCTTATCTCTGCGTCGTACACTTCTTGTTATTCCATCCCCGGGCTTCTTTACGGATCACGGCCCCACTGGAATCGGCCCCACGAACCATCCACCGAAGCTTAGCTCACCGCCCAGACCCACCCTCCAATCGCCAGAAAATTTCCCCGGCAAAATTCTCAAAAGTTTGACGACCAGTCAAGATCCGCGACGCTCCCACTAAAGACATTATACCTCCCAGCTACATCAACACAACAAAGTCACAATGGCTGGACCTGGAAACAAAAAGAGAAAACAGATTGAGGGTCGTCTACAAAAACCCTCAAAGAAGCAAAAGAGAAAGCAATTGCGAGAATACAACAGTGATTCTGAATCCGAAGAGGCGCAAGAGTTTGATGCTGTCAACCTGCTCGATTCCGACGATGATATTCACAATGTCCAGGTGGACGACGTTGGCGGTTCTGACCATGAAGTTTCCAGCTCTGATGGTCAGGGCCCTGCCCTAAAGAAGCCTATCAAGAAGACAAAACAAAACAACAAGACACAGAAGGCCAAGGACAACAAGCCAGAAGCTGAGTCCGAGGAGGAGGAGGAGGAAGAGGAAGAAGATGACGATGATGGCTCAGATGACGACGACGAAGACGATGACGGCGAGCCCTCTGGCAAGCGCAAGAAATCCAAGCGAAACGACCCCAATGCTTTCGCGACGTCGCTCTCCAAGATTCTCAACACCAAGCTATCAACTTCCAAACGATCAGATCCCGTCCTCGCCCGAAGTGCCGCAGCACACGAAGCCTCCAAGGCAGCCGTCGACAGCGCTCTAGAGTCCAAGGCCAGGAAACAGCTCCGTGAAGCCAAGAAGCGAGCATTCGAGAAGGGCCGAGTAAAGGATGTCCTTATCGCAACCACAGTCGACAATACCGGAGAGCTCGAGACATCTACATCCGAGATCATGGTGACGGAGAGGAGGCTACGCAAGGTCGCCCAGCGCGGTGTTGTCAAGCTGTTTAACGCCGTCCGCGCTGCGCAGGTCAAGGCTGTTGAGGCCGAGAAGGGTACAAGAAAGGAGGGTGTCATCGGTATGAAGAAGCGTGAGGAGAAGGTCAACGAGATGAGCAAGAAGGGATTCCTGGAGTTGATTGCCTCAGGAGGTGGCGGGTTGAAAAAGGGAGCGCTCGAGGAGGCTTAATAACATTTATGTGTGTGTTCTTTCTTTTTTTTAAGAGGAGTAGTGGAATCATTAGGTCGAGCTCTTCCGACCTCGCAACCAAAGTCACAACAAAGATACCCCCGTATGATGCACCTGAATCCCCGTCATCGCTCAGTTCCAAATCCTTCCAACAGTATGGTAATCTTACAAGTACAGTTTTTTCCCTCATATAACACATATGTCTCATATCATAATCTTCCTAGCTGCCGAAATCGCTCGCTTGCAGGTTCCTCGTCATGGATGGCAGCTTCACCACTAGGCCGTCCATCTCCTTGGTCATCTTCACCTGGCAACCCAATCGACTTGTCTCCGTAAGTCCGAATGCCAGATCCAGCATGTCGTTCTCGTCGTCCTCAGGCTCGGGCATCTTGTCGAAGTATTCATCCTCGGTAACAATGACATGGCATGTCGAGCAGGCGCAGGAACCTCCGCAGGCGCCCTCCATCTCTAGATCGTTTGCTTGGGCGATGTCGAGGAGGTTATCGCCCTCGGAAACGGCAAACTTGTTCTCCGTACCATCCTTCTCAATAAATGTAACATAAAGTCTAAGCAATGTTAATTGGATGATACTCGGTTTTGGATTTTGCGGTTTAGACATACTCCTCACCCGCCTTCGGAGGGTCGATATGTCCGTGCCGTCTTTGCGTTGACGTGGTGAAAGCTCTCTGGGAAACGGGCGAGAATCGGACAGCTCCGGTAATCATGGCAGATCTGGTTCGAGAAGCTTGCGACAGTACATTCTGGCCAAGTCGCATAGGCTGTGCTGTTCGTGACGCGGTAGCTGGAAGCTTGGCCAAGCAAGTCGCAAAGGATCGTGACGCCGACATAGTTCCGTGGAATTCGGGGTGTCGGCCGAGATACAAGGTGACAATTAATGGGAGGAATTAGGTAGTTGTAATGGTACAGCGCAGAAACAAATCCTCCAGTGTTCCGGATAAGCGCGAAGGGGTTTGAAAGACTCTAAATGCGTCAATTTTGCTCAATGGTAGCTTATGCCCCCGTCTCGTCCTCTCACGGCCAAGATGATATTAAGCAGCCCGGAAAAAAAGTGAGTAGCTTCGGATAGCAGAGGGCGCTTTCGGCCGGGAAATCCATTGGCCGGAGTCCGACGTCTAACTCCGGGTGGCCGGGGTGGGGCCATGGACAGGCATGATTGCATTTTCTCTGGTGGGAACCGAAGCTCTCTCATTGTGACTGTGACTGTGACTTTGACTTTAGCTTTGGCTTTGACTGTCGACAATTCTTTTCCCTAGAGGCCCATGTCGTCGTGTTGCCCGGGTCAATCATGTCGACTAACAGAGAAGGCGTCAATCCTTTGAGGCCGTACTATATCCCTCCCACGATCGGTGAACCAGCAGAGACTATCCATAAGGCGAGCCCCAGCCCGAACCCATTCCCTGATGGACGACATGTGACTGTCGCCGGTGAAGGTTATGCCTCCAAAGCACGCGACATCCTCTCCGACCTCGAATACAATGATTACCTTGGCGACCCCTCGCCGTCGATGGTCCGAAGTGCCAAGGACCTTATCGACGACCTGCTATGGAAGTACACCTCGGTTCTCATGGCCCAGCCTTTCGAGGTAGCAAAGACGTTGTTGCAGGTCCGGAACCAGGATGAAAATGCCGCGTACGAGACCACTCCCGTTGAGCCCGAGACACCCAAGAGGAGAGTCTCTCCGCAGAGGAGCCCTATGTACGACGTGAGTGTTATCTCGAGCTTTCTGTGAGATACACCGCTAAATCATGACGCATTAGTTTAGAGATTCGGACTCTGAGGGCGAAGAGCCTGCGTACTTCACATCGAATGCCCCTCCCACTCCAACTCCTTCTGAGCCCAGAAGCATAGGCGGCCGACGGGCCATGTCTCCTGTGAAGAAACCGATCCAGCCGGAACATTACCTTACACTCCGCCGGCCAGACTCGATCCTTGAAGTGATCGGGCAGCTGTGGGGTAAAGAAGGTGCTTGGGGTGTGTGGAAGGGTTCAAATGCGACGTTTCTCTATACGGTGCTGCAGTCATTGCTGGAAAACTGGAGTAGAAGCTTTCTCAGTGCCATTTTCAATGTTCCAGATATGGGTGTAAGAGAAGATATTGATCGCATGATCGATATCGCCTCGCCTTATCCTTGGGCTTCTCTTTTCGTAGCCGCAGCTGCTGCTGTTGCCACGGGACTTGCTCTCTCTCCATTGGACTTGGTGCGAACTAGGTATGTTCCATGATAGCTTTCCAAAGAGCTACCAAGCTAACCATGACTAGGCTCATCGTTACCCCGAGCTCAAACGGCCAGCGCAGGACGCTAGCTACCCTCAGAAACCTCCCCTCATATGTCTGCTCCTCCATGCTAGCAGTCCCGACTATCCTTAACTCCTTGATTCACCCTCTCATCACACTTTCAACACCTCTTGTCCTCCGAACTCAGTTCATGATCGACAGCCATGCCTCCCCCATGGCCTTTTCCATCTCCAAATTCATCGCCTCGTCATCTGCGATCCTTCTCAAGCTGCCCATTGAGACTGTTCTTCGACGTGGACAAGTTTCGCTCTTGTCCAGCCGTGAATACGTAGAGGCTCTCAGCGGCCCTGGCCAACAATTCAACACCATCGTTCCTCCAGGACGTTACGAAGGCACCATCGGCACCATGTTCCATATCGTGAACGAGGAGGGAACTCACGAGGTCTCGAGCACAAAACCAGCTGCAGTTAAGAAGGCCAAGGCTAAGACTAAGGGTATTGCCACCACGGTGCACAAGGGCCAGGGCCGCGAGGGACTCTGGAGAGGTTGGAAGGTCAATTGGTGGGGTCTTGTTGGCCTCTGGACCGCGAGTGTGGTCGGCCATGGCGGAGAAGGCGAGTTCTGAGACCTCTCAGTGAACAGTGAGCAGTGAGGAGTGTTTGCTCTGCATGTACTGAGGTGCATTTTCCTGGCATGGCGTTGCGGTTGGGATGTATCTCTCCCCTACGAGCTTGACGAAGAAACGGCATGATATCCACCTCCATCATTATGAGATGGTGTAAAATGAAAAAAGGGGGTTGTTTTCCTAGTAGTTCATACTTTTTATATCCCAAACGACATATCACAACTCCGAATATCCAATGAATATCGTATCCACCGCTCAGTTGATCGGCGACTTGATTGAGCATACATTGATCATTGAGGTCTATTCCCTTTACTTTTGAATCAGTAGCGCCTAGGCCGACCTGCAGGCCTTGGTGGATCGGGTCTCAAAATCTCCCGTCTCAGCTCTGGAGTGGCGTACGGCTCATTGCATCGCAACGACTCAGTTCTCTCCAATGACCATGCATGTTCGGAATAATCCATGTTGAAACAACAGCTGCAAGCCCCCGTCACGTTCTGTTCTGTTTGCATGCAACCAACAGCGGGATCCCATTCGCCTCCACAGCCAACTTAACGCCTTGGATTCAGCCTCTCGCACTGATTCAAGCGGTCATCTCACGGCATTTTCATCTGACTCTGCGCTTACCAAGCGTTTGCTCTCATATATCTCCTACTGTGGCTGTTTCTTGGCACGTTGAGAATCTTGTCTAACCGCGTTGTACAGGCCAGGGGATAGAGGTTGACAGCCGAAAGGGAGGCCAATCATAACAGAGCCGATACATCCATCGGGTATTGATTCGCCGGGGAGCAGGATAACTACATCGGAGAAATGTGTTTGTATGTGCCTTTAATCAAGGTAAGGTTATCGTTGGTGTGGAAGGATTGCAGGATGGCTGAGGGCTACCAAGCATCGAGCCTCAGAGAAAACCATTCCAATACAAAGTAATATGTATAAAAGGATCGCTCTCACCTCCAAGATTGAGAGATGTGAAAGAAGCAGATCGTTCCCTTCGTCTTATTCTGGAAACACTCTTTTGTTCTCTTCACACATTCTTTAAGCTATCTACTTCTGTCCTTATCTTCACCATGACCTTCCTTTCCAAGATGAATCCCTTCACGGCCTCTCTCTGGCTTACTCTTCTTGTCCCTGCCGTCACCGTCTCTGCACATGGCCACGTTAACGAGATCATCGTCAACGGCGTGGCCTACCAGGGTTACGGCAGCACTGACTTTCCCTACATGGAGAACCCTCCTGTGGTTGCTGGCTGGACTATCTCCCAGAAAGACAACGGCTTCGTTTCTCCTGACCAGTATAGTGAGCCTGACATCATTTGCCATCGCGATGCCACTCCAGCCAAGGGACACGTCGAGGTTGAAGCGGGAGATACTCTCACTCTTCGGTGGTCAGGCTGGCCTGAAAACCACAGCGGCCCCATCTTGAACTACCTCGCCAACTGCAACGGTCCGTGTGAGAGCGTTGACAAGACTGAGCTCGAATTTTTCAAGATCGACGGGCTGGGTCTTCTCGAACAGGGGACTCCTGGCAAGTACGCAGACAGTGTCCTCCAAGACAACGGAGATAGCTGGAATGTTCGAATTCCAGAGAACATCGCCTCTGGAAATTATGTTCTTCGACACGAGATCATTGCTCTGCACAATGCTCTCGAGCAAGGTGGTGCTCAAAATTATCCTCAGTGCTTCAACCTGAAGATTACTGGCGATGGCTCTGACACTCCTGCTGGATATCTCGGTACAGAGCTCTACGACGCCGAAGATCCTGGAATTCTTGTCAATATCTACACTAGCTCTGTTGACTATGAGGTTCCTGGTCCAACCATCGTTGAAGGAGGCGTATCATCGGTAGATCAGGAGCCTTCCCAGGCCACGACAACCGCAAAATGCACTACTCGATACTAGGGAGTTTTTGATGTGGCATTAAGATCATGAAACTTGAAGATGTTGTGGTGGTGGTGGTGAGCTTGGTGTTGGCTTGTTCATTGACATTCTTTCGGCTGGTACGATGTTGGTGGATTGGATTGAGATTCACTTCAGATTATTAGGTGTATTGCTTTAGCTTACGTATACATAAGCGGAGATTTGAATGAATTTGAATATTCTTTTGTGTTTCAATACTATGGTTGTCTTGTGTTTCGTGCGTGCCATACTCAACAATGAACTACCATTTAAGGATCTTCTTTCGATCGAGGCCGAGTTTACACGAAGCTTAAACTCGCCGATATATAAGACGAGATTATATGCAAGTAACAAGAAGAGGAGAGTAAAGAACTCACATCGTTTGTAATTACAACGAACATTAAATGAACAACGTACCAAGTTATGACACCCACCATGCCATGTCATCTGAATCTACAGGGTAGCTAAGATTAATTACATCGACCACGTGACCTGGCGTTGTCATGTCACGTCAAAGAACCTTGGGTTTTCGCCGAGACAACTCGATCAACATGCGAACCTGAGAAGTCGCTGTTAAGGTTTGTTGTTTCAAACCTCGAGGCTGGACTGATTATCACTTTAATGGGAAAGTGCGCTATGTGCTGATTGTCACAACTTCTCTCAGCGCTCGCCCGACGCGCGCTATTGCATCTCCTTTTCTAGTCTTTTGCGCCCAAGCTCATATTACCGCCGTCATGGCAGCAACAGGCGTCGAACAAACGCCTGTGAATGGCGAAAAAGCGCCTGCTTCAGTGCCGCGAAAGTTCAAGGCCTCAGATCTTCCTCTACCTTCAGCGACAAGAGCTGCGATAGAATCGCTGGCTCATAGCTTCAAAAAGGAGGGAGCCTACGATTCTATCAGAAAACAAGTCTGGGACAAGTTTGAAGCCAGCGTATGCCTTTTAAGAACGCATTCGCACTTCTGTGCTAACTGAACATTTAGGATTACGAGGCTCAAGTTACCAAGTCAATACTCGAAGTGGCCGAACAAGAAATCGAACGGAATCCACAGCAGCTTCTCACACTCGACCGGAGAAAGGCAGCAGCCCTTATTGATGGTGCTCTGGAGAGATCTGGAGTTTATCAGAAAGCGGAAGACGTTATTAGCCAGTTAATCGACGTTGAAGCTATCGAAGAGCGGATCCGCGAAAGTCGTCGTGCAGACGTCGGCGAGGAAGCGGCCGAGGCAGAAAAGATCCGAGGAGCGAAAACCGACGAAGAGTATGCAGCCGACACCGAGGCTCGACGAGCAGAACGTGAACGTGTTCGGGAAGAATTGCGACAAAAAGAAGCTGCAATCGAGGAGGAAAAACGAAGAATTATCAAGGAAGAACGAAAGAAGGAGGAGCGAGAACGTGAGAAGGCCGAACTCAAACGTCAGGAAGAAAGAGACGAACGCCGCAGGAAGCGCGAACAAGAGCGCGAGGAGCGTGAAAGGTTACGGGATATCGAAAGAGAGAAGCGACACAAGGAGCGCGATCAGGATAGAGACCGTGGTCGGGACACAAGAGACAGGGACAGAGACAGAGACAGGGACCGCGATCGAGACCGAGACCGACACCATGATCGTGACAGAGATCGTCGTGATCCTGACCGACATAGGGATGATCGCCACAAGGAGAAGCAAGCTGTCTCTGCCGAATTAAAGGAGAAGCTTTCCAAAGAGGAGCACGAGCGTTTAGAGCAAGAGGCTCTGGCTGATCTACTCCGCGAAAGTTCCAAACCGACTCAAAAGCAAGAACTGGAGATTGATTCGTCCTTGGCACCGCCACCACGAAAGACAGGTCCTGTATCTGCTATCAACCCCATTCGGCGAGAACGCTCCTCGATTGCCGAAGGTCGCAAGAACAGCGACGTAGGACTTAGAGCTGAACGCGCTGGATCTGGAACCCCTGCTCAGACAAAGAGACCTTCCGCGGATGAAAACAAGCCAAGTCGTAGTGCTTCAAGGGTTGTGGAACGCGATGGAGACCGTGACAGGGCCAGAGACCGTGACCGACCTAGAGAACGAGATGGCCGTCGCGATCGGCGCTCAAACTCTCCGCGTAGAGCTCGTAGTGGCTCACGAATCAGAGATAGACGTGATCGAAGCCGTTCTCGAGTTAGACAGGAAAGACCTCGCTCGCGGACTGGTAGAGACGATCGTGGGGTTAGAAGCCGATCGCGACCCAAGTACGACCACTATGAGCGAAGCAGATCTCGAAGACGCGATGGTAGCCGTGAGCGACCGAGGGTAGCAGATCGAAGAGACAGAAGCAGATCCAGACCCCGAACAGAAAGGAGAGACCGAAGCCGGGATAGAAGAGATGGCTCACGCTCACGATTGGGACCTAACAGACCGGATAGAGTTCGCTCTCGCACACGACGTGATCGAAGCCGTTCGCGCGATGCTCGACTTGGCGCTGCTGATCATTATGATCCTCGTGAAAGAGACCGTGAACGAGATAAGGACCGACCTCGTGACCGTGATCGCGAGAGAAACGATAGATCTCCCCCTCGGCGACGAAGTCGGGAAAGAACCCGAGACGATCGTGAACCAGAGAAGCCGCGCGACAAGGCTCCTGAGAAGGCCCCTGAGAAAGCACCTGAAAAAGAGCCCGAAAAGGAAAAGGAGAAGAAGAAAGACAAACCGTCTGATCGCCGAAGCCGTTCTCGATCACGAGCCGCCGCCTCTGCCATACGACCAAACTCTAGCAAGGTACAGGATGAACTTGAAGAGTGGAAGAGGGAAGAGGTCAGGAAGCGAGAAAAAGAAGCCAAGGCCTATCTGGCGGCGCAAAAGGACGCCAGAAATAAGGGCTTGCCGATCCCAGGACTCGACGACAAGAAGAGCAGTGGTGAGAAATCTCCCGATCTACGCCGCCGCTGGGTTACAGACGATATTGACAGATATACGCCTGGAGGCCGCGAGGAGCGCAGAGGCAGTCCTTCCAGGGCCCGCGATGCGACTAAGGACCGCGACCGTGATCTCAACCGGGAAAGAGACAGAGATCGTGACAAGTTGAGAGGCGGAGACAGTTACCGCGAGCGAGACAGGGACCGAGATCGGGATAGAGATAGACGGGATAGGGACCGGGACCGATCTCGAGATCGCGACCGTGATAGGGACCGACGTGATCGTGATAGGGATCGTGAAAGAGAGCGGTCCAGAGACAGGAGGAACCGACGAGATCGCAGCTTGTCTCCTCGGCGAGAGAGGAGAGATCGTAGCCGAAGCCGTCGATAATCCTGCAACAGTCGATTCAATGGCTTTATACAAAACATAACTATTTCTAGGGATTGTTGATGGATTGGAGATATCAGTTCGATACTTGAGCCAGTAAGGGCAGGGGCTGGTTTGCTTATTTAGATACCCCTTAACACCTGAGGACGCATCAGGGCCTATCACGAGTTATTCTCATAGTAGAATACCACACAATATGAATGGCACAGAAAGTTAGCAAAATACGTTTGATCATCATTACAAGTCCGTATCTATCTATATCCAAGAGATATCATTAATCATATCATTGGCCAAACCACGACGTGGTCGCCCGAGCCACTTTTGCACTATCTAGCCCGTGGTAGTGCCATAACGCACCAGCAATGATTATGGTGATGAAGCCTAGGCATCCAATCATGATGATCTTGCGTAGAGTGGGGGACATTTCGCCCTCACGGTTCAGGGTACCTGTGCCCCATGCAACAGCCTCCTCCCATGTATTGAGGAGTTGTTCGTATCCTACTGAATACAGAACAAGACCCATGAGAGCAACTGAGTATCCAAGTGTTTGAAGGAGGGAGATGTGGGTGTTCCAGATAACAACGGAGACAGCCACGAGAAGAATGCTCTTAAGGATTCCACTAAGAGTCATGACAAGTCCTGACGTTTTACCAATCTGAATGGTGGTTAGCATTTGGAAGAAACCATCAAGATTTTGGTTCTTGCTTACAAGGAAGACGGTGATGATATTCAAGACAAATGCAAGACAAGCATTGGCGAACAGCATCCCATAGCCGGCGTGTGCTGCATCCTCCCATTGGAAACGAGGACCCTCAGTGAAAAAGACAACGACGAGATTCATGAGAGCACAGACGGGTGCGTAATAGTAAAGGCCAACAAGAGGATCCATACGGAGACCTTCTGCGCTGAGCATAACTTGAATCATGACAACTCGTACGGCTTCGGCGATGGTACCACACATCTGGGAGATGAAACCCCACCACGAGAATTCGATCTCTCCAAAACTAGCCAGGGCAACACCGGCCACAATGAGCATGATATTACCAAACGTCTTGGTATCAGGCTGGGCAACGCCCCATACCCAGGAAGCAATAAGTGTAAAGACAGGACCGGTAGATTTCAGCATCTGAATGAACGAAACGGATAGGTAGAGATAGACGATGTTGGAGAAGACGAGCGAGGCAGAGTAGAGGATACCGATAGGGAGGATAGTCCGTACATAAAGTCGTCGAGAAAGTGGGAGAGCATGGCGTGATTCGAGAAGAGTCGTTGTTCGAGCTAGAAGTTGAGTTGCTACTGTGGCAAAGACGAGATGCCATGTTGTGAGAATGATGGCTGGTGACTTGTTAGCTACATGTCATGGACTAACATCTAGTAGTCGGACGGATAGAATACTCACGATATCCTGTCAGGGCATGTTAGCATACATGATTCTGATTCGCAGAGCTGAACAACAACAGAAGACTTACGGAAACCAGCAGTGTCAATGAGCCACTTATTGAAGATGATGGTGGCATTGGAAAAGAAGATCCATGTTCTGTTCAAAGTGCCGTGTTAGTCATTCCTCTGAGTTCTCCCAGTAGCAAGTTCACATACAGGATGTACGCAGAAGCATGTACTCTTGGAGCTGTTCCCTGGTTTCCAGGCTTCTCTGCAACTTGGCTGTCGGCAGCCACAGATCCATGCGCCATTCTGTTGGCCTCCAAATCGCTGGATCCCGCCATTACTCCGACTGTCTCAGTCCGAAGGTATCGACAGTTGGATGTCGTTTTTGGAGCTGTGGTGAGGAGTAAGAATGATGGAGTGGTGGCTTGCTGACAACGAGCGACCCAACACAGGGAGAGTGCAAAGCCACCTCGGAACTAGACCCAAACTCTCGTCTGCGAAGTGACGTATTTCAAGGGAGGAGGAGGGCGACTGAGTGGAAGAGAAGGTCGAGGCCGTCCAAAAAAGGGAGGAAACACAAGCTGAAAAGAAGAGAAGAAAAGGGATTCGGGTGTTTAAAAAGAGGTTGGAGAGAGATTTCGATGAGGAGGAGGAGGAGGTCTCACAAGCCAAACGCAATGGATCGGAATGGGAAAGTGGGTGGTTGAGCAACTTGTTGGTGCCTTCCAAGTCCAGATGGATGCGGATGCAAGTTTAAATGTGAGTCGCGATTGTCTCAGTTACTGTCTCGTCTTGCGAAAACGGGAAGCTTCATCAAAGTCGTTCCAGCTTCTTAGTGTTATTAGTTATGCATCTGTTGTTGGTTTGGGATCGTTTATCGTATGAAACACGGGAAGAAAGACAAGCTTCGAAAGCAAACACGATGAGACGCCGTTTTTGGGGCCCGAGAGCTCTTTATTCACAAACAACGTCAGTCAAGGATGCACGTCTCTCGTCAAGCTCAGCCTCGATATGGGCCAGTCCTAAACCAAACATCGGCTCAGCAATGCCGATCGTGCTAACAGAAGACGACCAACACAAGGTCAAAGCCCCGTCCCTGTCCATCAACGATTAAGAGACGCTGAGTTTCACCAAACAAATGGAGACTACTCCGTACGGGCTCCGGACTACGGACTACGGGGTCAAGCTGATGGATCCCTCAGAAGCTTTCGTCCGCCCGACTTACCATCTCGTACCTGCCAAGGCCATCAACAAGCAAATCCATTTCAAAGGGGCGCAGGACAAGTCGTTCCAGGGCATCAGTGATCAGTCCCACAAGGCCGTAAAGCCATAGACCATGCCAGAGGGTGAAAGAAAACTCGAACCTTCAGTACACCAACTTCTGGTGAGAGAGAGAATTGTGTTTTTCTTCACCCCGCGGGGCTATGCCAGGGAGCATTGAAAGTGATCAGCAACTGGGGGGGCCCAGGATGTCAGGGACCATGTCCCGGGGGTTTCTTCTTACGGACTCGCCAATCAGAATGATTCGTTGACACAACTAAGCGTTGTTGACTGTTGGCTCAGGAAGCTTGGCATGGTTCGCGAATGCTGAATACGAGAAGGCAGGGCTCTATGGTCTAGAATTTCGTCTGTAACCACCTAACAGCCAACACAGTGGGCCTGTGGGTAGCAACAGAAGGAAGTCATGGCAGCTGTCAGTTCCTCCATCTAATCGGTCTTGGCCGAGGTCGTTATATGAACGAGATCGGGCCATTTACCTCCGTTATTAAACAGACTGGAACGTAAACAAATATGTGCAGATACTAACAATTGTACGAGATGTGAAAATCCGATCGCCATTGGATGATTTATTACATCCATACAGGCGAGGAATTATGCCATGTTAACTTACATACTCAAACACCTCTGACAACTACGATAGCCTCCGCGTAATAGCCTGTTCCTGATAGACATTCAAAACTCACCATCTACCTAGGCGCCTATGGCCTCCTTTTTAGTTGCCGTTGTACCCGCGGAGTCAATATTATCCCGATCAGGGCGATTAATTAACCAGCGACCATGGAACGCTCTCCCCATCTCCTTCAGGGACTTGCCGTGCTAGCCAGGGCTGTTTCGGCACTCCGTTCCACTGTAATCGAGTGGACCTGGCTGCTTCTGGACTCTTTTCTCGGCCCTTCATTGCCGGTGCCATATTTAACTTTGGAGTCTCCTTGACACGGAAACATATAAATCCTCCTTATCATAACCGAGAAACATCAATCTCGGTATAAGCTCATTTCACGTGGCAAGTGATGATACTAATCGGGTTTCTTCGCTTAGCACCGCGACTCTATCCCTGGATGTACTCTGTGCCATTGTGTTGGTATCAATCCTGAATATCTATTCTTGATAAGGTACGAGTACACACGCCCTATCAAACCGCTAATAACGTCTATTCCTGCGTATAATCCTTCCATAAAACCAGATACTCAAGCCATCATGCCTGGTTCGTAACGCCATCGCTATGCTTTTCTTTCGAATACAATCCCATAAATGACACCACCCTTGTCTGCATTCGCTTATTGTATGTATGTATGCTGATGCCGGAAGCCTAATTTTGCACCGCCCCTTCTCACATGTTCACCCTCTTGCCCAGTTCGTCATGGCTCAGCTTGAACCAGTGAAGCTGTATTGGCAATCAAATTCGAGCCGCGCGTTATCGTTTCATCCTCATCATTAAGGCACAATGACGTGGCGCCTTCTGTCCAACCATGTGCTTCTTCCGGTTTGTCGTTAAACTTTTGGCTTTCGTGCCCCTGAAAGATCTGAGTTGTGTTTCCCGTTGCACTATCCAGTCCGTCTGCATCATCCGGGGTTAGGTTTGCAACTTCGTCCGCATCCTGCATGTTGATGTCCTCGTCGTTTGGAACCATGACAGGGTCCACACAGTCGTAAAAGAGCATGAACACCCCGGGAGAAAGACTCAGTACCACATCCTCGCTGACCTTGGAAACATTGTGGTCGCTTAGCCTCCACCAATCCATCTCGTTTTCGTCCGATTCTTTGTTGCTCGGGCCTTTCGGGTCTGGCTGGTCGTCCGTCTTGCTATCGGGCTCATCGTCCTCGACCACCTTGTTAGGAGGACTGTGTCGTGGATATTTGCGATAGCAGATGTAGTGCCCGTTTTCGTGTCGACCGTAGTGCGTTACCACTGCTCGAAGTTCATAGATAGGTCCCGTGAACCTGGCTGAGCCTTGATCACCAGCCACCATTGACTGTCGAGGGTCGGTTTGCCATTCTTCTTTAACAATCGGTTCTTCGGGTGAGGGATTGGATCCCGCACTACCCAAGCACCAAGGCCCAAGATCCAACGTCATAGGGAACTCCACCGGAGCTGAGTTCTTCATCATATTGAAGGTAGACGGATCGAAAACAGACCGTTGCATATGAATTGCCAGGCTTTGTGGCGCTCGAGAAACGACAATCTGCTTGGTCTTGGTTGTGCTGACTTTCTTAGATATTTTGCACTTTTCTGTCAAAGTCTTTTCCTCGAAATTGTCTTCTTCCAAGGCCAACTTGACTGTCTCGAGTCGACGGAGACATGTTTCAAGTTGCTCTTCAGATGAACTGTCGTTTCGCATCTTGTTCACTATGCTAGACAAAAGTGTCTCGTGCTTCATCAATGTACATTTAGAGCACTCGACGTTCTCAATTGCTTCAACCTTGGTATAGGCATCCAGACGCTCGTACAGGTCGTGCTGGTGCTTATTCAACCCAAGACTTAGCGTCAAGCATGTGAAAGGTATCATGGATAGACCATCGGAATGTCCACATTGCACGCATGCTACCCTTTGTGCAAGATGGCCTTCTAATGGGTTGCGAGGCAGTTTGGTCTCGTAGGAACTCGCTATGCTCTGATAACCACTGTCATCACTGTGCTGGCTTGCGGCCATGTCGTCCTTATCCAACTTGGCTGCCAGGCCAGGATGTTGGGGCTGGGCGTTCTTGATGGCCTTGGCGACACTTTTATCAATATCGTCTAGTATTTTAGAGTAGTATTCCTGGGCGTCCTGCTGTGTCCAGGTACTCATTGACTTGAGCAGACCTGGAGTCCACAGCGTTCTTCCATAATTTGATACGTCGTTTAGGTCGGTAATTAGGGTTCGTAATGTTTGTGCGACATCATCACCACCACTGTTCTTTGATGTTTCGAGGTAGGTGGAGAGATACTCGGGAAGAGGCTTGAGGGATGAGAGCCCCTGGAGGATGCTGTTCTGGTAGCATGAGTTGTCCATGTTACCAAGGCCTGGCGGGCGGTCGGCCTCGTTCTTCAACCCCAAAACGCTACCGGTCATCGAGAGGGCGCGGTTCCTGACCTGGAACACCGAGGACATGACGCCGCCAGAGCGGTCGAGCCCAAGGACCCGCCGTATTTTCTCGTTCTTAACGGCATATCTAGTTCGTTCGGCACACAACATCGAGGCGGAGGTTCCGGTTGTCGTCGAGTTATCGGGGGTATCTAATGCATCCAGGAGACTCTCCGGGACAATGAATACAAAGCCGTCCCAGAGACTTGTTCCTAGCAAATGTATCGATTCTCGGACAGTGGTGGTAGAAGCATATAAGTTGTATGCAAGGGTGAGGACGACGATGAGGCAAGAGATAAGAACACTCGGTTGGGCGATGCGATCCCAGAGAGGTTGTCGCGGAAAGAGCTGTCGATGCGCAGCTACCTGGTCGTCGTAGAAGGCGTCGAAGTCAGGATGTTGAGACGTCATGCTGTATTGGAAGTCTAATTTAGGTATGAAGTTAAGGTCGCAGCTCGAAGTGTCTTAGCCTCGCAACGCGGCGAACGCGGGACCCGTGATCAGTACAGCAAAGTAGGAGAATGGATTGTGCCGATCAAATGGCAAGCCATGGCCTACGTAGGCGTGAAAATGCGATAAAGAAATGGATATGTGGCCCAAGAGGCAAACAGACGTTTAAATGGTGACCAAACAAGAATGGGGTATCATAAATTGCGTGACAGAAAGGTTCTCCTTTGGCGACAAGACAATTGTTGAAACAAATCGCACCCACCGAGAAAATGCAAACGTGTTTGAACTGTTTGTTGAGCAAAGAAATTCAATATTGAATCCTTGCATTAGTGGATTTCAAAGCCTATCATTGTACAGTGTGTGTAAACGTTTCATATTCGGCACTGTACTGTGCCTGTATCACGGATCTCATCTAACGTTAGATGCATGTAATTTAAGTGTAAACTATGCCGCCTATTAATGCTTATTCAATTCGCCAAACCTCAGCCAAGCATGTCTGATACTAGAATAATACAACACATGATGTGCGAAAATTAACATTCGCACGTCTTTGAAGTAACAAATTGTATTTGATACAGAGAATACCCATGCTAATTAATAGCAACGCCAATGGCAACTGTCCCTCCCCTAATCATGTCTCAGTCATAAATTGGCTAACAAAGAGAAGTCGTAAGAAGAAAAAAAAAGAAGAAAAAAGTAAGTCTATGTACAAAGAAGGTAAAGCGTTCCACAGCATATTTCGTGTCATAATCATCATATCGGTTTGTTTTGTTTTGTTTAGTTTTTGTTGAATCAAAATTGTCATCTTGGCTGTTTAGCAGGGATAACATATGCCAACTTTGGCTCTTCCACAGCAGCATCCTCCAAGTTTGACCACATGCAGAGCGACACCGGCGTTGCGGGAAGCTCAACAGGGCTGTGCCTCTCTTCTTCCACGATTGGGTCGAGCGGAGGCATCTGAGACGTGAAGCCGGCTGTGGTTGGGGTAATAATGAACTTGTCGTCAGGGCCGCGAGCGAGGTGAACATGTCGAGTTGACAGTGGGCTTTGTGTCGAGAAGTAGCCCCATGATTCTCGGGCCAGTGACATGTTGAAGTCGGGAGTGTCTTGGACTCTCTTCTTTCGGAACCATTTCATCCAGACAAAAAGGCCTATCCCAGCGAGGCAGCAGAAGCCAGCAACAGTGCCTGCAGTCACTGCCCCTGTTGGGCTGATGCCGCTGCTCTTCTCTTCTTTTTCTTCATCGTCGTCATCTGGGGTTGATCCGGTAGTCGAAGCCGCGGGAACGGCTGATGGAGGCTGGATGATTCTGTTGGGTACTTCTGATGTTTCAACTGAAAGAACGTCGGAAGTTACCGAAGACGCAGCCGTGGATGTTGCAGCATAAGATGAACTTGTTGTTGTATATTGAGGAACAGGGAGTAGAAAGGCGTAGCTTTCATTCTGATCTTCATCGAGGACGCATTCTTTGTCACCCCTGCAACTGTATCCAAATGGACAGCATCTCCTTGTTCCGCTTTTACTACCACAACGTTTGAGCTTCTGATCCAGTGCAAGCGTCTTGACTTGAGCTTGTGGGTTTGTCGAAGGGTTCTGTTTTCTGATACTGCAAGTAATGGGCATAATGACCTCGCATTTCCCTTTCGAGTTCTTTGGGCAACACAAAGCAGTGGTGTTTGCAGCGAGCACTTTGCAGAAGGATTCCGAAGAGCAGCAGAAGTCTCCTGGTAGGTTATTGCCACACCAGTTCTCCCCAGATATGGGACATGACCCATCTCGTTCGTGGTGTTGTGATGGGAAGTCCATAAAGGATGAGGGAGCTTTTCGAGGACTTTCCGGCTCTTCGATCGAAAAGACTCTCACATGAGGTCCGACGGCAGCAGGACTTGCTGGAGCAAGCATAAACGAAATCAGCACCAGGAAGATCCTAAGGAGGTGTCCCTCATGAGGCTGAAGGAGAAAAGCCATGATGGATCTACATGGAAGATTAAGAGAAATGCTGACGGCCTGCAGTCGAGATAACTCAGAAAGAGGGAAGGAGAACTGGTATAAGTGAGAAGCTGGAACGAGGCACTCAGTGTGCAGACGCCGTGCAGCAGCCCCCAGTGATAAAGGAAGAAGCGATGAAAGAACCACGGCGTTCTATTCCTGCACGGCACGACGTTCCCATTGTTAGTCCTGCCCTACATGGATCACAGACTTTTGCGAGTTAGTGTTGGTCCTGTCCCTGCACTCTGTAGCTGTTCCAAGAAGCAACCAAGTCAGCCTCGAGGGCATGGGTCGCGGATCGCCTGGCGACGCCAATCACGAAGGCATCCTAACCGCGGGCGCGACAAATAGCGTCAAGCAGGCCCCTGAGGTGGTCAGAACCCCCTGACGCAACCCAAACCCTCGGGAAGCAGAGGCCATAAATATCTTTTTGCCATAGTCTAAGGCGTTGGTTGTGCTGAAACTTTGAGGGATCAACCATCAAAGAGACGCAGGTTCAAGGTTGGGCGCTTAGACAAGTGGGGGGGAGGTTTAACGGGAGATGCGCGATTGGGAGTTGATAGTTGAGACAAGCCACTTGGCCGCGGGTAAGACAAGGGTCAGCCGAAACGAAACAGTCAAAAGAAGTTTGTTGTTGGTTGATGAAAATGCCTTTGGCCGTGATAACGGGCTTGTAGCTGGAGGGGTCGAGGTTAATAGATTGGGAATAGAGACTGGAAATAGCCACTTTTGACCCGGAAGTTGTCAGATCAGCTCTTGTCTTGAGTTCTGAGAGGGATTGAGTCTTCTCAATTCATTAATAGTATCCATAGTTGATATAGCGTAGTATTCTACTCATGAGTGCCTGTATTTCGGAGGCATCATATTCTGCAGGTAGAATAGCTGGGAAACATTTGTACTGAAGCTGTGGAGAGCCATCCATTGATCCATGCTTCCTTCCTGCAGCTTGAATATCCCAGTAATAAGTGGGACCTGCAGTTCTTTGTTCATCTTGAGAACAGAAGATGGATGATGAATCGAGTATCTGAGACAAAAGACCGATGTAGTGAGTGTTACACTGCGTAATCCAAAGTAGCATTCATTGAAAGGACAAACTGAACTTAGTTCTTAGCGAGAGGTTTATATCACCCAGAAATATACATAGTAAATGCACGAGCCACTTTTGCTTTTACAGCATGACGCCCTTTTCTTTGTCGACTCCACGCGCACTGGCGAATAACCCTGTTGCGACTATCGGGGGTCGCTTGTCTGCCGAGGCAAAGCTAAACATGAATATCATCTAACATCATGACCATTCACCTTGAATAGTCCGTGCCATATATTTACAGTGCTAAGCAATTTTGTGTAATAATTATTGTTGTACCTCAAAGCCATCCCAATGCTCAGTCGGTTTGCTCGCTGCTCAGGGTATTATTCACCCAATTCCTCAAACTCTGTCTTGTCCTGTCTTGTCTGATCTAACCACTTTGCTCTATCTATAGTGCCAGGTCGCTAAGCCGTCCTGTACCTTTAGCTGTCAGATGCGCAAGAACACATGCTGCCCGGGGCTTCAAGACCTCTACAGCATCATTGGCAGCCGCACGAAATGCTTCACCAAAGGCAGTCAAGAAAGACAAGATCGAAAAAGTATCCGCCACCCTTACAGAGCAATCTCAAATTAGGATCAAGGGCGAGACGGCAGGGGACTCTGCCGAGTACCGCACTTTGTAAGTGTGTAATGTTTCATCGCGCTTATAAGACGGTGGTTGCTGACGTTCGGCCTTTGCTATGTAGCCCCAACCTCTGGCTGCGGTAAGTAAAGAACCGCGCTTAATCGCTTGATGTGATGGACTAGGAGTGCTCATAGGTCCCCAGAGATAACTGCCAGTGTGGAAGCTGCGTCAATCCAGACACAAGACAAAGGAACTTTGACACCTTCCAAGTGAGTATACCTTGCTGTTGGGGGCCAAGATATTGTATTGACAGTTCACTCAGTTGCCAAAGGATGTCCGACCAGTCAAGTTTTCGGAGACAGAAAAGGCTCTCGAGATTGAGTGTATGAGAGAAGTTACTGATGGTTAATGGGCTATTCATAGATACTAACTATTATTAGGGTCTGATTCTCACAACAGTTCGCATCCCTGGTTATGGCTTCGTAGCTTGTTCAAGAAAGGATATATCGAAGAGTTTGGCAAAGACCAGTAAGTCATGTGGTTCGGAGTTGAAAAACTTACGTTTACTGACAGAGAAGTCCAACCCGATACTGGGGTCAGGACGTAGGGGGCAAAAGCATTGAGGAAATGCCCCCCTATGTTGACTATGAACATGCCTTGAACGATAAGGAAGGCATGGCTAGACTAACCAGAAACATCGTAAGCTATCTGCCGGTTCTTTTGGGTTGTGTTTTGATATCTGACAAAATCAGTGGATGCGTGGGTTTTGCTTTGTTGAGAATTCGCCTCACACCCCTGAGGCGACTGAAAGCCTCCTCAAGAAGATCGGTCCAATTCAGAACACCCATTATGGAGGATTCTACGACTTCATTCCAGACCTGGCTATGGCTGACACCGCCTATACAAACCTCGCCCTCCCAGCTCACACAGACACCACGTACTTCACCGAGCCTGCTGGCCTACAAGCCTTTCACTGTCTCTCACACGAGGCACCTCCTGACGCAGACCCAAGCGAGCCATTGGGAGGCGAGTCGTTACTTATTGATGGCCTCAACTGTGCCCGAATTCTACAAAAGAAGTATCCGGACGCGTATGATGTTCTTCGAGCTGTCAAACTCCCTTGGCACGCTAGCGGTAACGAAGGCATAGCCATTGCGCCGCGTTGTGCGTTTCCTGTCATCGAAGAGCACGGCAACACCCCGTTCCGAATTCGCTGGAACAATGATGATCGTGGAGTTGTGAATGTCTTCCAGGCAGAACAGTGGTATGATGCCGCTCAGAAGTGGGTTGAGATCGTGCGTCACGAAAGCAATGAATTTTGGTTCAAGTTGAACCCAGGCCGCATCCTTAGTAGGTTAAGAAACATGCCTCTGACTAGTTTATACTGACATATTGTGAAGTTTTCAATAACTGGCGGATCATGCATGGGCGAAGTGCGTTCCAGGGTACTCGCCGCATCTGTGGAGCTTACGGTAAGTTTTGTTCAAGCATATCGCGGGCATCAAATGTAAAGCGACTGACTTCTCATTGCGCATAGTACCTTATGATGACTTCGTTTCTCGTTACAGAACCACCAATTTCGAACACGAGCAGGTTATCGGGCACAATCTCCATTCCAGCCCTTCAGATACGCTTGCACGGAGCAAGACCGACTACAACAGGATCACTGCAGGTCCTTAGCCTGTTGGTCCTAAGAAAAGCTATCTAGTCGGCGAAGATCTACCAGAAACAGTCCCATTTGATGGCAAGCAAAGCGCAGGATAACTAGAGTTTCTAATCATTTTATACTTTGCTTGAATCGGATCTTAGCAGACAGGTTGATGAGCTTGAGAGGCCAGCAGAGCGATCACAAGTATTTAGTCAAGAGTTTTTGGACTCTGGATCATCCATCTTGATTGTTTGATAGTGAACAAATCTGACACACAATTAACCGCCATAATCGCCAGGCTAAATAGACCACCTCAACTAACCTTATGCAAACCACCCGCAATGACCTCCATGGGCCAAGTCCTCATTCAATGGCGGGGCATGGCTTTTTAACCCCGCGGTGCCATCCGGGGCTTGACAGTTTCGGCTCAGTGAGACAGAGCTTTCGTCGGAACTGAGTGGACGGCAACGGGGCCTGAGAGTAGACACCCAGGACCCTAGCAGTACCTAATTGCACGCACTAGAGACAATTCTCCACGAAGGCCGTTACAACGTATCACAAGACGCAATATTTGAGGTCTTGCAACGGCTAATCTTGGAATAAAGCTTGTTGATAGGCGCGCCAGATGTGTGGAGACGGGCCTGTGCCTTGCGAACCTCCAGGCCTTTCTTTGTAGGTTAGTAGGTTGGAGGTCAGATACGTAGGTAGTGTCCACTGGAGAGGACCAGGACCAGGACTGACAGAGATACTTGGACTGGCTTGTTTGGTTCGTTGATAAATCTCGCAAGGTGAGGACAAGTATTCCTTGGGAAAAGAGCCGAGGATGAATGATATTGGACAAGAGCTGGAGGGGGATATATAAACCATCGAACTGCCCTACACCCGCTTCCATGCCTAACGTTCTTACTCCCAAACCCTATCACTCAACGGCCAGCTCATCCAGATATTGTCGTCAACACTTTTCTCAGCTCAAATCCTCTCGTAGTTCACCATCATCATGGATTCAAAGACAGGCGCATTCCATCATGGCAACATGCCCGTGCCAGATACCTCCAGAGTCATGCCGCTCTTTTCTCTGAAGGATCGAACAGCTATTGTTTCTGGTGCTGGTGCTGGCATTGGTCTGTCTATTGCTCACGCTCTTGCTGAGGCTGGCGCCAACGTAGCAATCTGGTACAACAGCAACAAGCAAGCCCTGGCTGAAGCCGAGAACATCGAGAAGCAATATGGCGTCAAGTGTAAGTTGGCTATTTCACAAGTCTCAGAATAGAGCTTATACAGTGAACAGGTCGAGCATATCAAGTCAATGTCATTTCCCACGAAGCAGTTGAGAAGGCCATCAACGAAATTGTCTCCGAGTTCAACGGCAGACTGGACGTCTTCGTGGCCAACAGCGGCATCGCTTGGGAAGACGGTGCTTTCATCGACGGACCTGCCGATAGAGCCCGTCGTGTCATGGAAGTCAACGTTGACGGTGTCATGTGGTGCGCCAAGTCCGCAGGAGCGCACTTCCGAAGGCAAAAGAAAGAGGGCACGACAGTCGATGGAAAGAAGCTATCTAACTTTCTGGCGGGTAGCTTCATCGCAACAGCGTCCATGAGCGGAAGCATCGTCAATATCCCGAACATGCAGGCTGTATACAACGCTTCAAAGGCAGCTGTCATCCACTTCTGTAAGTGTCTGTTAGATACGAGACTTAGAATCTAGACGCTAACTATGGCATTACAGGCAAATCTCTGGCTGTGGAGTGGACAGGCTTCGCTCGCGTCAACACCGTATCGCCCGGATACATCAAGACTGAGATCACAGACTTTATTAGTGAAGAAGTGCAGAACGTTTTCAAGGAAAAAACAGTTGCTGGGTGAGTGCAAAGTGACAATGGAGCTCATATACAGTTGGCTAACATGCTGCGTAGACGCCAGGGCGAAACTGGAGAGCTCAAGGGAGCTTACCTGTACCTGGCTAGTGACGCCTCGTCGTTTACAACTGGCCACGATCTGATCGTTGATGGCGGCTACTGCTTACCTTGAGAGGGATGAATCATAGCACTGGACAGTGTAGTTAAGGTACTATAGCATCGGATCATGGGAGTTAAGGACATAGATGGATATTAAAGGCTTTCCAGTTAGACATGAATACATCTCTTAACATCATGTTTGCACCACCGCCGGCTTCCAATGACATGAATATTGGCTACACTCCAGCCATTTTCTTGTGCCGGGTGAGAAGCAAGATAACTCTGCCAGATAATAGACCTTGGCCTTTATTGCTTAGGGATTGTGCATATTCTACCAAGACCTTAGAGAGTTATTATTAATTGGTAGTTATCAGTGAGACGCATTAGTAGAAATTAAAATACTAACATTAGTAGCTACCGGCGTGGGGTGCAGAACCAAAGACCCTCATCGATGATCGCTAGGATTCGGATTCCTTTTCCTGACAGATTTGATTGCGATACTCGGCCTATTCAATATCACTGTAACTCAACCCGAAGAGCGCAAATACGCAGAATACGACATGGGCAATCATATTTCAGCTTTCACCGCTTTATTCGATAAGAGACATGTTCTATAGACCGCTGGATAAGTTGTAGACCCATTCAATTTTCTGCTTCTGGCAGTAAACCCCAGGGGATCATTCCCTTTCAAAACGAGGATAGACAACTCTGCGCAAAATCGCAGAATAACATAGACTTAGATTGCAGTCAATAAATAAATAGTAACCACGCGAGTAAAATGCTACCTTAACTGCCATCTGTTTATTGGACCGAGGCCAGTATCTGTCATTCGACTGCGTGAGGAGCTGTCAGAAACTGGAGGTAACAGGACAGGAGCTAGACGCTTTACAGGTACCCTGCCCGCATTCGCTGGTATCTACCCACGTCTCAACGCTGTCTCAGGTACCTGAGCTCCCTCCCAGGGTACCTAAGTCTGGTCGCCCCCAACCTTAGCATTGCTTGCCCGTCATCTCCCACTTGATAGTGGCTGCTGAGGGTTCTTGCCTCCCCATCCTGCAACCTGACTTCCCGCTCTTTCTAATCAGCCCTACCTCTGTCCAGTAACGTTAACCGTCTTCTTTCAAACCCAGACACGGGCTACTCCTTAACCAATTCTCTTTTGCGCATCACCGTCTTACTTTTTCATATAGTCGCATCGCATTTCCCATTAACAGCAGGCTTCGACGAGCATTCTTCGTTTTATCGATCACAAGCAGCAGCAGCTTCACCGCCGCCAGCTCTACTCCCCTCTTACGTCGTCGCCCACCTAGCCGCCCATCATGGACTCTGAAGGCGAGGCCAACACAGCGCCCTCTGGCGAGGACCGACGCAACGCCCAGGTCGACAATGCCATTCGCGCAATCCAAGAGAAGAAGCCGGTCCCTGAGATCGACTTTACTATCCACACCATGGAGGACAACACCCAGGTCAACACCATGGAGCGTGTTTGCAAAGGTGCGTGAGATCCCCTCTAGTTGTCGCCGCCTCAACCCCGCCATCATCATCGACAGCCGCTTTGTCGCAGATTCGACCGTGCACCTCATTCTCGCTGAGGCCTGTCTTCCGAATGATGTTTATTTGGCCAAACACAATTCCCATATGTCTTTAAAGATCTTTACTAACTTGGGTCTTTTGCATTTTCACAGACGTTCAGGCTCCTGCTATGTACAAGCCTACCGACGAGCAATTCTTCGAAGATGACACTCACTCCAAGCCCAATCTCCAGTTTCTTAAGCAGCACTTCTACCGCGAGGGTCGCCTTACCGACGATCAGGCTCTTTGGATCTTGAAGAAGGGTACTGAGCTTCTGCGAGCTGAGCCCAACCTTCTCGAGATGGATGCTCCCATCACAGTTTGCGGTGACGTCCACGGACAGTATTACGATCTTATGAAACTTTTCGAAGTTGGTGGCGACCCCGCCGAGACCCGATACCTCTTCCTTGGCGACTACGTCGATCGAGGTTACTTCAGTATAGAATGTGTTCTCTACCTCTGGTGTCTCAAGATCCACTACCCCAAGACTCTCTGGTTGCTGCGAGGAAACCACGAATGTCGCCATTTGACCGACTACTTCACCTTCAAGCTCGAATGCAAGCACAAATACTCAGAGATCATCTACGAGGCCTGCATGGACTCTTTCTGCGCCCTCCCCCTTGCGGCTGTCATGAACAAGCAATTCCTCTGCATCCACGGTGGACTGAGCCCCGAACTGCACACTCTCGATGACCTGAAGAGCGTGCGTTACGATTCGATGTATATCAATAATTCCATGACTAACTTCTACTAGGTTGATCGTTTCCGTGAACCTCCTACTCAGGGCCTCATGTGCGATATCCTCTGGGCCGACCCCCTCGAAGACTTTGGCCAGGAAAAGACGAGCGACTACTTCCTACACAACCACGTCCGAGGATGTTCATACTTTTTCTCCTATCCTGCTGCATGTGCTTTCTTGGAAAAGAATAACCTCCTATCCATCATCCGCGCGCACGAGGCTCAGGATGCAGGTTACAGAATGTACCGTAAGACACGCACCACTGGTTTCCCAAGTGTCATGACTATCTTTTCCGCGCCCAACTACCTTGATGTTTACAACAATAAGGCCGCCGTTCTCAAGTACGAAAATAACGTTATGAACATTCGGCAGTTTAACTGCACTCCTCATCCTTACTGGCTTCCCAACTTTATGGATGTCTTCACCTGGTCTCTTCCTTTCGTGGGAGAAAAGATCACCGACATGCTTATTGCCATTCTCAGCACCTGTTCCGAGGAGGAGCTCAAGGAAGAGACGCCCTCCTCTGCAACATCGCCCGGTCCCGCTTCGCCAGCATTGCCCAACGACCCCGAGTCGATTGAGGTTCGACGAAGAGCCATCAAGAACAAGATTCTCGCCATTGGCCGACTATCTCGTGTATTCCAGGTGCTTCGCGAGGAGTCCGAGAAGGTTACAGAACTCAAGACTGTTTCTGGTGGAAGGTTGCCTGCTGGAACCCTCATGCTTGGTGCCGAGGGTCTCAAGAACGCCATCAATGGATTTGAAGATGCCCGAAAGGTTGATTTGCAGAATGAGAGGCTACCACCTACGCACGATGAGGTGGTTAAGCACCAGGAGGAGGAACGAAACACCGCGCTCCAGAAGGCTGCTGATGATGCCAACAACGACAAGAAGTTGCAGCAGCTATCCAGAAGGCTCAGCACGTAAGTTACAGCTTCTATGAAAATGTGGAGACAAAGCTAACTTTCTGGTAGTGACCGCAAGAACCGAGCTCCAACATCATAAAACATCGTTGTACAGTAGCATCTACGTTGTTATGAAAGAGGGGTGGGGGGACTTCAATGAAGGATTAATTATCAAATTTCCATACACGACTGGCCATCCAATACTGCCACACTCCTCTTCATCGTGACTGCTGACATCCGGGTCGTCGAGTAGACCACGAAAGGTCAGACTGTTGTCACTAGCCCTACGCTCCTAAGTTGAGCAGGATACAAAAGCAGGATGGGTAACGATAACGTTACTTTAGACGCTACGGTAGATATGCAGACAGTGTTGGACACGTCTAGAAGCGGACGAAGCGCTGAGGATTTGTAGGTGCCTTAATGAATATATGAATGTTCTTTCACAGTCAACTTATGATGTGTCTCAAAATTTTGATAGCAACCTAATGACTAATCGGATTTAGAAGCTCATATCTGAAACCCCGGTCTAGATTCTATGTTTCTTCTATCAGGCCTGTTCCATATTTGGATATATATGAACCGTGTTATTCGACAATAGCATCTCATAAGCGGCAAGTGACTTCTGTAGACAATCTCTCAAGTTTGTAGCCCTAATGGTTTCGGGGAAGTATCTTTGATTTATACTTATTTGTCTGACAGTTTGTGTTTGGTGGGTTATTCACAGCTTTACTCAAAGCTCACAATACTTTCTGAGCAAGCTCCAAGAGGTCGAAGAAAGCTTCACGCTCAAGATCTGTTTTTGCAAGACCGAGACCTAGAACAAGAATTCTTCGATCCTCTGGTGATCTCAGACATATTTGGCTGGCGATCTGTGCTGCGTAAAGTTGTCCCAGCGTCTCGCGCTCCTCGCCTCCACCACCAAAAAGTGTTGTAGGTGTGAGATGTGTTGAGGGCAGAAGACCCATGTTTGAGCTCGGTATGTTCATTTCGACAACTCCGGACGATGAGCCAGTCAAGGGAACTTGGATCTATTTTGTCGTGTTAGTGAAATATCAATGATGTTATGGTAGTGCTTATATACCCATTGTGAGAGTCGACCTTCTTGAGAGATGGTGATGAGAACCTTGTCGGCGAAGTTGGTGGACGTAATCTCCGTGGCGACTCCATTGACAACACCCGAGACCTCGCGGGACCTAGAAGGGAAAGTGTCTTCTCTAACATCTATCGACGCCATATTGAAGTGAGTTTTGATGTTGTTAATGAGGGAGTTGAACTGTAGCATTGAATCCCGCTTCAATAGCTGCTGGGTCGCCGAGCTAAAGCGCCCCACCACCCCGCACTATACCTGAAGCGGATCCAGGTTTCGGCGGTAGCACGCGGCAGAATCACTTTTGTTCCCAAAATTTCAAGAAATCCATGGTCGCGATTCCAACTTTAGTTGATTTACAACGTATCGTCATTCCATGCCATTTTTACCAAGTTAATTGTCAATCCGTTAGACAGTAACTAGATATGGCTAAATACGTTCCTCGTCAGCGAAAGCACAAAGTGCTTGCTCGTGAACGAGCAAAAGAAAACGCACAGCACGAAGTCCAGGACTCAAACCAGGACGAGCTTCTTCCCACGGCCAAGGCTGATCGCGAGGCCAAGAAGGCCCAGCTTAAGGCAGAGCTTCGACAGGATGGCGCGAAAATGAGCGGCAAAAAGGCCAAGCGTCTGGAGAAGTATATTGAGGGCAAGCTGCGCAAGGATGAGAACCGCGAATTGATAGCCAAGCTTGCTGATCGCCGGGTTGATACGAGCTTGTTCTCAAGTAGTCGATCGCTCGGACAAGGTCGCGAGACCAAGAGGGAGGCATTGAGTCGGGCAATGAGAGAGGAGAAGGCTGGCTTGGAGGGTGGCGAAGAAGAGAGGGAGAAGATCCTTCTTGAGAAGCGAAAAGAACGACAGGCAGACGAAGACGCTTCTAGCGATGAGAGCGACGCATCTGAACAGGAGGAGCCAAAGCCATCTAAATCAACACCCACGCACAGCGAGACAGCTCAGCCGAAACCAGCAACTGGTGCGCCAGCGCTTGGCTCCGGCCTCAAGAGACCACTCGACGTCGACGACGAAGGACGGCCCGTGATAAAAAAGCGACAGAAGCGAGGAGGAGTGAAATCAAAGTTCTCGCTAGCTCAAGTCGCGGCGGCACCCGAGCCAGAGCCCGAGTCCGACAGTGATGGAAGCGATAGCGAGAGTAACAGCGACGAGTGGAACGGGCTCAGTGACGATGAGGCCGAAAAGGGAGCTCAAATTAAGGAAGATAGCGAAAGCGAAGAGGTGGCTGAGGAAGAAGATGAATCCAGTGAAGAATCTGAGGAAGAATCCGACGATGAGGATATGGAAGACGCCGATGACAACAAAGCGCAAAGGTCGTCTTCATTCAAGGCCTGGGCGCATCAACAACGAAACGAAGCCCTTGGATATTCTTCAATTGAAGATTCGACGACCAACCTCGAAATTCCCAAACCAGATAACTTCGTTCCTCGAGCCGCCGAGCAAGATCCTTTGCCTATGGAACTACAACCGACACAAAATATCAACCGAAAAGTATACAGCGTGCCGGTCATCAGAACGACAGAAATTCAGGAGGCGCGATTGAAGCTTCCTGTGGTATCTGAGGAACAAAGGTTGATGGAGGCGATCCACAGCCACGACATTGTTGTTGTGTGTGGTTCTACCGGTTCCGGAAAGACGACCCAGATCCCGCAATTCTTGTATGAGTCTGGTCATGGCTCTCCTGACTCGCCTACTCCTGGTATGATTGGTATCACGCAGCCTCGCCGAGTTGCTGCAGTCAGTATGTCGAAGCGAGTTGCTGAAGAACTTGGAGATAAGTCTGAAGTAGTCGCCTACCAGATTCGTTTCGAGGGCACAGTTGACCCTAAGACGGCCATTAAGTTTATGACTGACGGTGTGTTGCTACGCGAGATTGCGCAGGATATTACTCTTAAGAAGTATTCGGCCATTGTTATTGATGAGGCTCATGAGAGGAGTGTCAACACTGATATTCTAATTGGTATGCTCAGCCGAGTGATTAAGCTTCGAGCAGAGCTAGCAGCCGAGGATCCCACAATCAAGCCCCTCAAGCTCGTTATTATGTCTGCCACACTGCGAATAGAGGATCTCACCATGAACCCTACTCTTTTCGCAACACCACCTCCTGTTCTGGAAGTCGAGGGCAGACAACATCCTGTTACCATCCATTTCTCTCGAAGAACACAGCACGATTACGTCGAGGAGGCATTCCGGAAGATTAGCAGGGGCCACAAGAAGTTGCCACCTGGTGATATCTTGGTATTCCTGACTGGCCGTAACGAGATTCTGCAACTCAGCAAGCAACTCAAGGCTGCATTTGGCGGTCCTAAAACCGCCGAGGGACCCAAGGTGCAACTTTCCGCCAGCGAAGCGCCAGTTGAGGCAGAAGATATCGAGTTTGGAGATGTGGACGACCGCAACGGTGACGATTTTGACGAGATCCCCACAGACGATGAAGATGAGGATGAGAATGAATTTCAGATTGAAGAGGATCAAGAGGTCGCGCCGCTCAAGATGCGGGTTCTGCCTCTTTACTCCTTGCTTCCAACACGCGAGCAGATGCGAGTCTTTGAGCCAGCACCCGAGGGCACACGAAACATCATCTTGGCGACAAACGTGGCGGAAACCAGTTTGACTATTCCCGGAATTCGCTATGTCTTTGATTGTGGACGGTCGAAGGAGAGACAATATGATCGCCAGAGTGGCGTGCAGAGCTACGCCATCGGTTGGATCAGCAAGGCCAGCGCAAACCAGCGATCTGGTCGTGCTGGTCGTACTGGCCCTGGCCACTGCTACAGACTCTACTCCTCTGCAGTTTATGAAAGAGATTTCCCGGCATTCACCAACCCTGAGCTGTTGCGAATGCCTATTGAAGGCATTGTGCTCCAGCTTAAGGCGATGAATTTGCAGCATGTTGTCAACTTCCCTTTCCCCACGCCTCCCGACCGACGCGCTCTTGCTAAGTCTGAGAAACTCCTGACATATCTCTCTGCTATCTCTTCAACTGGTCAGGTTACTCCTATTGGTCAAACCATGTCTGTGTTCCCCCTATCTCCCAGGTTCGCTCGTATCTTGTTGGTCGGTCATCTCCACGACTGCATTCACTATACTATCGCTCTTGTTGCTGGTCTCTCAGCTGCTGAGATCTTCATTCCCGAGAATCAGGCTATTCCGACACTTGCTGCAAAGGAGGATGGTGCCATCCGCACAACGTCAGATGTCATCGCTGAGGACCGCCAAGCTAACATCCGGAAGATGTTCAACGAAGTGCACAAGAACTTCTGCTACTTGGACGACAAGTCCGATGCCATCAAGCTCCTACAGGTCGTGGGAGAATTTGCCCATGAGCCTACTGAGGAATGGTGTGAGAGTCACTTTGTCCGATTCAAGGTGCTTAAGGAAATTCAGCAGCTGCGACGACAGATCACAGAGTTGCTAAGGACTAATGTGTCTGCGTTTACAAACTTGAAGTACCAGGATAAGCTGGATCCTCCATCGCCTAAACAGGTGGCTGCTCTCAAGCAGATGGTTGCAGCAGGTTTCGTGGATCAGGTCGCCATCCGAGCAGATCTTACACCGAACCCCCCTGAGCAGTTCCGTAAGCCCCGTCGTACCATCGATGTTCCTTATATCCCCTTGATCCCCATTCACGGTGGTCAGGAGGTCGAGAGCGACCGTGCAGTTTACATACATCCCACATCACCTCTCGCCCATATCAGCATTCAAGAATGTCCGGAGTACATCGTCTACTCATACCTTCAACGAGCTGCACAAGCAGTTGACGCGGAGAGACGACCCAAGACCAGAATGCATGCTCTCACAGACGTGACAGGCGGACAACTAGCAGGATTGGCGAAGGGCACACCCCTTATCACATATGGAAAGCCGATCAAGGAGCTAAAGTCTACAGCGAACACAGAGAGTGCTACAGTACGAGAGTGTTTTGTGGTTCCTTACCTGCGAGCTGAGGGTACGGGTGGACAGGGGTGGCCTTTGCCTGCTAAGAAGGTGAAGCAACGAAAAGTTCCCGGCAAGGGATGGGTTGTGGAGTAGAATATTTGGATGTACTTGATGTTGTTCGTAGTTGAAAAGTTATATAGACAAGATACCTCATGGTTTATACAGAAGTTTCATATCATATTGTTGGTATTAGGTGGGATTATGTGATTTTATAAAAAATGAGATTGTATGAATGGGTGAGCTCGACATCATCATGCAAACATGTGCAGCATCATGTTTATAACATGATGAGACCTTCAATTATAAAACACTTCAGCAAACTATCTTGACTAGGTGGGTTATAAATTGTTCCTCTTTCTAACCTAACAGTCATGTTTGAAACATCTGCCACTCTCTTCCCTGGCGTGGCTTTTGCAACGTCTGGTACGTGGAGTGTATCTTCAGTAGAATTATCGCCTTACTGCTTCCACGACTCAAGGAATTGGCCACCCAGTCGCTGTACCATTGGCTAAAGAGGGGTGCGGCAAGATTGCTGGGTTCGACAAGAATGAGGAGACTCTTGTTAGATAGAGGACACTGTCAGGTAGATGCGGAAGTACAGCCTTGGGAGGTAGACAACCTCAAGACAGATGAGGTCATCCAGCACATGACCCTTGCTTTCAAACATTTTGGGCGTATTGACTATGCTGTCAACTACGCAGGTACGTATAAGTTTGACTGGTGTAACTACCTCTCCTTTACGATGCTGACAAGACTCGTAGTAAGCGAAACATCAGATAATAGTCAACTGTGTCTGCCCTGGAGTCATCAAGTAAGTTGAGAGCGGTCGTCTCAGCTCACATACTGACCACCTCAGAACTCCTATGACGGCTGATGTCCCAGATGATGACCCTGCAGTCCAAAATGCAGTCATGAAAAGAAAAGGCACTCCACAAGAAGTAACCAGATGCCGTATTGTTCCTCTCTAGTTCGAAGGCTTCTTTTTTTCAAGGGCCAGTGCTATCGGTAGAGGGTGGATATACTATTAGTTAAACAAGAACATGGGCAAATAGGACCGTATGAGTGAATGTCAAATAGTGCTGGGTATCAATTAATGTATAGATAAAAAAGTAAAGCAGAACCCTTTTCCCACTCAACGCCGCTTTCACGCCTAGCAAGATCTGCTTCAAGAGGCAGCTGGTGTGGTAGTGTTGACCATTTTGCTCTTCTTACGCTTTGGCTTAGGCGCAGTCGCTGATTTAGGTGTCTTTTCCTTGGTCTCCTTCTTGTCTTCAACTTTTGTGTTAATTGTTGGACCATTGATACTTCTAATAGGCCCGTCCTTCTTTGCAAGCTGCGGTGGTTTGCGCCCTGTGGATGTGAGGTGGAACTCTCCCGGGCGACCTGTAATAGGGTTCTCGTCAATGTACTCGCCGCCATATTTCATGTGGATCATGAAAGACTCTTCTGCCAGTCTTTCCAGGGCCTTCTCGTCGTCTTTCTGTGTCACAGCCGGAGGGGCAGCTGGGGCTTTACTGGGTTCCTCTGATACAGGCATTGGAGTTGCCGCAGCTGAGTCCTGGTTCTTTGATTTGGTTGGTGTCTTTGCTGTGGGAAGCTGGTAGTGGTTGCCGATTGAAGGTCCCCATTTTCGAACAGATTCTGCCGCTGTCACTGCTTTGGTGACGGAAGAACATATCGTCATCTGGTACAACCGCGTTAGTTTAGCTTAGGACAAAGGCTTCAAAGAACGTACGATTCTAGCAGCCAAAATGCCACTCATAGTCGGTGCCATATAGATGTTCTCCCCCACAACAAAGTAGGAAGAGTGTACAGTAATTTCATCGTCTTCGTATGCTGACTTCCGCCGTGTCTGCTTGCGAATAACCCATACACCTGTACCAGCTCCTGGGCCAGTCTCAGCGGGCTCCTCCGCAACCCTGAACTCAAGACCAGACATAGTGTTGAGATGCAATTCGAAACTTTCGCGATTTTGTATGACGGGATACATCGAAGGTACGTTCATTGCTTGGTTATATACAACGGCGTTGTTTGATGTGCGCTCGAAGAATGGCGACTCAGCAAAGTAAAAAAGGACGGTGTTGCTGTGTAGGCCGCCCATTTGCGCGATGGCCATTGGAGAGCGCCATTGAATCTCGTCGAGGGGAGGGTCGTTAGGATTCGACATGATGGTGGTCTGCGTAGTACTCTAGCGTATTGGTTGCTCTGCTTCTCTCTAGGTTGTTTGTTGATATGGTGATGTTTAGTTGGAGTTCAATAGTTGAAGCTTCCATCCATTTCAAGCTTGACGTGGGGGTTCCGCTTCTAGCGCGTGATAGGGAGCGGTCGTGTTCCGCTTCAGCGGCTCTTCCAGTGGTTGTCGCGGCGCATGAGTTCAACTTTAAATCTTCAACCTCACAACAACCATTTTCATCATTGCGGCAACAAAAAAATACAAATAATACCGACTTACGACAATCTGATCTTTTACCGCGCAAACACGAGGCCAAACCATACTATGGATCTGCTTTCAAGCATCCGCAAATCCGGTTCCAGAGGCGGCGTCAACTTCAGCTGGGACGAAGTCACAAGCTCCTCCCATCGCGAAAACTACCTTGGTCACAGTCTGAAGGCCCCTGTTGGACGCTGGCAAAAAGGGCGCGATCTTACCTGGTACGCTAAAGCTGAAGATGATTCTGGAGAGCCAGACGAGAACGGGGAGACGGACGAGCAACGACGTGAGCGAGAACGAAAAGAAGAGCTACGCAAGGTCAAGGAGGCCGAAGAGGATGCCATTGCACTGGCCCTCGGACTACCGCCACCAGTGCGAAACTCTTCAGGCGCAAATGCAGTAGAAGTTGATCCCGACAGACGAAAGGTTGGACCAGCAAGTGGGCCGCCTGAAGAGGCCGGAAACGAAAAGAAAGAGCGCTCGAAGCGTCATGATGACCCTCAGAGACGAGAGAGGCGACGACACCGAAGTCGGAGTCGCGATCGTGGCCATGATCGCGAGCGCCGTCATCGCAGGCATAGGAGAAGCCGCAGCCGCGACCGTGATGGCGGCAAGGACAGAGACGAGGCCAAGCCAAGGGATAGAAGTGGAGATAAGGGCGAGAATCAAGATAGAGATCACGGCCACAGGCGACACCGCGATAGCCATCGTAGGGAAGATACTAAAGGAGGTGGTCGACGACATGGAGATAGAAGCAGGGAACGCCGCCGATCAAGATCGCGAGATCGACGAAGTCGTAGCCCTAGGCCTCATCGCCGGGACTAAAGCCAGGTTTTAGAGACCACAGCCTCAGTCGAACATATGATACCCCAAGCAATGGTTCCTCAAAAGACACAGAATTCGTTATTTGTGTTGAACATGTTTCGAAAATCAAGAGTCAATTCTTGCGCTTCCTATCTAGCGTGGAAGCTTGCATGCTTTTAGGCTCCCTCCTTAACCCAACGCCAAAACAAACCACTTTTGTTACACTCATATTGATACATGATTTTAGGACTGGCTGAGAGGCTGGCCATCCTTTGCCTTCTGGGCACCATACTTCTCCAATCGGATAGACTGGATAGCAATGAAGCCGGTGCTGTCCATAGGAGAGAATGTGTCCAAGCTGTCCATGGAGGCATCCTCTTGGGAGTAGAGGGCGCTGGTCTCGCTCGATCGTCCAAGGACATGGACGTTACCCTTGTACACCCGGAGGCGAACCTGGCCGTTGACGCCCTTCTGGGCAGAAACGATGGCCTCGTCGAGCCACTCACGCTCGGGGGAGAAGTACATGCCGTTGTAGAGGCATTGAGACCACTCAATGGTCACAAACTGGTCTCGGAGCTTACGGACCTTGGAGTCTAGGACAAGACCTTCGAGATCCACGTGAGCTAGACGAGCAATGGTGAGACCAGGAGTGTCGTAGCAGCCACGGCTCTTGAGTCCAATCCATCGATTCTCGACACTGAAATTGTAAGCATGATAACTGGCTAAGAGCAAATGATGAAGATCTACGTACATGTCAATTCGGCCAACTCCATGGTCGTGGCCAATCTTGTTGAGAAGCTTGAACAACTCAACTGAGTCGGTAGCCTCCTGATCAGGGGTAGCAACCTTGACGGGCAGGCCCTTCTCAAAAAAGACAGTGAAGTCGAAAGGCTTGTCAGGGGCCTCAAGAGGGTCGACAGTCTGAGTCCAAAGATCCTTAGGAGGAGTGTGATCAGGGTCCTCAAGAATGCCTGCCTCGTAAGAGCAATGAACCAGGTTCTCGTCCTGACTCCATGGAGCCTTAGGTGTGGATGAGACGGGGATATTGTTCTCAGCGGCGAACTTGAGGAGATCTTGTCGGCCCTGGAACTTTTCGCAAAACTCGGGGAGTCGCCAGGGAGCGATGATCTTAATGGAAGGGTTGCAGGCCTTGAAGGCGAGCTCGAAACGAACTTGGCTAAAGGTGTTATGTCAGTATGGGATGTCATCTGTGGAGTGAGATGTGTCTTACTCATTCTACGACATGTTAGTCTGTGTTTATTGACATGATGCAAGGGCTTGACTTACGCCTTTACCTGTGCAGCCGTGGCTCAGAAGATCACAGTTGTACTTCTCAGCAACGCGGACCTGAGCACGAGCAATGACAGGACGAGCCAAAGCGGTTCCGAGGAGGTATCGGTCCTCGTAAATGGCATTGCACTGAATCGCTCGGAATACAATTTGCTCAACAAACTCCTTCTGAAGGTTCTCGATAATCATACGCTCAGCACCGAGAGCAAGGGCCTTCTTCTCGACGGCATCAAAGTCTTCGACCTGGCCAACATCGGCGAGGAAGCACTACAAAGTGTCAGAGATTGGTGAAAGCAAGTGCAAGGAGGAATCATACCACGACCTCGTAGCCCTCGAGGATGAGCCATTTCAGGATCGTGGAGGTATCAAGACCTTGGTTGAGATGTTAGCACGAGAATGTAGGGGTGGCCACAATCGAGGAGTTGATTGTGTGTGGCTTGGGAGTTGACAGCTGTACCTCCAGAGTAGGCGCTGAGTTTGTAGTTAGCAAATGTCGATAACACTACTAGGTACTATAGGTAAGAACCTTTCAGTACTTACAGACAAACACGGCCTTTTGACATGATGAACGATACTGTCTTTGTTGTGTAGCGTGAGGTATGGTCTGGATGAAGTAGCGCAGAAAGGGTGAAGGCGAAGACTGCTTTGTGGTGTGTGAAAGAAGTGATTGAATTCAGGAACGTTTCAAGGCGAAGAACTTCTCTTTTATGCTGATTGCGTTGACTCATAAACCGATGCCCTCTCTATAATAAAAAGCAAAGTGGTCGATTTATTCACAGAGTGATTCACTTACACGATTTTGGTCTCCGAGTCCGGACCAAGCGAGATATCTACGAAACCACCCCAGCAAAACTTCACTGATCTCGCCATGATACTCTTACTAACTATCTTTTGAGTCCCAGAAGATGGAACCATTGATTGATAACAAGGAAATATCATCAATAGCCCCATATCCCAAGCTGCGAGTTCGGAATCTAATTTGAATGTTGAGTCAATCCATAATTTTTTATATGGTCTGAGCGCATTCGCTCTAAGTTAATGGTGGATAGTGGGCAAGATCTTCAAATGGGATTAAATGAAACCCAAACTTGTAACAGTATGAGAAAAGAATTTGTTTCGTAAAACCAAGACTCAATATGGGTTTGTATACAATCTTTATGAATACGAAATAGCACAAAGAACACCCTTTTCTATGGTCGTGTCGCTGCCGACGCCTGGACTAGGTAGGTATGGTTAGGTCTCTGTAGTGACAGCCATGTTAGCGGCAAGGCTGCCCCATGTCACTAAATCCCCCCCATGATACCGATTCTGTGAGGTACCAACCATCATGATTGGCTGTCCCGTCCTGAGACAGCGGTCAACATCACTTTCAGGGACCATCTCTAACAGCCTTGAACCACAAGTCCACGACTAAGTCAACTTGGAGGTCATATGAGCGAATCGAACTCCTAATTTCTCATACCTCTTGACTCTCAGCATCATCACCCTTGCGCCACACCCTAATTTCTGCTTGTGTTTCTCTCACCTTCTCCTATGTTTTCTGGCTTACGAACACCACCCCTAATACCCTTTGCCACATTTCACCGTCGTACGTAGATCGTTGTCTGCCTTGCGTAAACTCCGAGCTCGTCCGCTTGGGTCTATTTCAAAGTATATAGCTAACTCTCGGGAAACAGCTTCTCTCTTACTTGACTGTACCTTCCACGATCCCAACCCTTCCACTGAAACGATAATGCGATCGTAAACCGATCGCGACACAACGAGGATGGACTATTCGAGACTGCGAGCCGCTGCTTTGCGGGACGGTGAAGACGAAGAAGCCGTTACTGTCGATACCCGAGCCCTTATCGACAAGGTCCTCGCAAGATATTCAGGAGAATGGACAACACTTCGAGAACTTATCCAGAACGCCGCTGATGCGCAGGCAAAGACGGTCACCGTAAAATGGGAAACACTTCCCTCGACACAGGTGCCACTCCCAAGCACTACGAATCGATCTGAGATATTGAAACATACTCTGTCAAACCACACGCTTCGCCGACTAGTTGTACAAAACGATGGACAGCCCTTCACCAAAACCGACTGGGGGAGGTTGAAGCGCATTGCTGAGGGAAATCCGGACGAGACCAAGATTGGCGCCTTTGGTGTCGGTTTCTACAGTGTCTTTGCAGATTGCGAGGAGCCATTCGTCAGTTCTGGAAACGAGGCCATGGCGTTCTACTGGAAGGGGAATGCACTATTCACCAAGAAGTCACAAATACCTGCAGATCAGGCTACCCATCATACAACATTTGTCCTGGATTACCGAAATACCACGACGCCCCTGCCGAACCTGTTGTCCGTTAGCCAGTTTCTTGCGACCAGTTTAACCTTTGTTGCGCTTGAGCACATCGAGTTCTGCATCGATGACTACCAGATCCTATCTCTCAAGAAGAAGTCATCTCCAAGCGTTGAGCTTCCTCTACCTCGAGATCTGGAGGCAAGGACCAAGGACGGTCTCATGAAGGTGACGAGTGTCGATCGCACAAGTACACAGATTGATGCGTCTTACATGGCCGCTATAGGATGGAAACCGCAGGCTACATCATCCACCACAAAGACGGATTCTTATGGTACCCCTGAAGCTCCTTCACTACGATCTTTCTTTGCCCGGCTCACATCAAATACGTCACAAGCCAGTATCCGGACTAACGCCCAGAGTGAGGAGGATGCAGCACAGGTGACAATCGGTGAAGATGTGACAAAACTTTCGTCGTCCACGATCTTCCTTCGAACTACATCTGCAAGCATTCGCACTAGTGTGGCCGCTTCTTTTGCGTCTGAACTTGAGAGAGCGACAAAGAAGCCTCCACCTAAAACAACGAAAATTGCTATTTTGACTTCGTCATATGATGAGGCACAAGCTTCTCAAGAGTCTGCCTCTTCTGGAGCGGTTGGTAAAGCTACCGATGTATTCGCTTCCGTGCTTCCCAACAAAAAGCCAGGCGGGCGTATTTTTATTGGTTTTCCTACAATGCAGACTACAGGTGCCGGTCTGCACATTTCAGCACCGTCCGTAATTCCCACCGTGGAACGAGAGGCTATAGATTTGAATGCTCGTTGGGTCAGGACATGGAATCTTGAAATTCTTCGTGCTGCAGGCATCATTACTCGGTTGGCTTTTGCCAATGAGATGAGCGATCTGAGCAGTAGAATCAAGCAGGTCATGGCCAAAGAGACCAAGTTCTCTCCAGCCGTCATTGCCAAGTACATGCCAGAGGCTCTTCACATCCTCAAAACTTTCACATTTGGTGACTCTACCCCCAGTGGTCAAGTTGGTCAAATCATTGAGGAAGCTTTTTGGATATGCTTTAAGAAGGCCTCAATTGAGACCTACTCGACCCGAGGTGTGCTGCAAACAGCAGATGTTCGCATTGCCTCGGATGAGATGAGTAAATTTGTTGACAGTATTCCTGTCGTACCTGAGGAGATGAAGGGTGTTCCATTTGTCAAGAAACTGATTGACTTTGGTCTTATCTCGCACATCACAGTTACAGATGTGAAGAAGGAGTTGGAAACAAAGGCCATGAATAAAGTACAACTGATGAACTTCATCAGCTGGGCGGGTAAGAAGAGCTTGAGTGGTGAACTCGACCCTGGGAGTCGATCTGCTTTGCTCGAGGTTGCTGTCGGTACCATGAGTGATGATGGAGAGCAGGGCGAAATCATTGCCCTTGGAAGTATCACAAATCATCTCATTGCCAACAGAATTCCTGCAAGCTTACCGATTCCTCCCACGACTATTCCCCATGCACTTACAGCCAACTCTCAACAAGCAGAGTTGCGTGCTTTAGGATGGGAACCCTTGGAGATTCTCCCCTGGCTGAGATTCCTCCTCGATACGAACTCTTCCAGGGCCGAGGACCAGAGCCTGACGCGATCATCCAAGTTTGCTGTGCAGATCTTGACTGTTCTTTCCAAGAACTTTGAGAACTCTAGCCCGTCTGCGAGAACTACCATTGTTTCCCTTCTGCAGGCCAATACAGTCGTACCTACCAAGCAGGGTATGAAGAAGCCTACAGAGTCATTCTTTCCGATCGTCAAGCTATTCGATGACCTTCCCGTCATTCAAGGTTGTGAAAAGATCAAGGAAAAGTTCTTGGTCACCATTGGTGTTCGCAAGACTGTTGATCTGGAGACCATTTTTACCAGATTGCTTAACGCTTCGAGTGAAAGCCAACAGAAGTGGAGTCATGTTGAGCTTATCAAATACCTTGCCTCTGTTCGCGATGATATCCCCGGTGACGATCTAGCCAAACTCAAGCAGACACGATTTTGTCCAGCCGAGGCTGGTCCTAAAGGTATGGAGTCTACCAAGGCAACAGAAAAGCTATACAAGGTTTCCGAACTTTTCGAGCCAAAAGATGCTCTACGAGCTTTGAAGTTGCCTGTTCTTCAATGGCCTGGTCCTCCTGGTAGTTATCGACCAGGCAGTCAAGAAGCTAGGTTCCTCAGTTCCCTTGGGCTTAGGCCTTATCCCTCTGTTCCTGAGCTCGTTGAGTTGATGTCTGGCAAAGACGAAACTTTGCGAGTCCAGTCCATGACATATTTCCTTGCCAATCATCAGATTAACGGATATGGTTCATTCAACCTTGGGGGCAGCCCGAAAGCAATGATGCCGCTTCAAGGAAGCACCCGACTTGTTCCGCCATCGCAATGTTTCTACAATCCGCGAGCATCTATCCTTGGTTTTAATATTCTGAGGAAAGATCTCCATGATCATGCAATTGTAGGTCTGGTTCCAGGCTTAATAAAGAAACTTAACTAACATTTGTAGAAATTTGGTGTTGCCAGGGATCCTCCAATGGTTGATTGTGTAAACCGCCTTCTAGCATCACCTCCTCAAGATCACCAGAACGCTGTGGCTTTGTTCAGTTACTTCGCGTCTCGAATCACAGAACTGGGCGAAAACAATCTTGTCAAACTTCGCAATGCCACTATAGTCCCGATTACACGGACATCTCGATCATCTGAGAAGCCAACGTCTACGATGACTCATGTCAGTCCTTGTCGTGTGTATCTTGGTGGTTCAACGACATATGGTGATATCTTTGACTTTGTCGACTTCGGTCCTGAGGCGAATGCGTTCTTGTTCCAGTGTGGTGCCAAGAACGAGCCTACAAAGTTGGAAGTGGCACATATGGCGTGTACTGAGCCAGCTCGCCTTCTTGGTGTACTTCAAAGCTCGGAGAAGTACTTGGACCTTCTCAAGTCGCTGGCCGAAGCATCGACGACACTTCACAGAGATAAGGAGCTCTGGAGAAAAATGCGCACAGCACCTTTTCTACTTGCATACAAAGAACTGGCGCCTCCTAAGGGGAACTCAGATGACCTGGAGGAAGAGGATGAGCCTATTCGACAATACCAACTTGCCTCTGCCAGTCAGATTGTCATTTTGGACGATATCATCAGCTACAGACTGTTCAAGGATCGGCTTATTTGTGCACCCGAGGAGGACGCTCTTGAGGCGTTTTATCTATCGCTTGGAGCCCAGAGATTGAGCAGCATTGTACAAGAGGAGGTCCGTATTGGACCTCAGAGCGACCGACAGAAGACTGCTCTCAGTCTGCGCAAACACGTTGTTGAGAGGTCAAAGATCTTCCTCTTTGAGTTCGCAAACTATCGACGTGACGTTATCAAGCATGATGCAAAATGGCTGGACAAGAATCTGACAGTTGACATCGTTCGCTCAGTCGCTCTGAGGAGAACTCTTAAGGGTCAAGTTCAGACTCACACAGAGAAGCGATCAGCTGCCAGCAACAAAACCAGCAACGGTTGGGTTCTGTACGTTTCTGATGAGGCGAAGCCTGATATGTACCAGATTGGACAAGCCATTTGCCAAATGCTGCTGAACCGACCAAACCAGCAGGCTTACCTCTTCTTTGAGCCGTTCCTTACGCTGGACCTTTACGGCCTCCGGAGCCGTGGTTACAATGTGGACCGAATCCTGCGAGCCAAGGCTGCTGAGGCCAGAATCGCTGAGGAGGAAAGACGAAAGGCACTGGAGGAGGAACAACGCCAAATCAAGGAGAGGGAGCAACAATGGGGAGCTGAGGCAAAGGCTGCCGAGGCTGCTCGCGAAGCTACCAGAATACCAGAACCTCTTGGTCCAGCAATGCCAGGTTCATGGGATTCGCCTGAAGAGGCAAAGCCCAGCCCAGAACAGCAAGCTAGGAAGAGCAGAGGGTTGTTCTCAAACCTCAGTCGTCGCCTTGGATTTGAAACTGAGCCGAATGAAGACGAGTCTCGTAAGGAGTTGAACAAGTTCTTGGATAAGCCCAAGGAGATTGAAGCACCGCCTGGCAGCAGCTCATCCAACACAGGAAAGAGGCCGCAGCAGGAAGAGGGCAGAGTGACAAGCCCTGCAGTGGTGCAGCAAAATTTGCTCAATGCTGTTAAATCGACCCGGGCATACGGATCCGATAGTGTCTTTTCGGAGCCTCAGGTCAACGAGGTCAAGGAACAGGCCACCTACTGTGATAAGACACCTGCGCAGAACATCACCTTTATAGCAGAGGCGTCAAACAAGATGAAGGTTTTCGTATCCAAGGACATTCAGGACCCAAGCGAATTCTTGTCGAAACACCTGAGCAACATCAACGTCTTCTCCAGTTTGTTGATTGAGGTTGGCGGCGTTTACTCCATGTCGCCAAAGGTATTGCACATATTTTACGATGAGGCCGGCGGGACTATTGCTTTCAACACGGGAGGCAGTATCTTCTGTAACTTCAGGTTCTTCCTGCAGTTACACGCTGCGCAAATCGAAAGCAGAAGTGGACAGGCCAAAGCTGAGGCTGCAACCTGGTGGTGGGTGGTTTTGGCACATGAGCTGGCACACAATCTTGTTTCGCCTCATAACTCTGACCACAGCTACTACACGTAAGTCTATGTTTTTTTATCTTTCCGGTGCATGCACTAACAGTTGTAGTGAATCTTTCATTCAGCAGTATTTCTCCAAGATCGTGGCCAAGGCGGCGCAGTGGACGACAGAAGCTGGGTCTCGCAGTGAAGTACCTCGGATAGCACCACCGCCATCTGGAGCTCCACCACCTTATCCGGGTGAATCGAGCAGACACTTGCTAGACTGATGAGCGTTTTATCATGGGCATAGCGGGGAGTTTCGTGGCTTTTTGGGTAGTTTGAGACATCACATCCCTTTTTCTGCGATTGTTGATGTTATTGTCGAGGTATTAGAACAGCGGTAGATACTAGATTCGATAGATGTTCTATACATGTCATGTCTCACTCGTGTATGCTATTGTTTCTCCGGGTATATGATGCACTTGAACTTTGGCTTTCTGGTGTTTGGCGGTTGCGTCTGTTAGTCAATTTCAACTTAACTGGAGTACTTTTACACATAACACCCAGAATATAAACATGAAAAAAATATCCAAGTATGAATTATCTTACTCATAGGATATGATCATTAATCTTTTATAATTATTCATACTTCTTATCCATAGCGTCTTTAAGATATAGGTGGCAGATCCGGTATGTATAGGGTAGCCAACCGAGTGAGTCTCACGTGATCGTAGCCGTGACTCTGACCAATCACCTTTGCTCCAATTGCTGTGAGCTTGGGCCGACGGATCTTCAAGATCACGACCTCACCTCTCGGCAACGAACGAAGTCAACGCCCACGCCCACGTTGTCGCACTCTGAGCGAACTCTCCTCAAACGAAATATCTCCACTCTCTACGTTCGATCACCCGACAGTCAATTGCCCAATATGGTCCACCGCATCGCCTTCTGGAGCCTCTTCGGTACGTCACACACCTGAGCCAATTCACCCGCTCATCCCACCCCGAGAACACAAACCTGGACAATTGGAAAGACGAGGGGGAATCGAATAGCAGAATGGAATACTGACAGACATGAAGGTATCGGCGCTCGCTTCTGGCAAATGGGCATCGAGATGCGCCCCTTCTTCAACAGGTCATCCCTGTGGGTGTACCCCGTGTACGCGGCGGGCGGTGCCAGCTTCGGATACTGGCTGCAGGGCGTCGATGACAGACAAACCGATACTCTCTCAGAGCGAAAGGCGATCCTCCTCGAGAAGCGGGCGCGTAAGGCGGAGCGGGATGCTCAGGCTCAGGCTTAGAGGGAATGACAAAGGGAAAGGAAATTCAAAGATATTGGGAGATTAAACATCCACCTTCGGCTTAAGAGCAGAAAGATTGAGGCGTAGAAGAAATATTGTACGTTTGTTATTGGGATGTAGAGCGTCGAAATGGGACGTTTGGTTTGGAACAATTACACCCCTGCTGTCAGTATGTGATGACATGACATGATATTGTCCAGTAAACCAATATCTGCAACAGCAAAGAGGATAATTACCGCCGGGTTCAGACTCACACCAGATTAAAGGGCATAAACATTAAACTACGAATCTAGTTTCATTGTCTCATAAAGCTTCTACTTCATTCACATTGCCAAGACCCAAACAACAACTCTAGACGCCGCATCATGTAACAAGTAAAAAGTGAAATCCATGTTCTTTTAATTGAATTCAAAAGCCTACAACTCCTCTAGTTTTCTAAGGATTGCTGGCACAGACGTGGCCGAGGAATTGCCCAGTTCTGTCACAACCACTGAAATGTACTTGTCCCGCGTAGTGTCAAACAGCAGGCGGAAGCCAACGTCGGTGGACCGCTCAGGGTCGATTTCGTTGTAGGTGAGTGAGTCGATGGATACACGCTCGGTGAAGTTGATGGTTTCGCAGAGAGCGACGACGCGGACGCCCAGGTCGGTGGCTGCTGTTGCAATATCGCATGAGCCTGCGCGGGCGTACATGGCGCCGTTGCTGAAGATAGCCTCGGCGGCGAGAAGGACTTGCGTCGCCTCGGAGAGGTGTGTCCGCAGAGCGCCGAAATCGGAAGCATAGGCGACTTGGATACCGGCAGCGGAGAGCTTCTTTGCGACCTCGATCCCGACGCGCTCATAAGGATCGTCGACGAGGATTACGCGGAAGTTCTTCTTCTCCTTGCGAGCCTCGAGAAGAGTGCGCTCAACAAGGTGGTGGTGGGCGTATGTGAGCACGACATCGTCGTCGGCAATCATGTTGGCCGCAGTTTCGACGATCACATAATCCGCGAGAGTGATGCGCTCACGAATGTAGTTATCGATGGACTCGTCCAAGAGCTTCTTGGCGTCAGAGTCGGGAAGATCGATATCGATCTTGCTGATTTGGAGCTTGAGCCATCGGACGGCATTGCCCATGGAGAAGCACATGGGGCGGCATGCTGTGAGATACTCGATCTGGGGGTTAAGAACGTGGGCGGTAAAATGGCGTGAGAAGGTGAAGCCGGGAGGTGTTGTGTAGGAGTCGATGACCTGGGGATGTTAGCATATTGATGTATTTTCTGAGTAGAGACCAGTTCACCTTCTTGAAAGCGAATAGAGTCGCTTCGAGTCGAGTGATACTATCACTGATCGCAAATGCGCTCATGTGCTCGCCGAGAACCAAGACAGCAGGATGGACGTCCTTGTCAGCATTGGTCATATCTATCCGTCTGGCGATAGACAGATGGCTGAAGCAGTCTGGTACTGAGGGCTTGTTGTCCTTAACAACAGCCGTCGTGGCCGCTGAGCGAATAGGCAGTTTCGCGCCCCCGTGCTGCTGGTGCTGTCCGTCCTGCTTAGGCTTCGCCTTTCCTCCCTTTCCATCACCGCCAGCGGCCTGCTGTCCTTGCGCCGGGGCCTGGGAAGGCTGTACGGCCTTGGCTTGTGCTCGTCTGGCGGCCTTTTCCTCTTTGGCTTTCTTCTTTAACTCGGCTCCGGATAGCTTCTTCTCGCCTGCGGGAGCAGCTGGCTGTTGCTGTTGGTCCTTGGACTTCTGTTCTTTGGGCTGCTGAGGCTTGGTCTGTTCCTTATTTTCCGTCTTGACATCCTGATTCTCAGGGACCTGCGGCGCAGAGGCCGAGGCTTCAGTTTCTGTGGACATGGGAACTGTTTCGAGAGGTTGTATCGCAGTAGAGAAATATCGAGAATGTGGTGTTTGTTCGGGGGCGGGGCACTCCGAGGCTTTCAAGAGTGTGGCTGTGGGCGGTGCACAAAAGGACTTGTGTAGAATATTGCTTATAGTGCTTCTGGTGTGATATTTGGAGGATTTCAGTCGGAAACGGTCGCTAATACTGGGATATTGGTGTTGTTAGAGTGTTATTTGCGACGAGGGGCGCTCGGTTGGAGGCTTTGAGTCACTCGAAAATAATGATTTGGACCGGCATCTGAATGGAGAAATGTCGAATGCCCCGCGCTAGCCAAAGCCGTGGGTGTGGGCAACACAACATCAAGCATGGGGCATGGGGGGCATGTCACTACAGGCGTATAAAAGAAGATACTACGATGATGCTGTTGAGAGAAAATGGTGCATATATAAATCATTTTTTAACATTTGAAGCGTGTTCATTAATATCTCACGATCATGCATTTGTACGCCTCATACTCCGTCACGGTCAGCACCAACATGTTGCAGCGCAGCGCATCGCATCTCGCCTAAGAAAAAGCCTGAGCATCCATCAAAGTATGAAGCGCAGCAACACTTGAAAGCTATGTTTGCTTGCTGCGCTTTTAGAAGCACATACGAGGACAATAGTAGGCCAAAGGAGTGATCTATCTAGATGGCATCGTCACAGCCCGACGACACCTTCAAGCGAGACAAGTTCGCAGAGGATATCCCGCGACAGGTAGCACGGCATCACATTTTCAACATCAAGCAACTTCTTTTCATAATTTATGACAAGTATTTATCCTTCTTCACGGCAATCCATCAAGGACTGTTCGCAATGAAAGAAAAGATCTCCAAAGAGGAATGAGTTCCAAAAATTCCCTCGCCAGGCGAACCCAACGAGGAGCGGTCAGTGTATAGTTTTCAACTAGCAAAATTCCTCTCTCAGCTTATCGCTTCACGGAGAAGGAAGACGCCCATGCACTCGGATGGAGAAGAAAGGAAAAAAAGGATGAAAGGGCGGGAGGGGAGTCGGGGTTTTATAGCTGTGGGAGGCCAGAGCGCACGGGCCATTTGAGGTGATTACCTAAGGCATCAAGGCAAAATTTTGTGAGTGAAGCAGGGAAGGTGGAGCTCTAATTTCACAGCCGCTTCCAGGCACCAGTAGGGCTCCACAGTTGCCAGGCAGGAACAGCCAACCTTCAGCCGCAGGTGCAGCAGCCTACCTAGAGCAGGCACGCGACACTACCTTACTCATCGGTAACTAATATCTCTTTATTGCATGATCAAGCCTCAGAATTGTACCTACCTACCTTAGTACCTTACGCAAGGAGAATATTCGGTGTTCGTGTTGAGTCGCCCTTTCTTCCTTGGCTTTGTTCATGCTCTATTTGATCTTCTGTTTCTCAATCGTCGTGTTGGTGACTATGGCCACGAACCGAGATTCATCTAGCGAAGTCTATCTGATATTGAACTTCAAGCTGAGTTTACTCTCTTGCGTGGTATTATAGATGATCTCTTTTTTACACTGGAAAATAGTCAAAGAAGGTCCACGTGTACTATTATGAAGTGTATTATGCGAACTTGACTTTTTAAATTAACTTTCTTTTTACATTTGAGTGAATGGGATGATGTTGACTCACTTATAACAAAACACGATATCTCGTTGCACCAGTCCAGAACTCTGACTCATATACTCACGAGAAACTTCCAGAGGCTGATGTCTATTACTACGTGCTTGAGCTATTGGTAGGACTAGACTGTAACTCAAAGTCAGATTCGTTCTAAGTGAGTGTTTACGAAAGGCTTATGAGGGAGGTCCTGTTGTGGCTCACCCTGTGTGAATCTGATGAGACTTCCTTGATCACATAGCAGCCATACAAGAAGTTTATTTTGTGAAGTTTCATCAATACCTAAAGCGTATTACATGGTGATTTCTATGCCGTCAGACTCTTCTATCAGTACATACCCACAATGGTCTGGTTCTGACCTAACTATAACCCAGAAAGATAATGCGCATACTACCGAGCTATCTACCTACTGTACCTAGGTACCTAGGTATATGCGATGAGATTTGACCCAACTTCAAATACTTCATTATACCTGTTGATATATTGGATCCTACGTGATGACATTACTTTCATTAAACCGAAGGATTTATCGAAAAAATGAGTCAACTGAGTTGAGCAGCTTGCTCACTCACTCCCAGCCACGTTGATCGCTGCGATACCGCTATCGCACCAAGCCAAGTCCAGTATATCAGACCCCAACCAAAAATCCCAAACCACAGCATCAACACTCCCAACACCGCAAAGATGATGAAGAAATTTGCTCGCGCCTACTCCTCGGCGTCAGCCACTCTCGGCTCAAACCCCGTCCCGCCCTCCAAGATCCAATACATCCCTACATCAGGGAAATATCCCAAGGGCTTCGTCGCTGCGGGCGTCTTGGCTGGTGTCAAGCCTGGAAACACTAGCAAGCCCGACATCGCCCTCATCACCTCGGACCGTCCCTGCGCGGCTGCTGGTGTCTTCACCAAGAACAAATTCCAGGCTGCGCCCGTGACTTACAGCAGGAAACTTCTCCAGCAGAAGAAGAACGCTGGGCTGCGAAGTGTGATCGTCAATTCGGGCAATGCGAATGCCGTCACCGGCACCGGAGGGCTTGAAGATGCGACCAATATGGCTCGCGCTACGGACAAGAGAGTTGGTGATGAGGACTCTACTATCGTCATGAGCACTGGAGTTATTGGACAGAGGTTTGTATCCTTCAATTGACCCCGTTTGATGCTTCAATGGCTTACAGTTGCGGCAGGCTACCTATTCAGAAGATTCTTGACAAGATTCCTTCTGCTGTTAACAAAGCTGGCGGTTCTCATGAGAGCTGGCTTGAGTGCGCAAAGGCTATCTGCACCACCGATACATTCCCCAAGCTCATGTCTCGAACCTTTGAGCTCCCCTCTTCCCCGGGTGTTGAGTACCGAATTGCTGGCATGACTAAGGGCGCGGGCATGATTGCCCCCAACATGGCAACCCTTCTCACGATCCTGGCCACTGACGCTCCTATCGCCCCTGGTGTTATGCCCAACGTACTTCGACACGCTGTAGACCGCTCGTTCAACTCCATCACCATTGATGGCGACACCTCTACCAACGATACTGTTGCTCTCCTTGCCAACGGTGCCGCTGGCGGTAAGGAGGTTACCTCTGAGCAGTCTCCTGATTACAAGGCTTTCCAGGAGCTCTTGACCGAGTTCTCCATTGATCTGGCCAAATACGTCGTTCGAGATGGCGAGGGTGCCACCAAGTTCGTCACCATCCGAGTTGTCGACAGTGCTTCCGAGGAGGCAGCGCGTCAAATCGGACGAAGTATCGCCATATCACCCCTAGTTAAAACCGCCCTCTACGGCAAGGATGCCAACTGGGGCCGTATTCTATGCGCCACCGGTTACGCTCTCATCTCTGCTCCTGGACAACCCGTAAACGAAGTCTCTGAGATCACTCCTGAGCGTACGAATGTTTCTTTCATCCCCACAGATGGCTCTCCCGAGCTTAAGCTGCTTGTGGATGGTGAGCCTGAGCAGGTTGACGAGAAGCGAGCGGCTGAGATCCTTGCGATGGAGGATCTTGAGATTGTCGTTAAGCTGGGCACAGGCGACAAGTCTGCTGTGCATTATACCTGCGATTTTAGCCATGACTATGTAACTATCAATGGTGACTACCGAACTTAGCATCTACTAAGGGAAAGTCCTGAGATCATATCAAACAGAGCCTGAAATTTCATGAGACATCATAATTATACTTGTGGCGACATATTGCATCATGAGTCTGCTTAGACTCATGAGAGTGATGATTAGACAGATTAGTGCAATGGCCACTTGATTGTTTGTATTGGAATTATGTCTTGGAAGGATATAGCATAAGGACATATATAACAATATGTATAACGTTAGCTTTCGCCCAGCATTTATGTGTCCTGTCACTTTATTCAAATGTCGCGCTGTTATACGCCCAAAGATCTTGATCCCTGCAACACCATCAACGACCAGGTCTAGATCTAACCAAAACCAAACACTCATCCGGAACTCCTAACTCTACCAATCCCTTTTACGCACTCAGAGTGCCCTTGGTGCTAGGCACCTCGCCCTCCTTGCCTGCTATCCTCGTAGTAGCACCCTTAATAGCGACCGCAAGCGCCTTGAAGGCACTCTCAGCTCGGTGGTGGTCATTGTCACCGTGGAGGCAGTGGACGTGCATCGTAACTCGGGCACCCTGAGCGAAACTCTGCAGACAGTGGGGAACCATCTCGGTGCTGAGCTGGCCGAGCCACTCTCGCTTCAGACCAAGGTCGACGACGCAGTAGGGACGGTTGGAAAGATCAACGACGGCGCGGGATAGGGCCTCGTCGAGAGGGGCGTAGGCGTAGCCGAAACGGGCGAGACCGGCGGGGGTACCGAGGGCCTGGTTGAAGGCGTATCCAAGAGCGATGCAGACATCTTCGGCGGTGTGGTGGTCGTCAACTAAAGAGTGATATCAAAGTCAGTCATTTACCGTCTCTCAGTGGCGCAGTTGGAAGAAGACGAACTGTGAAGATCGCCCTTGCAGTTCAGAGCAAGACTCCAGCCGGCGTGCTTAGCCAGAGCATGAAGCATATGGTCGAGGAACCCAATGCCTGTGTTGACAGCAATCTTTTGCGACTTGCTAGCCTGGGAAGCATGGTTATCACCGTCGTCGAGAAGACGAGAGTCAGTGTCTGGGGGGAAATCGCCGCCGTCGAGGTTAAGAGCGAGCTGGATCTTTGTCTCGTTTGTGTCGCGAGCGAGAGCGGCCCATCGGGTAGCTTGAGAAGAGGCCATTTTGAAGATCAATTGGTGACGGTGCAAGAATTGAGTGACAAAGTTGAATATGAATTTCTGAGAGTTGAATCACGTATGACGAGCTCCTGTATCGGCGAGTGCCAAATTGACGGCTTCTGATACGCCACTCGACCCCGCCAACTTTTTTTTTATTTCCCTCCATGTCACAGAGAACAGAGGGTCGCTGTAAGCTACCCCGCCGTTACTGCTGGGGACACACCCGCTGTAGCTTATGATGACGCCCTGTATGTCCTCCTTAACGCGCTTAGCTCCAGGCGCGAGCAACGGTCCAGGCTCCATTGCGGTGAGATTGGATTGTTGACTTTTGGTGGGATGTTGATTGACGTTGTTGATCCAAACACACGACCAACCGACGTCCCAGGCTGATATTGCAACACAACGCCTCATTTACACAGCGAATAAATACGATATATGAATTGCCACTCGATGCGCCACGGATAAGATAGGCATGGAAAACTTCCTGAGGGAATGGCGGCAAGATGCCCTCAACAAGGCGCAATACGAGTCGGCCATCTTTATCGGCGACAAGCTGCTTGCATTGACCAGTCCGTCTATTCTTTGGTTCAGAAAATCATTGCAAGCTTCTAACATGAACCTTTGTAGATGATGATCAAGACGCATTCTGGCTTGCCCAAGTCCACTTCGCGACAGGAAACTACACCCGTGCCCAAGCATTCCTCTCCAGCCAGGACCTCATCGCTCGAAACCCATCATGTCGCTACCTCGCCGGCCACTGCCTCATAAAGCAGTCCCGCTTCGACGAAGCCCTCTCCGTTCTTGGCGACCGTAACCCGACGCATCTCATTGCCAACAACACCAGCAACAAGCGCAAGACACAGCCGCGCCAGGGACGACGTCGCGACCAGGCCGCTGAGGAGGAGGCTGCGAACCGGAGGTACGAGGCTGCCATGTGTTTTCTCCGAGGTATCTGCTACGCTAAGCAGAATGCTTTTGACCGCGCCAAGGAGTGCTACAAAGACGCAGTGCGGATCGATGTGCAGTGCTTCGAGGCGTTTCAGCAGCTTATGAACAACTCGCTGTTGTCGCCTGATGAGGAGTGGCAGTTTCTTGAGAGTCTAGACTTTGACTCGATTCACGTCTCGGGAGATGTATCGTCTTCACAGCAGGCTGCCGACTTTACGAAAATGCTCTACACGACACGGCTGTCCAAGTACCGCAACCCTGCCGCATTCGAGGCAGCCTACGATTCTCTTTCGACACATTACCATCTGGCATCAAATCCAGACCTTCAGCTTGCGCGGGCTGATCTTTTATATACGCAATGTCGGTACCGCGATGCTCTGAATATCACAAATGGGATTCTACAAGAGGACAAGTACAACTTCAGCGTATATCCGGTGCATCTGGCATGCCTGTTTGAGCTCAAAGAGAAGAATCTCTTGTTTTTGATTGCTCACGATCTGGCTGATAGCCACCCTGAAGAGCCATGCTCGTGGCTCGCGGTTGGCATTTACTATTTTTCGATCGGCAAAATTCCCGAGGCGCGACGGTACTTTAGCAAAGCCAGTATGATGGATGCACATTTTGGGCCAGCGTGGATAGGGTTTGCACATACTTTTGCGGCAGAGGGCGAACACGATCAGGCGATTTCAGCCTATTCAACAGCGGCGAGACTATTCATGGGTACACATCTTCCACAAGTGTTTTTGGGGATGCAGAACCACGCTCTCAACAACATGACACTCGCAGAAGAGTTTCTCAAGACAGCTTACGGACTTTGCAAAACGGATCCTCTTCTCTTGAACGAGATGGGCATTGTGAAATATCACCAGGACAAACCGAAGGAGGCGGCACAGTATTTTACAGCAGCGCTTAAGATCGCTGATGATATGGACAGTGACCCCTCAGCGTGGTTAGCAGCCAGGACGAATCTTGGTCATTCATTCCGTAGATTGCGACACTTTAACCGAGCTTTGGCTGAGTTTGACGAGGTTTTGAGACAAGGAGGAAAGGATGCGGCCATATTCAGCGCCAAGGGACTTATTCTCATGGAGCAGAGTAAGCCACAAGAAGCAGTGGTAGTCCTTCACGAAGCGTTGGCGATCAACCCGCAGGATAGCATCGCGACTGAGTTGCTTAACAAGGCGCTAGAAGAGACGGCATTGCTGGACGGTGCAGCAGATTCTGAAGCTGAGGATCTGCTAGAATTCGAACGCACGCTTGACCAGCGCAAGCACGATGCAGCTGTCAAGGTGAACGGCGGTCGAAGAACAGCAGGGAGAATGGAGAAGGGCAAGGGGAGAGTGAGACGATCACGACGGATGACGGTGTTGGAGGATGAGAACGAGGATGATTCGGAGGAGAAAGAGGACAGTATGATGGAGATGAGCGATACTGAGTAGGAGGGATACCAGAGAGACTGAACAAAGATGAAAATGAGAGTGACTTGGGAATGAGGATGTGGGAATAGCATTAAATCATTGGGTTAGGGTCTAGGCGTTGGGGGATATGCATGCATTGGCGGACATGGTGTATAGAGGTTGATTATAAGCATGTGCATACTCGGTCAACAAGAGACGATATTGGACAATTGCTGTATGGAGTATACAGCATCACTATCTGTGTGATAGACTATGCTAACTAATTGGAGCCAGTCAAATTAACAAACCCAGTTATATCTCGCATTCGCTTCTCGCACATCGGTATATAGTATTCTCCAATGTCCGCAGAATAAGCTCCAACAGTGGAGAATGCCCGGTATATTTATCCATCCGTGCCGTTCGTATCGGAGAACCAATAACCGCGTGCTTATTCAATCAAGATCCCCGAAGCTATCGTCGGGACCGAAGAGAAATGCGAGAATTCCTTATGCGCTGTAAGGCTGACTTCTCAATGGGGAAAGTAGTGGCTTGATGATATGACGCGGCGTAGTTAGAGACTAGAGTGCTTATATAGATAGAGAGAGACACGCCATATGGGCTGACTCCCGTCTTACTCAACACTATAAACAAACCTCACAGTTAATCAATTCAAAGTCAAATCATGTCGAGATTCTTTCCACATGCTGCTTACGCAGAGGATCAGCCTCTATCTCGCACAATCCTCACCACGCACGTTATCGTGCGCGCAATCACATTAAACACAATCATCGCAACAGGCATAACAACCACACGCCAAATCATCCCCTTTCTGCGCCCCAAGACCCCCAATGCGCTCTCCTTTCTGCCGCGGCTCGTCCGCTCTGCGTCAACAGGCACCGTCGCAGCGCTGGGCGTCGGCGTGCTCATGACGTTTGGGCGCATGCGCGGGAGGGAGGAGATCGAGTGGCAGGATCGCAGCTGGAGATTACTCGAGAACGAGGGACAGCTGGAGACTGACGACTGGACTGCCTTGGGCTCTGGGGCTGGGGCGATATTAGGGGCCAATGTGGCAGGGTTGGGTTGGAGAGGTCCTGTTGGAGGGATGGGGTTGGGGACTGTGGGTGGCATGTTGGGATATATGGCTTGGAGATATGGTGTCAATGGGGGCAAGTTCCCCAAGAAGGAGAATGCTTTGTAGAGACAGTATTGGTTTCTCTTGTATATATAGTATATCCTAGGTAAGTTCTGTGTAATATCATCTACAGCTTTGCCCGAACTTGCTCAACCTCTTCAATCTTCTGGAACTGGTAGAAAAAGTCCAGACTTTGAGGATTCAACAACGTCCCGCTGGGCTTTATGTTGATCCCTGAAATGATTTGCTTAACCGGCAACTCGACCTTTTTACCATTCACCGTCACCTGAAACCGTCAGTATCATATCATCAACCTGTCAGAAGGGGGACTTACCGGAATATCAGGCACCTCGAAGATGTACTTGGGCACATGCCTCTTTGTCAACTCCTTCGCAATCCTGCCTCGAATTTGCTTCGCCAGTTCAGCAGTGAACTTGATGCCCGGCTTCATCAGAAGAAACAGTACAACAGCCTCGTCATGATCCTGTGACCGTCTCTGTCCCACACAGAGACTCTCAGCAACCTCCTTCGCAAAACCCCCCTCAAGCACAGCGTAAATATCCGCACTACCAAAGCGAATACCACTCCGATTCAAAACTCCATCTGAACGACCTAGGATGTGAATATGTCCCGTCTGCGGATGCACTGCTGCGAAATCGCCCTGGGACCACACTCCGGGGAAGCGATCAAAGTAGGCGGAAGTGTACTTCTTTCCAGGGGCGGGAGTCGTGTCGTTCCAGAGATACAGAGGAATGTTGGGGAATGCTGCTGTTCCGACTAAATCTCCTGGTTCGCCGTCTGGGACGGGGGAGATTGGCTTGGTGAGATCGGCAGAGGATGGATAGATTGCCATGGGCGTGCCGATGACTCGTCCTGGACATCCACCGGCATAGATGGGAGATAGAGGGTTCTCCATGACGAAGCAGGCGGCCTTTCAAAGCCAAGTCAGTAACATGAAGCCAAGAGAAGAGGGAATGGAGAGACTCACGATATCTGTACCTCCTGAAAAGTTTACCAACTTTATCCTCGAGGGGAAAGCTCCGTCGTAGAACCATTCAAAGAGCTGCTCCTTCAACACCATTCCAGTGCTCTGCACAGATGTGAGACTACTAAGATCAGCCTCCTTCTGCGGAACTATCCCTTCCTTCATTAGCTCTCCAAGCCAACGCGGGCTGATTCCAAGATTGGTAACCTTCTGCTCCTCCACGATCCTCAACAGCACAGTCCGATCCGGCACAAAAGGCGAGCCATCGTAAAACACAGTCCGTCCACCAATAGCAAGTCTGGTGATACTCGCAAGATACATGATCCAGCCAGTGGTGGTGTACTGCAGCGAAACATCCTCAGGCGTGAGTTCGCGATGCAGAATGCCCTCCTTAGCTACGGTGACGAGAATAGGTCCCACGCCGTGGACGATGGCCTTGGGCATTCCTGTTGTGCCGGAGGAGTAGTAGACTACCATCGGGTCTTGGAAGCCGACTCTTTCAATAGGTGGTGGTGTTGAGGATGCTGAGGAGAGGAAGGCTTCGAGACGCTGCGTGTTTGGAATTTGAGAAGTATCCTGAGGAGTGTCGAAGCGTTGAACGACGACTACTCCCTTGAAAGAGGGACATTCTTTTAGTCCTTTAACGACACCCTCAATCTTCTCGCGGAGATCAATAGTTTTGCCGTTATACAAAGCAGCGTCGTCAAAGAAAACAAACTACTCACCGTTAGCATCTCTATATCCATCTCAAACTCAAACTGTCATCACAACTTACCTTGGGATCAATCTGAACAGTCCTCTGTAACAAACCTCCAACACCCATATCAGTAGAACTACTGCTAAACAACCCCCCAAGCCAAGTCGCTGCCAGAAACACCACACAAGTCTCAACAGCGTGTGCTCCAACCATGACGACCCGATCGCCCTTCTTCACGCCTCTCTGCTTCAACGCACTCGCGGTCCTAGCCACTCTCTTCCTCAGCTCTCCCCACGTCACATTCGTCACAGAGGAGTTCCCCTCACGAACTTCTGTGATGGCAACACTGTCATCTTCCTTGTGGAGCGTTGAGCGCTCGCCTGGTGCACCGCCTACAGGGCGTGTCCAAAGGAGATTCTCAGCGAAATTAATGCGAATACCGGGAAACCAAGTGGGAAGTTGATTAATAGGAATGGACTCGTCGACTACGTATGAGTAGGATCCTTCGTGGATCCAGTTCTGAAAGGTCCAGAGCTGGGCGTAGAAGTCGCTGCGCTTAGAGCAGGACCATTCGTATAAGTCATTGAAAGTCTAAGACTAGTAAGCAGACTATTAATACTCGACAACTTTCTTTCATAGTTTATACCTTCAGATTGAGCCCGTGGAGTTTATTCGCCTCTTGCATAAACGCCCACATGGCCGTACTCTTGGGATCGGCATGTTCCCAAACCTTTCGAGGCGTCTTTGTTAGATCCATTGTAACAAGCTTACTTATCTTGGAGTTGTGAAAACTTGGCTTATGAGAGCAATCAACACAAACAAAGTGAAGCAATACAGAAAATTTGAATGGTTAAAACCCAACATAAACAACTATTATATCCGCCCTGCATTATATACTCACGCATACGCAACCCAACCTCCGAGGTAACTTGACCAATACCTCCATTGTGCGGGGTCTCAGCCGCTCCCCGATTGTATTTGTCCTCTTGAAGTTAGCTACTTTCTGGGGTAATTCACTGACGGAACATTTATGCCTGGGGTAACCATGTCGACTCCATAAATTCCACAGCTATTCCTATTTGTTCAAGAGTGATTGTAGCAGCTATTAACTTGCTGTATTTCTATATGTCCAAGTCAACTCCATGAGTCGATATAGAGCAGGTAGATAACCGTACTTACTCAATTAGTTAGGTTTACCAGGAGGAGACTTTCTCTTCACTTTTGTCAATAAGTTAATTATTCGCTAAGCTAGAAAACCGGGGGAGCATTCCTGCAGCCGTCCTTTGTATTCCTTTAACTGTAGTTGTCGATCTTCAACTCTGTGCCTCGGCTTGTGGGGAACCCCATCCCAGACGAGGATAGAAGATCAAGGCATCGATTGATTGTATGATCAAGCCTGGCCTTGTCTTACTGAAACTCAACCCGTCATAAAATACTTGGTTGTTGCGTTATATATCTACTCTCTTGTGACTCTTTCAGTATTAAAGGACGGCCTCATAATGTGCAAGGAAGAATTGGTCAGGTTAATTTAACAGTTGTATAAATTAGATGGAGTAGATAACCCAATGCTCGGTCATCACTCTCAAAGTATAACTAGAATAGCGCTCGCTGTCTCTCGAGTCTATGCCATATGATGTGGTAGAGACCTCTTTTCCCCAGCCATATCTACCCTTCCTAGCATCTTACACCTCTTCCAAAGCCCCAACGCCATGCACAAAAGTCCTAACCATGCCTTCCTTTCAACGCACACATATAATATCCACATCCCTTTCCATGCCCTCAAATCTCAAACTGTCATGTCAAACTGCCATTTACAGGTATGGCATCCACAATGCATCGCACTGCGCCAGGTTCATAGGGTTGACCGCCTTGGCAATCGCATCAATCACCGTCTGGTTCGCGGGCAAGTTGCCAACAGGGCTGTGGGCCAAGCTTATTGCCCTCTTGACAATCGATTCGCTGTTGACTTGCACAGAATCCCTGAGCTGACTCTCTGTAATCACACCATTCCTATGGCTTCCAGTGAACCAGAACAGCATCTCGTCGCGGACAAGCAGCGTCAAGGCATGCTCCAGCTCGTGTTCGGGCTCCGTCAGGCATCTTGCAATGGCCATCAGCGAACATGCAAAGATGCCCTCAGTCGCAAGTGGGCCCATCAGTGTTTGGAGGTTGGGCGTGAGTCGGAATGGCACCGGCTCCGGGTTGTGGAAGAAGGGTTTGTTGGCGCTCATATATGACATCATCTCAGACCCCCAAACCTTGCCCGTGGATCTGGATATGTTGATCTTTTGCGGGTATCGGTTGTGCATGTACATGATGTACGTGATAAACGTCAAAGCCGCAAGCTGATACGAGAACTGGCGACGGAACAGCCAGAACTCAGCAAACTGTGGGAAAACCTTCTGGAAATACTCGATTGCCACGGTTGATGGCACCCACTTCTCCTGGATCGCGTTGAACACCTCTAATCGAGCTGTCGCCGCCTGTTCGGGCTTGTTCTGCTTCTTATTAGTGTCCGTGGAACTCTCTTGGGTACCCGAGGAACTTACCGAGCTCTTGCTCTCAAGGGCACCCCGAAGCTTCTCCATAGTAAACAAAACAGGGTCATCCTTCGACATGCCCATGTTTCGACAATGGTCCTCATACACTCCCTGCAGTGTGGTGTAGGACGTGTCTTCCTGTACAAGTCGGATGTGTGGTGCGAAAGGAACCATGATGGGTATCGTGAACTGCAAATCGCGACGTCGGCTCTCCTTCTTACGGCCCAATGTCTGGTTAAGCGACCGGAAGAGCTGCAAGATGCGCTCCTCTCGTCGGCAGTGACGGGCTGCAGGGTGCTGAATGGCCCATTTGTGGATGCTGCCATCATGTCCACGCATCTTGATACGCCGATAAGAAGCACTAATAGACCGCACGAGATCTATGTTTGGCAGGAATCGATCGATACGGATGAAGTCCTGGTTCTTATCCTTGTGCTGCAGATACTGGCCAGGAATCTCAACCTCGTCAAACTTTCCGTATCTGAACTCGCTCAGATGAGGAGAGAACATCTCGAGTGAGGCTCGAGGCACTCGATGATCCAGCTTCTCTTCAAACTTGTTTCGCCAGCGACGCAGCTTGTAGATGTACTCATACATAGTGGGCTTAACAGTCACAAAGTCTGCCTCGAACGATTTCTTGATGTGGCTTGGCAAGATCGTTTCTGCAAAACGAGTGATATTGGTCTCGGTTGCTGCTGGAAGCTTGACGTTCTTGGCAAAAGAGGGCGGTGTTCTACTGACGTAGGCCAGAGCATCATTGAGCAGGGCCACGATTAGTCGGTAGGCGTCCTCGTCAGGAGGGCACTTGAAGTTCTTCTGAATCTGGTCCACCATTGTCTCCATGGAGAGAGCTAGAAGAGGGAAAGCCGTCTTGAGAACAGACATGACCTCTTCGGTGTACTCCCACGGGGGCTTCTTTTGAGGCTGTCCTGCCTGTCCAGGTTGGGACGTAGCCTTCTGTACAGCCTTTGAGGGATCAGGCGTTTGTCCATTGGCAGGTGCTGGAGTACCAGCAGCGTTGCCGTTGGCTTCACCTTCAGCCTTGACTGGCGTACCGTCAGCCGCATTCGCAGTGCCAGGTCGAGAAGTTGCTGTTCCAGGCCTGGGAGGTTCCTGCTTGGTCATGGAAGGAGACGCGCTCGCCTTTCCGTTGGATGCAACTGATTGCGCACGTTGTCTTGCTGTCCTATCCCTAGCTTCCTGGTTCTTCTTGATGACAAGAAGATCCTCTCTGTTTGTTCGAAGCTGGAAGTACAGGGCCTGAGGGTAAGATTTGGCAATCTTAAGCAGGAGCTGGAAAACTCGAGGGGCTTCCTTATGGCCGAGACCCGTAATCAACTGTTGGATGAAAGTGATCCAATACCATACGGGAGTTTCGCCCTTAAAGTCATCAAAACCCAAGGCTATTGTGCCCTTAGCATCATCCAAGCTGAGAAGCCACAAGATTCGTGCCAGCAGCTTTCGAGATTTGGCATTTTTGTAGCTTCCTGCGGCTTGCAAGTACGAGGTGAGTGCCTGTCGTGCCGCGTTGAGATCGGTCGGGTCTTCCTTAAACTTGCGATCGTTGAAGTAACCCCATTCAGCCCAGGCTTTTGCAGCACCTATATCAAAGTACAAGGCTGTACCGTACGCCGAATCGGCTTCTTCCTTTTGCTTAAGCTTCTCCAGGAACATGCCCTTGAGTGTGTAAAATTCGGCTTTTTGAGATGGACTGAAGTAGTTGAGGTTCGTATTATTAATCACATCCAGACCACTAGAGAGCTCTTCGGGATTTTCGTAATGGCATTTGGCCTGTTCACGAAGCTTCAGGAAAGCTTCCTGAATTTCGATGTTCGGCAGCGTGTAGATGCGGCTCAGCTGGTTGATGCAAACCTCAGGAAGGTTATGCTTGCGTGCAACATGGGCAAACCTGTTAATGATCCAGGCAGTCTCGTGATAACCGCGGTAAGCGAAGGAACTGGCCCCACCAGCGTTTTGCTGGCCCTGTTGAGGCAGCAATTGCAGATACGTTTGATTGATGAGACTGAAGATGTGCTGTCTCCAGGTGACAAGATCTTGCCAAGCGGTGATATCATCCCAGACATTGGGAAGTCGATCACGCCAAGCACCCAGCAGCAGCTTAAGCTCGCCAGACTTGACATCCAGGTTTGTTTGATTAGTGTTAGCAAGACTCTGACAGATGACACTAGCATCATGAAGCTCCACCAACTGCTGGAAGTTCTGGAGGAGAGGAACGTGCGCGTTGGTCAAGCGCTCAGGCAGCTGATGCCACTTGCGGATAGAGAGCTGGATGGCCTCATCGCAGACGCGCGCGAAATCAGTGCTAGGTTCCTGGTGATTGTGGAACTTGAGGAGCGACATAAAAGACTGGAAGAAGGCCCTGCGAGGTGTAGGGGCATCCATGACGCCCTTAATAATGTTATCCAAAGCCTCGCGGTGTTGCTCATCTTGCCACATCTCTGTGTTTCGCCAAGCGCACTCGAGAAGGAGATCCTGGAAGTTTTCGTGCTTCGCAAAATCCTGGAGAATCTCCCACTGTTGCAATTTCTGTGCACAGAGAACCCAGTGATCCTCCCAAAGCATATACTCGGCTTGGGAGAATGGAATCACGCCTGTCCTGGCCTTGATCTGAGCATTCTCATACAACTTCTGTGCCTTATCCCACATGCCGTTCTGTTCGTATGACAGGGCTGCGTTGGTTTCAACGAACTGGCACCGTCGCCTCCAAGTACCATAGAACAGGTCGTCTTCTTGTAGAGCGGCGTACAACTCGACAAGGGCATCAAGATTACTCTCGCGAACCGTGGCAGACTCAACTTGAGGCTTGATAGCAGCATTCTCAAGTTGGATCAGGGCAGTATACCAAGCGTCGTATGTCTTCGCCTCGTATTTGAGGACATGCGGCGGGATCTTACACTCAGGCCAGGTCTTTGCAGCACCGTCAAGAATCGACTGAATAACGTTGGGACGCTTGTCAATTTGTCGACTGTGATAGTCCTTAGTGAGCAGTGCCACAATCCCACGCTCGAGGTCAACTCGATCATCCTTGGCAACAGACGACCAGTAAATTGGGAAGAGGGTTACCCAAAGGTTGTGAGCAAGTTGGGAATCAACATGTTGGAGCTGCACCAACGGCTCAACCACATCCTTCACCTTCACGTCACCAAGCTCCAACATGAATCGGCGGTGAGTAGCCATGAATGACTCAAACTTGTCATCAATGATGGTAGTAGGTTCCCGAGCCTCCATCTCCTTGGTGAAGATGGTCAGTAGGAGTGAGATTGGCAGCGTCCTGAAGTCAGACTTGTGAAGCTGGATACTGGCGTTCGTCTCCACAGCACCCAGTAGCAGATGAGTGGCTTGGGCAAGCCAGTAAGAGTCGGAGAGGGTGTCCCAGTTTTGGGATGTAAGAACATAGGATAGGCGAGCACTAGCCGACTTCGACAAGCTTTTATCGAAAATGGCCATGAAGCGGTTACGCATCTCGACATCCGCTGCGCGAGTGCCAATAAGGAAGGCATGTTCCATGCGGACTGTGAGTTCCGTGCGGGTGATCTTGGGATCCTCGTAAATGCGAATGACGAGATCCAAGAACTTGGATAGCATGGTTGGGTCTTGTCGGTGTTCAAAGGACAGCATCTTGTGGAGGACGGCCGTCTTCTCCTTAAGAGTAGGCCATGTCCCTTCTGATCGGAATACCCATCCCTCAACCATGTTCAATATCTCTTCGCAAAGCTCGATTGACATGGACTTTTCCACTAACGTTGCAAGAACGCTGAGGAAAGGCCGACGAGCATCACCTAGAACCTCCATCTGCAAAGCTACGACCTGAATTTCCTTGATCATAATTTTAGTCTGGATCTCCAGATCATAGGCAGTCATTTCTCCACTCGGCGTATTAGGGTCCTGATTCCTGTTGTTGACTCCAGCTGCCTGATTCGCGACTGCGTTATAGTGCTGCACATGCTCCCTAGCATGTTTAGACTGAAGAGCCTTCATCAAGGAAGGGATATGTTGGTCAATAACATTCGGCTTCCGCTGGCCAAGAGACCAAAGAATGTTGACACCCGAAGTATAGTTGTTACTGTTCATGGCTTCTGTCGCAAGCTGAGACAAGTAAAGAACAATCTCGGATGTCTGCTGCTCCGGTTCGCCTTCGCCATCCGCGTCCTCCATAGGTGTATCATCAGGGACAGAGTCCAAGATGCGCTTCACAATTGATCGGAGCTCACGGTTGTCATCAAACTTCTTATCAGAAAGATGGAGACAATCCTGAATTTCAGGGTTTTCCGACTTGAGACACTTCTCCAAGACCTTCTGAATAGCTGGCATGCTCTTTTGAATCCACTCATCCGACTTGGAATTGAGGACGATGCGAACGACCTGAAGAGTATTGATAATATTGGTCAGGAACTTCTCATCAAACTTCTCCTTGTCAGAAGGGTCAGCAGTAAGAATGGTCTGTGTTCGATCGCTTGCCAGGATGACTTGGGTGACATTAGGGAACAGATCGAGGTCGAGATCGCCCCAGTACTGAGGCTGTACCAAGTTGTAGAGCAGCTTCATGGCCTTCTTGCAAAGGTCGGTCAACGCTAGAGGAACAGGAGGAATTGATGATGCGACCTGGTCTCGGGGCTTGGCTGAAGGAAGCTCGTATCGCTCATTCAATTGCGCGATGAATTCAACAAGATACTTAATCATCTTCAATCGGAAAAGAGGTGGGATCTGATACTCAGCACGCCCTGTTGGCTGAGAGGTGCCTACTTGCTCGGCTTCCAGTTTTCTCTTCTTTGTGTTGGGCGATTGAGAAAAGGATCTCGCTCCATTAGTAGGTGATTTCCCCTCGACTCGTCGTTCTTCCCAGGTCCAGATCAGCCACATCATGTTGAGGCATAGTCTTTTGGACTCGTGAGACGCATTCTGTGGGGTGGCGAGCTTCCGCAGAGAGCTGATCATCAAAGTGATGTACTTATCGCGAGCTTCGTAAAAGAGGTCTGGATGCCTGACGAGGAAGTGGAAGATGCTCGTCATCTGCTGAGCGTTTTGTCCCTCATCGGCAAGAATACGGCGAGGCGCAACAGCCCAAGGTGCGTTGCGTTCGTTCTGACCGGTTCCACAACGCTTTGGCAGCATGGGCGCAATAAGCTCGAGTGCTTGAGTGACCAAGGCACGTCCCTCGTTTTGATTTGCCTTCAAGAGCGATAGGTACACCTGAGTCACGATCTTTGGCGGTGTCTCGTAATGTGCAATGAAGTAACCAATCACTACATAGGCAGCATGTTTGTTGATAACATCCTCCAGGCGGATGAAGGTCCAACCGAACTTGATGATATCTTTTCTCGCATCTTGGAGCGGTGTGTGGTAATATTTGACCAACATTGCAGAGAGCTGCAAGACCTCATACCTAGTATGGTCAATGCCGGGCTGGGCTTGATCATCCATCGTCATCTCTGGGTGGACCTTCCAGATCTTGCTGCTCACTGCATCAATGACAGCTCTGTCCATCAGTCGAGGGCTCCTGTTTTGATCGAGCTGCTTGAAGTTTCGCATGACATCCATCGCAACGATCGGGTTGACTATGTAATGCAAGAGGAAATACTTCATCTTGTTTGATGCAGACTTTCCAGCATACGTATCCAAGCAACGAAGGACTGTCGTCTTCCAAAAGTCGATCGCATCACTGCAAATGATTTTTTGGTAGATGAACGAGAACAGCTCCTGCGTGTTGCGAAGCTCATCAGAGGTGACGCATTCAATCAGATGGAAAAGGGGATCCAAATCTTTAGGTGCCCTTTCGAGTGACCTGACGAGAAGCGTCATGAGTTGCTCCGCAGCTTGGTAAGCCGGCAATCGGAGATGGGCTGGAAGTGTATGCTGTCGAAGATGCATCTCCAGTTCCTTGCCGATGTTCTTCAGCCAATCCAGATGCTCCTTCTTGTCCATCCACTTTTCGGAGCTGGGGAAATGGCCGAGGGACTCGAAAATATGAATCGCATTGACCATGGCAATGAACTTGGCCTCATTGCCTTGGCTGATCAGCTCATTACACCGAGCAACTAGACCGTCGACGTTTTCAACCGCGACCTCCCTCAGAGCATGGCTGTCAGGATGGCGGAGAACCTGAGCCAACAGTCGGCCATACTTAAGATCTTCCACTTTTCCAAAGAGATAAGCCCAGATTTCTTTTGGATATCGGTTCATGTATCTGTATATAGGGAGACGGAATGGGCTGAGCTGGGTTCGGCGTAGCTTATCTTCTAAGCCAAGGAAGCAATCAATCAATCTTTCCTTAAAAGCTTCAGCAGGTGCGGGGAGCAAATGAAAGATATTCAGAATAGCAGTGATGATCTTCATCTGAGGGTGCTGGTCGAAGAAGGTAAAGGATATCTGCTGCAAGGCACTGGGCTCAACAATTGAGTCGATCTGTTCCAGTAGGCGCGCTCCTATTTCCACCTTAAAATAAGACGTCAGCAACTTGAGCAGCCTGGACAAATTATCTAATCCAGCAGTACTCAGTCGTTTCGGGTCCGAAAGGCTCTGCAGCACTGGCCGCAGACCTCCCTGTAGAAGCTCCTTAGGTAGACGCCTATCTACCGACAAGACTGACTTCAAAGCATCATTTGCTGCAGTAATAGTAGGCTGTGATTCAGAGTAGAGACACTTAAAGAAAACGCTAAGAATCTTGGTCTTCGTGGGTTGATTGGAGAATTCTTCAAAAGTCATAGCTGTTGTGAGTAGCTTGATGCATGATACGCGAAGATTGACAATGTGCTCATGCGTACGAAACTCTGCAGGCTTATTAGCAAGAGACTCGTCGCTTGCATCAGCCAAGGCTAAAGACTCCATCAGAAGACGGTTCAGGTTGTCGTCAAAAGGCACCCAATCGTTCTTGAGACTCATGTGGTATGTCATGGCATTGATATAGCCAATTTGTATACTGAACGGCAACGCACGCAAGGGCTTGGCGAAAATAGGCTGCAAAATCTTGTCTTTGCATGATTCGAGCAGCTCCCAGACTTCGCAGTTTGCGGCCTTTGCAATGAGTTCGAGAGAATGTTTGGCGGTCTCCCGAACATGCTTGTTCATGTGGTACAGATCATTGCCGAATTGTTGGCATATCTGGGAAAGCCGAGGTTGCTTAGGTTGAGGGTTCGGTGGCTGGCCGGGTTGTTGCGCAATTGGCAGCGCATCCTCTTTGGTGATGTCCTTCGTGATGCGCTTGAGCAGAACCTCCAAACTTGTCTGAGCCAGGCAGCGTGTCTTCTCGGGGAGGTCTTGGGGCATATCCTTGACTACGTAGGTGAGCGCACGGATGAACTCGGTTTGCTTGGAGGTGATCCATGTGTCGCCAAAGTCAAGCTCAGTAAGTAAGTAGTTGATTCCCAAACTACCACCAGTCTTCGTGAACCACTCTTCTTCGTAGCAGCTATGACAGAAAGTACTGCTTAGATGACCGAAGAAAGGTAGCTTGCCAACGTCATCTTCTGAACCAAAGATGATTGCTGTAGAGTCATACATCTCCCGGATGGCACTCTTGGCTGCCTCACGCACATCTGGATGGTCAGAGGCCAAAGACTCCACGATCGCATCTGACAGGTTGCGCGTATCGATATGCAAGAGGCCTTCGCCGGCATTAGGATCGAAGGGGCTATAGTTGCGCTTCAGATCCACCAAAGCTCTTCCGATCTCAATTATTGCAAAGTGCTTGCAGAGGTTCAACAGGAAAGCGCTGGCTTCGTCCTTGAATTCAGGGAAAGAATGGGCAAACATGACTGCCTTGAGGAGCTGCTTGACGACTACGTCTTCGCTCTCTTTCTTCGGGATCGACCGCTCACGATCCGAAACCTCAAAATTGGTGGAATTGATCTCGTACCTCCGTGCAATCAAATCCTCGGCCTGGAGTCGCAGTAGACGAGGAAGGTCATCCGGAAGCTGGTCGTAACCGATACGGAGCTTAAGTTGAGATTTAATGAGGTGCAGCGCTTGTTTCTTATAGTAACCATCAAACTGCTTGCTATGGTTGTTCTTGGTTGCCTTTGGAAACTCCATCAACTTCTGAATGGCGAAGTCAATGCCCATATCAGCAGGGAAAGCCCTATCCTTCTTGGAGCCCAACAGGCGCACATCGAAACTTGAAGGATCATCGGCATACTCTCTGTAAGCCAGCGGAACAGCTCCAGTCATAAACTTTCTGTTTCTGCCGCCTAGCTTACCAAGAATTCTCATGGTAGTGTGGGCGTGGAAGTGGCTGTAAGGATGAGGCTTGAGATGGTCAAACAAAGCAGTCATCAATTCATCAATAACAGGCGCCATGATAGGATCAAGATAATCGGCTGTGAGGTTGTCGACACAAAGCTCGAGGGTTCGCAATCCTTGCCCGACAAGGTCTGTTCCTGCTCGTAGTGCAACGACAAGTGGGCGCATCAGGAAGCTCAGGTGCGGCAACAGATGGCTCAGTCGTGCCGGAACTGTGAGGCAGAGTTCCACATACAAGTCACGCTCAGACGGCTTTCGAGCAGCCATCAACAGGTTGTTCAGTACATCCAGAAGCATCTCAAGCAAAGGTAGAATTTGCTTGTAGAGCTGCTCGAATTTACCGCCACCGATGCTGCGGAATAGCGAGCGTAGAAGCAAGAAGTAATTCATAGGCTCTTCTGCTTTTGTCGACAGCTCGATAGACTTTGTAACAATGTTGACGACATGCGGTAAGAGAACCTGTTCATTCTGATTGGCGAACAGGGTGACGGCCATGAAAGCCAACTTAAAGAGCCTCAACAAAATGGATGATTTCTTGACATCGGCAGACCCGACCTGGTCAATACGCTCCATGAGAAACTGCAGAAGCATACCGCAAAAGCTAGGGGAAGTCGCTTCGCTAGCGAGGAAGAATTGGGGGATATGTAACAACGCTGTATGTTCAAAAATCATATCGTAAAGACGCGGGATCTCCTGCTGGAACACCTCATGAAAGGTGGCAGGATCAATGGCATGAAAGACAGTGGCGAAGGTTTCAAGCAAGTCCTTCTCTTCCTTGCTACACGACACCATGTAAAAGTTGGCCATGTACTCCACCGGAGACATGTATTGAGACTCAGCAGCTGGCTTCTCGATCTCGTAATATCTGAACACATAGGCGCCTTCACGGAAAAGTTTGATGATAACCTTGACCTCCTCAGCGGTGAATCCGTAGGATACATCCTGCCAGTGTGCAGGTGCATTCTGGGCATCGATTGGTGACCCAACGTTACACGTCCTCAATTGGTAAAATGTGTTCTTAAGGCCTGTCATCAAATTTCGGAAGAGGAACTTGTTGTCAACCACAGGATCAGCACCTCGGTCTCGGGGGTTGGAGGTCTTGATGGGAACTGCTGAGAAAATGTCGGTCTCGTCCCAATCAGGTGGGCTGTCCTTGTCGGCCAGGTAGGTCTCGGGCGTGCCAGCCTCCATCTGTTCGCGATATAACGCTGAGAGCTTAACAGCATTGGGGTATTGTCTGTTCATGGCAGCAAACTTGTCGGCAATAGCATTCAGGATCATGATCAGATAATGTCGCGCATCAACCTTGTTGGGAAGTTTCGCAATGCATTCGGCCATGTTCAGGAGGAGCTTGGCACTCATGGTCTGGAAGCTTGTACCGGGGAAATTATCCTGGAGATTTCTGGTGTAGACCTCGACGGTCTTCCTAATCTGCTCCGGCTTCAGAGAGTCCCGTACATGATGGATCAGATCCGCAAGCATACTATAAGCCAAGGGTCGCATAGTCTCATGTACTGTCAGTCCATCACCGGTGAGAGTTCGCTCATCCAGCAGCTCGTCGATCTTGGGAATAAAGATTTTGCGGAAGTTGTAATTAATAATATGGCGAATGGCAACAATTAGTTCCTTCCGTGTGCCAGATTTCTCCCTAGGGCAATCTTTCAAAAGACGCAAGACGATGTCGGGTAGTCGAGGTAGGAAGTCGTTCAGGTGTGAGGCGTATTGACGGAGCAGGTAAGCCAAGAAGCTCATTGTCTTGACTTGAGCGGTAATGAAGTCGGCGAAGGCTACCCGGTTTTTGATAGCGGGACTAACTCCAGTATGAATCGTTCCTTTCGCGGCAGCATCGGCATGTGCTTGCTGTTGAGCTGAAGCCTGGAGACAGAGCACGTTCTGGATGAGAGGGACGAATTTCCTAACATTTTGCTGCACCGTGTTTCGATACACCTGGAATATTGATACCACGATAATAGGACATTCGGAAAGAACCTTGAAAGACTGCATGCCCTTCAGGAGTGGACGATTTTGTTGCTGCGGGTCAGCTCCGAGGTCGTTGACAGAGGCGACTGGCGAGCCAGGACGTGGGGACTGGAAATTCGTCTGCGAGTTGCCAGGTGTTGAGGGTGCGCCAGGTTGTGACGGCGCATTGTGGGGAGCATTGTCAAGTTGTTCTCGGACGACCTTCTCCATCTGCTCAAAGAGTTCTTGTATCAGAGTAAGAAATTGCTGCACCTTGCCCTGCAGAACCTTGTGCTGATGGCGCATAATATCTGATATGATCTTGACACATATTGTCGCGTTCTCTTCGTTGTCCGTTCGTACAAGCTGCATTAACAGGTCGACTGTCTCTTCGGCGTATGATTCGAATGGTTCGGCAGGGGTGGATTGGGTAGGTAATCGGTGGATGACTTCGAGGATGGCCATTCGAAGTTTCTAACTAGGTTTTAGTCGTAAGCCATATGACGAAACTCTTAAACTGACCTGTTCTGGTGAGTTGCTTTGGAAAGTGCATGGTCCCCTTAAGATGCTCATGAAGATGGGCATCAACCTCTTGAGAAAGGGGGGGTATATTTGACCGCTGGTGTAGTGATCCAGACTATCGCGCAACGTCGTTGCGGCTTCCAGCTTGAGTCGAACATCTAAAATGCGAACCCGTTAGCAATCATGATATTGCAGAGGACATGCGACAGCCATCATGGAGGGGTTGAAGGTTCGCAGAAAGTCATACCGATATCGACAGTGCTTAGTCGCTTTACGACATCATCTATAGTGGTGCCCGACATAGCTGCATTATCAGCGTCCACTTGACGCGATCCGACCTTCCATCCGCAAAAATATTGATTTAATGGTAACCCTTTTTCGGCCGGGGGGTTGAGCTTCGACTTATGTGGTCGTTTGTCGCAATCGATTCAATATCACAAAACAGCAACTTATGAATAGATTATAATTTGCGGTTTGTCAAAAAAAAAAAAATGGTGCTTGCTTGGGCTTTTGGTTGATGTTGCCAAGATGATGTTGAGTGTTTGGAGGTGGACGTATTAGTGTTTGGTAAGAAGCTCTAAAAGAAGGCGTTCGACGTGGATGGCTGTCGCGTTGAAAATTACGAGAACGACCAAGCTGGGGACTGCCGTCGCCAATTCCACTGGCGCTAGTGCCGTATCAAAGTTTGACCGGCATTAGCTTTCTTTAGTCAGCCAATCATACTCAACTTGACTTATGGGCAGTTGCGGGAAGCTATCTTATCTCATATCTTATCTACTTCTACCTGACGACCATGAGACCAAGACAAAGACATACCAATACAGATACTACCAACTCTCATAACTAATAGTTTGATTGTATTGAAAATTCTCGGGTGATCGGTAAATAGAACGGGTTTAAGTTTTGTTTGGACATTTCAAAAATTGTTACTATTATCCAGTCTGTGGCATACCTGCCTAGAAATTGCTACCAAACACCCCAAACTTGCTAAATGCCCCACTGATAGCGGTCCGCCTCTAGGAATCAATAGGGTAGGAGCATGATTCACTGATCAAATGAGCAACTTAACAAGCAAACGCCTTCGTTCGAGAGAAAGCACTGGAACATAAATTCAACCCGATCCTCTGTCAAATTGTATCGGTACCTTCCACCTCGTCTACATTATTTTCTTGCCACTTCACCCAACCTAATTTGACTGTTCGTATTGACGGCTTCACGTCCAGACCAGCCTTATCTCCAGCTTAACTTTGATAATATGAGCGGCGACTACACAGCTTTCTTCTATGGTAAGCCACATGCGGTGCTAATTTATACCATGAAGCATATTAACTGACTTTCAAATGATAGGCACCTTGGTAAGCCCATCACAACCCAGATATCCATGAACGACGAGGTGGTGTATAAGGGCAAGTTCTAATTTACTGCTACAGATGGCCCCTGAGGTCTTCTTCACCGTTTGCTACGGCGATCGGAACCCCCCTCAGGCTATCAAGGACATGCACACATTCACTCCTGCCATCCTCGAAGGCTATTGTCGTCACCGAGTCCAGCATGCTGATTATCCTGCTGTTGTGGCTGAGGAGGGACACACGGTTCTCGGTGTATACGCCACTGGACTCACTGACGCCAACATGGATAAGCTTGACAGATTCGAGGGGTCTGAATACGTTAAGGAAACCGTCAAAGTCAAGGTGCTGAACAAGGACGGGACTGCTCCCGCCAAGGAGTTCAAGGAGGCGTCGGTCTACGTATTCAATGAGCCCTCTTACCTAGAGAAAGGCGAATGGAACTTTGAGGAGTTTCGAGAGCAGAAGATGCACGAATGGACTCGGGGCGGTTTGGCTTTTGGTGAATGTAAGTTGACCGAACTCATGTTCGCGCCTGATACTGACGACACGACTGTAGAAGGCACCGATCAGGGCACCAATGGCGATTCCGGGTAGACGCTGGACTCTGTAGGCGCCTCTTCAGTATCAGCACTCGGTCGGTTCTTCGGCTGCAGCGTGATAATGTTATCGATGATGGCGGTGAGGGAGACAACTGGGACATGAAGACTTAGTACCGAACGAGGGGTTGTTGATACAGACACGCACAGGTCTCATGAATCATGACAGCCCTACGGGCATGAAATAGACAAATGATTACTTTCAGTCACATTGCAAGCGCCCAAGCCTGTTGAGTGAGCGACAACAAATAGTAAACAAACACATAACTGCAGCTTAAGGCCGCCTTATTAGTACGGAGTGTTGGGAGTGGTCATTTCACCGGCGGTTAAGACGTCCCGGGAACTTGGAACACCCTGGTATAACAGACCCATTGCCAGGTGGATTTTAAGACTTGCTGTCAGCTTTAGTGAATTGTTCGGAATCATGAGAATTTAAATATTGAAAGATTAAGCTAGAGTATCAGGTCTCTTCAAGTATCGTACAAAATCATGCTTTGAGCAGTTCAAGGACTGTAAAATTTATGCTGCACCTGTTGACGAAACGATCCAGTAAATCCTTCAGGTGACAGGTGGCTGAAGCTCCCTTATTAGTGAATGTGGATGTGATTTTTATCTGATCGAGAAGGTAGACGAGTTTTGTGCACTTATTAATCTACTTGAAATGAGGCTGAGAGCTCGCGGTCCCTGCGTTGAGTGTTAGTGTTGAAGAAGCTTGGGGTACGGGTTACAGGTCGAATCCTCCTCAGTGACTCTCTCGACGACGGTTTCACGCCACTTAGGAGTCTACGTGGCTAGGGTCAGGGGAATAAAACCCGGGCTGTGAGTCTGCTGCTAATGTATATTTAATCGAGTATAATAATATTGAATAAAACTATGTGTCTTGAGTATAAAATATTATTATCAATACTAAAACCTCTTTTAAAACTCATTGTCTTTATATTCTTGTTACTAGGTAGATTATAATCGATATCCCGGCCAAAAAAGTCTAGGATTTACGTACGGAGTAGTCGGTAGTGAATCCCACGTCCCGTATTGTTTTTCCTTCAGGCGTGGGCAGTTACGCGGCTGTTATACCCAGCCTTGTCCATTATGTTTGAACTTAAGACCAAGACTAAGATCGGCACTGGTCAATTGGCTCACGCGTGGATATTATTATTACTCTCGACTCAGATAGATTATTGTGGTCCGTGCTTTTTGATGCGGAATCAGGATATGATGTCCGACCGCGATCATCTGAACTTAGCGACCCTTATCGATATCCTTGTCCTAACTTTTTACGACCGTGCAAAATCCGACGAGGGATTCGTGTTGGTTGTTGGTTAGGCTGCAGACGTCTGTGGTCACGAGAAAGCTTGAAGGTACCTAACCTAGACCGCTACTATCGAAGATATCTCGGCGACTAGACACCGTTCTCGATTGGCGACAGTGACATAACTGTATAGAAAATGAATACTATTTCCAGCTATGATCCATCCGTTTGCAGTATCATGCTGCAGCCCTAAACGGTCTTTACTGGCGTCAAGGTAACACGACCATTGGATCTCATCATGCGCCTGCGAGGTCCAATAGAGAGACAAAACCTCGCGTTCCTGGTTTCGGCTGGCATCAGAGAAAGTGAGACACCCTATCAGCAGACGAAAACAGCATCTCACTCTGGCCTCAAAACGATCTAGACACAAGCTCCCTTTAGTAGACTGACGCTAACAGTCACCTATCGGCCGCTGTAGTTGGTCTTGGCTCTGACTTAGAGTCTGCCACGTTTGATAGGGAGGAGTTCGGTTCCCTCCGGGCGGTTACTAGGTAGATTTACAGGCTCTCCTCCAGTAGTCAGCTTTCCAACCCAATTCAATTCAACCCCACCCAAACACCAACACCACTTGTCAACCTCCGAAACACCAAAACACCAAGACCCGAAACATGATGATATCTCCCTGCAGAAAAAAAAAACACCCTCACAATGTGCCTAATGACGCCTTTGTTCTCGGCTTATGCAAGGTGCCTACGCGTCTGGAATGAAACCTTCCCTTTATGATTGGTTTGCCATAAAAGCCCCATTGTCACTTATGAAAGCCAGCTATGAAACTGTGCCTGTTTCACCAAGAAGGAAATACAAAAAACTCTCCGCAAGTTCAAGGGACGTGCCCCCTGCCTTCCCAGTTTATCACACGGAGGATATTCCCAAAGAAGGGGAACACCAGGAGTCACATACTGAGGTGTTTTTGGACCACACGTGAAAGAGTTTTGCCCTGCTCAAGATCTACACCTGCACCCCTGACTCGAAAGCGATCGTTCAGGGGATTACTCAAGAAGGCAGGCCTCCAGAATACCCAGCATGGGAAGGTAACAGTGGCCCAGACTGCTCCGATCTGCGCCTCCGATGGCATCAAATACCACTAAGCTGCAAGGTTCAAGGCTGCTGGATATTCTATCACAGCCCGCGAACGAACTTGGACCAGCCGCACATAGAACAGGACTTTTCCGAAATTCCTTTTCGTGGTTGTCTTGTCTCACAATCAACAGCTCTTGGAATCTTGGCAAGAATTCGCCAGCCGACTGGTTCTGGACATTCAAGCCACTAACCCCTTTTAACACTATCGTCTGCTCTGACCCCTGTCGCTCAGCCTTATACCCCTGTCGTCGCCCCTCTGATTGGCATCTGAACCCCGCTATCAAGGGCTGTTCTCGTGTAATGGCTGGCCCAGCACGTCGGACTGCCACTGCAGGGGATAACACGAATGTCCGAACAATGCATTGACTCGACAATAAGCTTGGATCACTGAGGCAGCCGATCTTGTGGATGGTGAAGATATCAAGAGAATCCTCCTTGCTATACGAGTCGCCGTTTAACTTCGCCACCACATGGAATTCCTCAGGACAGACTGTTAAGACACATCAAGTGCCCCGACAGCATAATGAGCCTGTTGCTGTGCCCCATAGCATGACGTTGGAGCATGGTTGACCCAAGCGAGGCCCCGTTTTGTGGCCAACGTCTTCCCGAGCACTTGGTTCGACAGGGCCTGATTGGCGGTCGCCCAACTGGAGTCCCTTGCACCCCAACCACAGACTCTTCTCTCAGTCATCACTTCACCCGACCCAAGCTCCCTGCCTTGCCACTATGGGCGGCCTACGCTAAGCTGACGGCATTAGAACCGCGACTGCATGTCAATGAGTGGCCGTCAATGCAAAGGAGGCACCTGAACAAACGGCACAAGGGCATTTGCAGCTGAGCAATCCAGACAAGGGAGAGACTTCAATAGATCCAGGATGTCATGTCGCCTTTCCATCCACGTCTTCTTTTTTGGGCAGGACAAAGTCCCTTGCAAACACTTGAATCGCTAGTCAGGGGCTCGAACCTCGTCTTTTCTCTGGGGTATGCATGGGTGTGGTCCACTTCTACGTTTGTTTAGTGACCAGATGAGTCTTGAAACATTGTCTGCAGCCTATCATGGATGGCTTGCTGCAAATCCTCTCTTAGTCCTCCGGCCCTAACCCCTCCGGCTTGCTTCGAAACGAAGTTCAACAAGGGCCTTGAAGAAACCTGAGTGGCTATGTCTGTTTGCTAGAATTTGTCGCTTCCCTGACCTTACGGAGTTCTGGTCCACCATGATCGCCTCCATAGCGTATGCGGCTACGTCCGTTCGCGGGTGTTTCTCCTGCTCGCGGCATCCCCTTGCCTCTCTGTCTGCGTCTGGAGCGATGGTGGCCAGTCCATGGAGCGATCTCAAATCCATATAAGACGCCCTCTCCTCCCCCGTGTTACCATTATTCTTCACCAACGACTTCAAAAGCCTTCAGTCAGTCCTTTACAGTGAGCTTGTCTCAACGACACTTCCATTCCTTCTTCTTTCTTCTCAAAGGCTAGTCCTTTTTCTCAGTCTCGACGACATTCACATATTGCCCGGTGCAATATAAACCTTCCTTCACTACAGAATCGAGCTACGACTTCTTCAGTCCTATACCCATATCTCTTGATTCTTGTCTTGACGACAATCTCACTACACTGAACATCAAATCTATCGTCCGGAACGTTTAGATTTACCCCCTCATTCAAAATGTTCGCGAAGGCTTTCACTTTTGCCAGCCTGGCTTCCCTTGCCAGTGCTCACATGCTCATGGCCAACCCCAAACCCTACGGACAGATCGACAACAGTCCTCTGGAGGGAAATGGATCCAACTTCCCGTGCAAGAATGCCGTCAACGACGGCTCAACCACCAATGTTTACAAGCAAGGAAGCACACAAGAACTTTCTTTCACTGGCCAAGCCGTCCATGGTGGTGGTTCATGCCAGGTTTCTCTTACCACTGATAAGAACCCTACCAAGAACTCAGTCTGGAAGGTCATCAAGTCTATCGAGGGAGGCTGCCCTGCGAAGACTGCAACTGGCAACCTGGGTGCCAACCCCGATGCTGCGAACCCCGACACGTATGACTTCACCATCCCTGAGGAGCTTGCTGCTGGTGAATACACTCTTGCATGGACCTGGTTCAACCACGTCGGCAACCGTGAGATGTACATGAACTGTGCTGCCATCACCGTTGAGGGTTCAGGTGGCTCCAAGGATCACTTGGACTCGCTTCCCGATATGTTCGTTGCAAACATTGGCAACGGCTGCGAAACACTTCCCGACACTGATCTTGCTTTCCCCAGGCCTGGTAAGGACGTCTCCAAGCTCAAGGACAAGCTCGAACCCCCCAGGGAGGGTTGCACGCAGCCTGGCGCTGACTCCGACGATGGCTCCAATGGAAGCAACCCTGAGCCTTCCGCCCCGGCCGCTGCCCCTACCGACAACTCTAGCGCAAAGCCTACCCAGCCTGCTGCCACTCCTGTTCCTACTCCCGCCCCTGGTGCCGGATCTGACAATGGTAGCGGATCCGGTGACGGTTCCAACGGCGCTCCTGAGATCCCTGGAGGCGCTTTCATTACAGTCTCTCAGCCTGCAGCTTCCCAACCTTCAGCCACTCAGGCTCCCGAGGTATCTGCTGCTCCCGAGACTACTGCTGCCCCTGAAACTCCCGCCGCTCCCGAGACTCCCGACAACGGCTCTGACAAGGGATCCGGTGGCTTCGCTGCTGGAACTGCTTGCACAAGCGAAGGGGAGTGGAACTGCATTGGTGGCTCATCCTTCCAGCGATGTGCCAGTGGTGCTTGGACTATTGCCCAGCAAGTCTCATCAGGTGTCACTTGCACTCCTGGACAAGGTGCCGACATTGGCATGAACGCAAAGAGAGGAAAGCGAAGCATGCGCCGCGCTCTGCGCTCTTAAATTTAAGATTCTTATGAGGAATGGGACAGGGTTACTTTGGGATGGTATCTAGATAGGTTTGGCGCATTGAAGGACTTTTTTTTCTTATGTTAGATACAACAGAGTTACTACACAGTAGCAGGATTGTACATTAGGGCACTCACACAACAATTTCTTGAATTATACTTTACTCTAAGTCACCAACAAAGCATAAGACTGTTCCCGTGACAATGCTAGCCCACACGTACAACATAACACACACGTAGTCCGTAGCTTGAGTGTTCGTTCAATGTATACTTGCCTGCAGACCTGTTGCGACGAACAATAATAGTAGTCTGAAAGCCTCTCATGGGATATCATACTAGGTAGCCTTTGTTCACCTCTCCATAATCACTGCATATATTCATAGCTGAAAAGTCACACATGATTGGGACTTTACGTAGGGGTCTCGAAGTTATAAGTTGATTTCTACGGAGTACCGGGGATCTAATTTCAGTATGGAGAACAGAATCGGTACTGGTGAAACAAGATGGGGTAGACGAGGCCTTTATTGGAGGGTTTACTTAAAATATCATTTTCTTTTGGTCATTATGTATGCTAACTGTACATATCTCATAGCCATGTATCAGTACGAACATACTTGTCTGTGGATTGCAAGCGACGTTTCCGGAGGAATATTGACACAACGTCCTGCGATCCAAGCGATAGTGGATCTATAGGCACAACATGAGGGTCTACCTCAATCCCAATATGCACATTCCCGTCAATTCCAATGTATCTTCCAAAGCTGACAGTCCGATTCGAATGGCCTGGTGCTTCTCTATAGGATGAAGTCACGAACCGGCTCGGGGCAACGTAAGCAATGATGGCGCCCAGAGTTGTTGGCATCCGTGGAAGAACAAATGCAACAGCTCGCACGTAGAATACTATTGCAACGAGAGTGTTGATGGCAAGAATTGCCATGGTGATAATGAAAGACGCCTGTTCCATGAAAATCCGGGTCTCTCTGACATGTCGAGTTGCCGTGACGGAGCCTTCGTTCTCGCCACTCTGGAAAATTTGTTCGTTCAGACCAAGCATGATGGCGTAGGCCTGGCGATAGATGTGGTTGACATCGGATTTCAACTCATCTGGGTCTGGCAACGGTTTGTGTGGATCAAGAATAGCCCGTGACCCCCTGCGAACCATGAGGAAGTGATTCATCCAGTCTCTGGAGGTCGTGTCGTTATGCCAACCCGGAGACTGATCGAATTGAGTGTTGACGGCATGAAAGATTATGTCGGTATGGTTTTCTGTACTGTCGCGGTCCAGAGTATTCTCGAGGTCGCTAGTCCTCTCATATGAGAGGACATGTCCAAAATGGTCGATCGTGACATTGAACATGGCCGTTTCGAATACTGGCTTGCAGATCAAAAAGGATGCTTCCATAGTGCCGTTGACATCCTCTGCCTTCCTATTGCGACCCCATCCCAAGGGCAGCGTTGCACCGCACCGCGTAGTTCCAAATTTGTTTTCAACACTTGCGAGATATTCCACTGCCGAAACTCCTCTCGATCGATTGTTCATAGACTGGCGCATGTCCGGTCCTATATGGCTGATAACATCGTCAATAGTTGCACATCTACTCAAGTTCATGTCACTGCCGCTCCATTCGCGGGGGACGGATGGATATATAGGTAGGTTGAACGCCGGTACCGTGGTGCAGTTGGCGTTAGCCCCATATCCCCTTGTTCTAACAGTGAATGTGTTTCCGGTCTTGTTTCTATCGGAGTTTCGGAGCACATGCCGTTGAAAGTGATACTCCTGAGAGATCCAGGGCGGAAGCGATGTCCCTGAAGTCATGTTTGCCATTGCCACGTACATGTGGTCCTCGTACTGACTCGTTGTGACGACCAATTCGAGAATAGAGGTGCCCAAATCATGGACTGACTGGTTATCGAATCGTGGTGCAAAGACTGGCGACATTTCTTCTGGATAGGATGCGGTCATGATGTTTTCATTAAAGAGGGAACCGAGACCAACAGCAAGGAGGTTAGCAAGCAATGCCATAGTGCATACCCCCATGAGAACGAAATGTCTGCACTTGATAGCTCTCCAGAAAACCAACTGAGGTGGGATTGAGGTGTACGTGGTGTCGATCGAATTCGACGTTTTCGATTTTCCTTCCCAGAGGTCTTTGAAAGGCTGCAAAACGCAAAGCAAGCGATTCAAGAGGACCCAGAGAGGCTCTATCAAAGTTGCAAAGATGGTAGGTATGTAGTTCTCCAGGATCTGTAGGACTTCAAAGTTATCCGAGGGGCGGATGAGTCCTGATGAAAGTCAGCAATAAAGCTCTATAGAATAATAATAATAGATTACAACCAACCATTCAATCGAGCCTCTTGATCCTTTAAGTAGGATAAGAATATCATAGCACCAACGAGAGCTGCTACAAAGAGAACTCCGACCCATCGTTGCAAAACCAATGGCCTCACAGGATCGTAATAGCCCCTTTGGAAAGTAGTCTTGTCACTTGTTGCATTGTCTCGAAGACCGGAATGCATAGATATGTGCGCTTGACCAGACTGGCTGTTTGAAAAGAGCTGAAACTTTTCCATCTGAAACTCTTCCAACAATGATTTGTCATCTGCATGGTCTAGTGTTTGGAAAGCATGAAGTAGTTCAGGGCTGTTGCCGAAGAATTCTATATATCGTCGGATGGAAGAAGGGTTGACAGGCAAGTTGCTGGGTGCTTTCCAACAAAACCAAAGGACGACGGCCGTGAATATGGCAACAATGGCCAAAAGAGCCTCAACAGTGGTCGCAAAAGTCCTGCTGACTATTATGCCGGCCTTGAAGTACTCTATTGAAGCCGTGTTATTTGACATCTTCGTGGAGTTCACGAGAAGATATGGGATAGCGGCAGAGAAGAGAAATTGATGCGCATTTTGATAAACTTCGTTTATCAGATCATGATGAACGTAGTCGTCGGCTGTTTCGTTCCTACCGGCCAAAGCGAAACCAACCATGTTCGAAACTGGCCTGAAAAAGCCTGTGTAATTCACTTTGGGGTTTTGCTCCACCACTTTGTTGAAAGGCCAGTCTCTGACGATAGGCTCTTGTGCCATGCCATTGCCAAGAAGAAACTCAAATGCTGTAGAATTGAATTCATTCTCTGTCAGTTCTTCCCTAGGAGCTAGTTCCTGCATGGCATCGTCGATTGGCTGGTGAGACCCTGCTTTCACCGTAGCAAGCACCCTCTGCTTGTAGTAGGAAGGCTGACACCACATGGATGAGATATTGTACATTGGCACTGGGCTCCAATTGACGGGTAGCGGCTTTGTCCAAACAGCTAAGAACTGATGTGTTGAATTGGGCGTCCTTGGGCAACGAGGTCCGCCGAGCCAGTAATCTGAGTAAGGGCTTGTGTAGAAGCCGATATACAGCATTTTACGCTTATTCCCTACGCCGTAAGCTATAGTTGTATTGCAGCCTTGCCCATTGAGAAAGCTGAACTCTTGTTTTTCCCGAGGGCCAATTCTTTGAATACCAGATGGCCAACAGTACAGCTCTGTCCACATCTTGGTGGTCTCAGCACTGATAGTTGACTCAACCGACGCATTGGGCTTGAGTTGAGCAATTTCGTTACTCTTATCGGAGTAGAATGGGAGTAAGGCGTATTTTGAGGTCGTAAAAGCAGGAAGTTGTTGACCGAGCCATGCTATGGCATACCCAGTGTTGAGGAACTGGGGATCCAATGTTGCTTCATGTTGAGATACAGGAATCAGCTGGGACCTGTTCAATAGAGGCACAACGTCTGTCTGTAGAATAACCCCTGTACCAAACAGGGCACTCTGCAGGGGAGTTATTGCCCAGAAAACAATTACCATGGCAGTTCCTCCAAAGAAGACAGGCCAATGTTTCCTCTTTGCTGCCTTGAATGGGACCAGAGCCACAAAATCGTATTGGTAGTCCAGGAACAGTGAGTTTTCGGCGGTGGCGCCATCGGGTTTAGACAACTCGAACCACGGTTGCATTCGTTTGACATCCAAATCAATCCAACTCCATATCATACTGTAAAATACGGCGATGATAGTCGGCACATAGAGATAGCTGAACTTGGCGTACTCCGGCATATCGTCGAGGGTAGGCGATAGGGCGAGGCCACCTTGGGAAGCACTTCGTTGTGCTATCGTTTCGACGGCAACGGCGAGAAGGATCGTGAGGACGACTACAGCAAGCAATATCGGCGTCGACAGAGATAGCGGTTTCCATCCTTTCCTCCTTGAAAATTCCTCTTCGGAACCAAGATCTTGAACATCAGTCGTAACTCCAGCCTTCGTCTTTTGCTTAGGTAGCAGTGGTAAGTTCTTATGAAAAGAACTTGGTGTTGAGCTGGCGGTCGCATTGCTCTGCAGCCTCCTGGCTGTCGTCTCCCAGCTAGACATAATTATAAATATTAAAGAATGTTAGGAAACGAAAAGAGCGGCCAGCCACCCGTAGGACAGATGGAATGAGCACGAAGGGAAGTGCTGAGATTCACAAGGACTGGGCGACTGTCGCGTTAAGACCACAATATCATGGTTACTACAGATGAGCATTCAGCCTTCTACATTAAGCAAGTGTCAAGGACCAACAGATTTGAGGAAAGTGAGTAAACATATTCTCTAGTTAAATAGCAGTAGATTTGTTAAGACAGGAGGGATATGCATGTTGGTCAGTAGCTCATTATCACGAAACCGAAATAACTGGGCCATCAAGGGTGCAGTAAGACCTAGAACTGCGGAATCTGCCTGGCTTAAGCGCCGAACTGAGGTTGACCAATACCATCTTCTCTGATGATTCAGTAGTTCAGGATCCGCGCTGTCGTGGGAGGGTTCATCCTAGCTCGGTGCCGCACCATCCGCATGGACAACACAGCACAGCGACACTATCAGCTCATTCAAAGAGGCCAGAGCTTGGTGCATACTATGAAGCTGGTTGATATACTAGAATGACAAACGATAACTGTCTCGTGAATCGGAATAGACAAAGTCAATTACTCTTTGCAGGAGGGAATCTTGATAACAGGGGCTTGGAGTATGGGCGGTTAATTGACCGTTGCGGTTGGACGGGCGCTAACTGCGCAAGCGCTCAACTTTACTTCTGCTAGGGCAGTAGGGCTCTGTTTTAGTATCATGTGGGGGGCTCGTGCAGTGACGCGGGAAATGAGGGAAGATCTGCAGGGCAATAAGTTTTCCGATTGGGTGGTGTTTGGTTGTCATGCCTTCAACGTGTTGGTGATATCTACAGACTTTGGTCACCAACAGACACTAGGTAAGTATTTTTAACACTTGCCTCTCATGTGACTTGCACGATCATAATAGAGATTCATTACTGTATCGTATGAGATTTTGTAATGTATATGTGCCACAACCTTAGCGGACATGTTTATCTGGTTCATAATTTACATCCAGTCAAGCCTAATCAATACACTTCCGGATCTGAAATAGCAGTCACAATATCTCAAGCAAATCACTTGCGCTGGATCTTCAACCCAATCACATAGACTGGATTGGGAGCAGCTCGGCTACTGAGGTACACGGTATTTGTTTGTGGCTACACAATCTACAGATAGATGCTTGCTACCTTAGGTTGTAGTAAATATGCCTTGCCAAACTCCGAGAAACAGTTACACATACAGTAAGCTGTCGGCTATGCCACTTCCCTTTTCGTACGACACCAGGCCAGAATGGACACGTCAGAAGTCGGATGTTCCGCAAAATCTTCAACAACTGGCAAACATATTAATGTCACTGATGCCTAAGATGTAATCTCGCTGACGCGTCCGATTTATTTGGATCAAGCACATGAGCATCCCATGTGCGGATATGTATTGTTTTATTTGGTGTAGGTTTGTGGCTGTCGGGCTGTATAAACCTCGGGATACAAATCGGGAGATATCTTAGGACAAATAGAAAACCAACTTTGGCATAAGTACAAACGTTAGACAAGAAAGCAAAAGAAGCCAATGGAATAGAGTTTTTTTCTAGACCTTTGATAGATAACGTCTAATTTAGGTAGCATCTGTAAGCTTGCTGGTGACGCTGGTGACGTTGGTCTGCCAAAAGGCGTTTACCAGAAAGCGCTGACTCATCATTTTCGCCAACCAGCTGAGACCAACTGCGTCAGCCACCACCACACTCAACAGTGCTACCAACCGTCAACCGTCAACCGTCAACCGTTCACGCTATCACCATCTTGAGCGCCGTCAATATCTTTCCAGGCATCCGAATTACTCTTTAGTCAACTTATTCCTTGTGTTATAGCATTTTGTTTACTACAATACCCCAAGTTTTGATCTTCAAAGTTATGACCAAATAAGTGCCAAGCTCAAGGCCCGCTCGATTTCATCATCCAAGCTTCGAGCTTCGAGCTTCGAGCTTCGAGCTTCGAGCTTCGAGCTTCGAGCTTCGAGCTTCGACCTTCAACCCTCAACCGAACTACATTCAGACTGCATCACTTTGCCGACCGAGAGATACCCACGCAACGCAACATATTTCCAACACTGGAGAAAGCGTATTCCTCTTACTAGATCTCCCTATCAAACGAGCCAGGCACATCAAACGACGACTACCTAACTGCAGGAAGTCTAACAAGTACCACCCCGCAATCCACAGACTTGAATCCAACGCCTCCCTCCTTACGAATCGTACGATAGCACCTGGTCAACACATCCGCTGGATAGTTGAACGAATATTTAAACGAACCTGCCTGATACGATACGTCCCAAGTATCAAGCAGCCTGCCATGGCAATTCGACACGACTTAAGGCCCGACCAGGACCTAGACACCAGTTCCTATGCGTCACTGCCAGGCACGAGGTCCGAAGAATTTGCACCCCATAACTCGACACCTGTTAAGGCCAGGATACCCAGTAAAGCTTGGCCAGGTATGTTGATAGTCGCACATTATAATTCTCAGCTGGCTAAACATTGACACGGTTAGGATGTCACCCCTCCAGGTGGATATATGAGCTCTTGAACAACAGCTTTACCGTATGCGATCTTTTTGAACGAGGAAGGAAAGCGGACTTCCAGCCGTCTTACGCATGGGATCATGCCCACCGACTTATCATAAATGGAAACCAGAGCTACTCCACCAACTCATCACGGATATTGTCCTCGGTGTGTCTTGACTGCCACTTCCATTTCGTCTTCAAGATGGCATGGGATGAAGCACACGCCGAGGAGATATGCCACCCACGTCAATCACAATGGCCTCTGAAAGATGCACGATTTCCATGGCATCATCTTGTCTGGGTTGGATCAGAGTCGGACACCGAGATTGCCAAGCAACATACTAAATATCACCCTTTACTTGCTCGAGAACCATTTGCTTGCTCTGCCGGCCCATGCACGTTCTCGGTCACTCTTGAAATCTCGGAGCCTCGTGTCCCCTCCTGGTGGGCCAATCTGCTGCTTGACAGAGATGCTATCCTCGAAGGCTTGCGCATCGCCAAGGAACAAGACCCGGAGCGATATGCAGCAGCAACTGAGGAGTGGGCGATGCAAGCACCCTTGAACTTGAACACGTACCTCAAGAATTTGCTCGAGGCGGACTCTCAAGAAAACGCCCGAAGCATTTCGAAGCGTAATAAGAGATTCTTTGTGCTTTTTGGCCCTCGATGCTTCAGGATATTCAGAGAACTCGAGTTCAAGGAAACCATCGATGTGGCAGAAGACGGAGTGGATGGGGGATCTTTCACGCCTCCCATTCCTCCACGACCAGATACCGCTTCTGGGGCTACCGAGATAGGCACATATCGCGGGTACATTGAGGACGTGAGAGCTGAAATTCAATGCATCATCCATAGTCGTGGTGAGCCCGCAGACCTGTGTACTCCCAGTCTCCACGCCGACTTGGGCTGTTCCGAAGTGTCAAACCCTAACGAGGTTTTCGTGAAACTTGAACGCTACATGTTGATGGGCGTGCTACCTAATCAATCGAGGGAGATTGTCGTCAATGCTTATAAGAGACAGTGGGATCTGCTGACCACCAAGCGACGAGAATTGATAGATGCCTTGATGGCTATTGCTAACGATCTCAATGATGAGCAGCTCACCGAGTATGCCGTGACACAGTCATCGGTTTTCGAGAGTCAGGTCCCGGTACAAACAAGCACCAATTCTGATGATAGTGATTTGACAACCCAAGCACTGTTGTTCTTTGGGCTGCAGCCACCAAATCGCTACAATGCAGACTCGATAGTTGCGGCATTCCGACGAAAAGTGACACAAGACCCTAGCTGTGCTACTACCGCCCGGAACATGCTGATGTTAGTTGGAGAATCGTCCACTGACGATAGCTATCGTGCTCAGTTGGTGATGGAATATGCGGAAGGATTTTCTCTACCCACAGCGAAGGAAATTCTTGGCTTGAGCGAGGCCAGTGGCTTCGGGTCCGAAACTCTGGACCTCGTCAAGGAGAAGGTTAGAGGCATCCATTTACGTAATTCGTTGGAAGTAGAAGATCATCCTAACTGTGTGAATAGATCCGAAACGCCAAAGACAGGGATGCAAAGACCACTTTCTTAGATGCTATGGAGAGGATTGCTCTACATACTAATTCTACCGATCTCAAAGATGCTGTTGCCGAACTGCGACAACAAAATGGCATCGCAGCCTCGAATGGAAGCACCAGTTTTGGTGGCTCAGCTCAAGCTGCCGACTACGATCTTCCAGTTGGATTGGAGAATATTGGAAACACCTGTTACCTTAACAGTCTTTTGCAATATCTTTTTACAGTCAAGCCCGTCCGAGATATCGCCGTCAACTATAACGACTTCAAGTTGGAGTTGACTGATGAGCAGATCAAGATGCGGTTGCTTGGTGGCAACAAAATGCAAATGGACCGTGGCGAGGCTGTCGTTGCTCAAGCTTGTGAGTTTCTGCACCGAATGATTATCTTGGTTATTCATGTTGCTAACCAAATTAAGTTGCCCAAGAGCTTTCTGAACTATTCAACAATCTTGAAACTTCGGATAGGATGGCAACGCGGCCCTCCCAGAGACTGGCCAATGCCGTCCTCCTGTCCACTCACACTCTCCTCAACGACACTAAGAGCTCTGGGGAAGCTGCCACTGAATCCAACCCGCCGCCGCTCCCTGATAGACCTCCCCCTGGACCACCGGAAAAGGGGTCCAGTGATGCTGAACTGGTTGCCAGCACCCTCAACGACGGTCGTGATCAGATTGACACAGCTAGCACTGTCAGCTCACAGACACTTGTTGAGGAAGATTCTGATCGTTCCTACGAGAAAGTTGAGACTTCTTCAGCGACTACGGAAGATCAAGTGATAGACACTGTTATGGAAGTTGAACAAGATGACGATGTGGTTGAGATCAAGGCAGATGATGCGACCACTGAGACCGTTGAGCCAACCGAAAAGACAAGCAACACCACTCAGGGTGAGACTCAGACCACTGACGTTAAGATGACGGACAATGAAGAGCCCCAGACGGTAGACCAGAAGGTACTGAATGCTCTGGAGCACCAGAAGAGATCGTCTGGTACTGACCAGCAGGATGTTGAGGAAGTAATGGGCAGCATTCTCAACCGCCTTCAGGCTGCTATTCGCCCATCGTCTGTTGACGAATCGACAGGGATACAGCTGGAAAAGATCATGGAAACCTTCTTTGTGACCACGATCAATTATACCAAGAAGTTCGATGATACCGTCTATCAGAAAGAAATCAGTTTTGATCGATCTATCACGGCTTTCCCTGCTCCCCAAGGTACATGCTCTCTGTACGATGCGCTGGGTCGCAATTTTGATCAGCAGATCATTGAAGAAAGCAAGCTTTCACGATACACTTCCATCCAGACACTACCCCCTGTCTTGCATGTTCTCATTCAGCGCTCGCAATCTATGGGTAACAAGAATGGTAACCCTGTAGAAATTCCCGAGACGTTGTACCTCGACCGATACATGGATGCTCCCCACGACTCGTCAACTTTCCAAGACAGGGTCAAAGGCTGGGCAAACGCCAGCCGTATATCTGACATTCAAGCCCACAGGGCTGCAGTAGAGGGCACGGCTCCAACTGGGCCTTTGATCGAGAGCTTTGAGCTCGAAGAACAAGCAAGCGAGATTGTCACAACTGGGGCAGAAGAAAGCACAATGATAGAGAGTGCAGACGGCCTGGAAGAGAACTGGGACTTCGATGGCACGGTAGATGACGATTATCTTCTCATCAATCGACCTAAAAGTAAGGCAACATCCGTAGTTAACATCCCTCCCAAGCCACATAACATTATAGAGACCGAGGCCGCGATCGGAGAGAGAATGAAGACTGAGCTAGGAGAGAGGGAAGAAGCTCTCGAGAGATACTACTCTGGACTGAAAAACAACCCATACAGACTACACGCAGTCATTTGTCATCGTGGCCAGCTGATGTCTGGTCACTATTGGGTATGGATCTATGACTTCGAACAAGACGTTTGGCGAAAGTACAACGACTCCAGCGTTGAGGTTAAGCGCAGCACGGCCGAAGTTTTGGCGATACTGAGCACCAGTGGTGAACCCTACTTTCTTTGCTACGTCCGTGACGAAGACAAAGAGAAGTTTGTTGATGTGCCTCGACGCCGAAGACCGTCACCATCTTCTGATTCTCCAATGCAAGGAATTGACGCCGACGGGGACATTGAAGTTGCCAACAATGAGCCGGCCGCAACCACGACGCCTTTTCAGGGACAAAAGGGTGACTAGAAATCCAATAAGAGCGACATTGCGGGAACGGCCCTATCGCAATTTATTCAAACCATTCGGCCCATGCTGAGGGAGCTCAAGTTCGCGCTGAGACTTCTCAACAAATTCTACCTCAAGGCAGATGTGTCTGATCGGAAATGGATGCGCGATGACTGGATAGAATTCTTTGATCTTGAGACGGACTTTCAGAACCAGTATGCATCGATTCGCCGTTTGTATTCTAGCAAACCTATGGAAGAAATGAAGGGGCTGATCAGTGCCATTGAGAGTGAAATCGATGTTTATCGTAATGGTAGCCCGCAATCGGACGACCTTTCAGACTCTGGGTCGGCAGATTCTGAGCCTCATGATCCAGGGTCGCCCTCAAAACGACTAAAACTCGCAGAGGATGATGATCGGTCAACCAAAAAAGGAGACATACTTGAGCGACAACCTCGAACTACTCGAAGGACTCGAATAGTTCTACGTACAAAAACAAACACAAATCATCGACCACTTCTGTGCAAAGGCGTTGATGAGTCAGATCAGACACCTCGAATACTCCCAGATGACGCAAGTACGCGGAGCAACGCCGGAGTCTTTGCAAACAACGCTGGGACCTTTTTAAGCAACACCTGGGCATTTTCAAACAATGCCATGCCCTCTGCAAACGCCGGGACCTGGTCAAAAGTCGTCCGGGCCTTTTCAAACAATGCCCAGGCGAAGAAGAACAGCGACCAAGAAGAACACCAGGACAGTCGACGACCACGCGGACTGGTTACTCTTATCTTGGAAAAGGTTCAGAAATCTACAGGTATGGACCAACCGATGAAGGACACATAGCTTGCATTCAAAAAGATGAGGGATGGTTGAAGTAAGAGTGTGGGGGGTGGAATAGCAATATTCATGCGAACCTAGTGTGTCGCATAACCAGCATGAGTTTGGGGTTTCTATCATTGGGGCATCTGTCTCAGCGGATCACATGGCTGCAGGATAGAAGAGCAGCCACAGTATCGCGAGCCTTTAGATTAGGCGTTTAATAGAATCACGAGATTAAACAGAATTAACATGTTGAAGCTTTGGTGTCCAATACAGCACACCAGGTTGACGATTTTACATTTATCTATTGTTGAGGTTATCCAAGATAGCTTATCGGCCAGTGAAAATGGGCTTCCTCTTCTCTTGGAACGCCTTAAGAGCCTCGTTCCTATCCTCAGAGTTGACAACTCGCTCGTACATTTTATTCTCCATATCCTCCCTCGCCCACGCAACAGCTTGAAGGCCAGCCCTCACACCAATGGGTCCTCCCTCGCAGATCTCCTGCGCCAGTCTCACAGCCTCACTGAGGGCCGCTCTTCTCGCCTCACTAAGAACCTCGGCGCCATCGCGTCCCTCTTCGGAGACTACCTCGACAAGGCGATCTGCAATGCCGAGGAAGTAAGCCTCCGGGGCGCCGACACGACGGCCGGTCAGGATAAGATCGCGCGCGCGGGAGAGGCCGATGAGGGCCGGGAGACGGTGAGTGCCGCCGGCGCCGGGGATGATGCCTAGACGGGTCTCTGGTAGACCGACTGCGGCGTTGGAGCTGAGGACTCGGAAGTGGGTGGAGAGGGCGAGCTCGAGACCGCCGCCGAGTGCGACGGAGGAGATGGCTGAGATGGTGGGGATGGGGAGGTTTGAGAGGGATGTGAAGGTGTTGCGGAGGTTTGTGAGGAATTCAGCGGTTCTGTATTCGCGATTAGCATAGACCATAAGTAGCTAGCACAAGATATACATACTCTCCCGCAGAAAACCCTCTGCGCTCTTTAAGATCAGCGCCGGCGCAAAAGGACGTATCGACAGCACTAGCCAGCACAACAGCTCTCGTATGGCCCTTCTCATCTACACCCGCCGCACCACCGAAGCGCTTCTCGAGGGGCATTTCCTCGCCATTGGGACCATATTGGCGGTGGACAGCATCGATCTCAGCGCGGAGGTTCGCTAGAAGGGCCTTTGAGATGGCATTTCGTGCTGACGGACGGTTGATCTCAAGGATACGAATGTGGCCGGTATTGGGAGCGGGGAGATTCGTTACGCGGATGAGAGGTTCAGTGGAGGAGGAGTAATAGCGGCGGAGGACGCGCAGTGTGACTACGGGGTTGGAGAGACGGGGAGCCATTTTGGGCGGGCTCAATTGAGGTTGTGGTTTATGCTGTTGAGAAGGACTTTAGGGACGAGCTTTGTATTGTAGTATCCGTAGCATACGGAGATATCTAGGGATATGGATGCCGAGGAATGACGTCGGCTGGAGTCGGTTTTGTGAGGTTAAGCCGATAACCGATAAGAGACGAGGAATTGAAGAGCGGATTGGTAGGCTTTGTAAAGAGTTTAAATTGACCACGGAGATTTATAGCCGTGCTTGTTCTACATACCTAGTATAGCTGTGCTTTACCTAGTTTTTCTATGAACTCTTGAGATGGGAAATACTTCTATTGTTTACTTGCGATGGAGCTTTGGTAGTGGAGTTGATGAGTTGGTCAAAGTTCCACTCAACGATATGAATGTAACATCTCATTGAGAGGAGTAGGTCCTATCTGTCACTACAATGCCTCTCTTGCCCTTCTATCTGAAGAGTCTGAAGAGTAATACACCAAAGAACAAAACAAATATGTTCTGCTCCGTACCTCAATTAAACAAATTGAAACCTCAAGTCATGCCAGCCACTGAACAACTCCAGAATTGCCTTTCTGGGGAAACGTGCCAAGCATAGACTAATCACCCTAGTCAGCGACCCCGTTGGACTGGATCCTCTCTTTCTTCAGCCTCCAACTTTTGTTGATCTCACTTCTCTCTGCATTTCGGTAAAAAAGACAGGCCTGTCAAGTGATATAGCCAAAAGGACAGATTAACAAAGGACAATGGGCAGACGCTGTTAGTTGTGTCCGTGGAGGATAATCCGTGCTACTCGTCTTGTCGCGGATGATATAATAATCGTTCTTCATTATGGCGACAGAGGCGACGACATCGGTTCTACAATCTTTAACATCTACGACACTCACCACATCACTACCGTCGACTACAGCCCCTGATATACCACTCACTATTCTTGTTCGCGGTAGCATCGAAGGCACCTCCGACTTTTTCCCCTTTCTCGACATCGCCAGTCTCGGCTCTGGCTCCGATGATGTCGACTCTGGACTCACCTTCAAAGAACTTTTTGCCACAAATCTCAATGGAGGTCAAGAGATTATTCTCTTTAGCTCAGGATGCCATATTGACGGTGTAGCCGATTGTACGAGCGCCTGCAGCAACTCGAGTCTCTTCTTCAGCTCTCTCGAGACCTTCTACAACTGTGCCGCCCTCGCTGCAGCGGCGCATTGGACTCAGGATACGAAATCTTACTATATCAGCCAAGAAACAGAACGGAATGCCAGTGCTGTAATGGGATCTGGTACTTTGGCTGATTTTGACGGGCGACCGGTGCTGAAGTCTCTCATCGCCTGTGCCCAGGATTCTTGTGAAAATGACGGTCTGAGCAAACCTTGCAACCGAACAATTGACCGCCTCTCCTATGAGGACTCATCGCCCGAAGAGATATTTGAGGCTCTGGATGAGTTTTGTCCGGAATTGCCAGCAGAGGTAAATCCAGATATTTTTGGTCCAGGTGTAAGTCCCAACCAACAATTGTCTATCCTGCGTACTCAATGCTAACACCGGCTTCTTTAGGTTCTCATCTCATATGTCCTTCAAGTTTGCTTTGCTTCGTCGCTGTATCTGCTGCTCAAAGGCTTCACTCTCTGGGTCACCATCACGCAAGACACTAATCGTCGCAAATCGGAGCCCAAGCCTTATCGTCTGAAGCGCAGCTTGACTCGCATTGAGAGTATGATATGGCGTGACTCTGGCGGTCTATCACGCACGAGTATCGCCATTGCCACCACCTTGGTCGAGTTTCAAGAAGCCCAGTGTTGGTTTGTTTTCGCCGTTCAAATTGCATCCATTCTTGCCATTGTTGTCAATTCACAAGAGGGCACTTTCTGGGGTGAGATTATCGTCAACGGTGCAATTGCATATCATGTCAGTTTGAACGGGATACTTCCTATCTTTCTCGTGCAAATATGTTTGCATCATGAAGGTATTCGCAATTGGCACACATTCTTGGGCTTCTTTGTGGAGTATCTCCTTGCTATTGTAGCAACTTCACAAAAGATCTACTTCAAGGACGCATTCGCCCTATTCAAAGGCCAGAATGAGATAGAAGCGTGCGGGTTCAACCCAAGTCCACGCACGTATTGCGCCGCGACTCGAGGTATTGATGGACAGTCGTTCAGCTTCTTCCCTCACCCTCTGTTATACAAGATGGCGTTCCTCATTCTTGACACCATCGCCATCATTGCTTTGGTGATTGACCAGCTGGCATGGACGCTTCGAAAGCATCATCATACCAAACACATCCAGATTGGATCCTATCGTCTTGGTCGATGGCCACGTTGGGGCAAGACGCGACGAGGGCTTTTCATCAAGAGATGGTTTTGGCGCATACTTGAAGTGGCGTTCGTCCTTGTCAATATCTTGTACATGATCTCTCTGACCAAGGTTATCAACGCCGAGAGTTTTGCTGCTAAGAGATTCTCTTATGGACAAATCATAGCGCTGACGGTTTGGGGCCCCGTCATAGTCAAGCTCTTTGATCTTCTGCTCTGTGAGTACTCATTTGTTGTTTTAGTAAAGTTGCTTCTTTTTACTAACTGCATATGCAGCTGGGCCGCCCAAAAACGGCATGAGGCTTAACTCAGGCCCACCGAGGTTACGTATCGACAACGTAATAAACGGTCGAGTGGATTCATGTGCAGTTATCGAGGACGAGATCGAGACTGACGAAAAGGGCGATGAACCTGAATCAAGCGCTCGAGAAGAAGGATTCATGATGAGAGGAGCCCATACCCTGCAGCTTGGTGATGCCAGTGGTGAGGGTCGCAATGAATCAGAGGTGATAGAAGCAAAAAGAAGAGCGGCAACGCCAGATGAGATATGGGCTGAGAGTGGTTTGAAGCGGGTTGAACGAAATGATGATTGACGAATTTGATTTGTTGTATTTATTTATGATGATGATTTGTTATGATGACTTATGAAGAGTTGTTATGAATTAGTTATGTAAATATGAACTATAAGAGGATGAAGTTAATGTGAAGCTATCATCAGCCTCAGTACGGAGTACCTAATTAAGATTCAATGGCGGTTAAGGTAATCAAACCTGTACCGGATGTTGCTCAACGCTTAGCACCATAAAAGAAGGTAGATCCTAAACGGCACCTTCCGCCTCCCATTGCACTGACGTTAATATTCAGCCTCTCTCTTTTTTTATGTCAACGTACTTTCCCCACCAGAGCTTAGCTTTCCCGCCCAGGTTAGCTTCAGCGATCGCCCACAGGATCTCTCGATGATCGATGATGGGACTGCACCCCAAGACTCCAAGACGTAAAAAAAAAATGCAGGCAAGCTCCTGCCTCCTGCTTGTGCTGAGCACTTTCCCCCGTTTTATTCAAGCCTCACTGCGTCATCATTACTCCCTTCACGTGCTGCGTCGCACCGCAACAGGGAGCTCTTTCCCCGCGAGTGACATCATGCGGCTTCTGTAAGCTCGTCATAATAAGAGAGAGCTTCCCTTTATCTTTCTTTCTCGGAAGCTCTTTTCTATTCCTTCTTCAATCAATCCAATCAATTGAATCTCTTTCCTCGCCAATTTAACGATAACCTTAATAATCTCTTCACCACCACTAAATATACACACAACCTTCATAATGTCTTTCCTCACACAGAACGTCATCCGCCGTGTGGCTCTCGCTCCCCGCGTCATCGCTTTCCAGGCTCCTCGATCATTCACCACAAGCGTCGCCGCCCAGCGAACTGCTACCGATGCTGTCAAGGACACCGCCAAGAAGGTCGACCGTGTTGTGAGCGACAAGATTGTCGATGGCATCGAGACCGGAGGTCAGTCTACCCAACAACTACATAACCATTGATTGAAGAAACGCAGTTGCTAACTCTCATTTTAGAGACTGTTGCCGCCAAGGCTAAGGAAGCTGCCAAGAACGTCACCGGCGGCGATATCGCTGCGAAGGCCCAAGAGCTCAAGGGTGAGGCTGTCGGCAAGGCCCAAGAATTGAAGGGAGATGCCGCTAGCAAGGCTCAAGAGCTCAAGGGCGAGGCTAAGGGCACCGCTGAGCAAGCCAAGGGCAAGGCCCAGGAGCTGAAGGGTGAGGCCGCTGGCAAGACTCAAGAGCTCAAGGGTGAAGCCAAGGGCACTGCTGAACAGGCCAAGGGCAAGGCAAAGGGTGCCGCCGAGGAGGCCAAGCACAAGTTGTAAGCAAAGCAACTTGTTGAGGATACGATGGGACATGATGAATTTCAGACCCAATGATGGTCTACTGTACGATTACAAGCCATGCATCATACGGTTAGGGAAGCAAATTTAATGCATTAATCAACCAAAACGTTACAGTCAACATTCGACAAACTGTCAAACATTCAATTAAATACTATGCCAACTTCCTTCTACTGCAGTTATTAATTATATCATGTCATAATCTAGAAAATGTTCGGTATGTACCATGTCTCGTCACCAAGGACAGCCTGACGTCATCAACATTCACAGCGGTATACTTCAATCTCATAATGTATACATCTTCATTATTATCTTCATATCATGCGGGTATTAAAACACTAAATATTCCTCAATAAACATTCTTCGAACAAAACCAGTAACCAACTCATTGATATCCTTCGACCATGATCCAACATCCAATTATACTTAAGCCATGTTGGTCTTCCTGGGCTTGACATCAATTTCGCCAAGCGGGAAACGAACCCATGTCGTATCCTCAGTCATAATACCAGCAGAGCCTGCGTAAAATGCTGCAAAGGCGCAGATACAAGAAAAGGCGCCTCCAGTCTTGTTGATTCGGATTGCTGCAATGGGGTGGCTGGTCTGCAGGAACTGTGCCAAGCTGAGGAATAGGAAAGCAAGGAACAGGCAGCCAAGAACGACGAGAATGGCAATGTTGGTCTTGAGAGCGGCAATAAAGAAGATGAGAGTCAGGAAACACCAGAGGATTAAGAAGATTCCGAGGGCGAAGCTATAAGCCTTTTCGTCGCCCTTGTATGCGTCCTTGATGGCAAGATCGGGAACGAAGAACATGGCAAAGGCAAGCCAGAAAGCGCCGTAAGAGCAATGAACGGTGGTACCGAAAGTGTTACCTACACGGAACTCCATGAGTCCTGCAAAGAACTGGGCAATGCCGCCGAAGAATACAGCCAGGCCGAAGATTGCTTGATCAGGACCGACGCCGCCAAATGGATTGGATCCAGGGAGACTGCAGTAGAAAGTTAGCATGGTTCGATTAGAAGTATACAACTGCAATGGCTTACCCAGCACCACACTGATAAAGACCAAGAACAAAGGTGGTCAGAGCGAAACTGATCAAGCCCAGAGGACCAGGGTTGGCAACTTTAAAGAATGAAGGGTTGTAGACCTGCGACACCATGGACTGGTGAGGCTTCTGGATATTTCCGTTTCGTTCCTCATAGTGATGGTGAGGATGGTTGCAGTGGTACTGGTGACCATCTTCCTTATCGGTATATTGTGTAGGAGTTGTGGCCCCGTGGGAGTGAGGAGTGCTTGAAGACATCTTGTCTGAGTGGTTTGGTTGGACAGGACGAAAAAATTTGAGTACGAAGTGATAAACTATATCACTGAAGAGGGGGGAAACAAGTTAAGTTTAAATAGAGACCTGGAGAGCAAGTCTGGAGAAAGATCTTGATCAACCCACTTAGGGTCTGCAGTGTTTTATATCTTGATCAAAGCTGGGTAGGGGACCTGCAAACCCCAAACTTCAAGTTAAGCATGACGAAGAGGCGGGCATACAGCTTCCGCGGGCTGTGGGAACGGCAAGTTCCTGGAAACAGTCACCACGGGTAGGATCAGCAACACAGTGAAAAAACGACAATCCCATTTGGTCGATATGTGATCCATCTTTGAGCTCAACGACCCACATCGCTAACATGACTTGAGCAGGAACCAACACCAAAGGGCCGAGGATGGGCGTGGAGAGTAGACCCATTCGTCGATGTGGAGGTCTCTGAATCTGGTAGGCCGGAACCTTTGCAGGGCAGATTATCCTAGGACAACCTGGATATGTCGGCACGCGGATATAGGATATAGTAGCCTGCAGACTTGAGTTCGGGGAGTTTTAGACGAAGCGGATCCTATGTCCAGGATATCCAGTCGTCATAAAACGATGTGCTACTGATGAGTAATTCGTAGCCGTGGGTCAAGTAGACGCAAACATTTCAAATCGTTGAACAATTGAACTATTTGATCAACGTTTCAGGAGCTTTCCTGTCATTTGGAATTCATGCTCTTGTCCAACATGGTGACATGTCCATGCCATTATTGAGGCTCGTGCCAAGCCGGGAGGAATGATCCTGGCTCAGCAAAGTGCCGTTGAGCCTCAACACGAACCACGCGAGACCGGAGGTATTCAAACGCGAAACCACCCTAGAAGCTGTTAGTAAAGGCACCGAATGAGCCTGTGGTGGAGAATGACGACCAAACCGTGATGTTGGAAGTGGAGATACTGGCACCGACCCCCGGAAGCTTTCCGCCCTCGACTCAAAATCCACTAACTTGAACTCATAAACGTGGGAGAAGTGAAGCTATCAAGAGTCATGTTGCAGATGGGAATGGTCTCATTGGCTCACGGCACATTAAGTGCCGTCTCTGGATACCGTGCGTCTGGTCGATCGCTCCACAGGTCTTCCCCATGGGTGACGAGCATTGTTTTTGCCTTTTACCCCAATGGCGCGGAGACGGAGTTAAGTTGTGAGGGGAAGCATAAACGTGAAATAGCTAAAGTCGAAATATGCGTAAATCATGTCCAGATCGAGGTTCCCGGCCAGCATGACGCCACTGATGGCGATGGCATCGATGATTTTCTGTGTTATTGCCGATAAATATATCCGTGATAAGTCATCGACATACACTATCCTCGGTAACGCTTCAATGGAAGCTCGGTTGTATTTATCAAATTGCCGAATGATTCAAGTCTCGAAGCACCAATTCATGTCCATGAAACTATTTGAACGCTTCAAACGACGGATATGTCGGCAGCAGTTGTTTCTTTGATCTGCGTGGTTGCGGTTGTTTGAATTCATCCTCATTTTGAGTTGTCATGGACTGATTTACCCGGTAGTAATTAGCAAGATGCACATTGGCCACTCAAGCGGATATATGAACGAATCTGTCCTCAGGGTACCACAAGAAATGATCGGTTTTAGGTACATTTCTCTCCTTTATTATTATCTATAGAAATATAATTAAAATATAAAATAAATACTATAAAATAGAGAACCCTTTATATAATAGTATTATAGGTTTCTTTTTCTTATTAATACTATTAAATAGGGTTAAAATAGTATTTAAAGTTAAGGGGTATAAATATTTATTTTTAAAAATATATATTAAATATTATATAAAATATCTACCTTACTTTAAGAAGGCTATTATATATAATAGCCTTTATATTACTATATATAGACTATCTCTTTCTTATAGTATTTTTTCTTATTTTATTATAAAATATAGAAATAATAGCGATTTTGGTAAGAAATCGGGGGAGCGGACATTTCTTATGGTACCTACTAGTCTGTTAATTAGATATAAGGGTACTATTAAACCAGAGATGTTATATAATAATATAAAGGGCATTTTAACTAATTAAACCTTAGATTAAGATAAGGATAGTTATATAACTTATCTTAAACCTATTTAGGTATAATATAATTAGAATAACCTAAAAGAGGGAAAATAAGCTAAATAGATAATTAATTAAGATATAAATTAATTTAACTATAACCTACGGTTTAATAATTAAAAGTCTTAAAACTATATTTCTTTAAGGTAATTATAATTACTAAAAATAAATATCTAATTAATAAAATAAACCTTAATATAATATTACCTAATATAAACCCTAAGATATACCTTTTAAATAACCTAAGTAACTAGGATTTATTTAAATAAGTTTATATTATAAAAATAACTATAGAATAGTTATATAACCTTAGTTATCTAAAAAACCTAAACTAATTTACTATTAATTAACTTAAAAAGCTAAGGAGATCTATATATAGTAACTATAAGGAAAGGATTATAATATTAAGAATAATATATTAAGACCTTATAGTTATTACTTATAGTAAAGGAGCTATAAATTCCTATCTTAAGTTTTATCCTAATAATTAAGATATATATAAAGCTAAATAATATAATTATTAAATAGATTAATAGGAATATAATAAATAAGCTAAAGGTATTTAAAATATCTTTAATTAGATAATTAAGAAGATTAATCCTTATTATATTAAGACCTATTTATTAATAATAAATAATTTAGTAAAGTATAATAATATCTTACGTTTTTTTTTTAACCTAAAAGCTATATATAATATAAATAAGAATCTATAAAAAAAATAAGCCTGGTAGTAGTATTTTAAGGTATTAAAGGAGGTTTTAAACCTTAAAACTAACTAGGAAGAATAAATTATTAAATAGGAAAAGATAATTTAATTTATAAAGCTTAGGAAAATAGTTAAAGTATAATACTTAAATACTTAATTTAAAGACCTTTAAATAGTACTTAAAAATATATTTAAGATCTTTATTTAGATTAAATCTAGTTAATATAAAGTAAAGATTAAAAGTAGGATTTACTTTTTATTACTATTCTTTATATACTTTAAAAAAAAGATTTAAAATAAAAAATAAAAAGTAAATAAAAAGAAACCTAATTAAGTTATTAAAAAGAGCTTTAAATTAATATACTAAGCCTTATTATTAAAAAGTAATAAGTAATTATCTATAAGGCCTTTTTTATTAAAAAAAAAGTCCTATAAAGTAACCTTATAAGTTAATAAAAAATACCTAATAGTTAATTAAAGGAAAGGAAGAATATAAACTTTATAAAAAGTTATATAAAAACCTAAATATAGCCTTATATTAACTAGTATTTCTTAAAAAAATACTTAAGAAATTTACTTTAATATAGCTATAGCTAAATATTTTTAATTAAAAAGTTAAATAAAATAAGGAAATATAAGAACTCTTTAAGAAGCTTTAAAGTAAAAGTAAAATCTTAAAAAAGAAATTAAGCTAATTAAATAGAATATAATATATAATCTTAAATAAGGTAGTTATATTTTTAATATTAAGTAGTAAATACTTACTTTAAAGCTTAGTAATCTTAAACTTAGGTATTATAATATATATCTTTAATAATACCTAAAGGTTTAAAAACCTATATAGTATACCTTATAGTAAAGTTATATATACTAGATTAAAGGATTTAGTAATCCTTAGGTATAAAGATATATTAATTAAGGTTTTAAATCTAGAAAATAAGCCTTAAATCCTTACTTTATATTATATTATATATTACCTAAAGATAGATATTAATTTAATATTATTATAACTTTTATACTAACTTAACTATTAATAAGATTAAAAAAATAATAATAATATTATTAAATATATAAATAGATATACTTTATATAAATTAAAGTATAGATATAATTAGTATATATTAAAAGATAACCTTAAAAAAAAGAATTAAGTTTTATTTACTATAAAGTAACTTTATTATAACTTTTAGACTATAAAGAAACCTAACCTTATAAAAATAAAGGTTTAATATTAATAGTTAAGATACCTTAGACTAAAAAGCCTAAAGTATTTCCTAAATTATACTTTTAATACCTAAATAAAGAGGTTAATAACTATTAAATATAATATTTACGGCTTAATAAAGATAAAATATTAAAAGTATTATAAACTATAATAATAAAGCTTAAAACCTAATAAATAAGTCTTATTAGATTTTTATAATTATATAGTAAGACTTAATAGATATTTATTTTATAATATTATTATAGACCGAAAATTAGGTCTTTATTAAGACTATTACTTTAAGGATTACTAAGAGCTATTATTACTTTTAATACTTAAGTATTTTATATAAATACTTTAAATAATATATAATATAAAAGTTTAAATTATTAAAATAAATAATAAGCTTTAAAAAAGTAATTTAATTAGTATATAGTTTATAAAAAAAGCTATTAAAATTAATAAAAATATACTATATACTTAATAATAGAATGACTTTAGTAAATATTCTAAGGGGGTAATAAAAGAAAAAGTAAGACTATTAATAATTAATAATAAACTCCTTAATAGCCTCTGGCCTAAATTAATAAAAACTACGGTTTACCTTTTAAACTGAATTTTAAAATAATACTTTAAGTAAAAGATATTATATAAAAGCTTTTTTTTATAAATATTATATTTATAAGACTAAAACTAGCCTTAAGTTAGCTATATAAAGATAATTAAATATAAAGTATTTATATTAACTATATTAATATAATTAAAAGAAAAATACTTATAATTAAGAATAAGCCTAAAAGCTTAGATAGGTTTTTTAATTAAATATAATTCTTAGAATATTTTTTAAATATAAAATCTAATTATAAATAAGATTTATATTACTTAAGATATTATATTTAATAAAAAAGAGTTTTCTAATATTAATAAAATATAAATAAAATAAATAGTTATTTAAAAGACCTTTAAAGAGATTTAAATATATTTAGATACTTTCCTAGGCCTTAAGTAAATTAATTAAGTTATAAAACTAGCTTAAGGTTTAAATAAGTTAAAGATATTTAAAATAAGCCTTAATAGCCTTATTAAAGACTTACCTATAAAGTAAATAAAGTTAAATAAGGATTAAGGCTTAAAGTCTTTAAAATATACTTAAGTATACTTTAAGTTCTTTTTAATATTATTAAAAAGTCTATCTTTAAGTTTTTTTACTTAAATTAAGGTATAGACCTATTTAAATAAAAATAAAAAAAATAAAATTAGAAAATAACATTTTTATTTTTAATTAAGTATTTTATATTAATATATAAATAGTCTTTATAGTAAAAAAAGAGAATATATTAATCTTAAAGGTAATAAAAAGTAAATATATTTATAGAAGGCTAAAGCTTAAATATAAAAAGTAAATAAAAAAAATATAATTTATTCCTAATTATTAAAAATACTATAAAAAGAATTTACTACTGGCTTTAAGTTCTTATAGTAATTTAAATAGTTATAGGTTTAAGGTAGAATTTAAATAAACTTAGAAAGATTATTTAAAGAGCTATAAGTAAATAAGATCTTAATTAAAGATTTTAAGTTATAATTTAAGGGTTTATAGCTTAGAAATACTAAACTATATATAGATATTTACTTATAAATTTAATAAATATAGTTATCTATAAAAATATAAAGTATAACTTATTATTTAAGGAGATTAGTAATAAAAGTTAAATATAGATAATATATATATAGTAATATTAATTAGAACCTTATTCTAGATACTCTTTATAATAATAATAAGGTATAATCTTAAATTTCTATAATATAATATAGTAAATACCTTTATAAATATATTATTATAAAGTAATATCTTTATAAAGCTTCCTCCTAGATTTTAAAAAGGCTATAAAAAAGGAAAAGTATTAAAACTTTATAAAGTACTTTACGGTTTATAAATTATATTACTATTATAATAAATAAAGCTTAGAAATATATTTTAAACCTTAAAAACTAAATTAATATTAAATAAGTTATATTATTATTAGAAAGATAGGGTATATATCTTTTTTTATATTAATAATATAGTTATTATATTTAAAAAGGAAAATAAAAATAATATACTATAAATTATTAAGTTATTATAATAAAAATATAAATTAATTAATAGAAATAAGCTTTAATAATTCCTAAGAATAGAAATTATAAAATATTATAATATAAAGCTTATTTAAATAACTTAAGTTATATATTTAAAAAAGATATATAAACTTTATACTATAAATACCTTAAATAGGTCTTTAATAATTAAAAAGGAGCTCTTTTTATATAATAGTATAGTAAGTAAGTAAATAGGAAATTAGTTTAAATAAGTAATAAGGTTAGTTTTATATATATATATTATAATTAGACTAGATATTACTTTTACTATTTTATATTTAGTATAATTTATAAATAATCTAGGTAAAAAATATATTTAAATAATAAATTAATTCCTTAATTACCTATTTATAATATAATTTTATATTTTATAGCTTAGACTTAATATAAGCCTAGAGGTTTATAGTAATATATTATTTATAAATAATATAATTAATTAAAAAAGCTTTTAAGGCTTTATAATTAAATACTTTAGAAATATTATAGCTTAAAAAGTAAATAAGTAAGATATAGTAATAATATTAATAATAAAAGTAAAGTTATTAGTATTTTTATAAATAATAAAAAAAGGTTTTTTTTAGTAAAGATTACTATATAATTTAAGAATTAAGTTACTAATTAGCTATTTATATCTTATTTATAATAATACCTAAATAATTAGCTTAATTAAAAATCCTCTTTAGAAATTAAAGACTAAACTTTAATATATAGATATTTATAACTATTAGTTATAAAAGTATAACTAAAAGAAAATAATATCTTTTAGCTATAAAAATAGTAAAGAAATAATAACTAATAGGCTAACTAAAGTATTATAAAATAAAGACCTAAGAGATAATTATAATCTATTTAGGCTTATTAATATTAAATATTAAATTTTAAAATAAAGGAAAGTAGATCTAAAGGAGAGATTAATTAAGGAGATTATAAATAAACTATATATATAAACTATAAGCTTTAAATAGTTATTTTAAATTTTAGAATTATATAATTATATTTATAAAAAAGGATAAGATATATATATTAAAGAAAAGACTTTTATTTATTATTTACCTAAAGGTAAGTATAATATAATGTAATTAAAAAATACTACCTATAGCTTAAAAATATAAAATAAAGCTTACCTAAGTAAGATAAGGGTTATTACCTAAGGGAAAGCTATTAATAATAATTCTAGTAAGTATTACCTTAATAATAATAATATATTTTTTTTTTTAAAATAAGTTAATAAGATTTAAAAATAATATATAAAACTTAAAGACTTACCTTATTAACTATAAAGATATTATCCTTACTAGCCTAGATATAATCTAAGAAGAAAAAGGTAATAAATAAGGTATTATAAAGGCTAAAGACTTAAATTAATAAAATAAAACTTAAACTTAAGAAAAAAGAAGTTATATATTAAGTAATAAAAGTTATTAAGGTTATATTACTTATAGTAATTAAAGCCAGGGTATTATTAATATACCTTAATACTAGCTTTAGCTAAGGTATTATTTAAATAGCTAAGGTAAGGGATAGTATACTTTAAAAAGGTATTAAATAATTAATTAAGTTTTTAAATATAAAAATAAAATATTTATAAATTCTTAGTAATATTAATATTAACGGCTAGGACGTCTTTATAGATAAAATAATATATTAAGGTATTAAAAGGGGGGGTAAGGGAAAGTTATTAAATTAATTAATATTGTATTTCCTTATTTTAAACCTTAAAAGTAATTTATAAGCTATATTAATAATAATAATAAATATATTTATAATACTGCTTTATAAAAGTAATATACTTAGCTAAGATATACTTAGCCTTAATAGTAATAACGATAAGGTTAGGAGTAGGTATAATAATAAAAAAAGTAATAATAGGGTTATAAAATAATTAGTGTTTTTATTTAAGTAATTAAAGCTTAGATATATATTTATAAAGATATAATAAAAGCAGGAGCGGTAGTAAGAGTAATAATAATAGAAATAAGAGTAATAAAAGCCAGAATAGTAATATAAAAAGTAATAGTATTATAATATAATTAATACTTTATTTTAAGTCTTTAAAACTTAAAAGACTATACTTATTTATAAATATAAATTTAGGTAATAACAGCAGAGGTCTTAGTAATAGCACTTTAGGTATTATAGTAAGAAATAAAAATAGAAATAAGAATAGAAATAAGAATAGAAATAGGTTTAATATTACTATAATATAATTAGTATTATTATTACTTACTTTAAAGCTTAAATAACTTATAAAAAAGGTAGGGATAAAAAGAGAGAAAAAGATCTATTAAATAATTAGTAAGACCTTAAAATAAAATATAAAATATAAAAAGTACTTATAATATAATAATAGTAATAATAATAATAAGAATATATATATAAAATCTATATAAAGATAATTAGTAAATATAATATAAAGACTTAAAAAGTAAAAAAGGCTTAAAGGCTTAAAAGTAAGCTTAAAAAAAGGGATTAACTATAAAGATTAAGATTATATACTAAAGATATTAATAAAGTTGAAAAAAAAAAAAAAAAAACCCTTCTTTATAAAAAAATTAGTATTTTATATCTCTATAATTATAAATAAGCCTTTACTATATAAAACCTTAATTTATTATTATTATTATTAAATAGTAAAGTATTTTCTATTTATAAATTATAAATAATAAACCTAAAATTATAATAATAACCCTATAGAGGACTTTTTATTATTAAATTATAAATAAAGATCTAAAATGCCTAAATAATAATTACGAATTTTATATAATAAACTAAATACTATAATAATATAAATACCTTTAAAGGTATAAAGATACTATAATATAATAAATTAATTAAAGATCTTTAATAATAGATTTAAAATATTAGAAAATATATATTAAATAAGGCTAAAGATATTAAATTATTATATTTTTTAATCTAGGGGGGTATATTAAACTAAAGATATTATATAATAATATAAAGGGTATTTTAATTAATTAAACCTTAGATTAAAATAAGGATAGTTATATAACTTATCTTAAACCTATTTAGGTATAATATAATTAGGATAACCTAAAAGAAGGGAAATAAGCTAGATAGATAATTAATTAAGATATAGATTAATTTAACCATAACCTACGGTTTAATAGGTACCTAGGTATGTCGGCAGATCGAAGCAGGGATTGTCTAGATTCCTTCACCACGGTGAACGATTGGGTGAGGAACACACAAGGTCTCGTGACCGTGGCGTCTGTGGCTTTTCGATGGCCGTTCTCGGCCGGGAATTTAGATAATCCCTGCCATGTCGCTGCCCGTTTGTGGGGCCTGCAGCTCAGCTTCAATGGATGGAATATGCGGGTATGGTACGCATTGTCATTGGCTGAGCGTGATACGCCTCTTAAACTGTCCCATCGTTGTCGCTATCGCTTCTTGCTCTAACATGCTCAACCCGCGATATCTAAAAATCCCACTGTTCGCGGCGCTGAATATGTTTTCATTGCTACTAGGCTTATGCCACTCACTGCCATCGTCATGCCGCTGAATAAATCCGCCGCCGCCTCTCTCTGCTCCCGCAATGCCTTCCCCGCCGTGTCGAATATCCCGTACCTCAGATCTATAACGTCATCTAGAGGGGCACGAGCTAGCTACCCTCCCGCAACGACCTGCTCGATAGAACGATACAGGCGATATGCTACAGTAAATAACGAGCGACGAAACACCTCCAGCCATAATGAGGTTCCCGAATGGCCAAAGACTACTTATCCTTCTCCCTATGAGATCTTCTCTATGAAGAGTGACGCTCCATATACCAAGCACCGATTCTACCAACTTGTCAAAGTCTACCATCCAGACCGACACAGCCATACTTTCGATATTGATAATGTGCCGCATAAAATTCGGTTGGAACGTTATCGACTTATCGTTGCCGCCAACGATCTCCTCAGCGACCCCTCCAAGCGTCAACTCTATGATGTCCATGGTGTAGGCTGGACTGGTGGCAAGCCCCAGACACTCAACGAAACCGTTCGCAACGCCGATCGAGCCTGGCGCCACAGGGCCGGGTCTGCCGCACACAATGCTACCTGGGAGGACTGGGAGCGATGGTACGATGCTCGCGACGGCAGGACTAGGGATCCACTGTATATGTCCAACGGCACGTTTGCCGCTCTTGTCGTCTGCATGTGCATGATAGGCGCATTTGCCCAAATGAGTAGAGCAGACCAATACGGCGCCGACCTGCTAGAAATGAAGCAGCAATCCGATCTTGTCATTGGGCAGCAGGTTGCCCGTCGAAACACGGTTGCTGCGGGCAGGTCCAAAGATGAAAGAGTCGACATGTTCCTGAAGGACAGAGAGAACCTGAATTACGCTTACCAGCCCGGCAAGTATGACAGCGAGATACTCGCGGCAAGCCAGACTTCTGCACCTGGAAATAATGGAAGGGCATAGCCAGAATGTGAGCACGCTTGGTGGACGAGGCAACGCGGGGTTGGTGAGAACATACGTCGATTTGCTGCGGTCCTTTTTGTTTTACATTAGGAGCATTATCGTGTTTCAGCACGTAAGGAGTCAGGATTTTGGGATACTGCTTATGGACATGCACTTCTTCACCGACAAAATATTCGAACATGAATATAAACCATTTCAAGGGAACTATATATATGATAAATAGCTTATTCTACTTATCATGACTGACACTTTTAAATCATGTGAACTGGGTTGCGAAGATCATATTCACATCGCAGCTCCCGTGGTATAATAAGACATCGATCGCTCAGGATTCGAGACACATGCTATGTAATTCTTGATACATTCAATACGATTACCTAAGGTAAGCCAAAGAGTCCTCTTTCTATTGTCTACCGTAATTATAAAACTATGAGGGTCCAAGACTTTCGTTCTCCATCTCATCCCCTATTCTGAAGTCGGTCTAATGCGTTGCACAAAAGCACGTCGTCTCACCATCTGTCAGAAACACCGAGATTAGCCCAGCCCCTATTAAGCAAAAAGTCTCCCCTCGATAACTAGTTTGAAATCTTATTAATACCCCCTCCTCTGACTTTATCCTCGCTCTCGACTCAAGTTTGTCCTAGAAGACAGCGTGCTGAACCTCGAAGTCAATGATGTTGGACTCACGACACGACGATTAGCTTGAGCTGAACTTCCTCGAGACGCTGGTGGGATAGGCGACATGCCGTCATCCTCGTCATCCTCGTCACTCTCGTCATCAGGACTTGTCTGTGGCTGTGAATCTGGCAACTCTGCGATACGTCTTCCGCCGACGGTATATACCCGTGGCTTCTGCCACGCACGAGTAAAGCTCTTCACCTCCGCCACCGCTGGCTGAGGCGTAGGTGATCTGACACGGTCTCCGTAGCTGACCCAGGAATCCTCTAGTGTAGAAGTCCGATCAGGGTGGGCGCTCAGCTCTGATAACAGTGGAGGAGTTGGCAATGGGGAACTTGGCGGCGGAGGACTGTAAATCTCGGGTTCCCGAGGAAGGATTGGGTTGCTGATTGTTGGGCGTCTGCGACTTCTGCGCATCAAGAGCCATACTGCTAATGCTGCCAGGGCTAAGCCAAAGACGACACCGATGACAACCGCAGCTATAGCTCCGTCTGAGAGCCTACGGGAGTGATTAGGTGTAGATGCAAGAGTGTCAGGACTCTGGCTACTCTCGGGTGTCGTAGTAGGATAGTTGGTATCGCTCTTCGTTGTAATGTCTGGCCTTGCTGTAGTTTTCGTGGACCAACTGGCTGGAATAGTAGTTGATATACTATGGCGAGTACTGGTTGTATATGGATCCATCGTCTCCCACACTGTTTCTGTTTTAACACCGCTTTCAACATTGTCTCGGTCGTCCGGGCCTGCTGTTTTAAATGTCGAACCATGGCTGGTTTTTGATGTTCGTGGGACACTTCTGACCTTATCAGAAGGGAACATGATACGCGTTGGAGAAAAAGTAGTCATCAGTTTGTTAGCTTTGGGGAACGGTCTTGTCGTAGATGCACCAGGGTTGTCATAGCCAAACTTGCTTTCATGAACACGTTGAAGGAAGAGGGAGAAATGTTTATTCAAGGCACATGCCACGCCTTGTTATCGATCGATGCGTGTTTGCTACTTTTGTACTCAGTACGCAAGAGAATGCACTGGTGACACCAGTGATGCCCAGTCAAAGCCTCGTTCTCGGACTGGCCAACTATCTTTGGTTGTGGCATAAACGCCATTTTTGGATCAACAGTTCGGTGACACGATGCCGCTATGCGGGCACTTCAAGTGACAGGAGAAGGGTTGTACCATTAACGACTGTAACATTCCTGCTTGCTGTGGAGGTGAATCACGACTTTCGCAGAGTCTCAACCTTTGCCCTCATGACTCGCTCAGCACTTGCAGGGACAATGCGTTCAGTAGGCCCAAGACGCATCATCTTGCCTACAAGGAACATGAGTTTGCCCTGAGGGAACTTCTCAGAGTCGACAAACTCCTGCAGGATCTTATTTTCGCCCTCCATAGCCTCGTCTGCTAGTTGTTCATACTCTTCCTCTGCAATCTCCTTGAACCACAAATCATTCTCCTCGATGGCCTGGGTGACTCCACCCTCAATTTCCTTCAAATAGATAGCGAAAAGTAGCTCTTTGGCTACCTTGCCTGTGATCTGCTTCCGAATCAGGTGGTAAAGAAGCTGTGATAGGTCTGAGTCAGGGACCTGCTCGCAATCGCCTTCTGGTGTGAATGTCAGGTCACGGGCTGCAAGTGGACCTGCCTTGTAGGTAGTCAGGCGGCCAAGTTCATGGATAATCCAGTTGCCGACCACAGCAGAATAGCTCTTAAACTCGGGCAACTCAGCTCCACTGAGCTCTTCCGCGAGCGTGCTCTGAATAGAGTGAAGAACTTTGTAATAGTATTGAACACGTGAACCATTCTCCAGGTTGATCAGAGACAATGCATCCTTAGCCGTAAGGCCAAATCGAGCAATGAGGGTATCCAGCTCCGAGTCGGGAGTGACAGCCAGTGATTCCCGCAGGTGGCCTACAAGATCATTTCCGATGACAAGAGGCGCAATATCAGGGTCGGGCATATAGCGATAATCCACCTCGCCCTCCTTTCCACGCAGTCGCCGTGTTTCCGTAGATCCGATGGCCCAGCCGCGAGTCTCACTAGGAATGGCGCGTCCAGCATCAAGCTCACGAATCTGACGGTCGCGCTCCGCGATGATTGCGTCTTCAACGGCTTTAATAGTGCTTAGATTCTTTATCTCAGTTCTCGTTCCGAGGGATGGGTTGGATCCGTCAGTCCTGCGAACAGAAACGTTGACGTCTGCTCGCAGACCTCCCGTTTCCATACCAGAAACGCAGGCATCGACAGTATTTAAGAGTAGCTGGATCTTTCGCACAAGAACGGCAGCAGTGCGGGGATGGTGAAGCTCAGGTTCGGTGATGATCTCAATTAGAGGGACACCCACACGATTGAAATCGAGCCATTGAACTTTATTAGTCTGAGCAATCGTCTTTGCCGTATCCTGCTCAAGCTGGACCTGCTTGATTCCTATCGTAACACTTTCACCGTCCTGAGGAGAGATTCCATCTCGAGCGAGGAGAGTGATATGTCCATTCTTGGCAAAGGGTTCATAATATTGAGTGATCTGATACCCAGACGGTTGATCCCACCAGAAATAGTGTTTTCGATCAAATCGGCTAACCTCTTGAACGTCGCAATTCAAGGCCAACGCTGCACGCAAAGCAGGAATCAGAGTTTCCTTTTGGAACAAGGGCTGACTGCCAGGCATGGCAAGGTCGAAAAGAGCAACATGACTGTTGGGCTCATCGTTGAAAGACGTGACAGCTGGCGAGAACAACTTATGGGCGGTGTTCAACTGGGCGTGTATTTCGATACCCACTGTCAACTCCCAGCCATCGACAGTTTGAGAGTCACCCTTTGACTTCTTTTTGCCCAGTTTCTTTGCTTTCTTCGCATCTTCCTTCAATTGCTTCCGTAGCGGTACTGCCTGTGGAGGAGGTGGTGTGACAGCTTCGGGCGAAACGTGCAACATCCTGGTCGTATGGGCTATAGAGGCGGCTGCTGAAGGTAACGTAGGGCGTCTTGATATATGGCGCGCACCAATGCAGCCCTGCCGGGATATTTGCCCTTTCAGCAGGTACTTGCTTAAGACAGAGGTCGGTATGCGTGACATGGTGGTAGTAAGTGCAAGGGCTTCGGTGACAGAGACAAGGTCAAGATGATTGAGAAATAGTGACTATTTCAGCCCAGTCGGCTTATTCGTGCTGGCCTTTAACCTCAGACCGTCGATTGTAATATTTGGTTGGTATCGCACATCGAATTAGGTTGGTGTGGTGGTTCTATTGGAGGGACTGAACGGAGGGTTGCGGTGGTAATGCGTTGTGACTTGGCAGCACAATTGAGGCTGATCATACGTTCATCATCATATCATGGCCTCAAAATGACGTCTATCGGAAATATACCAATTCAATGAATTAGTTGGAGGCGTCTCAGGAATTATTGAGGCTTCTTTTCCGTTGATAGCTTTGGTGGAGCCATGCACATCAATTAGCGGAACATGCCGGTTATTGCAGTGCACGTGCATGGCCCCACCCAGCAGCTCCCACCATGTCACTCTCGATCATGATATTCTCAAACTCCACCACTCTCCCCAAGCAACATCCGGTATGGTGTAGTGGCTAACATTTCGCGCTCTCACAACCTGAGAGATCAGTACCGCGGAGCCCAGGGTTCGATTCCCTGTACCGGAGGAGAAAGATGGATGTTCTTTTTGCCCCATTGAGTACGGTGTACAGAGTACTTGAGCGCAATTATCCAAGTCATGCGACAACACCATCTCACATGCGACGCAGTCATTGTTAAGGATTGATACCACCCAACACGCTCTCACTTCCCCACCATCTTTTCTTTTTACTCCAATGGCCAATTCAAATACTAGGCCGGAGTGTGCGGCTCAGCTACCGCTGTCCTTCATTGAAACAAGGCAATCGAGCGAACTGTTCTTGAAAGCCAAGCTCACCATCATCATCATTTTCGCCTCATGCATGCTTAAACTTCAAGAAGCCTTGAAGTCGATCTTCCCTTTTACACATCCTTTCCCCACAATCCTTCTTCTTTTTATCCATTAAAAGTTATCGGAACCTTTTCTTTGTATTACGTGTGCTTCCACGCTTCCACGTCAGATCTGACTGCCGGCTTGACATATTTATGGTTGCTCACGGAATCCCGCAGCAGTTCCCGGTGTCACTATCCAGTCCAACACTCTATTCGGCAGTATTAGAGTTATAGTGCACGATCGCTGTAACTGAAGTGTTCATTATGCTTCAGTGTTGAGCAGTTGGCGAACACCAAGCTTGCCAGACGGTAGCATCTCGCTAGACCTTTTGGCTATACGCTTCAACAATATCGTACAGGATATCACTAATAAACTGCACCTCGGTTCAACTTCCGAGTGCTCCTGTTTCTGAACAAGCTATCTTAAATAAAATAATTATTCCGAAAGAAAAGGACGGCCAAGCTCAACGGTCAACAACCGTTTATCATCATCAAATCAGAATGAACAACCAAGCCCAAGGACGACCAAGGCCCTCCTGGTCTTCCTCCGAAGGCCCGTCACTTCAAAAAACCACATCTCACCAGTCTACGGTTGAAGATTACGAAGAAAGTACCAGCCAATCACCTAGTGAAGGCGGCACTCAATACCCAACACCACCGAGTTCGGCATCCAAGATGGAGTACACTCCAGCCGTTCAACGTTCTGTCAGCGGGTCCGCCGTTACGCAACTGACGCCCAGCGACGATACAGCCGTGACCAAGACTAACGGTAATCGGGGCAAGGTGCCAAGGGAAGCAAGGAACCTCAAGGTTAAAGGAGCACGTCCTGGTAGTATATCCTCTTCAGGGCCCGGTCCGAACTCTGCTACCCACGAAGCGTTCTCGTCTTCCCCAGAATCAAGTTATTTCAAAACTCCGCTCCACGATCGACAAGTCGCGGCGGCGCCATATGCCCCTACAGCTGTGGCCGTTGCCAATTATCCTCAGTCTCCTCTCAGTCCTGTATCATACGCAAACTGGGGGCCACCACAAACTCCCGCTGGCTACCCTCCACCTCAAGAGCCGTTTGCGCCTCAGCAGTTAGGATTGCCACCTATCAACCACGCTTATCATTCCGGATTTGCCTATGCGAACCAGAGAAGTCCCGCTTTAGATTCCGCCTTTGCCAATCAGCCCCCCTTGTATGAACCGCAACACCCTGAAGCCGACGAGCAGATGCCTGTGCAAAACGATGACCTCCATGTTGAAGCACTGAATGGATATGCGTCTATAGCAGCCAGACTATCCGGGCAATCCGGGCCATGCATTCAGCCGCTATATCGAAGATTTGATTGGCTTCATCACCGTATCTTGTTATATCACCAAGACCGAATCGGGGACTTGGAAGAAGAGTTGATACATTTGGATTCCATCACCACAAACAATGGAAGACATATGAGTGTCTCTTTTCGAGAAGAACGAGAAGCGAAGCATGCTATCCATCAGGAAAGGAATCGAGTAGTGCATGAAATTGAGATCCTACTTCGTAAATATAGTGAGTTCTCCTGCTTTTTACATAATAGATTCTAATTCGTTTAGGGAACGCCATCTCGTCTCTTGAAGACATGCAGAAACTACCAGCCCCAAAGAACGACGATATTCAAGCCTACAAAACCTTCCTAAACCAACGGAATGTTTTGATAGAAGAGGAAACACTCTTTCTTGGGTCATCAGATCTCGTCGTTTTGCCTCGAGGACCAAGAACGAATTCCCCTGGAAGTGATCAGACACAACCACAACAAACGTCTCCTCCACTTGTTCCTTTGCGAACCCTTATAAATGGGTTCTCCATGAGCTTTCTGTGCCTGGCCGTTCTGATGATGGCCCTCCCTGACCTTACGACTCGGCTTGTCATGGTGGTATCCTATGGGGTCCTTGTCACCACGGTGCTATCGACAACTGGACATCTACGACGATTACGGCAACTTTTTGAAGGTTGATTGAGCGGTATACGAAATTCACGACTATCCCTATTCTCCACGCCCTTACGAGGTTTTACTATCTTACGATTTCATTTCTCTGATGCTTTCTATTGTTTGCAGTATTTGGTTACGAGACTGTCGATACCCTGGGGTCACCCATATGTTGTTTCCCGAGTCGCCTCAAATACTGTCTTGGTTACGCACGGTACCTCTCTTCGTTGATCTCGGGGCTATATAGATTTATGTTGCAATGGATAGGAAGACTTTCTAAATGTGACTGTCTATTCAAGAGGTCCTCGGCCGTCTGTAGAGTGTACGCAGCGATCATAACGGCCAATTTGTTCTTTGTCTAACATCCAATCGGGCGAATGGTTTAGTGGTATAATACTCCCTTAGCATAATTCGACCGAATCATCAATCTGGGAGTGGTCCAGGGTTCGATTCCCTGTTCGTCCATTGCAGGTGGTTTGATTCCACCAAAAATCCTCTTTTTGACATTTTGCACCCTTGCTTACCCTACAGCATGACGAGGGATGGCTTGCATAGAGACAGTCAACAGCACCTTGTTCTGAATGTGTCAAAGATAATGAAGATTTGTTTTCAATCTCCTATTATTCCATACTATATCCGTCGTCTTTGTTATCTTTATGGCGAATGCTTAGACTGGCGACGAATAGGCATGTCATTCAGGAACAGACAGTTCATGAGTCGTTGTGGAAGACAAACAATGAATATGTATGAGATGAAGAGTAGATATTGAAAGAGAAGGCGGTTATGATACTGACAATTTATCAATGTCTTACTACCTCTCATATTACTATTCTGGTCTATATCGCCAAAATTGTGATTGAGCTTCACTGATCGGCCTTGCAACTGATGCGCAAAGCTCAAAGAATAACCGACTGCAAAACTGTCAATGGTATTATTTAAGACGTTCTAATGAAAGAAAAAGAACTGTAGAGTCACACTTGTTACCTTACCAACACAATTTGCTGTCCTTACCTCAACTTGATCTGCCCGACCATCTCAGGCAACGCAAAGGACCCTGAGACACACCGTTTTATTACGAGAACCCGCAGATTCGCCTAGACAAACCTCAACCTGTGGCCCCCTTCTTCTACCTCTACCTCTGCCTCTACCTTTGTCTCTGTTTCTGCTCGGAGACGGGTCCTGTCCCCTCATCGGGTACTCACTCTGAAGCACAGGCGAGTGACACGGCACAAGTGCATTGGCCAGACACGTGTTGGAGAGACAAGAGCACAGCGTTATTTCGAGTGAGATTACTTTTGAAATCTGGGTTCTGCACGATATTTACGTTGAGCAAGGGGAGTCTTGCAGGGCTGCTCAGCATATATATCGAGTCTAGAATATGGACTTAGGGCTAAGATGCTGGTTGAGGATCAATCTATCTCAAACAGATATGGCTTATGTTGTGTGCAGAAATGCGAGATGCCGCTGCGGTTGTAACGTGGCACAGGGGCTGCAGTATCGCACATTCAGGCAAAGAGAATGTGCCCCAGAGGTTCAGTGGCAAGTAATTAGACATGGCGATGCAAGCAAGGGTTTAGACCGAGGTAGAGAGAGGGTCGACTGTTGGTTCTGGTGAAGGAATATGAGATTTAGGTACGGAATGAGAATAGCATTGTTCTCGATGACAGATTGACACGATAAAGCTGACTTCGGAACTCCATGTAGGGTGTCCGGGCAATATAGTATCACTGAGGTTGATGGGGTACTCGGTAAGGCGATTCAAGCCCACATACATAGACCCTCAGGCTGGAGTATACTCACGAGTTATTGAATCACCAGCAGAAATATTAAAAATAAAACCACAGCAAATGATTTATAAGACCCTGTTCCATCACAAAATCTCATTCCCATTGTTCAGGCACCTCTGCTGAGCGACCTCACCTCGATCTCAGGGGCAAACACCAAGAAAGAATTGGGATGCCTCACTCAACACGACGTCCTGGTGCAACAGAAATCGGTATCACCAAATAACGGCTGTTGCTGAGCATTCTTCTGTCTCCTATATTCTTCACTGGCTGGCACTGACACTGACACTGCTAATTCAGTGTTTCCCATTCATCTCTATTGTTGTCAAAGCCGTTGCCCCTTGAAACCAGAATCTCGCAGCTGTTCGCCAGTGCCAGGAACTGCCTGATTGTTCTTATTGTTTATATCTCCGCTTTGCCTGAGGTAGAAAAAGAACCTTCTCGTCTTTCGGATCCTTTTTCTATTTCTTCTTCTCTTCCTCACCATCTCTTCTCTCTTTCTTCTTCACCCTTTCTCTGCATCGCTCGTTGCATCTCATCACACACCACCTTTGCATCATCATTTGCATCTTGAATCACTCACGCTTTCAGCATCTTCAAAGATCAAATCTGTGAGTACTCAATCCTCTTGTTCTCCTCCCCTTCTTCCTTTCCCTGTCAAGAATTCTCGAGCATTCGCGAGTGTTTGTGCATTCTTCTCTCGCGCTCGTGCTTCTTCACCTCCATCATTTACCTCTTCAGCACACCTCTCTCCCTCACTCTTCTTTCTCCCCTCTCCCATTATCACGTCGAAGAATCATCAGTTAACCTCTCTCGAAAATAATAGATCTCTCGCCGTTACGATGGCTGTCCTCAAGCTCAAGGTTCTCGCCAGCATCCTGGCCATCTGCGCTCCCCTCGTCGCCGGAACTTCCCCCGATGGCGAGAGTGTCCCTTGTCCGAGTACGCATTCTTACTACTCGCTCTTTATATCTTCAATGCTGATAATTCTCTAGCTGCTCAGACCACCACCGCTGCTCCCTACACCTACGAGTACGGGGTTGGAACTACTGATGGTATGTCTTTGCTCCAATCCTTTCAACTGACGCATATACTGACTGACTCATCTCTCAAGGTACTGTCATCCACACCCTGAACATCTGCACCACCACCCAGGAGGTCCAGTGTATCACCACTACCTCCTTCGGTGGGCAGTCCCTTACCTTCGCCACTATCGTTCCCTCCGTCCCCGTCGGAGGAGGCCAGTCTTCTGCTGCCGGCGAACATACCTCCTACCACGGCCAGGGCATGTCTTCTCTCACTGAGGTTGTCCCTGCTCCCTCTGGAACCAACGTCGTCCCCAGCGTCGTCCCTGGTGTTCCCAGCGCTCCCAGTGCTCCCGGTGTCCCTGACGTCTCGGGTGGTGCCTCTCAGCCTGGTTACTCTCCCCCTGCTGGTGCCTCTACCGGCGGACAGGTCCCCGTTCCTGTCCCTTCCAACGGCGAGGGTACTGCTCCTCTCCCTCTTCCTTCTGCTGTCAGCAACACCGGCATGTCTGGCGTCCCTACTGGCCTGACCACCGCTGTCGTCACCGACACTGCTGTTGTCACTGACTCCGAGACCGGCTACGACACTGCCGTCTCTGGCTCTGGCACTGCCACTGACGTCTACCCTTCCTCCGCTGGAGAGACTGGTGAGGACACTCCCACTGGTACCCCTACCGCCAGTGGTGCCTCCAAGATGCTTGCACCTGGTGCCGCTCTTGGCCTCGCTGTCATGCTTGTAGCTCTCGTCTTTTAAACACAACTTGACATCATGCTACCCATGCATTCATACTCACTCTATACTCGGATATTTCTTTCACTCTAGAGAGGAAGGCATCGTGTTGGATGGCTTGACATGGATTATCAATGGTCGTTGGTTTAAGAGCCTACTGAAAGTAGATTGATGGTACAAAGGATGGTGCTTTTTTGTTACTACGCAGAACCTTGTGGAGGTCATAATACATGTTGTACTTAGGTGCCTTTTAAAAAGAACTCGAGTTTGCTCTTATCATTTGCCTTTATCTCATCTGTTTGATCATATATACGCCATGAAACTATCCAGACTAACGTGCTAAGTTGAAACTAACCTCCTCTTTATACGCCGTCTGTGCATTGCCGCTGACAATCAAAATTCTATCGCCATCATTCTTTAACATGACAAACAGGGCAACCTCCTCTCATCTTGTCTTTCAGCAGTCGAGCCCTCATCACCTTCATACCTACTGAATACCGACTTCCCTCCTCAGAACCATTGCCTAGGTCAACATCGACCTTCTTGCCCCCATGTAGCATCTCCAGAAGATGGCTAACATGGAACACATGACCGCAAGCATACCCCACTAAAGTCTCCATCTCGTACTCAGTGAAAGGTTCGTGGCACCTTGCGCAGTGCCCTGGTTTTGGCACTCGGTGATCATGACCCGCTGATGGATGGGAAGCGTTGCGCTCTGGATTGTCCGGGTCTGTGGGAACGTCCTTGACTTGAACGTCCACATGTTCTTCGTCTTGGTAAACTACTTCAAACTTGATGCCTTTGCGTTGACCAGCTCTTAGCTCGTTCTGCGCCGTGGCTACCTCGCTGCGAAGGACTCGCGCAACTCCGGAGCTGATGCTGTACTGTATCTCGTGCTCCTTCATCATGTGTGTGAGCCCCTCCCTGAGCCCCTCGATCTCGAGTCCTTCTGGAATTCGCTGCACCACAGTAATCGGGTTGATGGCTGTACCGACTTGCTCGAGCAGACCCCGGATGAAGCTGGGCTTGTCCATGCTGTACTTAAGGAGATCCTCCCAGAGATCAGGGTCGTCTTGTTCTTTGGCAAATTCAATGGCCTTATGAACATTCTTCAAACGATCGATGATGAGATAAAGAGCGCGTTTCATCTGGCCTGTCTTGGAATATAGAAATACGAGCTCGTCGTAGTATGAGAACGTCTCACACTCATGAACCGCCTGTTTCAAGTCAGTGAGTATAGCGCTATCTTGGTTTTATCAACTCAGCTTACCTTTTCGAATGTATATGAAACCGAAGTCTTGAGGTACTGCATAAGCAACGTCCGATCAAAGGTCGCAAAGACATGGACTGCCAAATCTGCGAAGTTGTCCACCAAAGATTGACTGTCCATGACCAATCGGTCCACGTTCTCTCCGCCGTGTTCCTGAATACCCTCACCTCTCCAAAGACCTCGGAAGTAAAAGTATATGTAGAGGTTGAGCTTCTGAGCAAGAAGCTGCTCCACAACAACATCGGGGCGTAGAAGACCATGCTGAGCCTCATCGACGAGTAGAGTGATGGCTTCGGATGTCGCCTGCTCAAGCTCCTCCGCCGTCATATTATTCAGTTTACCAGGTGGAACTCTGAGACCAATGAAGCTGGGGATATCATCTGCAACGGCTTCTGCGAGATGGTTGTCTCTAATCAACCTGAAAGCTGAATCCGCATCGTGAAGCTTGATGTAGCATTTGAGGGCCTCGCGATGTCGACCGTTAGCCTCGTGCAACCTTGCTAAACTCTCCATCACGATTCGCCAATCCCGACCCTTCTCGCCATCATCGATGCTGTCTTCACGCACATCTCGATACTTGAGTTGGTTCTCCAATGCAGTCGTGATGGTTTTGATATCGAAGAGTTCAGGGGACCAACGGTCCAAGAGTTCCCTGAATCTTGGCTTATCGTTTTGGATGTAATGTCCCAGCACAACTTCGTATATAGTGGAAGGAAGTGGAGGGTGCATCGTTTCTGTAGGGATATAGTTTGTGATGGCATCAAATCTCTTCGCTCCAGCAAACGTCCACACCCATTTCTCCCATCTGTCAGGTGTCTTAAGTACTTGGCCACAAACCTTGCCCGCGGTCGCCCAGTCATTTTCTTCAATGAGCTCTTGAATCCAGAGCTCTCCGATCCGCCTCTTCTCTCTTTCAGCAGAAGAATAAAAGTCTCGGACTTGCGAATCGATAACGGACTCATCGTCATTGAAGTCATCGCTTGCTACGTTCCTGATTGGTGGCGTAGAAGGGGTAGCATCACTGGTCCTCTCGTTGAGCGGTGCCATGATCTCGGGATGTTCGTCAAGCAACTCCCAGGCACGCTGGTACTGCTGCCGTTCTAGAAGCCACCCCAGATGATCGCTCAAATCTCGTCGAGTTGCAAGGATGCAGTCGTATGGGCTGTGTATAAACACTTTGACGCCAGGTTTAACAAGCCCTGAATGAACATATGGCGAAAGACCTCGATTTGTTCCAGGTCGAATTGTTCCTGCTGCACTCCCTTGGATACTGGAATCATCACCACTTCCTCTACTTCGAATGCTAGCACCGGAGCTGAAGAGGGCTCGAGGATTGATGGCAGCATTCCACATATCCGTGCCAAGCCCAGCTATTGCCTCCAGAGCACCTCTGGAAGACGCGATCGCTGACGCAGCATTGCGTGCGGGTAAAACGCCCAAGTGGTAGTCACCTGATGACAATCTCTCGTAACGACTGACACTCAGGCTGTCCTTGTCGGCTTCGGCTTGAGAGTTGAGGTCGATGAGACGTAGTTCTGGGGGTTGATTATTTTGTCGACGGGGAAGACCACCTGAGGGCTCGCTTCCCGTTGAAGGATTTGACTTGTGCTTTTTGCCTGGTGAAGCTGCAACCGAACCAGTATCTTCATCCTCATCGTCGTCCTCTGGTAAACAATATGCAAGTACTAACAATAAGTTTTGGGTATATAACGATATGCCGGAAATGATGCAATCCATGCGAAGTCTGTGACAAGTTAGCTTCTCATTCAGTAATTCATCTCAGGACAGAACTTACATCTTGACAATTTCAGCACGCCCAACAGTCTTCTCCCCAGCGTGCCGGCCAATGCCAACTCCCCCAGGATGAACATGTATAATCCATATCGTTCCACCCCAGCCTACGAGTAATCGTTCGATACCCTTCTTGCTCAGTACAGTTTGCTCCCTAAGCTTGTCTGCAGCTGCAGAAGTGCCCTTCTCAGTGGCGCTCTGATCAGATTCATCCACTTCCACAGCCTGTTCATCAACCCATTCAACACGACCTTTCCACACACTGGCCATAGTCTCCCATTCGTCTGTCTGGGGTCGGTCAATGTGGCCAACTCGTTTCCATGCATCTTCTGCGTCCGCGCTTTCAAGATGGAGTTTTGATCGCATGATCTTGATGCCATGCTCGTTTAGCCAGACCACATATTTGCCGGATAGAGACCATTTGATGGTGCTAATGGTTCCTTCGCCGGAGTGCAAGATAGTGTCTTTACCCGTATTGCCGCCCAGCCCCATACTACCCAGCCAGCCGGAAGCTGTAGCCGCAGCAGTTCCAGTTGTGGTCGACGTGCTGCGACCTGGGCCACCTCCTGTAGTGAGGATGAGCTGACCAGCGAGTCCTCCTGACAAATAAGTCCGATCTGTTCTGAACTCTGGAGACAGGGCTACTGCTTGAACAGGGCGAGCAAAGTTGCGCAGCTGGACATCCTTCATATCAATCAAAGATTGCACGCATACGTTGCCATCTAAGGAAGAGGTAGCGACGAAGATGTCGTTGGCTGGTGTCCTAGGAATCTGTGACGCCTCTCTGGGTTTTCTTGATGCTGCTGCTGGGGAAGAATCTGCATGACGACCTGACGACACGCTGGCGCTGCTGGATGCTCCGTGTCTCTGTACTGGTTCGGGCTTTTCAGTCGGCAAAGGAGGTGGGTAAGGTGATATCGATATGGATGTAACTGAGGCAGAGTGTGCATGATACACCCGCATGGATTGAAACATTGGGAGTTGAACAATGTGCTGAGCTATAGTTAGTAAAAGGCGTGTCAGCGGCACGGTGGTAGCTTACGATATTGCCGTTATGCGTTCCAGCGATCTACATCACAGTTAGCAAGCCCCGTGCTTTCCACTACACACTGAACTCACCATCTTATCCCCGGCGACAAGAAACGCGCTAGTTGCGTCGCCGTTGCGATATACTCCATTCAGGTGTTGTGTCAACCGAGCATATTTGAGCTTTGGCTCTTCGTCGTCGTCGTCCTCTTCCTCATCGTCCTCCTCATCGTCCTCTTCTTCATCGTCTTCATCTTCATCTTCATCATCGTCGTCGTCATCATCTCCGTCATCCCCCTCTTTTACTTTCACTTTCCCTTCCTCCCCCTCTCCTTTGTCACCGTCTTTAGCAGTCGCCTCATCCTTGCTTTCCATTGTCTTTACATCCTGAACCTCGATGCCCTGCGCTTTGTACACCGACTCTTCATCTGAGGCGCGATCGTCATGACTCGTATGGTCTGGGGTTTGCTCCTCTACTGGCGAAGCTGTCTCGTTGCTATATGGCATTGGATCAAGCTCGGATAGTTGGGCTTCGGGTTCACGCGCCTGCTCGTGGCTCGATTGCGGTGACTGGTCCGTCATTGCGTTGGCAGCAATGGTATCATTCTGGTGTGCGACAAGGCCCAGGGAGAGAGCGAGTGTACAGAGCGCAAAGTTGTCGAGGTTGGTTACCTGTGTAGGTAGGTAGTTGAGTGTCTGAGGCAGAAGCTACAACAGCTTCCAGAGAATCAATGCGCCAAAGGTCGGTAAGTACCTTGTACCTTGTAGCTACGTCACGAGGCAGCTTCAAATGAGCTTCACATTTAGACGCGCCTAGAACACAGCTTGAGGGTCGTCGCGCCTACCTGATGCCCCACCACTTACCTACCCACCTGAAATTCTATGATTAGGTAGGTACAGTGCACTCTCGCGGGGCACAGTGCACCAGCATAGGTACTACTAAGGTAAACAATATCTCAACGCGCGGCAAACATCTCCAGGTCGTCTACTATACCCGTTTGAGCTCAATTTACTATCCAAGAAGCTATCGATAGCCTCTTCGAACGATCGACCAACTCACATACGCGAAAGCTGCTTATGGCGGCCATCGGAACATGGCGACGGTGAAGTCCCTGGGGTTGCACCAGCCGTCAGGGCTTCGACATGCCATCAATGAACAATTATTACCGCCAAACCCGCCCACGACCTCGTATACATGGGACATCTCAACAGACGATCGATTTGATGGAGATCTAGAGGATGAAATACTCACGACGGAACACTGCGTCATATGGTGTCGGGGTGGCATATTTCGAAAGACATTCAGATTCGAACTCGAAAAGGAACCTGTCATACAGGCTCTTTTGGCATATTTCCCGACTTCCAAGGACGATAAATCTACACCAGATGACGAAGCCAAGCCAGACCAGCGACCGGCCCTGTCAAAGGCCTTGGTAGTGTTCTTGAAGACACAGGCGCACATATACTTTCTATCCGGTACCAGTCATATCGTTCACATGCCGTTCGAGGTCGAATCCGCTTTCGCAGGTCCTGTCGGAGTTATCATCCAGCGCAAGCAGAAGGCCGAGAGTGTAGCGCCTATCGCCTTCAAGTTTCCTCGAGTGCCGCCAAATTCTTTCGTCTCTTCGCAGTTGACAGCGTTCAATAGCTCTCAACAAACGGCCTTCTCTGTGGAAGGTCTTGGAAAACCTAAAGCGCTCCCACTTCGACTGAGCTCAACTCTGGACAACCTTTGGGAAGCGCCACTGGAGCAGCCAGAGTCTCGCTGGCCACGGTTGATTTCATTAACGGACCCGTTGCTGGAGCTAGGGCTGGTCGTCACCGATCAGGAACCCCAAAATGGCAAAAGCTTAAGACAGACTGCGGCTAAAAAGCGATCATTCCTCGATGCAGCCGAAGAGGTTCTGCATGTGGAAGAGATTAAGATCCCTGGTGCATTGACGCAAGATCTTAGCCAGCCCTTGATCATTGCAGTGACTATCAATCGCGAAACTAGTGAATACACTGTCTGGCGCCTTACATATTTGCAACACGAAGATCCTTTCCTTGCTCGACAGAAGGATGCTAAATCAAAGACTGCTCGGCGTCGTAGCTCTATGCCTCCCGCCTTTGCCAGCGCTCCTGGGACACCTGTACAGCCCAATCTCCGGGAGAGCTTTGGGGCTCCGCTTCCAGGAAAACGGCAGAGGAAGAGTGAAAGGCTTGAGAAACCCATGATAGACCTTGTATCATCCTTGGAACAGCAAGACAAAGAAGGTACTGGAGTTGCACGAAGGAGCTCCCGTAGGGTCAGCTCAATGTTGGCGAGAGCTGACTTGTCCGCATCTCATGAAAGAGCCATAATGCCAGATCAGCCACTACTTTCCAGCCATGCTGGGGCCAGAAGGCACGAATCTCAAGGAAGTCATGTCCGTCTAAGTGCCAACTATGCCCATCAGATTCATCCTAGTCTGAGCAGTCTGCTGGCGGCTCCTTTTTACGAGGGCCTTGACGAGGGCTTTCACAACATGGGGTTAGAGGACCATGAGTTTGATGGGTTACAACACGAGATCATGTTTACCAAACTCCATAGTGTACCCATGAACAACTCAAACGTCCGGTATTCAGACCAACCAGCACGCATACAGACCAAAGTCTTCATCTTGGTAGCACCACCGTTTGCCATTGATGGCCACGATCAAAGCCAGCTTCTCATTGGCATCCAGGATGCCACCGAGCGACGACTGCAGCTGCTCACTCTGGAACTTGGCATCCAGCGTGCGGCCGCAAAGGCCAAGAATGGGAAAAAGAAGACGCCCGATGGTGCTACCGTCATAGCCACTGTTGTTGATCGGAGACATGCTCAGAACGTTGTTGATTCCTGCAAGTTGGTGGATGGAGACCATTCAGCAATCCTAATCTTGTCTGAGTCGATGGACGGCCGACACGAACTAAGCACCCAGGCGCCTTGGAGCGTGCTCACGAAAATATCGCTTTCGCTTCTCTTCGTCGACAACACTAGAAGCTTGCAGTATCGCGGCAGGGTTGTGGATCGTGATGTTACGCAGCGAAAGTCAGAGGTGATCGATTTTAGCAATGGAAGTATTGTTGGTGTGCGCCATCCGCGACAAGGGGGTATTGTTGATGTTGTGGATGCTGAAGGCCGGCTGCATGAACTCTGCATACAACTTGAACCGAGGTCGCCTCATGTTCGCAAAATCCTTGACGTTTGTCGTAGCATACTGCCTCATGCACTGGGCGAACATGTCTTTGCTGGGTGGCTTCATTGTATGCAGTGGATGGGAGGCCACGATGAGCCAGTTATGGACGTTGAATGGTCCTCCATGGCTATTTTGCTTTTGTCTTTGTTCCTGAGTCTTGGGCGAACGGATTCAAAGCCACTACCAGCGACTCGTGCTAGCCATCGCAGAAAGAGGCATGCATCTGGCTCTTTCAGTTCCATAAGGCAATCGGAAAATTGGAAGTTTTTGGAGACAACCGAAGCCTCCAATTCTTTAGGATGTCCAACATGGATGATGAATGGGGGCTGGGAATGGGCTTTGGATAACGAAGTGGAAGATGCAGCATCCTTAGCGGACAATCTGTCGGCGACATTCATCTCTAAACATGTCTCTTTTGCCAAAGAATACATGGTTTCTGCGCTTGGCGAAACAGCGTTCGGATCCGCTGGCTACATGCCAACATCTATCGGCAAAAGCACTGAAAGCCGACGTAAGGTCGGCGTTGATGTGTTTATGGGGTTGCACTTACTCCTCGAAGAAGAGAAGCTGGACATCATGACGCCAGAATTCAGATCTCCCGGTCGTGCTGACCTTCGGGTCATTATGTGTCAAATCGCCCGCTGGCTCAAGTGGCATGACTTTTCTGCCACCTACGAAGCGGGCGTGCAAGAAGACATTGACCCACGCCATGATTCTGGTATGCTTACTGTTTTGGAATTTCATAAAAGAAATGTCGCTAATTAACTCTAGATCTTAATCTAAAACCTGCGATCCCTCAGCCTCCAGTACGACCAGACGTTATTATCTGGATCCAGTCACGACTCACGGGAGATCAGAGAGTGCCCTATATCACCCCAGCAGATGTTTACTATGCTGGCTCACAATTGACTGAAGCAGAGAAATCGCAGGACAGGCGATGGGAACATATATTGCCTAGAACCCTTCTGTTCAAGCAGTTCTTCAAATTCATGAAGCCAAGCACAAGTGCTGTTCAAATGGTAGAAGCTATGCGAGATGCTGGAATCACAGCATTGGTTCTTGATACACTTCCAGAAGCTGTGCTTGTACCCCTGCGAGATGCCATCTCACTCTGCCAACCACATCCACCAACCTCTTGGTCGAAGGATCTTCTCGAGTTGGTTGATCGCCGGGATATCAGTCTCATTCTCACCCCCGGAAAGCGTCCCAAACCCAGTGCTTCCAAGATTCTGGTAATATTAGCTTGCCGCCTTCCTTGATCATCTACTAACAAGTTACAGACACCCACACACAGTGCATCCTGGGACTACAGGATGCTCTGCCAGAGCGTTGACGAATCAAATAACGTCGGCTACGACGAGGGCGAAGGAACTGAACGACAAGCTGTTATTCGCTCCTTGTTCAAAGAAGACCGCCGCCTAAACGAAGCCCAGGATTTACTTTCCACAAATAAAGCAAGACTGGTACGACTTGATCCCAACCCAAGCTGGCCGGAAAGCGAATATCTTGAAAAGCAAAAGGAGCTGGTCACAAGAATTGCTACTGGTACCCTGGCTATCCCTGCAGGTCGAGCTTTATTATACTATAGCCTGCGTTATCCGTTGATTACGCAAAAGTTTCACATTGGTGGATTTAACCTTAACTGTATTGTGAAGCCAACAAATACCACAGTTGGTGTGGATAAAGCACAATTCTCAGAAGAGAAGGTTTGCTGGGGCTTCTTCCATCAAGGCGTTGCTGCTGGGTTGGCCATATCTCCTCAAGCCCAAGGTATCGACACTTCCTGGATTCTCTATAACAAGCCCGGACAAGACCTCAACAATCGCCATGCAGGCTTTTTGCTTGCTCTTGGCCTTAATGGCCATTTGAAAGATGTGGCCAAATGGGTTGCATTCAAGTACTTGACACCAAAACATACCATGACCTCCATTGGCCTTCTTCTAGGTCTAGCTGCATCCTACATGGGCACGATGGATTCGCTAATTACTCGTTTGCTTTCCGTTCATGCCACAAGGATGTTGCCTCGTGGAGCAGCAGAGCTGAACTTGTCGCCTTTGACACAGACTTCGGGCATAATGGGCATCGGACTGCTATACGCCAACAGCCAGCATCGGCGAATGAGTGAGATTATGCTTTCTGAAATAGAGCACATCGACGAAGAGGATGAAGAAGAGCCTCTCAGAAGCGAGTGCTACAGACTTGCAGCTGGATTTGCTCTTGGATTTATTAACCTGGGCAAAGGCAATGATCTCAAGGGTTTGCATGACATGAGACTCACGGAGAAGCTCATATCACATGCTACAACGACCAAAAACATTGAGATAGTCCATATTTTGGATCGTGCAGCAGCTGGGGCTGTCATGGCTTTAGCTCTGATCTACATGAAGTCAGAAGACCAAGTTGTGGCACGTAAGATCGACATTCCCAACTCCGTGTTGCAGTTCGATTATATCCGCCCTGACATTCTTCTCCTGCGGACACTTACGAAGAACCTAATTATGTGGTCAAAGATTGAGCCAACGTTTGGTTGGATAAGGAAAAACCTGCCACGCCCCTATCGTCCCCAGTTTAAGCTCCAGTCAACAACAAAACTGCAGTCAACTGACATGGCATTTCACAGCATAGTTGCTGGTCTGTGCTTTTCTATTGCACTTCGCTTCTCCGGCAGTGCTTCGCCTAAAGTTCGAGATCTTTTGCTGTATTATCTGGACCAGTTTATGCGCATTGCGCAGATACCATCTACTGCAAGCACGCATCCAAACGGCAACCCCCCTTATGACGAAGAGCTTACTCGGACCAATGCTCGTATGTGTCAAGACGTTGTTGCTCTTTCTGCTTCTATCGTTATGGCTGGAACGGGCGACATCCCGGTTCTGCGTCGTCTCCGTGCACTTCATGGTCGCGACGATCCAGAAACCCCTTATGGTTCTCATCTTGCCGCGCATCTTGCCATCGGCGCTCTGTTCTTGGGATGCGGAACGGCAACGTTCGGTACTAGTAACCTTGCAATTGCTTCACTGCTGGTATCGTTCTACCCCATTTTCCCTACGAGTGTTATGGACAACCGTTCCCATCTTCAGGCCCTTCGCCATTTCTGGGTTCTGGCCACTGAGCAACGATGTCTTGTCACCAAGGATGTTCTCACTGGTCAGCCAATTTCAGTTCCTGTGCAGATCAAGATGCGCAAGAATACGTCCACTGAGCCAGTCCTAAATCGTACCGCGCCTTGTATTCTTCCACCAATCGATCAGATAGCCAGCCTTTCAACCGCGTGTGGACCTCAATTTTGGAATGTGGAACTTGATTTCTCAAATCCAGAAGTTCGAGCTGCTTTCGGGGACACGCAGAGCCTGTACCTTCGCAGGCGTCCACCACGCGAGGGAGCATTTGCCTCTACCCTTCGTGCTCTTGGTAGCGACGAGCAGGGCAAAGACCCCCTGGAGTGGGTGTTTGGACTCGACGGCCTTCGCGGTATTAGCTACGCCGAGCGAGCTGTGGTGCTTGAGCGAGGAGATGATACTCAGCACTCGGGAACCGCTGTCGACGCAAGATTAGAGATGGCAAAGGGTATTGTGGACGGTACGGATCGAGAGCGTCTTGAAGGGGCGAGATTGCTCTTCGAATGGGCTTCTGTTCGCGATCGATTACGTGATACCAACATGTTTGATAGTCAAGAGACCATCACGGAGTCTGCAGCACAACGTGAAGTTGAAGGGCCGGATGAACAAGATGCTACCGTGGAAGATGAGGGCGTCTGGTGGATGCGGGATAGTGTAGTCGAGAGTCTCAAGGGGATGGTATGGCTTGCTAGCCGTGAAGGCGAGTAGTAGCAACATTCTTGTCTATCTTGAGCTGATCAACAACGGTGTAGGAGCTATGAGTTCATTTATAGGGGGCAAAGCATTGTAGAGGAACAACCACAAATTAAGTCATGAGCTATGAGAATAATGATAGACAAAAATCTAGTTTGTTTAGATCGACGCTTCAAAACATTTAGAAGTGTCACAGCGAAACAATAGGTTGAAGCGGAGGCGAGTAGATAGATGGTTCATTTCAACAATAACGTAAATTCCATTATCCCCCTTTGCCTCTTCCCTTTTCCGAGAACGCCATGCAATGCAAACCGCATCACCGGGGATATACAGGGCCTCTAAAACCGCCGCTTCTTTCATCTGGCCCGTGTTTTCATTTTTGCCGCACTGCTCTATCGTTGTCTCCCCTCCGTCTTATGCTTTGCTATATCCAGCTCATCCTTTCGCATAGATCGGCCCCCTTATAAACAGAAATGCCGTATCTCAGGTCCCCTTTCAAGCAGCGGAGGGCGCGATCATCTGGGGGAGAAAGTCTTGTCTCCGTCCGTTGGATCGCCTTGCCCCATTCGAGTCGTTGCAAAAATAACACTCATAAAAAAAGCCCACTGTCAGCTTATTTCGCTTTCTACTTGGAAACAGCGGCGTTGAGGACTTGTGTCCTGAAGAAACCACCCTTTGTCTTCTCAATGACCTGCTGGTAGACGTTGTTGGGAGGGTGGTTCATCACCACAGTGCCGTCCTTGCTGTCGATCTTGGCGTCCAATCGAGTCTCGCGGATAAGGTTGACAATCCACTTCTCACCATCGTCGGGGTTCAAGCCGAGCTTGGCGCTGAGGTCGCGGATGTTCATTCTGCTGAAGATCTTGCAGTAGCTCTCGCAGATGAGGTGTCGGGCGGCCTCAACAAAGGCATCGGCGGAAGAGGCGAGGAAGAAGTCGCTTCGGCACACCTCGGCGGCCTTGGAGAGGGCCTCACGGGCAGCCTCGAAATCGTGGGCGATGTAGAGAGCGCTGACGAACTGGGTGATAGGGTCGGCGTACTCGTAGGCCTCTTGGCGGACATAGCGGATGATGTCCTTGATCTGCTTTTGTTGGATGGAGCTGTTGCGAGCACGACCTCGGCCGGTGATAACGGCGGCGATCAGATATCGCAGCATCCAGGGGCAGGAGGTCTGGATGGTGTTGATGAAAGGAGCGGAGAAGAACATGTCCAGGATGGGCTCCCGGGCGCCCTCCCAGTTAAAGAGGGGGAAGAGAGACCAGTGGAGGAGCATTGTTCGGTGGTCGAGCTGAGCACGGGGGTTGTTGAAGAGCTTGGAGTCGATGTTTTCCCTCACATTCTTGATCTCCTCGACAGCAGACTCCCAGTTGGTCTGGAGGATCTCGGAGGCGAGCTTACCCCAGGTGGCAGCAGAAACCTTGTCGTTGTCGGTGGACAGAACTCGGAACTGGTAGAGCATATCGGCGGCGGGACCGTACTGTCCGCATCGGAACTGGAACTGACCGAAGTCGTAAAGGGCGTTGACCATCTCCATGGTGACCTGGTGAGAAGCCCGTTAGCTAAACCATCCGACGTCGGCGATAAAAAGCTCCCGTGTCACTTACTCCGTGCTGGTTCTTGAGGAACTCCAAGTTGGCAACCTTGTCACTTCGGAGTCCGTTGACGACCTCATCCTGAGTTAAGAGGTCGCGAATCTTGGAGGAGGACTCCTCGAAGTTCTCCAACTCTTGAATAACCTCCTGTCTCTTCTTGTTGTACTCCTCGGGAGCATTCTCGACACCGTGGAGCTCGCAGTACAGAGTCGCGACGTAATCGGTCATGTTTGTGTCCTCTAGGAGCTTGAGCTTTCCGGCGAGAATCTCCTTGGCCTTGGCGTCTTGGCCCTGCTCTTCAGCCCTCTCGCTCTCAAACTGGATCAGAGGGAAGAGAAGATGTCGGCTGAGGTTTGTCGCAAGGCGGGGCATGATCGACGAGCCATCGGAGGAGACGGCGTTGAGAACGTCCTCCATCGTGGGCGGTTTTTGTCTTTTCGAGAGAGGAAGTCGGTAAAATTCGGGCGGGACGAGGTGGGAGGGTTCGGTCGGACAGAACAAAAAAGTGACTCGCCGCAAAGGTCGTGATGATGGATTTGATGGAGGGGCAGATTTTTGGTGAATTTCGCCAATCCACTCGGTGGTGTGGGGTTTAGCTTATCGACCGTGGATTTGCCGGCGATTAGAGATTGGGAGTCATGTGATCTTGAGATTTTCCAAACGACGAGATTCTAGCGCGTTTAGAGTGTGACGAAAGGCGAGAGTGGCAGGACTATCTAAAAGTTTATCAACGGATTCAATTGGTGTCTTTTTTCTGTAGAGATCTTTTAGTCTTTCAAGGGCCTGCCGCTTGCCCAGTCCTCACCATATTCGACTCGTCACGACCGACTCCGAATCTCAACCTCGAACCACTTCCTCTCTACATACAATCTCACGATGCGCTTCCTCACATCCCGGGCCCTCTCAGCAGGGCGTCAGGCTATCACTCCGAAGCCAGCAACTCTCACACCACGATCTCCGTTCTCCTCGGCCGTCTCAGCTGGCGCAACCACCTTCAAGACACATGTCTCGTACAAGCCAAACCCTCTCGACAAGCCTACCAACCCCAACAAGAAGCACAAGATCCCCTATAAGGAGCGACCTATGAAGCAAGCATTCGTTCCTCTGCCAACAAAGAAGCCTGAGGAAATCGGCACAACCCTTCGCTACATTATCCGACGGACACCAGCCTCTCAACTAGCTATCTACCGGAAATGGATGTCTGGAGGCAACCGAATGATTGTACTGATCAAGAAGATTGATGGTGATCGGCCCAAGCTGGTCAAGGATTTGATAAGAGACTTGCAAATTAAACCTGTCGATATTCGAATAAATCCTGTAACGCAACATGTCGAGATCAAGGTGAGCAATGTTTCTTCATACATGCACACATGCAGGAACAGCCGTTAACTAATCGATCCAGGGCGATGTATACGATAAATTGGTTCAATGGGTCCTCAAAACTGGCTTTTAAACAGGCTTGTCACGAGTGATGTAGCGAAGGATCTATCATGCTCTTGTTATCGAGTAATGAACGAGGGATGTAAAAAGTGTATCATATTGACGAGTCATCTCTAAATAGGCGAGGTGACCAAGGATGTACAATACATGTAGTAATGCAAGAGGCATCGTAGAAGCATATTTTTGTTTGTCCCTCGGATAATATCTTAATTTGTTCACTATTCCTCATCCTGTATACACCCGTATATGGACAAGCAGTTTCTTCGTCACCTGTCTTGTCCCCAAACCATCGACTCCAGAATGCAAGTCTAAATGAGAAGCGCGCGCTTCAAATGACATGACACCAATCCCATGATTCTCAAAGTACTAACATACAAGCTTGTTAATTTGGTAATGCGATAGAAGTTCATCCAAGAATAACACCATAATGATTAATCATCTCCCAAGAGTAAAAAAGGCTGAGAGTTTTTGCAACACTTCATCCTTTGCCCACTCGGCCGATTGCATGGACAAAGCTTCCAGAAGAGCATGAGGTGCAGGCATAGCTTTGGCAGGTATTGATGAAGCTGGATCGTTGGAATCCCTGGCCTTCTCCGCCAATCTTCTTAATAGTGCAACCGCAACCACGACGATGTAAACCAGTTCTGGGTCCTTCCGTGGTGCGGTTCGGGGCCCTTGAGATGGCGGTTGCTCATATAATTGACTAAGCTCGCGGATAAGCCTGAAGAGATTCTGAGCGAAATCATTGCCTGATGACAACCAAGCCTGCGCAACTCCAGTGTCATGACCCGGCGCGAGTGACGCCAGGATCTCGGCGGCAAGTAACCCTTGCATCAAGAAAGGTTTCCGAACCTCGACAAGTGAAGGAAGGGATGGCTGCCGAATTTGTGCCTTGGCCTTGTCGGGGATAGGGGCTATAGCCAGGCCAAAAGCACGAGTAAGCAACTCATAAGGTGGGTTACTGGCAGAGTCCAGTGCAAAGACAGTCTTGTAATGGCCCCGGTTGGGTTCATCACGGGCAAGTAGCTTCGCTAGTGCATCGACAGCATGTGGCAGGTAAGCATGCAGACTTGGTTCATATTGTGTGAAGAAGAGGGTTCCATCCGAGATCGTAGTGCTGGGAGCCGGCGCGAATGCCAAAAGGAACTGTAAGAGACAGAGGGCCTGCTCACGACCTGGAATCTCCACAGACCCTGCAATATTAGAGAGTAGGATTACTACATCCTTCATAAAATCCAGAGTATTGTTCTGTGACCGGAGGAGCATCGTGCGTGTGCCGAGATACCTGATGACAACACAAAGAAACTTGACAACAATCTCGTCCGCAAGAACCGAGTGGTTTTCATTTTGCTCGCCAGGGAACGATAGATTGCGAAGAATTGTTGTGACGCAGATTAGGCGGTCGACTGCCCGATCTAGCTCATACTCTTCAGTGCCAAACACAGGCAAATCACGAATGTTAAAGCGTTCGAGGCGGCAAGCTCGTAGAACATCTTCGTAGGGTGATATTTGAATCTCGTCCGAAACCTCAACTGTATGCTCAGCTAACATCTCGACTTGATCCTCAGCACACTCAATGAGTGCCTCTATTAGCTCATCACAATATCGAAGTTGAATAAAGTGAAGTTGATTCATAGAGCATGATGCAGCTGCGAGAACATCAAGAGCCAAGCGTGTTTCTCCATGAATACCACTCTGCAGACTCTTCGTAAGAGCAGCAATGTCGATATTGCCAAGTTCTTGAAGAGGGGGCACATCTGGTTTCCAACGTTCAAGTTCGGCACCAAGCTTACTAAAGGCGCTCAAGTCAACTCCCCCAAATGTTGATAGTTCCCGAGCACACGGACTATACTCGTCTGTTTGCGGAGCCAGTCGAGGCATCCTCTCCGCAACCGCTGTAGGCACAGCTGAAGCTTGTCGTGCATCATTCTGTGAAATACTTCCAGGCCTTCGAGCCGTTGGAGAGGCAGTATTTGGGAAGTCAGGCACAGCCGAGGCATCTATGGACAAGGGGCGGTTTGCGCCAGGCATGGCTGGGGCTTGAGGTTGGGTCTGAGGCTGTGGTGTGGAGAATCCATTCATTGAAGGCTGCGCTGGTTGCATCTGTTTCATGGGAGTTTGCTGCTGCATTGGGGTTTGCTGCCCCTGAGCCATTGTTCCTTGATTCATTTGTTGCCCAGGTTGCATCTGCTTCTGCGGCGTGGCTTGTCCCATAAGCATGCCTTGAGCTTGTTGTTGAGGCTGCTGTTGGGGTTGCTGCTGCTGTGATTGCTGTTGTTGCCGCTGCTGCTGCTGCTGTTGCTGTTGTTGCTGCTGCTGTTGTTGCTGTTGTTGCTGTTGCATCATCCTCTGCTTTTGTTGTTGGGCAATCCACACTTCCTCGAACTTAAAGAGGTTGCGTTCGTAGATTGCTCTCAACGTCTGTGGCACTATAGGATTTTGGGGCGGAAGCCCAAGCATCTGAGCAACATGCGGCCAGCCATTTGGAGTCGACGAAGCCTGCTTGTATCCTCCCTTGTTTTGAACCGCTTGAAACAGCATCATAAGATTAACAGGCCTATCGCCCACCATCGGGTTAGGATCTAGTGGCAATCCTTTTGAGCTCATCAGTGTTGTAAGGTTCTTCATGAATTGTTCAGGATTCACATTGGCCATCATTCTCTGCTGTGGCCTCATGGCTCCTTGTTGCATCTGTCCATTGGGCATCCCAGGTACTTGCTTGCCGGGCATCATGCCACGGCCCATGTTTTGCGCCTGCATCTGAGCTTGCATCTGGGCCGCGTTACCTTGGAGCTGCTGTTGCAATCTCATTTGATAGGCAGCCATTTTTTGCTGATCGGTCAAGCCGGGACGTTGTGGGGTTTGTTGGCCTTGTTGCTGCCCTTGCTGCTGTTGTGGCGTACCTTGCTGCTGCTGAGCCTGCTGCATCTGGGGAGGATACATGTTGCCTTGCATCTGGCCCATGTGCTGCGGCATTTGACCCATCTGCTGTGCCATCATTTGACTACCGGGCATCGCATTCGGGTTCGGCGAGGGTCGCGCATTCGAGGGAGACTGGGCAAAATTCGGGTTGAAGCCTTGAGGCATATTCTGCATATATGGATTGGGTTGAGGTGTGCCGTGTTCGGAGGGTATCGGAGACGTCTGAGGGTTGAACTGCTGGCCACTGGGAGAGAAAGGATGGGGTGACGCGGTCGCGACCCGTTGAGGAACACTTCCTGGTCGCATTTGGTTGCTCATTATCGGAGAAGGGCTCGCGTTGGCAGAACCATTTTGTTGGAGATGGGAGAATTGGCTGGCAGTTTGCTGAGGCATCGCGCCGGGTTGAAAACCACCAGCAAAGGATTGTTGCTGCGGCGTCTCAGAGCGCGACGTCGGAAGCATTCCAGGATTCTGACTTGGAGACCCAGCAATGCTATCGTCACGAGGGCGAGGTCGTTTCGATGGAATAACTGAATTGGTTTGATATGCGGGATTCTGAAAAGAAGGCGAAGCATTGCGCATAGGGCCTGGGCCATTGGGCATACCAGCGCCCATTTGCTGCTGGTTCTGGAACTGAGCAGGGTTGAATTGGCCTGAATTGGCCATGAAAGCGGAGGGATCCATCATGTTACTGGCAGTGTTGGGGTCGTTCATGTGAGGAAAACCGTTGCCATTATGGTTGGGGACGGCGTCATTCATCCAGGTGCTCATGGCGATCGACCAACAGGCTGTGCGCGACGGAGTTAGCGATCAGCAGGCACGCGAAAAGCGTCCATGGAGGAGCGCCAAGAAGACGATGATTCAATAGCAGAAGGCTGAGATGGGAAGCGATGAGTGGGAGATGAGGCAGTGACACGGTGGTGATGGGACAAGTCGCGTCGCGGCGTGGGTTTGGTGGAGAGTCGTGGTAGTGTGGGAGACCAGCGAGAAGACCTTGTGTCAGCCTGCAAGTGCTGGGAATGGGCTAATGGGCTCAGGCAAAGGGGACAAGAAAGTGGGCAATAAAAAAAAGAGCCAAGATTGGTTGGTACAGGTGGTAGGTGCAGGGCGACGCGCTTCGCTCAAACGGCAGATGGTCGATGGAAATGACGGGCGGGTGAGATGGGAGAGGTAGAGGGAAAAGCCCAGCAATGGAAAAGGCGCGACGGGGAGCAAGGAAGCCGGGCGAGTAGGTAGAGTAATGTAATTACTGCCAGTCCAGTCCAGTATCAGCCACTGGGCAACCCAGCAAACAGAGCTCGCCAACAGTGGAGAGCAGCCCAGGGAGACACGGCTAGCCAGTAAGAGAGAATTTACGAATTTTTTTCGCAGGTCTCGGTTCCGTCAGCAGGCGCTCCAAGTCAAGGACGCGCAGCCTGAGCCTGGTGGACAGCCCAGCGCTGAGATTGTCCTAAAACGCCGGCGACTCTGCCTAGCCAATGGGAACTAGGCGCCAGGGCCTTCCTGAGCAACCAACGGGGAGAGGGAAGACGAGAGAATAGTGGGCAGGCAAAAGTGAAGCGAAGCGCAGACGGGAGAAGCGACAGCGTACGGAGTACGGTTACAACTCTATCTATCGCATTCGATGGTGCAGGGGAGAGGGCCCATCCGTAAAGAGAGAACAGTAGCGCACCCTACAGAGGGCGACTGGAGAAAATCATAATCTTACCTGAACCAAAGTGCGCGCGCGTTCACAATAGCTATGAGGTGAACTGCGATGCTCGTCAAGTCGGGTCGGGTCTGGTCTGGTCTGAATGAATTGGCCTGGGTTTCAGCGGATGGTGAAGACTGTCTTCTGAGTCGGGGGGAGGCTGAGCATGTTCTGCGGCGCGCTTGCTTGACTGTTTCTGGGTTAGCGCCGTTATAGAATCAACAAGTCGTACGTATTCGCAGCCAATCATGTATAAGCGTTAGTGTGTGAGTTGCGATGAGTTCATGCATGTTAGTGTTGTGATGGCAAGCTTCGCCATGTGCTAACAGCGGGGCTGTTATGTCTTATCAGTCTGCTCTTGCATCTTTGTTCCAATTCTGAACGCTAGCATTCCTCCATGTAACAACGATTGCTCCATGCCTCATACCTCATATGCGATGGCAATGAAATGGAACGAAAGATGATCCATGACTTCATGAATGTGAGAATTCGGTCCCTGTCTGATTATCAAATCATTTATCCCAGGCACATTGAAGCTGCCATGAAATAACGAGATGATATTTTAGCCATCTTCCTGCCGTGTTTTGCTGCAACTCTGGCACGGAGAATGTTGCAGACAATATTGAATTCCTCCATCCCAGAATATGAGTATGAAGATCGACAGTTGATGGTTGAACAGGCGGTTGACGGCTGTAACACTGGCCGAGCGTTCGCCAAACTCATTGGGAGGAGCAGATCGTGAGATTGGGAGCTTTCCTCAATAGGAACTTGCCGACGGGAGAAAGAGAGCGTGAGTTCCTGTTCGAAACAAAGGCGCCGAACGGTAACAAACAGCCGTGATAAGCCTTGAAGCTCACAGTATCCGTATCCATCCATGTATTTCAATGGAAGGGACAGGAGTGACATGATGTGTGTGTCGCACAATTCGGCACCACAAATGCCCAATGTAACGGTTGATTCAAGACCAACATCTCTCTCTGCACACTTGTGCAGGCGCTGTCTCATCCAAAACAGATTCGACCATAATCAATCGCGGGCGCTGACTGCACTCAGCCCTAGGTACAGTGGTACACTGCCTGCGTGCGCAGCCTGCCCCGTAAGTCCCTTCGGCCCCTGTGCCCATGCCCGACACTGCTGCTGGGCTGGCTTCCATTTGGTGTGGCTCTTCACGGCGTGGCCGTGGAGTAAGGCAGACCCATACAGAGGAACAGGCCATTTGCCGCCAGGAACAGGACAGGCCCATTCGCACCAGTACCACTCTCCGGGTACTGTCTGTTCACTAAACAGCCAACATTTCCCACGGTATCTCTCTGATACCCAAAGAACCATCTGTTTCTGACCGAAAGAGGCGCAGAGCTTGGTCGGCTTTGAGTCTGGGGATTGCCTGTGGTGGCGCCTTATGCGGGCTGTCTAGGCTGTTCTGGCTGTCCACCCACCACTGGCGCTTCCCGAGTGGATGCCAGTGAACGGATCCTTGTCAGGCAGGTCGTCATGGCCAGAACAACCCGCGCCGTCTCGAGTAGTTTTGGACTGTTCTTGAGAGGCCGGTGAAGGCCGTCACCTTCGTTTTGTCGTGAAATTCCCTCTTTGGTCGGCCATTTACTGAAATCAAGCTGGTTTTCCTTAGTTTTCTCGACGTCGTTGTGCCGAAAGCGAAACATTTGTCGTCGAGTCGACTTCCATCCCACTAATACCCAGCCCAGCCCAGCAGCTTGGGGTGCCCTGAAAACCACCCAACGATTTTGGAGATGGCTCCGCGTCCGTATAAGTGAGCAGCTCAAAAGACAGATGTGCGCACAACAGCAACGCACGTCAGAAAAAGAGGTCCAGAGAATAAAGGAATGAAAGGAGAGAAGCACAGGAGGGTTTGAGAGGGGGAAACAAGCGGGAAACGGGCAGCGAGATGGAACGGGGGAAGGGGGGGTAGTTATGTGAAATACCTTACCTTGCCTTGCCTTGTCTACCTGTCTCCGTACCGCCCACGGCCTGGGCTTGCGACCTCATTCACCACCGACTTTGATTAATATGTTTTCTCCGCCCCATAGCCCTCCAATTCTATGGCTGCCTGTGAAAGCCAAAGCTGATTATCCTATTGTTCACTCACGTTCAGACTTTTCTTGCCGGTCTTATCGGGCCTCAGTGCTTGGAGAGTGGCGCATATCTACCACTCATCTTCTGAATGGAACCAAAGCACCCATCTGCGAATCGAACTCAACAAGGCAGAAATTAGACAGTTCGTTGGTTCTCTTTTTTGTGTTTCTCTAGAAAGAATACGCAATACACAGTTTGCCCCTAGCAAATGAGCTATGCTTTTACCTTGCTGTTTTGTCACTCCTACCGAGATCCAAATCCAACCTCTGATCCTCTCATTTCTTACTCACGATCCAACCGCCCACTCACACACTCTTGGTTGCGCACTGTACGATTCCAGATCACCCGCGCGCCGCTCCTAGGTGGGTGACTTACTTGGCAGGGCCCGTTTGTGCCACGGCCGTGGTAAACGCCATCGATGAGCGTGGTTTTTTTATTTGTTTACTCTTACGCTTTGCTTGCTTTTGAGGAGACAGGCTCATAAAGTATGTTCTATTCTGTCATAAGGAGCCGACACGTGGCTCGGTGCAAAACCTTGAGAGAATAGCCTCTATCCCAAACTGTGTTTTGAGATGCCTGGATGCAGAGTGTGCGCCTTTACTCAAGGAAATAATACCCTCAGTATGGTTGCAAATCGGTTCTTCCCCGTCTTATCCCTTTCTAATCTCTCTTCGATATATTTGCCTGGTCCCTGCTTTCTTGAGCGTTGCCCGCGCCTTTTCCCTCTGTGTAATGCTTTTCTCCCCTGTCACGAACTCACCCCACATCATTAAGAAACGGGGTTCAGTGGCAAATAGCTAATTGCACTTTGTTAATTACAGGACGCCGATAACAATGCCTCCACTGCTTCGGGTTTCTCATGATTCCTATCGTGTGTTGTTTCGCCATGTGTTCACTTCCAGTCCTTCCGGCTGGGTAGGTCAGCAAAGCCATGGAGCGTGAGGGTGAGCGATCCATAGAACAGAGCTTGGCCAACCAGATGATGGTTGCAGATCTGTGTACGGATACTGCATGCGAAACGCCTTGTCCTGCCCATCCTGATCGACATGGCACTGCTGTTCGTTGGTTTCTGTGCCATTGGCGCCCCCTTGGGCTATGTTTTGCGCAGAACGCATTTGAAAAAACCTATCGTGAGCAAAAGCAAGGTAAAACCTCGATGGTTTTCTTCTCTTGTGCAGGGGGGAAATAAGAGCGACTTAAGGTTCTGGAGCGACACTTCTGATAGCACAGAAGCTATCATGACTAGCATGGTCAGAAGATACTAATGCGCAGAAGCCTGCATATAGAACGGATCAGATGCCTTTCTTGCTCCCCCATGCATAGACAAGTTACATGATGCATGATACCATGAATAATTGCAGTGCTCCAGTTGTCTGCGGAACCAACAATCGCTTCGCATGATAGCATCTTCAGGTCCCAGATATCACGCCTGAATGGTTTCCCAGTACTTGTGGTTGTATGATTTGAGCTTTGAAGTAATTAGAGCAAGTAAAGTATCGGCAATTCCTCACTGGTCTCATACCACTAGAATTCTACTTGCTCAACCAGCCATCGGCTTTGCAATGTCACTTGCCCCGCAACAGGCCCCTTGACGGGATGATCCCAAGATGCTGGGTCACCCTAATATCGGGCCGGGGCTTTGCAACCACCACACGACGATCCCCGTTGTTAGGTACCCTGGCAGCCTCAAGACTGAATGAATACATTGAGTATTGATTAATTATGCAATTCAATATCTAGGATTACTAGAAAGGATTTTATAATTGTTTCTATTAGTATCATTTCGAAATTGTTATTTAGGTATCCCTTCAACGCTCTCACAATACCTTATCTCAAGCTACGCGCTCTTCGTGTTGAAAATCAGTTATATCACAGTATGGATAAAAGTCCATATTCAAGCTTATAGTATGGAGTGTTTTTTATTGCTTTTCGCACATAAGTAATCAACATGTAACCGCATGAATCCAGTGCCGTTCAAAACTGTCGGTAAATAAAATGGCAAGTTGTGATATTTCGCTCTATACTTGTTGCCCCCGTGCTCGTCTAGATTGTCTCCATCTTGTTCTTGGTATGCTCCAGGACGGCGCGAATGCTCTCATCCAACGTATCCGATGCCAGGTATCCATCTATCCATGCCACAGTCTTCTTCTTCAATTCTGCACGGTCTGTTGTGGTGTTCAGATATGTGTTCAAGCGTGCCAATACCTCCCTGAGGCTCTTGGGGAACTCTGCAGTCTGAGGGTCCACACCAACAATAGGTTGGCGAATGTGGACGTTGCAAGTAGCCGGATTGTTAGGATATTCCTGGTCAAGGACATCAACAACGTGCTGTGATATCCTAGGTTGAGCAGAGACCTGTGTGAAAGATGCGAAGAGGTTAAAGAATGTCTCGGCGGTGTTGGCGTTGAAGAATTTCTGCTTCTTGGATATATCGAAAATAGCCATTGGGATAGCACCGTCCATGGCGGGGTTCGATTTCAACTGCTGTGCCGACTGCTTGTCGATGACCTTGGACTGCGCATTGGATGGTTCGGGGAGATCGTCGCCGTCCTCTTCATCATCGCTGTCCATAAGTCGTAGTTCATCCCCATCCTCCTCTCGATCAGGTCGGAGAACATCTTGACCAGGCTTCGCGACTGCCTTTCGCTTGTCGACCTTCTCAAGCCACTCCATTTCGCTTCGTGCGTATTCGATCCAGAGCTTCTCGTTCGTTGTGCAGAAGCGGCAGCCTCTCATGAAAAATCCACGGGCGGCAGCCATATCGCCGTTCTTGGCTGATCTCCTGCCTGCCATCGCCCACAGCTCAGGGTCGGTAGGCATCATGCGCAGTGCATTGGTCATGGTTTTGCGCCAGCGCTTGGATGCCTTGACACTCGCTGTGTATGAGAGGTATTCCCGCCATAGCGCACTGCTTCCCGGGTGTCGGTTGACGCCGCGCTCGTAAATCGCAAGTGTGCGACCCTGGCCGGCGTGGGCAGAGTTAAGATGTCGAATCTTGAGACGCTTGCAGCGTTTGCTCCGCAGAGATTCAAGGGATTGCTCCCATTGCGCGTAAGAGGACCATTCCGAGGGTTTGTTTCCGGGGGAGAGGACTCTGTGTTCGTAATCGTTGCGCTTCTGGACAATCGTGCGAATCTCTTCCTAGAAAACCAGAAGTATCAGTAGGGGATCATTTTATTCTGGTACTATGGGCATAGCTACCTTTGAAAAGATTTCCTTATCTTCCCACTCTCTTAGCTGCGGAACAGCTCGTTCGAGATAGAATCTCGCCTTGTCAGCAACACCAGCCATGTTGGAATTTTGCGACCGAAAAAAAGATGAATGCGGTCTAGAAAGTATAGACTTCCTGTTAGCTCAGTGGATGTGGAAGTTTTTTTGCGAGGCTGACAGCTCTGGAGATCTAAACACTTTTTTAGCGGGGCACCTCCAGCCTCGTCAGCGCGTGCCAAATTGAAAATGGAAGGTGCCGTGACGCCGTCGTCTATTTCTCGCTTGCACTTGCACGCTTGCGCACTTGCCTACGGAAACACGCTTGTCCTCCACCCCGGCCTTTCATTCGCCTCGGGAAGGCGCGCGGGCCAATGTCAAAATCCGATTTCCGAGTCTTCCCTGCACCTTCCTGCCCTGTACTGGCTCCACTTAAAGCAATTACAATTCGAGCATTACGTCGCGGTGGAGGTAACGTCTAAGGTCCGGGCGGTTGTTATATTCGCCAAGAGTGAATCTCACCACTCTCATGTTTGCTTCCTGCCTTCGCTCGTTGTGAAATTTTGACTCTTGGGTTCCCGGATTGCCCGGATGGGATTCTAGAGTGTTTGTTCAGTCCCTTCTCTGTCAAAATGTCGCCGAAATACAAGGACAAAGATACCGGCGTCGTCCTTAGCTTCAACGGAAGCTTGATCAGCTGGGCGCACACAGCCATCGCGTACAGTATGTTGTGTTGTCTTGTGGAATGCGCGCCCGTCGCAGAGATGAACTTTGTGTTTTGATCGATAGACTAATGCGTGTCGATATAGCTGCTTTTTTCAGCGCATTGATTATAGGCATTTCCCTACACTATCACAAGATTGTCCAGAATGAGTTCCACGGTTATCCGCAAGAATGGTTTCCCTCGGTCTCAGCAACAATTGGCGATCGATACCCCGAGCGATCCTTCTTCATGATCTTCATCGCCATCACGTCCGGTACAGAAAACCAATGCAGCTTGGACATCATGTATATCGTACTGACATAGTACAGGCCCGCGATTTGCCCTGGTCGGCTTGTGGTATCTTCTCACACGAAAGCCAGGCCAAAAACTGCCCGCATTCGTCGCCATCATGGGCCTTCTGCGAACTCTAACCTGCGGCGGTTGGACATACATCACATCCACGGATGACCACGATTGGCACGACATTTTAATGATTTCTTACATTGTTGCGACGCTTCCGTGGACGACCGGCTGTATCGCACTCAGCCCCGCTAACCCTCAGGCCATCAAGTATCGAAAGTACCTGGCCTCGGCATTCTTCGGTACTCTTGTGCCATTAATCTACTTTTTTATTCAACACAAGGTTCACAGAGTAGCCGGAGGTAATACATCAATCTAACGCACCTGTTAATGCGGCTTGCTGACTGTAGCCACCAGCTTACACCACTTACGCCTTCTTCGAGTGGTCCCTGATTATCTTCGATGTAGCATTTGACGCTGTTACGGCCCTCGATTTCAGCACCTTCGATATTGAGGTTAGAGATGTCAAGGGTGCGAGCAAGGGGTACGTTCATGGGCTTCCCAGATAGTCTTTGGCTTTCAAAACAGCCATTTGCCCAATATACATGCTTGAAGGCCATTGTCTAAGACTTTTGTAGTGACAACTTATCATCGATACCATCTGCAGTCCTTGAAAAGGAGTAAGTAACGGACCAATGCAGGTAGCAGACAGCCATTAACATGAGTGTATAGAAAGGAAAAGGCAACAGGTGGTGTATTCGCTGTTCGTTTCAGCTGGTCCGAGGTACTCGATGTTGCTGCCGAAGTTTATCACGGAGTAAGTTCATGTGCAGCGTGGCGCTGATAGATTGCTGACCCTTTTTAGTACGTTTTTTGGACTATTCTGACCAGTCTGGGACTTGTGGTGTGGTGTAAGTCAACTTGACTGGTGGTTAAAATGTTTAAACTTCTAACACAGTATTAGACTTCCCACTCTGGTATATGGGCATTTCTGGGTACGAAGTTTTGGTTATGACGACAGTTTCGCCCTTCATTCTGGCTAGTCGCTCAGCTAGATCTCTGATTGTGAACAATCTGCGGGTTGTGCATCTCCTATCCCTTGCGGGCATTGCTGCCTATCTCGTCGAGGAGCCCAGTTTACGTCTTTTCACCGTTGGCTTCGGTGTCTTCATGTCGTGCTTGGGCTGGGCAGGTACTCTCTTTGCAGAGTCTGTCCACGAGGGCCGCCTTGAGTCCAAGATCCTTGGCTGGATGCTTGGTTTGATTCTTTCATCTACAGCGAAGTTCGCATGGTGGACCAATAACCCTATCTGGCCTATCATGCATGCTGCAAACGGTGGCTGGAACAATACCGGTCTTGTGCTAGGCGTACTGGCTGCTCTTCGATTCACCCGAAGAGCACCTCTTACTGCTGGTTTGGCTGCCAGCCCTGCTAATACCAGCTCGAGTTTCCTAGCATCACTTGGTCTGGCCGGTTTGTTCTTTGGTCTTCACTCGTTGCTTTCCGATACCAGCACAATGATCCTCTGGGGGTGGGAAGGGTATCCCATCCGTGGACCTTATTTCTCCACCCATGGCTGGCTCACTGTTCTTGCCATGTCGCTAGGGTTGTTCAGCGGAGTCTGGCAACCTAGACTTGCAAGCAGCTGGGGCGTCTACATCATTGGAACTGCCGGTGCTATGTTCCTCACCTTTTTCAGCCACTGGTCCGGCTACTATGGGGCTCTTACACTCGCAACATACTTGATGGCCTACTCTGTGCCCATGCTCACCCATGCCGCCAAGACGAACCCTACGACCACGTTTGGTAATGGCTTTCTCATCTATAACTTTCTGGTTCTGTTCCACGTCTGGGTTGTGGCCTATGCTTTTGTGCCAGGTGGCCAGCTTGTCCGCGAGCGTACCGATTGGGTTATGTACACCATGATGACATGCATTGGTGCGGGTGTATACGGCCTGAATGCCTCAGGTCCTCAGCGACAGCCTCCAAAACGGTCTTTGCCAACTCAGCAAAGAAAATATTTTGGTGTTTCAACCATTTTGATCAATATTCTCTTCCTCATCTCAGCGTTCCAACGCTTCCCCCGCAACAACTACCAGCCTTATCATGCCGATGACCGTATTTTGACCGCCGGAATTTGGACAATCCACTTCTCTTTCGATAATGATATGTGGGCATCAGAGTATCGCATGCGAGATCTTATCAAGGAAATGGAAATCGATGTGATTGGTCTCCTCGAATCCGACAACCAGCGTATCATCATGGGCAACCGTGATGCTACCCAATTCCTTGCAGAGGATCTTGGTATGTATGTCGACTATGGTCCCGGTCCAAACAAGCACACCTGGGGTGCCGCTCTTTTGTCCAAGTTCCCTATCGTCAACTCGACACATCATCTTCTTCCTAGCCCTGTTGGCGAGCTAGCTCCTGCCATTCACGCTACTCTGGATGTCTATGGTCAGTTGGTAGACGTGTTCGTATTCCACTCTGGACAGGAAGAAGACCCCGAAGATCGACGTCTACAGTCTCTTTACCTCGCTGATCTTATGGGTTCGACTCCTCGACCGGCATTCTTGCTCAGCTATCTGGTGACAAAACCAAAGCAAGGCAATTATAACACCTATGTGAGCGATAAGTCGGGTATGAAGGATGTAGACCCATCAGATTGGGACCGATGGTGCGAGTATATCTTGTTCAAACGCCTTAAACGTGTAGGGTATGCGCGAGTCAGTCGCAGCTCGATCACGGATACTGAGCTGCAGGTTGCCAAATTCAAGATTCCTGAATCGAAAGAGGAGATTGCAAAGCTGGAAGCCCAGTCGGACCAGGAACGCAACCGCCGCGTGCAAGAGAAAGATGTGCCAGACGGTTGGAAATTCCCTGCTATGTTCAGGGGTCAGGGTGTGCGAGAGCACCGATACCATGTTTTCAACGAGCCAAGGTATTATAACTAGCACTGTATATTGAGATGGGGAGGTATGGGCAATGGCACTGGTCTGTTGCCAATATTGTATGCGGATGGTATGAAATTTGGTGGAGTTAATATGGAGGAGGGCTATGGGTAATGAATAATGTGCGGTGGCTATCTATGTCTGTGAGCTTTATATATCCCTGTTACATGGAGTTCCTATTTATATATTTACTCCTCGTTCCTTATCCCTCATTGGTTCTCTGTCTTCGTATCTGGGTAAAAAAATACACGAGCTCCAAAGTATATTCACTCCAAACATCAATCTAATGATATGTATGTTCTAGCTTCATGTCAATGTTGTGAAGATGTGAATACCCCTAGTCCTGGTATATGCGGACCGTGTAGGTGTAGGGTGGGGAGATGTTCGACTCGCCGTTAGCATGGTGCGTAACAACCCACAAGAAATACATGCAGGTCTCGTCTACATATTGATTCATCTACCGGTAGAAATATGCCGGGTGTAATAAGTGGCAGTGTAGTTCGGTATTGTTCTCGTGTAAGTTTGTTTCACTATCCGTCAGTCTTTTACGGTGTCATAGCCATCTCAGCCGCATGGATGAAAACAGAGTCGCAGTGACCACCACCACCACATGACCATTAGTTAGTTCACTTAGCATAGAAAAGTTGGTCAGCGGCTGACCAACGGCAAGCCCCAAACAACAAAGAAAGCATTACCCTATCATATCCATTTCTGCCAATGGTGTTTTTTCCAAAAGAACCGTTGTCGAGGTTGGATTAGGCATGTGCATGTGGGTGTAGTTTTCAGTTTTCCGTCCCCACGCCGGTTTGTAAGATCCCGTCCCCACCTCGGAGCCCCAGTCGACCGCCGAATCTCCACAATGCCGCGGTCATCATCGGGCACGATGCAGGCGAAGCAGGGAAGACAGGGTCTCTTAGCCCTTTGACGGCTTTGTATTACGTTGCAAAGGAAAAAAGGTGAGACGTAGTTACCGATTCCGCTGGACGGTAATAGACCCGCTGGCTGAGCTTTGGCCGAGATGGTTGCCGAGTTGGAGAAGATACACTGAAAGACTGGAGAGCATACGAACAATGTAAAACTATACGTATTGTCTAACAGGTATGACTGCATAAGAAGCCCGGCTTATTTATCGGAGCAATTGGCGTCTGATTGTGCTTTTGTGAGGAAAGTCAGAAATGGCAGGTGACCTTTGAAAGATGTGGGAGGCTGAACTAAGTAAGCTGTCCTTGGTATTGTTGTAAGTCAACCATGTTGTGATTGATTTGTCGATGTGGTGCAGTTAACTTTAGTTTAACGTGTGAGGAGTAACGATACTTATTTTGTCACGGAAGAATTGTTCAGATAAATATCACTACAAACATGTACCATCGTGGGAGAGTAAGATACCATCATGGGAGTGTAAAACTCCGAAGCCAAGTCTTGTGAGATGTGAGATGCGTAGACAAGACCTAGCCTAGAACCAACACGAGATAGCTCTTCCGTGCCATCCTTGAAATAAATGATTTAGAACGGATTTCCCCAAATTCAAACCCCACAATCCCATGTCTCAAGGCAATCTCCCCCCGCAGCCTTCTCTCCTCTCCAATACAGTTCCGCCATTTCCAATCCGAACTTAGCCGCCTGGTCAAGGTACCTTGCTACTTTTACTTCACCCCCTCCACCTCCAACAGCTTGTGAATATAGACAAGCGTTGTGTGCCGCCGCCAGCCGACTAAGAGCGTCACTCGCATCCCGTAGCTTCCAGCCAGCCTTGGACCAGGGAGTGAGCGCAACATGAGAAGTGGAATCGGCGGGATCATGGGCTAGAAGAAGAAAGAAAGAGGGTGGTCATGCGGTTACGTGTTGCAGGATGCTTTGTTTCTCGATAAACCCTATATAACTGCCCGGGGCTTCCGCTCACTTGGTTTTGTTGTTCAGCTACACATCTTATTATTCATTCTCCGAGTGAGTGAGACAGACAAGATGACAGTTGATCTAAGACACTTGTTGGTTTACGTGGGGGTGTTGGCAGGAGGAGTACTGCTCTATGTAAGTGAACACTCTAGTTACAGCCTCTACAAAAACCGTAGTCTAACAATTATTTAGGGCTTTAGCATTGTCGTATACCGAGTCTTCTTCCATCCTCTCGCCAAATACCCAGGCCCTTTCCTCGCCAAGATCACAGATGGCTACCAGCTCTACCACGCCTGGAAGGGCGACAGACAGCTCGAGTTCTGGCGCATGCACCAAAGATACGGCCCTGTCGTCCGTTTCGGCCCCAACTCGATCTGCTTCAACTCCAACAAGGCTCTCAAGGAGATCTACGGCTTCCGCACAAACGTCCGTAAAGCCGAGTTCTACAATGCCTTTGTCCACCCTACCGCCAACACGCACAACACGCGAGACAAAGAGGTTCATGCTCGCAAGCGTCGTGTCATGTCCCAGGCCTTTTCTGAGAGCGCCATGAAGGAGATGCAGCGGTATATTCTGGGCAATGTCCGCACTTTCTGCGAGCAGATTGGTATGATGGATGGTTCTGTGGACGAGAACAAGGGCTGGACTAAGCCTCGCAAGATGAGCGACTGGTGCAATTACCTCGCCATGGACATTCTCGGTGATTTGTGCTTTGGTAAGGCTTTCCATATGCTGGAGAGCCCGACCAACCGCTTTGCCCTGGACCTCGTCGAAGCTGCTACCACGCGCCACCTTCTTGTAAGTGCACCCTCGTATAGATGTGACTGAACGCTGAAGCTGACTTCCCACAGTGCGGGACTATGCCAATTGTTAACAAGCTAAACCTGGACAAGATCCTCTTCCCCGGACTCGCTGCTGGCCGTGCTCGTTATATGGCATACAGCAAGGGTCAACTCGCAGAGCGCACCAAGCTCGGCGAGGACACAGATCGCCGCGATTTCTTCTACTACCTCCTCAAGGCTCGCGATCCCGAGACTGGCCAGGGCTTCAGCACTCCTGAGCTCTGGTCCGAATCCAACCTACTGTAAGTGATATTGTATGTGTTCGAAAAGGGCTCCAACTGACAATCTGGACAGTATCATTGCTGGAGCCGACACCACATCTACCGCTATGGCTGCCACCCTCTTCTACCTCGTTCGATGCCCCCGCGCTCTCGAGAGAGTCACCGAGGAAATCCGAAGCAAGTTCAACGACGTTGAGGAGATCTGCCAGGGTGCTACTCTGGCATCCTGCACCTACCTCCGCGCCTGTATCGACGAAGCCATGCGCCTCTCCCCATCCGTCGGCGGTATCGTCCCCCGTGAAGTTCTCGCTGGCGGTATCACCGTCGAAGACCGCGCTATTCCTGAGGGTACTGTCGTCGGCGTTCCTCACTACGCCATCCACCACAATGAATCTTACTTCCCCTCACCCTACGAGTACGTACCCGAGCGATGGCTCGCTGGTGCTCAGAACCCTCTCACTGGCACAAAGACAACCGAGGATGAGGTGGCTCTGGCTGCCAGCGCCTTCTGCCCCTTTAGCATTGGACCTCGAGGTTGCATTGGAAAGGGTATCGCTTATGTTGAGATGACCAACACTCTTGCTCGCACCATGTACATGTACGATATGCGCAAGGCCGTTGGTATCGTGGATCCTGCTGAGGGCAACCCCAAGAACGAATGGGGTCGACACCGACCGAGCGAGATGCAGCTTGTTGATACATTTACCAGTGCCAAGAACGGACCTATGATTGAGTTCCGTAAAGCCGCGCATATGTCATCCTAAGATGAGCATGAAAAGAGTGAGAAAATGGGATATGGAATCATGATATATGATCGTAAACAGTGGCATTATCTTAGTACCTAGTATTGGATAAAATCCAATAATGGGCAGAGACAGAAATGAACCTCATGACGATATGAATATCAAATAAGCAAAGATAAGAATGAATCAAATAAAAGCAAAAATTATATCTATCAATATGCACCGGTAACTCATTGTGTTCCATTGTGTTCCATTGTTGGAATTGCCCGGGCTTCAACGACCTGGACTGGGCTGTATAATACTTTGGTACCCCTTGAACAATGGAGAGTATCCGTACCTACCTAGGTACCTATCTCTAGGTAGGTAGGTAGGTTGTAATTTAGTGAACTTTAGCGCATGCATGCTCCACTAAAAGACTGTTACCGCGTTCCATCGCAAAAAACCCGAGGGCCCCAACGAGGCTGGGAAAGGCTGAGAGAGGTTCATGTCTAAGCTTTCTTTCCTTTTCCTTCTCTTTGACTTCTTTATATCCGTACAACTTTCCGAATAACACGTTCCTGCCCAAGTCGACAAACTCGCCTCGGCGTTGGGAAAGAATTTCCTCGTCATGAGGTATCTTTGAACCTTGCGACTCTGACTTTTGGCGTCAAAGCTTCGATAACCACATACAACAACAATTGCGCATTCGGTCATCATCGGTCAAAATGGCTATATGTAAATTCTTTCAGCAGGGCAACTGCAAGTTCGGCAGTATGTATCAGGCTTAAATTCGTCTGGAAATGATGCTGACTCGTCTTAGACGGCTGCCGATTTGAACATGTAACTTCTAACAATCGAAACCAACCCTCAAACCGATTTGGAGCTTTGGGTGGTGGAGGGAGCAACCAGAACCTAGCCGGTACGAATCGCGCCAGTATTTGACAAACAGAACACGAATTGACAGCTCAGCAGAAAAATACAATGTCACCGTCGACACAATCGAACGAGATCTGGTCAACGAGGTGCCGCACTGGATCCTTTCAGCGTATGCGCCTGGACGAGATGCTCCTCAGCAGCTCTTTGGCGGATTTCCGCGCGAACAGAGCTTTGAGGAGCTGCGACTACACTATATGATGGGCAAGGCTACGGGAAACGAGCAACAAGCTGTGAGCATATGGTCAATTGGTTCTTATGAGTAATCGCCGAAGCTAACTCTGTTTGCGACGTCAAGTTGAACGAAGCGCAAGAGCTGTACACCAACGCGCAGGCACAAATCCAGACCGCCCTTCGCGACTCCAAGGGAGCTGTAAACTTCATCGTCGACGAGAGCCAGCACCCGAACCGACAAGATATCTGTAGAGAAGGAACGCAGGGAGCTCCTTTCGGAGAGTTCCTTGTCGGAAAGAGGCCTAAATCTACTATCGCCGATACTGGATCGCAGTCCAACCCTTTCGGATCCAACAACAACACCTCCTCTCCCTTTGGAGGCGGCGCACCAGCAGGTGGGAATGCCTTCGGACAGCCTTCGACCTTAGGCGCAAAACCAAGCGCGTTCGGAGCGCCATCATTTGGGCAACCGGCTCAGCCTGCACAAAGCGGTACAGCCTTTGGCCAGCCATCGCAGCCTTCGGCTTTCGGACAACCATCGCAGCTAGGACAAACCGCTCCAGCATTCGGACAACCTTCTCAGCCATCGGCTTTTGGGCAGCCATCACAGCAACCTTCAGCTTTTGGACAACCATCGGCATTGGGTGCAAAGCCCAGTGCATTTGGCACACCGGCATTTGGCCAGCCATCACAACCGAATGCTCAAGGCAATGTATTCGGTCAACCTTCGCAGCCAAATGCACAAGGTAACGCCTTTGGTCAACCTTCACAGCCAAATGCGCAAGGCAACGCTTTTGGCCAAACCGGCCAGCTTGGCCAGAAACCGAACCCCTTTGGAGCACCGAGCGGAACGAACAACAACTCAAGTCCCTTCGGAGCTGCTGCAAGCACCAACAACGCTCCGGCAGCGAATCCTTTTGGGGCCCCGAGCGGTGCTAATCCGTTCGGTTCCAACAACAGTACCCAGAACAATGCTGGGGCAAATCCATTCGGACAGCCTTCGCAGCCTGCACAACAACCTGCCCAAGGAAATTCGCCTTTTGGCCAACCGTCAAACGCAGCCGCTCCAGCAGCATCCAACCCATTCGGCGCCTCCAACGCAGCACCGACCCCAGCCGCAAATAACCCCTTTGGCCAGCCTTCGCAGCCGCAGTCTAATGGCTTTGCATCACAGAACAATCAACAGCAGACAAACAATCCATTTGGGCAACCTTCACAACCTTCACAGCAAGCAAATCCCTTTGGTCAACCTTCTAATGCTACACCCGCCGCTGCCAATCCTTTTGCCGCAGGACAGCCACAGCAATCAGCTGCAGCAGCTTCAGGAAGCCCATACCCACCAAACAGCAGTAGACAGCATCCTCCCGTTGAAAGCTACAGCTCCAAGGGAATGGATGGTCGACTATCTATATTCAAGGGCAAATCAGTCATTTACAAGGACGGCAAGCCTGGAATACAAGAATTTGACGGAACTTGGCGACGAATTTGGTTCCCAGACGGCCCACCGGGATATTCTGCGGACACTGAGCTACCACCTGAGAAATACGACGACAAGTCCAAAGCTCAATGGATGTCATTTGCCCAGACGGGTAACTTTGAAGGTGGCCTGATGCCTGAGCTACCGCCGCCGCGAGAATGTACAGTATGGGATTTCTAAGACGAGGAGCCAAATCACACAAACTTTGTGTTATATATGCCGGAACAGAAGAACAGCTGGGAATGAGTGGCAGGCGTTGGATGATCCAGGTGATATTTAGTTCTGTGCATTCGTTGGCGTTGCGTTATGATTACCTAAGTACCTATGGATGGATCTTTGGATGTATAGGATTTAGACAGTTGAACGAGCCATATTCATAAGACGTCAATATCATTTCCCTTCATCTGAGGTAGTACAGCTGGTGCAATATACCATACAAAATGCTTGGCGAATAGATATACTAAAATCATAAAGTGATATCATCCTTAATGGCCTCCACTGCCAATGGTGTTGGACGCTAACAGCCAGGGCAGATCCGGGTGAGGATGCGCTAAAGATTAGTGACTCGAAAGCGTCTCAAAAGGGCGAGCTTTTGATTGGCCAGATGAGTAACAGCGCCTTCGGTACCGCCCTCCAGGTTGACTTCATCAGCCTTCAGCAGTGCCAGGTGAGAATCCACTTTCTGATGAATCATCCGGCGATGCAAATGCAGATGCAGATGTGAGCGCAAAACACTTGAGCCACGATAATTACTCATTGCGAAGTGGATGGCTAAGAGCTTATAAGAACGAATTCGTCTCCCAATTTCAAACCTCTCTCTCACTTAGGTACGCACAAAGAGAGATACCTCAACTCAACTCAACCATGGCCTCTTTACCACCCCTCGCACCCTTCCCCCAGTCATCCTGGCGACAGCATCTCTCCTCCAGCGAATGGAACTCTCTCCTTCAAGCCTGGACATCGATCTGCCGCGCCCTTGTTACGCTCTCCGAAAAGGACTTCAAGACTACCCTATCGCGCGACGACTCCGTCGCTACATTTCTAGTATCCTTTGCAGAAGAGACGGCAGAGGCAGGCTTCACAGTCCTAGAATCTCACTCAACGACGCTACCAAAGGCTGTGTTTCAACTTACCTCGCGGGTCTTTTCTGTGTCTCCGCCTACACAACTATTCGACTATGCGTTTCTGGCGAATACTGCAAGGATATTCCCTCGGAAAGCCACAGCCCCTCTTATCGTGCAGCTTTTTCGACAACATGCTGCTCCCCTTGAGGCTGCCCTTACTGGGCTGAAGAAGCAACTTATTCCGCAGCTGGAGGCTGGTATTAAGGGCGATCTGAAGGCCGTTGAGGCTCGTCTGATACGGTTGAATTACCTTTTGCATACCTCACCAGACGCCTGCACTTTGTTTCTCGCCGGATCCGATTTTCTCGATGGCCTTATTGTGTGTTTCCGAGTCATGAACCCGCCTTTGCGAAAGGTGATTCTGACAACGACATATCTATGTCTAATTGGTTTAATAGACGTTGAGCCGGCCAAGTGGTCTATGTTGAGTGATCAGCTTTATGCCCTTAAGGAGGCGGCTGACGCACACAAGGTTGGGCCTCTCAATGTCAACGACTCTCTTGTTCCCGAACTTATCACCAATACTCCCCTATTGAAGATTCTACAACGGAGAGCACAAGATTCTGGCGCAGCAACAGATAGCTTCAAGAAGCGAATCACGGCACTGGAACGCTATAAAAAGGGCGCCATGGTTCGTCCTAAACGGTTGGTGAGACGAAAAGTGGACAAAGGAAAAGGCAAAGAAACACAACAGGAAGCGGATGTCGACATTCACGTTCACAGAATGAGTCAGATCACTCAGGTCCAGGATCTGTTCCCTGATTTGGGGTCTGGTTTTGTGTCCAAATGTCTAGATGAATATGGAGAAGATGTCGAGCAGGTCGTTGCGAATCTGCTGAGTGAGACTTTGCCGCCTCACTTGGCCAGCGCCGACCGTAACGAGCCTTTGTATGTTTCCCTGTGTTGCCAACACCCTTCTCAACTAATAAATCTTAGGTCATCACACCCTGAAGCAAGACACCCAGACCTTGCACCACGATCTACTCCGCCTCAACTTCCTACAAGAACCAATGTGTTTGACGATGATGCTTTTGATCGTCTTGCAATGGACGTATCCAAGGTCTCCTTTGGTAAGAAACCCGGCAAGAGCGCCGACGAAATGCTCAAGGACAAAGCAAACGCACCTAACAAATCCGCCATTCTCTCTGCCCTGGCGGCTTTTGATTCTGATGATGACGAACGTGATGATACTTACGATGCTGACGACGTGGGCGGTACTGTTGATGCCTCCAACCAGGAAGCTGATGCTGCGAGCGACGGCAATGAGGAAATATTATTCAGAGCATACCAGATGGACTCTAAGTTATTTGACCGTGACGCCGCGACGAGACGTGGCAGTCAGCGAGCAAAGCTGAGGGGCGACACTGGTATGACCGACGAGGCCATCGAGGGATGGGCGCTCATACTAGTAAGGAACCCCCAACAGAAGCGGCGATTAGAAGCAAAATATGCGTTTGCTGGACAGCAAGCGCAAATAGACCGCACCTCTTGGAGAGCCTCTCCAGCTGGTTCAGGGGAAGAAGGAAGCGACCCTGACGGTGGATCATCACGAGGTGGCAGAGGTGGTGGCCATGGTAGAGGCCGAGGACAAGGACAAGGACGAGGGCGTGGGAGAGGAGGCAATGTGGCTGGGCCTACAGGCGAGAAGGAGACAGAATCGGCTAGGAAGAACAAGGAAGCGAATAAGGGGTCCCGGGCAAATCACAACCGGCGTGATGCCCGGGCTAAGAAGATGGCACGAGGAGGTTTCGCTGGCTGATTTCAATCACCAGCTCTCTGCCTCTTCCACCTTTCTAGACCTGGCCCGACGATTAGACCGGATGGTCTTCTCTTTCGAGCCTGTGCTGCAGCAGCTTCTGGCTCATAAAGATCCTCAAGGTCCAACTCAGCAGCATAAGGGCTCTTCATATCAGCTATCAGAGGAGTTCCTGGATAGCCACCGGGCCCAGGTGGAGAGACGATGCCGTTGAAAGAAGCGCCCGCCTCTTCAATGCCCGGATAGCGATGGTAATCTCTCGGTGTAGCTAGCTCCGAAACAGCCTCAATAGAGGTAAGGTCCTGGTCGCCATCACCTGTGCCCATTATCATGCTCTGAAGCGACATTCGTGAACTCCTCCTGCTGCTATTAAGGTATGCTCGTAGATCAAAGCACTGACGACATGAAGGATGTAGGGGGAAACAGTTCGCCTCATCGCGGTACTGTGGTAGCTGAGGACGTGATTGCTGACCACACTTTTCCTGAATGTCGTCTAGAATATCTGCGATGGGAGTGAAATAGGTAACGCGCTGTCCGGGGCCCCAGTAGCTATTGCGGCCCCAGACCTGTCCAACGAGTCCGTGGGTGTTCATGTCTACAACACCAGCACCGCTGTCGCCATTAACGCCGATGCCACCCCGGATCCAAGCATCTTCATCGTCTTGCGGCCATGGCTCCTCGATGAACCATTCTCTCGTGGCCTTTTGGGTTTGGTTTTCTTCTCCAGAGACATACGCGGGGATTTCGCAGATCTGACCTCGTTGATACCCGGATGTTCGGCCGCTGGACAAGACGTCGGCGCCCGGCACAATAGCTGTTGTGGTAGTCACGATGGGTTCTTGAGTCGGCGGTTGAGTTTCCGAAGGAAATCTGCGAAGAATGTTGGCTTGCGAAGTGCGGGAACCGATGAGAGCCCAGTCCGTTACAACAAGGGGCTTATCCATATCGCACTCGTCCCAGTAAGGATCATGCGAGATCCTCGTCGTTTTGAGGTTAAGACCAGAAGTTACTTCGAGTTTGCCGAGCTTAAAGTTTGTCTCCTGGGCCATTGCATCGTGGCCTTCATCTATGCAGCGCTTACGGTCTTGAGAAGATGGGTGCTCAACCTGCACTTGAGAAAGTTGCTGATAGGCCTCCATGAAGGGATGGAAGTTGCCCAGCCAGTATTTCCCACCACCAACAGTAAGGCAAGGACCAAGAGTAGCAGTGCTATCAGCGTGGGTTCCGTTCCCTGTAACACCGATGCTATCGCCCATGCAAGGATCGCGAAAGAAAAAGGGGTTTCTAGCAGCGCAGATATCATCTTTGTGATCTTTGCCCAGGCCACGAGCCCACGTTACAGTACGGTTGATCTCGCCTTGCGCAAACATAAAGGTAACCAGTTTAGAGAAATTGTTCGGGATGAGATCTTGAACGTGGTTGGCAATGATGATCTTGCGAGCTCGCGAAATTGCTTTCGGAGTCATGATGCAGATTCTTTTCATCTGTGGCGATTTGCCTCGAGTGACTGTGACTACATGGCGGGGGCCAACCCAGATGGGTAGGTATTCGGATAGGAAAGGGAGAATAGCGTGCTCAAAGACCAGAGGAAAGCTCGTTGTTTCTATGCGCCGTGAAGCTCGTCCTCGGATAATGTCTGTTGGACTCTCGGCACTTCGTGGAGTGCCTATGACCGTCAGGTTACTACCAGCCGAAGGAAGAGAGGAACCGAGGATACTCACCCGCATTCTTTCTAGCTCGCTTCTCGACAACATTGCGAAGTCTTTCTTGAATTTGACGTTTTTTGTTGTTTACAATTTCTGTCTCATGGCCTTTGTGCTTTCTCTTGCGACAAGTGATGGGCTGAATATGTGCTTCATCTGGGGATGACCTGCCAGCCGTCTCTGTGTTATCATTGACCTTCGGCTGGAGCTCCCATTCTTTTGCGTCATCTTTACCATCCTCAGGGTGGGCCATGGAAATGTGAGACTGTAGAAGACGGATACTCTGGAAAGACTTTTCTGTACAACCAAGCGATGGGCAAATAACAAGATGCTGAACCTGGACGTGGTAGATGAGCCCGTCCCTGGTGGAGAAGCTTGGTTGGTCGCAGCCCGCCCAGTTGCATATATAAGTATGAGAAGATTTGACATGGGATTTAAGCTCTTTGTCAGACGAGAAAGCTCGCTGGCACTGAGGCCCCAGGCAAACAAAAGAAGGCGTCGAATTGTCAAGGCTGTTAGTTCGCCCGCCTCGACTTAGCGGACTCGGGCCCCTTGACGAACCTCGACCGTTCCGGACGGTCAGTGTATCTCCGAAATCAGTTGAGACAGAAGAAAGTATAGAACCAGTAGAAGAAAATGTATCGGCGCTAATACTAGAGATTGTGCTCATCTCCCGCATGTCAAGACTATCAGTCCAGTTGCTACTGTAGGGCTCGAGGCTTAAATCGAGCTTGGCAGGCGACGCAGAGCGGTAGCAGTCTACGCTGAACTCTGACTGTATCGGTTGCGGACCAAAGCCAAAGTCAAGAGGCGCAAGGTCAAATGAAGCTGGCGTCTTCAGAGGCGTAGATACCGGTACAGCTGGTAGAGTCCGGTGCCGAAGAGTGGGGCCGAGACCGTTGAGTTGCACGGCCCCGCGTCGGTCTTTGCGCCTAAGGCGGTTCATCTTGAGATGAGCTGGTGGCTTTTGGTGAGGCAGCAAGATTGAGGGGACAAAATGAATTGTCATACAAGCCGCGTAAGATGGGGAATGGGGAAGGAAATGCAAATCAACGGAAACTGGGACCTTCCTTGGTCAAAAGTAGACTGTGGTTGCCTTGAGGAAGCTGGCGGCCTCTGTCTTTCTGCAGGTGGTCCTGGTGAGCGAACCATTTTGGAGGAGGTATCTTTGTGTACTGTGAAGGTAGGTATAAGTGGTGGTGGGACTGGCTATTAGAATTATCGATGGATCTACTTGGCTAAAACAGAATTATACAGGTCCGAGGTGATACTATAACTAAATACACCTAGGCTTGGCTTGGAATATATCAATTAAATAAAGTCTCACTGAAGTAATACTGCTTGATGCCCCAATTCTACGATTCTGACTGCGACTAGATACAAGCTGGTACCTAGGACTTTTTGGCCCCCAATGCTGGGCAGTTTCCAGTTTCCAAGTCTGCCTAGCGATTTACTCCAGGCAATGGATATATCAAACAGAAGAGAATTAGTAACAAACAGGCTTAAAAGTGATAAAAGAGCGTGTGATGATGTGTCCTTCCATATTCTAGTTAAATATGCTTAATAAACTGATGAAATAAGTCAGGGTAGGTGCCGCCCGCATACTACCTACCTAAGTACCTATATCTGTGTTGTTGAGTATCCCAAGATACCTCGTTCCTACGTTCTAATAGGTAAGATCCAATATAAACATACCTGTGCCTTCCATGTGAGCTTAAACTCAGTATTCATTCTGGGCCTGATGACACTTGCCTTGGCTGAGTGACTTTGCCTTCCACTACTCTTGTAAACTAGAAGTCATGCCCCATTACCTTCCTTCCTCCACCAACACAAACTCGAGATGGCTACATCCCTAATCCTGAGATAACTTCTTAATCCTGACTTCTCCCTGCTACTACAACAACAGCTTAATATTTAATACTCAGTCATTTCCACCAAACCATTATCGGCCGGTCTATCACCACCACTAAGCATCACTTCAGAACCATCGTTCGCGGCAAATCTTTAAAAAGAAATGGAAGAGATTCCACCCCGAGACTATTATGATCCACTGCCAGAGGGTCAAATCCGCTTGGTTGAGTTGCGCCCTTCAGCCGGGGTTCCTGATCCTCTAGTCGCAGATCTACAGGTGGTAGAATTCGATGAGACAGGTCAGAATCACCCCCAATATATTGCCTTATCCTACGGCCATGAATACCAGCAGCTCTCGAGACCACTCATACTGAACGGAGCCCCTACACAAATCACAGTCAATCTCGATCTTGCGCTGCGGACACTGCGCTCAAAAAAATATGTCGTCACCATCTGGGTAGATGCTTTATGTATCAATGCTCGCGACGCTGCTGAAAAGAGTAGGTACATCAGTCTCCGAACCCAAATATTCCGATATGCTACACGTGTAGAAGTCCACCTGGGTGAGACGACAATCAATGAAGGGGTATTCTCCAGGCGTTTAGAAATGCTTTGGGATTCAACATCCTTCGTGTTCACTGACAAGGACGATCGGATGTGGCAGAAAATTCGCTCTACTCTCGCGAAATTTGAGAACATTCCAGACCATAAAATATTGGGTTCAAATGACGAGAGCCGGTGCGTCGTGGCTCTGCTAATGGCACTCTGTCGACCACAAATATTAGACCGGCTGAAGACCACCAAGTTATTCAGCCCGCCACCCCAGGAGGAACAAAGATACCTCAATAAGCAGCGAGCTCTCTTTGAGTCGCTCCGCGCGTTCAGCGTTGCTTCTTGGTGGAATCGTACGTCAATCATCCAAGAAGTTAGCGTAGCTCGCGTGCTATACTTTGTATACAGGAGACATCACATTCCATTTAAATTTCTGCGAGGATTTCTCGAAATGGACGACAATATACACCAATACCTGGCTGCAGAAAACTAGAAAGTTCTGCGTCTCCTTCGCAATAGAGTCAGAAATATTTGCCAGCTTCGGGAATTACAGTGGTACCAACAATACTCCAATTTGATGGAATTAGAGTACTTGGACAAATCCTTAGGAAGCCCTCTTCTTTGGCTACTCCGGACGTTTCGACATCACAACTTTGTGTCGAGAGACGCCATACAATCTATGAGCCATTCTCTTAGAAGACTCACGAACGATTCTGGGTTGGCCCCATTCGAGCCTGACCAGCGTATATCCACTGCGACATTATTGTCTAGGCTCGTCGTGCACCTTATTCAAAGCACAGGCCTATTCTTTCTAACATCTATGGATCTGGCTACCAAGAGGACAAATGAAAGACATGACCGTCCTTCCTGGGCACCAAATTGGGCTGGTGGTTTTCCAGACCACAATGATGAGACAAATCTTCTGTGGGCGGTACGTCTCTGCCACAATGTATCCAATGTCCGTTTCAGGGTCAACGCACCAACTGAAGTATCGCCTGTTATCTTCCTGTACCCCCGCGACTACTTCTACACTGTTGTTACATGTAAGGACCAGAAGTTGTATTCTTTGGGAATACATGGACCAAATACGGGCGAGCAAAGCTACCCTCTCGATTATAGTCCCGTAGTTGCAAAATCTTTTTCAGTTGCCGCCCCCATCTACCAAAAGTCCTTCTATCTTGATTTCAGCAAGTCTGCAGAGCGGCTATTCCGGTACGAGTGGCACGCCCTTCCTGGTCAAGAGTCTAGAGTGTTCAAGAGTTATCTCACGGTCCCGGTTCAGTTCTGCTATACAGTTCAGTATGTGTCCAAACCCATCGAATCAGACTTGATAAACCTAATCGATATTATCGACGAGTTGGGGGGAGCCGGAGAAACACTCTTTCCAAATGACTGGAGGGGGTACAAAAAATATAGAGAAAAGCTCATCCGCGTGTTATGTTTTGGGGCGGTCTTTAATTCCTGGGGCAGCCTTATGCCTTTTCGGCGGCTGAACAACTGGGACGACAATGACCTAGCAATTCTTTTCTACCTTCTTTCTGAATATTCCGACGACGAGCTTCGGTCCTCAAGCTACTTCAAAGATCGCTATGCGTCGAAAATCTCACATGAACTGCACAGACAGTGCTCTAAATGTTCCAAACATCATCTACCCTGCTCAACTTGTGTAGCCAAAGCACGACTATCTGCAGAAGGAGCATCCTCAGAGTGTCTTTGGCAAGATGAAGCAATAGCGGCTTTACACGACACTCTCAGCTTGACAGCACCGGGGCTTTCCCTTCTTCTGACCGATCAAGGATACGCGGTAGGGCCATCGTGGACTAAAGCCAACGATAGAGTATATCTCATCAGTGGCGGCTTATGCCCATATCTACTGCGCCCTGATACGAGCCAAAATGACTTGAGCTACAGCGCTTTCGAGCTTGTTGGAGATTGTTTTATTGACACTACTCCACTATGGACTAGAAAGAAACTACACAGTGTGACTTTGGTGTAAAGTCGGGGGTGATTTGCACCAGATATTGTGCCCTGGTCCTTTACATTGTAGACTGCCTGCTCGTCTTATTCGATCCCCTTTAGTGTACTGAGTTGGCTGCATTCAACGAGAACAAGCGGCCAAAAGCTTATCAGGAAATAGCAAGAATTGAATTATGTGACAGAAAAAGGGAGAATAGCTGGTTCAATCAGTGACAAAGCCCAGCCCTGGCCTCTGGTAACGACTGAAATAAATTAAATTATCGTAAGTCTAACAAGAGTCACAGTTCAATATATAGAAATTGAAAACCAGCATGCATCACGGCAGTCAAGATCTTTGAGGTGAACTTTTGATTACAGTTATTATCAGTGCCTCCATACAGTCTACAACCAGTCCCTTTGGTATCTGTTCAAACTCCTTGTTCCATGCGCTACCCTCTAAACTCGATTTATAAACCCTGATACAGACCCTGAACCACATCACTGAGCATCCTTAGCCCATAAAATTTAGCCACCCTCTTCATAACTCCGAGTTTCTTGTTCACATCCTGCCGTGATACCACCTCCTTCCACTCGCCACTGCAGGTGCAATGTTCCATGAAGTCGTTCAGTCTCAGCGCGCCGCACCGGACGCACTTGAGATCTTGTGTTGTCCATTCCACGACCCAGCTCTCCACCATGCCCAATAAGCGCTCTTCTATAGCCACACGGTCGAATTCAGTACCGCAGAAGCCGCAGCGCCAAGCAGCACCTTCGCCAAACAGATCTTCGTCCCTGCAGAGGTCTAGGTCTCGCATCATCGTACAGCTATCACAAGACACCTGAGGAAGACGCAGGCTCTCTGATGGGTTGGCGAAAGTACCCTCCTTGGAGAACTCGCGGACCTCGAAGAGCGCGAGAAGCTCCTTTCGAAGTAGTCGAGCTTCTAGGGTGATATTCTTGTCGAGGGAAAGAACTTGCATGAGCGACTTGACGAGTTCGAGGATGGGGTTGCGCGGGTTGAGGTGGGAGCCTGGGAGGGTCGGGAACGTGTAGTCTTGGGCAAGCTCTGTATGGAGAAGTTCACGTTTCTGCTTGTTGAGAAGGCCAATGATGTCTTTCTTCAAAGGCTTTTCAAATGTCTTGCCCAAGATGATTTGGCCTTCCTGGTCCTCCAGACCCTTGCCCGGCAACTGTGTCAGACGTGGTGTGGCATCAGGGTCGCCATTGTGAGGCCGCTTGAGCTGATGCATAAGCTGAATGAACTCTATCACCCAGTCTTGGAATGTCGGTTGTAATCGAACTGGTAAGAATGTTGCCATCTGCCAATTCATGATAGTCTCGAGATTTTGCTCGTCGGCCTCAATGACCTCTTGACAAGCCTTGCCTCCATAGTTGAACTCGTCGTACCAAACAAGATAGTCCCAGTACTCCTTGATCTCTAGGTCGATGAAGTGGAAGAGAGGCTTGCTCTTGATGGATTTGATAATGTATTGACTGTAGGCGTATGCATTACCAACCTCAGCCTTGGTTGTCTGAAGAATGAGGCGGTTGGCGTTGGCAAAAATAACCTGAGATCCAACTCGGCGGAAATCAGCCATGAGCTGCTGGAAGGCCTTGCGAGACATCATCTGTACGTAGTAATGCAGAGCTCGATCATACATGAAAGAGTCGGGGTTCTCAACCCAGCGGACTAAGTGCTGCACCAGGACGTCAGCCATGGTGCTTCCACGACAGGCTTCTGTCCACCAGGCCTTGACCATCTCTCGCAGCACAAGAACGCCAGCGTTGGCAAACGCATTCTCGGACGCGAGTGTCTCAGAGTCATCATCGGCCGGGTTGAAAGAGACCGAATCGGCACCTTCCAACTCGTTGATGAGAGACGATGTCAAGATGGTATTGATAGCCAAATTTCTGACATCGATATCAATACAGACTGATGAGAATGTTCCTGGGTTGTTGATATTTGGCATCCTGACCGTGTCAAGAGGACCAAGGAGATCATCCTTTTCATAACCTGCATGATCCGGACGCGCGCCAGGAGACCACCAAAGCACGACTCCATTAGCTTGAAGACGGCGGGCATATGCAACATCGATCAAGAATCGAGGGTCGTCTCGCTCCAAATTGCATAGAGGGACATCGCCGTAACGAGCCAACGCGGTGAGGTGCAGAATCCAGGATCCGAGACCTAGATAATGACCAACAAGACGTTTGGCAATGACAGACTGCCAGCCCAGGGGTGGCAACGAGCTATCCGCAACATCGTACTTCAAGGGAAGAACAGGAAAGTCTCCAAGAATAGGAACGTCGTGGATGAGTAGCTTGCGCTGAGAAGATTGAATGACCATCATCTGCGGTCGAGGCTCGTCCTTGCGCATCTTCTTGACAACATCGCTAATCTCAAGATGAGCCTTGCGACGAGTAGTCACTTGGGTAATCTTGATGTGTAGCTTCTCTTGATATGTGAAGCAGTCCTGCCAGTTTGTACCAGCTGCCTCGGCATGCCGTCTAGAGAGCATATCGGCGTACATCTTGGTGATGTTGGGAAGATCTTGGCCAGAGTCTTTGTTCTTCTGTAGAATGACCACATGAGCTTGGTCGTTGGTAGTAGAGAAGATACCAAAGATCTGGCGTTCACCGGCTGTGATATGGGAGATATAGATATAAGCCAGGGGCGATGTTTCGAGATATGTCCGTGTTTTAGCTGGTCGCTTCAAGCCTGAAAGGTCGAAACCTTGCTCGAGACCCTTTCCGAGAACAGCGTGTTGCGTGGCGTCAATGGTACATTGGTTTCCAAGACGCAAAACAGCGCGGATATTTAGAGGAACCTGCTTCTCGTACACTCCCTCGACACTTGGATGGTTGAAGAGCAGGGAGAACTTCTCACTTTCATTAAAGTAGACGTCTTCAGATACGGTCAACTTGAACAGATGACTAGAGGGGTGACCATTGGGCAGAGTATAGTTGACCTGCTCAACTTCACAGCCATCTACCTCAACATCAGGCAGATCTTTGCTCTTGAGGTTAAGGAAAACTTGCCGGGGAACGTTGACCTTGAGCGTGTGGATCTTGGCATCAATCAGGACGTATGCCATGACAATACCGGGAGTATCAGTAGCCTTCAGGTGCAAGACCTGCCAGTTGCTCATGTAGGTGCTGTGTGCCTGTTTCATGAACGTTTGCTGGAGATTATTGACTGCAAGGCCTCCTCTCCTGTCACCAAACAATTGTCGCCGACGGATTCTGGCTTGTTTTTGAAGCTTCCACTTCTGCTTCTGATACATGAGGAACTCCTCATAATTCTCTGAAGCGCTTGGCATAACCGCTGGAAGTGCAGACATAGGGTCGGTATCCTCTGCCGGCTCAGGTGATTTGCGCTTCTGAACAGTAGGAGCAGCTTGAGAAGATGCTATGATCGCACCGACTTGCTTAGGCTTCAAAAGCTTGCTACCAAAATCCTCCAGATCATCCATTCCAGTGATGTTGGTAATGTCTTCAAGCGGACTCTTCTTGAAGAGGTCTGTGAGCTTCTTCTGCTTCAACTTATCATCTTTGATGTTGATTCTCCTTTGGAGCCAGTCGGGATGAGGCACTCTAGGAACTGGGTTGGGGACCTTTTGAAGGGCTGCAGGAATGGTGATCAGCTTCTGAATAACAGAGCCTAATCGCTCAAGATAATAATCCCAATCGAGAAGTGCGCGAGGGTCGGTATCAGTCGGCTCCTCCTTCAACCACTTCTTCAGATAGGCTCGCTTGACAGACTCCTCCGCGGAGAAGATGGCGACTGGAATGGCTCGCTCGGTAACGGGTGCGTTCTTCGGTCGAGCGCAAATAATGAACTTGCAGTTCAATCCCTTGTCTTTCACCATCTGCTCACCCAAAAAGTCTGCTAGACGCTTGGCGGTTGTGATACTGGTCGACTTTTGGTTTCCATACTCCTCTAGGGTCTTGGACATGCTTCGGTTCTCAGAAATGAGCTCCATGAGTTCCTCGTCTGCCAATGTTGTACCCTTACTGTGCAAAACATCTAGCCAACGGTTGGCGACTTTGGCGACAGCGCCGTAACAGTCAGCCAGTGTTTCTCCTTCGAGGAAAAATTTGAAGATTTGCTGCTGAAAGATCTTGATGAGCTTCAGCTCACCACGACGCTTCACTTCGAAACCCTTCAACTCAGCGAGACTGCCATCGTCATTGAAGACGGCATATCGCTTCTTCAAGTTCTTGTCCTCCTCTTTTGAGGTTGGCAGAACCATTGCTTTGTAAGGACCGTCGACTTCGAAGAAAATCGAGTTATCGCTGTGTGTCTCATACTTGAAGGTCTTCTGATCAGCGAGCGTCTGGTACTGGTGGTTGGTGAACTTGGCATGGACAAGATGGTTAAGCATGACACAGGGATATGAGATGTTAAGCTTCTTTCCACCCTTGAGCTTGAAAGAGAAGTTCTCGGGGAATGTCGCGGGAAGCATACACCAAATACCATCTGTATCCAGCTCCAACGGTCGTCCAAGTCGCTCAACTAGTTGTCGGGCCATTTGAATGATGTGAGCACCTGTCAAGCAAGTAACGCCAGCCATTTCGAGTGAATACCAACGAGATCCCTTTCTCATGACGTATCCGTAGAATGAGTTCAGAATGACCTTGTGGGCCAACTGCAACGAATCATAAAGAATAATCATCTTCTTGGCGGCATCGACCTCACTCTGAGCTGCACCAGCAGATTGTAAGGATGATGTCTTGCCCTTCCAGACCTTGGCCTTGCCCTTGTAGTCGTATCGACGATCACGGAAGTCTCGCACAGTGTTGATATAAAAGGGGTTCTCTCGTTGACAAATGATTGCTTCTCGTACAATAGTTGTAGAGTCATGGATTTTGTGGTAGACCTTTTGAGAATACAGCTGTAGACGTTTCCGAATAAGAGCTGCTTGCTCATCCGCACTCAGATCTTGGAACGGCCGCATGGGAGAACTGGGGTACTTTCCAGGAAACTTCTCGTTCTCAAGCGCGTGTCGAATCATGTTGTACTCGTCGCGCTTCGCCGGTATGTATTCACCTCTCCAAGCCCAAGGTAATCTTCGATCACATGTCTTTCCAGGACGATTAAAGTCGCACGCAGCACAATCAGATTCCTGAATCATGGAATCAGGCTGCAATCGATTGGTTGTCATGATGTTGGGGTACATGGAAGCGACATCAAGATGGTAGATCAGAGGCTTTTCGTGACGGTTTGGTGTCTCCTTGAGTTTGTTCAATCTCTCAACGATCTGAGCCTTGACTTCGTCGTAGTTCTCCACGTCATCGAAATTCTTGTTCTCTTCCACAGTGATCACGAACTTGAGAGCCGAGTCAAGATCTTTCAAGAGCTCATCAATGGCTCCAGGGTCGACAGAAAAGTCAACCGGGATATCAGCTCGGAACACTCCTGCTTCAATACTTTCGACGTGACCACCAACGTAGGTTTCCGAGTCGAGGAGATGGCCATCCCAGAAAGCCTCCTTCGGTGTGATGTACTTATTTGGAAGTACGATTTCTCTTTGATACGCTTGCACCATCAGCAGCATTTCGCAGAGTGTACCGGTTCCCTTTCTCAAGACTTCATCACCGCTCAACGGCAGAATTGTACAGAGAGAGAAGATGAAGGGGTGGACATATTTCATGTAAAGATAGTATGTTGCAACAGCATCGGAGACGGAGTATTCAGCCAGTGTTTGGGGTCGTTCAGTCGCATACGGTGTCATTAATTCGGGATCGAGCTCGTCTGGGTCGTATCCGAGCTTTGCCACTGTGACAGCTTTCAAGCCACGAGAACCCTGGGGCAGATAAGAGTCTCGGTTAACCCAATGGAAGCAATCCATGTGCACACTGTAGTTGCACTTGTACTGGTCCTCACTGTCCTTCTTCCACCCGATTTCTTGGTACATATCGATTCCATTGATACTAGCTCGTGCTTCCACAAAAGGCCAATCGAAAAAATCACCGTTGTAAGTGGCAATGACCGTTGGCCGCGCCTCTTTAATGTGGAGGAAGAATCTCTCGATTAAGGCCTTTTCATCGGGTTCGTTGAAAATCATAAAAGGACCCGGGTATTCTGGTTTAGGGGTGTACTCAAAATCGCCAATATCTTCTGAGAGAATTTGACGGTTTGTAATTAAAAATCCTTGGCCATCGATCATGTACGAGATCATGATGATCTGATCGGTGGCAGCGTCAGGGAATTTGAGGGGCAGCTTCGATGTTTCGATATCATAAGCCATTACCACAGGGTCCGCCGGCAGTGATCTCTCTTCGTTGGGTAGGATTTTGGTAACGCCGTGCTTGGCTTCTACAAAGTACCACTTTCCGGCTCGTATATCTGCACGTCCTGGTTAACTTATGCCTGACCCAAGTGAAAGCAATAATAAAGGACTTTGAAGAAGCAATAATCAGGGCAATGGTGAATAGTGGTCTCATGGCCTGTAAAGGCTCTGAAGTAGCAAATACTTGGTTGCAAGCATCATGTAAAGCTTAGAGAAAGGAGTTGTAGGACACAAAGCACTTACCCAAATCTATCATTACTCGTACGTGGTAGGGAACGTCATATTCTCTTATATCAACAATAAAGTCGCTAGCATCTGAAATTGCCGTGTTCATGTGTCGGTCGTCGTCTCGTGAATCATCAAAAAGGTCAAAGTCACCGTTGGAACTGTATCATGTTAGCTTGGTCCTGCTGGGTATAAGGGGAAAACTTACGTTGCAACTTCGGCATAAGCATCCATAGCATTCATATTCTTCTTGTTCTTTTCCGCAATGGGCATGATATCTCGTCTCGCAGCCATAAGGTCGCTGACATTGGCGAATCTCAGCTCAAGGAATGTCCTTCGATAGCCGAGCAAGTGATTGGGCATCTTCAGATCATCTCTCTCAACACGTCGAATCGACTTGACAACGCCATCTCCAGCAACTCTCTTGACCCATTCTTCAACCTCAGACTCACGACCCTTCTTGGCAGCAATCACGAAGTAAGGCTCGAACTCGACTGTGGCCTTGAAGGTCGAGCCGTCCTCTTCGATGAAGTAGCAGTCGACAGCAGCTCGACCACCGGGTATCCGTTCGTCCTCGATCGCTGTCGGTTGGATGTTGACCAGCCATCCTTCTCTTTTCTTTCCGCTCTCATAACGCGCAAAGCCCATGTTCTCGTCGATGCTGTGTGCCAACCGTGACCGCTCCCATTTCTCGTCCGCCGAGGTAGCCTCGTTCCTGGACGAAGCCGCGAATGTGCGTGTCCGATTGCCATGGTAGGCAGTCTTTCCTCCCCTACGGAAGCCCTTCTGAGGGCGACGAAGGCTTGTGTTGGGCATTGAGGATGTCCTGGAGGGGAAGCTCCCCTGAAGGAGGGTGGTCTAACGGGCCGTTGACGGCTTGGAGAAGAAGGCAATCGACAAGAAAAGAAAGTGATTGCAAGACAGAAAGATCAGAAGAAACTGGAGATTAAATAGCCGTAGAAAAAAAAAGTGATTTGAAAAGTCAACAAGGAGCGGAGCGTATCTGTGGGAACAAAGTAAATGAAGGGCGTCCCCTAGAGCCTTGACCGAGATTGGTAAAATGTATAGCGTGAGACGCGCTGAAACGCGCCTGCGCGACGCGACTAAATCCACTTTTGTTTAATGGACATTCAACGGAGCAACGACGACTGAAGTGCACGGGCCATGTAGACTAGGACCCCGATGCAAGCCTTGCTTGTCAAGCGTCATCGGTCTCGTCCCACGTGCTTCTAGAGAGAGTCGAGTTTAGCAGTGCTAATTTATTCATGACACCAATTGCGACGCAAATATAGCCGGGAATGGCTTCAAGTCCACAGGAAGGGCAACCTCAGCCCGGCGAGAAGACTCTACATGTCTGGTCGAAGCCCATAGACCAACCCGCAGCGAACGGCCAGGATGGTGCGACATCGACGAATAATAGGCCGACAATTTCAGAGGCTGTGTCTATGATCAAGAAAGACGACTTTACGAATGTTGCGAATACCCCTTGCGCACGACAAGGCTTCATCACAGGAATTGCATCTGGTGCAGGTGTTGGAGGTTTGAGGTTCGTCCTCAGAGGTGAGTCGGCCATAAGTCTATGTTCTAGCACCAGACATGGTCTAAGATAAAAATATAGGAAATGCCGGTAGCGCTGCGAACTGGGCCGTTGGAGTCTTTGTTATCGGAAGCATGGCGTCCTACGAATGGTGCCAATACCGACGCCGCGAGGAACGTCGACAGATGAAGCGACACATCGAAGTGGTGTCGGAGACCAGAAAGGAGCAGGCAAAGAAGATACAGGAAGCGAGACGAGAACATGACAAGCTGGAGGCTGAAAAGAAGGCTGCAGAGAAGCCATGGTACAAGGTCTGGTGATCATCAAGCTGAGCATACTGCTTATGCTGTGTACTTTTTGTGTGTAAGAGTATATCTTGTGCATTGGGTATAACTACGGACTGTAAATAAAAATCCCAAATGTAAAAAGGCAAACTGGCCGGCAACGACAAGTATATAGAAGTTCTTGCGTGAACTCGGTTCTCCATTGTATTGTTGTGTGATCTCAGAGATCGGGGTATAAAAGTGTCATATTGGAGCCTTGAAAGTGCCCTTCAGTCGTCGTTCAATTCCCACCCAACATAAGCCATCAAAAAGCTGCGAAAAGAAAAGTATGTTGACAGTCCAAGATATTGCCTCCCACAATTCGCCCATACAAATGACAAACGCCGGTTTCCGCCGCCAAAATGTTTATAGCCGCCCGCTGCGTCCAATTTAACCAATACTCCAGCTCCAGCGCGTAAATAGTGTCGTTATCCCGTGGTGATGGCAATGTTTGAAGCATCCGTATCTGTGAACCTAACCTTCCTTGGTGGTGACTGCTCATCCGGTCTAAACTTGGCTCCTGAACCACAACCTCGTCGTTGGCTACGTCGGGCACGTGCCTCGCTCTCCTCGCGTTTGCGATACTCGGCCATTTGCTGTCTCCTCTTCATGGCACGGGTTTGTGCCAAAGCTGCCGTAGGTTTAAATCCAATACCGTTGATTCCAACTCCATCGTCATCTTCGTCATCAGGATCGTAAATGGTGATTTCATCTTCGTGCCACGTCAGGGCAGCTCTGACAGGGTCGACTATCTGGACCTCCTCTTCGTCTGAGTCGTCAAACGGCCTTCTGAACGGACGCTTCATGCGCAGTGGCGGTGATCCGGTTCTTTTTTTAATTCTTGATTTGGACTCTGACAGCCTATTGATTGACGGGTATGCATGCTGCAGGTTGCCGTCGGGTTGTTTTTGCGTGTGATGCGTGTGATGCTGCTGAGGCTCTTGCTGCAGCGGTTCTGTGGAAGGCAGCATAGACTTTCCGTCGAGATCAACAGCCTCCTGCACGGCCGAGGCCGAAGCCAAGGGCGTTGACGGTGCATCTGCCTCTCTCATCATCTCATCTGGTCTCTGGCGCTTCCTCATGAACTCTTCGGTATCAGCAAGAGTGTCGCTATGATGGCTGCTGACTGCTGCCCCACCCCCACTTTCCAGCGCAAGACCACGGAACTTGTGGGCGACTCTTGACCGCGGGCTGTTGCTGCCATCTTCCGGATCTGCTGAGGAAGAAGGGAAAGCGAATGATAGAGGATCATGTTCAAAGGTGAATTGTATGGGCGATACCCAGAGTTCTTCTCCGCGCTTGCGTTTTGGGGTTCTAGTGGTGGCGGCCATTGTTCATTGTTTGAGAGTTGAGAGTTGATAGTCGGTAGTCGAGTTGAGATGGAGGAGCTTCAGTTGAATGAGGTAGTTTATTGTAAGGGAGGAGCCGCTGAGAGTTAATGGAACTAGAAGTAGAACTATTGGTTTTGGTTTCGGCTTTGTTGCGCAAGCACCACCTGCTGTTACCTACCCTTTTCGCTTTTCACTTCACCGCAGGGTAAATCATAAACCAAAGAGGTAAGCACGAGGGGGAAATGTGACTTGAGAGTATATTCCAATTGGATGTTTCGCCTTGTAGTTGGTGAGAATAAGATCTCAGGTGCCTCAGGTATTGAAGGATGCAGTGCGTGATTACAGATACCTACATAGCCAAACAAGAGCCTCGTGATTCACCCGCAATTGCAGCGTCACGTTCAACTGTGATGTGATGCTCGGGTCACGTTCGATCTATCCGTACTCTGACTAGCATCATATCGTAGATCTGCCGCTGATCGCCAAATCTCAGATGCTAACAGTTGTTATTTGCTTGCATGCTTAATTCCAATAGGAAAATGAATGTATGTAAATTTGCAACTTTGTTATATACTGAGTATGTGAAAGATAGCCTGGTTACGCCTAATTTGTGACATGCCGGATGCGGCGTAGTTTCACTGTTTTCCCCCGAATCAATACCCCAACGCCCATTGTTTCCATTCCTATATCAACCCACCTCAATGCCACTATCGCAGGATCTCAGGCCACCCTGTAGCGATTATTCAGTGGCCTTCGCATGCTATTCTAGCGATTGAAAATAAGAGGATGGTGCCGCTGTTCCTCGCTAACCCTAAACTAAAGTACAAAATAAATCCATCCGCCGTTACCAAACCCGTTGGCCGGCTGATGGTAAAATACGAGATGCAGAGCAGAGCAGTAAATGGATATTTACCCATTATGGATGGCCTGTGAAATGTTAGACAACACTCCTCAACGATGAAATGAGCTCTGCAAATACTTACTCGAAGCATCTTCGACCGAGCGCCAACCGTGTCGATACCCAGCCGTTGCAAATCCTCGTCCTCTAGAGACGCAACTTGAGCTGGAGACAGTCCCGACAAACAACTATCGTACTTGTGCAGTCTCAAAGCTCGAAGCCATTTCGATGCCCATCGAGAGTCTTGGGAATCATGTGGAAATGCGGGCATAATCCATTTGGGCTTCACTGGAGGTTGAATGATGAGTTCTTCCTTTTGCCTCCATAGTTCTCGCTTGCGGTCCTTGAGTGCTTGAATCAATGGCTCGATTTCTCGCAGGCTTGGTAGTTCAGCCATGGATGCGAGGGCTGATGTTCGCTCAGTGTCGTCCAGCACCGAGAACCAGGTCTTGATCATGCCGACCTCATCTCCAACCTTTGTGGTGTCTCTTTTTGGTGAAGAGAAACAATGGCGGCGGGAAGAAAGTGAAGACGAGCTCGAAGTTGGTGATCCTGAGTAGGAGCTTGGTAGACTGGAGGGGTATGAAGACATGATGTTGAGGCTTGCTATGTGTGTTGTGACTCGTAAATATGAAGACAATGCTGTATAACAAGAAATAAATCATCAAGGGAATATATATATAGCTTTCAAATACTACATTCAACTTGCAAAGCACTGACGAGGCCACAGCAATCTTCGTAGGCAGTGGATTGATATATGGTGTGGTTAATCTGACGGCGACCGGGGCCTCTATGGGATAAATCACCTCAGGTCATAAGTTGGTTGGAGCTGGATTGAGCATGTATTTTATTAAGGCACTCTACCAGAGGACACGAAGCCACCATAGTCGTCTCAGGCCGCCATGACTTTCGCTGCCAACGTCTGATCCCCTATATAACCACAAGATCCATCACGGGCCTTTTGGGACGGCCCCTTGGTAATTTCGACCTACTCACTGGTGATGGTGGCAAGACATTGACCAAGACATGGCCCATAAATATTCTATCCTTCTTTTGTCGTAAGTATTGTATAGTAAGTTGTAAGCTTCTTTCTGTGGTGAGAGAGATATGAGCAAGTTATTTCGAGCTGTTAACTGGCTCCACTACTACTCATACATACTCCGTACTCCGTACACCAAACAACAAATGCCGGCCGAGGGCCTAGACTACCTATCACCCTTGTCAACTACAAGTCTGTAACCTTTTGCAGCTGCAGTATTGGATCTAAGTCGCGAGTGACTATCCTGTTTTAGTTAGACAGCAATACTTTAAACACTGCGCACTTGTGTTTCGATTGACGTTGGCCCTGGCTCAGATGTGATACATTAGTCTTGTCTTGTAAGTGGATGAGCCGAGACGAGCCAGTATTGTTCTTATGATGGAATACTAGCGACTACCTTGATGGTTCAATTTGAGGCAGTCTAAAACTCTTCATCTTCACAAGTAATCATTAAACATTTCTCAGATAATCGTCAGAATTCGAGGTCACGTTGTGACAGTATCGCCAAAAACTATTCTTCAACGGAGTTATCAAGATAGCCAGTTGTCTTGAACAGTCATACATACTCAGCTGTCGAGTCGCTTTGAAGACTTGTCTAACTATTGTCATGCTCTCTGATACTTTGACTCCGAAAGCAACAAAACATTGATGTATTTGTTTTTCGAACTTGGACGTAGTGTCTCATCATAGCCGAACTACACTGTAACTAACATAAATATGTTTCTGGTCTGGGCGTTGCAGTCATCTACTGTTTACACGCTGTTTCTAAACAATTCCGAATAGGAAATTGAGGACACTGCCTGTCATTGCTTCACATGCTATTTACGGGTATCGCTAAAAACAGAAAAGGATTTATCATACAAGACATATACGTCTCAACGCTCCAACCACATAACCCAATATCTAACCACAGCAAACCGTGGTCTCTTCAATTCCCTTGGTCTCGTCCTTGGGACCATCCAATCCATCAAGATCGATCCTCACAACCAACCAATCGCAGAAGAACTTGCCCAGACCGCTGCCGATAAAGATGCTGATGATAACGTAGCCGTTGAAGTACATGGCCAGCAACATGACGATGTAGGCTCCGCCAAAGGTAAGGGCGTGAATGAAGGACCGGATCAGCTGCTGCAGAGGAGACGCGCGGTACGTCAGGGTCTGGCGCGTCGGAACGACGGCCCCCGTGCAGCCTGCGGCGGCGAGGGCGACGCTGTGGGTTGAAGCTTGGCGCTGGAAGCCTCGCTGGAGAAGAGCGTCGTATTCTTTGCCCATGCGACGGAAGAACTCGACGAGCACGACGAGGAGGATTGTGCCGATGCAAGTGGCAGCCATCATGCCTTGGGTGCGGATCTGCCATGATGAAGCAAGGAAGCAGGCGTCGATTGTGTTCCAGTTCCACAGCATCTGAGACTTGTGAGTGGGGGATTGAAGATATCATATCCGTAGAGTTTACGGATATTTGCAAAGTGATTCATACCTCGACCTTGCAGTCTGCGCCGCTGCTGCCCATTGATCCGTGATCCATTTTGGGTTATTGATGTGGGTGAATGTTCTTTACCCTTTGAGTCGTGATAGTACAAGTTCTGAGTTGTGAGGCAGTCTTGGTGAGACTGTAGGCAATGAAATAATCACACTTGAGCTGTTTGTAGCAAAGAAACACAAAAATGCCGAGCCAAAAGAGTCGAGGGGCTGTCTCGGGGATATGTAATGGTAAATAACAGGAGCCAGATTATCCACTGAGAATGATTGAGCTGGTTCCAAGACTTTTGTTGCTTGTGAGACGACCGGAGAATTAAGAAGCTACATGCAAGCGTAGGAATAAGGTGGACGGTTAAGGTTTCGCAGAAGGAGGAGAGAGATATTGATAGAGAGATATTATTCCATGTCGTTTAAGGTCGGCTAAGACCCATGGTTTGTCTACATATAGACTATTCGCACCTTAGGAACCACCTCCAAAGGCCTCATCCAGCAGCCCAAGACCCTCTAAATGCCTCCAAAAGCCTTCAATTCCGGGCCATGTTCGAGATTTGCGGAGTCCCGGTGGAGACGGAGGTAGCGACGGCCCCACCTCTGGACGCTTGAGCTTAAAGATCCCGGTAAAACGTGCTCATTCCTGCTCAACTCGATCGACTTTGTCTATCAAATCGCCTCCAACCGCGCATGTTTCCGACTTTCCGACTTTCTGCAGGGCATCAGGGTATTGTTCCTCTGTAGGGTTCCTTCCGACCAATCCCTAATTAGGTGTTTTTGAGCAAGTAACCAGGAAACATTAACCCGATGTGTTGATAGCTTCCGTGCCAAGAGGACCCTATTATCATATCGTGCTCCTCTATATGGAGTTCCCCGATTATCCTCACCACCTCAAACATGCTCAAAAGTCGTGGCGCTGGTACAGTCTCGTCAACCGGGTTCTTCTTCTTCAGTGGGGACTCGGTGGACGACTCAGTTCATATTTCTATCTATTAATGCTATCACATCTTTTGCTTTGCTACTTCACTTCTGCTTGACCCTCCCTCATTCCTATCTCTTCTCATGGTTCGCCTGTATGTGAGCTAAACTGCAGATCATCCTTCAACTTCGATCTGTTTGTCTGATGAGCCTATGAGAAGCTTCAATATTCCAATTCTAACTTGAGTGAGCTTCTTTCAACACCTCACACATACCGGCAGAACCACATCACAGCCCTTCACAATGGCGTCGTCACTACACGAGTTGGGTGCTCGCCACATCCAAAACATGAGCGAGGCCAAAATACTTGAGCCTCATTGGGGATACGCTGATCGAGCTCTTCCTTGCACAAACGACAAGGGCTCCTGCGAATATCTTGACCTTGTCTACAGTGCTCACGACCTGGGCATGCTCTACAGCGGAATCCTCTGGGCTACTATCCTAGGCATCTTATTCATCTGGGGCATTGTTCGACGTCTCGGCCGCCCTTCGTCTCCCCCTATCTCCCTTAATATCAGCCCCAAGGCCGGACTCTCAAAGGCTCGCCGCAGTATCGGCTCTTTCACACGACGATATCTTCTTCCCGATGCCTGCCGCTCTATCTTTGGCCGAACCACCCGTCTCCAGGTCGTCATCATGTTGTCTCTTGTGGGCTACCTCACCATCTGGAGCTTCGTTGGTATGTCATATCAGAAGTGGATTACTCCTGTCAAGACCTCACCTGGAGTCTATAACACCCGCACTACTCTCGGTCCTTGGTCTGACCGAATCGGTATCTTGGCCTACGCCCTGACTCCTCTATCGGTCTTGCTGGCAAGCAGAGAATCTATCTTATCTCTAGTCACTGGCGTTCCCTATCAGAACTTCATGTTCCTGCACCGCTGGTCAGGCTACCTTATCTTCGTCCAGAGCGCCCTTCACACCATCGGTTGGTGCATCGTCGAGATCCGCCTCTACCAGCCTCAGCCTACAGTTGCCCTGGAGTGGGTTGTCCAGACATACATCGTCTGGGGTATCGTGGCCATGATACTGCTGCTTCTCATGCTTATCGGCAGCACCCCTTGGGGAATCCGCGCAACAGGATACGAGTTCTTCCGCAAGTCCCATTATGTTCTCGCCATGATCTACATTGGCGCCTGCTGGGCTCATTGGGTGCAGCTCAAGTGCTTTTTGCTCCCATCTCTCCTGTTCTGGTTCGCCGACCGAGGATTCCGACTCCTTCGAACTGCTTACCTGCACTACCACCACCTTCCCTCAGGTGGCATGGGTTTCCAGGCTTCTCAAGCCGTTATCACCAGATTCCCCGATGCAGAGCATGGCGATATTCTCCGCTTCGACCTGGAGAACGACCAGGACCCTTGGCAGATTGGCCAGCACTATTTCCTCTGCTTCACCGAGAGCAGTATCTGGCAATCTCACCCCTTTACTCCAATCAACGCTCCTGTTGTTGAGAACGGTGTCGTGAAGCACTCGTACATCATGAGAGCTAAGAAGGGTGAAACCAAGAAGATGGCTGAGCTGGCTGCCAAGAAGTACGAGACCTCCGAGAAGGCCACCACCCCTATCATCCTCACTGGCGCTTACGGCGAGACCACTATGGATCACGTTTCACACGACACCAACATCGTCTGTGTTGCAGGTGGTACCGGCATCGCCTACGTGCTCCCTGTACTCCTCGAACTCGCACGATCACCCATCTCCCGCGACCGCAAGATCGAATTTATCTGGGCCATCCGCCACGCCTCCGACGCTGAATGGGTACACCAGGAAATTGACATCCTACAGCAAGCCTCCAAAGCCCTTAACCTCAAGATCCGAATCTATGCTACACGAGACGCCAGCAGCAGAAACGGTTCTCAGGTGCGAGTAGACGACGAGAAGAATGTCACAGATGCTGCCAGACAAGTCGGCTCATCATCATCGTCCGACGTTGTAGACGACAGCTGTGCATGCGGAACCGATGTCCCTGTCGCCAAGATCGGCCAGGGAACTATCGACGAGGACCGACACCCCAACCTGCCCAAGCTCATCAACGACTTTGTGAGCAACACCATCGCTGGTCCTACAACAGTCTTTGCCAGCGGCCCCGGTGGAATGATCAGTGATCTCCGCACAATTGTCGCCGAGTGCAACTCCGGCGGTAAGGTCTGGAAGGGCAACGAGCGATTCGACGTCAAGCTGGTGTGCGACGATCGTCTGGAGTGGTAGATTGTCTTTTTCAGCGCAAGGCAAGGATTGAGGGATTGGAATTTGCGTGTTTGAGGAAACTTTAAGATACCACATGTAGCGATTTGCATTTAGAAGCCAGCCTTTATAGGGGCTATGAAAGAGTTTGGTATATTTATGAGTATATATCACCCGAGTACATACAATATGTGTGTAAAGAACATCATTGAAGCTTACATGTTTACTCGTGCACTTGAAATTAGCCTATGGTGATTCTTGTATGAGCCGAGTTTTGATGTTTGCTTACACAGCTGATAGCCTGATAGCACCGTATTCCTGGCAGTGGAACTCATGGACCTGTCTCCATCATGATCATCATGGCTCTTTTTACTTGTCTTGTCCAACAACTCGTCACGTATTACCACGTATGCCGGCAATTCGCACAAATCAACTACTCCGATATAGGTACTCTACTGTTCACTGCAGTTTTAAGCCTCATACGGAAACTTATCCTCAGACTAATGCGTGCAATTACAACCGCACCACTCATTATGTGGTATTAATGGAGCAAGCAACCCATGACACACCCCGCACTCAAGTCACCACACACTCGGTCGAGTTGGCCCGAATACCGCCTGTGTCAACATCCCTGGAGAGTTCCATATACCGGTACAATGTCGTGGGTGTTTTCTGCAGAATATTTGCCCATAATAAACAAAAATCAACGGCAAAACTCGACGGCTCATGACCCCATTGGTAGTTTAGCCTGAAGTCAACTCGACGCAGTGTCATGATGGGGGCGGGCCCCTCAGCTTGCGCTGCGCATTTAGCCCCATGGGCGCATATGTATGGTGTTGCAGAAAGAACAAGTAGATGACATTTGCCGCATCTTGTCTCAGATCAGTTTGATTCTATTTTCTTTATTTATCTGTTATTCTCAGTCACTCTTGACTCTACCAATAATACCATCATAAATACCACTCAACAACCCCTCATACCAAACCTCCATCAGCTTATTCACCCCGCATAAAGTGAGATCATCATCATCATCATGGCCGACGCTCCCATCTCTTTCCTGCCCCTCGGCGCTATTATCCAGTCCCTCGTCGTCAACGGCGTCAACATTGTCCAGGGCTTCCCCACGCAGGAAGACTACGAGAAGTACAACTATCCTTACTTTGGCGTAACCGTCGGCCGAGTCGCCAACCGCATCAAGGGCGCTCGCATCGATAGCCTCAATGGCAAGGAGGTCACTCTCGCCGCCAATGACGGACAGAACCACCTCCACGGCGGTAAGGTTGGCTGGAGCAGCCGCGTCTGGGACGGCCCCAAGCCTGTTGGCACCCGTGAGGTTCCCGGTGTAGACGGCCTTGAGGGCGGCGAGAGCGTTGCCTTTACGCTCACCAGCAAGGATGGCGAGGAGGGATATCCCGGTACTGTTGAGGTTACCGTCACTTACACCACGGGTACGCAAAAGGTCGAAGGCAAGGAAGCTACTATTCTCGCCATGGAGTACGAGGCCAAGCTGATCGATGGAGCTGATGAGACCGTCATCAACATGACCAACCACTCTTACTTCAACCCCGGCGGAAAGGAGACCATCGCCGACACAGAGATGACCCTCCCCACGGCCGACTACCTCGCTGTCGGAGACGACCTCATCCCCACGGGCAAGATCGAGCCCTTCCCCGGCGTCACCGCCAACGAGACCTTCACCCTCGGTCCTCAGGAGCCCAACATCGACCACTGCTTCGTCCTCAACAAGGAGCCTTCCTCCGTGCCCCTCGACACCCGAAGCCAGCCCCTCAAGCTCAACGTCAAGACTCACCACGCTGGCTCCGGCATCAACCTCGAAGTCCACAGCACCGAGCCAACTTTCCAGATCTACACCGGCGCCGGAATCAACGTGCCCGCCGTCAACGGTCTACCAGCCCGTAAAGCCCGCGCCGGTTTCTGCTGTGAACCTGCTCGCTATGTCAACGCGGCCAATGTGCCCGAGTGGAAGAACCAGGTCCTGCTTAAGAAGGGAGACACATACGGTGCTAGAATCGTGTACAAGGCGTGGGCCGACTAAATTGGAAATTGATGTAAAGGAAAAGAATTATCAATTGGATAGAGGCTTTTCTCAGCGCCTAGCTATTGTAAGATAATTAAAATAAAGAAAACAACATAAACCCGTTGCTGCACACCAAACCCCGTGTTGTACAAAGCTACTCATGATACATCCCGTCGTCCTTGATTATATGCTACCCACCCTTGTCCAGAGGGAATCAATGCCGTGAGCGTAAAATCCATTATGCAACCTTTAGTCGGAATCGCTGTCATCACCCAAAAACGCCAAATCCGCTCTCGCTCTCTTGCGTCTCGCAGCATATGTCTCCTCTTCGTCGTCTTCGTCATCTTTACCATCGCCGTCGTTGTTCTCGACATCACTAGCTTCGCTTTCAACAACTTTGGCAGTCTTGCTCTTGCTTCGGCTTGCACGGCCGCGTCCCTCCACACCCCAAAGCGCACTCATTTCCTGCGCAGACTCGACCTCGGCAAGTAGTTCCCGCCTCTCCTTGATCTCACGAGCTTTAGCCTCCGAGAAACGGCCGTCCATTCCCACATCGGTGAGCATCTTCTTAAGATGTCGGATCTTAGCTTTGGCGTCATCACCGTACTGTTTTAATTCATTGTGCCAAAGCTTCCGGACACCACATTTTGTGAGATACCCTTGTAGTCTCTTGATCTCTTCAGTGTTGGGGTCGTCGGTGGCAGTGCTCTTCTTGACGACGGCCTTGGGCGCCTTTGCTGGCTTGCTTCCACCTTCTTTCTTCTCCTTCTTCTTGCGCTTGGGCTTCACAGGTTCGTCGATAACATCTGAGTATTCTTCTTCTTCGTCGACGGTTGGTTTGTTCTCATCTTCATTGACAGCCAGCTTTTCCTCGTCGTCTGAATTTTGTGCTTTTGAAGGAGTAGTTTCCTTTTCACCAGCAGGCTCTTCATTTTCAGCCTCGTCGTCCTTCTCCAAAGGCTGCTCAGCATCAGAGTCGAGTGCGACTTCCTCGTCCTCCACGTCGGAATCGACTTTCTTGGATTTGCGTTTTTGTGTGGCTTTCTTTGGTGCAGCTTTCTTTGGGGCGGCCCTCTTGGGCGCAGCTCGTTTTCGCTTTTTCCGAGGCACCTCTTCCTCACTCATCTCACTCACTTCACTCATTTCACTTAACTCGCTGAGCTCACTAGACTCACTGCGATCCGATTCATCATCAGATTCCACTTTCTTGGCGGCTTTCTTGGGCTTTGTCTTCGTCTCTGACTTGGGCGCTCGCTTCTGACGTTTGGATTTTGGTTGAGGTGATTCGGCATCCGGGGAAGAGCGCTTCACGCCAGCGCTTTTCTGTTTTTCTTCCTCTTCCTCTTCATCAGAACCATCCTCTTTCTTGTTGTCAGGAACCCATCCTTCTCCAAGTTTCTCCTAGATGTTGTGTAAGTTTCGAACATGAAATAACGGTTACGAGTGAAACTTACTGCTCTCTCTTTTACGAGATCTTTACTCTTTTTCTTCCAGTCTCCACTTGAAAAAAATCCATCTTCGAGACTGAGGTTTTCTTCAGTCTGTTTGCGGACCTTGTTCACTGTGGTTTCGTCTGGGAAAGCTTGGTAGACTTGGTAAGTTGCATCCAGGAGGGCTTGTTCGATTTCCTCATCAGAAGGCGCCATATTCGAAGATTCAGGGTTTTTATTAGAAGGTTTGCGATTATTAGTGGAGGTTTATAAAAGAGTGACTCGATATTATGTTGTCGCACTTTACGAAGAGAAGTCGAGTGTTCTGTTTGAGTCGCGTTCAGACGCGACAGGCTGAGCATGAGCTTGGACGTTTTTGTGGGGGGATGAGCTTTAGCCAATGGTAGCTTATAGGTACTTGTCATGAAGAGTCCATTCCTGTCGTTGGAAGTTACACTGGAATATTACCTGCAAATAAATTGCCAATGTCTTTGCTGTAAATAACTCAACATAAACTGTGGTATTAAATCCCCGTACTGATTTACTATCTCATATATAGTCTATTGTCGAATTGCTTCCCTTGGTAAGCTGTTATTTGAGCGGTCTTACACAAGACGCTTCAGTGGAGCACAGCTAACGTTAGAGAGCTTGGCGTCTCTCTTCTTGCAAGGACCTGAATGCTACATCATTTACACACTTACAATTAATTCATCATGTCGGCTTCACTATCGCCAGAATGCAACGAGGTCAAGGAGTGAGTTTCCATCAAATTACAAATTTCATATTAAGTTTAGCTCATTTTCTTCTTGGCGTTATGATACATGCTTCTTAAAATGGTACAGCGAGAGTATGTTCTCCCGAACCCAGCTGTGACACGCGGCTAATGAGATATAGAGTACCTGCGAGGACAGGAAAAGGACAACAAGGAGTGTGCAGACATGTTCAAGGAATACCAAAGTTGTCTCAGGGTGAGCCTTGTTCCAGCCCAAGATTTGGTTTCTGTTACTCACCATCTTCTATAGGTTGCTCTGAAAGATCGAGGCGTGGATAAGCTGGTGGCAGAAGCTCGAGAAGAGAACAAGGAGAATGATTTGAGACACTTGGGGCCAAAAAGTATCTAGTCTCTGCTGCTGTCCGAATGCTCTTGATAACACTAACATGATTTCTAGAATAAATGTATAATATTGATGAGCATGGCGTTCTGGTAACCCCAAACTTGGTGGTTTACGCATCACATGCCTTATATATACCTAGCATGAGCTTCAGATACGTTTCATGCCATTATTCTCACTACTCACCACACATGTAATTTCACCAATTAATCTCTTCAATGCATCATCTCACCTTTGGCACCTCATGTGCTATATCTTGCTGCTACTTGCCTCCATCGTCATCGCTCAATATATGCGGAAACATGCCGCTTACACGTGATCTTCAAATGGCGGGTGGCCCACCAGGGGTTTAGCTCAACTTGACGTTGCTTGACAGCAAAAGAACAACGCGCAAGGGGAACCAATCACCTCAAATCTCTTTGCATTGAGCTGGCAATTCTTCTTGGAGCTCTATTCAAACTTCTATTCTATAAATTTTAGCGTTGAAACGATCAAGCATATTCAGTATTTGCCAGGACGTATTCGACAAATCTGTGGTCGACCGTCGCTTCATCCCGCCAGCAAACCTACTACCACAGCTTGGCATAGACTCTAATAGATATCTTAAGCTTTCACCAGGGGACGGCATGTACTGCCACGAGGAATAGCGCTTCTATGCACCCCTTTTCTGTCCTCACGCTCGGCATCTTCGTCGCTGGCTACATCACTGCCCGTTGGGATCTCGTTACTCGCCTCTATGAGCTTGCCATTTTCGCCTGGGAAAACGGTGTCGTCGTGCGTTCCCTCACACCCCTCCCTCTTGTACGCAGATCGCATATAGCTAACACATCTTCTCTGCCCAGACTCGCGCAACAAAAGCTTTCGCTGCACTTTCAGTTCTCTTCCTCGCCATTTGCGCCCCGACCGTCCTACTAGCCAGAAAGGAAACGAATCTGGTACGCTCGATAACACCATCCGACGCCGCTGACAATGGCTAACAAGATGGGCTCAGCATCCACGAGGAACAGGAGCGGGTATTTCTGCGCGTGAACAACTCAGAAGGCGTGGTTCTTTCTAAGAATATCGTTTCAATAGAAATAATTGTTGGTCATGGTAGAACATGATGGGTTGATGAGAGTGTTCTGGCCGACGGACATTCGCAAGTCCGATCGACCTGGGGTTGTGGTGGGATGGCGCAACTCCATTCTGGATGTATTCGTTGTCGCTATCCTCGAGGATGTTGATGTTAGTCTCTGCATGTTGCAAGATAATTCAAGGGATGTACTGACTGGTAATAGGCACGAAACACTGAATCCCACCTCAAGGCCGGTACCTTCTTCCGCAGCGAGCTTCACCCGACCAACCAGATTACCGATATGTGCGGCCATGGGTCGATGCATGTCCTTGGCCTCTCGAATGTCACAGACCCGACTGCAGCAGACCCTTCCTGGTTTTGCGCAACAACAAACTCAAATCCCCGAGAGCCGAAGATCACATGCGCCAAAGCTGTAAGCGTACAGCTTATCCTCTACGACCGCCCTCAACCTCAGGGAATGCAATATGTGTCATTGAATCCAATTGCTCTGGCACTTGGTCATGATGGCTCCCTATTAGGCGACACTACGGTTTCAGAAGGAGAACAAGAGACCCGAGAGAGGCAAATGAAGGAAGAGAAGCGCAAGCTAGCCGAAAAGCTCAAGCAACACACCATCTTTAAACGAGTGCCTTCTGCTCGTGACAAAGCTTTGCCAAAAATCATCAACCAAATAAACTGGTCCTGGGAACTCGAGAAGACGTTGCAGAAGAATGTAGGACGGTTGGGATCAAGACCACGGCGCAGCCTTAGTGTGTCTGAGAGAGTGGTTGAAACAGCGTCGACTATGCGGAACTATGTCATTCTTCAGTTATGGACGTGGTTTACACTCTATATTTTCCCTACTATACGCAAGGCCTTTGTTCTTGTTCTTATGGGGCATCGCATTATAGCAGAGATACTGCTTTTGCTACTCGAGTTCAGAGTCAAGCCTGATTACGCGGCCCTGAAAGATATATCGGCTACTGCACAACAAGTTGAGATACGACTCCAACAGTTTTGCTACTGGCCGATGCAATACACGACTCTGCGACAGCGAAAAAACAACTGGGCCAGCGTCACAACAAGTCATCCAGATTATATCCGATTCTACAACAGCCTGTGGCTTGTCGCAAACGATGTCATCATCGGCATTGCGCTAGGATCATATATCATTGAGAATGCGGATTGGGTTGCTGATCAAATTGGCGACTTACTACAGACTTACACAGTGGATGCACTTCAGAGCAGCATCTCATGGCTGATGGGCTGGCCTGCTGGCCTCAAGCTGAACGGTGAATTGGCTGCCTTTTTGGGAGATTTATTCCTGTGGGTTATCGACTATTGGTCCAGTAAGTGTTCATAAATCAACCTCATGGCTTGACTAACAATGGCAGGCTGTATCGAGACCTTGATGCCAGCATTGCCCCGGATGGTGTGGTTCATAGGATTCTCATCGTTCGCTGGAGCCAGCATGCCGATTGCCATGTTCTCCGACATGCTTTCTACGTTGACCATTCATATTTACTCCTTCTACCTTGCATCTGGACGCATATATCACTGGCAGCTCACAATTCTGCAGTCCCTCTTCCATCTTTTCCGAGGTAAAAAGCATAACGTCCTTCGTAATCGTATCGATTCTTGCGACTACGATTTGGATCAACTGCTTGTCGGGACCATCCTCTTCACGCTGCTGTTCTTCCTCCTGCCGACTGTTGCTGTCTTCTATCTTAACTTTGCTATCGCTAGAATGGCGATCATCTCTCTAAAAGCTGGATTCGATACACTACTATCCTGTTTAAATCACTTTCCGTTATTTGCGCTTATGTTAAGAATCAAAGACCCAAGGAGACTTCCGGGTGGCATCAGATTCGAGCTTCGAGACACTCACGACTACCGGCACGACGAAACGAGCAACGCCGATGGACCACCACCTACCTCGGTCATCTACCTCAAGGTTAGTAGTCCCTCGCTTCTCATACACAGATAATTGACGCTAACTTGTCCACCAGTCAATTCCCTTGACATTTCGGATCATGTTCAACCAATACTTCCAGATGGCCAACCGCATCCGGAAACACTACCTGTCGCCCAAAGTGTTCTTCTGTCTGCTGACGGGCAAGTTCGTGCCGCCTATCAACCGCAAGAATTTGTATAGTCTACAATACAGCATGTTGCCGGCTTGTCGGGCAACAATCTGGGAGATGTGGAGGGCGTTGAATACAGAAACCAGACCGGCAAAGCGAATGCCGTTGCCTTATATCCCGTCGTTACCCAATGGTGGAAGAAGAACCTCAGCAAATAATGGACGGGCTAGATAAATGATATATAGAAGACATTTGAATTGATTATCAAGAATTACGATCTTATGAAGTGCCTTCCATGGGGATTTGTTATAACTCTGAGTATTGGTGCTTCAATCAACAACAGGCCGGCTGATAGATGGCCAAACCGAACCAGGGGTGTATGAATCGAGCGAATGTCTAGTTAAGATGCAGTTCGGCTTTAGTTGCTTCACTCCCTCTTCATTCTTGGATGGTCCAGATTCTCGCTTCCTCCCCGCATCTACGGTCCTTCTGGCGCATGTTTGGTACTCTAAGCTTTATTCAAGGTTGTTACGGATACAGCAATGTTAGATACTGTTCTCAAAACTGGTTATCCATTGGATGATGTAACATCCTTAAATGCCATACCACCACCACCATGAACTATTCCCCAAGCTGCACGCTGCACGACGTTGATCTTGGACGAAAACAATGCCTCGGCAACCCCCTTCACTTATAAAACGTCAAGCTTGTTTTCTCCTCCTCGCTTAACCAGAAGAAGCTACGGCTTCGGTATTGGAAATTGTCTCCGCAGACTAACAATGACGACAAGGTCGTTGACGGTCATTTGCCGAATGAATGTCACTTGTCACTCACACACAAGCTTCTTTAGAGAACAGGGTCTACAGGGTCTCAAGTCTACCAACCTTGTCAGATTCTCAAGGGTCCCCTCCAATTTCTCGATCGTGAGCTTCTTGACTTTTCCTCATCGGCCCACTTCATTGTCTTTTCGCCCACTGAGAGAGTCATCTCTAGAGGCTGCTGTTGCTCTGTTGGACTTGGAGAAACAGGCATTGACCCACCATAGCCCAAGGGTCCAGAAACCCCCTCTCACTTCTAATCTCCAGCCTCTATCCGTACTCTGCTGTAGATTAGTAGCTTAGACTATCGTCTCTTCCATCATGCCATACTCCAGCTTTCTACAATAAGAACCTACCTACCTTATTTGAATGGTGGTGCCACAGTTTTGACAACAACACCACTCTCGCAGTATTCGCAGCACTCTCAGCGCCCTTCGCACCCTCCATCTCGATCTTCCCCCCGCCGTGTGACGCCCGCCAACTTGTCACCAGCGAATTGCCTACTTTGTCAAACCATCCACCATCCACCATTTATCATCTATCCCGTCCATCCATCACAAGCGGACTAATACAACAACCGCTCAGGGCAGAACTACACCACTCATCGCCCATCACCAGGTTCAAAGGGCATCAGGCGGCATTGACGTCACCACCAGCTGCTGGCTTGAACAACAGATCCATGCTGAAAACCCCTGAAAGCTTAAGGGAGCATTAAAGTCGTACGGAAACGAGGGGTACCAGCTGCGTTATCCTGGGGTAGGAGAAGCTAGAGGCGCATATTAACATCACCTGCTGCGGCTTATTTCACTTCCTGGTAAGTGATTGACGCTCTCGAACCTGTCATGCATATATATTATCTCCAAGTTTGGAGCGATCATCCTATGTGCGGTCCCTTGGCTGCGTCTTTGCCAGAATCTGGCATTAGCTTGCTGGCTTTGTAACACATGGTACTTGTTGTCGTTGTCATGATCCTTTTCCATCGCTCTCTTTCTTATACATGAGCCTGTCACCACTAGTATATAAATGCTGCAATACTCTCCACCCATCTCCCCAAACTTGTCGCGCTACCACTTCACATCTCGCCTAAACAGACAAACATAAGCTTTAAATATAAAGGAAATTCATAATAACGTCAATGGAGACACAGGTTCAAACCGCAACTCTTCCACACGACCCTTGGGCTGCCACCCATCAGGTCATTCTTCAGCCAACCACCATGGATCCTAAACAGCGGTTTTACCACCATTTCCAGGAGAGCGTCACAGGTGAGGACCTCATGAGGTCGTGGCATTTTTCCCCAATCCCTAACCATCGTGTTGAATAGTTCTTCAAGACCTCGTCGATGAGCTACCGTCCATTGCTACCGTCGGTGGTGAGCGCCAGGAGGCCATTGATCATATTCTAGCTAGCATTGCAAAGCTACAAAACGAAGTATCAGACGCAGCCGACTACACTCCATCTTATGATCGAAAACAGTATTCCGAGGTTAGTCTATTCTACCATACTGACAGCTGTAGCCTAGACTAACCCATATGCTCTGTAGACCATCAAGACTCTACAAGACAAGCTAAACGAAACTCTGACCAAGATCACACCCAAATCGAAATTCCAGTTCCGTCGCTCAAAGACTGATCATGTTGATATGGGCGCCCCCGAGAACGATCCTCGTCTCAGTCCAGGAAGTCATTCTCGCGCAAAGCATGACACAGCCATTGCCTCCAACTTAATTAGCCCTCCACCGCCGACTCAGGAGGATACCCTCAGCGAGTTGCCATCCAAGGACAACTACAAGAACTACAACGAAGAGATGGCTCGGCCCAGCGCCTCTTCCGTCCGCAAGCCCAGCTTCTCGGCCGCTAAGAACATTGGCATCTCGAACCACTCTGGCCTACACATCATCTTGCCGTCATCGGCATCACGAGCCACCTCTTCAGGTAGTCTTACTGATCTCAAGAGCTGCATTATCGACATGTCGATCCCAACTGCCTCTGGTGCAGCATTTCCTGGTCTTGCTATCAAGAACGTGACTAAGAGCCTCATCGTTGCGGGTCGTGTCAACGGTCCTGTCCACATCACAGGAGTTTCCGACAGTACCATAGTGGTTGTGGCAAGACAAGTTCGAATCCATGAGTGCAGCAATGTCGATATCTACCTCCACTGCGGAAGTCATCCTATCATTGAGGATTGCTCTGGTATGCGGTTTGCCCCGTTGCCCGAAGTATACGTAAGTCTTAAGCGCGTCTTATTCAGTAATCTGCCATCTGATAACTACACAGAGAACCGAGGCTGAAGAGCCGGAGGAGAACCAATGGGATCAAGTAGATGACTTCAAGTGGCTCAAGGCTGGCCACAGCCCCAACTGGACTACTCTATCAGAGAATGAGAGGCTCAGTGATGAGCTCTGGAGAGATGTTGTTCCAGGTAGGGCGGGCGTAAGTGTTGACGAGGCTTTGAAGAAGCTAAGCATCCCACGGAGGTAATGCTCAATGATGCTGCTAGGTGTATGATCTCTAGCGCTCAAGAAGAGCCCGAGTAGTGTTTCTCTTTTCTATTTTTAGGAGTAGACTTATACCTTTATAATAGAGAGCATAATAATCAGCTTCTCTATAGTTGTTTCGGGGACATAGCTCATGTAAGTGCAAAAATCTATATCTTTGTAACGTAGTCGGTGGAACAATTCCGATACCCATCAAACCTCATAGGCTATGGCTTCTGTCCATCCAAAACCTGCAAATGCAATGTGTGGTTGGATACATTATGTATGAGAAGTAAAGCGCAATCAGAACCAGTTTCTTTTGCTTAATATCAGAACTCCAAACTCCATGCTGATCAACTAATTGGATGACCCAACAAGTCCATATTGAGTGTCTCGCGAGACCCATAAAAGTCTAACATACGGATACCTATATCATGACTCCATCTTGTCACCAGCGCTGACATCGTCTTTTCGATCCCTTCCGGTAGCTTCGTCTCTGAGTCGTTGAAGTAGTGCGCGCTGCTTCTCAATGCGACTCTCAAGCTCACGGATCTCCTCGTTCTGCTCTGCGACAGAGCGGTCCATATCAGGCAGCTCGCGAACCTGGTTGCGAGCACGCTGCAGCTTGTGTTTCAAGCCATCAGTCGCTCCAGGCACATCTTTGAAGGAGAGCGTAGGTCCGGAGGCGCTGGGGCCGGTGGTTCCTGGCGCAGGCTCGGTGGTGATTCCGGCTGAGGACTGAATGCCGGCGCGGACGCGGGCGAGGACGAGGGAGAGCTCGGAGAGGGCGTCTAGAGTATCGGGAGAGAAGGTGGGCGGGAGGGCCAGCGGGTGTGGGCCAGGTGCAGATGCGGATGACGAAGACATGGTCTGTCTTTTTTTTATGATACGACTCGGGTTTCTGCTTTGACCGCTCGAAGGCTTGCTCGGGGAGGATGGTTAGAGGAGTGAATCAGGCGAGGTCGGTGTGGACGCGGTGTTATGATGACTCTAGACTGGAGATGATATGGCCGTGTGAAATGGACCGAGTGGACTCCTTCAGCCTTGCATGAAAGTCCCGTAATAGCATCGAGGTTGAATCGTGGATGGTGGGCGTTGAAAGGTGGGCAAATGGTAAAGATCTATTGGGTCGATGAATCCGTTTGTTGTTGGGTGGACGGTCCGAAAGAGAGAGAAAATAAATGTCAAAGGGTTACAGTGCAGCTTCATCATTGTACGGTATCTAGTTATGGTAAGCGAGCCGACATGCACAGTGCCAATTCAGCTCATGCCTCCAGAGTGACATGACACAAACCCCCACTACAACTAACGTGTTTCCCTGCAAAATCATCAGTCGTTGTCTGGGCCCATCAAATCACGCATCATTTCCTTTACTCAAGCCCGAGTTACTCTCCGTCTTATCCTTATCTACCTCTACCTAACGTTAGCTAAGAACGTTCGTTCTTCTTTATACCTCGTCTATTTCTTCCTTTTCTCTCTCTTCTTTCTCTTCTTTCATTGCATTGCTTCATTGCAAAGGAAAAACGAACAACAGACAAACATTATGTCCAAGACCGATCAAAAAGCCTGCCTCAGTACGTCCTTCGTCATGCCCCGCCCCCTCCATCCATTCCCAAATCCAATCCCAACTCCGTGCCCCGCGATCGCGATACAAATCGGACGGCCTGCAATGGTTCGTCTTTTTGTGCAACGTTAAAAAACGGCTCCTTCGATCGTTCAGACATTGCCAAATGCGCCGTAGTATGACTGGGCTACGGTTTCGTGTTTATCCTTGTATACTTGTCTTCAGCCTGGCTAACCATGTTGTTTTTGCACTCTTACAGTCGTCATTGACGGTTGGGGCATTCCCTCCGCTGAGAGCCCCAAGAACGGCGATGCCATCACCAACGCCAAGACCCCCGTCATGGACGGCCTCTACAAGGATCCCAAGGGTTACGCTGAGCTCGAGGCTTCATCGCTGGCGGTGGGACTCCCTGAGGGTCTCATGGGTAACTCTGAGGTCGGACACTTGAACATCGGAGCTGGCCGTGTTGTGTGGCAGGACGTTGTCCGAATCGACCAGACCATCAAGAACGGCGAGCTGAGCCAGAACGATATTATCAAGAAGACCTTCCAGAGTGCTGCTGCTGGCAACGGCCGCCTGCACCTCTGCGGTCTCGTCTCTCATGGTGGTGTGGTAAGTCATATCATATACAGCACGTCCTTTTCTAGGCATTGATCAGTCACTTACACCCAACAGCATGCCAAGCAAACCCACCTCTACGCCCTCCTCAAGGCCGCCAAGGAGTTTGGTGTGCCCAAGGTCTTCATCCACTTCTTCGGTGATGGCCGTGATACCGACCCCAAGTCCGGCGCCGGTTACATGCAGGAGCTCGTCGATACAGTCAAGGAGATTGGCATTGGTGAGATTGGTACCGTTGTCGGTCGATACTTTGCCATGGACCGCGACAAGCGCTGGGACCGCCTCGAGATTGCCCTTAAGGGTCTTGTCCACGGTGAGGGTGAGGCCTCTGAGGACCCCGTTGCTACCGTCAAGACTCGATACGAGCGCGGCGGTGACTTGGACAGAGATGAGTTCCTGACTCCCATCATTGTCGGTGGTGATGAGCGCCGCATCAAGGGTAAGTTATGCTCAGAATACATACTCTTTGAATAACGTCTAACTCTTCCACAGACGACGACACTGTCTTCTTCTTCAACTACCGATCCGACCGTGTCCGTCAGATCACCCAGCTTCTCGGCGATGTCGACCGATCTCCTCTCCCCGACTTCCAGTACCCCAAGATTAAGCCCCTTGTCACCATGACCCAGTACAAGGGCGACTATCCCTTCGAGATTGCCTTCAAGCCCCAGCACATGGGCAACGTCCTCGCCGAGTGGCTAGGCAAGCAGAACGTTGAGCAGGTACACATCGCCGAGACTGAGAAGTACGCTCACGTTACATTCTTCTTCAACGGTGGTGTTGAGAAGGCCTTCCATCTTGAGGCCCGTGACCAGTCCCAGGATCTGGTCCCCTCCAACAAGGCCGTCGCCACCTACGATCTTGCCCCTGAGATGTCTGCCGATGGCGTTGCCGACCAGGTTGTCAAGCGTCTGGGCGAGCAGAAGTTCCCCTTCGTCATGAACAACTTCGCTCCCCCCGATATGGTTGGCCACACCGGTGTCTACGAGGCCGCCATTGTCGGTTGCGAGGCTACCGACAAGGCCATTGGCAAGATCCTCGAGGCCTGTAAGAAGGAGGGCTACGTCCTTTTCATCACTGCTGACCACGGCAACGCCGAGGAGATGAAGTTCCCTGACGGCAAGCCCAAGACCAGCCACACCACAAACAAGGTGCCTCTCCTGATGGCCAACTACCCCGAGGGTTGGAACCTCAAGCAAGGCGACGAGGGTGTTCTCGGTGATGTCGCCCCTACCGTCCTCGACGCCATGGGTTTGCCCCAGCCTGAGGAGATGACTGGAAAGTCCCTTCTCGAGAGGGCTTAATTATGATGACGGTATTGAGCACACGTACCTAAAATTAAAGAGCCTCAAAGGATGGCGGAGTAGTGGTGATAGTACTATTAGCGATTTGTTGATGATGGCTGAGCGCTGGGCGTGTGGCTGTTGGTTATTGTTACGTGCGAGTCGACGCATTGACTCTGGAGTTGGGTAGGGTTAGAGGTTATGCTCGACTGGTTAGACATAGATTCGAAGGTTCCTAAAAAAGTAAAATGAACAAGAATAGAGAACAATGTTGTTCCTCGGTAACTGTCTCCTACACTTGGTGTGTGATTTGACTAAACATTTTAATGATTGTAGTTAGGTAGTTTGCTTTCGAATACGGTATATGATTTTTTGTGATTTGGACAACATGGACAGCTCTTAACTACACTCTGTAGCTACATATCATGCCTTCCGAGGAGTATCATGGGAATGGATGGTGTCACGAATTGACGCTCCACATCCAGCTCGCCACCCTACCTAGACTTTAAGGTACAATAATGTTTTGGTTTAATTCACCACTATGTTTAATAGAGTGGTCTGACTGAATGTTTTCTAATTTGGTAGCTTACTAAAAAAATATAATTACATTATATTGTTCGAAGTTATCCTAATTCTTCATTATAATTAAGACTTATGTTACGTAAATCTTAGGAATTAATCGATAGGTTGTGATGTGAGATATTCGATTACACGCCCTACTCTGTGACCCATGAAGTACAAATAATTCATCAATACTGTATAAAAAAAAAGAAGTGGAAAATGAACAAAAAAGGCATGTCTCGTTCCTGTATCGTTGCCGAGATCCGAGGCCAAGTAAATACAGCTGTTGGAATGAATGGGCGAGGTACCTCTTGTTGGAGATTTACTGTAGGGTATCGCCATTTGTTTGCGAATCTCGAGGATTGATTATGTGAAGGACAATATCCACAAGAACCAGGTCTCGAAAAGGGCTGTAAAATTAAAGAATGTTAAATAATGTGACAAGGTCAGAGAAGTGGAGATGTTCGGCTCATTATTGGGGGTTTCTTTGCAAGTGTTGGACCTTCTTCCACCAGCCTTGTCAAATAAAACAAAGGAACATCGACTTTGGGAGAATCACCAGGTGAGAAGCTAGCAACTTCTTTATTACTGAATACGTCGAAGTTAAGACCTTTCAACCAATGATAGAGCCCGGAGTCTGGTCCGTCTTCCAAAGCTTTGGATCGGAGATCAGTTCCCGCTACTTAGGCGATCCCCAAGTCCACAATGCTTGAGATCTGTGCAACCTACAAGCCACATATCGCTCACCTAAGACGATCATCCAGGGGCCGATAGTACGTAGCTTCAAACTTCAAACAGACAAATCTGTTAAGGTGCTAAGAGAACGATGGAGTATCTCCAAAGCCCTTGCCGTTGGGGAGATACCGGAGGTCCCTCTCCGACGACGAATTGTCCTCGGCACAAAACCAGTTAGCATGCTGATGCGGGAGCTAAAGGGGTATGAAAAGTGCTGACTGGAGCCGGTGAGTCTTTACTTTTAGCGTCCGATCGTGGGGGAAAGGCAACGTCCTGACGATCGGGCGGAAATAAGACATAAACGTACAGTCGAGACCCTCGATCGAACCCCATGTTTGTGCTCCGTACATGGTCCATTACACGTGGGGTACGTATTCTAGTGAATAGTGATGCAGTATAAATGCTTGTGCTTCGCCTCAACTCCAGTGGCTCGTGGCACAGACTGAAGACGATACGTGCGAGCAATAGACAGTGACGGCATTGCTGGCGATTCTTGCGCTTTCTCATGTGTCGTTTCACTTGATAGGGAGCTTTGTAATACGTAGTTGATGCAGTTCGAGCTAATCGTGAAGGCTAATACGGCATCTTAGCCATTTGTTACAAGCAACATTAGCCTTATGGGGCGGCCTTGATAAATACAGATCAGGGGAGAAGGCTCAAGGCACTAGATTACTTGTGCTTCTGCATCGTGGAGAGTCTCATCACAGGGCGATATGTGAGATGGGAGCCGATTATTGACTGTAACAAGATCTCGAACTTGTTGGAAACTGCAAGGTCTAGATCCGAGTCACATCCCACGATCTTTCATGCAGCGTGGGTCGATTGGCCACCACAAGGCTGTCCACCCAACGTTGACCTTCGTACCTGGAGGGATCCCGAACATTTAGTTTATCGGATCTGAGTTACTGGGATCAGATTAAGGGGGTGGCCAAGAACGATGTTGGACTTACAACGGGTGATCAACATGCGATTGTTGGAGAGTCCCAACATCTGGGAATCGCGTTCAAGCATGAGAACTAGCCAAACCCTGTCGTATGGAGTATCTTTCCACGCCTGTGAATGCGTTTCACTGCCACAGACAATGATCGACATTGAAGGTAAGACTCAACCTTCCTAACCAAGCCACCCAAAAGAAGTCATCTCGCAACCTAGCCATCTTTGTTCAAGCATGGCCATCGTGCCCCAGCCACTCCTGCACGAAGGGTCGTCCCGTGGAGTCCGATCTAAACTACCGCTGCGCTTCTTCGAGATCGAGAAGACTTTGAGCGTCAAGCTGGCCAATCAGAGGGTATTCGGTCGCTGTATCCGAACCGGCAATGTGGCGAGGCGCGTGAAGGGGGGTGTTTCGCCACACGATGTAGGGGTTTTATCCTTTTACTTACAGAATTCGATATTGAGAAATTGAGATTTGGCATCGTGTTGCCACAGAGAATCTGACTTGCGGTATGCATAATATCTCGTCTGCAGATGCGGTTTGGTGTTGCGGAAACTTTCCCCTGTCCATCAAGATCGAGACCCTTATTGCGGAGAATCCTCGGGAAAGCCCGCAATTTATCAATCTCAAGTCTCAAGTCTCGTGACCTTGGCTGTTTGCAGAAGGCTTTGAATTCATGACATACATATGACCTCGCTCCCGCTCACCCAACTTTAGTACCTTAGCTGCTTAAATCAAGGAATCAGGATTTTTTTTGGTTTTTTGGCTGGAACCTCGTCGAAATTATTTTCAGGGGTGACCTGACCTTGCAAGGACCCTGAATTTCCTCTCCTGGATGTCACATGGAAAGGTGATCTGCAATATACAGCTCCAGCATGGAAGCTGATGACAGGTCTAGGGGTTGTTTGGATGATTGCAGTATACCATATCCCACTATGAACAAGGCCGAAAACACCCTTTTTTTGAGCAGGTCAACCTGATTTTAAGTGCGACAAGGCAGTGACGGAAATGCTTGGAGTAGAAACTTGGACAGAAGGGTTCAAGTTGGTACATGAGTCCGTGCTGTCAGGGATCAGATACCGCGTGGCCGACATCCACTTATCCGACTCCCCGAGCTGTTTACAGACTGACAGCATACTGTAGGGGAGAGGGGAGATGTAGTAGAATGGTGAGCATAATAAGGTGAGGTATAGGGAAAATATATCGAAGTGATAAGCTTCTTTGGCAGAGATAATATGATTGAAAGAAGTCGGTGCAGATAGACAGGCCAGTATATAGGGTCTTGGGGGACAATTTGCTGCGTTACGGTGGCTGGAGTTTGGAGATCAATTGCCAGGTACAGCGGTAGAAGCTGAGAAGGGTAGGTGGCCTGTATGTAGTCCCTTGTTTTGTCTCCAGAATTGCTCAGAGGCCTGAATACTTTTGACGTAAGAATGAGACCACTAATATTGATAACCACCAGTATTGCACAGCAAAAGAACAGTCAGTCCGTGGGAGGTTTGGATTTATTTAGAGAACAGATAGGTATACGAGGCATGTGATTTAATAACCTTATTGCACTGTATGTATTCGAGATGGTGGTTGCAGGATTATGCGTGTCAGGCTGTGTTTTGTGGTTTGGTGTTTGATTAGAGAGGTCTAGAAGCCGGCTGCCTTGCTGAAGCAGGCCGATGACAGACGAAAAGCAAGATCGGCGGCAGTTCAGGATATGTTGGGTGAAAGAAAACAGGGCACCTCGCTTGACTAAATTTGTATGGGCCTTTCTGGACGTGATTCTTTCACCCTGACTGCCCACACCTGATTGGTCACAATATGCTCCGCGACGTAAGCGAGCACAACGAACTGAACAAGCACAAGGGGTGGCCATAATGAGCTTAGAAAATGACGAAACTCTCAGGGACCTGTTCTGGTGTGCGGGCCCAAAAAGGGGGTGGGTCGATTAGAGATTCGCACCTAAAGTGGGTGCACAGGTGCGCAGGTGTGCGCTAGCAGAGCCCGTTAGAGGAGGTCTAGGAGGTCCCTGCTTCTGGCCCGATGGTCTCTGATCTCTATGCTTCCCCAGCGACTTGGAAATCGGAGCAATGAGGGCTCGATCTGGCTTTCTAGCACTTTCACCCTCGTCCCAACCTGGTAAATCCTCACTTTTTGCGGTTCACCCTTTCGCCGCCTTCGCCTTGGTGATGTCCGCCGCCGCGCACCGGGACTCGGATGCCCTGGCCTGGCTACTGGGCCTGTCGCTGACGGGCTTCCAGTGACAAAACTCTTTCTCTTTCTGTCGCCGGTGGAGGCGCACTGAATGGCTTCTTCTTCTTCTCCTCTTGCACACAGCACCAGCACATTACATTTGTCTACCTCATTTGCGATTTTGCCATCCAACTCCTGCCCCAGCAACCCAGCCAAAACCTCTCATTTTTTAAAGTACTGTATCCCTCCAAGGACGCTTTTCCTCCCCAATTCTTTGGACCAACTCCGAGCTCCTACGCTCGGCTTGAATTACGGTCCTTATCACCCACATCCAACCAAGTCCCTCTTCTCCTCTTTCTCCTCAGCCGCTGTGGAACGGGATTCAGTTGTTGCTTTCCCTTGATCAAAGCTTCTCCCACCCCCAGTGTCTCTATCTGTCTTGAGTGCCACCTGCCACTGCAAGCGATCCTGGTCTGTTCATATATATATCGACCGTTCGGAGACTAAACTCCACCACATCTTCTCTTCCTCCTCCGGTTCAGTCCTGTACAGCTTGTCCCCTTTACTTCGATCATATCAAGCCTCATCCATCTCACGATATCCTCGACAATCGGCTTTGGCAGTTACTCGAACTGGTTATTACAGCGATACAGCGATACAGCGATACAGCGCCATACGACTCGCATTCGAAAAACTAAACAACATTTGACTACTCGATCGATACACTGGGTATACCCGAACAATCAAACTACATCAACAACTCGACCTTTCAATAGCTTTGTCGATTGATTGGCCATCATTTTTCTTTTAAAACAATCGCAATCATCTCGTGGTGGATACGACATCTTTCTGGCTATCCAAACCTGATTGTGGAGAGGAAGCTTTATTTCTCGCTGACCCGATATCGCGACGACGAAACGACCTGTTTGGATCTAAAAACCCCGAATTGAACAAGGGCTGTGCAAATCATTAAAAAAGGCCTGATTAAAGGGTCTCGATTGTTTTGCTGTGATTTTTTGGTAAGGTGAGTAACACTGTGCAACTCCCATCATCACCTATTCGTCATTTGGCGATGAAGCCTTCGATCGATCGATCGCTTCCACCACCACAGCCAATCGCACCCTACCCCTTCATTCTATGATAACCTTCATTGCTCATACCACCTATTATCCTATTGAAACTCATGGCGCTAATTCACACTCAGACATCTAGGCTCTCTGCCCGCTGTAAGGTGCTTCCAGGCCTTACGTCAGGATCGTCGGACCCTTGGACTTGTACTAGAACTCCTTTCGAGCAATAATTTTTACGACATGCTCGCTGTCTCCTACTTTGGGAAATGCTAAATTATCTATCGAAATTCCATACAACACTTACATGAAGGACAATGCCACTTAATCAAAACATTTCACACGGATCGCAGCCGCCGCCGTCTTCGTCTAAGACTGGCCACCCACTTCCACGACGAGCCTCTCCTGCAAACTCGGTTACCCTTCGTCACCACCGACTAGCCCGCGATGCATCGATCAAAGCTGCCCAAGGTCAGGGGCCCGCTGTCCAGGCGACGACAATATCACCAACCCGTCGCAACTCATCTGGCGACAGCCATCAGACAGGCCAAAGCGATCCAAACACATGGTTCGATCAGTCGAACCAAAATCCTACGGCCACATTTGATAGCAATGTAATGGAGGGTAAGCATAGCCCGTGCGACAGGAAGCATGGATAGTTCACTGACTCCACGGATAGTTGACCCTCCCTTCTTCCAAAAAGAATCTGACTCTTCAAATGAAGAAAAGTCCTTCTACAACCAACACCAGCTCGCACCTCCCAAGCTCCCAACTGCTCGCAGCAGCAGTGCGGATGACTACCGGAGCGTCATTGACGACCTCACGGTTGAGATTCAGAAGCTTCGCGAGGAACTCAAGCGATACAAGAACACAGGTCCGGGAATGCTTCAGAAGGACAAGTTGTTCGAGATTAAGGTCCACGGACTGCCAATGAAGAAGAAGAGAGAATTGGAAGCAACACTCCGAGACTTTGCTTCCAGTCTTGATGGGTCCCCTGACGCATCATCTTCACAGAAGAAAAAGTCTCGTCATGGTACTCGCGACAATATGTACTCTGGTTCCAAGCATGCGTCTTCTTCTTCAGGGTCCAACTTCCGCCCAGCCGATTCTGCTTACGCCTCTATGTCATCAGGGGCCAAATCAGCAGGAACATCCATGAGTCGACCCAGTATGGGTTCGCAGGCTAAGTCTTCAGAGGCGGTCGAGAGTTATCTTCGTGACATTCCAGAGGGCTTATACCCACGACACATGATTATGACGGAGAAGGAGAGAAAGAAACTTGTAGTGCGCCGACTGGAGCAGCTATTCACAGGGAAGATCGGCGGTCGCCACGTGGTGAAGAAGCAGGCCGTGCTTCCCAGTGGTAGCTCTGCCGCTCTAGCGCCTGTCATGGCGGAGACACAGCCCAATTACTCAAGCATGTCTAAGCCATCTGTCCACGAGCCACCGACACTACAAACTGGCGACAAAGGAACCACAAGAGAGGCTCGAATTCTTCCTTCTGAGCAGCAGCCTGCCAACAACGGCTCTGCGTCTAATTCCAACGGAGATAACACCGAGTCTGGTGGGAATGGCAACAGTACTGGCTCAGGGACAAACCCCTCTCCCACCACAACAAAAACCATGCCCGAGCAACGACCCACACGACCCCTTGACTTGGACCCTGACCGTACCCAGGTTCCATCCGACAACATGGATTATATTCGCCATCTGGGCCTAGTGCCACCGGAGCTACTTGCTGAGCAACACAACCAGGACGTTCATCCTGATGCTGAGGGATGGGTTTATCTGAATTTGTTGTGCAGCTTGGCGCAGCTTCACATGATCAATGTTACCCCTGATTTTGTTCGCTCCGCGGTTTCAGGCATCAGTACAAAGTTCCAGCTGTCGCCTGATGGCCGGAAAATCCGATGGCGAGGTGGAACCGAGGGAACTAGATTCAGCAGTGATAGCTCTGGATACAATTCCCAAAAGAGCCCATCTACGGACGACACCGAAGACGGATCGGACAAGAAGCGCAAACGTCAGAAAACTGGTCGTTCAACAGGCGATGAGTTTCGATCTGGAGATTCGAGCCAGAATGGTCTCAAGTTTGACCCGGGGCTTTGCGCTCCATCCGAAAGCTTTCACTACAAACCTTTGTTTGTTCAGCAGGACTCTTCTGGCGGCCAAACGTCGGCTGACGAGACTGTCTCTTCGTTTGGTCCAGCAGAGGAGAGTAATGTTGGTGAGTCAAGGTGGGGATTGAGCGGCACTGGAGCATCTGGCCGCAAGAAGCGTCGCCACGACGGTGCCATTATTTACTATAGTGGAGCGCCATTCTGTACAGATTTGTCCGGAGACCCAGGTGACAAGTCGCCCACTACCCAGATCAGCTCATCTGGCCAGGTTCAGGTGGACAAGGACGATTTCAAGGTCCCCCCATCCCCTCTTCAGCGAACAGACTCGGGATCATTCATGAAATACCGGCCATTGGTTGATCGTGAGCTCGCGTCCATCCAGGAAACGGCCATGGACATCGACAGTGAGGATCTACCAAGCCTGACCGACGACACCGACGATGTGAGCGAGATTGAATTGGACTTTACCTGGACCGACAATGCGCAATATATACACCATCATCCTCTTGAGCCCTGTGGCCTGGGAGGAGTTCTGCCAGAGGATCACTTCATGGTCGTTGTGTCTACCAAGAGACCTAAACAGGATGATCTGTCCTTTATTTCGCAGTTTGGTAGAATACCCAGCGAGAGTACAGATGCTGTTGTTCGTCGGCTAGCAACGATGTCAACATCATCACCTGTATTGGGCGCTTCAAAGTCATTGCGCACCACAGGCTCTCTCCCTGTCGAGATCGAGTACATGTCCGGCCGAATTAAGCGGCTCACACCGGTTTCACTACCACCCCCGGCGATTTTCTTCCCACCATTTAGTTCAACTGAGTCCACAGGAGATTCGGATGACGATTCCGACGACGATTCAGATGGCGCTGATTCTAACAGCCTGGATATGTCCCGGTCACTGAAGAATCTTATGGGCCAACGGGTGGCGCATCGACTCTCGGACGACTATCCTGACGGTGTTGACTTGAGCAGTGGCGATGAAGAGGGTGACGAACCTGATGACCAGCCAAATGGAGATATTTACGATATCAATATCGACCCAAAGACACTACCAAATCGGCCCCGAAAGGCTGGCCGCCGTACTAGTAGTGCAGCTGCAGCCGCAGCTGCCAGTACCCCTCGGGATATAAGCAAGAGTAACAGCGCAAATCCTGCGCTGTCTCACGATGACAGCTCTCTTGCAACTGCTGGTGCCGCAGAGAGTGGTTACAGCAGTAGCGACGAAGCTTCTTGAACATGCACCCTTATCAACGTATCATTATACGATATATTCTACGCTTCACGATTTCATTTGGGCTTAACGGATTTCCATCGGTTTATGAGAATGGAAGGCAAAAAAGATTCTTCTTTGCATGTATGCACATTTGTTTTGTTTCACGGGAGGGCTGCATAACTTTACATTTAGCTTGGCGTTTAGAGGAGAAGGATGATGATTCCCTGGGTAATCTTGGCAATAAGATGCAAGGTGACGGAAGATAACGTCGACCCGAGTATGGATTTATTTTTTTGAATTTCCTAAGGAAAAATCATTACTTCTAGTAGCACATTGAGATACCAAATTCACAGTTTAAACACTCACACAACATCATTGACTTTTGTGACTTTTATTTCGTATTGAAAGGTCATTCAAACATAGGTATATAGAGACACCTAGGAGGTAAGTATTGGGGAAAGAAGAAGGTAAGCAGGTCCTTGTTAAGGACAAAGCAGGCGATTCTGGTGAGAACTTGATCAATGACAATTTACTCAAAGAAATTTGATTCTTTTGGGTTCTTGACGGATGTAGCGGTACTAACACCTTGCTTGCCCATGAAACCTTTTATGATGCGTCACGTGAATGGACAATCACTGTACGTAGTCCATCATCCATGCCCAAGCTGACGTGTGACACATCACAGCGACTTGCCAGTCATCACGAAAGAGGATGCATTTTGCGAAGACACTACGACTGGCCCTTCTTGGGGCTCTGCTAAAAGCCCCGTGTAGAGCTGAGGCTGTCAGCAATGTAGCTATCATTGGTTCGTACCCTAGTTCATGGACAAGAATGGTTCTGGATCAAGACCCTCGACGCGTTGTGCTATCTCTTTGCAAGATGCTCTTTGCCCTTTTCGACCATAACATATTGTACAGACTAATGTGTTTTATTCAGGAGCTGGTGCAGCAGGATCGTCGGCGGCGTTTCATCTACGGAAGTATGCTCTAGAAGAGGATCTTGATGTGAACATCACCGTCTTTGAGAAGACGGACCGTATCGGAGGTCGCTCATTGACCGTTTCCGCCTATGATGATCCTTCTCTACCTATTGAGCTTGGTGCATCGATTTTTGTTGGCGCGAATCCCATTCTTGTCAATGCGAGTAGACGCTTCCAGCTCCCTGTGAGCGAGCCCCATCGACTTGCCAAAGATGACATGACAGTCATATGGGATGGTGTCGACTTCGTCTTCCAGACGACCGAGGGGGCTTGGGGAGGATGGGATCTGGCTAAGATGTTCTGGCGATACGGACTTTCACCGTACAGGGTCAAGAAGGTCGTAGATACCATGGTTGGGGAGTTTCTCACGCTGTATGAAGCGCCATACTTTCCTTTCAAGTCGCTTTCTCAAAGAACCCAGCAGACGGGGTTAAACAGAATGACAGGACTCACGGGAGAACAGGTTTTGAAGGAAGCTGTAAGCTCACAGCGCCGTCCTATGAATTGGTCATGACTAATCTCTCAGAACATTGATGCTCGTTTCGCCCGCGAGATCTTACAGGTTGGCACGCGAGTCAACTATGCCTCTAACTTGGCGCACATTCACGGATTGGAGACCCTGGTTAGTATCAAGCTTGATCGCCACAGAGCTCTAGAACTGACTGGAAATAGGTCTCACTGGCAACCGATAATGCCATGTCTGTTAAAACAGGTAATTGGCGGATTTTTGAGCAAATGATTGTAGAAAGCGGTGCTGCTGTCTACCGCAACACAACCGTGGCCACGATTGAAAAGTCCCAGAAGAACAAATACGTTATCACAACTAAGGATGTTCACTTGAAGGACAACACTGCCGAACATTATGGCGTTGAGTTCGACAAGGTCATCATCGCCAACCCCTGGCAATTCAGTGACATTAAGGCTGGAGAGGGTGTTCTTGATCGCGAAATTGACGAGATTCCCTACACCAAGCTTCATGTCACACTCTTCACATCGCCCTTGCAGCTTAGCCCCGAGTTCTTTGGTCTAAAGCCTGGAAGCAAGGCACCCGCCACTGTTTACACAACTCTGGGCGAGGATGAGGAATCAAAGCAGGGTGCAGAGGGAGTTGGCCGTACCGGTTTCTTCTCCATCAGCACGTTGAAATACCTCGACAACCCCAAGACTGGTCAAAATGAGCGCGTCTATAAGATCTTCTCTCCCAAGCCCATCACCGCCAAATTTCTCACACGACTTTTGGGCACTGAGGTTCCCGACTCGGTCGTTTCCACAAAGGGAAAGATTGAAGATGACTCTGTCAAAGCCATCTCGTGGTACTACCCACACTCATTCTACTCTTATCCCATTGAGCTGCCTCGCGTCACATTTGAGGATCCTGTTATTGGCAAGGGCGTCTACTACACATCTGGTATCGAGAGCTTCATTTCTTGTATGGAGACCAGTGCTTTGATGGGTAAGAATGTGGCGCGGCTGGTTGCTGATAAGTTTGCTGGGGTCTCTCGCCCGGATGATGTCTCAGATGAGACCAAAGAGCCGGTAGCCGTGAAGAAAGAGGTGGAAGGTATTCGTGCCCAGGGTGAAGGTGAGCTGTGATATGTGTGAAAATTTAGCTGCTTTTTGCTTGTTACTTTTGGATATGTTTGCTCTTGTGTTGGGGACACTCGCTTTCAGGATATGTATTTGGATATGGGGGATATGATGACGGGAAATTGCATGATGCCCTTTTTTGTCTTTTATTTGATTTGATCTATCGTATTACAATACTACCAACCTGAACGTCAAGGACTCTTCTGCTACATTTATTACACGTTTAGCTATGATATGATATCCATCCTGCTTCAGCTCTACAAAGAATCTTGTTGAGCTGAAGCCCAAACTACTTAGCCTCAGTGGCGCACGTCAGTTGTGGCGAAAACGACCCCTCCTTCCTCACCCCTCCAACCAAGGTCAAATAAAGTACACAAAGTAAAAAACAGGTGGGAGGCAGCCGCGGTTCTTTCCTCCTAACTGTGGTACTCTATCTCACCTGACCTGTTATGACGCACTTGTTACTCTTGCACACGCTCTAGCTTGATCTTGCCCAAAGCTGTCTGTTTGATCCAGTCAGAATCTACCATTCTTTCCCTTAACGTTGGGTGTCTCAAGCCTAGAAGGGACGTAGCGAACGGGAAGGTGCCTCTGTCTCTTGCCTAGTGCCCATTTGCCTGTGCTGCCTGTGCTGCCTGTACTGCACTTGCCCTGCTCTCTTATCGTCACGTCACAACTTTTTATTAGTTCGGCGCCGACAGCATCGTCGACCTTCCCACTTCTTTCCCTACATCATCTCTTCTTAGGTACCTAACTTGGGGAAACACCTACCTACACTGCGACTTCGTGATTCAGAGCCACCAAAAACAACTGCTCAAGTGTCGCATCACTTGCCTTTTCTTTCTACCTTTCTGTTTCTCTCTTTCTGCCTTCAGAGGCCAGGATCAGCATGTTTGCCCTGCGAGGAAGTAAGTGGTTGCCCCGCATCATCCCTACCACCTGCCTTCAACCCAATCTACTTCAAGATAAAGACTAGGGCGGCCTGCTCTCAGGTCGCTTTATTATTCCATTTCTTTCATTTCTTCTTGTCGCATTTACTCATCCTACCTTACCTCTTCAACTGGTGGTATAAAACGCTAACACTCTGCTCCCCCCTTCAGTTGGGAAGCTCATCTTCGGCTCAAGCACGCAAGAGGCCTTGATCGAACTCCCGCAAGGTCAGCTCTATCTCGTCCGACCTTTATCACCCAAGGGATATTCCGAACTCATCTTTCGAGACTCCGCTATCCGCGTCCGTCGCACCAACCAAGAATTTCAATACCAGCTTGTTGTCCAGCGTGTTTTTGAGGAGGGTGAAGCAGAGCTTCTCGCTGAAGAAGAAGGAGAAGACGCTACTATCGACGCGCTTGCTTCTGAGAAGGACGAGAAGACCTTTCTTCTAGACGAAGCTCTATCCTTCCGTTTCGAGATCCGAGAGAGTGGCGATAAAGTTCTAGCTTGGAAGGATCTCAGCGGTGATACTGGTGATCTGTTCCAGTTTGTTTGCGACTCCTCTACGACCCCCGCACAAGTCCAGCAGTTTGTGCGAGTCGCTCAAGAGTGTCAATACGAGCGCAAGTACCGGAAGCCAAACTCCTACGCCACAGAGTCGGACTTACAACAATTCGAATTTGAAGAAGAAGACCCTATCCCACCCGCAAGCCCCCTCCATAGTCCCACCCTCGCTCGATCCATCGAGTCTGTCGACGAAATGCTGTCCAAGAACACGGCCAATACCGCTGCCAAGCGGGAGCCTGTCGTGGTTCCCGAGCAGGAGATCGAGGCGCCTGTTCTGACCGGACCAGATGCTGAAAACCCACCTGAGGCCCTGGAGATTTATGCTGCTGTCACAGCAGAGCTTCATGTATTCGACCCTCAGCCGGGCCACTTCGCTCTTGTAGACGACTCCGTTATTGCTCAGGTCTCGGAGATTGGCAAATGGGAGTACTGGCTTCAAATTGAATCTGGCGACAAAGCGTACCTAGGTACTCCAGTCGTTGCAGACTTCAACCCTGTCTTCGATTTTGAATATCTTTCCTTTGTCTTCAACCATTTCAGCAGTGATGGCACCGCGCGATCTTGGCTTCTTCGATTCAAGGACCAACCAACCCTAGAGAAGTTTCAAGAAGCTATCATGCAAGCTATATGGGAGAGACTCAATGAGACCAAGTGGGCAAAGATGCAGGACAAGGAGCGGGAGTATGTTCTCGATGCCTTTGGTGATCTAACTATGGAAGATGCTCCCTCCTCCCAGGAGGAGGAAGAAGAAGAGGAGGAGGAGGAAGAACTCGAGGACGATCGTGCTCGAGATGAGGAGTACGACAGTGACGAGGAAAACGACAGCAGCTTCCCCAAAAATGCTGATGGTGAGGTCAATTCTCAATTAGCGGTTGGCTACAAGCATGACCGCTCGTTCGTCGTCCGCGGTTCCAAGATTGGAGTCTTCAAGCATACGCCTAACAACCATCTTGAATTCTCCACAAACATTTCCAAGGTCACGACCCCTGGCGGTAAACTAATGAACCCAAAGAAAGTCATGCTGCACAGCGAGGATCGCGATCTCATTTTGCAGAATGAAATTGATCCCAACAAACTCTACCGCATGGATCTCGAATACGGAAAGGTGGTCGACGAATGGCATGTTCACGACGATATTCCTGTTGTCACATTTGCCCCTGAGAACAAGTTTGCTCAGATGACGTCTGAGCAGACTTTCTTGGGTGTCTCGAACAACGCTCTCTACCGCATTGACCCTCGTTTGTCTGGGAACAAGCTTGTCGATTCGGACATGAAGCAATACGCCTCGAAGAATGATTTCTCCGCCCTTGCAACTACGGAGAAGGGCTACATCGCAGTCGCTAGTAATAAGGGTGACATTCGCCTTTTTGATCGCCTTGGTATCCGGGCCAAGACCCAGCTTCCTGCTCTCGGTGATCCCATCACTGGTATCGACGTCTCCGCTGATGGCCGATGGATCTTGGGTACCACCAAGAACTATATCCTCCTTGTTGATGCTCAACAAAAGTCTGGCAAGAATGAGGGCAAACTTGGCTTCGAGAAAGCATTCGCAGCCACCGATAAACCTCATCCTCGTCGTCTAGCTCTAACCCCTGAGCATGTGGCTCAGTTCTACCATGAGACAGGCAAGCCTGTCGATTTCACTCCTGCGAAGTTCAACACTGGAGCTGGCGCCGAGGAAACAAGTATCATCACAGCCACTGGTCCTTACATTATCGAATGGAACTTGAAGCGCATCCTCCGCGGAATGAAGGCTGCCTACAAGATCAAGCGATACGAAGAGGAAGTCAAAGCTGATGATTTCAAATACGGATCTGATAAGAACGTCATCGTTGCCCTGCCCAATGAGGTCAATATGGTTGCTAAACAAAGCTTGCGGAAGCCCACTCGCGAAAGCATTATTGGCAACGTTCGACTAAGCGATTCGCGCAGAGGCTCAGGCCGCATTGGAACCCATGACAGCGGCCGATACAAGTTGGGCAGGGATGATGTTGTTAACGCGCCCTACTAAACCAAGCAGAGGGCATCAGTTGTACAAATGGTTAGTGACTCGAGATAAGGTGAGGGTATGGAAATGGTATGATTTCATTATGAGATCCGATGAAAGGAGTTTTGGTGGACTTTGGAATTTGTAGGGCAAGGGTTATAAACCTTCATGCTTTTTGTTTAGATACCAGCTGCTGATGCATCTGCGTCGCAATAACTCAATTTACCTTCTTCATATGTGCTTCATTTATCTACAAACTTCTCGCTGTGACATAATTTCGAGTTCTTGAACAGCAAAGTAGCATAATCAAACATGGAACAGTCATTAACACAATACTTCTATGTACCATCTGGAGTGATTGGACCGAATGGAAACTTGAACACAGGACTACAAAAGCAAGAATTAGGAACGAAGCGGTCGTCTAGATTAATTTTATTAACCTTGGAATCGGGTTTGTTTCTGGGCCACTCCACCTAGCCTCACATACATGGTTATCAAATTTCTACAATATTCAAATCATGGATAAGCAAAAGCAAACGGTATTTGAAAAAAACATTGCGATACTAAATGCAAGCACTTTGACCAAGCACAGACCTAGGCAAATTCATCATTCTTGCTCTGAGCGCCAGTGCGATGAGTCTACTTTCCTTTGTGATTACCTATTTCGGTAGCTGAGGATGAACAAAGCCTTCTACATCTTCTCTTAATACTGGTACTCAGAGTCTACAAAGTGCCTTTCCTTGCCGTATTTTCTACCTGACCTTACATCATAAACTCGGGCACATCTTTATTGTGGAACTTTGCGCTGCGTTGTGCATATCTTATCGATAAGCTTTTCAAAGCAAAGCTAGGAATTTTTCGAGAACCAATGCCGCATCGCGACCACCACATACAGCCATCAACTGCACGCGCAACGCGCATTTCTCGTCGCAATCATGGAGCAATCTAAGGATTTCAAATCGCTTCAGGACAACATTCAGAAGTCACTTGTCTCGACAATCAAGACCGTGAATCGCATTGCCGCCGAAGATCTGAGCTTCCAGCGTACAGTCAACCCTAACGTCGCCCAACAACTCGAAGATCGGACCTCGCGAATCCTCGAACTTTCTACACGGCTACTACAGTCAGCTGGGAAGGCATGCAGCGTCAAGGCGCCCAAGCTTGAGGATGTGGAGGACATCGAGATGAATTGGAGAAGCGTGGTTGATGTCGTCGATTCCTCGCTCGAAAAGGCCGATACAGCGTTGGATGAGTATACAGGGCTTGTCAAGAGAAAGGAGCCCCCAGTGTCTGATTCGGTATGTTAACGGCTCCATTATATAACTGACTTAGCTAAATTTCCGACAGGCGAACAAGCCCAAGAAGCCCAAATCAACGAACAAGGTTATCCGAAACGCCAACATCTCCAAGCCTCAAGTCCTTTTCGAACGAAAGCCCGACAATTTCACCCCTCCACCATGGAAGCCAATGCTTACATCGAAACCAAACGCAAAGTTGTCTCTGGAAGAAAGTCTCAACGTGGTGCCTAACGAAAATGGCACGCCGCAGTATGTCCGCCATATTTATAGCCGCTTCTTTCCCATCATTCCGGGCAGAATTAGTAGTTCCAGACTGAAACCAATCGCTAACTTACACTTTACAGATACCAACATCCCTATGAACACGAGATTGTTCGCATGACATACCCAAAACGAGTTCTCAAAGAAGCTGAGCCCATCATGTATCAACCCGTGGAAACAACCGAAGCAACCTTCGTCGACACCTACGAGGGCGTTCTAGAGATGCTCGAAGAACTGAAAGAGGCAAAAGAGATCGCAGTGGATCTGGAACATCACGACTTCAGAACATACGTCGGGCTTGTGTCCCTTATGCAGATCAGCACACGAGAGAAGGACTGGATCGTGGACACTCTACAGCCTTGGCGCCACAATCTCGAGGTTTTGAATGAAGTCTTTACTAATCCCAAAATTGTCAAGGTATGTTCGGTAAAGTCATATGCGAAATATCTCAACTAACATAAATAGGTCTTCCACGGTGCGTACATGGACATGGTCTGGCTGCAGCGAGATTTAGGACTCTACGTGAATGGTCTTTTCGATACATTCTTTGCTTGCGAGCAGCTTCACTACCCAGCCAAGAGTTTGGCCTATTTGCTGTCCAAGTTTGTCAATTTTGATGCAGACAAGCAATACCAGTTGGCAGACTGGAGAATAAGGCCACTGCCCGAGGAGATGATGTACTATGCTCGATCCGATACTCACTACCTGCTCTACATCTACGATCGAGTACGAAACGAGCTTATCGCCGCCTCTGATAAAACCAACCTCGACAAAGATTACATAGGTCGAGCGCTTGAGAAATCTAGAGAGCAGTCACTCTCTCGCTACGAACATCCCGGTTACGACGAAGAGACTGGCGAAGGCTCTCGCGGTTGGTACGGGTACATCTTCAAGAACTCGCATCTGGCCTTTGATAGCGAACAGTTTGCTGTTTTCAGAGCGTTATGGAAGTGGAGAGACAACACAGCGAGGAAGGAAGACGAGAGCACCAACTATGTTCTCAGCACTAGAGATATTGCGGAAATCGCCCGAATCAACCCACCTGATGCAAAAGCTCTTCATAGCTTATTGCCTTTGAATGCATCCCTAGCACGACCCCGGTTCAACGAGATCTGGGGACAGGTCAAAGAGACCAAGGCTAAGGGCGGCCCCAGCTTACTTCATTTCTTCACTTCAATGGCACCAGACAGTGTAGGAAAATATGGCATTCCTGTGGCAGCCAGGAAGACGACAAAGTTACCAGACCTTGATGGAGAGGTCACGGTCAGTAGGCTGACCCGGTCGCAGTTATTTGGCGATATGCCAATCAGTTCTCAGTGGGATCTTCCGACGCGGCCGGCCCAAACCGATGAGGATCTCATCCCTTTTCCTTGGCAGAAGTTCGTACAACAAAGCTCGATTGAGGGAGACGTTCAACACGATACAGCCACCGAATCGGTCGTCGTTCCTGAACAGCCCAAGGATGTGGCCAATGCAGCTGATAATGCTGAAGTTGAGGAGGATGATGCGGAGTTCACGTTGAAGAAGGGTCAGAAGCGAAAGTCTCAGGCGTTGGAAGAGTCTGACTCAAGTGAGGAAGATCCAGAATCAGACAGTGATGAGGAGATGCAGGAAAACAACGGTGTTTTGGCCATCGAGGACGAGACCGATCGAGCAGCGTCGAGGAATGCTCGCCGTAAGCAGCGCAAGGCGGAAGAGAAAAAGGCTGAGCAGGAGCGACTTGAACGACAAGAAGCCAAGAAAGCTCGAAAAGCTCAGAAGAAACAGAAGAAGCAAGATGACCAGGAGAAGGTCAAGAAGTTTGACGCAGTACCATTCGACTACAGCAAAGCTGCGTCAGTGCTAAACCCGACCAAGGAACAGAAGAGTGCTGCGGACGCGAAGCCAAAGAAGAAGTTCTTTGATCCCTACTCCAAGGCTTCAGATACGAATGTCAAGGGAGCGCGCAAGGCACCTCCGGTCAAGGGAGAGCGAAGTGCAACATTTAAGAAATGAGGCTGGGACATTGCTGATGGATGATGCACCGGGCAACCAGGAGTTCTGAGGTATAGACTACGGCATGGGCTAGGCATTCAATCAATAGCTTAATATTCATGTTTATCATTGCTAATTACTGTCCTTATCTTGGTGAATTTACGTAAGAGATCTGAAAGATTCATAACTGTGGAGGAGACAGATGGCGGCTACCTTTCAGCCCCCCAATAATGAGGCTCAACAAGTGATGAAAGAGTATATTTATTCACCCAAACTTTTACTAAACGTCCAAACCAGAGAAGACTTAAATCGGATCTTGTCTTTGATGCCTCCAGGCAGAGTTCATGATTGTTTTTACATCATTCGTAGAGGTGCTGTGGTGTGGTGTGCTGTGTATGCATCGTTGATCGAACATGGTAAATCCTCCGAGGCGCCTGTAACCATAAAAGATATTGCATGAATGCTAAATGCACGAATGGGAACAGAATGATGGCCATCGAAGCACTCGGGCATAGAAATCGAATGACAGGTCAAGGAGTTGTTCGCTCTGTGCAACCTGAAAAATATGCAATGCCAGGTTTAGAGAGGGAGGACACGACAATGCTGCTCCACTACGGAAGGGAGGCAAGTCTTACCCGCACCCTAATTACCCCGGATTTTCGAGGTTTCCCCGCTTTGGTTGGACTTGGAATGCAGTAACTGCCGACCTTATGGAAATAATACCTACACAAGAATTGTGTGTTATAGTATGAAGCATTGCAATTATATGTAGAGTTATACACCAAGTTGTCTACTCAAGAATCTAATTCATAAGCCACTGACATAAACAAACTCAATCACAGTCTAGATTCTAGAATGTGTCTCTTCCCCTTGCCGCTTTGACAAATCACAATCGATACGCGTCCATTTGGGTTTCTGCTGACAGCTTTGAATGGCACCCCAACGTCCAAGGAAACGCGGCGTGGCCCTGGATGGGTGGTAGCCGTAGGTATGGCCAATCGCAAGAGATGGGAAGGTGCCATCCAACAGGTGTTCCTGCCAAATGCAGAAGCCTCTATTCGGGTTGACTGCCTAGACTGCCCAGACTTGCCCCCTTAGATCTCTTGCACGGCAGCCACGGCGTAGTCTTCCCCTCACTTTGTGACTCGGATAATCTCATTCTTCCCCTGTGGCATTACTCAAAACCTGGCCCAGGTCAATAATAGAAACCAACCCACACGCAACTCCCATACCTACTCTCTCCTTCCTTCCCTCTTCCTTTCTTTCTTTCTTTCCTTCCCTCTTCTCTCCCTTCTCTCGCATACGATGACATTCGACTCATAGCCTCCTCAACAACCCATCCAATCTCACCATATCCCACGCAAAGATACCACACGAGAACAATAACAACGGCCAAATGCCTCTCCCGTACGCCACTGCCGTGTACCCCACGCTTTGCATCCATCGCTCTCGCCGTGATTCTTGAATCCCCTCGGTGATGTGACACGATGGCTTGGAACAAAGGTGGCGGGTTCATAGGCAAGACCGACAGGTCATGTGATTCCAAGTGAGGGGAAAGAGACAGGATGAAACCCAAGATGCGGCCTTCAGAATTCTTCTCCTCTTTGTTTCTCTCCTTTCCCTATTCTTGTTGGTGTTGTTCGGTTCAAGTGATGGGCTCGAGTCAAAATCCCGTTGCTGTCTGCGAAACGACTTATACCAACAAAACGGCGCCAATGCTCTTAAGGACAGTGGAGTCGAGTGTGGACCGGGCCTTATCCAAACACGCGATGGTCTATTGAGTAAGTAAAACGACGACTTAAGGAGACGAACAGTTCCACCCTAAACGCATTGCACCAAGCACGAAACATATGCTTCTTCAAAGAGTAGAGTATATGCATAGCCCTCTCTCAGATCAGTGCCCAAGCTTTCCTATTTCATACTCTTTTTCATTTTCGAATCCATCACTCTCCTCCCTACCTTCCCCAAGTTGGGTAAACAATTCGGGATATCTGAGGACACAGCCAATTCATCATTCAATGTCCACATCCCTATGCCAAGAATAATGCAGTTCTCCCATCGACACTATCCCATAACCGATGGAAGATAGGTGAGCTCTCTAATCAACCGGTCGTCTGTCAGATGTGGACTGTTCACTCGAACCTTCCCTCGCCGTTGGTCTTGGAAGCCGCTGGCATACTCTCGTTGTCGTCCGTTTCCCGTCACTTAGCGATTGCTGTTTTGTCGCCCCTGAATCCTTTTCTGGCTTCTTCGACTACTGATTGGCGTTTTTTCACGCTGTTGATACACTGAATAACTGAGAAGCACCCAATCACATATCGATATTCACTTGAACAGGCTTCAACATTTGATTGAAACGCATTGTGTCGACTATCGCCAGACATCTCATTCTCGATCGCAGTACTTTGTCGAGTACTTTGTCGCCCGTGGACTTGTTCGTTTCGTTCGCGCAATCGTTAATATATCGTGCACAAAGTCACACCAATGAAAGCGTTAGCAACACCACCATCAGTGTGACTTTAACACTCGAGAGACACATCGAAGTTCACCGTCGGAACCAGTTGTTGGATTATCTTGGCGATGGGTGGCATGGAGTTTGATCTGGTATTTGCACTTGCTCAACAACGACAACTTACTCCAGATCAGCTCGTTATTATTATCAGGTGGGTTTGTGTTTCTTTACATACCCTCTCAGCAGCTCCACTATCAATCCCCTGGGTCATTGAGTCTTTCTTCTACCCACCTCAACGACTCGCTCATGACGCCCGATTGGCGTATGTAACACGCTACGGCTAGCAACACACGCTAAGCAGGGCAACATTTGCACCGTGTGGAGATTTTTTCCATCACGAAGAAACTTCGAACGCAATGTCTTGCTTGCCTTGAATCGCAGGCACTCAAGCACCAAGGGAGAATGCCATGTGTGACAAGCCATAGGTGGCCAGCCCGGCCCCCGGGTCAATTCGGTTAAGTTGGCAAGACAAGCGTTTGCCAGGCTGGGCAGCGTGTTTGCCCAATGCCCCCCGGCACCGGCCCACGGGAGCTCAGGATAGCAAATGCCTCATTTTTACAGCAGCTCTCATGCATCAACAGAAGCTGCTCAGAACGATGTCATCGATTGAAAGTCAATTGAAACGTTAGTTCAGACCCGATAAGAAGCTTTCTGTTCTGAGATAAGTTTTCATTAAGTAGTGAAGACAAGGAAAATATCCTGATGCATTGGACGAAGCGGGATGAATGAGGCTTTTTATTTTACAAATCGGTCCCTGGGAGGAATTATGCAGAATTTCCCCAACTCTAATCATAGGAGTGCCTATGATCAATGTCCTTCCCAGTTCTCTATCCCGTCTATTACAAGACAACCTCCCCTCTATCGTGCAAGCTGGCGACAAGGTCACCCATGTCAAAATTTTCAAGACACGGCATAATGCCTTACGCTCAGCAGCCTCCTCCGTATCGTTGACCCGATCACTCGGCACGAGTCTACCCAATTGGCCGAGAAATAGCTTAAGTCTAAAGTGACGCACGGTTAGTCGACAATCACGCGTGGTTTTGTGAACAACAAGCTTGGGTGGACTTACGAACTTGGCCATGAGGGCAATCATGAGATCGAAAAGACCGATGGCCTCGACGAAAGCGAAACCCAGAATGGCGTAAGAGAAGAGCTGGCCACGGAGGGCAGGGTTGCGGGCAACACCGTTGAGGAGAGCGGCGAAAACGAGACCGATACCAATACCGGCACCGGTAAGACCGATGGCAGCGGCACCCATACCCAAGTTCTTGGAGACCTCAACCATGGCCTGGGCGATCTCGGAGGAGTAGGCACGGCGCTGAACCTGGAAGGCGTTGCGGGTGGTAGCCTGGAGAAGAGTCTGACGCTTCATGGCCTGGAGGGGGCTGGCGCCTTGAATCGATAGTGAGTGAATTGTTCATTGATCGCAATGGCATTTGGGCGAGATTCGATCGAGTCGGTTTCGACACCGAGCTCAATTGAGCTCGAAGAAAATTTTTGCCGCATCAAAAACTTACCAGAGATGGTTCGCTTGCTGGCAGCAGCGACGTTGGCGCGGACAGCAGGGCGAGCGGCCTTGACGGCCATCTGGGAGGCCAGGCGAGAGGCGAAGACACGAGAAGAGGCCATTGTGATTGATTTGTGAGGGGAGATGGTTGATGGTTTGAAAGAGGGAGAGGCTGATGGGAGGTTTAAAGAAAAGAGATATGGAGCTCAGCACGAGGACGGTAGTGGGAAAAGGAAAAGGGAAGAGAGAAAGCGTCTGGAGCCGGGAAGAAACTGAGGTTAGGTGGGCCCACACGGGTGGATATCATCAGGGGGGGTGAGGATGTCAGCCGGGGCAACGGTGCGAGGAAGGGGAACAACGATGAATCTGGACGAGACATGTCTACGGATGGACCAGGTGAGAATGATCATCTTAACACGAACTTCAACCGAGAAAAACGGCCTACGAACAATAAAACCAGACGCTTATCGAACAGCAAAAGGGCGCTGAAAAATGATGGGAATGGGGATGATATCACGGGTGCGAATTAGGTTAGGGAATGGATGTCTGCACGGCCTGCTTAGCCGTCGGAGGAAGTCGGGTGGAGTGTGTTGCGACAATACTGAGCTGTGATTGCTCTGAATGAACTGGAAAGGCTTTCAGGCCTGAGGCTTTTACAGTCGGAGGACCGCACTTGGCGGTGGGCCATGAATCATGGGCAAAGGACCACGATGAATAGCAGCTAGGGGTTGGACCGGCGATGGAACGCGCAACAGTGAGCGAAATCTCGGTACGAAGGAGGGACAAAGCCGGAACAACGAAGACCCCTACCTAAATTACCAACTTCTCTAAGCTGGCAGCGGACAACGACGGCCCTACCGGATTTCCGAGACAATGCAATCACCTATAACCAAGCCTTCAAGATACATTTCTTTTTTCTTCTTTTGGAAAGCAAAGTTTTCTCTTGTCCATTGGAGGTATAAGGACTTGCCCGTAAAGGGCTAACGCTTGTTCAGCAAAGGTTAAATAATTGACAACAGAACTGATATCAAGGCGGCTTGTCCGGCTTGTACCTGGACACAGGTGATTGCCGAGAGCCAATCTTGATTGGCCAGCTTAGTTGAACAGAGTCGTAGTTGACAGCTAGCAACACTGCAGCGCAACACACCTCTTTCTCCCTCTGCGAATAGAGATTCGTACAGTGACGCAGCACAGTATGCGCAGAAGTCAAGTTCATCTCACTATCTGGTTAGTTGGGAAGAGGCTATGAGCGAATCATTAGAGAGATCTTCCACGTGGGTAGATTGCAAAAGGTTGCTTCGAAGCATTGAACCATGAATTCGATATCAAACTGAAGCTGAGGTCAGACCCCAATATCCCCGACGCTGAGGAAGCGTATGTACAGATATGAGTGGGATTGGAGCAATTGGGGCGTGTCAGGACAAACTGCGTTACCATGGCACCTACTGAAGAAGCCACAGCAATGCTTCTAGCCAACTGAACCCAAAGTCTTACCATCAGTATCATAACTAATAAGAAAACAACCGATGTCTCTGCCCGATTTTGACAGTGAAAAGCCGAGAATGGCATGGTGTTGTTTTTGGAATCGGCCCAAGGAAAATGTTTCTCATGTCACTCAGATTTGAGGGTTGACCGCCGCCGACAGCAGGACAGTGCGCAAACGGATACGATCAACAGCAGGTGGCTGCACCGAGAGTTCTAACACCACACAGCCATGTCGATTGATTGCTTGGAATACTCCAGCCCGACCCTTTAACTTTTTTCTTTCTCTTCTCATTGGAAATGATTAAACTTCATGACAACAGCCCCAACAAGCCATGCATGATTTGTCCTCCCTGCGGTTACAGCACAGTACATTATTAAGACACAAAGCTGTTGAAGCTCTGATGAAGAGTCTCGAAGCCAATCAGCCATGTGTCAGTACTTACAGCCTGGCACTGTACACAGCCTTGCCATACTGCACTAAGTTACAGTGTGTTTTTGGTGAGCTTTGGTATCAAATCTTGAAACCAAAGGAACCTAGGCTCTCTCCATATTTCACATCTCATCTCAAATCTCAAATCTCCATATTATTCACTACTGGTGTAGTCTGGGGCGACCAGGGCCTTTAGTGGTTGGGATTGCTTTTGCTCAACTCAACTCACTGAGGACAAAATAGAACCAGATTAACGAAAAATATTCGGCCCAAGGGGCGTGTCAGCCAGTGCCACCACTTTTGAGCAAGCAAGGGCAAAATCGGAATGGGCCATTTACGTAGTAAAAAAACACCACATAAAACACAAAACACACGGTGTAAAAATTCTCAGCCTGGTCCAAGCTCTTTACCTCTTTGGGAAAGCTCATGGTGTACCGGATACGGAGCATCGGCATCGGGGAAGGATGGGTGAGAAGAAGTCAAGAGTAAGGAGAGAAGCCATTGCCAAACAGAGCAAATAACCGTGATAAAAGTTGAAGCTATATACACAATCATGGCGAATACATCACTTCCGAATTGTCCTGATACCAAGGTCGACCATTTTTTCTTTCATCAATACATCCAATTACAGGACAAAGACTTTCCTTTCGACCTCAGTTTAAGTGATCATGATATCGGTTCCATGATATGCAGGGGCCCAATTGCATGATGTATTCTAGTAAGTATGGACCAGTTACGGGCTCCTGGCATTGCATTGTCTTGCGTGACACGGAGTATATGCTGATGATAAGTATCAACAGATGTCAAGGACACTGATTTTGAATGCATATACGCATATGGAGTTCAAGCTTGAAACGTTATCATGATTTCCAGAAAAAGGTTCAACTCAGATTCTTTGAGCAAGGGGGTATCACTGTCGCCGAAACGTCTAATCTATATATACATACACATTGCCCACACACCATACACCATGAACCATAACCTACACCTACGCCTACGCCTACACAGACGCCAGCGCCAGATGTGGACTTCCTCATCACTCTGTATCTTCCTGTGCCTCTTCTTCCTCTTCTTCTTCTGCTGCTGTCTCTAGTACCTTGATTGCATAGCCTTCAATAAACCCGGCCGGGTCACACATATGCTCCAAACTGATCCGGTTCTCGGCCACATATCGACGGACTGCTTGCTTGTCTACCAGCACTCGCTGCACCATCTTGACCACCGTGGCCATATCTTCCTTGGGGGCTCCATCGGTAGCAGGCGAAGTCCTTATCGTCTCTTCGCCTTTCTTCTCCTCCGTCTCCGTCTCGATGACAGGCTTCTCCTCAGGCTTGCCGGGGCCTAAGCCCAGCTCTTGGACGACGCCCATGTCTCGCAGCACTTGCAAACAATCTTCCGGAAGAATCCACGTTGCATTACTGCAATCATTGACATCCACTAGGACCTCGTTTTCAGCACTCTTCGCATCCATATCGATCCCGAGCAGCCATCTTGCTATCTCGCCTGCCCAATAACGCCTGTAGCCCTTCGTGCCCAGATCGGAAATGGGTTTTTCTGGGCCGCCAAGGATGCCCTCCCGTCGGGAGATCTCATACGAAGCACCCATGAGCAAAGCACCGAGGCCTTTTCTTTGCCACGGGGGGAATACAAGAATACAGGCGAGATTGTTGTTATCCCATGACATTTTCTCCTTGGAGAAGAATCCAGTTATCCGAGGTGCTTGAGGTTCAGCTTCTGCCGAGGTGTTTGACGGCCGGTCTGGAGGCGTGTAGACCAGTAGGAAGTAGTTGAAGCCTGTAACATCGAAGAAGACGGATTTGTTTTCGAGAAAGAGTTTTGCAAAGAGCGACAGGTTCTGGCAAAAAAGCTAAAAGCGATGTCAGTGCTATGGCTCCCGGTATGTGTCATGTAAATTTGAACTTACCCCGTCCTTCTCACCATCCACCTCCCAGATACTCCATTCTCCTTCGTCTTGCACAATCTCCTCAACGTATCGAATGTTTCCCTCTCCCTTTCGTCTCTTGGGCCCAGAGGCTTTAGTGTCGTGTGGCACAAGGATCTTTCTGCGTCCGCGTGGATGCACATAGACCTTGCGCCCTGGTATTTGGGTCTTCCGCTCACAGACATGGACGTGATGACACCAGGGCAGCAACTCCTTGGAATATTTAAAGCAGCTGGGACAAACGTAAAGACGATCGACCACAGGATGGTGCTCACGATCTCGCCGAGATGATGATTTGCCGCCTGTAGTTTGATCTTTGGCGCCTGCATCTTTACCACCCATCTTTGCTAGGTTGCTTGGTGATTCACCGAGCAGTTCTTTTCCGTCGTAACTATGATACCAAGTACTGAAGCAAAGATTACCCAACACGACTTTATCAATGTTGCGGTCAGCTCGTGGAGGCTGGCGTACAAACGAGGCCATAGGAGGTTTCGGTGGGTGAACTGGTGTGACTGTCGGGGGTGGCGGCCGCTCAAGTATACGTGGTGGCTGCGCTGTAGGCCCATATGGCCGGACAAGAGCTGAAGCCCGCTGTAGCGAGTTTGCATGCGACTGAGGTACGTGATAAGTAATCTCGGGCGCAACAAGGTCTGAAGGCGGGCGACCAGCGGCGGTAGGTCGAGGTGGGGGGATGGCTGTCATGGTTGCTGGGGGCCGTATCGCTGGACCTGGCTGTTCAAGCGGAGCCCATCGCAATACAGGAGGAGAGGTTTGCGATTGCGCCTTGTTCGGAGCAATTGTAGTGGGTTGCGACAGAGGCTGGGCACACCCGTTCGATGCACGGCTGCGCTTCTGCTCGGGAGACGGTTTTGTTTTGAGAGAAGTCGACGGTAACGTTGGTATTGTAGGCGGTGGTACAGCAGTTTCGGTACGTGGTAGTGGCAGTGGCAGTGGCTGCGGCTGCGGCTGTGACTCTGGCGATGTTGGTGCTGGCGCTGTTGCTGATGCTGTTGCAGTTACTGGTGGTGTTGGCGGTATAACCGGGGTTTGACGCGTCGCCCTACGCGCTGTGGGTTTGGGTTTGGGTCTGGGTTTGGGTTTGGATGTGGGTGCGGATACAGAAGCGGACTCGGACTCGGCGGGGTCTGGATCTGGTCGCTTGCGCTTTTGGGGCATCGCTGTGCGACCCTCGCCTTGATGTAGAAAACGAGGTCGTGGTCGAGCAAGAGTTGAGTTGAGTGGAGTGGGTGCTCTCTATTGTAAGTCGATGCGATGCGATGCGATGCGCCTGGGTTATAAGTGTATCGGGGGCGTGGTTTTCGGTGTTGCTTCGGCTTGTGGGACTTTAAATAGCACACGCGGAGAATAAAATGTTAGATTTCGTCAGGATAAATGAGGGTTATTTAGAATTGAGTTTGGTAAGATTATGAGAGTATTAATTAAAGTGCCAAGTCACGTCCTGCGATCAGGTCAATCCGCAGTTGCAGTCTGGGCAGGTGCAGTGGACGCTATCACGTGCTGATATCACTGGCGGATAACTTACACCCCAGGCCATAGCTCGTCGATAGGTAGATATACACTTACACGTCAATGAATATATCGTAAAATCACCAGTGGGAAAACATAACGTCACGATCTTCAAGCCTATATTTTAACACACTGGTTATCAATTTTGGTTACTAGTTTTCCGTATACCACTAGCAACAGCAATCCATCTCAAACGAGTGATGGACTCGTCGAGTCACGCAACTAGGTGAGTAGGTCAGTGAGCAAGCACTCCTTGCTACACTATGTGCCTCTCTCAGCTCAGTGTCGACGCAGAGAGCAGGTTGGCGCATGAGCAGCCATGACACGGTCAAGAGTCTCATCACCCTCCTCCCAGTTCTTGATCAGAGTCAGGAGTCGACGGCGCGCAAGCCCAGCATCGCGATTGCGATACACGCTGTCAATCTTGCGCACATCGGTCTTGTCGCTGACGAGCCAGCGTCTCTCCTCCTTCATGAACAGGTTGTACGATGTATCCTCACCATAGCGAGCCTTGACATTGGCAGTCAGGTGGTCCTGAACAGCCTTTTTTATCACTATCTGAGGCTTGGTCTGCTCAGCTGGGTTGGCGAAGTGTTTGTCAACAGTGGGCTTGAAAGTTGCCGGCTTGAGGGTTGGGTCTGGCAGAACTGAGTAAGCCGAGTAGTAGACAAGCGTATGGTTCTTAAGCACTGTCTGCGAGATGGCCTTGAGTGCTGGAGGTGTAATAGGCATATATCCAAAATTAACGTAAGCCAGACGGCTCTCTATTTGGATGAGATGCTGAATGGCGGGCACAGCATCGTCCTCGATGTAGTTGTAGGCCTGTCCGAGATCATGGGTGGCATAGGCCTGGCCCAGGTCAAACGTCTCGAGGGTTGGATGGCCGGCAGCAGCCTTGCAAAGCCCAATGGCACCTTTGGTGCTGACTCCAATCGACTGTAAGAGCAATCGAGTCAGATACGATGCCTTGGGTAGTGCCTGAGCAAGAGCTGCTGCGCCATTATCGCCAAGTGGGTTCGACGACAGGTAGAGTGAGGTCAAGCCGCAGTGCGGTGACACGAGGAACTTGCCAATGGCCGTGGCGCCCTTGGTTGAGATGCCGTTTCCGTTGAGGTAGATGTGCTTCAGGGGGAGTGTTACACCCTCGGGCATCTTGTGATCGGCCAAGCGGTTGAAGAGGTCCGTAACTCCTTGGTCACCAAGTTGGGTCTGGTCGAGGTCCAGTGTTCGCAAGTTCTTGACTCCGGTGATGAGGCGGTACACGTCCTCAGAAGCGTCTGCACCAAGGGGATTGCGCTTCAGCCAGATATTGGTGATGGCCTCCGAGTTGACCATGTCATCGGTAAGCTCCTTCAGGCCGAGCCCGTTGATGCAATTTCCAGCAAGATACCAAGTGTCGATCCTGTTGGGGAGGTCGTTGATGAACTTGGCAATCTCACGCGCACCAACAGGGCCAATAATATTATTGCCCAAAAGGAAATGCTGGACGAACTTATTGGATCGAAGGGAATCCATCAGTTTGCCGATATGGTCAGGGCCGACGACCATTTTGCAAAGATCCATACGGCCATCCTCGTACACAACACCTTTGCGAAACTCTGCGCCTTTGACACCGTAGTAGGGTTCGCCTCGTCCACCATCCAGTTCGAAGCCCTTCTCGTCGCCGTTCAACTCAAAAGTACCACCCTCCTCAAGATGGGCTAAGAAGGGAGCAAGATCAGCCTCGTGAGCAATTTCGACAGGCATAGGGATAGCCGGCACGCCATCGAGAGAGATGGGGTGCTTGGCAGGGTCCCAAGCGCCCTGAGATAGAATGCGGGAAGCCCAGATAGGTGCCTGGACACCGGGTGCGGCACCACCAGAGAGGCCCCTGGCGGTGTGACCATTGCGAATGGTGGCCTGCAGCATGTCATATCGTCGCTGCAGGACGGCCCAGGCACGAAGACGTACACGGTCTGTCTCAAAGCGGATGATGGCCGTCAACGAACCATCGTGTACGGGGTAAAGTAACGGAGCAATAGCTACGGCAAGGTTATGACGAGCAGACTTGCGTCGAGGGAGGTCATGAAGGGCATCATCAATACGATGCTTGTCGAGTGGCAGAGCCGTGATTTCATCTAGAGTGAAAGGGTGAGACGGGTTGAACTCGGGCATGTGGAGGTCAAGGTCGACCAGGCTCTTTCGGCAGAGGGTGGCAAGATGAATGACCTCGTCCATATTTACCACATCGTTGTGTTTGGTTGAGGATGATTGCGTGGTATGTTGGTGCGAGATAGAAAGTGAGGGCGGCTTAATAGGCTGCAGCGTTGTAGCGGTAGCCATTTCGAAGGTAGCGAGTTTGGAGAGATATCAATTTAATTCCGAGACTCGCAGCAGGTTCCGAGTTATTTCGTGTGGGAGGAAGAAGGAGTCTCTTCGTATGGCACGAGTCGATACTTATATATCTGGACGAAGATACATTAGAGTTAACTTCAGCCTTACATGTGGATACCTGCCATTTTACAGAAAGCTTGCGAGAGGCCTTGCAGCCTGTAATGGCTGTGTCAAGCGCAGGGCGTACATAAACCTCCTTGTTGATAGCTTTGACATCAGTGAGTCAAGCATCAAGCTTTGGTCATGGTGCCTGGGTCTGGCGCTGAAGCTTCCATTGGCTTCTGCCAGCTTTAGCTTGGAGAGGAGAGCCTGAGTTTAACCTACAGGCAGTGTTAATCTGGCAGCGGTCTGGGCTGCCGAGGGTGTTTTGCTACGTATGACAAGCATGTAGAGTCTGCTCGTACAAGAAACACGGTAGCTCACTATACCTGGGCATATCAGTTAGTCGTGTTGAATATTCCCTAGGGATGTAGACAATACTTTACTCAAAAACTGCCTTGCCCCACTGGGACAAAATCTATCGTTCACAGGCCAGTTAATGGTCCTTCATAAGCCCATACAGAGGCTGTGCACTCTTGGTGCTGATGATGTTGATGATACAAGTGGAGATGGAAGGTGTAAGACCGTGGATGCGTGTAAGGCAGCCGCATCCATGACCCACACTTGTCGATTCAAGGGCGTGAGATCGACCTTTAAAACGACATGTCTTACTAAATCCAATAAGATATTGTTCTGACATGACTGCTCTTGGCGATGTCGGACATAAAAAGTATCAAATGCTGAGTTTAGAGGTTATTTCGGTGACAAGTGTCACGCCGTACGCGACTTCTTAAAATTCTTGACTTCTTTAATTTTACGCCATTTGAACAGGAGTAGTAAAGAGTAAGAAACGATAACCAGCTATCTACAAAATATATAAAATAAGGCACAGTAAAACCAGGACAAACATTAAAAAGCAAGTCCTAGAAACACCAAGACACTGCAAAAAAGGCAACGTGAGGAACACCGGATTTGAACCGATAACCTTCAGGAATCCCCGAGAGAAGCTGTTGGACAGCTCACTGGAATCTGACGCGCTACCGTTGCGCCAGCTCCCCAAGTTTGTTGTCGATCTGCCTCGGAAATAGGCCTCATATTCTCGCAGTGGGGACAGACCCTTAGAAAGTAAAAAAGAGGAGTTGCAAGAGGGAAAAAATAACTCAACGTTCGTTATGAAAAAGAGCAAAAGAAATGTGAGGAACACCGGATTTGAACCGATAGCCTTCAGGAATCACCGAGGAATTCTGCTGAGATCAGCAGATCACTGGAATCTGACGCGCTACCGTTGCGCCAGCTCCCCACTGGTGGAGGTGAACAGAAATATTGCGTCCTATATTGATGCGCCGTCAGTGATTTATCCATTATGGACAACCCTCCAGCCACATCACATCACTCTTCAACTACCTAGGTACTTCAGGACTCATTGTTCTTTGATGAACACCATATATCACCTACCTTGACCACAATTTTGGTAGTGTACTTCTCTTCTTATAAGTGATTTTTTGGTCCTTGTGGTTCACCATCATTCTCTAGTTCCAGCACTTGAGATGTCCAACAGGGTATAACGTATCCGTACACGGGTGAGGTTATACTCTGTTTGGCATTCTCCAATTCCATATTGGAAAAGGCACATGCGTGATCCGTGGTTGAGCTGGCGTAATAGTTGATGACCAAACCTGCTTGGCCGAGACCTTTATACTGTAGTGAGATCGACTGACAGACCTGGCAGATAGTACAGTGAGCTCAATCCATTGATATATCATTCACTCAGCTCTCATATAAGAGAGAGCTCGCCCATAGTACACAACATCGTCTTCAGACAGCCTTCATCACACCTTACACCTCGCCCATCATTCATATGAGTGCAAGTTCCTTTAGTCTATGATAATATTCAACGAAGCTACGAACTACTTGAGCAGATACCACCTTATCCTAAAAATCAACTCCGCCGGAGTCGACATCCAGTTCCAAGCTACCTTGATCCATGGACTCCATCTTCGTGACAACATCACAACCGGAACAATGATCGAATGCAGCGAGGTCTTGTGTGGAAATACCGAATGCTCATTGGGTGGATTAATTAATCTCTGGGACTTGGGTTCTACGAATGGTCCTACCGACAAACTGGTGAATTCTGTAACAAACTGGATGAGTGAACCACACCTACCTACCCATGCAGTACCAACCTTCATATGAATTCCAGCTTAATAGTACACAGAAACCCTCACCAGTAAAAAGTAATAAATAATAATCAACATTTAGTATTATCCATATGAGCAAGGAATATGGAACATACAGACTTGAAAGGAACAATTGATGTTGACGTAGGGTAACGTCTAAACCTTTGGTTCTAAGGTCCCATCGTTAGGACCGGTAGGACCCTGCTAGCCTGGCTGGGTGCCCACTACCAACCACCCACTGAGCGAAGGAAAAAAAAACTCTGCTTAGTAACCCCGAGTTTGATCCCGAGACCCCACTCTTCCAATTTTCCAGCACCTATATAAACTCGAACTTCTCCCGATCTATTTTACTTTTGCTCCTTAGATCAAAAAGCATTTTTTTAATGTTTTCTGAGCCGCCACGACCTTCACCCGACCTTTGGGTCACCTCCCACGGTGTCGCGTTGCCTTTCCCATCGCGGGAAACGCTCAGTAGATTAAAACCCTTGGATATAGGAAATTCTCCGTCAGGTCGTTGTTTCGCAACGATATCTGTAGGCGGTGTAATGCCAAGAAGGGGGGACATACCATCATCCTGAATAAGGATTTTGCTAGTAAATTCCGGGTGTGCGACTGGTCTTTGGATCGGAAGTTCTCTTGCGCGTAAATGACTGCTGCTTGAGGCTGACGGTTAATAGTCGATCGTAAATTGTTGAAATTTCCGGCCTCTTGTCTTGTTTTGCATCGCGTGCATCTACCTGTCAGACTCTGCTTCATGCGGTTCCTGACAACCTTGGTGCAATTGTGTCCCATGTCGATCTAGACCTTGGCGAGCCTTTCGTTCACATGAAGTTAAGCTCATGAGGCTCTAAGATTCTTGCATTTGACTGGGATAGTCGGTAGTTCATCATCCCAGTTAGCGCCTGTCACGTCACTTTTCAGTATCGCCAGGTGTTGAAGAGCTTCACACGATCGATAAATTCAACATCCAAGAACGTGAATCATAATTCCATCACGGTATTGCTAAGAGTCCTGCCATACATCGCCAAAAAACAAAACAAGCACAATAGTCTTCACTACTTGTCGTTAGGAGAAGCACCCAAGATGCCGTCAACACCCTGGCTTCTGTGCTGGTCCCTCACAAAGTCCTCAATCTTGTCATCGTGATGCGGTCGTTGGGGAGGTCCTGGAGGGTGATTCTCCTCCTTGGGAAGGCTTTGGCGAGCGGGCAGGATCTTGGCGGCGGCGGGGACATATTCTGTGACTGATCAAATGTTAGCATTTACTATGCTGTTATAATAACTCGAGACAGGGTATACATACTCTTCTCGACAATAGGGTTGGGCTTCTGGTTCTCCAGCTCACGGGTGGTGTCCGCAGCCCTGTCAAGCTGTCGCTTAAAGGTCTCCTCCTCCTTTTGGACACTCTTGTCTTGAGAAGTCATCTTGGCGTTTGTTTTCTTTCCTTTCACTTTTTGTATGGGGTTACGGATCGTGTTTCCAGATGAAGGATGATGCTCCGATTGAGATCTGTGACAAGAAAGATAAAATATAAATGCGGAAGGTGAATACCGTCTTGTACCTGGCCTCCAACTACCGCGTTTTCCTTGTTCTTTATGTCCCCGGTATTGGCATACGCAATGGCGCAAAACTCATCCCCAAAGCCATCCCTGTGAAGCATCTCGTGGGTGACGTCAAGTCGCAGACAGCGGGGTCGCTCCGATAAGGCCCGATAACACCCAAAAGTCTATCTTATCGGACCGTTCTGATGGGCTGACCATCATCCAACAATACTTTTGTTTGCCTACACTAAAGAGGCATTAAATCAGGAACAAAACTTTGACGCCGTTCCCTTTTTCTTTGTTTCCACGTTCAGGCACGAGATTCAACTTCATACAACTTTGGAAAGTGCGCAGAGATGGCGCCAATTCCTATCACCATTGTCACGGGCTTCCTGGGCTCAGGCAAAACCACGCTCATCCTCAACCTGATCCCTCAACTCCGCGCCCAGAACCCAGACTACAAACTCGCACTCCTCAAGAACGAATTCGGTGATCTCGCAGTCGACTCCCAACTAGCCGCAAACTCCGCCATCTCAGGTGTCCAGGAACTCCTCAACGGCTGCATTTGCTGTAACCTCGTTGGCCAGCTAGGCCCCGCGCTCAAAGAACTCGAAGACACCGTCACTCCCGATCGAATCGTTATCGAGACCAGCGGCTCTGCTTTCCCCGCGACTCTCGCTCTCGAAGTGAACCGTCTTGCGCGCGAGTCCGGAAAATATGTCCTCGACGGCGTCATCAGTGTTATCGACGTCGAGAACTGGAAGGGCTACGAGGATACGAGTTACACAGCCCGCATCCAAGCCCGATATACAGATCTAATTGTCTTCAACAAGTGGGAGAACGTCAGCATGCTACGATACGACGAATGTCTCGACCGAGTCGGCGATTTGGAGGTAGATGTTGCCAAGGTCAAGAGCGACAAGGGCAAGGTGTCAATAGACCTGGTTTTTGGCGTTGATGGAGGCCTTGCGCAAAAGTTGACAGATAATGACATCGAAAAGACAAACGGGCACAGTCATGATCACTCCAACGGCACACCAAACGGTCATTCCCACAACCACCAGAGCGAAGTCGAAGTCCTCTCAGTCGTTCTCAAAGCCGATTCCTCAGCGCGCATCTCGACAGAAAAGCTTCTCGCCTTCCTCTCCTCCGCACCCAAAGACGAAGCCTATCGTATCAAGGCCCTTGTATCGCTATCATCGACGCCGACAAACTCGGACCCGGACGTCCCCAAGCCAGAGCCCAGTGCATCAGGCCGATATATCCTCAACTGGGCGTTCGGCCGCTGGACGTTCACACCCGTTGCGGAAGCACTGCAGGAGCATGACTCGAGCAGCGATGTCACACTACGCATGACGATAATTTTTGCGCGCTATGAGAGCAACAAGTGGAAGAAGAGGCTCGAGGCTGGTGGTTTGATAGAGCTCGAGGGTGGAGATTCCAGTGGGTTGACCGTTACGAAGATTCTATAGTGAAAATAGACACGATAGAAAGTAGATTTGGATTACATAGATGAGAAAGATATCACGAAGAGATGAAAGAGATGGTTATAATAGAACATAGACTCATGATTGAAAAAGACGCTTATCGCTATCTGACAGGGATATAGAAAAAAGACAACCCGCTACCCAAAATTTGAACACACACAAGATACAATCTTTTTTACAGGGAATTCCTCTTGTACAACGTTTTATATCCATCCTGGACCTGGGCAGACAGGGCTTGCAACGACGTGCAGATCAGGTGCTGGCCCTTTCATTGCCCGCTGTGCCTGTTCAGGATTGAAGTTTTGCTCGTCAAAGTAATAATCCGCCCAGTCATCCTCATAGACATCGGCCTCGGGACTCTTGGGCTTGATCATCCATGGATCGTCGAACGAAGGGCTGTCATCAGCCTTGGCTCTGGTTTCAACCTCTTCTTGGAAGCGCTTGAACACCTCTGGCGTTGACAGCGCTGACATGGGCGTTGGAGGTACAGAAGGACCACTGGCAAAGGTCTTGATTGTCTCAGCCGGGCTGCTACAAGAAGATCTTGGTGAAGTCGGTGGCGAGAGCTGGTTTGCTTCAGGATTGGAGGTGATAGAGGTAGAAGGACGATGAAGTTTTGCGATACTGTCCAGAGACTGAGGAACCAAGGGAGGCGGACGGTTGTACTTCTTGGTTGTTGGCTTATGGTGAAGTCGAGAGAAATTGGGGCTGATCTCAACTGGACTGGCGGGCATAGAATCGTTGTCGCAGCTGGAGCAGAGCCCAGATCTTTCAGCGATTCCATTATGACATACACGACACATAGGGTCTGAGACGCTGTCTTGTCGCACATGAACTTGCGTCGGAGTTGATGAGTGGACAGGATGAGAGCTGAGGGCGTCTGCAGTAACCTTCGAAGGTCGGCGCACGGCAATCGTCTGGACGGACGGCCTGCGCTTCTGAGAATCCTGTGAAGATCGACGAATGGCGACCATTTGTACGGATTGTTTCCGTCTAGGCCAACCTGACGCTGAAGCATCGCTAGGTCGCGGTGATGAGAATGGTGAGTGGCCGGGGGTAGAGAGGTTATCGACTCGCTCAAGTCTGATAGTCTTTGCTTCGCTAACAACTGCGGGCTGAGGAGAAGGCCCTCTCGCAAAATTCAGTTCCTCGCCAATAAGTATGCTGTTCCGAATAGGCACTGAAGACTCTGGAATTTGCAGTGTGTCTTGTATTACTGCTGCGGACTCTCTGGTATCAATCTTTTCCAACGGGCATGGCTCCTCCTCGGCGGGTGTAAGTGGCCCAAAAGCTGATCGGAAGTGCCCGTTGAAAGGCCCAAACGTCAATCTCAATGGCTGCTGTGTTCGAGGTTGCTGTAACCGCAGGGTTTCTGGCTTTGGTTGCTCTATTCGAGGCATCTGAGGTTCTGACCTTTCCGACACCATAGGCGTTTCTTGCGGAGGCTCTGGCACTGGAGATAGTTGTTTCTGAAGTGGATGTTCATGCCGCCCGTGTGTTTGATCAGCAAGAGAGGCTTTTCGCATACTTCTGAGAGACTTTTTACACTCTTCGTCGCTGGGTACGCTGGCCTCTGTAATTCTTCTCGAAGGACGGTCAGGGTGATGTAGCATGGTAAAGTCTTTTTTTGTCGATGGGCTGGTCTTTGCCACAGATTCAGAGGCTCTTCTGAAACCCCGGAAGCTCAAGTTCCTGGGTGAGAGCTGGTCCCGCCAACTGCTCATCTTGTCGTCGTTAGTGATTGTCCAAGAAGGCATCGTGACGAGCGAGGCTGGGGGAGGTTGAGTCTGCTGACTCGGGACGTAGTGTCTCAGAGGCCGGGAAGAGAAGTTTCTCAAAAAGCCTGATTCAACCGTTCAAGTCATGAGCTCTCCGTTATAAGAAATGTCTCTGGTCCCCTTTTTCCCAGACTAAGTGGTGTCAGGTTGGCCGACTGGAATGTAAATGACTGATAGACGGGAGGGTCCTGGGTCTGACAGGCCCCAACTAGAGAGGTTCTTAGCGATCGAGATAGCCAAGTAGCCCTGGAGAAGGCGGATAGAGTTCCCGTGGTGGTTGAACTGCAAACCTTGTATGCGCCGCGTCTTGCCTATGACGGCTCAGAGGATCCGGCGTCAACGCTACGGCTGTCATTGTGCGGGGGCAACTCATTCTTTTGGCTTTTGGGTGGTGAATGAAAGTCCCCAGGGCCTCAAGATGGTGTGAGGAACGCGGCACAGGTACGGGACGGTACAAAGAAATGAGTTTGCTCTCCAAGGATGCAGTTTGGGTAACACCAGAAGTGCTTGGGCGCGAGGAGCACCAGCCATTTCCATCAAGACACCGCAAGAGACCCCGAGCAAAGACACAAGCTCCAAGCACAACGGAGCTCTCGAATCACTTTTTGTGACGAGAGAGTGCAAGGTGCAGAGAGCCACATGGCGCGTGGCTCACGATTCATGACAAAAGCCACCAAAAACTCGCCTACCCACCGTCCAACAATACATAGGTACCCAGAACACCAAAGACCATTCCAGTGAACCTTGCCCCTGAAATTCTAAACGCTGTGCAAGAATTCACAAAAAACTATATCGAGGGTCTAGCACAGACATGTCAACCTCTTTTTCGGTGCCTGTACCTGGCATGCCATCTCCAACGCTGTTCCTGGCTAGCAATCTTTGCCATTCTTTGTTGGTCATGACTCGGCTTACGCCATTTTGTTGGAGACATTGTCGAGGACTCGAGGTGTGGGTGGTAGTGCCGTGGTATTTTTCTCACTAAAGCCGCGTGCACATGGTTAGGTTAATCCATGCTAGCTGTCAATCGTGGGAATATTGCGGCTTTGTTGGTTCTTTTGATTGATTCATCATCTACAGATTGACAGTGACTGTCATGTTATTGCTAAGTACCAACAGTGTCGGCGGAAGCTCGTTGCAGAGCAATTCGACATCAGACAGATACTGAATTGTCGCCGCCTCATCCAGGCATGTCCCCTCCGTGGGAATTGGAAGAGTGCTGAGAAGAACAGCCGTATCTTTGGAATGTTGACGCATCAACTCGTTCACGATAAGGTGCTGTGCCCTGCTTGGCAGCTCATTGAACGAGAGCTCCAATCCCTGCGGCGAATAACCCGTATCTTGGCCTTCTTCCTCCAAATGCGAGCTTAATCTATATCTTTCAAGCATTTCAGGAATCTGTTCGCAAGACCCGCCACCTTCATATGTGGATCCTCGAGAGTTGCGTCGCGAATGGAATCGAGAATGTTGCGTTGATTGTGGCTCACAATGAGACTGGTCGACAAAAGAGACCTTTCTGCTATCGAACTCACCATCCGAAGATTGAGTGCTAGGTTGAGGTCTGCCCGGGAACCTGCCTTGAGAGGATTGCCGAGAGTAGCTTGGTCGATACGGCCCGGCCTTTGGAGTCTCTGATTCGGAACTAGAGGGAGGCGCAAAGCTTATCGTAGAGCCTTCTGCTTCTGAGGCCACAATCTTCGTCTCAGGAACCGGACGGCTGGAGAATTTCACGGCCGAAGATTGCCTGGAAAGGTTTGGTCTCCCTGGTGTTGATGTGCCACCACGGTATGGACGTACTGTATCTTCTCGCGTAGGGCTTGCAGGTCGCACACGAGAAAATGCTGTCGAAGTTCCTGAAGAGTCTCGTGAGACAAGAGAGGGAAACGCTTCGCCAACAGATGCTATGCTGCCTTTACGTGAGCGCTGGTCTGTTTGCGTTGCTGAGGACTCCGAGGCCAGCTGAGAGGCTGCTGCTGGCTGCGATGTTTGGACTCCACCAATACCCTTCACTGTTGCAGACGATGACATTGTGCCGTACGATGTCGAGGTACCAACGGCGTCTCCAACGGCGTCAGACTTGGAACGCCGGCCAAACCTTTCCCAATAGTCACCACGTACTCTGCCATCCTCATCATGAGAATCTCCACCCGCCAACAACGGCTGATGTACTGCATCACTCGGGCCGATACTGGCTTCGTCGTTGAACCTCCGATGTAATTCAGAACTGTATCCCATTTCCTCATCCTCAAGGTCATCGGTTGGGGAGTCCTCTGTCTCATCATCCTCGCTACTCGCTTCATCCAGCGCGTCGTCTGGGAGATGGTGTGTATGAATCCCCATATTCACACCCATCTTTGAAAGCATCCGAATAGCCGGACGTCTCGGCAGCTCGGGAACATCCGTAGTGCTTGCGCGTCGCCGCTCATATATTTCCTCATGAGGGTTGTACAAGCCGGGTCTACCAGATGTGGAATCGTAAATGTGTTCGAGTTGGTCCAACTCCTGAGTCGAAGTCATGTTGTCCTCACGGCCTCGGAACATTTGAACATCATCCCACCAAGCTTGGTTCCGAAGTGTATCGTTAACCACGATTTCCCAATCTATATCATGCCCTATACCGTTCACAATGATTTCGTAGGTATTCAGACTGCCCGATGCCAAGCAGAATACTTTAACTTGTGCGTCAATCCTTAGCTTTTCAAGAAGCGCTAAGACTCGAGCATGCTCTTCGTGTACCTCGCTCTCATATTCCACGAACACCATGACGCGTGGTGTATATGCTTGCTTCCAAAGTTGCACACTATGTAGGATATGCCCGAGTTGAAGGATAAGAGTGTCTGCCTGTGTCAGCTTGTGGTATACTCAAAGACATGATACTCACAGGTGTCAAAGTTGGTAGTCAGCAAACTTTTTCCATCAGACGTAACCTCGGCGGACATTTGAATCGGCCACAAGTCGATGTATTTTTTGGTGTTCATACCATCCTGTCGCGGAGTTTCTAACGAGTCAAATCCGCATCCCACTGCAATATTGAGTCGATATCGCAGGGCAAGGTCTTCTACAATTGTCAGGTATTCTCTTGGGGACATCATGTTCTCAGTACGGATGACGTCCGTCGGGAGGATACCCTCCATGAGTCTTGCGGATGTGTCCCCTCGCCGTCTTCGGGGCCTTTCGGGCGCTTTGCCGTTCGATTTAGGGGGCCGTTGCAATTGTTTCGAAAAAGATACGGGGACATCTGGGATGCGCAGTCTTGGGTTTGACTTTCGCAGTTCATCCATATTGTAAAATCCGAGTACAGCTATGTTAGGACGCATTCCGCCAAGTCCCGCTGATAGTATTAAATTTCGGATACCCCAAGTGATGGTGGGAGACATTGTTAGCTGCACAAAGGCCTTGATCTTAGAGAACTCATTAATGTACTTTGTCCAGGCATGTTGTTGCAGTCTAGCTTCATGAACACCTGAGTTGAAGTCGTCTGTCACAATGACATGTCCAAGGATGTACAGTGAGCCTTTTTTCAGCGAATTGCAAAACTTAATCAATCTGGTCTGTCGACGTGGATTGTTGATGAGTAGTATGATATGCGGTCGCCAGAACTTGATATGCTCTGGTCTAAGACGTAGCAAGTACTTTCTCACCTGATGATAGATCAAGTTTTGGCTTACATCGCCCCAGTGCTTTGGGGGGCTCAGATAATGAATAAGCAGAAATAGCAGAACAAGGACGGTGATGGCGATGGCGGCGTAAGTTTCGTCAATAAAGAACATAGCAAAGCCTGACAGAATTCCAGCAAAGAATGCAGTCTGCCAAGTGAAGAACTTGAAACTGGGTCGAAAGTTAGGTGCAGACCCGACCTTGAGGAGGAAGCACGCCAGGTTCATAACGAAGAAGGTCATCTGGTATCCCATGGAGATGAATGTTGCAATCTGGTTGAGATCAGCGAAAAGCGCAAGCTGCGCAATGGCATACGTCAAAATCAGAGCATATATCGGTTCGTCGCCATGCTTCGTGCCTTTGCTAAAGAAAGCAAGACCAGGGAGAAGCTTATCCCTCGCAAAAGCCTGGAATAGCTTCGATGCGCCGATCAAACCCATGAGAGCGGAGAAGAAGGTGACGGCGCATTCACCAGCAAGGATGACAGGTTGGGAGAGATTGATGATCGAGATGGCATTGGCATTGGCCAAGAATGAGGCGTGGGTCGTACTCGCAGCCAGAGAAAGAATCACGACGAAATAGATAATGAAGGTTGTCAACATCGCCCACAACGTTCCATGGGGAATTGATCTACCAGGGTCTTTTAGATCTCCCGACATGGACGCACCCGCAAAAATGCCCGAGGTAGCACTGTTACGTTGTCAGTACGGGATTTAGCGGCTGGATTATACAACAGGGCCGTACGGAAAGAGAATGCCAAACAGGTCGCGAAATGTTTCAAGACCTTTGAACTGAGGACTGTCGAGATGAGGAAGGAAGTTGTCTGTCAGCGTATCAAGACTAATCCCAGTGAAGTTGATACCAAGATCCTCGTCATGAAAGGGGGCCTTGAAGATAGCAGAGACTGGGATGCTGATGATGGCTAGGCTGAGAATAGCAAGCAAAGCATTTGACGCTCTCGAAAATGTTGCAGATCCTAAGAAGCAGAGACCGGTGCAAAGAAGTAGAGCAGCTGTCTGAAGTCCATAACCGATTAGAAATCCTTGGGGAAAAGCCGGCCCCATGTTGAGTCGTATGCAGTCGATGAGACCGACAACATTCATACTTGCATTCAGAACCTGAGCAAGGTAGAAGAGGATGCCGATGGAACCACCAAACTCGGGCCCTAAGGACCGCGAAATGAGGTAGTAGGCACCGCCTCCTTTAACTTCACCATTAGAGGCAATGGCTGATAGAGAGAGCGTCGTCAATAGGTCGATAGAATATGCCGTGACAAGAAGTCCTGCATGCTTCGTTAGAAATAATGGAAAAAGCCCATGATATGATACGAAGGCTTACCGAGGATGCCCACGAAACCGATTTTTCCAATAATGAGACCAAAGCGCAAAAACATGAGAATACTCATGATATTTAGAAAAACCGGGATATAGACGCCCGAGATGCTGCCTAACTTGTTACTGTGCCGAGCCTCCATCTTGACTGAGACTCGTCCATCATGAGATTCGCTAACGCTGTGTCGCTGTCGTTCTCCTCCATTATCGGCTTTCTTGACATCGGTTTGATGAGGCGTTGTCATGATGCGGTCGATGAGAGAAAGTCAAGCAGTCAGCCAGTCAGTCAGCTAGACAGCCAGACGAGACGAGACGAGACGAGACGAGGGGTCAGTAGTAGCGAGGTATGGCCCACATGAGAGACGGTGAAGGGATGGTAGCTCAAGAGTCAAGACACAGGACACACCGTACACAATGAGGAGGGCTTTGAGAGACAAAGAAACATGGGAGCTATTGAATGATATGCTGTATTGTATTATTCGAGGTAGTCTCAGCGATTGGATAAGCAGTCGTTAACCCTCCCGTTTGCCAAGAGAATTCCAAGCTGAAGCCTCCCTCGTGCAGTATTGGGTGTGGTTAGTGTGGTGACGAGTGTGGATAATACGAGGCAAGATTCGGCAATTCGGGCAAAAACGTCCTTGTTTATTCTTGAGATGAGCACCAATCAAGGTTGCCACAAGGAACCTGAGAGAGACATTCTTTTGACAGATCTGTGCTTTTGTATAACGCGCTTGTTGGGTTGGAGGAGCTGGCTGGAGGAGGTCAGCAGAGGGGCATGTTACCTGGCGGCTTTTCACCGGGAACCCATGGAAGTGCTAAACTCCAATCACCAGTGCTAAGGTTGATATTTGAGTTGACTTCCAGGGTCCACGGGTGCTGCATCCCCCGCTAAAAAGCCCATTCCAGCGGGTCGGAGCCCACAATCTGTAGTGCGAGCAGCCCAGACGACACCTAAGGTACCTAACGTTAGATTCCATTGTGTGTAGTGTAGTGTAGTGTAGTGTAGTGTAGTGTAGTGTAGTGTAGTGTAGTGCAGTGAGTGCAGTGAAGTGCTCCGAGTATCGTTATATCTTCTCAATTCGAGATATCATATTGATAGTCATCTTCATGACTCTGCCTGTGGAGAAACTTGGATCATGTGCAGAGTTGGCGTGTTTTGCTACATATCGATAGCTTATTAGTGAACCACAAATGCAGCTTCGTATCGTGATAGGCGCTGCAGGTGCTACCAAATGACGTAGGCCATGACTATTGGGAGTCCACTTTGAAATATCAAGCTTCGGTTGGTGCTTTGAGTCTCTGGGGTTTGAAAGAGCGGGAGCCTGCTATGTTCGTTCACAAGATGGCATGGACATGGCCAGGAATTGAGACGAGGCCGTGTGATTTCGACAAGGTGAGTGCAACACCACAAACAAAGGGGACAGATCGAGATCCAACAAGTAAGATATATCTGAATGTTGCTTCACATGTCGACATGCGCCTCATTCATCTGACCCTCGACTTTTAAGGGTCGTGACGCCCCCACAGAGCGTGACAGCACAAACGTGCCCGCTGAGTCGCACCAACTGACGGGTACTGTGCCATTATTATCGCCGTAATATGGTCACACAGGCATAATTTGGTGGGTTCTGCCGAGGGGCCCTGGACTTGTTGGTGAAGATATTTTCGCAGCTCATAAAGTTAGGGTCTGTGAAGTAGAGAGTCAAGCCTGGCGTTGAACAAACCACTAACGTACGAAATCGTGAGGATCTTCAAAACAAAACATATGCGGATGGAGGAAGATGTCGATCAATACTTGTAAGAAGAAAAGGATTCTGACACGTTGCTCATATCTCGGTGATCAGCCTCGTCGACTCGGCCATTGCAACCCCGAATTGGTAGGTAATTACAAGTTAGAACCCAGAAGACAAGGTTGTAACGTTAGACGTTGGACTTTCATCGTTTTGACGTATTTCAGTTGCCGATATCCATACGGCTTGAGGTTCCATAGCTCTAGACCCCCCTCACTGAGGAGCCCTCCACTAATAGCCTAGCTCGACTCGGCAACTGCCCTAGGTTACCTTAGTCACCAGACCCCGGAGACTGGGCCACCCTACCTTAGTAGGTAGCTGGAGGTGCTCAAGCTTCACCGTTCAGGGCAGCTACAGGCTATGGAACTTACAGGCTTCAGCCTCCACTGCCTGCAAGCGCCAGCCTAACTTAGAATGCAGCCTGTACTCCGTACAGCCTAAGCCCTTATCTCACCTCACGCTTCTTCTTCTTCTTCCAACCAGAAATTCCACCACGACTCAATTGACTCTGTCATCCGACCGACTCGTGACTTTTCTTATAATCTCTGTTCCCGAGACTATTCTAGATCATCATTCTTTGTCGTCATTCTTTTTTTTCGCAGCCTACTTAGTCTTCCAACTGCCTTATCAGTGTTGCTGGGCATCTAGACAATTGTTTGTATTCTGCGTCATTACCCTCCTTCGCGACTCAGAACTATTGTCAACACCACTCATATTATGCGATAAGGCGTCTCTCGTCTTCAATCGAACAAAGAATGGCTTCTCCTTCGAGAATTCCATCTGAACAGCCTCCTAGGTCAGCTTCGCCTTCAAGCTTTCGACCTCGATCGATTTCTGCTTCGGTTCCTCGAGCTGATTTGACGGCGCGTCTTGCTTCTCCTCTACCGGCGCAACTTGGCACGACACCTCCTAGAGGAGGAACACCTCGACCCGATGCAGCCTCGCGCGCCGAGAATCTCGAGGACTTGAGCCAGCTACCTGGATCTGGCACCAGCGCTCAAGGTCCTGGCGTGTCTGCTCTCGCTGCGGCTCTTTCCAACTCTTTGGGCCAGTCTCCGCCACGGCACGGTACTCCCGCAGCTCGTGTTGGTACTCCTCCGATTCGATCGCAATCTCCTCTGCTCGGTGCTCGAAACTCGGGGACACCAACTAACTATGGCTCTTTCAACTCGCGGTCGCAAAATGCCTTGGGCACTAGTGCACCCTACGAAGACCCAGAGATTGTCAAACGCCATCTGGTTCAACCTACGGACGAGACCCCGGCTTCAGAAGAGTCCTCGATCCAAGGTAATTCCAAGGGCAAGCAGCCAGCTGAGATTGGTGGGGCTGGCCTGAACGACGACGAGTTCTCCAGTTTGCGACTACAAGGAGGTGATGTCACCCGAGGTATCTACAAGTGGACTGAGCAAGCGGAAGCGAGAGCAAAGTACAACCGCAGCAAGAGTTTCGATTTGGGAAGGCCCGAGCCCGAGACCGAGGTACTCGACATCAACTCGATAAAGGTGCCCGGAGGTTTCCGAAGAAACCATCTCCGCCGCAATGTTCAAAGTCCTGGCCCCCATGGCCATCTCGAAGATGGCCACAATTCTCCCGCTCCAGGCCAGCAAAGGTTGTTTACGTCGAGTTTCCTCGAGTTTTTGTCGATATACGGCCACTTCGCTGGTGAGGAGCTGGAGGAGGATGACGAAGATCTAGGACCGAACGAGTACTTCTCCTCTGGAGAAGATACCGACGAATACAACTCTGACGACGAGCGAGAGCCTATGGAAGACAGTGCCTTGTTGACTCCGTCAAGGCGCAGACGTAAGCGTAAGGTCCGTGGCACCGGAACCAACAGCCCCATGAACGCAGCCTTATTACTTCTCAAATCCTTCGTTGGCACAGGTGTCCTCTTCCTGCCTCGGGCTTATCTCAACGGAGGTATGCTCTTCAGCAACCTGATTCTCTTTGGCGTTGCTGCTCTGAGTTATTACTGCTTTGTGCTCCTCGTCAAGACACAGCTCAAGATTGGTGGTTCTTTTGGTGATCTTGGTGGTGCGCTCTATGGCAAACATATGCGCACCCTCATCCTGGCCTCTATTGTCATCAGTCAGATTGGCTTCGTGGCTGCGTATACCGTATTTACAGCCGCAAACTTGCAGGCCTTCGTCCGAGCAGTCTCCGACTGCAAGTCGTCGATTAGCGTGCAGTGGCTCATCCTCATCCAGATGGTGATCTTCCTTCCTTTCGCTCTATTGCGCGATATTGGAAAGCTGGCATTCACTGCTCTAGTTGCGGATGCGTTCATTCTGATTGGTCTGGCTTATCTTCTGTACTACGATATCTTGACTCTCAACCAAAACGGTATCGCCGACATCATCATGTTCAACAAGAACGACTGGACGCTGTTCATCGGAACTGCCATTTTCACGTTTGAAGGCATTGGACTTATCATTCCTGTACAAGAGTCAATGAGGCATCCACAGAAGTTCCCTCGGGTTCTCCTGATTGTCATGATCATCATCACAGTTCTTTTTATCGGCATGGGCGCTATTTCCTATGCTGCATACGGATCCCACACCGAAACTGTCGTCTTGCTCAACCTGCCCCAGGATAACAAGATGGTCAATGGCGTACAGTTCTTGTACTCTCTGGCAATCTTGCTCTCCACTCCACTACAGATCTTCCCTGCCATCCGTATCGCGGAGACCGAGCTCTTCACGCGTAGTGGAAAGTACAACCCTTGGGTCAAGTGGCAGAAGAATGTGTTCCGTTTCTTTGTGGTAATGCTGTGCACGGCCATTGCTTGGATTGGAGCCGATCATTTGGACAAGTTTGTTGCGCTTGTTGGTAACTTTGCCTGCATCCCGCTTGTCTTTATCTATCCTGTAAGTTGACCCTGTAGCCAATGGACTATGAATGTGAAATGCTGACAACCCCTCTAGCCTATGCTTCACTACAAGGCCATTGCTCGTACCAAGTTTTGGAGAGTGGCGGACATCTTGCTCTGTATCTTTGGATTCATCGCAATGGCATACGCAACAACTCTAACTGCCATGAGCTGGGCTGGTGCTGATCCCAAGCACCCTGGATACTGCGATAAGAGGGGAGGCGCAATCCCTGGGTTCTAAGGATTCCGTCCGCTTATAGTTGACATGTACATGTACTTGTGAGTGTAAGTTGAGGGATAGAAGAAGAGCCACAAGACTTGGTATGACCGTATAACATGGGTTTGGGATTTCATTGCATGGTCGACTTTGCATCGTGGTGTTATTGAATAGATTGTATGTAGCATATGGAACAGCGATGATGGGTTTTGAAGGGTTTAAGCCAGTACAGTTTCGAGTTTCACTTTATAATACAGCCTTTTCTTTAAACCGCTCGCTTTGACTGTTTCGTCGAGTGAATGTGTCGTTAATTATGACAATGGTTTCTTAATATCAATCATTTGATTCAGCGCGAATGCGTGGGGGCCGGACTATTCGGAAAGTGGGGGATATTATTTATTGATTCTCGGAGACCGGGCCAACAAAAATGATGATGTATTCCGTATGTCTTTTTATCGCGAAACCCCGGGCCGTGATATTCGGGCTATTCGGGTTATTCGTATTGTCGGTCTTCCGCTAGTATAAGACCTAGTTCTCACACGAGAGGCAAAACAACTCCTATTGTAGTTTTGTCGCATTTCTACCATGTATCTCCGACCGACAATAGGCTTAACCCGGCGATGTCTCACTGGCTTCGCTTCAACGTCCCGCAGAGCATTCGCCCAACAAGCCCGGCAAACGCGAACTCCGCCTCCTCCGCCGTTTGGCACTGTCCCGACATGTCCAGAGCCGACATGTGGATGTGCTGCTACTCCTCCTATACCTGAAGATCTGCCTTTAGATCGTGAGGGGCCGCTCAAGGGTGCAATCGCTGGGTATTCGGAGCATGTGCTTGTATGTACAGGAAATGCAGATTGGCCGTCAAGAATAGAAGATGATAACGGTGGCGATTGTCTTGCTGCTGATCTGAAAGAGCTATTTGGACGGGGTGGCACATATAGTGATGTTGTTACTCTCTGTTCTCTCATATGGACTATTTTGCTAATTTAATTGTTGCAGCCATTTCACAATGTTTCTGTGCTCAACTCTTCATTTCCAAGCTCTATACCACCTCGTGCTGAAGTACAGACAACATCGGCTTACATATTGCCCAGCTTCAAATACGTACCGTTTCTCCCACGAGTCTCATTTGATAGCGTAGAAGCGCTCGCGAAGGGGTTTCTACTCCCCAAACAACTTCACTCCGCGCATGAAGGTCTCTCGCCCATACATCGGGATCGCTTAACGCGCAAGGAGGGGTATCAAGGCTTGTTGCCAGGAGTTCAAGACGTCCGCGATGTTTTGGTCCTTGTATGCGGACATACAGGCCGCGATGCAAGATGCGGCATTATGGCACCTGTTCTAAAGACCGAATTTGAGGAGAAGTTGACAAAAGAGGGCTTTGATGTTCAGCATGGGCCTATCGAGGTCAACCTCAATGACACGCAGAGAATACAAGGAAAGACCGGGGAGGAAAAGACCACAGCTAGAGTTGGGCTGATCAGTCATATCGGCGGTCACAAGTTTGCGGGCAACGTTATTATCTATCTACCGCCTGATTTAAAGATGGGAAACGAGAAGCATCCGCTGGCGGGACATGGGATATGGTACGGAAGAGTAGATCCCAAGAACGTGGAGGGTATTGTGAAGGAGACTGTTTTAAAAGGGAATGTGGTTGCAGATATATTTAGAGGAGGTATTGATGCTCAGCACAAGATGCTGCGGATGTAAGAGGAAGACAATGTATATAGAGATGGTCGCTGATGGATACCCCATATTGCAAACGACACCATAGACTACAAAGATAACAACCTGCAAATACTTGCGTGTATAAATATAGATACAAATCTCGTTCAACTCCATGACGATGTCTGCAAATTGAGGCGATTCAAGGGCCCACGTGACCTTACGTCTAGCAATTTCACCTTGACTTTATGTAACAAGAATTTTGAGAAATCCTGTCGAATCTGGAACCGGCTTAACAACAAGACATAAGTCGCCTTTCTGAGAACATACGCTTATTCTACTCGGCACTGGCATCTCGTGGGTATAATCTGCATATGAGCGCTTAATGACATTACGGAGAAACTCTGAGATAGAGACGTGTACTTAACAACCAATCGGCATGATGAGAGGTACAGCGAGGATATTCACAAGTTCATTGCGAACTGGGATTCAAACCCGACAAACTCTCACTCAATCCGTTCAGCTAAAGAGCCGATTATCAACTCTCAAAGCTTCAACGCGGACTCTTCCAACCTCACATTTCCAACCAACTTCTCAAAAACCAGGCTTTGCCGTACCTCTTCAAGCACGAATATTTCCTTCTCTGATAGTCGTCGGGATTGTTCTCGTCAGCGGTGGCTACTATCTTCTTACACCACCGTCTCGACCCAATACTCTCAACGACATAACCTTTGTCCCTTACGCAATCACAGCCCGCCAAGCCATTTCACCCACTTCATTCGTTATCACCGCTATCCCACGCACGCCAAACCCTGCCCTCCCCTATCTCAACCCTGGCGATAACCGCTGGAGAAATCCTCTTTGGTCCGTCGAGTTCAAGCAGCCCGAGGTGCAGATCTCGAGACATTACACGCCTCTTCCTCCTTTATCTACCGAGGATCCCACAGATGGCGCGTTGCGCTTCTACATCCGCACTGTTGGTGATGGCGAAATGTCAAATTACCTGGGCCGCAGACGGGTTGGTGACGATGTCTTCCTGCGCGGTCCACATGTTGGCTTCGAGCTTGCTGAGCGACTCGGCGAGCAGTCTCGTCTCATCTTCCTCGCAGGCGGCACGGGTGTAGTTCCGGGTATACAAGCAGCAAGAGCCGTGATGGAAGCCAACGAGAGGTCCAGCGTCGACTTGCTCTGGGCAGTGAGAAGACGAGAAGAGGTGCAGAACAGCTCTCCGCGGCAATCGTCGTGGAAATTCTGGCAAGAACCGAAGCCGACAACATTGGGAGCTGAGATTGAGAATCCTAGCCCCGTTGCCGAGCGATTGCAGGATCTAAAAAAGACGTATGGTGATCGTTTGAGGATACAAGTCGTTGTTGACGACGAGGGAAGCCGTTTCCAGGACAAGGATCTCGGGAAGGCCATTGCGGTATCGCCTGGGGCTACTGCTTCTTTCAACGCAGGCTGCCGATTCCACGACCAAGCTATGCATGTTCATACCTCCGAGTTCGCTTTGCCCGAAGGGCCAGGCTGTGTGTGCAAACCCGCCGAGGGTACCCCACCAGGTAAGAACTTGTTCATAGTCTCTGGTCCGGACGGTTTCATCGAGCATTACGCCGGGCCTAAGATTTGGCTAGGGGGCCAACAGACTCAAGGGCCAATTGCTGGTGTGGCTGGTCGTTTACAGAGACAGAACCCTGCTTTGGCGAGGGACTGGTTGGTTCTCAAGATGTAAGGCATTGTAAGAGATAACACATGTATAACTCCTGTACATTTAGAAGCACTCGTAAAGAAGCATAGACGTCATCTATCTATTGATAAAAATATAATCCTGTAATGCCAGCTGTAACAATGGTGCTTTCTACATGGTAATCCAACGCCAGCACAAAACGCCATCCCCATGAACTGTCACCTTAACGACTCTGGACCTTCCTATACGACGGAGGCTTCATTGTCCTCCTAATCAACTTACCCGCATATGGCGGGATCAATGAAATAGCACCAATGGCTAACACACGCCAGACAAATCCCCTTAGATAATGTAAGTAGACTGCCACTAAAGTCAGAGGAGATATAGCTTACCATGTTATCAAGAATCCGAGGTCAAAGTACCCGCCCAAGAAAGGTATCGAACCAATATAGAAAAGGAAGGTACCGATGATGCTGACGATCATGATGGGATGCCAAGTGGTGATCTCAATGGCCACCATGAGAAGTTCGTTGAGGACAAGAACGGTATAACTAACAGCAACCATTCTGGGGCCGTCCACTTCGGTAAGGAGTTGCGACAAGCCTTGGATCATACCGCCTTGGTAAATGGATACAAACACCCAGACGAAGAAAGTCCTGTATGAGAGTGATCGTCCAGTTGTGAGCTCCTTGTACAGCTCAGGGTAGAGATTGGCGAGATTCTCGTCCACATCCTTGTCCAGTACAAGTGACAGCACAGGGGCTGCAGTATACACCGTAGCATAGCCAACAAGTAACCAATCCTATAGATGTCAGTTACCATAAGTCAAAATAAGGCGTAGAGTCTGGAATTACCTTGTACAAGCCCTCGGGCTCAAACTTGATGGCGATACTATACATGGTCTGGCACACAGCAATGATCAAACCACGATGGATGACAAACTGTGCGAGCTTAGCGCTCCGCTTGTAACTGTTACGACCATGCCAGACCAAGAGCTTAACAAGATGACAGAACTGCTCAATGGAGAAATCGGCCGCCAAACTAGCCTGTCGACCTTCTTTACCAACAATACCGACACCGACATCGGCAGCCTGGATCATAGAGACATCGTTGCCACCATCGCCAATACAGCAGACACGCTTCTTGGTGTATTCTCTAATGAGCTTGGCCACCTCCGCTTTTTGGTTTGGTGAGCATCGACAAGCAACCACGGTAGGTAACTGGACAGCGATGGAAATAAACTCAATGCGGAAATGTGTCAGAAGGAGCGCCAAGCTCTCGCCGTCTACAAGAAGACAAGCATCCGTTTTGCTTCGGAGAAAATCAAGATGTTGCTGGGCGTTATCCTTCTTCTTGAGCTTCGAAACGGTGTAGATGTATTGACCACGAGCCACAAGCTTGGAGCTGACGGCGACACATCTCGCAGTCTCCACCTTGTCACCAGTCAACATCCAAATCTTGATGCCAGCGTTGCGAAGCAGCTCTAGAGAGGGCTTGACATCTTTTTGGAGTTTGTCCTCTACACCAGTCACACCAATAAGTTCAAGATCATGTTCCAAGTAGTGGGAGACCACCCGTTGCATGCCAGCATCACGTCCACTGATAGATAGCGCGGCTTCTTGATATCGGGCGGAAAACTCCTTGAACTGATCGTACGAGAGCTTCTTCCGGCCGACGACAAGCGTACGCAGGCCTTCACGGGCCATATTGGCAGTTTCTTCGTCAAGCCAGTCATTCGCTGCAACGATGGAGCTCATGACTGTATCAGCACCCTTCTGAAAGAACCATATTTCACCACTGGACAGGCTTGGGTTCTTGTTCTTGACATCATCATGAAAGTGAACGATGATACCCATTCGCTTGCCCTCGGAAGTGAAGGGAAACACGTCAAGAATCCGCACGCGGACTACCGGCCTCTTGCTGTTGGCGTATTCCAGTACCATGCTCTTGCGATCACGGTATACAAGTTTCAAGCCAACCGATTCTGTCCACTTAACAATGGCAATTTCGTCAGGCGAAGACGCCTGGTAACCTGTGACCTCTTTTCCATCCTCAATGTCACTAGTGGGTGTGACGTTGTGGCAAAGAGCGAGAGCAAGCACTACATCACGAACACGGGTGCCAATTTCTCGTCTTGTGCGTGTTGTGCCCATATTCGTAGTGCTCGAGTATGTGGATGATGGAGTGATGAGCATGTTCTGAGATGCTTGGTCTGTTGACGGAGGAATGTAGAAGCCTTGTTTGACATATGATGACACTTCGTCCATTGCTTCATTTGCATATGAAACGGTTCCGACGTGAATCTTCTTCATTTCCATTTCGTTTTGGGTCAGGGTACCAGTCTTGTCGCTGAGTAGATATTCAATCCGGCCCAAATCTTCAGGAATAGTACTTGTTCGAACAACTGCTCCAGGCATTCCAGGGTCTCGTTGGATGAACCAGGAATACGCGCTCTTGCCCATGTCTAGGTTGACACGAAGACTGATGGGGACAATAGTAGAGAACAGGACCAAGAATCGCATGATTTTGACATACCAAATATTGTCTTTAGTGTTCTCGAAACCTTCGAGGGCAACGAGAATGATCGAGAGGGCCAATGTCAGGGCGCACAGGATCTTGGTCAATGAATTGATCTCGTATTCGAGCAAGCCAGTCTTGGAGCGTGAAGGGTCTGTCGATAAGGCGGATCGTGTCTGGGGGCCAGTGTACATGATGACAGCCAGGGTTATGGCTTGAGAGGCAATGACGGTATTGGCCCATGCTGTATTGTCGATCGATAGAGCAGCTGTATGAGAAGCATCGGAATCTTGTACTGTGGCATGATGCGCCAATGCATCTTGTCGAGACTCGACCAGCTCGATTGTACCCAGAAACTCGTTGACCTTCCTGTCCGGCTTTCCTCCAGTAACACGAAGACGGACAAACTCCTCAGTCGGTAAGTTCTGCGTAAGCGGAGAAGCAAGTCTGAGCTTCCAGTCCGTTTCACCATCCAACTGGTCAGTCCTGATGAAGGTTTCGCCCCCAGGTCCGCTCTCGGCCTCTTGTTCAGGGGTTGCTTCCGCGGGCTGCTTCCCCTTTCCTTGAGTGTCGTCGCCGTCAAACGCTAGCAGAGCCTCCTCTTCAGCGGGCTCCTCAGGGATCGGTGCAGGGGCGGGCGCTTCGGAAGAATAGCATTTTAAGATAACGACATCGGCAGGTACACGTTGACCCTTTGAAAGTACAAGGACGTCACCAACCTTCAAGTCCTTAGACTTGCGGCTGACCTCAATAGCTCTTGAAGCTGGCGGGGGCGCCTCAACGTTCTCTTCCTCCAGAATGTCGGAGAGATTCTCTCGCGCTCCCTTTGACTTCTTCCTCGAGTGCTTCTGCAGCACCTCCGACTTGAGTAATTTTCTTTGCCGTACGGGCGCCTGGCTTGAATCGGCATCCTGAAAGACAAGAATCTTGTATTCTTCTGAGTTTGCCTCTGTATCTCTTCGCCGCCGGGCGATATCGTCAAAGGCCTCTTTTCCCATAGTGATACAAAGCACGAATGCCAATGGGGCGATATATGTTAGCAAGTAGCCAATTCTCAAGGCCGGTATCGCCTGTGACAATGCCACGAGAAGAAAGTACATGTTGAAGAAGAAGGAGAATTCGTTGTAGAGCGTAATGGGGAGAAACGTCAAGGCTGTATATTTGGCGTTTGAGATAATGTTGTTCGGGAAGCGTACGGGCTGGGCTGAGCCCACGGCCACATGTCGGGCTGCGGATGGGTCGTCATCTTCTTGGTCTTCCGCGTCGCTCGGTTCTGGTTTCTTGGTACTCGACATGAAGCTAGGGAGTCGCAGTCTTGAAGAGACTCGGTCCGAGTTGAGCGACCTCCGGCTCTGAGAAGGTTGTCCTCCCAGCAATGGTTGGTCATCCTCGTTATAGCTTCCTTCTGACCATCTAGGCGTGCTACTGTTGGACTCCCCTAGTAATGCCTGCGAATGCTCGTCATTTCCATCTCTGTCCTGACCGAGGTCCCCGTACCCCCGATTCCTCTTTCCAGCGCGCCGCACTCCACCCATGCGCAAATTTCGCAGTGCTATCCGCGAGGTCTGAGGCTCAGTCGAAGGGCGCTCGTTGTTGGCCCTTGGAGCTGGGGTGGTTGATATTGGATCGAGCTCCTGGATGTCTAGGTCAAGATCGGAATCGGAGTCATTCGCAGGGGAATCGGGTGGGTCGGAAACTCGATATTGTTGTGAGGGCGGCATCCCTGGCTAGTCCTTTGGCGATAAGGAGGAATAGAGGAGTTGATGTGTCGAGAAGGCGAAGAATGGGAGATATGTAGCTGGCGGTACTACTCAGACATGCTGCGGCGGTGACGTAACTGTGTATGCGATTATATTTATGGCTTGTCCGTGTTTCTGTAATGTTTGTCCTCCTTCGTTCTTGCTATTGAGGTTATGCGTTCGTGGATTTGTCTCTGTATTGGTCTAGATGTTGTCGGAGGCCGTTGAACGTTGGAAGCTCTTAAGTTATGTGTGTCGCATTTCAGTGTCAAAGTCGCAAAGGGGTCCACGCGTTTAGTGTCCGTCCGGCGAACTTGTAGTTGATTGGTGTCGAAGCGATCGAAGAGGAATAAAATCCTGATTGTTTTGGTGTAACTGGAGTCTGTTGAGAAATGGTGATTTCCATGTGTCTTGGCTCGCAAGAGACAGATCATATCAAAGCCAACGCAGTATCATTGTCGCAGTCTACCTACGCACGCTCTCCCGTATTGTCAGGCGGGCTTTCGGGGGCACTCAAGTGCAGTTTAGGTAGGTTCTCATGGATACTTGTGATATCACTATAATGACGCTGTAACTCAAGTACTGTCAAGTAGCGTAGTGGGGCGTGACAGTAGCTGTCCCTGGCAGATTACGTGGAGGCTTCAGTAGTAGGTGCTCTAACTAACACGACGAATACAGTCCACGCAATTTATTTGCTACCTTCTAGTTAGGCAGACACATAAATAAGCCATAGGCGTATCTCATAGCTTTTCTTCGAGTACCTTATACTGAAGGAAAGTTTACTGAAGAGAGCAAAAGAAGGGTAGTACATTTAATGCCATAACTCATCTTCAAACAAGCTTGTCATGGTCAGATGAAAATCGTCATGACACCCGGGCCTCCCACGTGCTTATCCGTTATCTTCCCACAGCGCAACACTTTATAAGTTTAATATTACGATAAACTAAAGGCCTATTGTCCTATAAGTATAAGAAAACTTGTGTCCTTAGACCTGTAAGTATGTGTACCTCTATCCTGCGTACCTAGGTAGGTAGCAGAGCAAGTGCTGTGGTGACGTTGCCTTGGATAACACAGAGAACTAGGTAATTTCTCATCAGAATGTTTGTAAGTCCCTAACCTAGTAGTCTTCATGTAGTTGCTTCCTCATAACAGCCTAAGTTATGTAAATTGATGCAAAGAATTTATTCAAGCATATTAATAAAGTATTGAACAGAATTTGAACTGAATAATAATATCCACGTGTTCCCGGTTCTTCATAGTAAAAGGCTTGATGAAATCACTAAACCTTGTTTGCTCATCTACAGGGTAGGCTGGGTTGCCCAGAGCACGTGACTGTCATAGCGCGAGGACGCGCCTGGTATGGAGAGCAGCTCGTTGGTTCAGCTTCAGTCGCAAATATTTAGAAGCTTCTGCGACGCCAGTCACCAAACAAAACATCATACTTGATCACCACCCTGCGAATCTACTTGATAAATCGAATCCAGTCGAACCGAATCATCGCGCCGATACAACCGAAACCATAAGTCACTACTGTCGACTGATTCGACATCTATCGCCATCATGGTCCAGATCAGCGAGGTCAAGGGCAACAAGCGGGACAACCGTACAGCTGCTCATACTCACATCAAGGGCTTGGGCTTGAAATCTGATGGATACGCTGAAAAACAAGCGGCCGGATTTGTCGGTCAAGTCGGTGCGCGTGAGGTAAGAGTTGAATGAATCACAGCATTTATCGGCGAATGCTTACCTTCTGGTGTTTAGTCTTGCGGTGTTGTAGTGGACTTGATTCGAGCTCAGAAGATGGCTGGCCGAGGTGTTCTACTAGCAGGAGGTCCCGGAACCGGAAAGACGGCTCTGGCGCTCGCGATTAGCCAAGAACTGGGCACCAAAATCCCATTCTGCCCCATTGTCGGCAGCGAAATCTACTCGACCGAAGTAAAGAAGACCGAGATGTTGATGGAGAACTTCCGAAGAGCCATTGGTCTCAAGGTCCGAGAGACAAAGGAGATTTATGAGGGAGAGGTCACAGAACTTACACCTGAGGAGGCCGAGAACCCTCTAGGCGGCTACGGCAAGACCATTAGCACATTGCTGATCGGACTCAAGAGCGCAAAGGGACAGAAGAAGCTCCGTCTCGACCCCAGTATCTACGAGGCGATCCAGAAGGAGAGAGTCACAGTCGGCGACGTAATCTACATCGAAGCGAACACAGGTGCTTGCAAACGAGTTGGACGGTCCGACGCATATGCTACAGAATTCGACCTTGAGGCGGAGGAGTACGTACCAATCCCCAAGGGTGAGGTGCACAAGAAGAAGGAGATCGTACAAGATGTTACGCTGCACGACTTGGATGTGGCCAACGCCCGTCCTCAGGGTGGCCAGGACATCATGAGCATGATGGGCCAGCTAATGAAGCCCAAGATGACGGAGATTACAGACAAACTGCGAGGCGAGATCAACAAAGTCGTCAGCAAGTATATTGACCAGGGTGTGGCTGAGCTTGTGCCGGGTGTTTTGTTTATCGATGAGGTAACACTCTCTCATCCCCCCCCCTCTCTCCATCACGGGACGGGAACTCTATGGCTAACCGATATGACGTTTGATAGGCACACATGCTCGATGTGGAGTGCTTCACCTACCTGAACAGAGCCTTGGAATCGCCCATCTCGCCCATTGTGGTCCTGGCTTCCAACCGGGGAATGTGCACCATCAGGGGCACTGACGACATTGTCGCAGCCCACGGAATCCCTACCGATTTTCTCGCACGCATGCTCATCATCCCCACAACGCCATACGAAGGGGACGAGATCAAGCGTATCGTACGGATACGTTCGACAACAGAAGGCGTCTCGGTATCAGATGCTGCGATTGACAAGATCTCGGAACACGGTGTTCGCATCAGCCTGCGGTATTGCCTGCAGCTGTTAACTCCCGCGAGGTAAGTTATTGTGGCGACAGGGGAGACCCTTAACTAAAATCGATCCGAGACATGGCGACTGACACTGAAGAAACAGCATTCTTGCCAAGGCCAACGGCCGTTCGCAGATCGACGTGCAGGACGTTGCTGAATGTGAGGATTTGTTCCTCGATGCCCGCCGAAGCGCTGCGCTTCTCAGCAGCGAGGCCGGACAAGGATATCTCCCGTAGAATTGAGGCTGATGTTCAGTCTGAGAAGTTCAACTTCAGCCTTGGAGGTGCTGGGTTGGAAGGAAGATGTGTCATAATTACTATTTTAAGGAGCTATGTGGTAGGTGGGAAAACACCTGACCTCTAACGTTAGCTATTGTGTACTTGATAGGGAGCCATGGAATACTACAGAGGTTTGGCGTCGGGCTGGCTCATATTGACCACTGGATATCATCACGAGAATGTCACTTGCAAACCCCTGCCTTAGTTTAGTTCCCTTTGGAGACATCTCCCTTGTATTGTCCTCCCATTATGTTATGCTAATTCTAGACCAAACAACAAAGTGACCCCCCTCCTACAAGCCCTTTGACCATTCAATACCCAAGACATTGGGTCAGATTGCAGATTGCAGATACTATGTACATCCACAGAAACCATGCGTCACCAAGCCCATGTCATTTCAGCTGCCCGTCCCCCAGGCCTTGATTGTTGGCCCGCATATCTAGATCTGGTTAGATGTTCAAGGGGGCACATAGGGATTGATGGGTTTGCCCATCACGTGCACTACATATAAACTTGGGCCAATTTCGGAGACGACATTGTCTTTGTTTCAGTCCCTACAAGCATTCCACGCAGACATAGTCCACATTCCGGCATTGCATTACACTACTCAGCATTGCATTGTCGTCGTTGGAAGAGGCTGGAATAAAACAGGAACAAGGGGTGAGTTGGAGTGAGAGGTGCGCGGACCATTGGATGGGCGGCATTCGCATCATAATGAGAGGACGTGCTTTGTATGGGAGGAAAAGGGAGGAGAAAGATGATATATCATGGCAAAGCCCGTGGGCCTGTGGTTCCCTTTTGTGCGCGATTCTTGATTCTTGACTCCCGTTCCGCTTCGTTGGGTCCTATCACATTCTCACTCACGCTCGTTCACTCACCCACACACTCTTTTACTGACTGACAGACCCTGGTCCCCTTTTCGTCCTACTTTACGGATACCAGGTACCGCACCCGACTGTGGGATATACCCTGTTCCCTGTTCCTGGTACCTTGCTGCTGTGTGCTTCCTAGTGGATGAGTGGCGGCGGAGTGTTGCTGCCGATTGACAGACATTTACCAGACCAGACCAGACCAGACCAGACTTGACCAGACCGCACGGCAAAAGCGCAAACGCAGGACCAAGCTTCAACTATAAGCTGCAGATTACCGGGACATGTAGGGGTATTCCCCGCTATTCACTCTAAATAGTCCCCGGTACAGAACGATCCAATCTATCTTGAACCTTGATAGAGAGAACACCGTGGGAAAGTTGTAAAGAAAGGAAGGGAAAGAAAGTTGCCCGTTGTTGGGAGATGCAGTTGTGAGGTGATAAGAGAAACGAGAAGACAAAAAACAACCTAAGAAAAGAAACACGAAAAAGACAAGACAAGAGATCAAAGAACAACGCACGATAATGAACCACGCCTAATTTCCCTCCTTAGCTGCCAAAAAGAACCAAAAAAAGACACTGGTGCAGCAGTTTCATTGTTCTCTGGAGGCTACTGAATTGGCTGCCGTTCATACGCACAAAGACTTGGCCCTGCACAGACAGTGGCCTAACACTGCGAGAACCAGCGACCTTCTTTCATCAAACACACGAAGGAGAAAGACGAAGTGATTCCTTGCACACCAGAGCCTTATTGTAAAAAGCTACAGAATTCGGTTTACTGCTTCTTATAATTTGCAGCTGTTGCATCTTCAACTTCTCTCCTACTACTTACTATCGCTCCCACCCTCATCTCAGCCCTCTTGTTTGGCATCACCACGACCAGGGTTAAAGCTCTACTTCCCGTCCGTTTGTCAGCCAAAAGGAAAGCAGAAAGCACAAGAAAATGACACAGGTCATCTCTTTGGGCACGCCGTCCCAGGCCATGACCCCGGCCCACTCCCCCATGGATTCCGACGACTACGACAGGCCCCGAGCCTTTCGTGCCATGCCTGATACTCCAGACTCTCCTAGCCCTCGCACTGTTGGCATCGCCCGCAAACGTGCCGCTTCCATCAACACTTCTGAGGCAAACTATGGTAGGCTTGAAAGACTCAAGTTGAGCACGCCTAGCAGCATGGCCAGCAACGAGAGTACAAGAGATATCTGTCTCTGCACTCCGGCGCCCAAGATCCCCAGACCTCGAAATGGTGAGTTGCATTTTTCTTTGTCTTTGATATATATCTATTTTCATGAAGCTTGAGTTTGTATGCAGTGGTAGCAACATCTCGAAACAATCCTCTTTCATACACGCAACGCAAGACTTGTGTTACTAACAAGCTATCCACAGCCTTTATACTCTACCGTCAGCATCATCAAGCTCAAGTTGTTTCTCGGAATCCTAACCTTTCCAATCCTGATATCTCAAAGATCATCGGCGAGCAGTGGAAGGACGAGCCTCAAGAAATCAAAGACAACTGGAAGAGCCTAGCAGATGAAGAAAAGCAACGCCATCAGCGACAGTATCCTGACTACCGCTATCAGCCACGCCGTGGAAACAAATCCCAAGGAATCAGACCTGGTTCATCCCCAGCAGATGACTCTGGACGATGCCCCAAATGTAATCTACGGTGCATTGCAACACCATCCACCCCGTCCACCCCATTTCCCACCCCCTCAACAGGAGAAGGAAGAATTCCTCCCTACCCGTATACGCCTAACGTGCGTGGAGAGGATGCGGAAGCGGCTCGGCGTGAAAGTTTTGGTAACTTGCCCATGGTGAGGCAGCGTCATCCTTTGCACCGACCTGGTCAAAGAGAAGTGGATGACTATGATCCCGATTCGCCAGAAATGAAGAGACGTCGCTATAACACGACTGGTGGCTATCATCCTGTGTCTTCCCCTATACCAGGAGGACGAGCAATGTCGATGGGGTCAGCGCCTCCGCGACCATATCCCGTTACGCCTCTGCCAGAGCCACATTTTACCAGATCAAAGTCAGGTCCCATGCCCCCTCCTCCACGACCAATAGGAAGACCATGGTCCGAACAAGAGCAACGAGGCCGACACCCTTCCTACGACGAGTCCCTGCGACTCCCTCCCCTGCAGACTCCCGGTTCCATGTCACCTACCACAGCACCAGAAGTCGATATCCGACAACTTCAAACTCCTGTCACCGGACTTGGAATATCCAACACTCACGACCCCCAAGCTAGAAGTGTTGAGGCCATGGTCATGTCTATTCCGTTCACCCGTAAGCTATCTGTGTTGGCTAAGATCAATCATACCGAGGTTAGCACTCTCGAGCCCGGCAGTTCAGGAGTCGAGAACCGCGGCGCCGTCATAGCAATCGAAGGACCGAAGCCAAGAATGTTGAAGCAAGTTGGCACTCTGGTCGAGAGGGCCCTTCTTTCATCCAACGAAGTGTCACTCAAGGCTTGGGGTCAGGGAGCGGAAGAGGAGCAAGAAAATGAGCGACGGGGCTCGCGGAGTAGAGAGTCATCCGAACCCAAGGATAACCTTACATCATGCTTCGAAACAATGATCCATTGGCACCAGAAATCGCGAGATATGGTTAAGCACATCACCAGCCAGCCAGAGGCGTTGCCGAGCTCTAAGAGAGAGAGGGACTCCGAATCACCCATATCTCGTCGCGGCTCTATTGAGGACAACCACTCCAGGGGATCCCAAGACGACACGACCAAGTACAAGACACCCGTTGCACTGATAAAAGAAGGGTTCAGCCTTACTCTTTCGGACTCATTCGCCTGCACGGTACCCATCTCTGACTCATACGCGCCTGTCGACCATTGGCAGTGGATGGCAACTCTTTGGCGCGGCACCGTGGGACCTGACCTCGTGGTGTACGTAAAGCCCAGTCTGGAAGAAGAGATCGCCAAGTGCGGAACTGTCGACTTTCACCAAGGACTCATGGTTGTGAGGATCGCGGTTGGTAGGGATTTGGACGAGGCAACCGAGAGACGAGTAGCCTTTGAGGTGGTGGAGTGGGTAAGGGGAGGAAGTTTCCGAGAGGATCGCGAGAAGATGCGATGATTGAAACAACGATGATTGTGTAAATTTGGAACTGATTTACGTGGGAGAGATTGCTCTGTTGCTGAGGTTACACCTGTAATCAGGATGAATATTACAAAACAGCTTCTCAAGCCGAGGCGATAACGGAAGGGGGAAGATGGGAAAATAGGCTGCTTGGTTTAATGTCACATTGCTCAATATGGGTTGGAATGGGAGTTGGTATCAATAAATTCAGATGGTTCATGCATGTGCAGTTTTTATTGATGATACAAACGAGTAGTGTATGTTGTGAGGTTTCCATGTCTAACGCTTGAAGTCTTACAAGTGAAGCTCCAGTTACAGGCACCTACACCCAACATCCCTGCAAGCCCAAGGGGATTAAGATTTTACCCCTGCATGATGGGTACGTACTAGCGCACATAGCCGCTAAACGCCCAAAACGACTGCCGCCGTGGCAGTGGAGTTTATCCGAAAGTAAACGCGCCCCGGCTTTAGGGACTTGGGTTAGGTACCGCTCCACTACGCAAACAGCTCCCCTCTACCTACTAAATCAATACGCGACCTGACTCAGGAGACGTAGACAAGCATCAACAATAACGACAGGTTGACGACCACCCGCGATATCGTCGACAGCACCTGGAAAATAAGATAGCGGCGCCGGCACGATGCCCTACGATCTCGACAACATATCATAATGCCGGATTTTAAGCCTGGGCAGACTGTCCAACTCAACGATGGTCGCAAAGGCATCGTCCGCTTCGCAGGCAATACGCACTTCCAGGTCGGCGAGTGGATAGGCGTCGAGTTAGAGGAGAAGACGGGCAAGAACGATGGTAGCGTTCAGGGAGAGCGTTATTTCGATTGTCCCATGGGCTATGGCATGTTTGTCAAGCCCATGATGGCCACCATCCTCGCACAAGCCCCAACGCCGAAGCCGCCGGCTCGAAAACCCTCCAGGCCGAGTAGCTTCAATCCGGCTTCGGGAAGGGCGTCGAGCGCGGCGGGAGACATAGGCTTGGGTAGGAGGAAGAGCTTGAATGCACCCAGTCCAAGTCCGGTACCTAAGGTGGCCAGACCGACAAGCATTGCAAGAGCAGCTGTAGGTGTTGCTTGTGTAGCTGTAGCCGTTGAATGCTAATCCTCGTCAAGTCTCCTATAAAGTCTCCCACGAAGCAGATGAGTGCCGCCTCGAGCACTGCCGTTTCTCGAACAGGCACACCCTCGAATCCTCGCGCTTCATCCGTTGGGGCAAAGTCTCGCCCATCTGTTGGGGGACGCACGTCCATGGGCCCTCCACCACCGACTGCTCGACCAACAAGACAGGTATCTACGTCTTCGACAACACCGCGACCTGTAGGACCAGGACCGAGGACCACAAGTAGTCGCATGTCATTGACCGGACCATCACGGCCAACCTCACGCCCAAGTTCAGCTGCCAGGCGAACATCTATTGACTCGCAAGCACGAAGGGGCTCTTCAGACAGAGAAGATGATGATATTTCTCCTATTAAGGATAACGGAGATATTCTCTCACCTCAGCCCCGGAGCCCTGTTCAGGCCAGGACAAAGGCTCTTGAGAAACTTACAGCAGGACCTTTGTCGCGAACTTCTACACCGCCCGCAGCACGAAAGCCCGCGCCTACAGCCACCGCAGCGCGTCCTGCTGCAAGCACGGCAGCAAGTCGAGAAATTGAAGATCTCAAGGCCAAATTAAAGGTTCTGGATCGCAAGCGGGTTGAGGATCGAGACAAGTTAAAACAACTGGAGAAGGTCCAGGGCGAGAGAGACAAGTTCGAGAATGTCATTCAAATGTTACAGCAGAAGTATCAACCGCAGCAGCAGGAGAATGCTGAGCTGAAAAAGCTACTGAAAGAGGGTATAGCGCGAATCGAGTCAATGGAAGAGGAGCAGGCAGAACACGAGAGTGTACTGGAACTGACAACACTCGACCGAGAGATGGCGGAGGAAACGGCGGAGGTCCTGAAGGCCGAGTTGGATGCCCTAAAGCAGAAAGCGGAAGAGATGGAATTGGAGGTTGAGATCTTGCGGGAAGAGAACGAAGAGTACAGCAACGGAACGACTCCTGAGGACAGAGCGAGCACAAACTGGCTGCAAATGGAACGAACCAACGAACGCCTACGAGAAGCTTTGATACGGTTGCGCGACCTGACTCAAGCGTCAGAGGAGGAATTGAAAGACCAGATCTCGAGCTTGGAGGATGACCTGAAGGAGTTCAACACCATGAAGGTGGAACTCTCTACATGCCGAGATAAGCTTGAGAAGTCGGAGTCTGCCGTCGAGGACCTACGCCAACAACTCGATAACGCTCTTGGCGCCGAAGATATGATTGAAGACTTAACGGAGCGGAACATGAGCATGTCTGAGCAGATTGAGGAGCTGAAGGCTGTCATTGATGATCTTGAGAGTCTGAAGGAAATCAACGATGAGCTCGAGATTAATCATGTCCAGAATGAAAAGGAGATGCAGGAGGAGCTCGACTTCAAGGATAGTGTCATTGCTGAGCAGGCTCGACGAGCGGGCCAGCAAGAGGAGTCGTTGGAAGATATGGAGTACACTCTCTCGCGTTTCCGCGAATTAGTGACCAGTCTGCAGAGCGACTTGGATGACATGAAGGCCTCGCAGGCTGTTACGGAGGGCGAGTCAGAGAAGCTCAACGACCGATCCAGGGCCATGATGGACCTAAACATGAAGCTTCAGATCTCGGCATCCAAGGCCCAAGTCAAGACTATTGATCTGGAACTACGACGACTGGAGGCTCAGGAGGCTGAGCAGCACCTGGAGATTCTGAAGCTCTTCCTCCCCGACACCTTCAAGGAGGATCAGGACTCTGTCCTCTCCCTGCTTCGCTTCCGTCGTGTGGCCTTCAAGGCAAACCTCCTCAACAGCTTTATCAAAGAACGTCTCAATGGACAGCCCCATCCTGGGCACGAGGATGACGTATTTGCTGGATGCGATGCCTCTGACAAGCTCGTCTGGGTGTCCAGTATGTGTGATCGCTTTGTTAACGATATGACACATTGCACTATTGAGCAGTTCTCCAAGTATCAGAACGCTTTGCACGAGCTGGAGCCTGTTGAGCGTGCCTTGAATGTCTGGATCGACGGTTTACGTCGGGACGAACTGAAGGAGAAGACCTGCGCTGACGAGCTGCACCGCACCATTGCACTGCTTTCTCACTTGGGAGAGGTGCACATTTCCAACAGTCTGGCCAACTATGCTGACGACATTCATATGAAGGCTCTAATCATGCAGAGCCATCTTGACTCAGCAGCCGTCGCCTTCAACACCTCGCGAGGTCTTGTTCAACGCGTGGTTCCCACAGAAGGCGACGACGAAGAGCTAGCGCAGCACTTTGCCAAAAAGTCTGAGGCGGTTATTACTCACACTCGAGGCGCCAAGGTCATTGCTGCCAAGGCTGCACGTGCGCTTCAAGATTTGAGGACACGATCTTTGTCTCTATTGCCAGACACGAATGAGGCGTTTGACCAATGCTGTGAGGCGACACAAGAGCTTGCTTACCTAGCACGACAGATTGGTCTTGGCCTCCACAACCTCTTTACCACTGACGAGGGCCGAGCTGAGCCCTTCACGTATGCCGAGGTGCAATCTGCCGTCCACAAGACTGTTCTCGCAGTCAGTACCTCAAGTGAATCGGATTTGTTCTCAACCTACTTATCTAAGCTGCGAGACGTCACCGGGCAAATCACGGACCTGGCGGCGCTTGCTACCGACCTTGATCAAGTTCAAGAGTTCGATGTCGCTGCTGCACCTTGGCGGCTACGGTCCCAAGAACTTAAGGCTCTCAAGACCATTCCTGTCGACGCAGAGGAAGAGCTTCGACGCCTCAAGGAGGAGCACAGCGAGGCCCGTCGCACGATTGCTCAGCGCGACGAGCATCTCAGTACGGCCGTCCTCAAGATCGAGACACTCGAATCCAGAATGCGTGACGCTCAGGCCAACCTTGACCGCATCACTCAATTGCAGATCGAGCTTGAGGCTTCAGGCCAGCAAATTGGCAGCCTCAATGAGGATATCGAAAAGCAGGATCGCGAGCTCAAGAACCTCGAATCAGAGCGTGACAAGTGGAAGAAGATTGCTAGCGACAGCCGTGCCTTCGCTGACGGTGCTGACGCCGCTGGGGCTAAGGCTGGCCAAGAACGCGCCGTTGCCACAGCTCGCGAGATGGATGCCCTCAAGAAGGACATTGAGAGCCTCCAGTCGGCAGTTCGATACCTACGCGAAGATAACCGCCGCGCCCGCACATCGGAGCAGCCTAAGTACGAATGGTTGGCTGAGCCGCTCAAGAAACCCACTTCTGTGGTTGAGCAGCGCCGCAACATGATCACCACTGAAGGCAAGGATGTGCTTGGCGAGCTCGTCAAGATGGCGTCGTCAGCATCCCTATATGACTTCTCTGCACTACCTCAAGACAAGCTCGCTTGGAAGCCTGCGCGATCAACGCCCCAGTACCACGCAGCCAAACAGGCGGAAGACTATGCCACATGGGGAGCCTGGCAAGAGTCGGTCCTCAAGAAGGCCCATGTCCTACAAGGCCAGACAGCGAACGTCGAGCGTAGAAAACGGATGCCCACGACAGCTCGTCTACGCATCAAGTTACCTGGCGCTGATGGAAAGATTGTGCCAGGGTCGGGACGGGATATCCAGATTGTGGGATCGCAGGAGTGGGAGGCTCTACAAGGTCGTTTGGTTGTATGATGATAGAGTACTACATACCCCTTTTGTTCGTGAATTTATCTTTCAATAGTTTTGGTGGATGTTGTACGTATCAGAGCGAACGAATTACAATTCCACATAGAAGCAAGCTTGGCCATATCGGTCCCCTATATAAAGGGGGTTCAATCAATTGAATAGTTGAATCATTTCGTCTTTTTTTGCTCATGTGTGGTCATACTCGATTCCTGGGTATCTCTGACTTTTCCCAGAACATCGCATCTTCCTCCTCTATACGTTGCAATTCAGCTCTCATGCTTTGCCCTTGCCCTTCTTATCCTTCTTCTTCTTGCCACCTCCACTGCTCTCCTCGCCACCACCACCTCCTTGCGCACCCATGAGAGCCGACATTGGATCTCCACCGCCCTGCATCTCCTTCATCATATCCTTAAACAGATTCTCAGACACGCCGCCACCTGTCATAGCAGCGCTTAGGTACGGCACCAGCTCGCCCATCTTCCATCCGCGTGGCACGGCAGGCTTGGGATAGGGTTTTCCGGGTTCGGGCTGCAGCTGGCCACCAATGCGGACACGCAGGCCGGGGCTGTCTTCGGTGGTGGGGTTGTCGCGCAGGTGCTCGGCAACAAGACGGTACAGATGATGTTTGTTCTTGACAGGGTGGCCAGGCTGCTTCTTGAGACCAACCTTCACGCGGCCGGGGTTGGCCCAATCCTTGGGGTGCACCTTTTCGGGCTCGAAGAGTGTCGGCAGGCGTAGGCGTGAGCAAGCATTTGCGATCTCTCGCGCGAGAGGATCCTTGACAGCAAGGTCGGCACCCACACGTCGGCCTTCCGCGCGAGACCGTGAGGCGTCGAAATAAACGGGATAGAGACACTGGAAGTCGGCGTAGGCAGAGCGATCGGCTGAGGCGGGCATGGTGCCTCCAGGAGGGGCATCGGCGGGGACGATAGAAGGCTCTTGGTGAGGAGGAGCTGCAGCGGATGGAACTGTATGTTGAACAGGGTCGACGCGGCGCATGATATCGGAGTCGGCGAAGTCATCGATGTCGCCCTCGGCTGGGTCAGAGTCGAAGTCGCTGTCCGAGACTTCTTCTATCCTTGGGTGGGACATTTTTGCGGTTTGGTGGAGGAGGGGTAAATTGGAGGGATGCTTGACAAAGACCCCGCATGCGATTTATGAGAGGTTTGGTTCGTATGCAAGATTGAGCCGATGTTTTGTAGTACCGTGTCAGAATTGAGGTCGAGAGACTTGAGTTGGTGATGGTCGAGGTAAGGTAGAGAGAGATATGGGGTACAGTGGGACGTGGAAGGTGACACTTTGAGGTTCAGGTGTGGGATGAGCCTCAATGTGGAGTACAGCGCCTACCGAGTTAGGTTGCTTGCTCACCGAACTCACCGAGAGCATTCCTAATTTGGTGAACCATAGATTATAGCTACCTTAGGGAGTAACGCATAACTTGTAGTGGCATTGCTTTAATTTGCAAGACTGGAGAGAAGGTAGAAAAACACAAGACAGAAAGAAAGGCAAGATAAGAGATTCTTTAATTGATCAAATTCTGTTTAAGCCCAGTAGTCGCCTCTAAACTCCAATCACTATCTCGATTCACCACCACCAAGAAAGGATAGCACGCTTTGCTACCCCTTTATATAAATATATGGAAGAACTTTATTCCCAATCTTTAAAACACTAGACGGCATTTCATCTTGCTAGTTGTCATTGATGTTCTTGTTGGTAAACTTGGTATTTGGCGGATGAGCCGCCTTAGGGAATCTGCAATATTGTCGAGTGCACACTCCATTGTTAACATTGGGGCACTATGTCATATCAAGTCAGTAACGAAACACGATGTATTTGGGAGACTGCTTACATGATGACCATAGATACAGTCCTCGACATCACAATCTTGCCCGCTAGTGCATGGGTTCTGGCGGGAGAGCATTGCGAGAGCACGTATGTCCTCTGGCGAAAGTTTGTAATTGTGAACGAAAGGGCAGATGTCCATCCTGGTGCACGGGCCACGAAGAAAATGGTTGTTGCATAGCTTGTCATTACCAGCTCGGCGCTTGATGTTCTCCATAGCCTGGACGGTTACTGTTATAGCCGGGTCAAGCCCACGAGGCCCGGGGCTCCAAGCTGGTTGAACGGGGGTCTTATTGCGAACGGTGTTCTTGTCTTGCTGCTTAGGAGCTAAGGGCATAGTGAGCTGAGGCGGTGGAGTGACGCTCTTCGTAACTTTGGCCCATGAAGATGCCGGAGGCGACATCGATGCAGTGCTGGTAGCGGGAGTCAATACAGCTTGAGTTGTCACACTGGCTGTCGGCAAACTCTGGGTTTTGATCACCTCCGTGCGCTGACCATTAAGCTTTTCAGACGGGGCTTTACTTATAAGCCTGGTCGTGCGAAAGATGTCGTCAAACTCGATAGTATTCAGGTTCATTTCTGCGACTTCGCGTGCCAAAGGCCCGCCCTTCAGTATAGAGACGCACTGATGCGCCTGTTCATTTTCGAGAATCGTGTCAAGAAAAGGGGCATAACCCGCATCATGCCCGATGCCCAACAGGATATGCTTGCAATTCTCATTTCCCAGGTGCCAGCGCGCCGTGTCTGGGTATACATCAGCTAGTGTTCACCCACAAATTAGAAAAGTGTGGTGCTATCAGACATACCTCGGATTTTGAAGTCTGCCCTCTCCTTGCCATAGCCAACATCGATAAAGTCAAAGGAGGCCCTGGCCTGGGTAAAGCCTAACGCAAACTCTCTGACGAGACTTGGATCATCGACGCTGCCATTACGGTACATTGCTTTGCTCAACCCACCAACATTAGCAACAACCCGACAAACGATTTCTAATGAGCCTGTACGCTCATGGCTGCAAAGTTTTGCCACAGCAGCGTTCAAAGTATGGGCTGCCTTTTTCCCGCCCTCGAGCCCTAGATCGATAAACTCGCTATTAAACTATTTGCGTGGTCAATAAGAGCTTCTTTCAAGACGCACAGGCCAACGACGCCTAGACGAGATCGAACATACAATGAGACCATCTCCGTCGATCAATATCAGTACGTAAGGATTGGTATTCTGAAGCTTTTAGCTGTTGGGTTCCAACCGCACCATCACATGCTCCACTATACCTTAATCTCTTCGTTTTGCTTCACGATCCATTGGTATTGGGATTCAGCATCCTCCAAGTTCTTCTGGAGATCTCTTCGAGCCCTGGTCGCAGCTTGTAGATCGAGTTCGGTTTCGTGCAATTTCACTTTGAGCGCTTGGTTCTCCGTATCTAGGCTTTCGAGTGCCTTAATGTATAGTAGCGCATCCTGTTGCAGAGAAGTTAGCAATGAAGGTCGCTGTATTTTGTGTTGAATTCCAAGCATGCGGGGATGACAGGAGTAACATGGTGTTGACAACTTGAGGAAGGTGAGGCATCAAAAGCGCATTTCCCCAGGACAAGATATCTGGAAATCATCTTGCACCAGATTTCAGGAGCCTCTACACAATGGAGTTTGGTAGATGTTAAGTAGAAGAGCAATAGTGTACGCGCGCATACCTTGATAAGGTTATCTTTAGTATGTTCGTTAGAAACGACAAGTTGATAGCGTTGAAGCAGATCGTTGAAAGAGACCGTAGGCGCCATGTTGTGGGTAGCACTCCTAGAGGCTATCGCGAGCAGGAAGTATTGGTAGATTTGCGATCGTCGAAGTGGGATGCGAAGGTCAGAATTTGAAACTGTCCCAGGTCGTGCGCGATGAGAAACTCAAAGCGAAAAAGAAAAAATGAAACCGTGGACTATCGATTGAGCGACGAAAAGGTTCGACACGAAGTCTATCAAGAAAAAAAGCCGAGATGAAAGGCGCGCGCCAAGTTTGACGTAGGCAGTGTGGATAATATAGCTGTAGATCAGTGAATCAATCTCTTTCGCAGCCTGCCTAATGGCTTTCTTTTTTTGGCTTGCTGATCCCTGTTCTTTGGCTTGGGGCCCAGATCGGATTGGTGGGCGGTTTGTGTGCACAAAGGTTAAGAAAGAGGTGGAGGGGAGAAAAAAGAGATCAGCTGCTGGCCTTTGTCTAGGTAATTGCAGCCAACACACCCTTTGGATTTGCCCGGCGCAAGGGTATTGGATGGGGCGGGATGAGAGTGCAGGTCTGGGGGAGATGAGACAAGAAATGCAGTCGAGTTTAGTCATGGAGCAAGGCAGGCAAGCATACAATGCTCTAAGGCTGTACTCCGTACTCGGTAACTGAATAGGAATCCAATCTCGCCAACGCGATTCTGCCCTGGACTTGTTACTTTGGCGTTGAGCACGTCGTCTGTGTTCTCTCGAAGAATGAGGTTCACGATTATGATGAGAAGTAGAGAAACAGATATCATGTTGATGTTATTTATAAGTAGGCTAGACTCATGGAAGAATAAGCGTTGGTGTCTGATCTTTTGCAAAGGCTTTTTTTTTATTTTTTTACCCTTACGATTTCCCCTTGCACCTTCCTAGACCTTGTCTACAAAAGCCGAAGCTGGGGGGCACCTTCCCGTCAGTGATCAAAGTGCTAACTTAAGCACGGCAATGCCTGCTTAAGAAACGGAGGCAGGGATCATCAGCCCATGCAAGTTGCGACTGCAGGTGCAGGTGCAGATCCATCTTCTTTCACTGTGGAGACGCGCGCCAAACTGTGAAAGACGTGCACCTATTCTTTGCTCCGAACCCCCCGCACAACAAAGCCAGGCACTAAATATAACCATTGATCTTTAAGAGAGAGGGCATATTAAGTTTGGGATGACTCTGAGTAGAAATGCCAATAGTTGTAAGAAAGTTCTGCAGAGTCTAGGGTGACGAAGCCAATATCATGATATCTCGATATGCTGTCATGTTCTACCTACCTACCCCAAACATGTCTGTGCCTTTGTTTTAGTCTAGCCCACCCGCCCATGCCAATGCCAGGCACGCACACGATCTCTCTCCACTCTTTCCTACCTACCCGTTGGAAAACGCCTTGTCTACACCATAGGCTGTTATGGGCTGAGCTATAGGTAAGACGAGATATATGAATTCGGCCAACAGCATAACGTCAAACTGCACGGTGTAGTATTCTACGAGCTTCCAAGCATGTCCATTGCTCTATATAGACAGTCTCTAATTTTTTGTAGCTATGCCAACAAAGAAACATGTGTTTCATTGACCTGAAGTTTGTTCTCAGCCGCCCGCAGTTAGCAATAGGTAGTTTGACGCCTCCAAACTCACTCATGATTGCTGCTACATATATGTACCAGATATTTATTGTATTATACTCTCGCAATACTCCACGCATTATTACATTTGCACTGCAATTTCCCGTGCACAACACAACACACACACAGTGCCCGAGTTGAGGCCAGCTTTGTTTATTCATTTGCCGCAAATAACGATTGTCAGTTGTTGAGTTACAGGCTGGTAGCACAGCAGCCCAACGCTGCAGCATCCTCGCCTTTTGACGCCACCGACAGCAGTTACCGTTCATGTGTAAGCCTATCCTCAGGCTGAAGCCCTCAGCCTGATTGTGTTGGCGACCGTGCAAGCTGCAGGCTCCGCTCTTAAACCCGGATTCATCAATTCGTGCTTTCATACCAATGTCCCATTGCTAGAACCCGATTTTTATTGAGGAGGCTCTGCGCTTGAATCGTCTTGTTTTGTCTCGTTAATGCCCAGCATATTTTCGGCCTTCTTTCCAAGATCAGCGATGGCCTGCTCGGCCTTTTCCTCAAGGCCAATGACAGCACCCTGAACATTACGGATGGTCTTGTGCTGAGAGCCCTCAGTACTAAGACGAGTCATCTCAGCGACAAAGCTGGCACCCCACCAAGCGCTCGTATACTTGAAGACATAACGTTCGAGCTTCTTGTAGTTTGCCTCACGCTGTTCGGGGCTCATGGTGACAGCATCATGTAGAGCGTTGGCAAGCTCTTCTGTGTTCCAGGGGTTGACAATAAGACTGCCGTTGAGAGATTGAGCAGCACCCGTAAACTCACTGAGAATCATAACGCCGTGGTTCTTCTGTTGTGTGGCAATGTATTCGTAAGAGACAAGGTTCATGCCATCACGAGTTGACGAGACCAAGCATACGTCAGAGACGGCGTATAGGGCAGTGAGTTCGTCAAAGGTGACCGACTGGTGCAGGAAGTGGATAGGCATGAACTCGATGGTACCAAACTTTCCGTTGATGCGGCCAACCAATTCATTGACAACGGCACGGAGGTTCTGATACTCCTCGACATCTTGACGTGAAGGTACAGCAACCTGAACCAAAACAATCTTACCAATCCACTCGGGGTGCTCGGTGAGGAAGACCTCAAGAGCGTGCAGCTTTTGAGGTACACCTTTGATATAATCCAAGCGATCAACTCCGACAACAAGTTTGACGCCTTCGAACTTTCGGCTTAGGGCAGCAATACGCTCTTGAACCTTTGGCTTCTTCAACCCTTCGACAAAATTCTCAGGATCGATTCCGATGGGGAAAGCGCCAACGGTTACGAAGCGACCGTTCCAATCGACGCCGTTGGGGGTAGTCGGACACTCGAGGATACGGGAACAACTGCTAAGGAAATGACGGGCATAGTCGTATGTGTGGAAACCGATGAGATCGCAGTCGAGAAGACCGGTAAGGAGAGCCTCTCGCACAGGTAAGATTCGGTAGATTTCGCTGCTGGGGAAAGGAGTATGGAGAAAGAAGCCAATCTTGACATTCTTTTTCGATTTCCCAATCTCCTCGCGGAGCATCTGAGGGAGAAGCATTAAATGATAGTCGTGAACCCAGATGAGGTCACCATCTTGAACATCTTTGATAACTGTCTTGGCGAAAAGGCGGTTGACCTCTTGATATGCGGCCCAGGCGGACTCGTCGAATGTGATCTCACCAGGGTGGTAATGGAAAAGAGGCCAAAGGATGGAGTCTAGAACGATGCTGTTAGAGATAATATCGACCAAGTCTCAACATAGGTATGCTTACTAGAGAAACCATTGTAATGTCTGTCGGCAAGCTCATCGTCGATAAAAACAGGGTGCGCGCCGTATTCCTCTTTTAATCGTTGCTTCATGCCCTCGACTTCGTTATCGGGGACCTCAAGACCAGGCCAGCCATACCACTGGAAGCTGGTGGTCTTGCTGAGACCGCTCAAGCCAGTGACAAGACCACCAGAGGACATGGAAAATGAATAGCTGCCATCTTCGGATCGCTTAATAGTAATGGGCAATCGGTTGGAGAGTAATAGCAGACGGCCTGGGGCGGCCTGGCCGTTCTCGCCGACAGTCTCGGGCATCTTGACCGTAAAAGAAGGGTGATTCTCTGAAAATGAAGTGTTGAGGGTTGAGAGATCAAGGAGAGGAAACGGGGAAAGAATGTCGGAGAGCAAAGTAACCGGTCTTGTCGCGGTTCTTTCTGGCCGATGATCGATGGTGTGGTGTCTTTGGTCAGTGGAGGGGCAGAGGGGCAGGGAATTTGACCTGGCAGCTGGAGGCGTAGATCCCCAGCAAGTGCAGATAGTGGAGTGAGCGTTAGGAGCTTTGTTTCCAGTTGAGTAGCGGAACGATGACGCTATTGCGCGTAAGGTCAGTCGATTTATTGGAGAAGAGCGTGGTGAGCGGAGACGGGAGGTATTTGAAGAAACAAGGATCTCTTGGTTGATATTGGTAGTGAGACGAATTTGTTTGATTGTTTATTGACAGATGGTAGTTACGAGAATCGAGATATTTTTAGATTTACATGAGGGAATTCCAGCATGAGAAGGTGAGAGAAAGAAAGAGAGAGACGAGGCTTTAATCAGGCATCGGAAGAACAAGACAGAATCTGGACAGAACTGGAAGCAGAATCAGAAGCAAGGATGGATAGCAAAAACGACACGGGAAAGTGAGGGGCGTTTGGTACCTACCCGCAACCAGCCCTGCCCAGTTCAACATCGCGAAAAAGGTGCTCAGTCATTGTACCTGCCTTCCATGTCTACCGTATTGCATGTACCTGTCAGAACCGTTGAGAGGTAATGTGTGAATGCAGACAGGTTCGGTTTTAGGGCGATTGAATTAGGACGTAGTAGGTACGTCAGGTAACATTGGAAGCTGGATAATACTCGATACCTCCAGTAGGTATCCAATCACAAGGGTTTTGTCATACGCGTGCAAGTGTGCATTTGTCTAGAACGCCTTGGTTTAGAACGCCTTGGTTGTGCATTATCTACGGAGTATCCGTACCTTGACAAGACACAAGGCACGTTGCCTCATACTCAAGCGTCCACCCGTCAGTCTACCTAAGTTAGTAGGTAGTTTGTAGTACAATGGCTGGTGACTCAGACCAGCAATAGCCATTTACCTATTACCCGCAACCACGGAATGGCCTCATATGTTATCTCGCCGTTTACCTTGGTACATCCATAAACACCTGCAGCTTACGGCGTACCGTTGGTAACAAACCGGGCTACATAGACTAATCACTCTGAGTTATCGAAATCATCCGGCCCTGATCAGGTTACAATTTTTCATGCATAGGCACGACGCAGCTCATCTGGAAAAGGTTGCAGTGGGCCATGGAAATATCCCGCAATCATGCAGTTTTTCTAGGTACCTACTACACAACAGCCGCAAACAACAAATTCGGCGATAGTAGATACCAGGCCATGATCCGTCCTCATCATCCACCCACGATATATGTAAAATAACACTAGAAGAAATTAGGAATACCCGCCTCTGTTGTAGCAGGCAACTGATTCAACATCTGCCAAACAGTATCATCCCCCCAGCCCCCACCAAACTGCCATATCAGACCATCACCTTCAACTTCGTTCTGATTATCAGCCAAGGGGAGAGGAGCCATCGTCATGTCCGGCCCTGCTGTGAGATCATTGTAGACAAGATCACCAGTCGGGAAGAAGGGGGCCATCGTGTTCAAGGCATCCACCGAAGGGAACATCCACGTCGAATCTAGTGCAGGGAGGTCATTGCTGTCTAGAGACGAACTTCTTGGCGTGGAACCTGAAGCTGTTTTATTCGAGTCTACTGTAGAGCCGTCAGTCAAAGAGGGCAATGAATCATTCTGTGCTTTCTCCATGGCCCTCTTGAACCGAACAACGATAGCTCTGAGCACACCTTGCGCGGACTTGGCAAGCGGATTACGCTCTTGGATTGCTGAGAATCGTTCAATCGTCCACTGAAAGTGCTCGATCGTTTTGTCTGTGAACTCCGTGTGCTCACGGGGAAAGAGGATATACACAGATGCTAGGAGTACAATGGCGTCAAAACTGGCGAAGAAGAGCATAAAGTTTCTCCACGAGTCGGGCGGTAGCCCCTCGAATGTCACTTTTTGAATCTCGAGTGTTTTGAGACTCGCATGGATAGCTTCTGCCCTGCTCTCGAGGCGATTGAAGATAAACGGTCGGTGCAAGGCCATCTTGCTGAATTCGTGTAGACTTGCAAAATAGAATCGATTCGCCTGATACCAATGCGTCTCAGGGAGGTGATCCCACCTCGTATCAGGATTGCCCATTCTGAAAGAAGCCGGCATGTTTTTGTCGAGGTCTAAAATACTCTGGTGGATTCCATCTATCTTTGTAGGATCCATCGGATATGAACCTCCAACTTCGAGATTCTGGATTGCTCGTAATGGCCCACAGAGCTTGTAATTCCACAGGATTCGGGTAATCGGCGTAGTATGATCATCTTCTCCTCGAGGAACGACGGGCGTTTTATTGCGATTTTCAGGTATAGGTGCATCTACAGGAGGTGTTGGGAGAGCCTGATTCCAGTCAACAGTTCCTGGGCGCCCAAGAACCATAGCGCAGTTCAGATCCCAGATGGCGAGAAGTATGTAGATTCTTCTCCTTCTCTGGATCAACCATTGATTCTCCAAAATGCTGTCCACACTCGAGTCCTTAGGTTTGGGATCCAGACTATCGCGATGCATGCCTAGATCTTGGGCATCACGAATTGCAACGGCTATCGTATGCCACTATGCAAAACTCAGTCAACGATTCGAAATAACCTCAAACCAATTACTCACCGCATCTGTAACTTTTGCCGTAAACTTTTGGAATGAAGCTCTCAGAAATTGTGCTTGAACTGTGGTCAGAGAGAGTTGGCTCTTCCCCAAGAGATCAAGGAGCGCCTGCCCCGACTCGCTGTACTCTACAGCCAAGTCTTCAAAACGCATGTCTCCCGCAAACTTGAGCGAATCGAACGTTGGGTCTGGTTGCTCGGGTAAGAGCAGCAGTGCTGTTGCGACGACCTGGAACAAAAGGGCCGGAAATGCTCGCAGTTCAGACTCCAACCCACGAGGACCGACATCTGATAGCACTGAGAACGGTAGGGAATTCCATGTCTCGAGCTGGGCATATAATATGTCAGGGTCAATTGGATAGTATTGCCAGTTGAAGCCGTGCATGTACATTTCTATCAGTTTCTCGATGTAGTTTCTGGCTGGTAATTGCCGGATAATGGCTTTATACTTTTCCCTAAGAGCAAGTTCTTTCCCTGGCGAACCCCTGGAAGACTCTTCAGGCATCCCTGAAGTGACAGCTTCGCCATCGGTAATTGATTCAATGCGTTTGAGGATACCCATGGTTGACGCGCCGTTGTGAGCATAACCCCAGTCAGCCACTTTGGATGATAAAGGCTCGTTTGGCTCCTTGGGTTCATTATTAGGCGAACTGCTTCTTCGCGGTGGCGATGGCTCAACTTGTTTAACGGAGCCATTCGATAGAGCCGGTGAAGGTTCTGTGATTTGCTGGCTATGCTGTTGTTGGTGTGTCTGTTTGGCCGTTGGAGCTCCCGCTTCGTAAATGCAGCTTGGCTCTTTGTCTCGAGACTTGCAATTACCACATGGTAACTCGCGATCACACTGTATCAGTTTATTAGCTGTCTTACTCGTTATAAGCAAGCAAATTCGATGATGGTCTTGAAAAGTCACAGACCCTTTGCTTTCTTCGGTGGCATTCGGTACACGATATGACAACCCGTCTTCTCTTCCTCGAGCGAGAACCTTCGCCATTCTCAGGCGCTGCCGTCATGTTGCCTTATTCGAACATATGTTGGATGGATATAATTGATCAGATCATGCTTTATCTCAATGGTACATAAGTTGTTGACAATTCATATAGATAGGGGGCTAGTGATCTAGGTAACACATAAGAAGGTCTACGTTATTGATGAGCGTGTCTCTGGAGAAACGAACAGCAGCGTTCAGCTGGTCTTAACTCCGGGCTGAGCTTTAAAGTAGGAAATCTGGCGTTACGTCTGTTGTGGGGCATCCATCAAACCAGAATTCAGCCCTGCCACATTCTCCAATACCTGTGCCTGTTGAATTGACCCATGCGGTTGAGCCAGGGCCTGGTATTCATAGAACATAGTTGAGGAGGTCAAGAAGATTTCGAGATGAGAGATATTAGGTGGAATCGAATGGCTAAATTCTGTCATAACTAGAAGGTTATATGCTATATCTCTCCATAATATCTGAAATTCGTAAGATTATCGTAAATCGTGGATCATTGATTCAGGTGCAGAGGATCCCGTAAAGACCAGGGTTATGCAGTTAGAGCAGAGCTTAGTCTAGTGCTTATATCATACCCCCAATCAGGGACCAAATCTTATTGCTATTGCAGGTGAGTTACCTTCATGGCCGTCAACCTGCTCCCAGGCAGTCATCATATGATTATGATATCCATACCAGACTCCGCTAGATGTCTCGATAACTCCAGTGCAGCCTGTCTACCGCGCCAAAAAATGACAAGACCAACCCAACTTCCGGTCAGTTTCAGATCTTAACGAACACGTTCCGTGTACGCCTTCCACGCTGCGGACCGGTATCGTTCAGCCTCCTCCTCAGGGTCGCCTGCCTTGATAATACCACGTCCAACGATAGCAATATCAGCACCAGCAATGCCAATGATCTTCTGTGGTGTGTTGTACTGCTGGCCCTTGCCGTCGCCCTTGATAGCTTCGTTCTCGTCGGCACCCTCGGGGGGCAATTGGCAGCCGGGTGTCATATGGATGAAATCATCGTCGGGTTGTGTGTTGAGACACTCTTGTGAGATAAAGCCCATGACAAAGCTCTTGTGTTCCCGCGCGGCCTCTACACAGGCTTGTGTGTATTCCTTGTTCATGAAATTTCCCTCACTCGACATTTGTGCTAGGATGAGGAGGCCCCTCTCGATCGGTGCCTCCTCAATGCCGAGGAAAACCGACTCATCACCCTCAGGAATCGTCTTGACAAGACGCGGCGAATCGGCTGACTCGTACTGTTGAGTGACGGTAGTGGTAGAGACAATGCTGCCTTTGCGGCCGTCTGTGCGAGCAGTTTCGGTTGGTTCCTTCGGGTTCTCGCCATCTGAATGTTCGCTATCCTCGTCAAGCTGGCTGGCCGTGGGCGTTCCAATGCTGATGGAAGTCTTGACCTCGTAGTGGTATCGCTCGAGCCATCGGCTGGCGGCGTTGGCCAAGGATGTTACAGAGGCCTTGCCTGGAACCATGTTCACATTGACGATATGTGCCCACTCGATGATACGCGCAGCACCGCTAGTATACTGCAGCTCGACCGTGTTGCCAATATCACCAAATTTGCGGTCCTCAAAGATGAGGAAACCATGCTTGCGAGCTAGCGAGGCAAGCTTAGCACCAGTACCTGTCTTAGGGTCGAAGTCCCAGCCGGCCACCATGTCGTAATGAGTCTTGAGAACAACGATAGATGGACCAATCTTGTCGGCAAAGTAGAGAAGTTCGCGGGCGGTTGCGACATCGGCGCTGAGGCAAAGGTTCGAGGCCTTGAGGTCCATAAGCTTGTAGAGATGTCGGCTAAGAGGATGAGTAGCTGCCTCAGCTCGGTTGGCGAAGGTCGCCTTGAGGGACGGATGGGACGACATGATGTGATAAGATTTTGAATATCAGATTGGTATGATCGAGAGCAAGAGTAGGGTAGAAACGATAGAGATGGCGACACTATACAAGGACAAGCTGTAGCACACCGGTCGCAAATAAGCAGCTACCTCGGCACTCGGTCTCTTAGGATGCGCACAGATGATCTCGATTCTTGACAGATTGGCTGGCGCAAGTGGCGGTTTGAACTTTGGCGGAGGGGAAGCTGGGGAAAATTGAAAAACGGAGACAAAAGCCGGTAATAGGAACGAGGGGTGATGATCCTATTTAGCTTCGGCCGAGTAGACTTGGACGGAATGTGGTTCGATATGGAGCGTTGTTGATCGAGGGCCGATGGAGAAGTTGAGTGAGGAGAAGACAAGAATTATGGGAAGGAGAAAAAGAAGAAGAGGGAAAGTCCAAGGAAAGAGGAGAAGAGCGAGGTTGAAGTAAAAACCAACAAACAGCGAAGACGGACGGGGACGGGGTAGGTAGAAAAAAAGGTGAAAAGTGACGATCCACAACTTGACTTCCATGGATGGGATGGATGCAATTACAATCCATGCAATGAATGCCCTGGACCGACCCGACCGACTGTGAGGCGACAAGGCTAAGTAAGGCCTAGAAGACCCTACTGTGGCTAATGTAGGCTGTACCTAGGGGCCTAGTTCGCAGGGTACCTTACCTTTTTAGCTCCAAGCGAAAAGCCTACAGAGTGATGGAGGTATGATTGAATGAAGCTAACGTATTCAAGGCCCCGAGGTTCAAATGTGTACGAAGTAGATCTAGTAGTTACTTGACATGATACACCCATAGAATAGTCATGGAGCAGGGATTGTTGAGAGAAGACCCGGCTTAAGGTATCGTGTCATTTCCACAAAACCTGCTACCTATAGGCGGATATACCTATCCACTGCGGGCGGACATGATTATTGGAGGAATGAGTGGAAAAGAGCACACGGATGTTAACGATCTAACGCTGGACATCTTTTAGCCGGGAGGGTGGAACAAGGAGACAAGACATAAACAGCTCATCTGTACGGGAGAGTGAACCACGATTGTACATTGAAGAAAGAACTGACCAATAAGACCTGTGATTGAAGATGAGCTTCTTTAGGTAAGTGGCCGGAAGTAATCCGATATGTATATCTGAATGCTACCTTACTTTGTGTACCGATCCTTACACGACTACCTTAGTACCTAGGTAGTCTTGTATCCATTGCCATTACACCGAGTAGAGCAACTTCAAAGCACAACGGGCAACACAGCACAGCCTCTCTTCCTAAGCCATTCAACCTTGAACCCGAAGTAAGCGGGGTGGTCAAATTCTTTCTTACCTTAGCCCTAGGACCCATATCCCGTATGCCACCAGTGAGTGACGTGTATCGTGGGGGGCACTAGAGTTTGTAAAAGCCAAGTCAAGACAAGCTTGCTTGGTGGATGAGCAAAGACATAAAAAATCAGACGATTCCGAAGGGATTGGCATGTCGATGCATGCTACAGGTAACATCCAGACCTGAATAGTCTGGCAGTTGGTGGCTGGATATGGCTTGGCTGTGATTAGTTGACGATCAGGGATCATAAACTAAGACAGGGTGAGATGATCATAGCCAACCCTGGCTTAGATGATCTGCCATGAGACAGCCCGGGAGACGGGGGACGGGTAGCTTTTATGATATATTTCAAACGGTTAGCAGTCGGCATGCCGAAGCTCCGTGTTGTTTGTTTGCTGTATTTATTTCCAATGGCCTCAATATGCAGCTGCCAGACTCAACATGGTATCTCGTAGTGCTGTGATTTTCTTGTTTGGGTTTTTAGTCCATGACTCGGCTCCGACTCTGAATTGGCAGTAAAAAGCCATTTGGCCATGTTACACGGCATTGACACTATTGCTGCAAACACCCGTCTTGGAGGCCTATGAGCCCAACAGCCACGCAGCCAGCGAGCCGTCAAGGATGACAACCGCAACGTACAGATCCACAGAGCCTACATGACTTTGCAGCAGCCTGACCGTCTCGAGATGCGCGTTGGCTGTCCGCGGGTGCGGCTGTAGGGAGTTCGATTCATGACTAAGACACCAGACCGATAACATGGCGTATTATCGACCGCTAGTTAGACGAAGCACTTCGTGAGGGACGATGCGGAGTGTCCACATCCTTGGACGTGGTATTGAACACCCGATACTCCGTAGAATGATTGGATTGCTTCCGACTGGCAGATACAAAACCACCGAGAATATCCCACGGATAGAATCTCCGGATTGGTACCCTCTCGCAACGGAGCAACCGGCAGTGATGAGAACTAACGCAGCGTACCTAGCGTCTTGAGTTGACATGGGTTTCACTGCTGCAAGGCACCGCCGTTTCTCACCAACAACCACATATTATCTCGCATCCACCACAAACAAGCTTCCTCCAATGTCCATCGAAAGTGGCTAGAAAGCGTTAGGAGTGCAGTAGCAGCTTTCCCTGAGCTAAGAGCCCAACTTGAGTTATATTATTGCCGCTCACTCATTCCCATCCCCGGTTGCTTCAATACGCCTCCCCCGGATTATCTGGCTCTTCCTCACGGCCGTGTCGAGATCGTCACCAGGGTCTGGCTCCGCTGTCCCCAGAGTTACAATTTCCAGTCCCCTACCCTGCCTATGGCAGACTGGCAGCCAGAGCCGGAAAAACTCCAGGGGCACAGAAGCAATGAACCCTTGCTACAGGCTAGGTACTTCCAAAGATAACGCACGCAAGCACTCAGACTCTTAAACCCAAAGGGAGAAAACAGGCAAGGGTCTTCCTCTGCAATGCAGCGCTACCTACGAATACCGCCTGGCGTCTCGGCTATGCCGCAGGATAATTAGGTACTCCTCCACTCCCCGGCATTCCCGAATCTCTCTTGATCAGAGTCGGCAGGTGAGGTGCACTTTGACATAATTGCCGCTCTCTGTAGCAGGTAGGTAGGTACCTAGTTTTATCACTAGTTCCGTTGAGCTTATTTAGACTTTATCAAGCTCCCAAGGCTAAGTCAGTAGTCATAAATTTTCTATCTATTGAGCCTGAGCTCCCAGAATAACCAATAAACACAATCGAACATGTTATCCTCCGTTGTCAGATAAATGACAAGTCAGGTTCAGGGCAGCCGTTGACAGCCAAGTTATAGCTTAAAGTCCCGCATACTAACTCAAGTTTAGTCCATTACCAAAATTCTATCCGTACGTTCCTATCGTTCAGACCAGTCTACACTGATTAGCATGCTGCTATCAGCAGCTTTGGCAAGCTTATGCGAGACGCTGATAGAGGGTGGCTTGTAATAGAGTTTGTTCGAAAAGTGTGGTTAAAGACGGTTGAACTGTGATGTGCGATTATGAGACAACACTGATACGAGTTTCTTAAACAGAACCAGCGCCTTGAACCAAGACAAAGTATTTCAGCTCTGTGTGAAGTTAGTAGACCTCCTCATTTGATCAAGGCGGGGTCAAATGGATGTCTTTGATACCAGAATGCCCTGGCCACCAGGAACGCCCAATTGTCAGTTGTTCACCACTGTGCCAAAAGACACACGTTTATGTTGTCTATCGGAAGCTAAGCTGAAATCAACTTGAAGTCTCACAAAAGGTTGCAGCTCGCATCGATGTTTCACGCACTGTCGTCGCTATAAAGCATGAAGTGATCGACTCACATGTTTCGAGGCTAATACGTGAACATGTGTATTGTAGATAAGTCATTGCAAATGAAACCATCCTGTAACCCGGCTCGCACATATAGTCGCATACTCTTAGCCATGCGGATTTCGTACGACAGCGCCAATGTGTGTTACTCAATCATGACTTGATATTGCTTGTAATTGTCTGGCCATTCGTGATTCTGACACTTGGTCTTGTTACGCCATGTCCTGTAAGCTGTCATGACACCATCCAGGTATCATAAGTATGTCGCCGCTAATGCCTCTTATGGCGGACGATCAGCACTCTCCATCTATTCTGGGCTGCTATTCTACCAATGCGACGTCGAGACTACTCAGCAGCTCGGCCGAATGGGTATTTATAGTTTCGATAGAAGTCATGATACATATCATAAAAGCATGTGTTCCAGTATCCAGGTGCACAAGCCGAGGCTGATTTCCTTGTTTGACACATAGAGCAGCTAACAGTGCTTGGATCTCGAGACTCTCAGAGGCAGATCATACGTCTTGGTAAGGGTGATGGTGAGTTTGTCCGTCAGACTCAAGAGAACAGGAAATAAAATGGCCTTGAAAGTGGAGCCATTGCCTTCTTTTCCGTTCTCCGCTTACAATTTGCCATGAGCGGACTTGGCGGATATCAACCAATATCATTTTCAGGGGATTCGTGTCCCACCGGTGTCAATTTCGGGAGAGCTCTTGGCTTGTTACGGAGGCAAAGGGGCCGCAAATCACACGCCTCATCTGCTAATTGACACCTAGCCAAGCTCTTTACGGGCCGTGTAACATGTCCGAACCTACCGAAAACCCCCTGTTGTTCGCTTGGCGGGAAGCATCTCATCCATGGAAAAGGGAGCCTCGGGAGCCTCTAATCAAGCTTACTGTACTAATTAATACTGGATTTCTATACTTGCTGCCTCCGCCGTCATCGCACTTTTAACACTTTGCAGTATCCACCAAACTTTAAGCTCCCTCTCTTATTTTTCTCCTTCTCTCAACCTTCACATCCGCTCCTTTCCACACCTTTAAACTACCGAGTCTCCCCTCGTCCCGCTTCTTGCGACACGCGCTGCTTTGTCATTCCCCGACTTGGACCAAATCGACAGCAGCTTCAACAGCCGCCAAAAGTAATCCCTGCCCCCTTTCGCAGTATCTCTGCCCGTTATCTCGACCTCCGAAGCTGCATGATAAGCCACACCACGTCGGTTATCGCGACAACCTGAACCCGAACCCTTCTCTTGCGAAACGAACAGTCAACCACAATGAGCCCACGAACTCGACGACAGGCCGTAAAGGCCCAAAACACTTCTTCCTCCGATTCTGAGCCTGAAGTCAGATCAAACGGCAACGGTGTTGCTCACGGTGCCGCGGATGCTTCGGACAGTGCCCCTCGCGAGAACATCTTCCTCTTCTACCCCAACCTCATCGGTATGATAAGCAGAACCATTTGAGAAAATCATGTCAGCATCACTAACACCCAGTGTCTAGGCTACGCGCGCATTGTCCTTGCCATCGCGTCCCTTTACTACATGCCCCTCCATCCTCGAACCTGTTCGTTCCTCTACAGTATTTCATGCCTTCTCGATGCCCTCGATGGCTATGCTGCGCGAATCTACGAGCAATCCACTCGCTTTGGCGCTGTTCTTGACATGGTCACCGATCGCTGCACCACAGCTTGTCTCATCGTCTTCCTCTCCTCAGCCTTCCCTCGATGGGCCATCGTTTTCCAGGGCTTGATTGCTCTCGATCTTGCCAGTCACTACATGCACATGTATGCTACTCTTGTTGTCTCAGGCACCAATGCCAGCCACAAGAGCATCGATGAGAGCAAGAACTGGCTCCTGCGTCTTTACTACACCAACAAGGTATGTCTGTTGTACTCCTTGATTTGTTACCAATCGCTGATCATGTCTAGAACGTTCTCTTCGCTCTTTGCGCTCTCAACGAGCTTTTCTTTATCGCTCTCTACCTCCTCTGCTTCTCATCTCCTCTTGTCTCGCCCTACCTTATCAAGCCTGTCCAGGCAGTTGGTGCCGAGCTCCAGGCCGGTGCTCAGGTCAACACCTCGATCCTCGCTCAGATCTTCCCCGATCCTTTCAGCCCTGCGGCTCTCGAGCTCGCTCGTGCTAACAAGATGGACTCTACCGTGCCTTGGGTGATTGCCGGCATTAGCTTCCCTTTTATGTTCTTGAAGCAGTTCATCAACTGCGTTCAGCTCTACAATGCCAGCCTGGGCCTTGCTGAGGTCGATCTTCAGACTCGAAAGGAGCAGGGTCTCCCCCGCCCCAAGCCCAAGAAGGTTTAGGCGTCAAGAGCCTTTATCACTGTTGGATCTCGGCCGTGAGTGGCGACGACTCCAGCAGGATAACAAGATGTCAGCTACAGCCTGTGAGACAACTCACTGGCTTGCCAATTACCATTTTTTTTGTGACTGGAAAGACACATAGTTTCAAGTTGTGTCTACATAGTCTGTTTCAATCTGCTCCTTGACAAGGGGCAATCAATAGGGAATATTCAAGGGGGGGGCATTGTACAGATCCCTCTGCACTGCATGACTCGGCGTAGGGGGTGCGGTTTTCAAAGACTCTGACTCCGGAGGGGAGGAGACTTACTGGGTAAAAGGATTGGAAGAAGTAGCACCCTCACAAGATGGAGGGAGGAACATTATTAGCTGCTACAGGTGATAATCGTGGGAATTTTGTTCACTGGGATTTAGCGGTTGAACGGTTAGACTTCGTCGTACACATTTCCTTTTTCTTCTCATTGGGCTTTTACCTTTTGCTTTTTCTACTTGGCCTATACTTTGTTAATAGTAGACGAATGTTTGCCACACTCGCTGGAAATGAACAAATCTCAAAACGTAAAACGCCCCTCGCCTAAACCTAAGTTAGTTGACCATGTTTTGTTTGTATGACGGTGTACGACTTGCAAGCTGGTCATATTGTGTTGGGTACGTAGAGATGCATACAAACAAGCTTTAATTATCTTACTTGACACATGTAAATAATCTGAAGTGAAACCTGGACAAGTAACGTAGTGGTACATTTGAATTCGTTCTAAATTATCATGTGGACCTGACATGATGCTGTCAAGAAGTAGAAAGCTCCAGCAGGCCTCATATAAATCTCTTCTAATCAATGGCTCCTTGCATCGCCTGAAGGGGAAACAACTGTCTCTTGGGGACCTTTTTGTGCGGAATGTACATCTCCAGAATCATTGTCCTCAATAAGTCCAGCGCTGAGGGCACCAGCACTGGTTGAATCGACAGGCGCAGAGAATCCGTACCATGCCACAACACTCACGCCAAGAATGCCGCAGATGCAACTGAAGACGAGAGCAACGATGCCACGAGGGGTGAAGCTGGAGCAAGTATTAGCGAACTATTTTCTCAGCCAAATAAGAGTCAAGATTACTAACCCAGAAGGCAAAGGTTTGGAAGGTTTGTTCTCCCCAGTGAGGTCAAGGAAGTTTTCGGTATTAGCAGCAGCATTACCCTTGGTAGGTATATTGGCGGCAGCGCAGGCATCTAGATGGTTCTTTGGGATCTCAATGGTCTCTTGGAGGGTAAGGGGGTCTTCCACAAATGTGGCAATGAGACCAGAGACAACATGCCATTCGATGTGGCAATGGAACAGCCAAACACCTAGAAAGGTCAGTTATGAGAGTTCTCCAAGCGTTCAAATTTGGCGCATACCTGGGTTGTCGGCCTTGAAACGCATGACCATGTTGCCGTTAGGATAGATGACCAGAGTGTCACGTCGCATTGGAGTTTTGGGTAGATCGGTCTCAGTGACGTTAGAATCCGCCCAGACACCAGCTTCTTCCTCGGAACGGTAAACTGCCTGGAATGCGTGGCCGTGGAGATGGAAAGGATGACGACCAGAGTCAAGATTGTTGACAACTATTTGCACAATCTCGTTCTTCTTGAGGACCATGGAGTGTGTGTAAGTACCGTACACTGTAGGATCTTCGGCGTCTTTGCCAGCACTGAGTGCTGTGTAGAGAGTGGGAACCTTGGCTGCAGTATATGTGATGTTGTTGAAGAAGGCGTAGTTGCTTCCGTCCCTGAGGTTGTTCATCATGACATCGAGAGTAACCTCCTTATCAGGTTTCCCAAGGATCTTCATCTTGTCGTAGGGGACAAGATTCATGTCATCGAATGGTTCCAAAGTCTCGACAGTAGCCGCTTCCGGTTTGTCAGCCTTCTTATCGTAGACAAGCCAGCCAGTGGAGTTGTAGTTAAGATCTTTGGGAAGCACATCAAACAGTGTCTAATAGGGAATGTGAGTAATCGATTTGTGTCCAGTTTTGGATTAATTGCACTTACAGTGTCCATACTAGCAACAATCGGAAAGTTCTTTGAAATATCCTTTTTAGTCGTGAGAAGAAAGCTGACGCGCTGGGCAGCTGAGAGATAGATCATTTCCGCCTCTGCCTCCTCGGTATAAATACCATCAACCTCGACTATTTGCATCTTGTGGCCCTCAAACCAGAGGTACTGGCCCGCAAACGCACCTATGTTGACAACGCGGAACAGATAAGTTGTTTCGGGTTTGACAGACATGGTGAAATTCATGGTTTCGTTCATAAGTGCATTGTTAGGCACAGGCTCAGCACCAGAAGGATTGGATTTTCCCATGAACTTGGGAATGAGGGTTTGCATCTCGTCATGATACCAGTCTGAGAGACTGAAGATGACCTCTTCATCGTACTTGTTCTTGTATGGGAAGTCTTTGTCGTGGACGATAAAGGGAGCCCGCAGACCATCTGGATATTGAGCAGAGGTATGCGAATGGTACCAGTATGTGCCAGGTTGGTCGACCTGTGGAAAGTGAGTTGGATGTTAGAAACAGGGATAAGGGACTTCCTACAGTGAAGTTATATGTAAAGGTGGTCCCTGGAGCAATTGGGCATTGACTGACACCAGCGGGACCATCCATTTGCGTGGAGCCATTCATGAAGAGACCGTGGAAATGCAGTGAAGTGGATTGATTACCCAGACTGTTGTGGGCGTCGATGATGACCCGATCACCAATATTGACCTCGATTGTTGGGATAGGCCACTTCCCATTGATGCCAATAACCGGGCGCTCGAAGGCATTATCGGGATTGGCTCTAACCCAGCCGATGTCAAAATCAAATTTCTTGGTAGCAGCAAACGCAAGTTGAGGAAGGGCAAGAAGCAGTGCTGCCTCGGCTGATAGTGGATTGAAAAGCATCTTGAATGTGAAGAAGCCAAAGTGGCCTCACGTTCGAGAGCTGGAAGTATGAGGGTATCAAAGGAGGGAAGGGGAGGGAGGAAGGTAGGAGCAAGGAGCAAGGAGCAAGGAGCAAGGAGCAAGGAGCAAAGAGGATAAGAGATAGGCTCCAACACAAAGCTATAAGAGCCCGTGAGACACTTGTAGGAAGAGGAGAGAGTTCCACAGACAAGAAGAGGCAAAGGTGAAAAGAGCTGAGATGGATCAAACTGTAGATTAGATGAGATGGTTGGAACCGAAGCTAGGGCCTGGTGGGATGATTATTTCACGGCATTGACATGGGACATGGGCATGAGTATGGCAATGGGGAAAGGAAGATGTATGCATGTATGTATGTACTGTAACATCCCAGCCTGATCAGGTGTAGCACTGTAGCACCAACGGACATCGAGCATAATGCAGTAGTAAATGTTACCGAGAGCCGAAGTCGAGAAAGGTCCCACTACGCATGGGGAGGGACATGTTTCGGCGGCGCTAAACGAGGGCAAGGCAAAGAAATGCTGATTGATAGCGGCCGATATCTCGAGTCGGACGAGCTGGGCTGATCAAGGTCCCAGGTTCATCGGCAGAACCACAACCGCGGAATCAATGCGCGAGAGAGACTTGCGTGAAAAGGATGCTCTAGATGAACCAGGATTAAACTACAGATGGACAAGATGAGCAGCTATTGATCCATTGTGGCTTGAAAGAGGCTTGAGACCATTGGGAAGTTGTTGGGTTTTGATTGTGTAAGTGCGCATTTGAAAGAGTGGGAAGCGATTTAGTGATTATTACCCTAGGGGGTGAAATAAGACTTCGGACGTGAGAAATCAAGTAAATGTAGACTATTATATACCATAATTACTGCAATCGGCTCTAAGATATAATAAAGTTACTAAATATTAGACTAAGGTTTAGTAATTATATTAATACTAATATAAATATAAAATAATTTTCTTTAAATATTCTTATTACAGTATAAAGTTATCTTTATTTTCATCCCGCATTTGATGTTTTATTTCACCCTGAGGTTACCTTAACGATAGAAGGCCAGTGGAGACCTACCTCAGGCTATACCACTTGCAGTCAAGTGCAAGTCAGATGATGGCCCCGCCTCGAGCTTCATCTTATCAATCGCAACCTCTTTCTCGTGTTCTTCCCTCTCCCTCGCCCTTCACAACGCCGCTAACGGTTCGTGAGATATGATTCGCTTCGTCGCCGACAGGAATCGAGTTCTGGTGGTGCCACTTTTCCCGGCACAGACACTCCCGATCCTGGGAAGCTCATCCAAGGGTCCACGATCTTCCTGCTAAAAGTGCCAAGCGTGTCCTGTCTATCCCTGTCTAGCCCTGTCTCGTGCCAAGACGGCTCACCCACAGCTATCAACCACGCTGCAGCGTCTTGGCGATCGCTCTCATCCTCCAAATACCGAGGACTGGCCTTGGGGCCCGCTTCAACCTTCAACAGGGGAGAACCTCAGCGGCGCAGCATACCCCTGCAAATCTTGACATATCTCTCTCGGAGTCAGGACGTCGAAAATGCTGTTACAACGAGAATTATACGGCATGTCGAGGCCGAAGTAGAGTAACAAGTTGGCAATAGGCAAAAGCTGAACGACCCTTAGTGGACCCTTCAACGGTCGAGAAGCCATTCCATGGACCCAGCAAACAGGGAGTGGCCTGACGACTCACAACCAACAAGCTTCCTCGGTCGAAAGCTAACATCACAGGCGAGATCCCATCCTTCCATCTTTTTTCCCCTTCTTTTTCTTCAGCTGCGTTCGGTTTTTCTCGTCTAGCTCGGGCATTAGCGTTCTGGTGGTTGCTTCGGATCAGATAATGATTATCTCCTGATCTTTTCGATATGATAACCTTGATCTGGAATCGGCAGGTCATCACACCCTCGGGCCTTCGGCTGCTTGTCTCGATGCAGGCAGATGCTGGTTCTTGTGCGGCTGAACTGATTTTACTAGCTCTGTCTCTCTTTCTCTTTTACGGAGCGTTGCGGCCGCCCCAAAACAGGTCAGTCATTCCTTTTGTCTTGGGGTTCCAAATTTGCCTCGTTTGAGATTTAGGCTACGGCATGATAGTCTACATGTGAGACTGAACTGGACCACCGCTTTTCCGAAAACCAAGCGAGATCGCCTCCTTGTACAGTCCGATACAAGCACGAGCTTTTCGGCATCTGTCTTTAAGCTAGGATTGGGGTTGCATTGTGGGTGTGAGAGACATGGCGCGCGCTACCTATTCTGAGCTGTTGATCTCCCACTCCAAGTACTTCTTCTGTCAATTGAGTTTCCCCTACGGAGTAGAGCGTCAAGTATTCATGAATACCTGGAGCTGGTCTGGTAAACCGAGGATTTGTTGATTGCCTGAATACAGGTCGTCTAACCTCAAGACGGCTGCCATGGTTATGCTGTACAATAAGCAGCCAGACTGCAGGGAATCATTGCAGGGTCACGGCCACAGTCACAGTCACATTCACATTCGCATTTTTTATTATATGATTGATTGATTAAACAAGCTCGCCCCTCACCAACCTCCAAGTAACATCCGATATCCCACGCTGCGGCAATTTTTGCCGAGCGTCAACGAGCTAACATAGGTACCTAGCAACAAGCCACCATCCATCCAACGACCCAAAATAAGCCAGATCATGGGCTGTTTTCCAGTTTCGCTACTGTACTCGGGGTCTCCATCTTGGCCAGTTTAGCTTTGTCAATGTTTGTCCAATTCCGCACCTTTACTCCGCTGATCCAAGTGGCATCCCAAAAGTGCATCTCGTCTAAGTCAGAGTTGGCTGGCTACGGAACTATGGAGCTCTCTAGCCTACAAGGTTGCATGAGGATACTGAATCAGATCGTGTGTCTTCTGACACCCTTGTCATTGCCTTTCTTCTAGCGAGGTAGAAATACTTATCAGATCTTCGGATTGTGGTACCTGGGTTCACAGCCTGTTCCAATCCCAAAAGGACCCTAAGTGCGACACGGAAGTCAATATACTCGTTGCCACACCCTCTTCTGCATCTTTATCTTTATCTTTACCTCTAACCCTTACTCATTGTGATACCTAGTGGTCGAGCTAGAATCTTTCACCTTGACTTCTCTCAGCCTCTCCCTAGACTCGCACAGCTTTGCAACAGCCAAACCTCACCATGGCCGTCGACGTATTTGCGGTTCCTGTCTTCCTCGTTGTCTTTCGAGAGACTCTCGAGACTGTCATTATTGTCTCTGTCCTGCTCGCTTTTCTGAAACAGACTCTTGATGGCCCCAATGGCGATGTTAAAGTGTACAAGCAACTAAGACGCCAGGTAAATTCACCAAAAACACACTTCCATAATGGAAACACAACGCTGACTGACTTCTCCAGGTTTGGCTTGGAACAGGTATCGGCTTCCTCATCTGCATGGTTGTCGCCGCCGCTCTCATCGGAGTCTTCTACACTGTTGGTAGCAACTCATGGGAGAAACACGAGTATTACTACGAGGGCGCCTTCTGCCTCTTTGCGTCTCTCATCATCTCCGTTATGGGCGCTGCTCTGCTCCGCATCGGCAAGATGCAGTCCAAGTGGCGGCTTAAGCTGGCAAAGGCCCTCGAGTCGCCCATCAAGGCTGGCTCTAAGGGTTGGTTCAAACAGTTTGCCGAGAAGTACGCCATGTTCGTCTTGCCCTTCATCACCGTCCTTCGAGAGGGTATCGAGGCTGTCGTCTTCGTTGCTGGAGTTTCCTTCTCTGCCTCAGCCAAGTCGATCCCTCTGCCTACTGTTGTCGGTCTCTTTGCTGGCTGCTGTGTTGGCTTTCTCTTGTATAAGTAAGTTCCTCGCATCTTGAGGCTACATTCAGCTGCTAACTCCATATAAAGGGGTGGCGCGAGTACTAGGCTTCAGTTCTTCCTTGTCATCTCAACCTGTCTTCTCTACCTCGTCGGTGCCGGTCTCTTCTCTCGATCTGTGTGGAGCTTCGAAATGGCCAGGTGGAACGAGTATATTGGGGGTGAGGCCGACGAATTTGGTAATGGACCTGGTTCCTACGACATTGACCAGAGTGTCTGGCACGTCAATGTAAGTAACATCCCCATATTGACCTTGTCCATACTCTAACCATTCTCAAGTGCTGCACCTCAACCGATTCCATCCAGAATGGCTGGGGTATCTTCAACGCTATCCTGGGTTGGACAAACTCGGCCACCTATGGCTCTGTTATCTCGTATAACCTCTACTGGATCTGTATCATGACAGGCTTCATCATCATGCGTTTCAAGGAGACGCATGGCAGGTACCCCTTTGGAAAAGCAAAGGCCCCTGCCAATGCTGTCAATGATACTGAGAGTCAGGCGACCACTGCTCCCAAGAACATTGCTACCGAGAAGACCACCACCGCAGGATCGGCATAAAAGAATGCGCAGACGAGAGTTGGAGACTTTGCTGGCATATAGGCTCTGTATGATCCCGATAGTTCTGATTACAGCATGACTCTATCTTATTCTATGTTCAATAACATGTGTAACAAGCAAGTTTTGTTCTATTTTATTAACCCTCAGGGGTCCAATCCCATTCGTCTGCCATAAACATGGCTTTTGCCATCTTATCCACATACAGAGCCCCTTCGTAACGTAGTCTCTGGTCAATTGCAAGAGCTCGCGTGAACTGGAATTTCTTGGGTGGGTTGTCTTCGTCATTGTAGACATGTTCCTTAAGAGCCAACCACGAGACATCAGTCGGTCGCTTCTTCCAGTCGGCGTATGGTATTGAGATAACATTAGCCGAGAGCATCGATCGCACATAGCTCAGGATCGGTTCAAGTCGAACCCGCAATCCACAGTTGGTGTGGTGTTTGTCGATTTGGTAACTCGGGCACTGCTGGAGTGTTGAGAGCAATTCTTCGATCTCAATCATCGCAGTATCAGGCACCAGATTCAGTGACACCGGGCTGTAATCCACAAGGAAAAGCAAATTCTTGCTCACAAGGAACTTGAGCATTTGGCCAAGCTGGTAGGAGTCACAGGCTGCACTCGAGTCATATCCGAGCTTACACTGCCTCTCTCGAGACGAGAATAAGGCGAGAAAATGACGCTGGACTGAAGAGACTGTGTTGAGAATACACTCGCGTCGATGTCGGAGCTCCTCTATGTAAGAGTTAGCCTGATATATACTCGTTGTATGAGCGTTTACTTACCCTCTAGACCATCAGGCAGATTCCACCATGCAGCAGTCATATTAGTATCGGGGTCATGGAACTCGCTCCAGAGAGTTGATCCTCGCATAATAATTTCCCGGGTTGACTGTTGCAAGCGCATGGCTTGTCCCAATAGCCACGCAACAAGAATCTTCTGGCGCAGCACCTGCTCTGTTTCTGTAGGCCGCCCATCGTCACTCCGCAGAGGTTTGTTCGATGTCAGTGGCCATTTGAACTTGAGCTCCGTATTCAAAACACGAGCTACAGCTGCCACACAATCAAAGCGATCAGCAACAATCGCTAGTGTCGTGACATATGACATGATTCCACGGGATGTCTTGGTAGGTCGTTGGTGTATGATATTGAGCATATCCTCCATAGCATTCTCGCGCCCAGCAGCTTTGGTAGCGTCGTCATCATCGGTTATTGGAATCCAGGGTAGATCCTCGACATTGGCCTCCTTGGCATCGATCTTCAACTGTGTAAGCTTCTCATGTATATCGGAGATGAGTTTGGCTTCTCTAAACTGAGAATTTGAGAGAAGGTTTGAAAAGTACTTTGAGTGCTTCTTCAAAGCAGCCAAATTGACTCGATATGCCACCCGGACTTTTGACTTCAAAGCCGAGCGGTCAGGGGGCTGAGTACCAGCTTTTCTGCTGGCAGCAAGCTCAGCTTTGCGAGTCTTGTTGAGAGTACTGGTAGAAGTCTCAAAGGTCACATCCAAGACAATATCACCAGCAGCATCGATTTCTACCACAGGGGGCATATCTTTCTTAGAAGCCTCTGACCCGTCCGCCTCGGCGGATGCTGTAGTCCCAGACTCGCCCATTTGCTAGGTGATGGATTTTTGTCGACATGGAGATGTCAGCCTGTGTAGAGGCCCAAATATGGATAGGTCGAGTGCGCCGTGAGAGCTGTCGATATCCAATCCAATCCTCAGTTTGAGTAAAAGTCTTTTCGTTGGCAGTGAAAATGATAAGATCCCCAGCTTCTATTGGGTTGGGATGACGTCCAACTGCAGGGTACGTACCACTACCAAAAATCAGCCCAGAACCCCGCCACAGTGACGGTCCCGGGGCCCGGGGCAGTAAAGCTAAACGGGGACAGCACTCCCGGTCGTTGAATTTTAGAGGCTGCACGAGGATTCCCGCCCCTGATTCCCGATGGGGTCCCCGCTAAATTCTCGTTGTGCCGCCTTAAGCCTGGGCTTAACAGCGATTGATTGGCCAGTCCCGTCTAAGTGCGAACCCAGCTTCGGAAAGCTCCACTTGAGAAACCACTGTCCAACATCGTCACTTTCCGAGAATCAACCCAACAGGGCAGACCCAGATCCCTCGTCCTTCACCCACTTTCATAGTGTAGTTTTGCTCACGAGATCGACCACGTTATCCACTGAAGTGCGATCTGAACCATCTGGTCTGCCCTTGCCCATTATCGCAAACTTGACGACTTCGTTCACGTCTTCTCCTCCTTCGGATCGGATCACTACGGGCGAGATTCAACTCTACAATCCACCTTGCCAACGCACACCACATTCAACACCTTGCTCGATGGCATTGCAGACCGAAGCCTGCACAGCGCTCCAGTTCTTCAACGGACGCTAATGATCGAGAACTGGCGAACTCGGATCTATATACCTTTCTTTCTTTACAATGGCACCATTCACTCGCGCCGTAGTCGATTCCACGACGACCCCTGCGATTCAGCTCCTTAGGATTACGGCTCGGCCATCAGCAACGTCGAACCATTTGGCTTTTCAGTCGTATAGCCACGCTTTGAAGCGTGCAGGGACAACTCCTGGTTATGTCACTTGCCTTCAGCTCCCAGCATCATATTCGACATGCGCGACTTGGTCTGAGAAATCGCGACAAGCTCGGCTTACACGTCCGACGGCGCAGCCCGGCCAATTACCCCTGTCAGCATCCGAAATACATACACGGCGAGGATTCCATACCTACTTTGTGACGCATCTGCCTTCTTCCTCTGTTCACCCTGACTCTCGTCCTAGAGGACCAGGCCATAATCTTCCGCGTGATGCTGCGACCCCTCACACTCCGAGCTCTGGGCCAGTCCCCGCTGTCGCCCCGCCCTACATCCCGACAACCCGAGACTTGACTGTGGTGCGCATCCCGATGCGACGGGCTAAACATCACCTTGGAGTTGCGACAGACCGAGGAAGTCGTCCTTATAATGAGGACCGAGAACAGGCTGGCACAATCAGTCTCCCAGCGTTTGCGAAGAGGGCACCCAGGAGTGTACAGCAGAAGCCGGGAGAAGCTACAGCAGCCGACAGTGCCTGGGGAGACCCTCAAATCTTCTACTTTGGTGTTTTTGATGGTCACGGCGGAAGCGAATGCGCCGAATTTGTCCGGGATGAGCTACCGGGCTATATAGAGCAGGCTTCGGAAGAGTTCGGGTTACAGAGCAGCTTGCGCAAGAAGAAGACAGGCCGAGAGGGTATTCACAATCACCACCATGACCACAAACACAAACAAGCCCGACCAGCACAGCTATCTCAAACAGCCAAGACCCTGTCAACGAAGCGTGAGGCACTCAACGCAGTAGCTATGAAGGGGCCAGAGGATGTTAAGCACGAAATGAATGTCCCTGATGCAAAGCACGGTGGAACTACCGATAAGCCAGTACACGGAGAGCGAATACATAGCGCAGCCTCACCGCCTGCCGAAGTATCAGACCTTTCAAAAGCAATTCGTATCGAGAAGAACTTGGTTAAGGAATACAAAGATACCATCGGCGGCTACTTTAGGCGCTTTCATCCCGAACAGTTTGTCCTGTCACGAGACGAAAACCCTGGAGAAGGACATAAGATCACGATAGAATCGGTTCTTGCGTACGCCTTCTTAAGAGCTGATCTCGACTTTGTCACTGCCCAGGCACGTAAGCTGGACCCTGATGATGCAAAAGGGGGCGACATCCCCGTGAACAACGATGAGGTTTTTGGCCACCCGTCTACACCATCTGGACATGGAATAGGAGGCCCGGCGCGCTTCAAGGGAGGTTCAACGGCCTCGGTGGTCCTTATTTCTACGCCAACACCCGCTCCTTTTTGGCACCCAGCAGCCCAATCGACCTTGCTGTGTGCCCATGTCGGCGATAGTCGCATTCTACTTTGCGATACCGCCACTGGTCTAGCCCAGCCTCTGACATCGGATCACCATCCTAGTACACCGACCGAGAGTCGTCGGCTAAGACGCTATGCGCCTGCGGGGTCCATGGTTTCGGGTGATAGTTTTGGTGAGGAGCGTATTGCAGGCCTGGCCAACAGTCGTGCCTTTGGAGATATGGGAAGCAAACGCATCGGCGTCTCTGCCGAGCCAGAGCTCACGCGAGTTGAGATGGGCCCAGCCCAGTACTCTTTCCTTGTGCTTATGACAGACGGTATCTCTGGCACTCTGACCGATCAAGAGATTGTCGACGTCGTCAAGGAGGCTCGCACGCCCGAGGACGGAGCTCGCAACATCGTCAAGTATGCCACTGAGGTTTCTTCTGACGGCGACAATGCAACTTGCCAAGTCGTACGCCTAGGCGGCTGGGAGCGTCGGTCTGAAGGCGGCGTCGGCAGTATGGGTACCAAGGAGATTCGCGATGCGCGCATAGCAGAAGCCCAAGATCCACGACGAGGAAAGAGGTGATTAACTTGAACGATCATAACGAGAAAGCAAGTGTGTTTTGGATATACAGTACGGGAGTCTTAAATGCTGGGAGGTTAGGAGAGAAATCCGAGATGAAGCGTCCAGCCATGTTTCCAAATCAGGGGCATGTTATTGCTTTCATTCTCATTTGTATTGCATAGTATTAGGAGTTTACGGGTGTAACAACTAGCGACACAGCGAGCGCTTAGGGATCATCAGCGTCACCAGGGGCTGCATCTTCTTTGATTCCCAGCCGCGGCAGTAGGATGTATAGCGTTGTATTGAAAAGCATGTATGTAATCCATACTCTCATCATCGAAGAAGTAACTGGGTCATCTTGAGGATTCTAAAACAAGCTGCGTCTTCCTTGTTCTGGGTATTGGATATCAAAGCGGCCGTTACCTTTCATTCGAGCCTTTATCCTTAGCTAACCCCAAACGCACCTTATCCAATCCCGCAAAGTTCCGTGATCTCGCAAATATTTTTACAACCATCTTTTTAATCCTGCGTCTGAACCGGTCTGTCTAGTAGCCGTGTCGTGAGCCAGGATACTGATTCCAACCAGGGGGTTGCTGGCCAGGAGGTGGTCCACCATAGCCTTGGTGGCCATACGGAGGCTGCTGAGGAGGAGGTGCTCCATAACCAGGACCACCATATTGCTGAGGAGGGGGGACTCCGTAGCCAGGACCTCCGTATTGCTGGGGAGGGGGGGCTCCGTAACCGGGACCCCCGTATTGCTGGGGAGGGGGAGCTCCATATTGTGGTTGAGGAGGAGGAGCGCCATAGCCCGCATTGTATGAAGGCTGCGGTGGAGGGGCATTGTACCCGCCTTGCTGTGAGTATCCAGAGTTGGATTGTGCGTAGCTGGGGTTCTGTCCATAGTCAAATGAAGTCTGACTTGGTGGTGCAGGAGAGTTCGACATGTAGCCTGTGGCTGGGTTACCGTCTCTACCCTCCATGGAGTCTAGATCTCGGGTCTTGACTTGCGACCACAAGGATCCTGCGACCTTGCCATGTCCCGCATTGGCCATATCGCCAAATGTGCCGTGGTTACAACCACCGCCACCGATAGTGCGGCTTGAGCCCTGAACTTGGTTGAGAATGTGGTTCTTGTGATTCTTGACCGAGTCAGAGGAGAGAAGATGGGCGAGTTCGTGGCGGCGAGGGTGCTCATCTGCCCACTTCTTCACGGTTTTGAACATATCGCGCTGAATCTCAACCTGATCGTCGCGCGCCGCAGGATGATGGAAGGCACGGAGGACGTCGTTAACGACCTCGTCGACAGAGACACCAGTGTTTTCCCATGCAAAGAGAACACGACTAGGTTTGTTAGCTTCAAGAACGATTGGGTAGAAATGGTGCACTTACGGAACTGTGTACTGGAGAATAGTGGCAGCGATACGTCCAGCACATGAGTTAAGGATGTTTGTAAAATGGTCCTTGGACAACATGGAATGGGTTGGGTCAGAGCACTGAGGGTTGTCCCAAGGCTCATACTGAGACTTGGCGCTCGCAGTGATGACACTGGATGAACCATCCTTAAGGCACTTTGACACCTGGTTAATGATGGGTCGAATGAAAGGGGCCAGGAGACCGAGTATAAAAGCAGTAAGGGTCTCGCTAATCTTCTCGAGAAGTTTCTCCAAGCCTGGGACCTTAGAGATACCGCGACTGATGGCTTTGACGATCTTGTCGCGGAATTCCAGAATGGGGTAGATCTTGCGTGCGGTTTCAACGGGATCGAAGTCAGGGCTCATACCGGGCACTTGGTTGGCGTTGTCACGAGTCAAGTCACCACGGCTTTGTTCGTAGCCCCTGTTGCGCTGTTCTTGGGCCTCAGAGCTTGCCTTGAGATCCCTGGCTTGAGAAGCGAACCCATCGCCGACACCAGGAAGTTTCGATACCAAACCAATAAAGTCTGAGGGGCTAGAGTTGATTCCGAGAAATCCTCCAAGAAGCGACCGTTCGCCACCACCACCGCCTCCGCCGCCTCCGGACCTACTACCTTCGGCGTTCTTGAGTGCAACTTCGACTTCATCGACCTCGGACTGAGTGAAGTGATCCGAGGCTTCTCCAATCACGGAATGAAGGAAATCGACAGCTCCAAAGGTGCCGGTTACGAGAGGATAGACACGCTTTCCACGAAGCTTGATCTCAGTGTGCGAACCGCAATGGGTGAACACAGAGTTGTAGCCAAGCTCGCGAAGAGCAAGCTCACAGTAGTTGCTGTGGGCACTGAAATCTTCCATAGTATGCAGCGCCTGGCCGAGGCATCTCAGAGCTTCGCAGAGGTCATCTTCGTTTCCTTTCTTGGATCCGCTGGTGTAAAGTCGACCATAGTGGATACTTCGTGCGAAGCTGTATCGCAAATAGGCCGCGCTGGTTGCCCAGTTTCCACTTTCGTTCGCAATGTAGTTCTTCATACCTGTGCGAGAGTCGATTTCAGTCTCTATTTGTTCTACAGGGCCTCGCAATCTTTTATCGAAGGTACGCGCATCGAGCCCCTCTCCGTATCCGAGAGGGTTGTCGATATGTTCTTCTGGGCGGTAGACTCCGAGACGGTCGGCGGTAACCTCAAATTCCCCGGTAGCGTAGCCATGAGCCATAAATGAGAGAACCCAAACCTGTTGAAGAGAGTTAGCATTGGGTGGTGGTGTGAAGCTATAGAGCAACTCCATACCAAAATGCGAATTGTCTCGGCATTGACACCCTTCAGACTGCCAACATCAACAGCCTGCGAGTAGTCACGTAGCCAATTTCCGAAGTAAGTACGTTTGATAAGCATAGAAGTCCATTTCTTTCCATGAAGGAATGCGATCGTTTCGAGCATATCCTCAATGTCTAAATATGAGGTAAGCGACGTGATGCGACAAAATTGAGATGGAGGGGTAGCTTACCTCCATGGCGCCAGTTGTGACCTTCCACCTATGCGCGTGTTAGCAAGAGATACCTAAGGAATTGCCTGGGGACGGAGTCAAGGACGTACCTGAGCGATTGAAGGGATATTTCCAGCACCAAAAGCCTCAGCTTTGCCAGGAAGCAGAATCAGGCATACTGCGATTAGCAGTAGCCACGAGCCCCGCGGCATGGAAAATGACGGCATGGCGATTTAGCGATGCAGCCCTACGGCGGGGTTAAGTAGCAAGGGGACAATATAAAGAAGAGGGAGGATATCCAAAAGGACAGTCAGTGGACGGAATGTAGGAAAATATGAATAAGGATCGCAGTGAAAAGTCAAGAGGAGGTTTAAAAACTTGATAGACAGACTATGTCAAGGGAAGAAGAAAGCGTGACATGCGGATTATTACCTACAGCAAGTCAAGTCAAGTCAGGAAGGTCACGGCCACGGTCACATTGATGACGGGATCTGCTGTGGCTGGTAGCAGGTTGGCTCCAGCTTTCAGCTAAGCTCTCCCAAGATTGACTCGAATATGACTCTGATTGGACTGATGAGATTTCTGCTTTCAGGCGCTATTGCTATCTTGATCCCCGCCAGCCCTAAAGCAGCCAAATTTTGGGCAGCTCGAGAGGCCTCTCAGGAAACAGAAAACATTGGAAGTCTCCAGCTATTACTTGCGAAGCCTAACCCACCACTTGTGGCTCTGCACTTTCAACTTGAGGCTCAGCCTGAAGATACGTAAACATGCCTTGGCATTTTTATCAAGACTTGGCTACGATAAGAGTCTTATACGTGTCTGTTGTAGTGGTGAGATTGGAATCTCGGCTTGCTGACAAGCTGATACATCTACGTAGTATTTTGAGTAATATACTGCTGACTTGGTTCCTCATCATGCAACTAACTAATTAACTCGAGATTTTCCAGTCCTGTTCAAATAATATCGACAGTTTGTTTCAAATTGAGTCTGTAAAGACATTGACCTTGACCAGCTGGTGAAGCTGCTGGCTCGTGTAAGTCAATACTTACCATGCGTCACCACAATCAAGCAAAGCGTACATACTGAATTACGCATGACCTTTCCAACATCAATCCGCTTACTTAATAAAATGAGTCTTTCACGCAAATCAAGGTGGGAAAAGTTGGATTAGTAACAATACCAGAAGTTTGAATCTAGTGGAGCTCAACCGCTAGTAAAGGAGATCCGGCTTCTTCGGAGAATAACCCTTGCAGCACAGTACAAAACGTTTTCTGATCGGAGCATGCGGAACACTGAGAATCCGATATTCTCTGGTCATTTGGCCACTCAGGACCCGCGCAGGAAATTTACCGGAATCCATAAGCCCATTGATCGACTGATTCGTAGGACACTATGTTTCCAGGTTACCCAGATAGGAAAGACAAGTACGTAGCATAAGCCGTTTCTTAAGTGCTGACATTAGAGCTTCCGAAGGATGCGAATACTGTGATTACGATAATTACTACATATTGAACGACAATGCAATATGTTTTTCACGTCTTGAAGCTTGTGTGAAACAGCAGATTGTTGTCACTGTGTAAATCTCGATCTGGACTGGGCATTGATAGGTCCAGCTACGTAGTCTGATATCGCATGAAATTAGTGCCCATACATATGCTTGCTATCTACCGCTTCACTCTCGCTCTCAACTTCAGTCTCAAGAGCCCGATTGCCCGTCGCTAATTAAAACACAAGCACCGCCTTATTTGTCTTCCCGGCAAATAATCAGAATCAGAGATCAGGTCGTGTGTTCTAAAGGTGTGGCCTGTTTCGTGGTCATTGTTGCGCCACTCGGTTGCTAATACGCATGGGGATCCTCATTAAAAAAAAACATCCCCTAATAGACCCCTGTGCGGCGACTCTGAATCTGCCGCTCACGCCGCCCTTTCATTCCCTTGACTGGATTGATATTAAACCTTTCAACCCTTCTCTTCTCTTTAGGCTTCGATTTCTCTTGTTTTATCATTCACTCTCCTTCAGTTCCCTCCTTCTCCCACCCCACCTTGGTTGTCGACAAGGTGCTCCTGTACTAGGTTGTGCGCTGCCTCATCGTCTTCACTCCAATCGCCATCTCGTCCGTTAATTCCGACCGTCACTTCCATCAAGATGCCTGGACGAACTCTTCCAACCTTCACCCGCGCAGAGGTCGAAGCGCACAACTCGGGGGATTCTTGCTATGTTACTATCGGCAACAAGGTCTACGATATCACCGACTTTGTTGAGGACCATCCCGGCGGTCCCGAATACATCCTCGACTGGGCCGGCCGCGATATCGAAGCAATCCTCAAAGATTCTGATTCTCATACACACTCTGACTCTGCGTACGAAATCCTCGACGAGAGCATTGTCGGATTTCTCGTTTCTGAAAAGGCTGTCAATGGACATGTCAACGGCAATGGCCATGCGAAGCTGCCCAACGGAGACGCCAATGTTGATGCCAATGGCACAGTTCATCCTCGAACCGGAATGTCTTGTGCGGAGGATATGAGCAAGGACACAGACTACAACCTGGATTACAAGAAGAACAAGTTTCTCGACTTGAGCAAACCTCTCTTCCCCCAGCTTTGGTTTGGAGGATTCTCCAAAGAGTTCTATCTGGACCAGGTCCATCGCCCTCGCCACTACAAGGGCGGCCAGTCTGCACCTCTGTTTGGAAACTTTCTCGAGCCTCTCTCCAAGACCGCTTGGTGGGTGATTCCCACGATCTGGCTGCCATGTATCGCATACGGCACCTACATAGCTTCCCAAGGCTATGACAACCAACTCTACACTGCTGCCTATTGGGTGCTTGGTGTCTTCGTCTGGACCATTATCGAATATGTCTTGCACCGCGTTCTGTTCCACCTTGACTAGTACGTTCCACACTTGTTCTCACTCTGAGCTTGCTTGCTAACCTTGACTAGCTATCTGCCTGATAATCGTGTAGGAATTACCCTTCACTTTATTCTCCACGGTATCCACCATTACCTCCCCATGGACAAGTACCGTCTTGTCATGCCTCCGACACTCTTCGCTGCATTGGCCACTCCTTTCTGGAAGATTGCCCACGGCATCCTCTTCCACAACTGGTATGCTGCTACTGCTGCCTACTGTGGGGGTATTTTTGGATATGTTTGCTACGATCTTACACACTACTTCCTTCACCACCAAGACCTACCTCTGTGGTACAAGGACCTCAAGAAGTATCACCTTGCTCACCATTTCCTTGATTACGAGCTTGGCTTTGGAGTCACGAGCAGGTTCTGGGATACTATTTTCGGCACTGAGCTTATTTACGACACCAAGAAGACGAAATAAGTCAATTACATTGCATGCGCTCTTTTTTCTGGCGTACATAGAATAAGCTCAAGCCAGGACGCGGTATATATGTCTTGCTGTCGAAGTGGTTAGTACGGACAGTCATGATTTATGGATGGTAACGAACATGTGGACACTGTCATCAACGGCATCGAATCATGGTCATAAATAGTTTTAATGGTTGGGACTGGTACGCCCAATGGATCAGTCTATTCTTGGACAGAGTCACTTTATAATAATACAAACATTTTACTTTTGATAATAGCATATTCCTTCAACTCGTATCATTTCTCTCAGAGTACGGATACTAGAGAGCCAAAGACCAGGATGCTACTCCTAAAGTTATTAAAGCTTGGTCGAACTGAAGGTTGAAACATAAAAATTGCCCATCAAAGGATCACTCAAGCTTAAACGCATTCTTAAATATTGATATCCAGTTTATTAACGAGCGAGGCCTTAATCCAGCATTCCAGACTTCTCTCTAGATACACCTTGCGGCATGGCCGACGTGGTGACTGCAATGCTCGCCACGTGTCGCGTCACGTGCGAGTCAGACGCTTTGAACTTTGGAACTGCGTCCAGGCAAAAGCTTGACCCATCAGGACTTTTCAAGGCAACCATCCTCCAACAAACTTTGCATTCAACGACGGCAACTATCAGATCATATAGCACGAAGTCATAATCAGATACACCCGGCATTGAATCACTCACGGTTACTGGAATTGGACGTCCGTCGAAAATCTAACACGCAGACATCATGGCTACCTTGGACGTCGAAGCACTCCTTGACGCCACCGCGAAGGATACGAGCGAACAAAAGACTAAGAGCCCTGTGGAGGATAAATCACGAGACGAACCTGAACGCAGAGACCGGGATCGTGGCCATGGCCGTGACGGAAGTCGACATCGTGACCGCGATCATGGTCGACGCCGAGATCGTAGAGACAGTGCCAATCGAAGCCGCAAAGGCACTCCCGACATCATAGGAACCCCTCGAAGCGATGCTGGAAGCCATAAAAGTAGGAGGAGAAGCCGCAGCCGTGATAGCGACCGCCGTCACTCACGCCGAAACAGAGACGGCGATTATTATCGAGGCGGGAGACGCTCACGCTCTCGATCACGCTCCCCTTACCGCCATTACCGCCCCCGAGATGACCGGGATCCCCGTGATAGGAGAGACCGTGATCGACGGAACCGTGGTGAATTCGGACGCGGTCGGGACGATGAGCGCCGTGATACCAAGCGCGAAGACGGCAACCCGCAGCTTACCGAAGACGAGCGTGATCGCCGTACTGTGTTTGTCCAACAGCTTGCCGCCCGTCTGCGCACTCGCGAGCTGAAAGAATTTTTCGAAAAGGTTGGACCTGTCAATGAGGCTCAGATCGTCAAAGATCGTATCAGCCAAAGATCCAAGGGGTAAGCCAAGCTCAGGTCATCCAAAGATATCATAATCGCTAACAAGGCACAGAGTTGGTTATGTCGAATTCAAAAATGAAGAATCCGTTACCCAGGCGCTTCAACTTACTGGACAGAAACTTCTAGGTATCCCTGTCATCGTACAAGTGACAGAAGCCGAGAAGAACCGACAGGCCCGGAACCCTGAGGCTTCGGGGCCCCATCCCAACTCCATCCCATTCCACCGTCTTTACGTCGGCAACATTCATTTCAACGTCACCGAGCAAGATTTGCAGGCTGTCTTTGAGCCGTTCGGTGAGCTTGAGTTTGTTCAACTCCAAAAAGATGAGAACGGCCGTAGTCGCGGCTATGGCTTTGTCCAGTAAGTTTATATTCCTTGATTATTGATACCAGTTACTGACATGGTACAGGTTCCGTGATGCTGGTCAGGCACGAGAGGCACTGGAGAAGATGAACGGCTTTGATTTAGCTGGACGTCCTATTCGTGTCGGACTCGGAAACGATAAGTTTACCCCTGAGAGTACTGCCAACATGTTGCAGAGATTTTCCGGCCAGAACCAGCAAAATCATAACTTCCAAGGTTCAGCGTTCTCTGGTTCCGGCGGACGTGGCCCTCAGAACTCTACTTTCGACCGAGCCGGTGGTCGAGATAACGAGAAGACGGGAGGTGCTAGTGCTCTTGACGATACCGATGTCGCAGGTGTCAACTTTAACAACTATAGTCGCGATGCATTGATGAGGAAACTGGCCAGAACCGAAGAACCCACCACCAACGGCAATGACGAGCGACAGGTCCTAAAACCTAAGACGGAGACGAAGCCATTGCCTGTTAACGTCAACATGGCCAGTCGCTGTGTTGTGTTGCACAACATGTTTGACCCTGAAGAGTGCGTACCCCCATCGACTGTATTGAGCAAATAGCTAACAATTCACAGAGAGTCAGGCACCGATTGGGTCAAGGAGCTTGAGGACGACGTTCGTCAAGAGGCCGAGAGCAAGTATGGACACGTCGTTCACATCTCGGTTGACCCCAACTCCAAGGGTGACATCTATCTCAAATTTGACAAAGTCCAGGGCGGCGAGAATGCCATCAAGGGCCTCAACGGCCGATATTTCGGCGGTCGGATGATCGACGCGTCACCTGTTGTAGATGCCGTCTACAGCAGTTTGTTCTCTCGTACCCGGGCAATTTAAAGCTAATGTTTGGCTTTCAACAACGCTCTCTAGGACTCTTGCAGGTTAGCAGAGTCCACACCAACTGGTTGAGGTGCATCACTAAGAGTTTCTGGAGATCAACAGACTTCAAGTCTCGACCACATCCGAAAGTTTCCCACCACTGTCGCTTTTATACACGCCCGCGACGCGATCCCATTGACCGTCGACGTTTGACGACTCAAATTCATGCATCAAGGTTTTCAAAATTCAAGGCGTCGCATATCATTTTTAACCATGTTACGGTGTCGCAGGTTTCGCTCTACTTTCCTACCTACCTAATCTGGACTCGCCGCGCACGCGCCCATAACCGGATTCATGACCGATATCTAGGTTCAGCACTCGTTTAGTCGCAAGGACCACTGCTGATGTCTTGTAACCCTAGGATGGCCTTCCCCTTTACTCAAGAAGGGGCAGCAACCCAGACTTTTTCGCCTCTTGTTATCTGAATAGTTTGTTACAAATATAGAATGTGTTGAGACTGGTGGCTACTTACTTATTTATGTGACCATGTATAGTGACAGATCTAAGGTGAGGGCATGAAGAGATTTGGTCATTCTTTTACTGATAATGCTCAGGTACGCCAAGCATATGTCGTACGTACTCCGCCATGGAATATATGATGAAATATTTTAGTTGTCTTGGGTCAGTTACTCAGACAAGAACCAAAGAACTTATTTATCAGAATGTTGTTTTCATTTCATAATAATATACAACGTTACCCTTATGTGCTGTTCTTTCTATCAGAATGAATGAGTGGATCGTGAGACTTCCCCTATCACGCATCACTTCCAAATGACGATATGAACATACCATCAAGTCACTCCTTCATTCACTGTGCTACATGTCACAGTTCAGCTACTCTCTTATTCTGATTATTCTGCCTCTTTACCATGTCTCGCTTGTATCTTATGTTGTACCTGGTCTGGCCCATGAACGAACATAGCCTTTCAACCACATGTCAACCCCCGAACGCTCTTTGCTACCACAAACGGACTACCTAGGTAGGTAGGCAATACTCTGGAATTCCAGTGAATTCTATCAGAACTAGGTACTCTATCCTGCTGGAGTTCACCGACTCCAAACGCAGCAGTCAAGTGACGTGCGTTTGTTGGCAGCTGCCAGACAGTGCCATGCACCTACAAGCGACTCCCGCGTGCACCTCTCAGCACACAAATGGAACTGGGGGATATATTTCGATCTTCAGGTCCCTCGTTTAATCTCTTTTTCTCTATCATCCTCTAAACTCTCCCCAGGCCCTACAAACAAGGAGTCTTTGGTGGTTACTATATCAACGCACTCTGATACCTTTCGTCCCTTCAATTTTAGTGTTTTCCTTTATCCTATTTGCACGTTTGGCAAACGAAGGCTTTCCATCTAGCTGCGTACCAAACAGAAGACGAATGATAAACAAAAAAGTTTTGTCTCGGGTTTGTTTCTAGCATTTGCTTCTTCACTGCTCACCTCGCCCTCATATCTCCTCTCCACAACAAACCTCCTTTTACCTATTCCTATCATCCTCACTTGCAGAAATCGTGTTTTCTCTGCCATCCTCGAGCAACAGTTTGCTCTGCCGATGATGACATACGAGTACAACACTTCTTCTTCTACCGATAGCCGTTTCACACAACGTCAACCTGCGTCGAAGTGGTCTTCTAGCAGTGGAAGTCGTGATACTAAGCCTTCCAACACTATGCTGAGCATCAACTTCTCAACTCCCCTCGCGGGAGCTGCTCGATCTGAGAGGATCAAGCAGATGACCAATAACCACGTAAGTGATCAATTATCATCTTCCTCCTGATGCGCTCGCCACTTTCATCCGCAAATCCTCAGTCGCTGTATCATCCCCATGCTAACATCTCAAAGCCTGCTTTTGAGAAGTCGCGCATGTCTCAGGAGATTCTCGTCAAGATTCAGACTTCTCTACGCCGAATGCCTGGTGTTTCCTCCAAGGAATCCAATGAAATCATCTCGCAGCTGCAGGAAGTTGGGCAGATCGTCAGCACCGAGACGAGTCAGCTTGTTGATGCCCTGATGAATCTGACGCTCGATCAAGAGGATACTGACAAGGCCATTGCACGCATGAGCATCGAGGCCAACCTCGCCAAGGCAGAGGCTGACGATCAGGCTCACCACATGAGCAACCTTCGTAGCGAACTGGCGGATGAGAAGAACAAGCGACAGGAAGCTGAGACTGAAGTTGTCAAAGTCATGGACGAGCTTCAGAAACTCTCTCGAGAGTTCAAGTCGCTGAAGAACAGAGATCGCGATGGTAGCCCTGATAGCTCCGCGCAAAGTCCCGATCGCGACGGCATGATTAAGGTAAGTTACCCTTACTACATCTATCTTATTGTGGTCATATACTAACTTTGTGCACAGCAGCTTGAAGACACCATCAAGCACCTTGAGGATCAGGTCAACTCTCGTCGATCTCTTTGGGTCATGAAGAACCCCAGCCCAAATTCCGTGGCTCGCGCCATTGAGACCATTGCTGATGCTTGCCCTGACAAGGACGCTGTCCAAAAGTCCATCCTGTCTCTCCGCCCTGACGGCCGCGAAGAAGCTGGTCCTCGTGAGAACAAGCCTTCCAGCTTCAACGAAGTCGTAGCTCCGCCACAGCAACCTCCCTCGACTTTCCAAAGCAGCCGTCCTCCTTCGAACTTGCCATCACGCTTTGGGTCTCACATTGTGCCTGCTCCCTCTCGTCCATCATCCACTGCGCCAAGTGATCGTCGATTTGGTCAGTGGGCACCTCCTACTCCTGTGCAGAGTCAGTCTCGCTTTGGACCTCCTCTCACCGACGGTTCTGTTTCTGGAACCCAGTCCATGTTCAACCGCAATGCTCCGCGCCGTGGCTTTAACAGTGGTACTTACCGGCCCAATGCCCCTGAGTTCTACCCTCAATCCTACAGACACCCTGACAAGAGCTCTCCAGCGAAGAGCAACGGAGGATATAACCAGCGTCGAGAGTACTACCCTCCCACCCCTTCCAATAGTCGTAACAAGTACAGTCGCTTTCGCGATGCTGTCACTACCCCCGATTACACTGCTCCTCCTGGTGCGCTCACCACGCGTCCCCCTTTTCCCGGCCCTCCAATCCACGTCACTGATATGACTATCATGGCTTGGCACGATCAGCTGATGGACATGTATGCCGCTGTCCGCCGCTTCGTTAACCAATATGCCAATGAACCCACATTTATCAACCCTACAGACCTGTCCAACACGCGCCTCTGGCCTGTTCTTCTGGCTGCTTACTACCCGCTGTCTGAACCAGAGGCTGTGTCTTATCTTGACGTCCACTTGAAAGAAGAGAGCTCCAAGTGTTGCTTGGTCACTCGCGTCATGGTTGACTACGTCGTCAACAGAGTTTGGGTTCCTCGTGCCTGGATGGGTGCTGAGAGTGATGCCACCTACGGCCTCATTGAGGTCGAGAAGGAGTTTGAGAAGACTCAGGGTAAGTGTCTTCAAGTACTCATCCAATGTTGCTGATCATTGTGCTAACTGTTTTCAAGGCCAGCCAGCTGCTCGTCGCCAGCACATTCTTGACCGTCAGGCAAGCATTATCGACTCTATCCTCAAGCTGGATGGATTTGAGGAGTTCAGCAAGCTCCGCTGCCAAGAGATATGCGAGGTCATCCTCAACATGGTCGAGCCACTTCTCAACCCAGAGGCCGATCCTGAGGAAACTTGGGCCGAACTCGAAGGTGTCTCCTCTGCCGCCTGGGCTCTGTCAAGCCGCATTCTCAGCAGTCGACTGACCTTTGACTTTCGCTTCCCCGATATCGGAAGCCGATACTCGCTCCAGTCCATGCTTCCCATCTGGCCTGACGTTGAGCCACAGGAGCTTCAGTCTGATCACTGGCGGGTTGCCCTTGTCACTACGCCTGTCGTGACTGTTCGCAATGACACTGGCGCAAACATCTCGGCGCACTCGGTCTGTGTGGCTGACGTCGTGTGCATGCGATAAATCACCAGCTGTTGTCCTTACAGCTGCTGGGCTGTTGAATCTACAAGATTCTTATGAGTATGGTGACTACTACAGCTGTATCGTCATGTCGCCATAGATTTTGACACAATTTCACACAGCAACGGCACGCTGTGGCCATCTAGAGGAGAAGATACATACCTCCTCTATCAGCACGACTAAGTCACAGTCGCTTAAACAAAACAGGCGATTGCGGGCGTTTCTACTTCATATCGCGGACATTTGCTTTCATTTTACATGCCATGTTTTCTGCATGCACAACTACATTGGGTTTTCTTTCACGGATGGATACAAGCATCCCCATATCACATCTCTTTTCCCTTCTGTAGATAAGTGATGGATCTACACCCCCATGGGTTATTTCATTTCTTTGCATTCTTCTTTTCCATTATGGGGGCGGAACACAGGAAAACAGGTACAAAGGGGTTCTTGGTGGTTGACGATGCAGTCAGTCTTCGGGAGCTAGCAACTGCTGCTACTACTATAGGGGTCACGATAGGTTCTGGGGAATGCATTTACCTTGCGTGGGCAAGCAAGGTAAAATAATTCGAGACAGACGTAGATTTCAGTGGTCTTAGGTGTTTTAATTGAGTTTTGGCACATTAAACTAGTGAAGCAACTGTGATTTGTTCGTTCTCGTGAGAGTGTCATTCAGGTACTTCAGTCCCTGTTTGACATTTATTCTATCTATCTAAGGGTCCAGAACTCCCCGGGTATAATAGTAAAGCAGAGTACCAACGTGCTAGTAATACAATAGAAGAAAGAAATAATGGTCCCTGAAGCACCAGAAACCATTTCTATTACAAATGAAATATTAGTGACCACGACCCTGAGGAGAGCCACGAGTAGATCTCCTGTCCAGGCGTCGCACAACCGCACCGAGAACAACCTTGAGGATTCCATCTGCCGTCAACGCCTTACTGTTGTCCGAGCCAGTGGAGTTCCAAGTCGCTGTATCAACCATATCGCGAATGCCCTGCTCAGCGAGGTCATCGTCTAGCTCTCGAAGAGCCTTTGTGGCACCGAGCTCGTTTCCGACTTGGAAGAACTGGACTCCAACCTGGTGAGGGGGCGCCTCGATCTGGTCGAGCTTCTTGGCGTGGTGCACAAGGATGCTCTCAGGATCGTCGGTGGGACAGCCGTCGGTGATGACGATGATGTTGACCGGCTTGGTCGCGTCAAGGTTACCCGGACGGTGGGAGATGTGCGAAACGTATGGTTTGAGAATGCTGTGAAGACGAGATCCCGTGGGTGTGGAACCGCAGGGACGAACAGACTCGAACAGCCGCTGGACCTGGCGGGCGTCACGGATATGGAAGTATCCGCCAGGGGCCTGGGTGCCGGAACCGACGGCGGGGGAGCGGTGGTTCAGGAAGTAAACGTCGATACCGTCTGGGTCGTGAGACGTGCAGAGAGGGGCGATGGCGCTGAGGGCATCGCGGACTTCTCGCCACGAGCGACCGGCCATGGAGCCAGAGTCGTCGATGACAAAGATGGTATCGAAGGTGGAGAGGAAAGCATACTTGTCTTCGGCGCTGGTGACGCTGGAGATGCTGGGAGCTGGAGATGCGCCGCGAGGGTTAAGAAAGGGGGCTGTCTTTTGTGTGGATTCATAAGCAGGAGGAGCCTCATCAGCTGGAGTAGGATGTCAGTCGAGTCACACGAGAAGTTTTGGGGGTTATGACTTACGAGTATCGAGGAAGGGGTTTTTGCTGCGATGGCTTGGGGTGTTATTTGAGTTTGAGTTGCCCATGCTGTAGTTGTAACTATTCTCTTCGTATTCTGTGTTGGTCTTCTTGGTTGAGAATTTATCCTTGATGCGACTGAACATTTTTGGTGGTGAAGAAGCTGCGTGAGGCATGGCCTGTTGTGGTAGAAGGAAGTATGTGTGTTGTTTTATACGAGTGTTTGGTGGAAAGTTTGCAGGTGATTCACCAGATCGGCAGTGCTGAAAGTTTATTCAAGAGGGTGATTAAATAAGTGTAAAGTAGGTTTGTTATAAAACCTCTTTGTTGTTGATGATGGCTTTAGCCTTTTGTTGGTCGTAGTTGAGGCTGTATTGGTTGTCGATAAGGAACTGGAAGAAGCAAACATGGCTGCTCATGATCCATCTATATATCTAGATATCAATGCTCGCTTTACACAAGATGACAAGGCATAATGGTTGCTATTTCGCCTTCAGTGGCTAATTTTCAATATGGCCGATATTCTGTATGAATAGGTGGTGTTGTTACTTAGTTCGCCTTGAGGCGCAGTTCGCCCCCACGGGCTCGTGGGCAGCTCAGGCAACCAACCTAGGTACCCATAACTACCACTGAAACGAGGCATTCTCTCCCCGCTGACTCCCTGCTCTGCCCCATGCACAGCCCCTGCGCCACAGGCTGTGTATAGCCAATGAGGAGATTTGTTATAGCGCAAAACCCTGGCCTGTCATTGCCAAACTCGGTTCCGAATCGTTGGGACTTCAATCCATCTGTGGAAAATCAAGGGTCCTTCCTTACATGACTTGTTCGATCTTATAATCTCCGTCAATTTCCTGCGATTGTTGGTTCGATAACTAGTTTCCGGCCTAGCTCAGACCAATCGAACGACATCCTCAGCGTGCCATTTCCCCTGACAAAAAATCTGTGTTTTAAAATGCCTTGCATCTTCCTTCGTGGTTTTATGCATCCATCCAAGCCATCTAAGATATAAGGCTTATGCCTCGTTGGGCTAACTAATCACAGCCTTGCCATACACATAAGTGTGACTCGTTTAGACAACCATCTGCATTCATCACGCTCTCAAACACAATATTGTTACTGTTTGCATCAATTAACATGATACAGCTAGTGATTCGACGTTTGCGCAAATGCGAAGCGTAGATGTAGGCTGATGTCAAGTATGCACACCTAGGCAGACAACTGGTAATTACCATGAGCCAAAGACTACCTCCCTAGACAGGGTAAATGTATAAAAGGTTCTCTGCCATCCTTGTCTTTCATCCATGTTTGAAAGCATATTGCCGATGCCGCTTTTTGTTTTTTTGTTATATATACTTACGGTATCCGTACTGTGGTCCGATGGTCCTGAATTACAACGTCAACCACTCCTTCGTGGAAATATATAGATAGATATTGGGGGCATGGCGAGTTCATCCTTGCTACAGAGTGTTTAGATTTCTCTACCAGGAGTAAACTCAAAAGTCCAAGGTCGTGCTACAAGACGGTGGTACGGTTATGCAGGCGACCGTTGTCGTGTGAAGAGGCTGGAGTTATTCGAACTTGATCGAGAGGTGAGCATCTCTATCCAGCAGTTTCGACCAGGCCTTTCTCTTCAGATTAGTCAAGGGCTGTCGCGAATTCGTGTTTGACAGACATTCTTCCGTTACTCAGTTTACTCAAGGTCATGGTTAGCGAGGTCGAGCCCACGGCCTGTCTGGATCACAGAAACTAGACAGTGTTCGATTTGGTGTGGCTCATGTCTTGGAGTGCTTTACAAGTCACACATACAATTGTCAAGGCACAACGTGATTGTGAAGAAGATTATATATTACTAATTCTCAATGAATGTGAGAAAAACAAATCCACCAAAGTCAGGCCGTAGGCCGGGTATCACCACCATCCCTGAACCCATGTAACCATGAGAGACACAGGCTTGGTGTGACGGCAGCACAGATCTGCCGCCTCCCGTCCTCATCTCCCATCGCCCCATTCCTTGCCTGTCACAAACAGCGTCAAGATCCGCCCGTTCTCTAAAACTTCGCGTCGTTTCCATTAAAGGAGAGATAAGCCGTATGCGTCATTAAACCCTCGAAAAACCTGACCCGTCATGTCCATTCACTTGTGTGAAGATTTCCCACTGACCGACTCCCTGCACCGAGGAAATATATGCTAAGGGGTCCCAAAAGATCGAGGTACAGGCGTGAATTAAGTATCAAACATGTACAACGTAAAAGCATCAAACATCAAGCTCAGTCCATCCTACATTTAAAGGAGGAGCATGGCAATACCAGCAGCGGCAATGACACCGGCAGGGGCACCAGTCATCTTGGCCATAGCCTGCGAATTGTTAACAAACGGAAAGGTATTGTACATATAGGTCAACTTACAGCATTGTCCGAGGTGGTGGTGGCAGTTGCTGAGGCATCAGTGCCGGTAGCGTCGGTAGCACCCTCAGTGGCGGTGGAGGCGTCAGTAACAGTCTCGCTGACCGACTCGGATCCAGACTCAGTACCGGTGGTAACGGTGGTCAGAGTTCGGATGACCTTAGTACCATCAGTGGTGAAGGTGGTGAGCTGCGCAGAATCGGTGGAGTCGGTGGAGTCGGTGGAGTCGGTAGAAGCAGTCTCGGTGACGAGAGTTCGGATGACCTTGGTACCATCAGTGGTGAAGGTGGTGAGCTGAGCATCAGCAGAGTCGGTGGCAGCGGAATCGGTCTCGGAAGCGATGGTAGAGATGATAGTAGATCCGCCGGAGGTGAAGGTGGTGAGGACAGGGCCGCCAAGGATCTCCTTGATGGTGCTGGTAACCTCGTCTCCCTCAGAGTTGGTGAAAACACTGGTGTAGGTGCTCACGGAAACATCTGCAGCGTCGGTGCCAGTAGCAGTGCCGCTGATGGTGGAGACGGCGGAGGTGATGGTAGAGCCACTCTCAGTCAGGGTGCTGAGAATGGTTCGTACGGCGCCGCTGCCAGTAGCAGAGGCCGAGACGGAGCCAGAAGCACCAGTAGTGATCGCGACACCAGCTCGGCGGCAAATCTCGAGGCCGTAGGACAGAACAGCGGCGGCCTGCTCGTCGTTGCAGATAGCAGCGGAGCAGTCACGGAGACCGTAGATGAAGTTGGAGTTAGTGCAGAGGCAGCTAACGTCACCAGCATCACATCCAAGCTCGCGGGACTTCTCAGCGCTGACCATGTTGCTGGCGCAGGTTTGCTGTTATGAGTTAGTTATGTGATTGTTGTGGACTGCTAGGATTGAGACTTACACCACACTGGGGGAGCTGGTTGGTGCTCTGGGCAACGGCGGCGGCAGCGAGGCCGAAGACGGTGAGGAAAGTGGACTTCATCTTGACGATTGTGGTGGACTGAGAAACTGAGTCTGAGTAGTGAGTTAGTTGACAGCTACAGAAAAGTTTGTAACGACAGGTGGAAGGTGGTGGTGAACGAAGGTGGGTTTGCGGAGTAGGCGGGAGATGTAAACGAGGGAAAGATGGGCAGTGAATCACGACCAGTTGAAGAGGTGGCCTCGCGAATAAAAGCTGTGCGAGATCTGGAGCTTTGATCCTGAGGCACACCAGTGATGTTTGCGTGAGACAAAGCAAGGAGACTGTGTATCACGCAAGGTATGGAGGAGCCGAAAACGAAGAGATATGTGTAGCCCTGGGCGCCCTCGCAATGCGATATCCAGTATTCGCGTTCTGGTGTCAAATCACACGAGCAATGCAGCTGGAATGAGGCAAACTCGGGAAAGGAAGAAAAGAAGAAAGAATTGCGTTCGCAAACACGAGGGAGAGAATGCAGCTTGGGATAGTAACTAGGAGACCGCAACTTACCGTGATAGTAACTGATATGTGACTAGGACACAAACGAAGGCGATCGATCTCGGGTGAGAGTGAGACGAAGTGAGACTAAACTCGTGAAGTTGTTGGAGAGAGGATGGTTGAGAAGCTGGAATGAGAATTTCGAGGCTGATATTGATGTGGAACAATAAGAAGGGCGAGGAGGAAGCTGTGACTTTAATAGAGGCAGGAAAGAGGGAGGGCGGGAACCAGAAATCTTGATCTTGGCGTGACGGTTGCCAGCAGGTGCGAGCAGTGCTTGCCGGCTGGTAAGGCAAGAGCAGGCCAGGGGACCCTGCCTCTAGGCTCTACCTAAACGGTGTTATTCTTAGCTTGGTATTGGCGGTCTAGCAAGGAAAGCACTGTCTCTACGTCTACTGTGGAAGGAAGCTTCCATCACAAAATGAATCGTAAATCTGCACCCCGGGGACCCGTACCTTGCTTGGCTTGTACAGGGAGACCACCAAGAACACAAGAGCACAAGAACACGGGAGGGGCCCAACGCTAACAGGACCCAGGAGCCGAAGCTAGGAAAGAGAAATCCACTCCACCTCCACCTCCACTGACCGGACCGTCAAAGACACGGCCAGACGGCCCAGGCACTTGGAGGCCCCCCCATGTAGATTATGATGTTGTTTTTCGGAGATGCTCGTCACTAACAGAATGACATTATGACGAGCCAAGCAATCTCCTAATTGTTTTTTTCTCGCTCCGTCCTGTAGATTGAGTCAAAGCAAACAACGGATTTTGCAAATCAGACGTCAATGCCGTCGTCGACATACACAATGAGGTCAGAGCAGCATAGACGAGATGGGGCATCTTGGGTCACCCCTGCCAACAGCGGGGAGCAACTCGTCCACGTCAGTGAATGGTGTAAGTCCTTGCAGCAGCCTCAGTCATTAGAGTTCTTACTCAATTGGGGGATAATTCGTTATGTCGTGGCTGAGACCACCAGCAAGCCATCGACAGCGGGTGAGAGAAAGAAGAAAAGTACACGCAGCACAACACACGTATGCACGCCAAAAGCCAATTGCAAAGCTGCAGCACTAACAGCAGCTATCACCAAGGAAGCTGGAAGCTGCATCAAAGTGCAGGGGAAACTGAGAGATTTGGGGAGCAAAAGGTGGGTGGTAGCTAGGCGGGCTGCCACGCTAGATCGCCAACCACCCGCACGGGGCTTGAAACCACACAACCGCAGCCCGTAGCTCATCGGGATGAATTAGAAGACGATTGTGATATTCGCGTTAGTTGCACCGTAGCTCGACCCGAAACTCGATGTCCATATCCTTGTTTGGCTTAACTTATTCTTTAGCGCAAATGAAAGTCACCCCAAAGAGTAGTCCGCAAAACTCGCTGCAGGTACTTTGCTACCTAACCAGAAGCTTCGGATAGCTCCAGAGCTCTTAGTTGAGTCGGTCCTACCACTGACACTGCCCATGTGTGCCATGAATGAGGCAAAGACATGAACAGCTGGAGCTGACGAGTCGCCTAAAAACTGGATATTTTGTCTACCGTCCAAACTCTAGCCTACGTCTATGACGGAGTTTGCTCAACACACGGTGGGAAGAAATCAAAAACTCGATTAACAACGGAAGGCAAACAGGAACTCGTATGCCGAGCCGGATCACGGCCACACAAACAGCTTGGAGCATGAATGATGAAGGACGGTAAAAGCGGGTATGACGATTGCCAACGACTGGACTCTATCGTACCCTGCCAATCCAGTTTATGTCGGTGTTGTGCTGCGTTGTGTTGTGTTCCTGCTATGGCAACCACTACTCACTACCAAGCTACCAAGCAATCACAATCAAGTATCACCGCTTCATTCAGGCGCTATCCCGTATTTTCCTTTTCTATCAGTAGGTAGCGTGTCGTAGGTAGCTCATAATACGTGTGATATCTCATCGTCTGTCAATCCTTTCAGGCCTTTACAGTGGAGGTTGGCCAGTGGCGCCACGGCTTACTCCGATTGGCCGATCACCCCTGCACTAATCCATGCTTGGCAATGCCACCAAAAACAAGCTGTGGTCACTAGCAAAGTTCGATTCCCTGGCAACCAGAAAGCAGCAGAATTATGCTCTATCTTTCTTTTTTTCCTGGGGAACTTCTTTTCGATTCTCAAGTGGACGTGAAAAGGTGGTGTGCACATGTCTCAGGAACAGATGCCTCATTTGATTTGATATATGGGGACAGTTCACATTGTGATTGTGATTGTGTCTTGTATCAGGTTTCCGCTTCCTGTCCACAGCATGGTTCTTAGTTGACCCGAGCAGATATAAGATTGAGATTGAGACTGAGATTGTTCTTGATCTTCCCTCGAATTGACACAGACCCCACTCCAACCACTTCACTTGCTCTGTCTGTGATGCTGCGATGATTCTGATTCCCTGCTCAGCTGGATTTGATGAACTGTGCCCAGACTAGCCACTAAACGGGGCCAAGCCACTTAAGCCACAGGCCAAGCGAGCCAAGAATACCAGGGGTTGGGCCAACTGGCGGGCCTTTGATGTCATGGATCGCATCATCGTCATTGTCTTCCCTCTTTCTCCAAAAAAGAGAAGGGGCCCGGGGGCCCAAGCTTGTGACCCCCAGTAAAAAAAGAGAGAGAAAAACATGCGAAAATTAAAAACAGGCCCTGTCGAGCTGGATCGACCTGGCCCAGACCTAGACCTTGTCTTGACCTATCTGCTACCCTGCTACCCTACTAACCCTGCTGCTCTACTGTACTGTACTGTACTGTACTGTACTCCATTAGTAGGTAGCTCTTGAGCCTTGACCTTGATATTGGGTATCAAGTCAACATCCATCCTAACGTCACTCACAGCACCCTCGGCTTCTCGCTCCTCTCGAGTTCAAGTTTCAAGTTTCAACTTCATCTCATCTGAACAATCACCACGATCTTGCCCCGTCATTGATCGTCGCAATTTCTAGTTTCAATGCAATCTCCCATCTGATCGAAACTAATGGCTCTGCTGTTTCATGTTTCGCTGTCATCTTCCCCGGGTTGAAATTGCATGAATCCGTGGCACTTTACTTCTTCGAGTGCGGTAAATTCAACCTAGACCGTTGCTTCGTGGAAATATCTCCCAGTGAGCTGAGACACACCAAGCTCTTCCAGCCACTGTCTAGCTCGCAACTCAGCTCACATATTGTGGCTGGTTCTCCCTCCCTTTGTGTCGCAATGTCTTGCCTCTCCCCTCTCATTTGACAGATCTGCCTGTCACCAACCCTCCCTTTTGCTCCTGCAGTCCAATAGCGATGCTAGTGCATACTCTGAAACAGGATGCTCATATCGGAAATTGGGTTACATTCTTAAATCCAACCAATTGTCGTTATGCTCAACGGCAATGTGAAGTATTGCAATTTGCCAATTGCTATGCGCTCTAGGGTGGCCATCACGCTCATCCTTCTGAATCGCTACAGCGGCTACACCTGGAAGTTGAACAAAGCTTGTTAAGGTTATGTGATACACTCATCTCCGACTGGAGCACCAGTGAAAACACACAAAGACCCTTCTTACTTTCCTAGCTCATCAACCGTTAACGTTATTCGTTTGGGCTTGCACAAACAGGCTATGTGACTGTTGCAAAAGTGCTTTTGCTAAAAGCCTAAAAGTGACTAACAACCGATATCCCGATAGAGTTTAACTACCCTGAATTGACTTCCCATATTACTTCGCCAAGATGATGATGACCCTCCATTTTTGGTGTAGATCCTCACCAAAAAGAAAACCTACCAGCATCTGGTACTCCGACTGCAACTTGGAGTATTTAATAAGATTCAAAGAGCGATATCTACGTCACCAAAGGCCCGTGTTTGGATAAAAGATCATTCAGTGTGACGCCTCAGCATCAGCATACTGTCTAGACAAATAGCAAGTACTGCAACTTCAAGAGCAGGCCTCCAGGGTCCCAATATCAATAAACAACGTACTCCAGTATAAGTATGTCCAAAGGGGGACCACTGCCACCCAAAATACCCATACATTAACAAACATCAAGTTCCAAGCCACATTACCTTTCCTCGCTGTATCGTATCATGCCTTCCAAAACATGCCATCGTTTTTCATCTCATCCATTGTCATAAATACAAATGTAAAACAGCAGAAACTGTCATCTAACCGCTGCACATAATGCAAGACTCGGGGTCTTCAATGCTGCCTACACCATTGTTAGTATGTTATTCATGTGTAGAGAAGCACGGGTCACTTACACTGTAGAACAGCCTCCGAGTAGATGTCGCGCTCGCGATCTTCATTATCCTTGTCCTCATCCTCAGTTTGGGGGTTCTTGGCACCTAGCTCTTCTTCCTGAACCTTCTCAGCAGGCTCAGTAGGGAGAGCCTTGGGGCTCTCAGCCTCCTCGGCATCAGCCTTGATAATAGGCGCATGTCCAGGCACAGAAGGGCTGGAAGCACTGCCGTTGAGGCCGTTGAGGCCGTTGAGGCCGTTGCCATTTATGCCATTGTCCTGAGAGCCATTTCTAGCACCGTTGAGTCCATTTTGACCCATGGAGGGTGAGGACATGAGGTAGCTTGAACCAGCAGGGGGGGCTCGCTTCTTCAAAGGCTTGATACTAGCAGAGTTGGTGTCGGCAATCTTAAGAGCCTGCTGGTCGACAGTGAACTGGATAGGAGCGGCGGCAGCCTGTGTGCGAAGGTAGTACATGCCAGTCTTGAGACCAAGCTTCCAGCCGGCGAAGTGCATGCTGGTGATCTTGCCCATCGTGGGATCCTTCATGTGGATGTTGAGGGACTGGGACTGATCGATGAATGCACCTCGGTCGGCAGCCATCTGGACAACCTGGCGCTGAGAAATCTCCCAAACAGTCTTGTAAAGTGCCTTGACGTCGGCAGGGATGTTGGGGATGTTCTGAATAGAACCGTTATCGGAAATGATACGGTTCTTCATGGCATCAGACCACAAACCCATGTCGACAAGATCCTTGAGCAACCAGGGGTTGACAACCTGGAACTCACCAGCAAGGACTCGGCGCTGGTAAATGTTAGAGGTGTAGGGCTCGAAGCACTCGTTGTTACCCAGAATCTGCGAAGTACTGGCAGTAGGCATAGGGGCAAGGAGCAGACTGTTACGGATACCGTGAGTCTTAACATCCTCTCGAAGGCTCTCCCAGTCCCAAAGGTCGGAAGGCTTGACGTTCCACATGTCGAACTGGAGGATACCCTCAGAGGCGGGAGAACCCTTGAAGGTAGAGTAGGGACCCTCCTCCTTGGCCAACTGCACGGAGGCAGTGAGGGCAGCGTGGTAGATAGTCTCAAAGATCTGCTTGTTGAGCTCTCTAGCCTCGGGAGACTCAAAGGGCATGCGCAGAGCAAGGAAAGCATCAGCAAGACCCTGGACACCAAGACCGATAGGTCGGTGACGCATGTTGCTGTTGCGAGCCTCTTGCACAGGGTAATGGTTGACATCGATGATCTTGTTCAAGTTGCGGACAACAACCTGACTGACCTGATGCAGCTTCTTGAAGTCATAGCAAGCCTCATCGTAGTTAATGAAAGCAGGCAGGGCAAGGGAGGCAAGGTTGCAAACAGCGACCTCATCAGGGGCACAGTACTCGATGATCTCAGTGCACAGATTAGAGCTTCGGATGGTACCGAGGTTCTTCTGGTTGCTCTTGCGGTTACAGGCATCCTTGTAAAGCATGAAGGGGTTTCCGGTCTCGGTCTGGGCCTCGAGGATGGCATACCAAAGCTTCTGGGCCTTGATGGACTTGCGACCCTTGCCTTCCCTCTCGTACTTCTCGTAGAGGGCCTCAAACTCTTCACCGTAGCAATCGGCAAGACCAGGGCACTCGTTGGGGCACATGAGGGTCCACTCTCCGTTCTTCTCAACACGCTTCATGAAAAGATCAGGGATCCAGAGGGCCAGGAACAGGTCACGGGCGCGGACCTCCTCCTTACCGTGGTTCTTTCGGAGATCAAGGAACTCGAAGACATCAGCGTGCCAAGGCTCAAGGTAGATGGCAAAAGCACCAGGTCGCTTGTTACCACCCTGATCAACGTAGCGGGCAGTGTTGTTGAAGACACGTAGCATAGGAACAACACCGTTGGATGTACCGTTGGTACCAGCAATGTAGGAGCCAGTGGCACGGATTCGGTGGGCATTGAGACCAATACCACCAGCCATCTTGGAAATCATGGCACAGGTCTTGAGGGTATCATAGATACCGTCAATGCTGTCCTCCTTCATGTCAACCAAGAAGCAGGAAGAAAGCTGGGGTTGAGGGGTACCAGCGTTGAAGAGAGTGGGGGAAGCATGGGTGAAGAACTTGCTGGACATAAGGTTGTATGTCTCCAAGACACGCTCAATATCATCACCCCAGATACCAATAGACACACGCATGATCATGTGCTGAGGACGTTCGACAATCTTGCCGTCGATCTTGAGGAGGTATGATCGCTCCAATGTCTTGAAGCCAAAGTATTGGTATTGGAAATCACGGTCGTAGACAATGGCAGAGTCTAGCTCTTCCTTGTGTCGCATAACGCACTCATAGGTCTCCTTGGAGATCATAGGTGACGGCCGGCCGTTCCTGGCGTTGACATAGTTGTAGAGATCGCTCACAACGGTAGACCATTGCTTCTTGGTCTGCTTGTGAAGGTTGGAGACGGCAATACGGGCCGCAAGAATGGCGTAGTCGGGATGTGTAACGGTCATGTAAGCAGCAGTCTCGGCGGCCTGTAGAGATTCTGGTTAGCTGGTGCTGAAATAGTGACGGTGAGTGAGGGGCTTACAAGATCGTCCAATTGCACAGTTGTGACACCGCCATAGACACCGGAAATGACCTTTTGGGTGATAGCAACGGGGTCAACGTGGTCCATGTCGAGGCCGTAACACAGTCTCGAGACACGGGCAGTGATCTTGTCGAACTGAACACGCTCCTGGCGTCCATCTGCGAAGCTTGTCAGTCATCATGATAACTCATGTGGCCAGAATGTACTTACCTCTCTTTCTGACGAACATGATGGCGGGTGAAGAAGGATTAGGCGGGGATGTCGGTGTAGGTCGAAGCAGGTTCTGTTACTGCTGGTAGAAGCAGTGTAAAGGCAGAACAACGTCAAAGGATTAGAAACGTTTTGCTGTGAGAGAACGTGAGAAGTATTACAAGATTTTGTGTTGTTTTGTTGTGGTTGTTAAGGAGATGAGAGATGAGAGATGCAAATTTAGCATGGAGGGTCGGGGTGATTTTAAGGGAGTCGCGTCTTTCACACGCGACGCCAATGTCTTAGCGCGTCAAACAGTGACAGGCGTCACCGCAATCCATTAAAAAAGGCCCCGCCTGAAACCTTAGGCAACACCCCAGTTGAGGTTACGACTGGTATAAACGGTTGAGTCTAGCTGGTGGTTTACGTGGAATACAGGGGCTCGCTGTACTCGATGGGCTGATAGAGTTACTCTCAGGCTCTATTTCATCAAGATTCCATGCGATCTACGTCTCTAGAACATCAAAACTCGACCTCTCCTTTCCGACATCGCATTCTCACGTTCCCCTGTCATCTGGCGTTGCTGGAGTGTTGGTGGGGTGCCAATGGGGGGCAGACACTGGCGCGAAATCACGTGAAGTCAATGCAAATTATTAATTGCTTGCGGTGGCTTTTGTAAGCAAATTCCGTGGAAAAACTGAGCTTGGCGCACGTTGACGGGAGGACGAGACCAGAGAGCAAAGAGCCAATCAACACTTTGGACTAAATCACCTACCCTATTTTGCTACTCTGGTCTAAAAAAAGGCATATAGAGACTACGGTTGCAAGGCAACAACACGTTCAGTGACTCACCATATGAGTCGAGTTCTATCAAAGACATACAAAATCGATGACATCGAGACGTCTATTTAATTGTTTTCAGCCACTAACCACCAACTGTCTCAGGACGTCAAGTCTTGGATTTCAAACATCACACTTTCGCAATATGGCTTCATCTTCAACGGTTGGGCCTACTGATGGCTCCAGTTACAAACCCAGATACATCGATGTATGTCAATTCACTCTGATATATATATATATATTCGGCTCCACTGGATGTGCATATACATTATTAGATTCTCGGATTCCGTTAACACATGACATCTGCTAGTAGATCGGTATCAACCTCACAGATCCCATCTTCCGAGGCAAATATCACGGCAAGGAGCGACATCCCGATGATCTCGATGCCATCGTTGGGAGAGCCCGTGAGGTTGGTTGCACAAAGCTTATAGTGACCGGCTCAGATATCGGTAACTCTCGAGATGCCCTTACCCTTGCCAAAGATTATCGTGAGCCTCACCCCTGCTTATCAATCAGATAACAAGACTAAATCAATCACAGCCGGGACCATCTTTGGAACTGCAGGCATTCACCCCTGTAGTAGCGCCGTCTTTAGTGAAGCAGGCCCTTCTCATGAGTCCGAGCACACAACGCCATGCGATCCTGACCCTTTAGCTCCGGTCTCGGAAGAGCATCCTCCTTGCTCAACAAAGACTGAGAAGTTGATCGCTGATCTCACATCTCTGGTGACAGAGGCTCAGGCCTCAGGCCAGAAGAGCCTTGTCGCCATGGGCGAGTTCGGCCTTGACTACGACCGTCTGCATTACTGCTCCAAGAGTATCCAACTTCATTCATTTGCCGCCCAGCTGAAGGTTGCTGCTTCGATATCTCCCCAGCTACCATTGTTCCTGCATTCTCGTGCTGCTCATGATGACTTCGTTAGGCTCTTAAAGGAGGCATTTGGCGACAAGTTGGAAAGGTTGGAGAAGGGTGGTGTAGTGCATAGCTTTACCGGCACAGCTGAAGAGATGCGCGAGTTGATGGACCTGGGCCTGTACATTGGTATCAACGGGTGCAGTTTCAAGACTGCTGAGAATTGCGCCGTTGTAAAGGAGGTTCATCTCGACCGTCTTATGATCGAGACTGATGGGCCTTGGTGCGAGGTTCGACCAAGCCACGAAGGCTACAAGTACTTGATCGAAAAGAAGGAGGTACCTGTCCTCGAGAATAACCAGAATGGGGCTGCTGCTGCTGCTGCTGTCGAGCCCGCACAGAAACAACAAAAGCAGTCCAAGAAGAACCAGAAGAAAGAACCAGAGGTGCCAGAACGATATAAGATCGTCAAGAAGGAGAAGTGGGAGGAGGGAGCCATGGTTAAGGGGCGCAACGAGCCCTGCAACATCGAGCGCGTTGCCAAGATCATCGCAGGTATCAAGGAAGTCAGCATCGAGGAGGTTTGCGAGGCGGCTTGGAAGAACACCGTGACAGTATTTGGAATTGAAGAGAAGTAGAAACTGGTCGACGTGCTGTGCCGTCATGGGGGTATCAAATAGAGGAAGAAAAGACATAGACCATGCGCCGTTATAGATCCAACACCTTCTCACATGCCTGAGCCCTTGTGTCCGCGAATCCTCCCATGCCTTACAAGTCCTGTGGTTACACCCTCTTCGCCTGTCATCCATCCTGGCATGCGCTCTCCGTCGATGATTCCCGCCTCGACAAGTTGCCTTACCCCAGCCCATACATGCGCTCCAGAAAGTGTAACTTTGATAGTTGGTGTCCACCGATGTGACGGGGCTGTATCATTTCTTTGATCCTCCTCAGCAGTGACATTTGCCTCTTGAATGACGGCTGTAATCTTGCTTTTTCGTCTATTCTTGCCACCCGCCGCTGCATCCTCTTGCTCAGCGTCTTCGTTCTCGACTTCACTAAGGTCCGCACTTGTAGAAGGGAATGGGTCTTGTATCACGATGTCGACCTTTTCGACTCCTTTTCCATCCGTGACGATACCTGAGTCTCCGAAACGAGCCTTGGCAGCAAGTTTTGCCTTTTTGACCGCCCGCTGCGATTCGGTCAATGGTGCTCCTCGCTTGAGGCTAATATTGGAAAATGACGATTCTCTGGAGAGTGGCGGACTAGGAAGAACGGTATCTAATGGAGACACCTTTGTGGATTCGTTCGAGTAGATACTCCAACCACCTCCCGCTGAGTTTGTGCGCCCAAATCCCTTCTTTTCCAAAAGGGCATCTAGATTCTTGCTTTGAAGGTTGCTTGGCTTGAGAGTGTATCGTTCGCGAGGGCGGGAGAGGGCCTTTGGAACTCCGTCGACAATCAAACTTTGCAAACTCTTTGATTCTCCCGAACCACTGGGACCTATAGCCTGCGACTTTGTGATATACAACGCAGGTGACCCGTCGGGGAAAGCAATGTACACCGTCCGTGATGAGTCGAAGTTGGTTGCTGTGCCAGTCGCATCTCGACTTGACAGCGCAAAGTTCGTGTTGTAAGGCGAATCAACCACAAATATTCGCAAAAGTAAGACAGGTATGTCTTTTGGTCGGTGAAAGTGATAATGTGCTTTGACGTCCGGTAGAACATGGGCCTGCAAGTTTTGGAGAAATGTCGAGGGGTGAAACCGTGGGATCGTCAGGCTCTCCTGATCGACCCTGAGTACTTGGTCCTCACTCATATCTTGAGTTGGGTTCTTGAGAGGTAGGATTTGGTAGGCGGACCATTTTTGAGATGTTGGGTTCTGTTCAAAATAAACCATATCGGCCATGGCCAGTTGATATAGCGTCAGACCAAGTCTCCAATCGCCCTCAATAATTCGGCTGACAACATCTCTTTTGGACCCTTTCTGTTGTTGCATGTCGATATAGAGTTGTTGAAGGTCGTCGACGGACTGACAAGGGGGGTAGATATCGTCGGTTTCCTCTTCATCGTCCTCATCTCTCCTCTCGATGTAGGGAATGGCATTAGGTAGACTCTCATCGTCAAGCCAATCCAATGCCAAGGAAATAAGTGACTCTCGGGATAAGCGGTTGAGGCTTTTTAGGACAGCAGGATTTGAGGCATCGACTCGCAGTGAGGATGGAAGCCTGGCTGTTGTTGGGATAGAGAAGCGAGCCATTGTTGTTGTTGTTGTTGTTGTTTGTTTTTACAACGGTCTAGTCACAAATAGTAGACTGAGTTAAGAAGTTCAAGCCAAGCATTTGCTGGCGAAACCACAAGACTACCCCACTGATTAACTTCCGTCCGGTTAGGGCAGGTAATTGATCTATACCATAGATCGAGCCGAATATTAATGCTTAGTTATTTTCGTGAGACGCGGTACATTCACTTTGGAGTCGCGTCACAAGCCGGTTCCACCAAGTGCAGCAATACCTTAGGTACGCACGGGCCTACGGCGGTCTAGTACCTGCGGACCATGTCTGCTACATTCCGGTCACGTGAATAGACACGTGATGTAGTTATCTGGTGATTGCGAAGTTGCAAGTTTGCTAGACATAGCAGCACAAAGCCAATACTCGGACAAAGCACTCTTTTTACATCGTCTGCTAGCTTGTTTGCCGCTTTCTTCGGGATGAGATACTTACTACGGAGTAAGAAAGGAGTTGAAACCAAACTCGGCTTTAATGATGGGTCGACTCGGACGTGAGTGTGGACCGATTCGGAGATGCACTTAAACTCAATCGATTGGCTGAGAGTTTCCAGTGCCTCATTATTCTTGTCAAGAGTCAAGACCAGATAACCGCGGTTCCGTTAATTACCACCAAGCGGCAAGCATTCCATCAATTGAGACACTCAAAGGCCAGCTGGTTGAAATATCAGATCCTAGGGGGTCAGACCGTCAGAGGGTCCAGCAATGGATTTTGCCCGCCATGCTCTTGACGTGACGGGGGCAAACATTGACGACACAGTGAGCCGCGCTGGGAATTGATTTTCTGATCATCTGCCCAGGGCTCTCTTTCGATTGGTCTTACACAATGCCCCCCCCACGTAGTCAAGTAGGGCCATGACGTTTCGAGTTGAGCGTGCAGATCTGCACGGCAGATTTTACTCAGTAGAGATCAAGCATCGCGGTGTACATGACTTGGAGTAGAAGGAAAATGCAGGCTGTATGTGTTGTGCCTCGGACCAACACGTCCGAAGTGCAACAGAGACCGAGAAGTGATATGGGATTTTGATGGCCTCAATAAAATGTGTCATAAATACTTTTAGTGATCTGGGGCCGCGGACAAGCGAGACTGCTTTTCAAACGGGGACACTTTCTTTATTGGAGATCGTGATCCTGACCCAATTTTGACGGGGAGTTCGGAAAATGGGCGGCTAAGAGTTCTCCTGGACCTGAAGTAGTTTGGCAGTGGGGACGAGTTCATGAGTTCGGTGTTATTCGAGATACCATGTCAACCAACAACGAGCTTATTTCTGCTTCGCTGTCTGCAGTTAGGTATCCAAATCGAGGCAAAGAGCTGTAGCTAGCATCAGCTGTCAGAGCGCACGAGAGGGTCCCTGGGTCCCTGTGTCACTTGGGGCTGGAACGTATGCACGCCGACAAAATGAGAAGCATGTCTCAGTCTCACTATTATCACAACACAGGGTTGGAGTGATCAAAACGGCTGTTCATGTATTCAGTACAGGCCAGCATCCAAGCGAGGGGCAATTCGGAGAACTTGTCCTAGCCTGTCTAACGGCGAGCAGTTGTTTTATGAAGCTGCCGATCGTTGAGTTTGAACCACAAGAGCGTATTCAAAGACTCTCAACCGGGACTGCAAGGTTAAACTTTGCCTGCCGAAATTTGATCGCAGAAATGCCGATTGTGCGCGGAATTCGTTCACCGTTTATTCGGTCCAGCGCAAGGGAACAAACTTGAGAAAATTAAGACACCAGGCTTGTGACAATAAGGGTTAGTTGAGTCGCACAGCTGAGGCAGCGAGGTGAACCAACTCCCCGAACCTGTCCGGTATCGCCACTAACAAGAGCAAAACCAGACGTTTGGTGGCTTGGCTGATCGTATAACCACGTTCCATAATTACATTCTGTGCCGAACGAAGCTCCCCGTGTGGTGTAACACCGATTTCAAAGTCATGCACAAGTGGAGATGCTTCTCGTTATTCCCTCCCCTGTCGCTGAAGAACCCCCGAGGCAAACAATTAAAACAGGACCAACCCACGCTGGTGTGACATTTGGGGAATTAATCACTCATAAGAATGGGGGGATATTGGTGTGCTTCGACCATAACGGTTCAATGATTCGCAACGGACAAGAGCCGCGAAATAATAAAAACCCACATGTCCCACGTTCCAGATCAAAAGCGACGAAATCTGCAGACGAACGACAGGGGGCGGGGAGTTGGTGGTTGAACCACAAATTGGTCGGGTTAAGGCCTGAATACGCGGATAGTTTTGCGACGCTCAGTATTTGTTGTAGCCAGGTTTTGCTACCGATATAAACCAACCTACAACGGCCCTTTGAATTATTCGGATCAGTAGCAACTCATCCATATCAAATTCATATACACTCAGCGGGCTATTCATTGCATATTCCAACGTTACTGTCATATGTCGGCTGCCTTAGCCACCCTTGAAATAGCCCCAAATGCAGGGCAGTCAAGGGTGTCCATGTCACATGTGGGGGTGAGGATACACAAGCAGCGGCAGAGAGAGGAGAAGTCCATGACGGCTGGAAGCCTGGAACGCTGGGCTCATGCGTGATTGTTAAGCAGCCCCGACGGTCATGCAGGACTGCCTCACTGCAGGTTATACTGGTCGGGAAGCTTTATAAGCAGCTTTTGTTAGGTAGTAGGTAGTCTGGTGTGTTATGTTTATTGAGTTACCAAAGGGGATATCAATTAAGAAGTTTGCAAAGTAAAGTACAGGGCAAAGCATGCACAACAACAAAGAAAGAGCAAAGATAAAATAAAAAGCACCTTCACAGGACAATTGCGACATTCGAGGCCGTGCTCTTCTATTCGTCAAGACCTCTTCCTCTTCAATCCTCATCATCGAAAAGGCTGGGTCAGGCCCCATCACCGCTAACCCTTTTAGCCTCCAGAGGGCACACCCACTGTTCCTCGAGCCGTCCAGTAACGGGACTGTGCTCAGCTCACTACCCACATCCACCCACGGGGCTCCCACATCGCTAAACCCACCTTGCGTAGTGGCTTCGGCGACAATCGGCCTTCGCAAGTAGCATCCACTTTGAGAAAAACGACCTGATCCGCCAACACTGGTCGACGTTTCTTTCTTCCTCCACTTCCTCCCTCCGAAACCTCAGACCGGAATCATTGTCGATATTGATACTGGTAAACGACAACAACACGACGACAAATACACGAGGATATCCCAACTCATCACAGCCATCGATCTGTGACTTGACCGTCATTACTGAGTCACCAGGACGTTTGCAAATTTGTCCATACAAAAACCCCGCTTAATCTCGCGGAGCCGCTTTCGGAATCGACACCGAACTCGAAACATCGGCCACGACGAAGCATTGCATTTGTCTTCGTCTTCAAATCAATCACAGGAGGGATTGTTGACTTCGACCAAACCTGTCGAAATGTCAAACTTCAACGGCCGCCGCGGCCCCAACGTGTCGCAGTATCTGCGCGACCTCAACGCCATCAACCGTCAGGAGAACGCTCAGGAGGAGCCGTTCAACATGGAGGAGGATCTTGCTCTCTTCACCAACACCCAGTTCTTCGACTTTGAGACTGGCCAGAACACAGACTACCAGGCTCATCCCACAAAGATCGATTTGGAGGTTTCCCAGAGCACTTCGCCTTCGGATGACATGACCCCGGCTCCCTCCGTCGTGGGCGATATCGCTACCAACAACTTTGATTTTATTCAGGGTGAGTTTCTACCATCTCGATTTTGTATGGCACTTTCCCACTGGTTACCTCAAACCGGTTGTGATGAGATGGAAGCACAGCGAATGGGATGAAGATGGCATCAAGACGGAAACATTGGTTTCACTATCAGGTTCACCACAAACACGAAGCCATCACAATGGTTTCTATGTGTGAGGTGTTCATGATGAGCCGAGTATCCTCCTGATCCAGTTTCGTCGTTACTGTACTTGCTTCTCTCCACTACACAAACGGCAACGATCCTAGCGGGTAGTCAAAACCCTGACCTTCAAATCCCTGGTCCCTTAATGGATAATGACGAGCGCCTCCCGCTTCACTTACCATTCAGTTAACCACCCCCACCTTCCCTTGAGAACCCTGCCCCGACTTGCATGATGTCCTTTTGTCATTGGGGACAAAGTTGTCTCCTCTACTCAGGCCTGCTCAAGTGTGGCTCACCTGGGATGTCAAGCTTGATTTCAGTGGCTGGTCGGACGGTGGTGTCTATGGTGCAATACTTCGTGATTTGCCGACACCGATCACGACATCGTCCACACCCCTGCACCTCACTTGCACTTCCCAAGTTGGGATAGACTACTCCAGGCCCCAAGGGCCTATGCAAGTCCATCAACTACTCTTCAACTCTTCATGTCTACTATCTTCCTCTCTACTGTCGCCATGATAATTGGCTCTTCTCGACATCAACTGACCGCGTTACAATGGCAGGCGATTTCAACTTTCCTGATTTTACCAGCGCCTATCCGTCTACCCCCTTGAATGGCTTCGCGGATGGTGCCCAGAACTTCCCACCTATCCAGCCCAGTGCCCCCGCCGGCTACCAGCCTGTCCCTCAGCAGCAACAGCCTCCTCACTTCGCCCAACAACCTGCTCCCCAGGCTGCATCTGAGAAGCATGATTCTGAGATGAGTCCTGGTGCCGGCCGTGGATCTTTGAACTTTGAGGATGCCTCCCGTCATGCCGCCGAGGAAGACAAGCGAAGGCGCAACACTGCCGCCAGTGCTCGCTTCCGTATCAAGAAGAAGCAGCGCGAGCAAGCTCTTGAGAAATCCGCTAAGGAGATGTCCGACAAGGTCTCTGCCCTGGAGGGCAAGGTCAACCAGCTCGAGATGGAGAACAAGTGGCTCAAGAACCTTCTTGTTGAGAAGAACGAGGGCAATGATGAGATCGTCACACTGTGGAAGGAGTTTGCAGCATCCAAGGCAACCAAGCAGTCCGAGTCAAAAGCCAAGTCCTCTGTCAAGGAAGAGACGAGGTGACTTAGCATTTGACATGGCTATAACGCTGCAAAATCTGGAGATGATATATGTGATAAGGCGGCGGCGTTCTTTTAGCTGGTTGCATCTGGTGGAGGGCTACGTGGCGTTCAATTCGGTCTTTTCAACAATATCTGGGTACACAAGGAGCATGATGATGATACATCGGGGATGGCCGTTAAGGCTACCTGGCACATACAACATAAAACAACGCGAGGTTATCGTGAGGCGACGTTTCAGTGGGTGACGACATGATTGGATATATACGGTTGTTTGAAGGCAACTGATAGAGACCAGTTCACATACTGGGTGGAATTTTTGTTTTAATTGCAATGATATCAACGGGTATACGATACATCGTTTCCGTAACTAGTTTCTTTTACATGTTCAACACTTTCTTAACCGAAGAAACTATCTGGTTAAATCTATATCTTGAGTTGTTACTACTCAACTCATACCTGTCCGCTCATGATCAACGCTTTATTGACTCGGCCGTAACCAAGACCCTTATGATATATCTTGATTGATTAACCCCCAACGCCATTACTTCTGTTCATCTTCCGCCCTCTTAGCCTTGATAGCATCCAACCTCTGCTTATTCCTCCTCCCCAACAACTTGAGCGTCTGCGCCTTCTCACCCTCCGTCATGCCCGTCCAATTGCCAATCCTCCCCATTGTCCCGTCCGTGTTAACGACGAGCGGACCTATGGCGTCAAGCCGGACTGACTCGCCCACACGCAGCGACGTCACGCCATCGCCCTTGTCGGCGGCGGCGGCGGCGGCGCTGTCTTGCTCGGGCGCTGGCAGCGGGAGAGGCATCTTGTTAGCGTCCTTGGCTGCTGTTGCGCTGGAGGGGATTTCCTCTTGGCGATCGTCCTTGGACATGGTGCTGGAGAAACGATATGTTGATGTACGGTAGTGTAGACGTGCGATGACAAGGCGAGGGAGCCGCGTGAGCATAATGCGGTTGAAGTTGTGCTTGTATGGTGTCACTCTATGAGTGAGCGAGCGAGCGAGTGGGTTTTGTATTTTCTTGCCAAAAAACCAAACCCTCACTGGGAGATTAGTTGACTTGGTGAGTATCGTTTAATCTGATATTTTGAGCTTGGAGTTGTATTAATGGTGAGGACCGAAAGAGCACGAGGTGAGGTTGAGTCTGGCTGAGAGGTAGAAAAAAATGGAAGCCCGCCGACTGAAGCTGGCCACTAAGAATCCCTGCGCTTGTTCTAGAACTAGCCGCGATACTCACGATACTAACAATTATTGATATACTATAATCGACATGAGATCATTATTATCTTGCTATTAATGTTTTCATGTGGATAGTGCTAGTTTAATGACTTGTAACTGCGGAGCGTATTGTTTCATTGAGGCGCTGATATCTCGTATCATCATCCAGCCACATCCTCAACTCCATTCTAGTGATACCTAGATACGTGGGGGGACGCAGCAGCAGCAGACTAGCTCAAATAAGATGTGTCAACCCTCGGCCATTTTTGCTTCTTTAAATCTCCAGATCGGAACTTTTGGGTGCAGATAGATCTACGCAGCGGTCTGTGCAATGTCGCCATGGCCTGAGCTTCTGATAGGATCCAGCATTTGTGATGGGTAATTCAGGGTCGCATGTACGGGAGCAGGGGCGATGACGAAATGAGCTGGATGAGGGGACCTGGGGAAGGTATAAGGCGTGATAGATGCAGCTGCATAGACGCGGCGGTCTGTTCTTGTCTTCATGGACCATGGAGTATGGCTCATGGCGGTACTATTAGATTAAGGCACCAAAAATGTACCTCTCTGAATGATTGGCGTTCACTTGATACTGTGAAGTTGTCATCAGACAAGCTCAACTGCTATTCTCTCATCATGCTAACATGAACAGAGCAGTCCATCGACAAGACGATGGGGACATACAGTTCGATAAGGGCACGGATTCCGCATACGACGCTTCCAATAGAAACTGAAAGAGAAGAAAACAAAACACGGTCAAGGCCTAATAAGCGAAGAGATCTTGTTTATACCCGGTCTTGAAGTTATCAGATGAGTGTACCAACACTAGTTCTTGTGTATTACCAGCTCAACTTAATGGTATACTTCCTACACCCATCACACATAATAGTCGTGGTAGCCGATACTCTATGGTGTACCTCCTCAAACCAAACACTTATATTGGTTACAGGCCCTGGAAGCTGTGAATGGTGCTCTAGTTCATCTTACGGTGCCTATAGTCTGTTAGCTCTGCATAATAGTGTGTCATTTCAAAGGTGAGATGAAACTTACTTCTGAACAACCTTCTCAATGGCATCCATTCCCATCTTGAGCACATCCATGCGAGGTCCGTAGCTCAGACGGACGAAGTGATGGCAGGGGCTGTCGAAAAGATCACGGCGGCGCGAAGGGTTAAGATCGAAGAAGATACCAGGGACCACGATGACCTTCTCAGCAAGACAGGCCTGGAAGAAGTTGAGACCGTCGGAGATGGACTCAGGAAGACCCTCGAGGTTGAGCCAGCTAGGTAATGTTAAATCTTACCGAGAAATTCTTTGGCGCATATGGTAACTTACAGGTAAAAGGTTGAGTCAGGCACATACTTAATGATGAAGCCCATTTCACGAAGACGTCGAACAACGTAATCTCGCTTGTCCTAATGAACAGTTAGTGATTTAGTGTCGTATTTCCTAGATGCAAGACTTACTCTGAAGTGAGCTTGGAGGTGAATCATCTCATTCTTGACGAGATCAGGCTCGAGCATAGGGATAGCAGCCTCCTGGAAAGGATGACTAGCACCACCGTCGAGGTAAGAACCGCATGAACCGATACTAACGTTGGTCAGTCATGCGTAACACAAGGTGTTGCAAACACCGGCACAAAACCTCGCGATAGCCTGCGATATTTGACGAATAACCGCAGGTTCTCCATCAGGAGTGAAGACAGTGTAAAAGACTAGGGCAAGACTCACGCGTTAATGTATTCTGCAAAATGGTGTTAGCACTGTCTCCGTCCATATGAACTGTTTAGTATGCTTACCCTTAGGTCCAAGGATCCAGGCGATTCTCCATCCTGGCAAGCGGAAGCGCTTGGTAAGACCATCAATGATAAGAACATCGTCCTCGTCGACATCGTCAACGTTCTCTGCCGCCGATATCGTGCTGCCGTCGCAGTTGCTGGTGTAGTTGTATCCCGAGTAGAACTCGTCGGAGATGAAAGTACACCTGTCTCGGCACAGGTCCTGAATCTCTGCAAGTTCGGGATTCTGAATAACACGTCCTGTAGGGTTACGAGGGTTCGAGGTGAGAATAACTGAAGTTCCACGCGCGATTTCCTCGGCGATCTTGTCGGGGTGAATGTGATAGCCATCCTCCTCGGACAGGGGAACAGGAATAGCAGCGAACTGTAAAGCTCGTCAGATCAGGTAACGGGGAATATTGATACTGTACTTACGTTCTTGAAAAGACTCAACATCTCGTTGTAAGCCGTGTAGTCTGGCAAGAAGAAAGACAGGTACGAGTTTCCGAGGACGGCAGCGATACGGATCAGACCAGCACGACCACCGGGAACGATAGCAACGTTCTCCCAGGTATACTGACTGCTCTTGCCCTGTCGGTGATCATGGTTGTATAGCTTGGCGACAGCCTCTCTCAGGGGCTTGATACCGGCTGTAGGACCGTACTCTCGACCAGCCATGGAGATGTTGATGGTCTCGGGACGAGGGAAGCAACCCTCAATATCGTCCTCGACTTCGGGGGCACCTTGACCAAGGTTGGCCCAGGTCTCGGGCTCTTCAAGGTAGCCATACTCGGCGGCTCGCTCTGTGCACCAGATAACACCAGTGGATGATCGACTGGCGTCGAGACCAGCGTGGGGCATGTGACCCTCGTGAGCATTTCGGAATTGACGATGAACCTTGGATTGGAACTCTATAAAGGTTTAATTAGTTTGATGCTGTTATTATCGATGTGATACAAGTAGACAAGTTTTGCTACTGCGGTGTTGGACAATGACGTTGTGGGGCGCTGCAACCAAGCTCCTATGCAGCTCTGTGTAAGGCGGATTTGGAGGGGTTCATGAGGGGCAGACGCGATATTACAGGGGTAGGAGAGAGGGGAAACCAGTGGCGCCGGGAGTCGAAAGGCGGGACGGTGAGGGGAGGTGAGAAAACGGTGAAGAGGGAAGGAGAGTAGATGAGGGCTTTGATGATGCTTCTAAGCTATCAAGAGCTCGTTATGCTGTTGGATGGGGAGTTGCTAGAGCTCGGGGTAATATCTCGAAGCTAAAGAGGCATCCGAGTATCGAAAGGCGCGAAAGGCGCGAAAATAGGCGCGCAACAGCCACCAAAAACCTGAGACAGACAGACAGAAACGTACCGTTCATCGAAGGCTCAGTCGTACTAAAACGACGAGCGAGAGGCTTGGGCTCGCCAGTGTGGCGGTTGATAGAGAACTTGCGTCCGCTGAAAGACATGATGGCGATTTAGGAGGAGCACAGAGTAAGGAAGGCGAAGGAGAGGAGAGGGACAAGGGAGTATCTAATTGTGTATGGCCTTAAGCCAGGAAAAAAAGATGTCGAGTCCCAGTTGCGATGATCACCTGGGTTAGGTAATGGGGAGCTGTAGCCTGTGATGACGGGCTCTAGTGAGGTTTGGGTCTGGGTTATGCAACTCACACACTACCTTAGCTGCGACAGTGCGAGGAAATAATTATAAGAGAGAAGAGAGAAAGAAAGGTAAAAAAAAAATAAACACGATGTGGATGTTGACGATATAAGTGTAAACTTGGTCACTGAAAAATTCGGGGGTGGGACCTGAGTACTAAGGTAAGGTATCACGGTACCTTGTGTGTGTGTCACAGAGTAAAGCAGAGCAGAGCAAAGCAAAGCAAACCTAAGAAAGAGCAGTAAAAAAAGAGGCCATTCAGCGTTTAGAAACTGTAAACAGTGCCTGGTCGGTTGGTCTGTGAGTAACCCCCCTACCCAGCATTGACCTAAGCTACGTTGCGCTGTGCTGCAGTAATGAGAGAGTGAAAGGAGCTGCAATTGGACTGGGCTGAAGATTCGTGTGCATCATGCATCGGAAGACGGCAACAGTATTTCTGGTGTGCGTAACTATACCTACCTACCTTACTCAAACAATTGCCTCAAACTCTCAAATTGTAATTGTAGTAGGTACCTAGGCACTATGGAGGCAGCTCACCGAGTATCCAAAAAGCGAAAGGATAATCTCTGGGTGCATGCCACTATTCACAGCTAGACCATTCCCATTTACAGGCAATCCTGGGGTAAATGCCCCCCTTTTTCCCAGCCTGATACGCCTGATACGACTTGTCATGTTGGTTTTGAAAGTCGAGACGCTTCTCTTACAGATACCACATGCAGCTTGCCAATTTGCCAGCTGTGCTAACGCTATCCAATCAATGGGTGACATACCCTACTCTTATCAGGTTTTCTCAAATGTTGCTTTTCTTTTCCTTCTTTCAACGGGGAGGACCTCAGTGACGTATTTAAATCAACCAGCCTTACCTGTGCGGGAACTTAGTGGGCAAAGAGCTATTGACCTTGGTAGGTAGTGAAAGAGTCCACCAGCAATAAACAGGTACAAACAAGCCGAATCCATTTATTGTTACTCCCACGATTAGTTGAAGCATAATATTATCTTCTCTTCTGCCCAATCTCAACCTGACCGGACACAAATGTCCCGACCCCCACTACCAATGGCATTGTGACGATCATACTGAGTACGGAGCTGAGGGTCTAAACTCCAATCCTCGATATCGTTACCTAAAACCCCAACCCTTACCCACAATGTCTCCGACCCCAGTTCCAGGCTTGGCTGCCGGCCCGGCCTCCCTTTGACCTCCGCCCCAAACTCCAAACTATCGATATCTATCCGTAGGTCACCTCAGTAAAACCAAAAACTCCAGGGTTGACAATCTTCACCGAGTGGAATGTCTCGCGTCAGATCAAAAGGGAAGCTCGGTGAGAACCCGAGCCTGAAACACCCCAGAAGCTCGCTAGAATAATCTAGAAAAGGGCAACTCTTTCGTGGTAAAGGTCAGGGGAGCAGCCCGGTTGGTCCCGATCTGACGGGTCCGTGAACCCCTAGATGTTACGGATAGCTCATAGCTTGTTGAATCATGAGACCGACACGTTATCGAAACTCTGAGTGGGATGTTTGGATAGGGAGGTGCTGGGATATGTAGCTATGCTCACCGTGTTCACCTTGGCCGCGCCGCGTAACGGGACGCCTATGCCGTAGCATGGCCATACGCATAAGCGTTTGAACATTCACGCAGCATGTACTCAGTACTCACTCAGCTTTCATTCAGAGACATGCTATTTCATGGAGCAACTTGGAGGCCAAAGCGTTTTGTTTATGCCTCAACGAAAAGGTAGAGTTACAGAGTTGGTTGACAATCCAAGTCAGAAGCCTCAATAAGTCGAAAGTCTAAGCCATTGTCTCCGAATAAATGATCAATATCGGTACTCATGGTATAGGTTTGTTTTTGAAGAAATTAACCATAGGGAATAATAAAAAGGATAGAACGCTTTAGCCATACTTGGGACGAAGACATGATATCCTCTTCTGTCATGACAATGTCCCCAACATAAGCCTCATCCGACCTTGATACTCCTGGCCCCTATCCTCGTGAACTGCCCCGTTCTACTTGACCCGCTTCCTAAGGCTTCAATCTCATTCCTTCCTTCGTTAAACTGCGCCCACTAGCCGCTCTTTTCCGCATGAGCTGGTGACGGAGGTGCACGTATTCGTGCGAAGGGCTGCAACCACTTGGTTCGCTCTCGATGACGGGCTTGAAAGACGATGCGGCACTTTGCAATACGGAGGATGGCATGATATGGTGTAGAAGACAAGAAAAGGCATACCTGACTATAATATAATGTAATGTGAACTAATATGCTCCCATGTTAGCAATTAACTATTATAAGTAATTTGGAAACTTTGGTCCAACATTGGTTCTTGAGGTATATATAATTTGGACTGTTCCAAAATCAGTACATACCTGTGACAGTATACAGGCATCCCAAATGGTAGGGACCTTATGCCGACAGACTTCGAAGAAGCAGTCTCTTCCTGATGAGTATAAGAGAAAAGAAAGACAAAGTTGTGCGGTATCTCGCAGACATCTCTCCCCTTTATAATCATGGACGCGAATGTGAGGACTCAAATACTTGGGCAGCGTGCAAATCATCACACGGTCCCATAGAGCTGTCTCTATGATCCATACAAATATATATATATGGTTACAAATGATTAGAACCTAGGTAGATGGAGCAGGCCTGCTGCTTTTTATACACTTCCCATTCTGCCTATTTGTTACCTGTTATGCTTGCTTAGGTAGCTACCACTTGGTTTGTCGCTAAGCCTGAAATTGGACAGGTCATTGTCTAATTGCAGTATTGACTTAGCAAACACACATGTTTCCAAATCAATGAAGTTTATTCCAAACTACTAATAGATTCAAAGAAATCTCGAATATACGAATCATTAAGGCAACAACGCGATCAAACATCTCTTTGCCAGCACGGATGTCAACAGTTTCGGAACAAGCAATATGAACATTGTATGTCTCTCTTGATTTGTTATTTATACTACATAAACCAATATCTTAACCAAACGCTCCGATTTCACTACCCAAACAAAATACAATTCCCGCCATTTTTTAACGCCGCTCAAACAAACAACAGTTCAAAACAAAGCTCTAGTCCCTCATGGACTTGCCAATCTCACTCTGCCAGCCATCAGCTCGCTCAAAGCCGTTGGAGTGAGTTTGGTAGTCAAATAGAGCCTTGGCAACTTCCTCCTTGGAGGTGAGGACGAAAGGTCCGTATTGCATTACGGGCTGGTCGAGAGGAGTACCAGCGATGAGGGCCAGACGAGCGGACTTGGTCGCACCGGCGTCGACCTCGAAGTGGACAACGTCACCCTCGGGCTCGAAGACAATGTTGTGGTACTGGCCGACAACACGGCGCTGGTCATCCTTGCCGACGATGACATCGCCTTTTAGCGTGTAGGCGAAGGCATTCCAGTTCGGAGGCAGAGGCTGGCTGATCTTGCCTCCGGGACGGATCTCGATGTCGAGGAACCAGACAGGGGTGTAGGCGAGATCCTTCACAGAGTCGATGCCGTGGCTCTGGCCTGAGATGACCTTGACGGTGACCTTGTCATCGTCAATGTTGGCAACGGGGATCTCAGAGCCGCGGAGATCGCGGTAGCGAGGTTCACAGGACTTGAGCTCCTTGGGGAGGTCGACCCAGAGCTGAAGACCGACGTTTGCACTGCCGTCTGCGTTTTGCTGGGGCATTTCAGCGTGCATGATCCCTGATAGTCGTTAGTACATGTGTCGAAACCCTCGAGATAAATGGAGTAACATACCTTTTCCAGCAGTCATGAACTGAAGATCTCCAGCGGAGAGAGTACCTCTGTTACCGGCAAAGTCCTCGTGGTCCATGCCGCCTTCAAGGAGATAGGTGATGGTTTCTTGGCCGCGGTGAGGGTGATCAGGGAAACCGGCGCCAGGCTTCACAGAGAAGTGATCGAGCATGAGGAAAGGAGAAAAGTTGCGAAGCTGAGGAGTGCCAATTGAGCGACGAACGCGAGCACCGGCACCCTCTGATTGCTCGACGGCAAGGAAGACCTTGCGGATAGCTCGAGTGGCAGACATTTCGGTAGCGTAAAGGTGATGATCTTGAGTGTTAATTTTGTTGTCAGGTGAATAAGACAAATGTGTTAAGTTCTTTAACAACTCAAAGGTATAAGTAGCTGTGTCCTTGATACGGTGTTGGAATAAGGCAATGGCTGCTAGAGCGATGAATGCTGGGATAAAGATGGATCGAAAAGAGGTCATGACCAGGGAAGACGGAGAGGACGAGGCTTTAAATACTACGAAAGATCAACGAGGATGGATGAGAGGATGGGTTTGCAAGCACGACAAATACAGACGCAGGATCCTACGAGTAGAAATAGCTGGAATTAGCCATTGGATCGTTTCCAGGCGATTGTGGAGGTTAGACATGTTTAGTCAATGTTACATCAGCAGCTAAAGAGCCTAAAACTGTGGTGGTTTAGAGTGGTTTGCTAAGGCTGACCAAGGTGAGTATCTATGTTAATAAATGGGGCCGATTACAAAGGCTTTGAGTACCTATTGTATGAGTATCCGTATTTCCGGTCATGCAACCTAATTGACATCCTGTTGTCCTATAATATCATCCAGAGATACTTGTTAAACAAATTGGATCTGAAAATACTCGTATTCAAGAACTATGAAAACCCTCATGCCCCAGACTCCAGACTCCATGCTATATCATAAAGCTGAATCATAATCCAACGCTTGATACAACGCTTGATACCAGCGCTTAAAGTTCCTCGACTGCCAAATCATCATCATTATCATCAATGTATCCCATATCGCGAAACAAGTGCAATGTCTTTGACTCCTGGGGATCGCATAGCAACACCCCATGCTCTCTCAGATACTCCGTAACCTCGCTGTAAACTTCCTCAGAACCAACCTTAGGAGTTGACAGCTCAATCTCCATCAGGTGGAGTTTATCAGCCACCACGTCATCCAGTTTCGCTTTGTGTCCCAGAATCTTCAGCTTCCATTTTCCATCAGGAAAGGGCCCGTAGGGCACGAGACCATCCCAGTCGATGTCGTCGTACTTTTCGGCGAAGCGGACTTGATCGTCGCTCCAAAGCTCCTCTGTCTTTTCGCTCAAGTGATATCGTGCTCCGCAAGTGTATGGAACATTGTCGCCATATCGATCCCAGACGCAGTCTGCTCCAGGAGGTGTACGGCCTGGCTTTTCGTCGAAACGGACTTTTATAACGGAGAAGGGCTTTCCTTTATTGGTCTTTGTACGGAACATTACACCCTGCTGTGCGTGTGTTGGAGGCATCGTATCGAAATAAGTGATTGGGTTCCGCTTGTAAGGTGCACGAACTTCTTCACCAAGCTTTGCCAATACGGCTTCTCCATCGCGATCACACAGTGACCATTGAAGATGAATTTCTTCGTCGCTGGTCCGACCAAAACAAGGGCGCACAAAAAATGCTATGGCGGCAATGTTGCAGAGCTTCATGTTGACAGGATTTGGACGACGGTATACCCAAAGGTAACCCAGAAGAACTTCAGGGAGAGAAATGAAGATAAAATATGGCCGAGACCATTCTAATGTAGAGAGATAAGCCAATATTTTTATATTCCACTTGGTTTTCACTCGATACCGCTTGGTATTGTACAAAAGGTTGTTCGGTGACGCATGTCCTACCTCGTTGGCGATCCCATGACGGGACGGGCAGCCACTGATGTTGTGGCATTTCCGTGATCGGCTGTATGTGCAGCAGCATATCCCCCAGTTCTGCACATGACAGCATTGAAGCCATACACAGATCGCCGGCTAAAGAAATACGCAACCAATGAGACATTTAGTTGAGAAGGCTGCATCTTGGTCCGCATAGGGCACGTCCTTCTGACCGCAGCCCGTCAGCACGTCTGTCAAACTATTGAGAGCTAAAGTGAGACACAGGAAGATCTCAATGAAAAGAATCTCCAAAGAAAAATTGTGTTTGTGTTTGCGCTGCGTCATACTGAGCACGAATTGGCAGCACAGCTGAGATGCCGAGCGCCCTTGATAGTGAGTGCAATGATTTCGCTTGCCGAACATCCAGACGACGCTGTCGTATCACCATCCGCAAACGCCTCTCGACACACAACGCGGGGAGAATACTCAATAGTAAAGGAGTAAACAAGTAGATTTGTGCGTTTTCAGATGCACTTAGATGCCGAACGTAGGGCGAGGATTGCGAGGCGTTACCCAGCTTCTTATATCACAAACCCTTCATGTTGCATGATTGAGTCTTCCAGCAGCCCGCCCTGTGATACCGAGTTGTCTAACAGCAGCTGATTCATATGGGATTGTTGGTATGGGATCTTATCTGAATAGACATTTCCTCATTCTTCCATTTATTTCTGTTTTCAGATGATTGTAGTATCTACAAACACCTGCGGAGATGATGGACCACTGGAGAATTTAAGCAATTATTTGTAGGTCGAACTCGATTGATGCTTCCCTCGTTCTCAACCCTCCTCTTTCTCTGATGTCTTGTGTAACGAAACAATTACTTGAATCATTTGTAGCTTTTCACAGAAATCATCAACTTTGTCTGTCATAATCGCCGAAGGCAGTGAACCGGACTCGGAGCAAGGATATGAACCGTGATCAACGGAAACAGGCCGAATTTGAGCGCCCTGCAGAAATCTTACCCTAGACACATAATCGGCAGAGACCTTGTAGATTAGATTGAAAAGCGCAAATGGATCTCCCATGCATGAGCAAGTCGAGAGAATAGGACAAGTTATGTAGGGCTGTTGATTAGCCCAGAATCAGATGCAAGGTGTAAGTGAGGCCCACATCAACCCGACGGAAGCTATCGGGTTGGGATCGAGCCGCAACGATCGTGATAGAAATAGGCATAGTCAGCCTGAACATGTGATATTGAGGGGATCAGTATCATCCATCAGCCGCTGAGGCTCAACATGTCGCGCGCCGGTTTGCGGAGTACTGGTGTTTCACAGCAGATATGCAGTCCGTCATGACCACGACAGGATTAAGCATCGTGGTGTAAAAGTGGTGAGGTATAGAAGGATTCCCGCTGCAGATAAATCATCAAGAAATATGATGAGATATCACGCAATTGAAATCCTGTATAGCGTCCCACAGCAGTTACTGAAATATCTGTATCTTTCGGAAAGGAATGCTGGCGTATTGTGGTGTCACTTTGAAGATGGCGAGGATATGTACTGTTCGCATTTGCCGGGCGAGTGCAGCAAACCGTTGAATGTACGCAGTTAATCACGGTCACAAGTCTTGTCCCGTCTGCTTTAGAATTCGAAGGGAGCTCGTATCTAATCAATTGAGGAATTCAGGCCATGAGTTGGGGGCCCTGGGCGCAACATTTTGACATGTGAAAGTGACTCAATGACAGGGAAACAAAAGGTGCATGCCACAAAAAGCAGGGGGTCGAGTCGGACGGACTTGCAAGGGACCCTTGGAGACTCTTGATTGATCGGTCGATAAGGTAGGTTGAGCGGCTCGGCTAACGACTTAACGTGATGCGGCGAAGGAAGAAATGGTCAAAAGAGGAATCAAGTTCGTGGTCGTGGGACTCTGACAGGATAGGATGGTAACGGAGCCGCTTTTCTGGAAGCGACATGGACTTCTTTTTCTGCTTTGGCTTCCGAGGTCATCCATGAAGCTCGTGTTCTGATATCGAGATTTACCGCGGCAGCAGCTGGAACGAAGACCGCCAAGTCGGGGCAACAGGATGTGTTGGTCTCTTATCAATTCCTTCTGAGCATCAAAGGGACAACTCACAGTGGCTGGCTGTTGCTGGCTGATAAGACGAGGATTGGACGTTGAGCTTGGACAGATGCTGACCGAGCGGTTGCAGATGTATGCGAGAAGACACGGACTTGGGATGGCGCCGTCTTGAAACGCATCATGACGAAGATTTAAGTTGTATTTTCATATTATCTGATTCGATATTACATGGCTTTGCATGGTCTCCATTGAATCCTCCTCCGCGGTCGTGACTCCAGACAGAACACAACGCTTCATTTCGTTCTTCATGTGCTAACTGACCCCATGCAAACAATAGCTGATAAGCCAGGAGACTAGACAGTGGAGGTGTTCGAGTTACCCCAAATTATTAATAAATCTCCTACCCATATGAATTGTCTCGGGATGACCCAAACGAACGCAGCTATCAGTGATCACCACCAAGGACGCGTGGCGCCAAAGCTGGTTGGCATTCAGCACTATACGTATTATGTCAAATAAGAGACTACCTATGGTATAATATGCAGAATACCAAGATTGGCAATGTGTTTTGTTGAGAAGCTTGAGTTGAATTTGGTAACGGATTCGTCACTCACTCATCACTTTTATGGTGGTCATTGGGCGTTGGAGAAAAAGGGAAGCGTTCCATGCTCGAAGGAGAGAGTGGGGGAGGGGAAACAAAGGACGGGAGCCACTTTCACATGCTAATAAATCAACAAACTTTCAGAAACGTATATCCGTACGTACCTACCTACCTACCTTAGGTACCCAATTAACGAGATGCCCTCCCCTCCTGTCATCTTTTGATCAAGACAACTGAAACGAGGAATGAGCGAGCACTCAAAAAGTCAGGGCATGAACAAGGGCAAGCGGCTGGGTCGGGCCACTATCTCAAGCCGAACAGCACTGAGCACCCCACCATGTGGTTGTACAGAGAGCATCATCATGTGAAATTTGAAGCACGAGTATCAGGTATGGACGTTAGTCGAGGCACGCACGTGGCTGAGATGTCATTTAGAAAACAAAACCCAGAAACAAATAATCTCTCATCCGAAGGAGACCTCACCAGAAACAGATGACGATCCAAGGAGATGCGCAAAGTCGATTCAGCCACAGATATCCATCCGTTTTCATGATTGCATTAGTACGCGCATCAAAAGCTACGCCAAGTATCCACCCGCCCAAAATAGCTCTAAAGATACCTTGTCTAGTACAAGCACATGTTTGCGGCGCACTCTCTCTCCCTCTCTCTTTTTTTGAACCCTTGCCTAGCACATGCTAAATGGCCAAGCCAGAAGCGAGAACCTGACCATGGGCGATGGCGATGGCGATGGCGGAAAAAGTTGCTTCATAAATTGGGCCTCGATACTGTCTTTGTAAAGGTGGGTTGCTTTCGGAACTTGTGGTCCCCTTTCCTTTCCTTCATCATCTACTCTCCGGATACCTACCAATGCAGCGCATTTATTAAAGTCCTCCATATACCCTTTTTTGTTCCCTCTTCCTCTTCCCCCCCAAGTTCCCTGATAAATCTCAAACTTTAACCGCCCAAAAACTGTAAGTACCGACTTCTAGTTATCCTCTCGTCACGTCAACCTTGTTGTGGCGTCACACCAACAATCTTGCTCTACTCCCCTCTGACCTCACTTTCTCATGTCCGTCCACCTGCTTCTCTTTCCTTATCGTACCCTTCCTTTCTACCTCTAGCCTCTGCAGGTCCCCCTTCAATTGCTGCTACACCATCCCACTTTCCTCCCCTCTTCCCATCCTACTTCTTTCACCTCTCACCTTACTCTGTACACCATCTTACCTAGAGCTCCCCTCTAATAACTTGCAGTACCTGACTTAAAACTCCCAAGCTTATCTACCACTCGTCATTCGACCGTCATCTCAATTCGACACTTGATCGACCGATTGATTGACTTATATCGAGCCTCGCAACCTCGTCAACTCTCACTTACACCAACTCTTCGCCATCAATCCTAAGCCTTCATTATGTCTCAACAAGTTAACGGCGAAGTGAGCGCGGCCGAGTACTCTGCTTTCCTCCAGGTATTTATCCCATATATATCATTGCGCAGCCCACACTAACCCTCCAACAGCATCTTCTCAACTACCCTTTCATCAGCGACGGCGTCCACACCTTCAAGTCCAACGAACTTGGCCAGCGCTCCATCAGACTCACCGACGCCGCTTACCAAACCTTTGCTGCCCCCGTCGTTCCCTACTTCTCCGGTCCCTACCAATATGTCTCGCCCTACTTCCAGAAGGTCGACTCCCTAGGCGACAAGACCCTCGACCGTATTGACGAGAAGTTCCCCGCTGTCAAGAAGCCCACCGATGAGCTCTACCAAGATACCCGAGCTCTCATCCTATTCCCCCTCCAGAAGGGTCTCGAGGGCAAGGACCATGTCCTTGATATCTACAACTCTGAGGTGAAGAAGGTCGAGCAAGGAGGTCTCGTCGCCCACGGAAAGGCTGCCGTTACCACCGTCCTCGTCGTTAGCAACGAGACTCTCTCTTGGTTGAGCTCTTTCTTGCACCAGAAGAAGGCCGAGGCCGCCAGCGCCACACACGAGAAGATTAACCAGTAAACATCTCGCCTCTACGACGATGGCAGCACGAGCTTAATGACCGTGCTCGGCTAGATTACACTTATATACCCTCCCTGTTTTCCTTTTCACTTGGAATTGTTTCCAAACGTGGTATTTCCCCTTGTACCTCCCTTCTCTTTTCAATACTTGGAGTTTTGAAGGCAATGGGAGTGAAAGACCGGCGTGATCAGGCCTTTGACTTCTAACACTGTCTCATGCCCCTCCTGGCTCACGCCTCACTCGTGCCCTCAAGTGGTTTCCAGTATCTACCGCCCAGGCTTCCTTGTCGAGTTGGGTTATGCCCATTTATCTTTTCTCCGACTCATCAGCGCAATTAACTGTTTGGCTCATGTCTTCATACTGTTTTCGTTTGCGGATTGGTTCAATGACAGGGGAGTGTCGAGTTCTGACGGAGGATGTAACAACCATACGGATGTGCGACCTCGAGGTTTATATGTGAAGGCAGGAGTTATAGTTATTGAGGATGTGTACTTTGAGATACTTAAAAACAAGCTAATAGATCTTTTTATATTCTTCATATAACATGTTATTTATGACCATGACTCCCTGTGATGTCACGGGTTGTCCAATAGTTTATCTACGAATAGTCTTCTCGGTCTTTGATTCCGATTTCTCACTTGCTTTGGGTACGTTCAGCCTTTGATGGAGGGCTCGTCACTTGTAGGCTAGACAGCAACTTCAGTATGAGCAGATTGTTGACATTGCATTTCTCTTGTTGCAACTCCCGGTACAGGCACGGAAAAAAATGTGCATGCTAGAGAGAGAAAGGATCTTGTGTTTTTTCTAATCGTCTTCCTGATCGTGAGTTATTTAGGCCACGGTTCGTCAAACTGGTATAGTTATATCAATATCCAAGCACCTTCTCAAAGATATACCGTTTCTATCTCAGGCTGAAGTGTGCCTTTCGCCAATCCTTCCGCCCTATAACTACTAAGTGTTTGTAGCCATATTAGTATTCTAAAAATTCACAATAGTCTGTTCCTTTAATATTGAACTCGCGCATCATTCAATACGTTGCTCTTCATTTGCTGTTTTAAACAAGAGTAATAGGCTATGTGAACTTAACTCAATGGGAACTTAGGTCTGACATTAAACTCTGGCGACGTTGCAGTCGAATATTAAATCTTGAGCCCCACTGTGTAATATTCGAAGCATGTATTGGACAACTTATGTTCAGCTATATAACATGGCCCGGTGTGAATGTTATTTGATATACGCATTTAGAACATTTAGAAACTAGATGGTAGGTAGATACATGAGGTTCCAACTTACATATTTATATTTGTCATATTTTATCTTGGGACAAGAGTCAACAAACAGCAGAGCAAGTCAGTAGTATGACAAGTTTAACACGTATCATTGAGTATAAACTCAGTAGCAGATTTCCTATGGTCGAAATTAAGAGTGCAATACCTGGTGAGCAGCGGAGTGCGACGGTCGTGACATGGGAAACAACAAGTTGGTATATTTACATAAACTCGACGAGAAAGAAACCGTATTTGCTAGGATTTCCGGGAGAACCTTATGTACCATTCTGCCACCACTTTTGTGTGTCATGTGTTTAAACCAACGGTGTGCCAGAGATTAGTGCAGTGTACAGCGAGGATATATTTGCAATTGAAGAGTGAAGCACAAGCGAACACTGAAGAACATCTTAGATATAAGCTGCTTTACCAACGCTATGAAATGTTTGTTCCCCTAAATCCCATCGTTCATTAGGTATGACGGCATCTCATGTCCTTTCACTGTGCAGACCCTGTTGCTGATCGAGTGTCACTCTCCATCTGTTGGGCTTCATCTTGGCAAGTGCAACTTATAACTATGCCCACAAAGTTCGAGGGGGAAGCTTTTAATTTTTAACTCTGTCTCTATATATCAAATATTCGTGATTGTGTTGCCGTCCCAGGCGGTAAAGAGCTGTTCACTGTGCAGTTGCAAATTCTGTGGTCGTATGTTATGATCAACACCACTCTAGTGATCAGGATATATTCTATGCCTAGGTAGGTACCAGAACACTTATGGTATGAAGAGATCCATCACACGTCTCTCTCTATGTATGTTCTCCTATCAAATCTTTTTGGCACTGATTCACTGCATTTATTTGACGCTTTACTCGCAGTTCTTTGAGTTTGTAACCCCTAAAAGTCAAATGGAGCAACTTTAACATCATAAGAATGCTTCATCTCTGGAACGAATTTTTTTTAAACTTTATACGTAAATTCCCTCAATAGCATATATATAAGACAAGTATTTGGCAGTCGTTTCTCGTATCTAGTATTCCTCCTCTTTGACCACAAGCTTTAATTTCAACTCATCAGGTTTGTCTGCAGTCACTCAGAACGCTAGAATACAACTCACCAATATCATTCTAGTCAAGCCAGTATTATCTAATAGCAACATGGCAGTCAACGTTGATACGATCAAGACCCCTGGAGATGCTACTCATAAGGGCAGGGTGGTAATCCTTAATGGGCCCTCAAACGCACGAAGGATGGCCCTCATGAAGAACCTCGAGTCACGGCTGGTCGGCTGCAAGACTCAAGTGGTCGACAGCTACATCATGGCCGACCCGATATGTCCCCATGTCTATCAACGAAGTCTGCGGTCCGTTTACCTTCGCGAAATACGGAAGTTGGCAAACCAGGGCTACATAGTTCTTGTGACGGCTTGTTTTGTGGACATAGTGGTACACAGACAAGTCGTCGACGATATTATGGCGATTATTTGCGGAAAGAATGTTGACATGTTCTGGATCAACATCTACGACGAACGGGTTGTTCTCACACAGCAACCATCAATTCCGAAACATTTTCAAGAAGAATGCACGGGGCGGACTGTCTCGTGGACGACGACTCCACAAAATCGACTTATATTCCCCTCGAAGAAGAGCCGTGAGCTGGAAGGTGTCAGCCTCATCACTCGATCGCTGTACATTGAAGGCATCGAGGAGGCAGTGGACAGGATTTCTGAGGTTATTGGCCGGGGAAATATGAGACTGTGATCGCATGTCATTAGGTCTTAGCTTTTCTTTTATTGTCTTTGAATTACACTGCATTGGAGGTTAATGGTGTTGCAATATGAGTTACCGTACATGCCAATGGACGATATGATTAACCATATTGTGCTGAGTATGGATCGTAACTGAGACAAGGCAGTCTTCAGCGGCAATAAGAGAGACCTCATAATACCACCGCTAGCCATTTGATAGCTCTCAAACATGTTGTGTAACCAAACATCGAGTCAGGAAACTCAATAAGTATTCTTTTCATCACTACTGGTGTACAAACTGCTTACCCTGTACCCTGTAACCAATGCCAATGAACATTCCTACACAGCTGTCAAATATAAGACAAAACAACAAGATTGGTCTAGCGATATTAGGTTCGGAAACAACGGAACCCAACTGAGCCCAATGCGGTGGCTTATACGGAGTACATGTTTCTCAAACGTGCAACGCAGTAGGTGAACATGGTGATGTGATATAAGGCACAGAAGAGGCGCAGAACAGGTGCACTGCATATAGATTACCTGATTCAGTCTGTTCACACAAGTAGGTACCCAAGCAACCAAAACACGGCGTCTATTTTACTATGTACGGAGATACGTACTTTGTCAACAAACAACCGATAACTTAAAGTTCTTTGATATCATTAAGACGGAGAGGCTAGTCGAGATAGGGCTTTGGCTATGGTAAGCATATCCACAGCAGCCAAGACAACATTAATTACAATACAATGAACTGGGAGGATGGTTGTTGAAAATTAGAACTGTCAATTTTTTTTTTGGATGGTATCCGTAATTACTCCATACTCCGTACCGAGAGGAGGATCGACAAGTGACACGCCGATAGCGAATCAAGGACCGAGATCCTAGCGAGAAAGTCAGCCCGTCTGGGCGGCACACGGAGAGATTAATGACTACGAAGTGTATTTCGGTATTCTATTATATCCTATCTTAGGTCAGTAGTTTACGGATAGTTTGACAGGTCGATAAAGAGACAAAGTACAGCGTAATAAAAGGAATCTCAAACGTCAGCACCAGTGAGAAAGAGAGAGGAAAAAACAAAACAAAGCAGAGGAATACCTGGCTATTAAGAACATGGTGGTTTTATTAGACGCGGATCAGGGACGGGATATAGGACAAGGGGCCAAGGGTATGGGCCTGCAGGCAAAATACTACGTTGACTAGGTACCTTAGGGGAGGAAGTCAACTGTCAATTAGGCTTAGGTAAGGGCCTCGCTTATTGGATTATGTTGCATGGTGTTGCGGTGTTGCATTTTCTGCGAGGTTTTGAACATGGGGAGGCTGATACGAGATGAGCGATGACAGGTCTCATCAACAACTTACAAGTCGAGTGCAGTAGCTGAATCTTGAGGATTTTTGTTGGTTGAGGCGCACATGGTGAAACGAAAGGATATCGTCAGCCGTCAAAGACAAAAAGATCGACATATTCCAGCGAATTGTTGTCCATTCATGTCAAGGCACAGAGTACGTAGTGACAAAACTGCTGTTTGGCTCAAGGCCGTTGGTCTTGGGAGTTGGGGCGGACGCTATCTACACACTTGAAACGCCCGGCGACTCTGTAGCGTAAGATGCGATGAAGCGAGCAAACTCCACTGAGAGGAGGAGATCTAAAGTATTGATTAATTGTTAGTGAGTGCTACGGTTAGCTGTCCGGCGACGGTAATCCCGTGGTGACGGTTACATGGGTACCAAACACTTGGCCAAGGTTCGGAGAAATGAAATGTTTTTGTCCTTGTGCAAACAAAAGATATCACAGAACAAATATGTGATGTCTATGCATATGCATACGGCATGTCCTGGAAATATCGCCAAGGAGATATGGATAATTCTGCTATTATTATCTATCGTCCTGTGTCTTCAGGCTTCAGCTATGCTATGCACATGACTCCGCGCAGCAGCAGGGGTCGTGCAGAACGATTGCAGCATGTCCAGGGTCGTTGTCCCAATGTTTTTACGGAGGAGCAGTCCCTGAACGGTTATCGCCACGAACTGGTGGCGTTGACATGCAGACGGTAGACCAGCCATTATGCATACAGCTTCAATTATCGGTAAGGTTAATCGCCTCCAGTATGCAAGACTGGAGACCAAGGACTAGCTAGACTGCTAGACTACGTACTGATGGATGTCGTCAGTCGATCGTTCTCCTATCTTTTTTTGTCTGATCGTTGCGGTTCCATCAACGGTCAGTCGAAGATCCAATGTCACTCCACCAAGAATGAGGCACCCTGGACTACCTTGCCTGCATGGCGACGGTTGGTGATGGGCTGTCTATCTGAAACATACTCAGTACATATCTCATGCTGCAGTTGGCCACAAAAGCTACAATATTCAAAAGCAGGCAAGGCAAGCCATCACTGGCTCATCATAAACTCGTCTTTGTCTCTCCACGAGCGTTATTGTTTTCCGTCCTCGCCCACGCATAATGCAAGATGGCAGAGATATTTGTTGCACCGATGGATTCCTAGTACGTAGAGTGCATGCATCGTCAGGTGAACCGTACAGAAGCGAGCAGCAGGGTATAATGCGCGGACCTGTAACCTGGTGCAAGCATAGCTGAAGTGAAAACGTCGCATACGTAGGACCGGCAAGTATTATGTGTTTCCTTAACAGTTATTGATATGAATTCCTATATCCGTACTCCGTAGTCTTGAATAAAATGGCTTACTAGATGATGCCAAAGAGCGCATATTTTTCCTGTTTCGTTTCCTAATTCCAAGGGACCCCTGCCGATCGTTTCCGCGCCTGGTCACATCGCCCGTTGAGCCTATCATGAGGTCTTTTGGTCTTGGACAGAGAAGGTCAAGCTCCGGACAAAGTAGGCATACTAATTAACTTAACACCAAAGAAAGAAACAGAAACAATGGCTGTTAGGTTGAGTTGGAGCGCAGTAAGTAGCTGGCCGAGAATATACGGAGGGGATACGGAGTACACCTACACTACAATGTACTAACTAGTTGAGAGTGGTATGCTTGTGCGACGTGCTCAAGAGTCAAGACATTCCGGATTTCAGCGTTCTGTGCTCATTTCCATAATTAGTCTTGTCGATACTCCACAGACAAGGCACCGTAGACTTTCAACTACTGTACGTAGTACTACGTAGGACAGATTATGTCGTAGGCAATTATAGGTACTCATGGTAGAGATGGACGTCAATTGCTTTCGTCTTGCGTCACTTTCTACTGATATTTCACCTGGCCATATCGTTTTCCCTTGTCGCATCTAGCAGGCGGATTGCTTTTTCTCCAACTCCTCCAACCTTTGTGTGCGTTCTTTCAAGACGTTAAACGTCAAATACCTCATCAACAATCAACTCGAGAACAAAGATAATTTCCCACATTGGAGTCGGAGCTAACAAGTCAAGATTGCTATTGGCTGTGTTATCCTCTAGGCCGGGGTTTAGAAGTGGGGGGTGATCACCCATGCTGTCACGCTATGAAGAATGAGAGACGACCTAAGAGACCTAGATTGAGTTGAAGAAACAGCACGAGTTTGAGGTAGGTAATCACGATGATTGCTCCGTAGACCACAGAGGAATGAGGTTCACAATTGAAAGCCTTGTTGTTGTTAGGTTACTGCATGGACTGACTTATAAATTACACAGCGTAGCCTAGGCGATGGCCTATGTACGATGATAGGGGTTATACATCCATTGTTAGATGACAACGTTTGAACCGAGAAACAGGAACAATCAGTCTTTGATCAACTTCAACCCTGGCCCTGGGTCGTATCACACCGAGGGTGGAAGTGGAACCATCCAAACAACAACAACAGCCACCGTAACGGCGCAGTCCTATTGTGTATTAGAGACCGGCAGTTGAACGGTCCGGTTGAGCTCAGATCAAGTATATGTGACATGATAACTAACGAAAGCTTAGATTGTGCTCCATCGGGTTTTGGTTTGACTTTCCCCGGGTCTTGTCCAAACTCTGAAGGGAAAGAGAAAAAAGGAGTCAGGCTTGGAGCTTACAGAGAAAAGACCTCCGGTTGTGACTTGTCATGAAAAACTCCTCGTTAGCATGAAATAAAAGCAAACAACAATCTGCATGAGCCGTGGCCACATGGATACTCGATAATGGATCCCCAAATGAATATCTCAACGTCTGAACTAAAAAGATAGGGAGCGGGCATCCACGTTTCTCATTATAGCCCGTCATAACGTCGTGTCGAGCGCTGAGAACCCCCCAAAAAACAAAAAAGAATCCGCCGTCGGTCGCTGCCAAGTACCCGGAACCAAGGGGCCCATGACCCCTGCGTCAACCGTGCAGTGTGCCCCTGACGGCCCAGGCACCCCGGGCCCTTTCAATAGTGGATGGGATTGGCTTTCAGTAGCTCCTCTTTCTAGCCCCTAATGTAGGTACCGGTGCCATCCCTGAGGGCCTGAGCTGCGGCCGAAGGCGAGAGAGCTTTTCCCTTTCCCTCTTGTGGCTTGGCTTTGGCTTTGCTTGGGTCTATTTGTTCCGGACTCTTTTGTTTGGAAGTTTGTTGCTCTGGTGCTGGTGCTGCTTCTGTCTAGGAGTAAGAGGCACTGCCGAGTGATTTCTTGAAGTTGTTCACATAAGAGACATTGATTCACAGCTGTACTGCATAACAACTTGACTAGTTCCCTTGCTTGGGGCAATTCCCCAGCTGTGATCCAGTTGAGTCGTCGTTCGGTACAGCATCTGTCCCAGAAAATGAATGACAAGGGGTCAAAGCCCACTGGAAGTCCTCCGTCTGGGTACACTAGGTACTGCCTCCTGCGCTCCGTGTGCGCCATCTGTCTCATAATTTCGCCCGCTGAAGCCCTGTTTCCTCTACTACAGTGCCTCCCGTCTCTCTCTACTGGAAACAGTACGTACTAGACAGGTACATCTCATTCCCGTCCTTGCTTAACTGTCTCGCATCCACATCGACATTGATTCACTGCACGCCCCCCGACTTACACCCATCCCCGTCCATTGCTTCTCTCCCCTTACTTTTCCTTCTTCTCCCCCCCTCTCGTTTCTCAAGTCGAGTTTCAATCTTCCTTCTCTCTTCCTTCTTCCTTGCTTTCCTATTCAAAGCCCGGTTGACTCGAGCCTTGAATGAAGTCTTGAGCGAGGAGCGGAGCCCCCCAAGTACAACGGGCACGCGAAGATTGAAGCCAACTCGAGAACAATTACAGCAAAAGTTGCGAATACCAGCAACTGTTCTCGAAACAATTCGACGACGACTATTATTTCGATACCCCGGATTTACGAAGGCAACGAGGGAACGATACTCTCCCTATTCAGCAACAGGCAAACAGCAATGATGCCTCCCTCTTTGAACACCCACCCTTCCTTTACCCGTCCTCGGACTAGCGACCGCGATGGCAGGCCCAGCACCCGCGACCAGGGCGCTGATCAGAACCTCCTGATCCCCAGCCGAACTTCTTCGCTTCACTCACGCATCACACAGCCCATCCCGTCAACCCTCAACATGAAGCCTCAGCAGCGCACTCCAAAGACCTTGACGCATGCTTACATGGTTTGCGGTGTTGGTCGTGAGCCTTCGCAATGGGTCAAAGCTCCCGCCCCGACCCAAGGAAAGATTGGCCACATGAAGGGCGCTGTTGGTCAATTCTGGCTTCCAGAAATCCTGGGCAGCAGTCCTCGTCTTGAGCAGGATAATGAGATTGCTCGTGCTCTTCACTCTGCTATGAGGGTGCGTATTTTCTAATCCATTGAATGCTTGAGATTCATCTAGCTGACCAGTGGCGAAACCAATATAGGCCTGCTTCCCCCATGATGTTGAGATTTGCACTGGCCGCAGCCAGCCTCACTGCGTTCACCATGCTTTTGTTCTTCAGCAGGATTCTTCCCACACTCTTTACGGTATTTCCCTGCGCGTTTGGTCGCGCGCTGACGAAAAGAGGGCTGAGACAATTCGCGACCTCCGTAAGAGAACCGAGAGCGACTACTACGACAACCCCGATGAGACCTACTGGATCCCTTACTGCTTGTCGTTCCTTTCCCGTTACCCTCTCTACAACCTCCTCGGAGATTATCTGAGAGGCATGTGGATTCACTGGAACAAGGCCACTAACCTTTTCCACGCCGAGGAGGTATCCCGAATTCTCAGCTTCCCTGCTCCGCGCCTGAACGACCTGGTGCGCATCGACATGAAGGACTACGCGCTTTGCTACCAGTTCCCATCCTCGCCTACCGGATTCCAGAACTTCGCCATGTGGCCTCTCTTCAACTGTCTGTCGATTCCCAACATCGTCGGCGTCATTGAAGCGGCTATCTCTCCCACCCGTCGCATCATCTTCGTCAGTCACTACCCTGCCATGCTCACCATGGCTGCCGAGACCGTACGATACTGCGTACGAGTTTATGAGTGGAGTGGTCTCTACGTCCCTGTTGTCCACGCCCGGCACGCCAAGGAATTGGTCCAGGAGCCTGGCCCTTACATCCTTGGTATCACCGTCGAGTGCCGCTCTCTTTTCACAGCTCCCACCGACGCTCTGGTCGTTGACCTGGATCGCAACTTTGTTCTCACCTCTAGCCCTCCCACCGCTCTTAACCCCGGACAGCGCAACAAGTTTGTCACTCGACTGACACAAGCCTTGAACGGTGATGTCACTCCTTCAGGAGTTCCCCAGCATCTCCGATCAGCCTACGGCGGTGGCAAGCTTGTGCCTGCTGGTCAAATTATCGTGATGCGCGGAGAGGTTGAGTCTATTCAAGATCCTGAATGGTGGAACCAAGATGCCGTCATGGCCGTTATGGACCACGTCTGCGAGAAGCTTGGACGCAACACTGGAATCAAGGCTGTCTTTGGTGGGTCTGTTAAGAAGCCTCTTATGACCAAGGTTTCAATGCGCCACCTTAACGAGATTGTTCGTGAGAGAAACCAGTACTCGCGAGATGCTCTCGAGGCTTGGCAGGATTTCATTAACCTTAAGGGTCGCATGGACACTGAGCTTAGCAAGGTTAACAAGCGAAACAACTACTTGGTGGAGGAGCTCGAGAGCTGGAAGCAGCAGTTCCTCAAGTTCCAGGCCTTTGCCGAGACACTTACCAAGGAGACTCAAGACCTTAAGGTTAAGATCGACACACACAAGAGGGAGAACCGTCGCCTGGCTACCCTCATCGATCAACAGAAGGATGATAACGCTCGTCTTTCCGTGCGCCTTACTGGCACTGAGAAGCAGCGTGATGACGCTCTCGAAGCTCTGGTTCTCCAACAGGAGATTGCTGAAGAGCTTGAGCGTGAGCGCAAGAGGAACAAGAAAGAGCTGTCTCAGCTTCAGCACACCAACGTCAACATTACGCGACAGCGTGATGAGGCTCGCAGAGTTGTCCTTCACCTTCGCAGCCTCATTGGTGGCCAGAGCCATCATATGGAGCATCTCATTCAGTCTATCGCCAAGCCAGATGACTTGGCCCAAGAGATCGAGGAGGGTTACGATGAGGTTGAAGAGGAGACACCACAAGCTGCTGAGCCTGGCCGCCTTACTCCCAGCCCTGCTCCCCGAAACAAGCGCTACTCATCATCTAGCTTCAATGATGTGGCCGACCGCCATCTCAAGGACAAGACTGATGCTATCGCACACATTGTGCGAAACATTGCAGAGCAATGCCAGGCTGCTGTTGAGGGTCTGCAGCTCGCACATGATGCCGAACTAGGGAGTTCTAGTAGAAGGAATTCAAGCCTCTCTACCACCCCGAGCGATGACGGCCACTCCAACGCTACGTCAGAGACTTGCGACGATTCCCTCCTTGCGCCGCGGTCCGGGAGGGCGTCCAGTATCCCTCCCACCCCGGATCTCATCCCCAACAGGAGCAGCACAGCAATGTCCTTTGCCTCTACAGCTACGACTCCGGAGCGGTCGTCCCAGCAGTACCACCTTCGAGACGAAATCCCCACCAAGATTGTTGAGGATGACGAGGAGGACTTCGAGGACGGTCGAAGTGACAACGGAGGCGCCTCACACGAGACAGGAGTCGTTTCTAAGTACCAGCACCACCCCCAGTCCCTGATGCACAGACAGTCTGGCGCCAGGATCAGCGCCCTGGGTGTCAGCCGCCGAAAATCTTAGAGGACATGTGAGACTCTGAGCTGAGCTGAGCTTGGGTGGCATTGCTTATTTATTGCTATTTTATTTATTTATGTTGTATTTGGCGGCTGTTTTGGATCAAAACCTGCGGGCTACGGCGTCTAATGTCTCTTTTTTCTTCAACTCTTCTGTCCCCACCTATTTCCTGTCTCACTTGATGAGCAGCTTAGCTCATATACCTCCGTCGAACCATGGCGGCCCTTTCTCATTATGTTAGAGTATTCTTCTACGAAGCGGTGTTTGTTAACTCTGCGTCGCCCTTTTGCCTCGTTTGAAGGACGGCATAAGAATGAAACACATTTTAAAGATACACACAATTATGTGATGTGTGATGTGAAGTGTCTCATACGTGACTTGACTTGATTTTGACAAGGATGCGATCTAACTGTGCTTGTCCGTATTGTTACTCTCGAATTGGCTGTTGTGTTTCGATATCGTTTTAACTTCCCTTATCGTTCTTTTGGTATAAGTTTTGACTTTCGTATTGTTCCACGATTCAATGGAGCGCGTAGCAGCTTGCACGACTGATAAGATAAGCTGCAGGTCCCATAAAAAAGTTTCCATCAGCAGCCTCTCGTCCATTGAAAGTGGCAGCGCAATATTCTTCCTTCAAAAACTGCTTCGACCTTCATCCTTTCTTCCACCTCACAACTTTCTTCGCCATGGCCGACCCTTTGTTGACATCTCTTTGTGGGATCTGCCATATATCAACTCCGAAATACAAATGCCCACGATGCGGTACCCGAACCTGCTCCCTCGCATGCATCAAGAAGCACAAGGCCTGGTCTGAGTGCACCGGCGAACGCGATGCAACAGCCTACATCGCTCCGTCGAAACTCCGTACACCCGCCGGCGTCGATCACGATTACAACTTCCTACACGGGATCGAGCGCTCCGTCGAACGCGCTGAGAAACTTCTTGTTGAAGAGCGCGGCATCGTCCAGGAGGAGGAGTTGCGCCCGATGACGGTCCAGGAGGTTAAGTGGAAGCCGGGACGAGATGGGCGCAAGCGCAAGGTTCTTGTAACGAGAGTGTTGCGCGAAGCCAAGGCCAGGACTTTTGAACGGTTCCTCGCTGCGCGATTGAAGAAGTTGAATATCACCATCGTATGCGCGCCAACAGGAATGGCGAGACAAAAAGAGAATAACACGACTCTCAATCGTCGAACAAATAGGATCAACTGGCAGGTGGAATGGATGTCACTTAAGGATGTCCCAGATGCAGAGCCGAAGAAAGTGCGAATACTGTCCAAGGTCATGGATGATGTGCCGTTATATCAAGCATACCATGATACGCTAGAAGAGCAGCGCAAAGCAAGGGGAGAACATGTGAAGAAGATCCCACGAACGGGTTTGGATGGACAAGTGCAAGACTGGACAAACTCGACATGGTCATCTGGATCATTTGCGCTTCAAGACCCTTTTACCGGTGCCTGGACAAGCCACCACGACACCGAACCAGGCATGTGGCCATCCGAGAGACTGCGAACGCAGAAGCGGCAGTTCCAGTTCTTCCTTGCGAAGTTCCGTACCCCCTCCGACAAACGATCGGTTGTTACAAAACTGAAGCCCGAAGCTTGTTTGCGGGACGAACTTAAGGATACTCGAGTACTGGAGTTTCCAACAATATGGGTGCTTAACCAAGGCCAGGAGCTTCCCGAAAGCTTCATGCTCGGCCCCAAAGATGTTGTTCCTCAAGAAGGCAACAAGAGGAAGAATCCGCCTGGGAAGAAGGGTTCTGGAAAGCCGAACAAGAGAAGAAACAAGGGAAAGGATTTTGAGGAGGGTGAAGTCCAGAGTGACGACGAGGGTCAATCAGATGATGGCATCAGTGCTGGTGTTAGTGGAGTTACGCTCGAGGCAGGGGATGTGATTGCTGAGCAAAGCTTTGGAGAAGAGGATGATGAAGACGACGATACGAGTAGTTCGGGGAGTGATAGCGAATGAGATTGAAGGACAAGCTCGTGAGCTGTATTAAAGATACCCAAAGGATAGAAAATCATATTCATATTTAATTATTTCTTGTTACTCTGAAGCCTATCATTATCATGAGTTGGTAGTTATGGTGTTGAGCATTCCATATGAAGTGGCTGTGCTTAGCTGTCAGCCACATGATGGAACTGGCGCCAACCACCTGTAAGGACAGTGAATAGCTCCCCGCGACGTTGACATTCAAATCCGCTACCACTTTAAACCATACACGTACACTTGAACCTACGCTCGCTTCAACATTTACTAACGCTCAGCCATTGCGAAACTATCCGCCTCAACGACGAACCCCACGATACTATACGGCCCCCCGCAGCATGGTTTGATTGGGCGCTGTCACCTCCCTCGACGCCGCTACAATGGACGACACACCCGCGCCCAAGCTCTCAGAGCTGCTACGGCACCCCGACGACCTCGATAAGATCCCCGCGCTGAAACAGGAATTCTCACGCAAAAAGGGCGCCGTGGATGGCCAGCTTCGTAGCGGTCTGCGCGAGCAGCTCGAGACGACTCAATCGGGCATGACGGGCTTGAGCGACGGCCAGAAGACGGTCCAGATGATCAAGGAGGAGATGATCAAGATCGACAAGCTGTGCTCCGAATCACAGAACATGATAAAGGACTTTGCAAGCATCAACCTCGTGTCACAGGCACACCGCAACTTCGGTGCCGTCGAAACTATGCGTCGCAATCTCGAGACGTTTAACGACCGCATATCGCGCGTGGAGGCTATGTTACGGGAGGACGACGAGGATGGGGACAACATGCCGAACTTGCTGCCGTGTCACTACGAGCTCACTCAACTGAGGAATATTCGCGACGACGCTATGGAGCAGATACAAAGGGCAGAGGACTCGAGTCTGGAGGAGACCTTGGTGGATTACTTTTCGCGACTGGACGATACGATCGATTGGTTCGACGAGCACGTCGGCATTATTGCTCTGAATCTCATCAATCTCGTTGTGCAGGATAACAACGGCCTCGTGGTGAGATTCGCAGTAGTGATGGAGGCAGAGGAGTCGAGTGACCAGCGGGTGTTGGCGCTGCAGGAAGCTCTCAAGGATCATAAGGAGATGGCTACTCGGTTCCAAAGCATTACAGACGGTGCGAAGAAGGTCCGTGGCTATAAGGACAAGTTCATACAAGCTATTCGGCTCAGCGCGGAGCAGCAATTCGAAGGTGCCAAGGAAGAGTTTCTCGATGACCCGAGCAAGCTGGATAAGATCATGAAGTGGTATTTCAACGACCTAAACGTCGTCAAGGTCGGAATGTCGCACCTCATGCCCAAAAAGTGGAATATTGTAAAGACGTACGCCGGCGTATACCACCAGCTTATGCACGACTTCCTGGTCGGCATGGTGGACGGCGATGAAGCGTCGTCAGCGCATACTCTAGAGATTGTGGGCTTCCCGGAGAAGTACTACAGAAAGATGGCAAAGATCGGCCTGAAGCAGGAGGAGCTTGTGCCGCAGGTTATCGATAATCGTGAGGCTGAGCTCGTGCGCGACTTTCGTGAACTCATCATCAAGTTCCTCGATGAGTGGATCGATCGTATCTTCGCCCAGGAGAAGCGGGACCTGGCAGAGCGTAATATCGAAGGTTCCAACCTGGACCAGGATGAGTATGGCTATTTCCGGACCAAGAACTTCGTTGCTCTATGGCGCATGCTGCGTGAGCAGGTAGACGCCGCTGCTAATTCTCAGCGCGCCGACGTCGTCGAAGGTGTCATCGACGCAATGTTTGCCCGTCTTCGGACTCGTCAGCAGTCGTGGCAGGCTATGCTTGAAGATGAAGCTATACCTTACGAAGAGGGCAAGGTCCCTGAGCTTGAGGGTTTCCAGGCTCTTCAAGATTGGCTCGTGGCTACGGCCAATGACCAAATCGCCTGTATTGACGACAACGAGGACGAGGGCCGCTTGGCATACCTTACGAGCTTCCGGCGTCTCGTTGAGCAGCACGTCTCGCCCTCATATCTCGAGCGTATCGACACTGAAGTTAGCATGCTGCGTGACGGTTATGTTGATTTCAGCACATGGTGTATCAACCGCTTTGCCCAAGTCATCTTCTCTGTCGATTTTGGTACCGTTATGCCCGAGTTCTTCACACCCAGGTGGTACGGCAGTACAGCTATGAAACAGATGGTAGTCACATTCGAGGAGTACGTAAACGACTATCGTCAAGTGCTGCACCACTCCCTCGTCGACATCTTCGTAGAGATCTTTGCCGAAGAGCTACTCGTCCGCTACCTGTCCGCCGTGCGCAACAAGGGCGCCAAGTTCCGCCGCACCGAGCCCTTCCAGGACAAGTTGTTCAATGACATCTCGACAGCTTTCGAGTGCTTCAGCACTCTTCCGTCGCCCGACATCGGCGCGTCTATCAAGGAGACGTGGCGAGTCACAGAACATTTCCTGCGTTTACTCACAGCCGACCGCGATGCCATTGTGGATGCTTATGTGGCATTCAAAATGGCTTATTGGGATCTAAATCTCATGTGGGTCGAGGCTGTGTTGAGGTCAAGAGATGACTTCGAGAGGTCTATGTTGACGGCGGTTAAGAAAGAGGCTGCCAATGTCGAAAGTGGACGTGGGCCCGAGACGATCATGAGTAGAGTCAAGTAACCGAGGATGAATCATGATTTTGTTTACACATGGGAAAAAACAGATGGACTTGCGGGAATTCTGTATGATAGGCATTCTTCCATGCCAACTTAGCGGCAATGATATCTTGAACTTATTTTTATAGCCTCACTATTATAACCTGTCTGCATTTGGTCTATCTGTACCATGAACAAGGCGACATCACGAAACAGTGTATGTCCAGACGCAATCTCCAAGCATGCAGCATACAAGACGGATTTAATACAGGCTCAAATGACTTAAAGCAAAACAAGCGATCTTCATGATACTACAAAGTGTGGACAGATGATAAGAGAACAAACCCATCTCTAATGGGATGCAGACGCAAAAGGAAAAAGGTTTCGCTGTTCAGGGAACTATTCAACAAAAGAATCATGATGATGCAGCCAAAACGAGAGTAAGGAAACAAAGTATGTAGTGTGCATTAAGCCTTTCCTTCAAGTGACAATATTGGGAACAACTCTGTAGTTGAGTTTATTATGAGCGGCTAGCCAGGAAGTTTGCAGCCTATAGTTTTTGTTAGTGTTGTTTCAAGATGAATATGAAAGTCAAGACCTACCTTGTCAAGATCGTAGTCGTATTTCTCAAGAGCATCCAGAGCCTCATGTCGCTTGTAGCCCATGCTGGTCAGGCTCTTGAGGATAGGGTCGTCATGCTCAGATTCGGCCGACAAAGTGCGGTTCAAAGCATGCTGACCAGGATGGACATCACCTGCTGGCTTGTCAGAGGTAGCGGGCTGGGCAGCAGTTGCGCTGGGGGAGTCAAACCCAGAGAAGATGGCATCCCAGTCGTGGGCTTCAGGGGCCTTCTGCTGGTTAGCTCCAGCAGCGGGCTGAGTTGGGCCAGTGGAACTAGCAGAGACGAAGTCAAAGCTCTCGTTGCCGAAAGCGGTGGATTCGGTCTTGGCCTGGCTTCCAGGTGGGCTGCTGTCGAAAACAGGGTTGAAGTCATCCAGTCCAGAGCGAGAGATGTTGGCAAAATCCTCATCAGCGGAACCTTCCTTAGCATCCTCTAGGCCCTCAAAGTCACTATCCAGTTCATCAAAGGCACCCTTTTGCTGAGGAGGGTTGGATGGGACTGGCTGTTGAGATGTAGGGGCAGTACCAGAAGCAGCCGCGCCAAAGATATCATCAACCGACGACTTTTGGGCATTGTTCTCGGTAATGGTCGCAGGCGAAGAAGGTTGCTCGACGCTGAATCATGTTAGAAACCCACTTAGATCCTTTCATAATATTGTACAGTTACTTACCTGGCTTTGGTCTCCGGGGGTGAGTGAGCCTCTTGGGCTGGTGGTGAAGTGCTTACAGGGGCTGCGTGGGTAAGCTCGGGTGACTCTTCAGCAGAAGCTTTCTCGCCAAACACTTTGGCGGGGGGAGAAGCAGGCGTGAAGTTGTCATCAAAGCCTCCATTATCACTGCTTGAATCAGAATCTTCTTCCTCGTCACGCTCGAGTTCCGAGATGGGAGGGAACTCCGAATCGAATGTGGACGACTTGTTGGCCTCAGGGGAAGGCTTGCTTTGGTTCTTAGAAGTGGTAAAGGCAGCGAATGCGTTCTCAAAGTCGGCCTTGGCCTTGGCCTCGTCAGTGCTGCCGAAAGGGTCAGCGGCCTCAGCAGGCTTTGGCGTATCGTCATGAGGAGCATCGGCAGTGGCAGACGGTGTCTCTGTACCATCAGTCTTATCAAGATCATCGCCAGGGAAAGCACCAGGCAGGCTGCTTGCAACGCTGTCTGACGATTTCATGTCGCCTGGAACAGGGGTAGCCGATCCATGGAGGGGGTCACCGGCGCGCGATGCGGGAGGCGACACCTGACGGGAAGATGAGAGTGAGTCAGTATGGTCAGGGAAGGGTAGGAAGCTAGAGCTGATCTGTCTCGACTCAGGGGGGGCAGGAGGCTCAGCAGCAAGAGTTACCTGGCGGCTCATGACAGGAGAGTTTGACGCAGGAGGAGTGCTGTATGAACCAACACTGGCAGCTGAGGCACCTGTATGCTGGGGCTTGAAGTATGTCTGAGGAGGTGGAGGGGGAGTGGCCGAAGCACTGGGTGGGAACGAGGGGCCGAAGAGGTCATCGAAAGACTTGTCAGAGGCGTTCTTTGTGGGAGGAGGAGAAGAAAATGCACCCATGATATCAGTGCTTGCAGTTCGGCGGAAAAAGGGGTTGTTGGCACTGGAGGTCGATGGAGCAGGACTTGCGATCTGAGCCGATGGCGAGCGTGGTGAGCCAGTGTTTGCTTGTCGGAGGTCGTCAATGCTCTTGTTGAGCTCTTCCGCCTCCGTCTTGAGCTTGTCGCGCTCGCCCTCTGTAGTAGACAATTGCTTCTTGTTGATGGCGACCAGTCCCTTCTGCTGGCGAGCATCAGACTTGAGCTTCTCGATTTGTGGTTTGAGCTGCGCAATCTCTCCGTTAACCACCCTGATTCGCTCTCTGAGGTTAGTGTTCTCTTGTTGATCCGCCTGGAGAGCCGCCAACATCTGCTGGTGCTGGGTCTGAGTGTCCCGGTAAGTTCCCTCAAGTGCCATGCACTCAGACTGAAGCTTAGAGGTCTCCTTTCGCGCATTGCTGAGCTGCTCCTCGAGAGCGCGAGTGTCTTGTGCCTCCTTTTCATACAGCGTGCGCAATTGAGCGAGTCGCTGCTCAAAGTTCTGCTTCTGGGATGTGGCCTGGTTCAGTTCGTTCTGAGTTGTGGTCCTCTTTGCTTGAACATCTTGGGTTTGCTTAGACAGAGATGAGATCTGGTTCGAGAGGTTCGCAAGCTCGGTGGTTTCTCCAGAGATGTTCTTGCTGGCCTCGTCGTTGTCAGACAACAAGTCCTCAGATGCAGAAGGCGCCGAAAGCTTTTGGCCAGAGCCGGTTGAACCACCAGTAGGCTGCTGTGTCAAGCCCCTACCGAAGGAAGAGGACGGCACAAATGGCTTGAAGCTTGAACCGCCAGTTCCTGTAAGAGATGGCTTCATGGGGGAAGTAGGTGTAAGTGCCGAACCACCAGAAAAGGGGTCGTTAGCATTTGAACCCCCTGTTGACATCGGGGCTTGAGCAGGAGGCGGAGGCGCAGGGCTGGAGGTGCCTGATTCAAGACCGAACAAGTCATCGAGAGCAGACTTGGGTTGAGGGGGAGGAGCTTGTATCACAGGCGCGGGAGGAGGATCGAATGCAGATGTAGCAGTATGGGGGCGAACCTGGCTGCGGAGGCTAGGAGGAACCAGATTAGCTGGTAGAGTAGTAGGCACAGGAACTGAGCGGCCTGTCCTCTGTTGTCTTATCAGGTACATAGCAACCGCAAACTGTTCGCGAGTAAGCTGGCCCTGGGAGTTTGTGTCTGCAAGATCCCAGATCTGAGCCAAAGTATCTTCAGGTAAATTGGACTGGCTGAAGAAAGTAACGGCCTCCTCTCCTGTGATGTAACCCTTATTTCCCTTGTCAAGGTCGGAATAAATCTGATCAAAACGAACCTTGTCGGCAGGTGTCACTAGCCAGTCGCTCGCACCGCTTTGCTGCGGGGACATAGGAGGACGACCGAGAGGACTGTTTGTGCGAACTTGGGCTGTTCCGCTTAATTGTCGAGGAATGGCAGAAATGCCAGGACCGGTCGAAGCTTGACGTGAGACTGGGCCACGACGGGAGGCAGCCTCGTAAAGACCAGCGGGAAGAACATTAGGGAGAGATCTCAATGCGCCAGTCTTCATGGAGGTGAGTAGGTGCATGGCAATAATAAACTCAGTCAAGACAAGAGCACCGCGCTGCTCAGTATCGGCAAGTTGCCATATCCTTCCCAACGCCTCATTTGGCAAACCGGACTTCTCAAAGATGGTTCTGGCTTGGTCACCGGGAAGCTGGCCACCTTGAAGGGGCTGGCGTTCGAATAGACCAGTATATTGTGCGACCTTCTCGGGAGTCAGGGGCGGGATGCGGATCGGTCCGCCAGTGCTCTGGGCTTGGAGAGCGGCTGGAGGAGGCGGCGAGCTGACGGGGACGGGCGGAGGCGGGGGTATGCCACCAGCGGGAGCGCCGCCTTGAGGCGCGATGCCATCGAATCGAGGTAGGGGAGCTTGTTGGAGAGCTATCTCGGGCGACGGTTCGCGGCCAGCTTGTGCGTGGCCAATGAGTCGTAGAGCGATGCCAAAGCCAGCTGGTGTTAGGAAACCTCGGTTCTCCTTGTCGGCAATCTGCCAGATCTACTACAAGTGTGAGCACCTATATGAGGGTTGATATAGATGTAGAATGAAATGTAAACGTACCTCGCCTAGGATGCGGGAGTCTAGACCTGTCTTGTGGAAGAACCTGACAGCAATTTCACCAACCACGACACCAACGCTGTCGGAATCAGCTTGTCGGAAGAGCTGTCCGTAGGTGCGCTTCTCATCAGGGGAGAGGTTCAGGTTTGGCGCTGCTGCTGGGTTAGCTTTGTGTGATAAGGGATGCTGTGAAGCGGGTTCCAAGTACCTTCATCAGCCGCCATGATCGCGTATACGAGCTACAGGAAGCTCAAGACGGGAGAGACGGACGACGGATCGCGATAGCGCCAGGAGAAACAGGTTCGGAGGCTCGAGTCTGTCGAGTTGGTGATACAAACGGGACACGCTGGTCTAATCTACAGCCGACAGTACAAGCGATCGATGGCGAAGCCGATATAACGGACGTGGAAAGTGGATAGTTGAGGAGGTTGATTTCTGGTGCTTCAAGATGGAGATTGGATCGTCAGCCTGGCGTCTGGGCCAATATGGGGGGGTTGGCCAGTGCTTTCCATCCTGAGAGGGAGCAAATGGGAGATGACGACTGGGGTTCTAGAGCCAACCAGAAGCCGGCGGGACTGGCAGGGGCATGGAGACTACCTGGACAGAAGCAATTATCCGCTAGAGGCGCACTGAAAGTCTGAAACTTATCCTCTATTGTGTCGAGAGTCTCACAGGCTACGTAACCTCAGGGTTCAAGCCACCCACACTTGAGAGCTCGAAGCTGTTGATATTTAGCTGTCTGGGCTCCACTCATTGGACGTCATGCATGATCTTTGGTGAGGTATGTCTGGGGAGAAACATCATGGCTTGAATTGTATCGATTAAAATATCGATTACAGCCCTGTGCTTCTGGCTGTTTTAGAGCAAGCAGGTGTTGTCACAGTTACACAACACATAATGACATCTGTCAAGGAAGATAGTCTCTTAACTGTCTGTTATTTCAACTGTCCGGGTTAAGCCAACTGTTAGCAGCCGAGCGGTGCAAGGTCATGATATCTCTAAAGATGCATTCAACCTTGCTGGTCCAAATTTAATTCTGTCTCAGCAAGAACCGTATGTGTTATCCCAAGGGGTGAAATAGGACTCCGGACGTGAGAAATCAAGATGTAGACTATTATATGCCACAATTACTGCAATCAGCTTTAAGAAATAATTAAAAAGTTATAAATATTAGACTAAGGCTTAGTGAGTATTTTAATAACAGTAAAAACAGTTTATTTAAATATTCTTCTTATAGTATAAAGTCATCTCAATTTTCGTCCCGCGTCTGATGTTTTATTTCACCTCAGGTTACCATGTAGCTGGGTATGCATACATAAGGTATGCAAGCGCTGCAAATAGCGTCCAAGATAACGCACCATCTGCAGCCATCATTATGTGACCAGATTATTGTGGCCCCAGCCATGACAAAGCAGTCATTGTGTGTATGGGCCATGGAACTCGCTCAAGGCATGCAATGGCAAAATACCTTTCTACTTGTCTCTCAGTCTTGGTAAGCTGGAGTCGAAACGCATTGCAACATACTAATTCAAGACTGGCTTATCTCAGATACCTCGGCAACACATTAAAAACATGCACAAATCAGAACATGGTATTAAAGAAACATGATTCCAAATGCAGTTATCTGATCTTGAAACTTGACACCCTTATTGAACGCTATGAAAGGACCCTGTAGGTCACTGTGGCCAACCATGCCCCGCTAACGGAGCTTCGGAGATGGATGGATCGAAATCAAAAAATCATCATCCAAACCTCGGGTGGATTTGGAATCGACTATTTTCTGCAGCTCGTCATATCAATCAACCAACCAAGCCTCTCAAAACTCCAAGTTAAAGCCGGCTTGCTTACTCAACCCTCCGTTGGTTGTCTTAATAACCTAATTGTCGCGTCCTTAACATATCAAATCAAATCCATCCAATCCGCTTCAGCTTATCATAACCAACCCCGCCACTACCACTTCTGCTTCTGTACTTGTGCTGCTCCGTCGCATTTCATATCCTCTCTTCGTTCCTTATAAGACGTCATTCCCCTCCCACCTTTTTTTTTACTCCGTTCAGTTCGATTCTTCAAGGTTAGACCTCGAGGAACCATTTGTCCATGCAAGCTATCGCCCATTCTCTACGCTCCTCAACACTGTCTTCGTCCTCGAGAACGACCCCGCTGCGAATAGCTTCAATTACCCGACACTTGTCTACATCTGCGCGCAATATGGCTCCCATCACAAAGGAGACCGACTACCTCGTCATTGGCGGTGGTAGCGGAGGCCTCGCCTCTGCGCGCATGGCCAGCAACAAGTTTGGCGTTAAGGCTACCATCGTCGAGAACAAGCGTCTTGGTGGAACTTGTGTCAATGTTGGGTTCGTGACCTATCAAACCCGGTAGAAGAGCCATATGCTAATACTTGTACAGCTGCGTGCCAAAGAAGGTCACTTACAATGCTGCCGCCCTCGCCGAGGCCATTCACGACGCCAAAGCCTACGGCTTCTCCGTTGAGCAGACTGCTCCCTTCGACTGGGCCACCTTCAAGACCAAGCGTGATGCCTACATCAAGCGCCTGAACGGTATCTACGAGCGAAACCTCGAGAAAGATAATGTCGACTACCTACATGGATGGGCTCGCCTCGTTTCCAAGAACCAGGCCGAGGTCACACTCGACGACAACACCAAGGTCCTCGTCAACGCCAAGAAGATTCTTATCGCTGTCGGCGGCAAGCCTACTATCCCACCCGAGATTCCCGGCGCCGAGTACGGCACCAACAGTGATGGCTTCTTCGATATTTCCACACAGCCCAAGAAGGTTGCCATTGTTGGCGCTGGCTACATTGCCGTCGAGTTCGCTGGCATGTTCAACGCTCTCGGAACCGAGACCCATCTCTTCATCCGTCACGACACATTCCTCCGTAACTTCGACCCTATGATCCAAGAGGCTGTCACCAAGGAGTACGAGAGACTTGGAGTCAAGCTGCACAAGCGCTCCCAGGCCAGCAAGGTCGAGAAGGACTCCAATGGCAAGCTTACTATCACATACAAGGACGACCAAGGCAACGAGAGCGTCGTGAGCGATGTTGACAACCTGATCTGGGCCATTGGCCGTACTCCTGAGACCCACGGCATCGGTCTGGAGGAGGCCGGGGTTAAGCTTGGCAAGACGGGACACATCATTGTTGACGAGTTCCAAAACACTGCTGTCGACAACATTTACGCTCTTGGCGATGTTACTGGAGAGGTCGAGCTGACGCCTGTTGCCATCGCCGCTGGTCGCCGTCTCGCCCATCGCCTGTTCGGCGGAGCTGAGTTTTCCAACCTGAAGCTCGATTACAAGAACGTTCCTTCCGTTGTCTTCTCCCACCCCGAGGTCGGCAGTATCGGTCTAACAGAGCCCGAGGCCATTGAGAAATATGGCAAGGACAACATCAAGATCTACAAGACAAGCTTCACAGCTATGTACTACGCCATGATGGAGCCAGAGGATAAGGGGCCTACCAGCTACAAGCTGGTTGTTACTGGACCTGAGGAGAAGGTTGTTGGTCTGCACATTATGGGACTGGGCAGCGGCGAGATGCTGCAGGGCTTCGGTGTGGCCATCAAGATGGGCGCCACCAAGGCCGACTTCGACAGCTGTGTTGCTATTCACCCAACCAGCGCTGAAGAGATTGTTACAATGAAATAGATGGAATATAAAGTAAAGATTACAAGCGTTAATACAGGAATAGTCTAAATAAAAGGAGTTGTTGGTTCGGTTTACTGCTATGGTTCATACAAGTGTGTCATCTTAAGTACAAGTATTTTAGACTGTTCCTAGAGCCTTTCATCTTCCTATGCTTTCCGACTAAGTGGGATATGAGTTACATTAACTTTAAGTTAGTTCCACAACAAACCTAGATGTGTCGAAGAAGACTTGGTTTAGTGGGGATTGATGATGAAACATTATCAATTGTACATTATGGTACTGAATGAAACTCATGATTTTGATGTTTGATTTCCTTAGGACTAGAGTATACCATTCGAGTCGGCAATGGGCTAGAGATTATCGTGTATGCTCCATCAAGCTGGGAAGCTTATGAATCTTGTGTCGTTGCCTTTTACTAACAACTTTGAGACAACACCCATAGGTTTAGTCTTCTTGGAATACAATAGAACACTGTCTTTATGATTCATACATACAAGCCGAGTCTCAAATTCCTATCGCTGTCAAAGCTACGATACTTCATATGTTGCCATGCGTCTACCTGAGTTTCAATGAAGCCCAATTTAAATCAGGCTCGATCGTCACCATCATACACGAGTCGAGATATTGGCAGTCAGTTGAACACAGGACAATAATAATATGATGTTAAGATTTTAGGCTCAAGGCGTACGTAGTATTTCTTACAGTACCTTCGGTCAAAACCGGACTTTCAATATGACTGTTTACGACCCGGCTGTCGGCGATCGGGAAGCGCGATTGGCTTCGGCAGCCAATATAAGTTAGAAGATTCTATATGCCGGGGGAACTTAAGTAATCTCGCCGTCCTCTTTAGAGAGCGTATAATAACTCAGAACTACCTATATAAAAACCGTAACTGGGCTGCCCTAAAGTGAATTGCATATATTATTAGCGATTGCAAAGAATTCTAATATGTAAAAAATACGACATTATGTATAGCTCTTCAACTGACTTAATCTCTCAGTTAGATATCAGTAGTACATTTCAAGTATAATCATAAAAAGTTGTGGTTTTTATATAGTTGTGAGTTATTGTTATTGAAACGGTTACGTACCAAAATACCTAGAAAGTCACTAACGTGGCGCACCTTGCTTTTGGTCCTGTGGTCAGTCAGTTTAACAATTATGCGCCCTGTGTAGAGGGGGCGGCATAATTACTCAAATCCCCGGCTATGTAGAGTCTTTCATGATGTTTAAAGACTAGGACGAGGGCTATTCCCAGGGTCATATATCCCTCTTCATCAACTTCTCGAGGTGAACTCGGTTACTTCTCATACAACAAGCCACTCAATACGACACAATTGTCAACAATGTCTCTCTCAAACCGCGCCCATCAAGCCGGGGAGTCATGCAAGGGCATGGAGCTATGGAAAGTTATTACCAATCTCTTCGACGCAGAGACCAATCCAGATGGAATCGTGAGTCTGGGCGTGGCCGAGAATAGCCTCATGCATGATGTTCTCAGGAAGCATATCCACGACAATCTGGCTCTGAGCAACCCGGCTTTCACTTATGGCGATGGAACTACGGGCACGAAGAGAGTCAAGCAGGCTGTCTCCCGCTTCTTGAATACCCATCTCAAGCCCTTTCGGCCTATCGAGCCGGCGCATATCACCATGACCAACGGGTGCAGCGCTGCTATTGAGCATCTATCGTGGGCTGTTGCGGACCCTGGAGATGCGTTTCTGCTGGGACAGCCTTACTACGGCACTTTTGTTCCTGACCTCACATCCCGCTTTGGAGCCAAACTTCATCTTGTGTCCTTCGGCGAAAATGATCCTGTTGGCGAGGACGCAGTAGCCAGGTATGAGGAAGTCATTCTCGATTCTCAATCCAAAGGGGTCAAGGTTGCCGGTTTGATAATCAGTCATCCGCACAATCCTCTTGGACGATGCTATTCTCGCAACACTCTCATTGCCCTCATGAAGCTGTGCCAGAAGCACAAGGTTCACTTCATCAGCGATGAGATCTACGCCTTATCTGTCTGGTCCAACACCGTCGATCAACACCCTCCTGCTGTTCCCTTCGAATCAGCCCTTAGCATCGACACTACGGGTATCATTGACCCTGGTCTTGTGCATATTCTATGGGGCATGTCCAAGGACTTTGGCGCCAATGGCATCCGCGTTGGAACTATCGTGTCCCAGGCCAACTTATCTCTACATGCCGCTATCGTAGCAGTCGGACTATATAGTTCGGTCTCCTCCATCTCGGACCATGTCACAGTCAATATTCTGGAGGACGATGCATTTGTCGAGTCATATCTGGCCGAGAACCAAAGAAAGCTTTCAACCCAGTATACACGGGTCGTCTCGTGGGCGCGGAAAAACAAGATTGATTACGCCCCTGGTGTGAATGCTGCCTTCTTCCTGTGGGTTGACCTCGGTAAGGCTTATGAGGCACGACACCCTGAGGTGAAGGCTGACGACATCACGGATCTTGTCATGGCCAAACTGATGAAGAGGAAAGTATTCCTGGCGTCAGGCAAAGTTTTTGGTTCGGAGAAGCCTGGCTGGTTTAGAATCGTGTTTTCTCACTCTGATAACAACCTTGATCTGGGTCTCCAGCGAGTAATAGAAGCGTTGCAATAGCACGGGTTTGGAGGCTAGAATAGTACTGCAATCTAGAAGGGGAGTGAATGAGACATAAACCAATGGTCGAAGGCAAATAGAAAAGAAAACATAAACGTTGACTTTCTTTCGTGCGTTGGTATGATTTGTGGTTTTGTGTAGACAAATGCTTCGGACTACCAACTTCTTAAGTCCCCTCTCCAACTGTTCACTTGTCCAGCCAGAATCTTAGCTACCGCCGTAGCCAAGCAATTCCAGGCAACGATCCATATATATTTGCCGCTGAAGAAGTTCCTCTATCATTCCTTGTCTTCATATCGATGTGCTGTGTACCTGTCCGCCTCCCTATGATCATATCGCCTATGTGAGTGTAGAGACATGGAGATACCGGCTCCTCATGATAGCGATATGTACAAGATTTCAGACAGAAATAGTAAAAGATCTACGACTATGATGACTTGGGCTTTTCATATCCCAGAGTTACCAAGGATAGCACGTATTATGGCACGATTTTGTAGTTTCCTCGGGCATGTCACTCTAAGGAAACAAAATGCCTATACTCACAATAGCTTCGAATTCCTTGTTAGGTAGAATGAACATCGGAAATAGGGTGTGTTAAAAGGGTGTACATGCTGTTAGTGTGATTGAAATCCCAATTAACAGAGTTTCTAGTGGTAGCAATGCCGTCGAGCGGATCTCACCAAGCCAAGATATCAAAAGACTGTTGAACGAGACAAAGATAATTTTGCTGTCATGGGAGAGTAATCTTACCAAGTTGAGTTCAAGAACTATGCTAAATATCAAATATCGCAATACCATAATCAGATTTATTGAGCCTTTAAGAGAGTGCATAGCAGTACCAGTCGAGTGCTGTAGATTCGTTCCAGTCTTCCAGCTTACCCCTGAGAGTGAACAAGGCATGCTATAAAGATACCTGAAGTCTGTTTGACAATGCAGAGGCTTTCTACAAAGCCAAATCTCTTACCGAGGGAAGTGAGATATGTGTCATATCGGATATAAAGGGCTCCGGAGTTCTTGATGTGGCAGTCTGAAAGTGTTTCGCCAGTGAACGTTATCGATGTGACAAAACCTCTACAACAACATATTTGCACTGCCATACAGAGATTCATGGCAATTTACTTACTTGGGTATAGCATAATTCTGTTGGCTTTGACTGATGTGAAGAAGAATACAGGGCATGCTACAGTTCTATTGTAATATTCCCATCCTTTAATAAATTCATAAGAAGACAATATCTGACCCCATACTCGCCCGGTCCATTAACATCTACAAGCTCTGACTAAACGACTGCTTAAAACCATAGTGAGAAGATTGAGGTGTACAGCAGAAACGATCAGTTTCCCTAGTACTCTCATTTCAGAAATAACAGGCTGCTAGTATCAACTTCTTGAAAGCTCCAATGCAGTGTTTTAGGATACACGTCGAGCTGATACTTGCCTGTAAGACCAAGCAAGATCGAGCCTTATGCATGGTGTTACGATAAGGAACCCAGGACAAAGAATCATGACCTTATCAAAACTACTACGTACATATATCTACAGATATCTCGACACGGGTGTCAAGCATCTGTCTCAATTTCCCAAACCTATCCACTCACATAGTCAGTTTGCTTGCCCCATAGTGTGTCAAGTTTTCACATAATCATTCACTCTCGTACGAGGTCCAGGATGAATCATCAATCCCCACGCACAAAGAAGTCGTCCAACCGGAGGCGGCCGGGACAGTTTCCACTGACAGCTCAGACTCAGACACCGGAGCCTCAGACCGGTCTCGCCCTTGTTGTTATGCAACAAGCCCAGTCAAGAGATATTCAGCACGTACCATGGTGCAGAGCGAGCCAAAGATAGGTATCCGTGAAAGGAAGGGAAATTTTCAAAAAGAGACAGGGAAAAATTGAGGCAAAAGTTCGGAGTAGACCTGTGTTTGTAGTTGCAGTTGAAAATCTGAGTTCGGCGACCAAGCCGGCGGTCCGCTACGGATAGATCCCGCCCGGTAGGCTTGACGGCCAATCGGAAGGCCGAGCCCTACTCCGGGTTCCAATGTTTTTAAGGTGCAGATGCCATCCAACGGCCCTTGAAACCCCAGCGAAAACAAAGACGGTCCGATTTATTGGGGAGATGGGGAACGGGGAACGTTGAAGGGCTGCGGTTTAATGGGTATTAATGGATACAGGGCAAGGGTTTTTCCTTTTAGTGGAGGGGACTGGACCCTTGGGAGCTGGTGTTTTAGTGTTTTAGTGTGTTGGTACCAGTGCTGCTGTGCCTGTGTGCTGGTGTGCTGGTGTGCTGGTAGGCTGGATATACGGAGTAATAATAGTGGAAAGTAGGTAGGGTAACAGTAGCATGCCATGCCCTGTAAGCTGATAAGCTGAGGTACCAGCTCCAAAGGAGGATAGGCAGACGCCGCTCAGCTGCAGCAGACAGTCAGAGACTTCACAGCACTCTCTCAGCAAACGGGATAGCGAATGGCTAAATCAAATCCACAATCAGCGCAGAGGGGGGCTAGCTTTCATTCCCTTCTGGTCTTGTCGTGTCCACGTCAGTGAGCGCAGTGCATTATGGTGGGTGAGGGTGAAAGCTACTGCAGCCGAGGGCCTTTAAAAGTGAATCGAGAGCCTGCATTTTCTGGTGCCTGGCCCTGGTGTGGTTTGTATCCGTACCTGAACCCTGGAATGCCAATTCCGATACCCGAGCAGATTCTGCCAGACTTACTGTATTGGGGGAGGGATTACCAAGCACCCCCTGTCAAGGCAAGGTATCATAGAGATCCTGCACTTAAGAGGACAATGCCAATCTCACTGGCTGTGTCCGTACGGATAAGCAAGCAGATATCTTAGACATGCAGTGGATGACGGGAGAATTGCGGCATACATATTTGAGTGATGGTCATGGACGTACACTACGTACAGCCGGGCCTCAGCCCATCTGCTTAATCAATGGACGTCTACATGCTACTCCGTACTCCGTGGTTTGATGAGACACTAACAGTAGGCAATAGCAGACAAAGCATCAGCTGCGGAGTCAATTGAGTAGGAATACAAGCTAACAAGAGCAGAGATTGACTCGTTCTTTGCTAAACCCCAGGCCTCAAACCCCCAAGCCAACCCCGATCAAATTGCCCGCTGCACGTTAGATCCAAAGTGATGGTGAAAAAAGAAATTTTCGTACCAGGGTTTCAAAAACAGTCGGCGAATAAAAAGCAACCGCAAGAGGCACGAGCTTAGTATAGCACCACACATCCATCATGAACCTCAATAGCCTCAATCCTCAACTGTCACGCAGCCCATTCTCAGCTACCTACCTAGGTACGCTAGGAACAATTTCGAGCATCCCTGGCAAGTTTGGAGAGAGAATTTTTCACTTTCTTGTCTCCCACCTAAAGATAGACAGAAAGACATGGGATGGCACAAGATCTGTCGGGATATCGAGTGCTAGTCAAGGTTTAGTGACCTTTCCAGATCCTGCAAGCAGTCCACTCCTACCCTCGCCTCGCCCTCGCCCTCATCTTTGCAGCTCGTTCTTCCCGGAAAAGAGCCAAGCTTTTGGCGATCGTTTGATAACGCCCTTGGTCTAGCAGATTTCAGGCTTAGACAGGGGAGAAAGCATCGGAGGAACCGCCTGGTTGTGGTTAAAGTTTTCGATTTTGGAGTTAATTAGCTTTAGTGTTGGTGTTGGTCCTGTTTGTTGACCAATTTGCCTCCCGCTAGACTAGGTAGTCCGCTGGGCGACCCTCCGCTCATCGTGACTGGTCCAGGGTCACTAAAGTTTTGGCTTACGAGGAAGCCTCCCCGCGATAACAGGCTCCCCCAAGCCCCCCGTAATTTTCCTGGGGTTGTGTTAGTGCTGGGAATGGAGTGGCTCTTGTAAGTTAGTAACCGAGAGAGAGAGAGAGTTAGCAAAGTCTAAATTGCCAGTCTAAATGCGGATGTGACCCTACAATGTCGCCATTAGAGAGTCGGGACCTGGCTGAGGCATGAGGAGAAGGAGAAAAACGTTGTCTGCTCGCGGTCAGTAGCCAGTAGATGGATGCCTCCATACCCAATTCAGGGAGGGAGTTATCCTATGAAGCTAGCCACCACCCGGGATGTGAACCCATCAACCCAAAAGTGAGGCCGTTGCTTTGGATTTTGGACAGACACCTAGAGCCCAGGGACTACAATAGAGCCTAGAGTATGATCGTGACAGTTTACTTTAGTACCTTGCGCCCCAATTCGCCCCTTGCAACACAACACAACACAACACAACACTGCTGCTGCGATGGTACTCCGTACAGCCGTCTTCATCCGTCAAGACAATGCCGTGATGGCCCGGCCCTTCCTTACCCTTTCCCTTACCCTTCAACTTGGTCCAAAAGGCTCCGCACAACTGTCTGAGCGTGGGGAGCAGGACCTTGGCCTGGGGAAAGCTATTGATTGTGCCCGCCGAGACTAAACACTAACAAGACTCCCAATTAACGTGGGTTGAATCTTGTCCGAGAATTGACGAGAATAACCGATGAGTAAGAAAGAGATTACTACCTAGTATGAACACAGGCAGTCGAAAGACTCCATCGTGGATCGGTATTTCCTGGTGAAGCTGTCTCAGCCTGCTGGGGTCTTGTTCATTATACCAGGGCATCTGTCTTATTCAGTCAGCACTCCCGAAATCCAGCAAGGCCTTATCCAGGATTACACTGATCACCTTAACGTCATGAGTACGGCATAGATATTGTGCATTCTCTCCATCACAGGACAGTAAAATTGTAGGCATCAGAGAAGTCAAAGACAAGAGGATGGAGCCAAAGACAGACAAAAGCACACCCAATCGCCTGCGTCCCTTCTGATACCGGACTTCTCCCCCGGTGCTGACATGTCTCGTCTCTGATATTTGCTTGTGTTCCACCACTCCCAAGACAAAGACTGCGGGACCTACCTATATACGGCGCGCGTTATGGCTGGTGAGACAAGGCGTCGGGAAGCAAAAGAAAGGAAAAGATGTTTCTTGGAATGACCAATAATTAAC